TATAAATTAAGCTAAAGCTTAGTTTATAATTTTTATATTTTATAAAATAAATTAATCTTAAATAGATTTAAATATATTTTTTTTAAAAAGATAATATATTTATCTGTGATTTATAAATCACGGGAGTAATAAAAATATTATTTAAAATAATAATTTTATTATAATAATAATTTTATTATAATAATAGATAATAAGAAAAATATAAAAAATTAAAATTATAAAAACTAGATTATTCTAAAAATCTTAATTAATAAACTAATAAATTATATATAAATTAGTTTTTTATACTTTATAAAAAGAACAGATATTTATTATAAAAAAATAAAATAAAAATAATAATAATAATAATATTAATAATAACAGCAGCAGCGATAGCAGAAATAATAATAGAAATAATAATAATAAGAATAATAATAATAATAATAATAATAATAATAATAATAATAATAATAATAATAATAATAATAATAATAATAATAATAATAATAATAATAATAATAATAATAATAATAATAATAATAATAATAATAATAATAATAATAATAATAATAATAATAATAATAATAATAATAATAATAATAATAATAATAATAATAATAATAATAATAATAATAATAATAATAATAATAATAATAATAATAATAATAATAATAATAATAATAATAATAATAATAATAATAATAATAATAATAATAATAATAATAATAATAATAATAATAATAATAATAATAATAAAAATAATTATAGAAATAAACTAATCTAGTTTTATATTAATTATAAGATATAAAATAAACTTTTCTAAAAAATTGCTTATTACAGAGATTTGTAAAGAGAAGAGAAAAAAAGATTAATAATAATTTTATAATAAATATAATAATTTCTTTATAAGAGAAAAAAACTAAAAATATATAATATAATAAAAAATACTAAGATAATTAATTATAATTCTTAAATTAGATTATATATTTTAGATTTATAAAATAATAAATATCTGTAAATTAATATAAAATATAAAATATTATATCTTATAATCTAATATAAATATCTCAGATCTGCAAGAGTATAAATAGTTATAAAAATATAAATAATTATAAAAATATAAATAGCTATAAGAGTATAAACAGCTATAAAAAAACAAATAATTATAATTATAAATAATCATAAAAATTCTTTAAATAAATACTTATTTATAATAATAATAATAATAATTAGAAGAGAGAGAAAGCTGCAGAATAAAAAGAATTAAAAAAAATTTATTAAAAATATCTTTTTTAAAGTCTTAAGTTCTAAGCTCTGAGTCTTAATTTATATCTAAATTAGGAATATTATATTATATTTATTACTTGGCTATAATTATAAAGATATCTATTATATTTACTACTTAATTATAATCATAAAAATCTAAAATATAATAAATAATAATATAATTATAGCTGTATAAAACAGCCACAGCAGATTTATATAAAATAAATATTATATAAAAAAAGAATTATCTTTTTTTAATTAATTTTCTTATAAAGAAGATTTTATAATAGAGATTTTAATAATATCTAATTTTTTATAAATAATAATCTTAAAGATTAAGATTTTAGAAAAAAAAATAATTATAAAAATAATTTTTTATAAAATAATTATACTAATATAATATATAATTTATAAAATTCTTATAGATATATTTATTTATAAAAAAAATTAGATAAAAAATTAATAATAATACTTTAAATAATATAAATACTATCTTAACTTTATAACAGATATACTTTCTTTATACTATCTTAACACACACCCTTATACTTAATCTAATTATCAAATTATAGTTAAGATTAGATTAAGATATAACAGTTAGATATAGCCACTCTAGCACAAGCTAAAATAGATAAATTTAGTTATATAAAAAGTATCAGTTTAATGATAATCCTGGCTCTTACTAATCTTATATTTTATTATAAAATAAATAGATAAGTTAATATAATAGATAAATAAAATAAAAAATATATAATTAATAAATATATAAAGATCAGACAGAAATCTTGATAAAGTAATATAAAATAATAAAAGAATTAAAAAAGGCTATTTTAAAGAATCTTTCATAGCTTATATATATATATATATAAATTGGTACTGATTCTAAGATAAAATACTTTTTATCTACTAAGATAGTAAAATAACCTGGCTAATTAAAGTAGCTAAATTCTTATTTTTAACTAAGATATATTACTTAATTATAATTTTATTAAATAACAAGATTTTTATCTTATTAAGTTGATTAATTAATTATAATTATTTTTTAAATAATTCTATAGTTGATTATTAGGGGCGGGCCGCTATATCGGATTTTGAATTAAAATATTAATAATAAATAACTGTTGCAGAAGATCTCTAATTGCAAGAAATTCGACTTTGGGTTGTACTCCATACACAGTACTATTACTACTAGTATATCCAGAATGATCCATCCATGTGTATGTAAAGTAGCCTCCACTATCTCAGCAAGGCCGCGATCTCAAATATGGATTATCTGTCTAGATTTCACTTCTACGGAGTAGTAAGTCATGAAAAAGAAAGGTCCGGGAGATTTGAAATGCTGCCTATCTGGCACTTGCCGCACTTAAGATGTATAGTACTCCGTATACAGAGTACATCTTCTGATGCTGCACCGTTGCCAAAAGCAGCCAGCCCGGGTGTGGGTACTACTAGGAAGAAATACCTACCTTTATATACTCCATATCATAATCCGTGTCAGTTCTACTCCGTAGTATCCAGCTAGATCTTACCTGCCTTTTCCTTAAGTGGGGTCATGGCTAATTCAAAATCACTACATCTGGCAATGTACTCTTTCTTTCGGTAGATCATCTAATATACAAGACTATAATCAGTTTGCTATACACATGGTTCTCTTGACCTTTCCAGTTCGGAGGACTTTATGCGCTGAGATGGATGCATGGACAGACAGGCAAATTATACAGAGCACATGTAAGGTAGCCGGGATAGTGTACTTAGACAGTATGAATGCACTGCACATACAATTTGTTATTAGGGTGGCGGAATAATTACGTATGTGCCTCCTGTAGCAATCCCTGTACTGACCATTGATCTGTGTAGCATCTTGTTTTATTAAATACATGCTCTATAACTACCCCTTACTTCATAGTCTATAGAGCCAGTAATAAACATATGCAGAGGACATTGTGCATATGTATAGTACAGATTATATAGGTAATGTCCATTTGATTATCAATACATACTCTTATTATTTAAGTCACTTAAGACTAGTCGCCTTACCAATGTCAGTGCAGGTGCCTAACTAGCTAGGCACCCACATTTACCTCAAAGGTATGCAAGTTTTGCCACAATAATGACTATGTGATTTAGAATGTTTTTTGATCTTTTTTTCCCGTGCTAAAAGTGGATTTTTTTAAAAAGAAAATGGGAAAAATGATATCAGATTGAAGAGGTTCATGACCAAGGGTCTCCAATGTTTGGTTGTGGCGGGGAATTAATCTATCTGGAAAATAGGAGCCTCAAGTTCAGTTTCAGACTTTCACTTCCCCATGGTTTCCCATATAATTACTTAACCATATCACTCGCCCTTCCCCCTTTGCCTCAAATACAGCCAACAACAGCATATGCGTGTTATGTAATAGGTAGTTCCTTGGATAATTAGTTATTCGGATAGAGAGTAAAGGTGCAATGTCTTGGAGAATACATATATACCCAGAAGCTTGTACTAGGTAATGGACCAGGGTACACCCTGCGGAGTAAGGTACCTACTGGTACGTACCTAGTTGGTACTACTAACAGTGCATCTACTTACCCACTAGTACCTAGGTAGTACTAGGCAGTATGATATGTACTCCGTACGGAGTACCAAAGTAGAAATAGGAGATGGTACCTATCTACAGGTATTAGGTAGGTAGGTAGGTAGGTATCCTAGATAGTACTTACCTCCATCAGTACCACTGTACCCACATTGAAACTTTGCCTGTTCTTTCCTAGTACCTACTCCATACCTCCTCCCTAGTACTACTCCATACAGGTACTCTACCTACATAGTAGAAAGTATTGTAGGTACTAGTAGTAGGGAGGTACAATAGGCAAGTAATTATCTCGCAAGATTGGTATCATTACCAACTCCAAGATACTACTACTTAGGTACGTTTTTTTTTCTGAAGCAATGCCTACAGTATCTGACATACCTAGTATAGAAAACCTGTTACCCTATGGGCAACTTGTTTCCTCTGGCAGACTGTCGTCATTAATATTCTACTACGGAGTACTACTGGCTATTCGGACTATTATTAGAAACTCACTATGTTTAGAACCTATGTATTGCTCTATCACAGTATTCACAGTATCACAGTACTCGAACCAAACCCATGGCATCGCCGCATCAGACAAATTAGTGGCTAGTGTGCCTAATTATAGGAAAGAAGTGGAGACTTTTTGGATCTTACCAGTGGGGGATAGGTAACTTATGAGTATGAGCTAGTACTATATTTCCCTTCCATACCCTGGATGAGGGATGACCTTGACCTGAGTCGAGTCACGGGTGAAACATACCAATAGATTGTGTGAGGCGCAGGGTGGGCTTATTGGCTGCTTCCTCATTTGTGATTTGATGAATGGTTGTGCCCTGGAGTACCCTATAGCAGCTTCCCTGGTCTGTGTGTCAAGGTGGGTCGATCTCGCAACATAAAACATAACAGCTCCCCCTCCTTTTGAACCTTCCAGTTGTTTGTTGATCCTAGTTATCTAACTACCTCTCTCCCAACCTTTGTCCTGCTCCTTGTGTTGTCTTCGCTCGCTTTCCTTGCCCCCCACAATAATCGTGCGAGACAACTCAACTTGCTTTAGCCTCATATCATACAACTCCTCTGCGTTATCTTGGGTCAATACTGTTCTTAATAGGTGACCCGTTCCATCGTCATAAATACGGTGACGTTTGACGGCCAGCAAATATTCCATCCCCTCTCTGAGCATTTGCATTTCTCTTTTTGACCATGTGGTAAGTTTTTCTGTATACTCTATGGACGGCTCGTTTCTTTGTCCTAACTCATCCACACCAGCGGTATTTTCGGCTACATCAACTATCTTGTTGAGAGGGACCGCAAATTCATTCTCGACACTCTGCTCAATGGTAGGTCCGCGCTTCCTATGCATCATGCTAACCACCATGAAACGATCTTAATATCGGGAATAAGTAAAGACTTTGTACTCTGACTATGTGCAGGGCTTTCGAGACTTGAGTATCGTGGTTATGACTCCGCTGGGCTTGCAGTGGATGGCGATAAAAAAAATGAAGTTTGCGCCTTTAAGGAAGTTGGAAAGGTTGCCAAATTGAAAGAACTCATCGAAGAATCCAAACCCGACCTCACTAAGACCTTTGAGTCTCACGCTGGCATTTCTCACACCCGCTGGGCTACCCATGGAACTCCTTCCCGCCAGAACTGTCACCCTCACAGGTAAGTCAGCTGCAACTGATGGCTTCTTTGTCATAAATGGTGTTCATAATGGACTGGATAATATATGGAGGACTAAGTAGTTTGCAGATCTGATGTTAACTGGGAATTCTCCATTGTTCACAATGGCATCATCACCAATTATAAGGAGCTGAAGGCCTTGCTAGAGACCAAGGGATTCCGCTTCGAGACCGAGACCGACACTGAGTGCATTGCCAAACTTACAAAATATTTATATGACCAGCAGCCAGATATTGACTTCACCGTACTGGCTAAGGCTGTCGTGAAAGAGCTGGAGGGCGCCTTTGGTCTCCTTATCAAGTCTGTTCATTATCCCCATGAAGTTATTGCGGCAAGAAAGGGTTCCCCGCTCGTCATTGGCGTGAGAACTTCGAGGAAGATGAAGGTGGACTTTGTGGATGTCGAGTACTCCGAAGACGGTGCGCTCTCGGCAGAACAGGCATCCCAGAACGTGGCCATGAAAAAGTCTGCTACTGGCTTGCTCGCACCCCCTGATAAATCTCTTTTGCACCGGTCGCAGTCCCGTGCTTTTCTTTCCGACGATGGTGTTCCCCAACCAGCTGAATTTTTCCTGTCTTCTGACCCGTCTGCGATCGTTGAGCATACCAAAAAGGTTCTTTACCTTGAAGATGACGATATTGCTCATGTACACGAGGGACAGCTCAACATTCATCGGTTGACTAAGGATGATGGCACATCCAATGTTCGCGCCATCCAGACCATCGAGCTGGAGCTACAGGAGATCATGAAAGGAAAGTTTGATCATTTCATGCAAAAGGAAATCTTCGAGCAGCCTGAGTCTGTGGTAAACACCATGAGAGGTCGATTGGATGTTGCAAACAAACAGGTTACCCTGGGTGGACTACGACAGTATATTTCTACTATACGTCGGTGCAGACGTATTATCTTTGTGGCCTGTGGAACCAGCTACCATTCGTGTATGGCTGTGCGTGGAGTTTTCGAAGAGCTCACTGAGATACCTATCTCGGTAGAGCTTGCCTCGGATTTCTTAGATAGACAGGCGCCTGTTTTCCGTGACGACACGTGTGTCTTTGTTTCCCAATCTGGTGAAACTGCTGACTCTCTTATGGCTCTTCGGTACTGCCTTGAACGCGGGGCTCTGACCGTCGGCATCGTTAATGTTGTCGGTTCCTCCATCTCCCTTTTGACTCATTGCGGTGTGCACATCAATGCTGGACCGGAAATTGGTGTTGCCTCTACAAAGGCATACACATCGCAGTTTGTGGCTATGGTCATGTTTGCTCTTTCTCTGAGCGAGGACCGAGCCTCTAAGCAGAAGAGACGCGAGGAAATCATGGAGGGCCTGGCCAAGATCTCGGAACAGTTCCGGGAAATTTTGAAACTCAATGAGCCTATCAAGCAGATGTGTGCAAAGTTTTTCAAGAACCAAAAGAGTTTGCTTTTGTTAGGCAGAGGTGGCCAGTTTCCCACGGCCCTTGAAGGTAAGCAACATGACCACTTCCACAGTAGTTCCTGGGCGCTGATTTTTTTTTGTAGGTGCACTTAAAATCAAGGAGATTTCCTACCTTCATTGCGAGGCCGTTATGTCAGGCGAGCTTAAACACGGTGTTCTCGCCCTTGTCGACGAGAATTTGCCGATCATCATGATCCTTACAAGAGATAACATTTTCACGAAGTCGTTGAATGCTTACCAGCAAGGCTAGTCAAATTTCGCCGCATTCTTTTCATAAGTTTCAGTTACTAACTGTTTGGCAGTGATTGCTCGAGGTGGCCGTCCTATCGTAATTTGCAACTATGACGACCCTGAATTCTCATCCGCCCAAACAGAGAAGATTGAAGTTCCCAAAACTGTGGATTGCCTTCAAGGTCTCTTGAATGTTATTCCACTGCAGTTGATCTCCTACTGGCTTGCCGTGGGAGAGGGTCTCAATGTTGATTTCCCTCGTAATCTTGCGAAGTCAGTCACTGTCGAGTAGAGTGCATCTACATAAGAGCACCCACAGGCAAAGGATAGGTTCATGGGACAAGGCCACTTTAAGCTACTGAACACGATTTTCTTTTTAATGACGGCAAGGATGCAAATGCTGTAGGCTTTGTAGTCTCCAATGTGCCTGTGCTCCATAATGTACTTGTTCATTTCATTTACTTGACCTTTCTTCCTTTTGTCTTCTTCATATTGGCACTCAAGGCCTGATGGTTTCCTCGTGTACTTAGTAAGGTCAGGAGCAGGCCATTCAACGGCATTTCCCTAGCAACATGCACTCCGTATTCGCATATACACTGCTATGGGTGGTTACAATGCACCTGCACCCCCAATTGAAGTTGAGTTCGAGCAAATGAGCGTAGAGACACTAATACTTCCTCTGTGTCGATTCTTGTTCATAGTATATTACCCTTATGAACTACGAAATACGAGGTGTATGTGACTATCACCATCACTACCACCACTTTGCTGCGCCGAAAGGATTATCATTGCCTTGTCCTACCGCCTTCCAGACTTCACCTACGGAGTAGAACCGAGGTTCTATGTAGCACTCAAGGTGACAATTTACTCACATGATAATACTAAGTTACTTGCTCTTTTAAGTCAGCGCACGCCAATACAAGTTGCAAAGTATTGCCAGCAAAACTTTGTAACCCACATGAGCCACGGACTATAATATTTTCGACATGTACCAACGTAGTAGGGGTGCTGTGGATAGATTGTGGTACACTCCGTAGTCAGCAGGTTTCCCAGTCAGCGGGGTAGAGTTCGGCTCCCCACTTTATACCGGAACTCGAGCTCGTATGTGCTGCCTCCGTACCTAGCATTATTGCCTCGACACCTGACGAAACCCTTTTCGACAGTACTCCCGGCAAGCTCTATTAAAACTCTCCAAATATCAATCATCATGACTTCACTCAAGGGTCCTGGAGCTGCCCAGACATATGATGGTGAGGAATTCTTACATAGACCTCCTGCATCTAGCCCCTCATTTGCTTAACGGCGTACAGGCTCCGGACTGCGTATTGCGATAGTCCATGCGAGATGGAATATGGATATTATTGGCCCTCTCGTGGATGGAGCTAAGCGAAGCCTTCTATCGGCCGGTGTGTCTGAAGGCAATATCATGGTGCACAGCATTCCGGGCAGTTATGAACTACCATTTGCCGTGCAACGGTACGCAGATCGCTTTCCATCCTTTTCGTTCTCCGTAATTGTCAGATATTGAGCCTAACCGAAACATGTGCTTTCCCAGGATATATGCGGCTTCGCAAATTGAGGCTGCAAGGGGGTCTACTTCTGCTCAAGGCATCAGCGCCACGGACTTGCTGTCTTCATCTACCGCAGATCTCAGTAAAGCATCTTCGCAGTCAGCGACATTGGACACGCCTAGACCATTTGATGCAATAATTGCCGTCGGCGTTTTGATAAAAGGAGAAACTATGCATTTTGAATATATCGCTGACGCAGTCTCTCACGGATTGATGCGTGTTCAGCTAGACACCGGCGTTCCTGTTATATTTGGTGTACTTACGGTTTTGACCGAGGAGCAGGGCCTAGAAAGGGCTGGGTTGGGCAAGAAGGGAATGCACAACCACGGGGAAGATTGGGGAAATGCTGCCGTGGAACTGGGAGCAAAAAGAAGAGAATGGGCCGAGGGTAATGTAGTTTAAGAACGTTTAAGCGGAGACGCATTCTACGCCTCCACCGGCCAATTTGGTGTCCATTAAACCATCCAAAGATATATCTATTCAATCTGGGACAATTGGCATCGAATCATTCGTCGGGCGCGGTCCAATGCAGTAGTACAGTTGTGGAAAATAATGAAAAAAATAAGAGACAAATGATTTGTTTCCTAAGATGTCTCACATGAATCGTGGCTTAATAACTTCATTCTTCCATCCGTTCGCTGTCATTGGCATCTCCCTTGGTCGCATCCTCTTCCTCGTCTTCTCCTTCCAGAGCCCTTTTCGCCGCCCGCTCCGCCTCTTCAAGAAGACCTTTGGGTACCTCTTCGTGTCTTCCTTTTGTTGGGCCGTCTAATGAGCTTATCCAGGTCATCTCCAGCTCGAAATCCTTATCTTTGCTGTCTTCGTGGGCGACGTAGATAATCCGAGCCGCTTCCTTCACACCTTCAAGAAGACTTAAATTGCCGGAGTTCAGATCCAGCTTCTCAAGCTCGGCCTTGGCTGCCTGTCTCCCTTTTCCGGTGGCAGCACCATAGTAGCCCTACAGTAACGTCAGAACAAAACATCGCCGAGAAAAGCCAACAATTATAGTAGCTTACCCAGTACAACCCGCTTGGCTCAATCATATATAGGCCAGGGCCTCCGGTTTTGGCCCCTTGGATCTTACCACCAGAGCCTGATTCGGGTCCACTTCCGACTTGGCCGTCGACGGCAAGCTCAGCTTCGGAATCCCAGCCCCCGACAATTGCAGTCACTCCGAAGGGCCGTACACTGGAATAAAGCGTGTAAGCCTGCACGTAGCTGCCGAGGCGGTTCGACAGTGCGGAAACCGGAATTGGCCCTTTATAGACACTTCTCCACGAAGAAGCTTCGTCGCGCGCCCGGGAAACAAAATGCCTACCATCAGGGACTAAACCAGCTGAAACCTGTAGTCGCGATTTCACACATCAGCATGCGTTGTCCATCTAGAGCAATGCTAGAAAATTTCCCGTAACCAGGTAGCTTAGCGGGGTCTTACAATGCCAATGTGACGATCAACGGTAGCTGTTCTCTTGTTGGCACCTGGTTTCAGAAGCTTGCTGGTGATGATCTTTTCTACCGCCAGAACGACGCCATCTTTGCACCTGATTCCAATAGCTGTTCCTCCATTCTCAACGGCTTTGACTGCATATTCCACCTAGCATGAATAGTCAATAATTTGCAATCCACACTAGTCTTGGAGAAGATGAAGTTAATACCTGGAAGTTGCGACCGTCCGGAGAGAACACCGAGTTGGAAAGATCGTAGCCAGTACCGATGGACGTCTGGAACGATGCAGTATTAGCTACGCGGGACCTTCAGCTTAATAGGTTGTTCAAACAAACCATGGCTGTCAAGACTGGGTATGTTTAACAAGGGTCTAGAGTCTCCCGGGGTTCAGATCAATGGACTGGATGACCTAGCAAGAATGAGGTGATGGGGTTGACTTTCAACTGGAGAGAGGTTTGTTAATTCCCCGGATTCCAATATAAGGCAGCGAGTAGGTCAAGGTAGGCAAGTAAGGTTACGCGTAGGTTGAGAGTGCCTAGAGCAAGTAGTAGCAGAGGTAACTACTCCGTAGTACATCATCCACGGAGTCCGGAGCACCCCCCAACCCGGCTAGGCTGCGTATCTAATCAGGTCACCCTAGGAGCTCCCCTCAACCACGCGCAACATGTCTTCTCTGTTGGTAGGCCTACTTGCTATTAGGATTGTTCTGTGAAATGCAAGCATCTCTTTGCACAGCACTGAGTCTGGTCCTAGATCAGAACTACTACCTAGGTAGCTGCCACTCGGCATCCTCTCCATACTTACTTTTAGGTACGGAGTAGGTAGGAAGTAGTTCCCTTGAATCCTTGCATTAGTAAGTACTCCCGTACTCCATGTATTTATACTTTGTGCTATAAGTAGGTAAATATTATCCACCTACAGAGATCTCTTTCCATAATAACAATGACCGAAATTTGCTACTACTTGGTAGCATAACAGTACACTCCTCTGCTTATGAGCTTACAAATATCTCGGAGCTCTACCTATACATGGATATTTAGGTCCCAAATGCATAGGGCATCTGCCCCCCTTCATCACTATCCTGTACTGCCCAACCATGTTATGAGTCGGGCATCCACGATGCCTACCTACAATGTCTTTCCCACCTAACCCCGCCAGTGTGAAAACTAATGATTTATACCGATCACTACCCATGAAGCACCGGCCTTTACTATCTTAGAGTTGACACTGCTTTTGCTGCCGCACCTTGAAAACAGCTTGAATACTACCCAACAAATCAGCTTTGCCATATCCCATTATTCCTTTATTTTGCTGTATTTCCCAGCACCAAGCCTGATACAGATATTTTACTGATTGTTTGATGCCCCTCTCGCACGCCTAAGAATTCTTAATCATGTCTACTTTACTAAATAACTGTCCGTTTTGTGGGCAAGCTACGGATATCTCAAATACACTCACAGGCTTCATGGTGAACCCATACTGCAGCCAGGTAGATATTTACTATATATTCTTCTAGTCTGCTATTTCACTGGTTCTCTGACCCGATAGCCATGCAGTGTGGCCTATCAGCAACCGAAAGTACCCTCAACTTACCAGACGATCTTGTAACACTCTTTGACAAGAGTATGAATATTGGGTTTCCGTTGTCTCCAGGAGAAGACCTTGGAAAATGTTTCCCCCATGGCTCTTCAGCAATGTATAGTGTCTCACAGCACTATCACCATTCTGCACATATAGCTCGCCAGAGTGCTACAGAAGATTCCTTGGGAGTGAAAGCCAGTATACATAGCAATAGCACTGATTGTATCGTCGCCGAGAAACTCAGACAGCATCAAATTGATCACTCGTCCCTTTCATCAAAGCAATTGGAGCTTTTCGAGCGTGCGGTACCAGAACAACAACTACGACTTATACAGATCTGGCAGATTTCTCCAGAACACCGCTATAACATCGGCGGAAACAGCCTTCCGATGCCGGAAAAATCGGATAGACCTAGCATTGCAACAGAAGCATCAAATCCATTCTATCGGACATTTGCAGCTGATGGTCAGACACCAGAGGATGGCGTGCAGTATGCCGAGCCCTATATGCTTAGTGGATACGAGGCAATGGCCCAAGAAAACAATGAACTCTCTGCAAAACAGGTCATGTGCGTGGTAAACGAACCAACAAGAGGATCGCTTTACAGGCTTGCAAGTGACCCTGTATATTACTATTGTCAGAGTAGGAGATGGTGGGAAACTGAACAATCAGGCGCATTGAACAATTAGTATGGGCTGTTGGAGATATACCGCCATTTCTACTGTGGTCTACCTCATCCTGAACAGCGAAACTAAAGAGGCTTATCGGATTTATTCACAACGCCAACTGCGTCAACTGGTAGATTTTGTTGCCTAGGTCTACTATTGCCATAGCCGGGTATTTTTAAATACCTAGGCCCTGCTTGTTACTAACGTAGTCTCTTCGACGGTGATGAATAGAAAATGTTGGAAGAACCGGAGAGTCCCCCCGAGTATGTAGAAAGGGTGGTGTTACAAGGCAGCCGGGGAAATGAGAGCACATGGATATGGTTGATGTAGGCTTATAGACAAGTAAAGTTTTATATGTAAATTTCTGGTTTTAAAATGGGAAATGACATGACTACTCCTCACATCCTCCCCAATGATCCACAGCTTCACCCACACCATTTATAGTCCGGCTCTTTCGCGTTCGCCGTCAGAGATCCTGTGGAGTTTTTGAACCGAAAGACTGGGGCACACTTGCAAAGACGTAGCTGCCAACATCCAAGAAAACCCACGCAGTAAATGTTCTGCCAGAAAGAGTGATTTGTTAATATTCAACACCTGTTCCATGGTTCTTGTGTTTGGTCCACTTGTTGTAGGATATCACAATGGACAAGCCAAGTTCCAGAAAGTGCTGGTATATCAACTTTGAAAGAAAAATGACGCAAAGTAAAAGAACCAAGAGGCTCCAAATAGTGGAGTTCAGAGTAGACTGGTAGCGTGCAAACAAAGAGCAAAACAGGCCAATGCAACAGATACATTGATTTTATTCGGCGAATTCCTCATCGATAGCAGCCATGGCTTCTGCAAGAGCATCGGCCGAGCGCTTGACTTCGCTAACGGCTTCGGCAGCGCGCTTGATTTTGTTGCATGGTTGACCTGGCAAAACACACCACTTCTGCATGGTTTCGGGAGAGGCATCTGCCATGGCCTCAGCCATGGCATCGGCCGAACGTTTGACTTCCTCGCTGACATCGGCTGCGCGCTTCATCTTATGGCAGGGCTGGCCGGGGAGGACACACCATCTTTGCATAGCACCAGCTTGCACGGTGGTGGCAGCAAGAGCGGCAAGGACAAGAGAAATGAGCTTCATTGTTGCAGTGGCGGAGTAGGTTTGAAAGATAATTCGATCAGAAACAAGTCTTGTTCTGTGTTTGGAAGTAGTTGGTATAATATGGTGGATTTCTAAACTCTCCCTGACCGTCGAGGGCCAAGCTCCTTATATACATGTCCGAGAAGAATCAGGAAAACACCTGATGGACCCTAGCATAGCTGATGTCAATGAAGTCAATCCCTATTCAAGTTGATCAGAAGATCCCCTAGTGGAACCTAGAGCAAGAGTGTGTTGTATAATCATGAATAGAGTATCACTTAATAGGTAATATCATCCAGCCATCAATAAAACTTGATAAGTAAATAAACCTCTGATAGATTAGAATAAGAAAAAATAGAAGAGTCAAATATTAATAATAGGAAGCTATCATCAATAAGCCAGTACAAGAAAAGTTATTGACTTAATTAGTTGTACCTATCTCTGTGAGTAACTAATTCCAATCAGTAGGAGAAAAAGTAATATAGCTAGAGAAGGGAGTAAACAAGAGACAGGGAGGGAGACGGAGACATCTAGACCTTTTCCTGTATCCAGTATCTTCTTCTTTCTTTGATATCTGTGGGGCGTAGACTTTCTAAATTTGTACTTGAATGGGTTCTTAATAGAGGTGGCCATGGCCCTCAATTAGACAGCCTAGGCTGAAAAGGGATGTCAATAAGGCGCGACATTTGGGTCAAGCCAGCACAAGACCATCATTAAAGGGCCCTTCTCACAAAGTGTAAAGTAACAGCGAGACTTGCGACCCAGGCAATCGGGGGCAAATGGAGTATCTAGAAAGAAACAGGAAAGCGCTCATTGTTTTTTACCTGCTCCACCTAATCGATCATAGTAGGTTAGACGGTCCCCTCCTCTGAAAAACGATTTACCGTGTGGTAGGTGTCAGGGAGAGAAAATTTATAATGCATGTTCGTCATAAACCCAGATCCAAAGAGCAGATCATGATCTCATACGGTTCAGTAGGACTCTATATAGGACTACTACGGAGTACGGAGTAGTGATTATGGCCTGAGAGATAAGATCGGGCCGTGTTTCTAACGAGACCGGTGTCACTAGGCTAGTACTCCGTCCGGACTAGTGGATGGGATGCCGAGACGATCCGCCGTTTTTTCCGGTGTCTCGTGCATGGCTGGCTTCTCTCGTCCCTTCGCTCTCTCGCCTTTCTTTTCTTGCCGTCGCCGTCTCCGTCTTTGTCTTCCAGACTCTCCTCTCCCCCCTCGGTCCGCCCGCACCTTTTTGGAACCGCCCTCTCCTCTCTTGTTGCCACGTTTAAATCGTTCTTCCCCTCTCTTAATTGTTCAGCAAGATGTTCTCTCTGAGGACGGCGCAGCCTGCCCAGGTAAGTGGATGATTTTGGTTCTTCGCCGGCTGATCAATCGCTTTATTTGACCCGTATCTGCTTCTCCTTTCTTCCCCACTGCCTCCCGCCATGCTGTTTCCCTCGCCTGGCTCCGAGGTTTCTCTGCGTTTCTGCATCCGATTGTCTCTCGGCATCCATGGCCTACTATGGTGCTTCGTCTTTGATACATGTCTATCGGCCTACTGACCTCAATTTCTGTGGTAGTCCCTTCTCCGTCGCATCGCGGTGCCGAGCTCCTTTGCCCGTTCCTCCATTCCGGCAAGATGTGCGTCTCAACCTTCTAATCTGTGTATAGAGGCCTAGTAGCCATGAAATCCCGTGTTATTGACTTTATATCAAAGCATTTGCTAGTGTGCAGTCGGACATTTTCAAGCCCACCAAGTATGGCGGGAAATACACCGTTACCCTCATTCCAGGTATCTATAGGTTACCCGCTCCTCAATCTGGCTATGGCAACTGTCTTGCTGATACATTTATGATGTGTTCCCCCTTCAGGCGATGGAATCGGAGCCGAAGTTGCCGAATCTGTCAAGACTATTTTCAAGGCCGACAATGTTCCCATTGAATGGGAGCAGGTAGATGTTAGCGGTGTGGACACCGGTAACAAGCACTCGGAGGAGCTCTTCAAGGAATCGATTGCCTCCCTACGGCGTAACAAGTTGGGTCTTAAGGGCATTCTCTTCACCCCCGTTGAGCGCTCTGGCCACCAGTCCTTCAACGTCGCCCTCAGACAGGAGCTCGATATATTCGCGTCGATTGTTTTGATCAAAAATATCCCGGGCTATAAGACGCGTCATGAGAACGTGGATCTGTGTATTATCCGTGAGAATACCGAGGGTGAATACTCGGGTCTCGAGCATCAGTCCGTTCAGGGTGTTGTAGAGTCTCTGAAAATCATCACTCGTGCCAAATCCGAGCGCATCGCCAAGTTCGCCTTTGGCTTTGCTCTTGCTAATAACAGGAAGAAGGTTACTTGCATCCACAAAGCCAACATCATGAAGCTCGCCGACGGTCTTTTCCGCAGCACCTTCCACAAGGTCGCAGAAAACTACCCGACTCTGGAGGTCAACGATATGATCGTCGACAACGCGTCCATGCAGGCTGTCTCCCGGCCCCAGCAGTTTGATGTGATGGTCATGCCCAACCTTTACGGAGGCATTCTCTCCAACGTTGGTGCTGCCCTTGTTGGCGGCCCGGGCGTCGTCCCTGGCTGTAATATGGGACGTGACGTTGCTGTGTTCGAACCCGGTTGCCGTCATGTCGGACTTGATATTAAGGGCAAGGACCAGGCCAACCCTAGTGCTATGATTCTTTCCGGCTCCATGCTCCTCCGCCACCTTGGCTTGGATGATCATGCCAACCGAATCTCTAAGGCCGTCTATGATGTGATTGGTGAGGGGTAAGTGATTTACTCCTTATTATGCCCTAAATATGTCATTGAGGCTCTGCTGATGCGCAATTATACAGCAAAACGAGGACTCGCGACATGGGAGGACAGGCCACGACTCATGAGTTCACTAGAGCCGTTCTTGACAAGATGGAGGCTGCTCTGTAATTGTTTCCCCACTACCTTTTGTACCTGCTACAATTATGATCATGAGAGCTTGTATAGGCCACTTTACTGTACCCATTTATCCTTGTTTGTAGACCATGTTTGGCCGTTCTGAACCGTCTCTGTACTCTGGCCATGTTCCACGTGACCAAAACCAGTCGTGTCTTGCGAAAGGAACTAATGCATTAGGCAAAGATGAGCTGGGGCGTGTGGAATTGTACTCATTGTCTGGTATTGAAAGGGATGTCCATGCGGTATCATGGGTCACTGTGTGATGTTCGTACTGGTTCAAATGGTAGTAGAGAGGGAGTCACCCTTATACAATCCGCGATACCCAGCACACAGATACAGGGCTTCCCGTCATATTCCAGGCAACGGCTCGGCCAGGGAAGGGTGTAAAGGAGACAGACACCCATTGGGAAGACACTGGTCAGTATGCAACAGTAAGAAATGAGGAAACACCTTCTGAGCCGTTCTTTCGCTCTGCGGCAAAAGCTGACCCTCGAAGGAAAGGTCTTCAGTGATGAGCTCATGATTGGTGACAGCCCATGACGTGATTGATGTCTTGTGCTGTGGCAGACATTTGGTGCATCTGTTTAAGGATTTGTTGTGCAAAGTTCAACAGAAGATTTGAAATCAGAAAGCAGGGCGTCGTTTTCTGCCAGTGTACTTAGAATCCGCTTTAACAACCTTGCCCTTCCGTGCCATTTGATCCTTCTTGCGTAAAATCCAAGCCTTATCCCCTTTTCTTGATAAGACTGGTTTGCTACGTTCCATGGCCCTTTTCCGGGCGTCCAAGACATCAATGTCATCCATGCCATCCACAATACCAGTGATGTCCCCTTGCAATCCACCACCTCCAACCGTAAGAACGAGATAAAGCTTGCTATTTTTTGTGCCAGGATCATCTTCCAGGATACCTGCTCCAAATCCAGCCTTCATAGCAGCCCCGCTGATCATACTCCGCTGAGCGTCGTTTTTCGGATAAAATTGACACACTGCACGGCCTCCGCGTCGCAGACTAGCATAGAGACCCTCAAAGAAGCGACGCAAGCGACCTTCGGGACTAACGTCGCTTGTCTCCGCATTGCACAGCCACTGGATAGCACTGATACTGATAGCCGCATCGAATGTTCCAGGGCGGAATGGCACACCTTGTCCAATATCGGCAAGAAAGAGGTCGCCTTCCACACCCCGTTGAAGTGCGACATCAAGCATGCTGGGTGAGATGTCCATGCCTACCCAGGTGTGCGGACCACCTTGTTCGGAGGGAACCTGTGAAAGAATCTCGCCGGAGAGACCGGAGCCGCAACCAATATCTAGTATGAGAGATGGCGAACGAAGATCTAGAAGATCAAGAGCCCGATGTGCCATGTTGGACTGGATGTTTCGGATACGTGATGAGGTTGTGTATTTACGCGATTCATTATCATCATAGAAGAGATCTGGAGGCCTTTTGTACACAGGAATTAATTAGGTGAATGTTGTCAGTGACCCTAAACTTTCCTGATTTTCAAATGATGAGAATGACTTACAAGACATCTTCGGGGCGCGACATGTTTGCGAAAGGAGGCCTGTGTTTTGGGCGTGGGAACACGGGCAAAAGTAAAGGTAAACGGACCTTGCCTGGTGCTTGCCTGGATACTTGCTACAAGTGAGCGGCGCTATGGGTAAGATTTCGAAATCTTCCGGCGGGCGGAGGAGTCGCGGGGGCTTGGCGTCGCTGTCAGCCTGAGGCGGCAATGCTTCCTGTGGCCGATCACTGATCGGCATTGCACCTCCCACCTCCCAAACCTTCAGTCCCCTGTGATGTGCAATCGCCAGCTCCCTTATCGCCTCAGTATCTGATCATGAGGTCTGACTAACTGTGTTCATTGTCCTTACGACGCCAGAGGATACATATATCTGACGTTGTTCCCCTTTCCATCCCCACGTCGCATCCTACCATCCATCCAAAACATATCACCTAACAACGCCGGCCCTTCTTCAAAATGTGGATTCTACCTTTAATAGGATATTTGGGAGTCATTGTGGGGTTTGCGTTTCTCACGTTGGCGATAGGTACGATCTACCGCGATGGGCGATGGGGATCTGGTTCCTTGTCCACCGCAAACGATGCCGATGATTCCATCCCTTCGGAGTGCATTGAATCCCGACGGCTGACCTTTCTTCTTAGCTTCTGGCCTCTACTATCTGTCGGAACTTGTAGAGGAGCACACGGTCTTTGCGCGTCGGCTATTGTCCCGGCTGATATATAGCATCATCTTTGTTCAGGCCCTCCTCTTCTTGTTTGACCGATTTCCCTTGGGCTTGTCCATTCTCAGCATCGGCTCGCATATCGTCTATGCCAGCAATCTTCGACGGTTTCCAATTGTCAAACTATCAGACCCCCTATTCATCTTATCCTGTATTCTCGTTGGCTTGAACCATTGGCTATGGTTCCGCCACTTTTCCCGGCCATTGCCTCCATCACGCGCCGCAAGCTGGCGTCAGCCGTATCAAGTCAACGTTGAGGATATGCCGACCTTCACTGAAGTCGCTTCTTACTTTGGACTTTGTGTCTGGCTTGTCCCTTTTGCACTGTTTGTCAGCCTCAGTGCGGGCGAGAATGTTCTGCCTAGTATGGGCTCCGAGTATGCGACAGGCGAGCGCATGCCTAGCTCAGGGTTCCCTGGCAGCTCTCATTTGTCTGATGGAAAGTCCAAGAACAAGGGAATGGCAAAGGCTTTGGTCGATGGCTTTCGAGAATGGGTTAAAGAAAACGGTGAAGTGATGGGCTTTTGGAACGGTGAACGATCAAAAAGATTTTAGAGTTCTTTCTCCTTCATGAAACATCACCTTTGGCTACTGGGCTCATATATATATGTGTGTGTGTGTGTGTCATATATGGACTGGCTGTATTAATCGACGAACGTGCTTATCACAACTCCTTTGCAATATCTAGTGCTCAAACAAGCATAAATTCTATGAGTCTGTAAATTTGTAGGGGGCTTGTAGAAGAGATCTCTCCGATTTTATCTAGCTATTTAAGCCAAAGAACAAGAAAAGAAAAAGCCAAAAAGAGTTTTCAGGGTCCAAACATAGTCTAAAACGGGTTTCATAACAACAAGGCCAAAGCATAACTCATTAGAGTGGGGTATATTACTTCCTGAAGATGCGTATGGCGATATAGAAAAAAGCATTCGAAGGATCCACTAAAATCTGTGCAACCGATGTCGTATGCAGGAAGGGAGGGTCCTACTTCTTAGGCTCAGCAAAAGGATAAACAGGCTGGAAAGAGGACTGGTGAGAGAACAACCCCCCCCCGGCTCCTGCAATTGTGGTTGATAGGTATTAAGCACCCCTCGTAATCCTAACTTGGTTGTGATGAGGGAACTGGCGTCATATAATATTCATTTGAATCGTCGAACTCGGTCATAGATACGGGGCAAAATTGGAGGAGCTTGAAAGGCACAGGACGATAACAGACAAGTGTTGGCGTAAAAGTAGACAAAGGAGAAATGACGACAGGATGGCCCGCATGGAAGACAAATAGCTTATGCGGCCAATATAGTTGATTAACGTTATTGGTTTCTATGCTGGTAACATGGCCTCTCAAACAGAGCACGCATAGAGCTCATACTTTGAAGGGTCAGCGAAGGCTCCTAAGAAACACAATATAGAGGAGTAATTAGGGGGGGGGGCCCACCGTGTTCCCCTTGAAATGGGGTAGGAAAGCCCTGATGATTGACGTCCATTAAAAGTAGAGAACTTTCTCTTCTTTTCGCCTTGGCTGCACGAGAGTTGTCAATGTTTGGTGACAACATTCTGCTTGCGGAATACGAGCTTGACTGTGAATGATCATGTTCGTCCGGCCCACTGCTAGCGGAAGGCTCATGCATTGTTTGGGTCGAGACATAGCCGATGTCAATGTGCGGATTGAGCGCATCGACAGAACCAGGGTGCTCGCGGAACCCCATTCGACTATAACCCATGTTAGAGATATCGGAGATCATCTGGCGGCGGGGGTAGCCAAAATCTTCAAGGGAAGTCGAATGGTCGACGCTCAGATCAGAAAGCTCCGTGTTAACCGTTGGCAGCTCATCGAAGATACCCTCGAAGTCAGTGAGAAACATCGAGAAAACAGGAGCTGGAATGTTCAGTGTAGGGGCAAACACAATGCCAACATTTCTGATTGTCATCTTGTTAACGTCGGAATTGCTAACGATGATTATCAAGAACTGGACCAATGCTCGCAGCAAAGCCAAATTTGGCTTTGGAAGTCGGTGGACAAGAATATTGAACGCGGCAATCTTTTGCTGTTTCTCATGGAGCTCTGCACATAAATGTCTGAGTAGAGCTTCACACTAACGCTATTAGATGGATACTTACCAAGCACACGTAAAAACTCCAAGTGGAGTTCGCGGGTCAAAACAGTTGTGGGAAGCTCGCGAAGGTATTGTTTGAAGAGAGAGGCGACAGCATGGACATCATGATACTGGTCATCAGCAAGGAAATCCACATCTCCTTCAGTATTAAACCGCTCCTTTAGCGCTTTTACAACAAGATTCGACCCACTCAATCGGAAAATGCCCTCTTCGGACTCAGCTCCCTTGGCTTTGAGGTATTCTACACAACGATAAACGACAGCGGGGAGGTCCACGGTGATTCCGTGCGGAGCGCAGAATTGAACCGCGTCAGCCAAAGCCAAGCCAAAAACTGGCCTGATAAATTCTCTTCTGTCTCCGATGTTATGAAGCTGAGATGTCTGAGGATCAGAGGTGGCTTGAAGTTGAGAAGCAAGGTCGAACGATGATCTCGTGCGGAATCCCCAGATACTGCGTTTCTTTTCTTTCACGCTTGTGACCGCCTTGTTGCCCCAAGCTCCTGCATTGTGAATCACAGCCCCATTCGTAGGGCCGGATATGAGTCTATACGAAGGTTGAGCTTGGTCTTGAGTGGTGTCCGCCGCATCCAGTGAAGGCACCGAGGAGACCACGGGAGATTTGTCAGTCTGCTTATCAAACGTTGGTCCAATGACAGGTGGTTCAGCAGGTACAGCATCGTCGTAGGAGAACCCCTGAACAGCATTGGGGCCCTCCGTGTCGGCATCATCTGCCCCCTTCCAAGCCCTTCTGGCTCCATTAGAGAGCAATCTAGAGTTGGTATTGGCGTCGGCACTCTGTTTTCCTGCCGTCGCTGTTTGAGATGTTGGGGTGATAGTATCCCCATCATTTTCGGATTGGCTCTCAACATATTCCAAAAGTGCATCGACCCAAGCATCCCTCTCTTCATCACTCTCGGCACATAGGACATGGCGAACAAGGGCTGAAGAGTCTTTCCGCTTAGGTTCCAGGATGAGGAAGGCGTGGCGATATTGATTGTCGGAGTCTTCTTCAACTCGAGAGGGAGAGTTGCTCTGATGGCTTGCACTCTGCGACTGCTTGCCAATCTGGGCATTATAGATTTTTATGGTCCCAAGATGAGGGCCACCTGGAGATTCGAAATATTTAAGTTCAGATCCATGCAGGACAAAATATCGTGCCTTCCAGCCGCCGAAGTTTTTCCCTCTTTTCGTTAGATACCCTTCCTTCCTGGGTCTTCCATCTGGACCGCGTAAAACTTCGGCACCTGGTTTCTTGTCACCATTCAGTAAACTCATTTCGTCATCTCGAGGCTCAATCGCGTCAGAAGTCAGGAACTGACAGATGGCCATTGCTGCCTTGTCATCCATTGGAGTATCGAGGAGAAATTCGAAGTAGGTGTTCAATGCGGCACGTCTCGCATCTACTTTAGCCGGGGAATGACCACTGAAAATAGAACGATCGGGCAGTTTCCCCCCGAAAGTAGACAGATGCCGTATCTGCTGTTCAAGTTGAGGCAGGGCTGCGATTACCTTTTCGATGCGCCACAGCTCTACATTTTGAGATCTTGAAAAGACGCCCAATGTAAATACCGGCTCATCCTCCAGCGGCTTCGAAGCCATATAACTGTTTCTAGATGGCCGTAGTCGTGACGATGAGACCTTCACATATATGGAAGGAAGAGCATCGGGGGGCAGTAAAAGATCCGGAAATACCTCCGAGACTAGACCCTGGTATATGGTATTGTTTCTCACAGTTGGCGACCGAGGGAAATCCATCGTAACGGTCGCATCAATTGATGGAATAGGCCGAGGGGAAGCATCCACAGGTACGGAGTTATGTGTAGAACCGTTTATCGTCGTGACAGACGAAACAGGGGTAGTTGATAAGGGGGTTTGATACCTGCCAATGCGAGGCGAGAGAGCTAGCCCAGATACATTGTTTTCTGAGGGCATAGACAAGGAAGGCAAGGAACCAGCTTTTCCCCTAGGCATTCGTGGTAAAGGAGAACCAAGAGGGCGGTCTTCGGGCCTAGGGCTTACCGGCAAGCCGGGGCTCTTTGGAATAGTGATGGCAAGTCGATGACCAAATGATCCTGCTTGTCTCATGCGCGGACTGGAAGCTGAAGACTCGGGATAGGTAATTGGCGGTGTTTGCTGCAGGTCTGGGGCGGGCTGGGTATTCATGGAATCATGAGCATTGGTTCCTTGTGCGCCAGTGTCTTGCATAGTGTCTCTGTCTCGAGCTAGTGCCGCTTCGCGTTCACGATCATCGTCGTCCCTTGTCCTTCTTCGTCCACGTTCCACTGGAAATTCATTTGCGGCCAAAATATCGTCATACTCGGAGTCGGAATCGGAGACAATACGGTTCTCTATCCTTGCATGATCTGTCTGAACAAGGCTTAAAGGCGCAGGAGGGGGCTTTCGAGCCGGATGTGGTACTCTTTGCTTTTCATCACAGGACGTAGGGTTATCTGCGGTAGGGCTAGAACTTGTTGAAGTGGCAGGACTCACTGCTGCTAGTTCTTGTCGAGTATAGACCAGCGACTGGATATTTGGTGTTTTTTGGGACCGATCAGAATGATTTATGGGATTTGTTGTCGCAATTCCCTTGTTGAGTCCAGCGGACAGCTCGCCAACTCCAAGACCTTGCAAATTACCCGACCTTGAAGAATCTGGTCCCTCGCCAGTGGGTGTACGGTGCTGCGCAAATTCATGCCCCTGGGTACTCGAATGCTTGTGATTGAGAGAAACTCTTTGGGACTGCACTTGGCCTTTCTCGGAAGGCTCGTGCCTGATCGGAAGGCCTACAGTTTCGGTAATTGGTTGTTGTATTTTTGATTCGACTGGCAACGGTGGCGGCGAGTTTTGTATCTCTTTCAGTCTCTTCCTATAGCGCTCCTTTTCTTTCAAGGCACGTTCGAGATCTCGATTCAAACCCATAATGAGTGTTCTCTGTTTATCAACCAGCCTCCAAAGCTGTGAGTTCTGGGACGCTGCATGATGCTTCTCCTTAAGAAGGTGTATGATTACGGCTTCTGCCGATCCTGCTGTAGCGATCAAATTCCCGATGTCCGCCTGACTTAGCGCATTAGCATCAAATGAAGACTTGTGTGATTGCGAAGCGGATGAGAGCGAGGAAATTGCCGAGTCAATTGAGGATGTGCGAGGCATCATACGTTGCCCCGGTCGATTTCCGGGAGTTGACTGTATAGAGTTGGCTGGTGAAATAGGGGAAGACATTCTTGATTGATGAGAGTCTGCTGTGTCTGGGCCCTTTTGCGCCCGGAGGTCACTCATTTTCTCGCCCATATCATACTGGCCAAGATCATCCTGGGGGTGGCTGGGCACTACCTTTGATGCACTGGGTGCGCCTGATCAAGCGTTGAACGGCGGAGTTGGGAACGCTGCATGTGCTATGTGATTGATTGTAGAGTGGCCCTGAAAAGGAGAAGTTTGGGCGGACGATCTCGGAGAAAGCGGGCTTTGGGATGGACTACTAGAGGTGACTTGCTGCGGTAACGGGTAGTGCACGCTTGTATGTAGGGGTGATCGGGTAGGTTTGCGGGGGTGGGCAATGGTAACGGCCTCAGAATAAGATCGCGGGCCTAAATAGTCGCCAGGAATGACTTCGCTGGTCTGTGGCGGATGAATTGCCGGCAAGACCTGGTGTTTCGAAGTAGGTGGAATGAAGAGGGGTGTGGGTAGTTGGCTGGCGCTGATATCGTCGTCACCTTGCCGCCGGGTCTGCGACATGGCTCGTTTAGAGGAGTTGGAGCTCCTTCCACCACGCATGGGAGAGAGACGCGGAACCAAACAGTGGTTCGGCGCTAGAGCACGGTTCGGCTGGGGGTTTCAGTTCCAGCGGGCCAGGGGCCAACGCAACACCTTCATACTTCATACCTCAATTAGTCCTAACATTCTCAGATATATCCGATGTCTACACGGCACGACTCGATTTTTGCGCGTTGATCATGTATATCAGGCAGGATCAGAGAGGGGGGAGATGTTGGATTGGAATTAGCATTGGAGGTAACCGTCGGTTAGTGTCTCATCATGATCCATAAGACAACACCCAGATTGAGTGGGGAAGGGACCGGGGGAGGAAAAGGGGGGCGGACTATAAGCACGAAGGAACCAACTACGTATAATATAGTAGTCTATATAGTAGTTTTCTGTACGGAGTACTGTCGTTCTATCATTATCTATATATGTCTAAGCTCTCCCACTCTCTGTCGCCAGTAAGGACCATTGAGGGCGTACATAATTACATGGACAAATGGGGGAAAGGGTGGACCTATGTAAGTCATGCAATGGAAATGCATCGATGGAAACGCTTATGTCCCCGGGACGTAAAATTTTTACGGCATCATTGCCCTCCGCCAAAAAAAAAAAGAGGGGGGGGGGACTACGATTCCGTCAGCAGCAACTGCTAGAGAAATCCCGGAAAGCACGCAATGCCAGCATCGAGCCGACACAGGAGTTCTGTAGGCGTGATAAATTCAGAGTGATTGTCTCGCTCAATCAGTATGCACTTGACCAAGTAAAGAACCAGTAGCAGTGTTTCAGTTCCATTGGTTGTTTGATGAGTGAGTAGAGAGGCGCCCTATGAGACGCAGTTGCAGAAACACCCTTTCGAATGCATCCCCCCAGAAATTGATTAGCGGAACCAAGACCAGAATGCTTTTCCTCTCCAACGCCGTTATGCCTGCAAATCCTCTAATCCCAGCTTAAACTCCTTGATAAAACATGTTAGAGAATAGTGAATACTATGCGATATTACCGGCCATGCCCATGAAGATAGCTTGGGCGGCTAATTGAAGTGACCAGAAGCCGACTTTTTTGAAACGTCGCTTCCGGGCCTGTTCATCGACTACATCTCGAGCGAAAGCATCATACACCTGGCAATTGTCAACAGAGAAATCGGAGGAAAGAAAATGAAGCAAGACAGGCTTACTGCTGCGGAAAGATCATCCATTAAGCCGCTATCAAAGGTGGTCCAACTTCCGTCAAAGTCACCCACTTGTTTTACAAGGCGACAGTTTACGGGGATGAAGGTGCGCCTTGAATTGATATAGGCGACGATGGGGCGTATAAGCGCATTGTTGATGTATGAAAGATCACGGGTGAAGATGGGAACAATTGCTTTGACGTTGATCAAGTGAAGTCGTAAGTCGGTGACTAAGAATCGCCTATCCTCTTCGAAAGCGATTTCATCAGATGATGAGGCCTTGGTCAATGTTGAGTCAATGGGACGATTGGAGGAGACCGTCGCTTCCAGTCGGTCATAGAAATCCGCCATCACCTTCGCGAGGCCTTCATCATTGTCGGCCGGGAACATGATATCGGCAACGATATCGACAGTGCCCTCGTGTATCCAAGAGAAAGGACCCTGTACTCCGCGGTTTAAGTGGTCGATATTCAAGCCATCGATGCGAATTCTGCTATGTTTTTTCCATGGGCTCGGTTTGCCATCATCGTCCGCTCCATTATCAAGCTGCGCTCCAGTAAAACTATGGGTCTGTCGGGGATGTATTGTGAACAAGGAATTGTCAAAAGATCCTGACATCATGTTGGCGGACATGAAGTCATAGAGTAGCCATTGCTTCCTTAGTTGAGGTAAATCGCAGGAGAAGATGCTGACAGGGAAGGGTCTAAAGCTATTTGGCTGGTATACGGTTACCAACACATCGTTCATTTTGAACGAATCAATCTCGAAGTCGCCGGGGTTGTGTTCATGTCGATACGATTTCGGGTCAAGGTCGTCGTCTGACCAATGGACATACCGGCGGTCGACCACTCCTCGAATCCCTCGTACCTCGACATCACGGAGTAATCCTTTGCCGTTGATCCATTTCGTGAACGATAGTGTAACGTTGACTGTTTCAATCGACACATCAAATTGTGTGTAGTTGGTGTCATCTTCATTAGACGAGGGTCGCTGGTCGGTCATTTCAGGATTAGACTGACCGCCGAGGGCTGCAGCGGCAGCTACTGCAGCGGCAGTCGTCGATGATCCCTTACTGACATGTCCTGTCCCTTGCCCTGGGCGTCTCGAGACAAAAACGTTCTTGAAGGTTATGACACCGTCTCTCCACTTGGGTACAATTGCTGATTCAAACACAACCTTTACACCTGAAGATTTAGTGAAATAGTTGCCTATCCAGCCAGCTAGGGTTTCTAGAAAAATCAGCATTAGCTCAATACCATAGTCAATGGACCTCGTAGACAGCATACCTTGAGCAAACACCGTATTTATTGCAATGATTAGCAACGAGAAGAATGTTGTGGTACCCAAGACAATCCAAACCACATGCCCCAAAAGCACCCAGGAGAACAGAGCAGTTAATTCATCCAGATTGAATGGTCTAACACTTCTGATTGAGAACCACTTAAACCTGACCTTGAGCCGTGACCAAAACCCATTCGCTGCAGCCAGCAGTTCTTCTTTTGTGGGACGGTGCAAATGTGGCATATGTGACAAACGGTCAATCAGATGACGGTTCAACTGTCCTTTGTGGTTTATCTCGTGTATTTGCTGCCTTGACGCTTGGCCATCATCACGAGAATCAATGATTGGGTTCCCGGTATCTCGATGAGAGTGACAGGGTCCATTATTGGAATCCTGGCTATCTTTCCGTAGCCCAGTCCTTCCTCGGCCACCTTCATCTGTATGAAAACCACGCTTCAGTCCATGTATTCGAAGCTTGCCAAAGAGACTCATATCGTAATGATGAACTCTATGCGATATTAATTTGAGTGGAGAGATGTGATTGCCGGCCCTGGTTTCCACTATAGCCGAACAGGAACAAATCCCAGAAGCGAAGCCTCCGGAAGCAAACCATCTTGTGGTTTCTCGGGACGGCCAAGGAGTCCACCCCCCAGCTCGCCTTTGAAGGGGCCTAAAGATAAAGCATCCTTCATCAAACGAATTGGATAAAAATGACACACGGGCTATTCGCTGCCCGTGTCCAGTTAATGGATTTGTTGTTCCCCAGAAGTTGGTGTACAACCTGCGTCCGAGATTGCCAGACATAATCGCCGTCACATACTGGATAGTCTGCTAAGGCAGGCAAGGAGCATGCGTCTTCTCAGACTTTGTCCAAATCCGTCACTCGGAGGGGACACTCAGAGATACAGTTGGAAGAACAGGCGCTGGGCGATTTTTGACTCTGGTCGGGGCCTCGAATAAATTTCCATGAAATCATCCAGCCTTAACTGACTAGAGCGGGACCTGTTTGACTTGTTTGCATCCAATTTCAGCAATTTCCCACTATAACTAATCAAACTTCTTTTCCATGCAATTGAAAATCTATGATAACGAACTCCAACCATCATCAAAACGGATCATTTCTTTTTTTTTTTTGGATCAGCCCGACAGCAAAATGCCTGCACCCACAGCTCTCAAGCAATTTGCTGATACAGCAATAACCGAAGCGCCGATTCCGTATTCCTCAGGTTAGTTATAGTCGAAACCCTAAGCCTCAGTCGCCTGGCCATGCTAAGTCCACTAGAACAAGATGAAGAAATCCTGATAGATGCTCAAATAACGACAGAGCAAGCCCCGTCGGTGCTTGCTCCTATTTTTGAACCGACCCAGGATAACGACATGCACATTGACGAAGAGGGACGGCCAATTTTCACACCAGCCAAAGACACCAGCCGGGTGCATCGGATTGAAAACCGGAAAGTTCCTGTTCCGCCACATAGAATGACCCCGTTGAAGGCGAGCTGGTCGCGTATCTACCCCCCTCTTGTCGAGCATCTCAAACTGCAAGTAAGGATGAACATCAAGAATCGAGCTGTGGAACTACGTACATCACGATTCACTACCGATACCGAGGCTCTGCAGAAAGGGGAGGACTTTGTCAAGGCTTTCACTCTTGGATTTGATGTCGACGATGCCATCGCCCTTTTGCGACTAGATGATCTATACATTCGCTCTTTTGAGATTCGGGATATCAAGGCACTCAACGGAGAACACCTTGGCCGTGCAATTGGGCGCTGTGCAGGTAAAGACGGCCGAACCAAGTTTGCGATCGAGAACGCCACTCGGACAAGAATTGTTATTGCAGATCAAAAAATTCATCTGCTTGGAGCCGTAAAAAATGTTGACTGCGCCCAACAAGCTATTGTTAGCTTAATCATGGGCAGTCCACCGGTCAGTGATCCGATGTGCTTGCTATATAACGCAACACTTACTAACTCTCGCACAGGGTAAAGTGTATGGTAACCTTCGTAAGGTGGCATCGCGCATGAAGGAACGCTTTTGATTGTCCACATTCCGGAGACAAGATAGTTATTTGTTTTTCTTTCAACCGGTTAACATTACGACATGGTATCGGCGTTAGGGATTTAGGTGGTATATGATCTGAACAGAGTATAATTGCTATGACACCTTAGAAGCATGAGGTAGCACACTCCACTATAGATTGTATCCTTCCACAAGGGGCCAAATGCTCCCAGACGAAAATGACAATGAGTCGGAGTAGCAAGTTGCTTGACATGGGACTGGGATGCCTAATCCTGCTTCAAACCATAGTAAACTTCCTCTATTCCACTCTTTGTGACAACCATCATCTGCAAACCATCTCCGACTTCAATATGCCTTTCGACGGCACTAGTGAATGCATCTCGCACAAGCTGTTCAACAGTCTTTCTCGGCAGCGGCTCCGCTTTCTTGGGCTCTAGAGCATGCCCCTCGCCACTCCCAGGGATGTATTGATTCTTGAAGTTGACCTGGTTGTCCAAAAACGGCATCATTAAGCTTGCCGCAGACCCTGCTGCCCTGCATTGCTCTCTTTCGTATGAGCCTACCGGGTCGTAGGTGTACAACGCGCCTTTACCATCCTCATCCAAACCTGCCAGGATGGCATGCACGTAATAGGGGAAGAACCGTTTCTGATAAAGAATTGTTGACAACCGCTGAGCGCATGCCCTGACAGACATAGACTTTCCGTGTTGGTATTTGTACATCTTCACCACCGCGTCTAGTCGTTCCTTCAGTGCCTGGCCATCTGCTGCAAAGCCAACGACCGACAACAGTATATGGGCGCCTTCACCAGTTTCATCATCACCGCCAATCTTGAACACCTTTGGGACATAACGCGAGTTGATGTTATATCCTGCAACGGAGCGAGTATCTCCCGCAAGGATCGCGAAATCGGAGCCAGAGATGCCTAGGGTTGAACCGCCGTTGTCGGTATATCTATCGAATCGAGTCAGCACTGTCCACCCCGTTACGAAGGAAAGTGTAAGAAATGAGCATACGGGTAGAAAGAGTGCTCCCTGACTGGGGCAGATGTGGCTTTGGCAAAAGAGTATCCGATGGCCTCGCTAGGAGGTTGGCCAGTTAGAATCGTCATCCTTCAGAGGGAGCTCGATTACTAGATCAGGTGGTTATTATAGCAAAGACAGATACAAATATTCTGACTGATATTGACTGGATGATTCTGAAAGGGCGCAAGGATTGTGGGAACGTATGAGGTTGTAAACTTGTATGTAGGAGCCGTGATCTAATCGAGCTGTTACTGACCTGACGCGGTGCTGTAGCTGCCTTCTGATTATATAAGCACACCCAACCCTCGTCATGGGCTACGCAGTCTAGTGCAGTATTCTGCAAACATCATACTAAGGGTTGAAAATAGCTGTATGGCTAGGCTTTCGTAACCCCCATCGCCCCCCTGACATCGATACCTCTTTATCTTTATTGGCCCCTCTGCTTAACCTCCCTGTATCCTACTTGTGTGCCGGCATACTAAACCAGCATCCATCCCCAGACTTTGCTTTGGAGCGGAAGTGGCCTATGTAAAACTGGAGCTGAAACTGTAAACAAGTTCAGTTGGTAACTATGCTAGGTCTGGGCGCCTATGACAGCAGCGATGATGAAGCTGGGTGGGAGGTCACCCCAGGTGCACCAAAGGTAAAAGAAGCATGGCTTTTTGTTCTCGGCTTCCACTGATCTGAGGGTAGCGGGAAAGTAATGGTCCACCAGCGCAGGCCTTTCAAACGATAGAATATACAAATGATCAGTCAAGCTATCTGTCCGTCAAACAACCATCAGAGAAGATCACCGCTCCTGAACCAGACCAGCCTTTTCTCGGACCAACACATGCGAGCTCGCCAATGTTGCAACAGCTCCCAGCCAATGAACAGTTACCGGTCTTTCCAGCAAGTCGCACTTTGATCCATGACTTAACGCTTCCTCCAGTACCCAATCTCGACATTCCGCCATCGCCGCCCGGCTCCCCTGATCCCGCAGCAAATGCCAAAATTTCTCATTTTCTGTCGTTGAAGAAACAAGGCATGCATTTCAACGAGAAGCTTGCTGGGTCCGCATCGCTTAGGAATCCAAGCCTAATCAGGAAGATGATGGATCACGCGGGGATCGATGATCAAGCACAGTACTATACTTCCCTCCCGCTTCAGATACGGGGTGCTTCTGATTTGCCACGTTGGGGCTTTAAAGAAGAACTCCTAAAGGCACAGAGAGAGATTCAAGCAGAGGCTAGAAAGGTGTTAGGCCACAAAGACGCCGTCCAGTTTGTGGCAGCTACACCTGGCGAGTCTAATCTTCGAGGATCTGCCTCTGATCTAAGGGCAATACAAAAGTAGTGTCTGATAAAGTGCCAGGTGCTCCTGTATGAGATACAAGGCACAGACAATTGAATACCAGAACTCTATAGCTGAAGAGCGCACAGACTTTAGAGCAAGGGAGGCTTCCTCGAACTATGAAGGCCGTGGCAAAAATACCATCCACGGTGGGGGAGAAGTCGGGCTGCGGACTGTGGGTGAGATGCTTGACATAATGCACAATTCGTAGCGTAGACCGCACTCCAAGGGGGCTGCTGCCATCCTGCCTGGTCAAGAAGAGGATACATCGTAACGCTGCGCATGAAGGGAGGCTAGAAAACTGTACATTACATCCCAGCTAGGAGGCCAGATGTCTATGTACTTACCAATACACCAGAGATAGCGCGGAGTACACTACGGTTAATCCTCGCTTAACGCGCATATTAGCCCCGATAGGCGCGCGGCGGGTGTGATAGCATTGCTCACGTAACATGAGCTCCGTCAGCTCTACTGCCTAGTAGTAACTACCTATGTAGTACCTACAAGAACAGCGTCAGAAGCATCATCACCACGAGTTCCAACTACAAGTGCCGCTATTGAGTCTGAGTTTGAATCCAATATCCTCTTCATTACTTAATATTCTCCTTTCGTGTCATCTGTTCGTCATGAATCACTTTCCTGAAGCTTGGGGTCGTGTAAGGGCATCATCGCAAACACATGTCTCGTTGTATTGCTAACAGGTCGCTGGAAAGCCCAGAGATGACATCTATGGACCCTACAACCCATCATATCTCCAGACCACTGGACCGAAAACCCATACCCAGTCACCTGCTGTGACTGGAACGTCGGTAGTAGCCGTCAAATTCAACGGTGGTGTTGCGATTGCTGCCGATAATCTAGGTATTACCCCAACCCTGGATCAAAGACTACTCTAGTATAGCATCTTAACGCCGTTCGATCCCATCTCTAGCTTCCTACGGGTCTCTTGCTCGGTTCACTGATGTGAAAAGACTTCGCAAATTTGGCGAATCTGCGGTCATCGGATTCAGCGGGGATGTCTCCGACATGCAACACATTGACCGTCTGTTGGAATCCATCGATATCAGAGAGAACTACTCCACTCATGGAAACACCATGAACGCCAAAAACCTCCACACTTATTTGTCCAAAGTTCTTTACAAGCGTCGTTCCGAATTTAACCCACTCTGGAATCACATCCTGGTGGCCGGGTTCGATGAAAATAAAAAGCCATTCCTCAGCTCCGCAGATCTTCTCGGAACCACGTTCTCAGCGCCGCATCTGGCAACTGGGTTCGGGGCTCATCTTGCCGTCCCAATCCTTCGTCGACTATTCCCAGATGAGGAGTCCATCGAGACGGCCAGCAAGGAACAGGCTGTTGCGGCACTAAGGGAGTGTCTTAAGGTTCTCTGGTATCGGGATGCAAGGAGTCTGGATAAGTACTCGATAGCAGTGATTTCTGAAGCAGGAATTGAAATCGAGGAGGACCAGCAGATTGAAGCCCAGAGCTGGGCGTTCGCCGAAGCAATCAAGGGATATGGAGCTCAGGTCAACTAATCAAGTTTTGGCTTTAACATCTTGCCTGTGATACTTGACTAATAGAACGACCCTACCAAATTCATGTTCTGGCAAAGCCGGTTGCCCCTTTATTTCGTATACTTTTATTGTAGCCAGTGAGACAGGACACTCTGAGTTATTATAGAAAGGCCACAGCGGGCCGTTAAATAGGCGGTTTGCTTCAACACGAGTAAGTTCAAGGATACAGGGCCTGTGAAAATATCATTTCACAGCTTAGACGAGAGCTTGTCAAACACGATGCGATTCAGACATGAGCCAACGCCTTCTAATGAAACTTCAACCAGATCACCGTCATTCAGCCATAGTGGAGGTTTCCGACCCATACCAACGCCCTGGGGCCTAGATGTATAGTGAGCTTATATAACAGAGTGTTATAGAGCAAATCAAAGAGAGGGGGCGACTTACGTTCCAGTGAAAATCAGGTCTCCCGGCAAAAGAGTGGCTCCTTGGGACAAGAAGGATACTATCTCCGCTACGTTAAAGATCATATCTTTGGTGGAGGAAGACTGAACCGTCTGGCCGTTTAATTTTGTTGAGATCTGCAAGCTGTTCGGATCAGAGATCAGCTTGGAAGATACGATACCTGGTCCAAATGGCGCCCATCCATCGAAGCCTTTACCCAACCCCCATTGGCCTCCTCCCAGCTTCAGCTGCCATTCACGATGGGAGACATCATTTCCTACGGCATAACCGAGGACGTAGTCCAAAGCCCCGCTCTCGGGCACATCCTTGGCTTCCTTGCCAATCACGACTACCAATTCGCATTCATAGTCTAGACCTTCGGTTCGCTGAGCCATGGCAGAAACCGGGATATCATCGCATGGCCCCGTGACAGAGGTTGCGGGCTTGTGAAATAGGATGGGATACTTTGGTGAGGGAAGGTTGGACTCTTTCGCATGTTGTTCGTAGTTCAGTCCCAGGCATCGCACGGTTCCAATGTCATCTCTCGCCAACGGCGCCAGGAGCATCTCCACCTCAGCGATCCGGTGTGTAACTTGATGCGAACCGAATATATCTCCCTCGATGACCCGTGCTCGGGTGACATGGGCAATATCGTTGACTCCCGCAGACAGGATAGCATCTCCGTAGTAGGTGCAACCGTCTTTAGCCAAGAAGCGAATGAGTCGCTGCATGAGAATTAACAAAGTAACCCCCGAGCTGTAACGGGGAGGCAGCCCGGGATGAATAACTCACCGAGAAGGTAGTCATCCTAGTAGTACGTTGAGTCTATATATGTGAAGTAGGCTGACTTGAGTGACTTGCACGTGTGTTGTTTTAGCGATGGGAGAACTGGCTATAGAGGAGGGCCTGCCTATAGACACTATAGATAGTAGATACTCAGTAGCTTGGGTAACCTACTATGTAAATTGTCAGTATGCTGGTCATAGTACTCCGGACTCCGGGGCGCCTCGGCTCCAGCCCTGTTCTCGGCCGAGGAAGCTTAGGCGGCGGGCGGTTTGTCATCGACGGCGCTTCCTAACCTCCCCGGTCCAGTAAAGCAAGATTAATAGCACCAGCCAGATCTCCCCTCAATGGCTAGGTTATCAGGCCTCCAGCGAGAGGTTTTGTCTCTCTACCGGAAGTGCCTAAGAGAGACTCGGAAGAAACCCCTCGTAAGCCCCTCTTAGGCCGCGGTTGAATGCTATCCTAGGGCCCCTTGCTAATTCGATCCGCCTTTTGCTTGTTGTGCGCTCTGCCAGGAGACGAGAAATAATTTCATAGCATATACCAGGTGCGGCTCCTAGGCGACGTGGACGATGCCTTGCAAACTATGGCGCACTCGATAGTTACTTTGGACCATGATCTAAGAGCTTCAGGCTAACTTCGACAAGGGCGGAATTCCGAAAGTATGCTACCGTCAGCAAGAAGGACTTCAACGCGATAGAATATCTCCTGCGAAAAGGGCAGAGGCAGTTCGAGATCTATTCCTCCCCGGGTATTCGCAATATCCGATGATTGCCATTTCCTGGGCCTTTAAAAGGGATCCCAAAGTCTAGGCTCTAATCAACCCGCCCCCGGTTTGCAACCAGGTCGATGGGTCGATGGGTCGGTACTCAGAGGGAAATGCCGCATCCAGTGCTCAAATCCCTTACAGCCATTCTCCCTTGGCTCCGCCCTGAAGTTCTGGGACCTTTGAAAGGTTCGCGCCGGTCCAGTGGTTTATATTATCAGCCTCGACGTCCCAGAGCCATCTCCGGTCACCAGTCCTGCCAAGCGGCTTTCGTTTTCCTCGGACGGCTTCTGAGTGATATGCGATCTGGACAGTGACATTTGCTAGAACCGAGCTTCTTCAATAGATATAATGGTGTCCTGTAACAAATCTCTGCTTATCTTGCCCCGGATTCCGCATCCTTGAATGCAAGACCAATAGCTGCTACCTATCGGATATATTACACGGAACGAGACCAAGGTTTTCTCGGGATTTTCTAAACATACTTCCTCAATAAGTAGGTCTTCCTCTGCAATTGCTGGTGATTACACCCCTCTGTTCCAAATCCCGGATGGCCAAGATATTCATCGTTCCAGCCACCCCAGAGCAGCAAGATCATACCTGTCCACTCTCCCGTGTCTAGACTTGATGTTCATGAAGGAACAATGCGTACCGCTTTGACGGTGGTTATCGGTTGTTAGTCTGAGCAGTCTTGAGATCGAATTCGCCGGTCTTTATAAGTACTCTGGCCATCAAAGGTTGCCTGGAGGCCCAGAACGTGCAGACCTAGACGACAAGTCAGACCTCACCAACGAAGCTGCACCGAGCAACAGTAAAAGACGGGGATGAACTATACGGGGACACACTTGGTAGCTAGTTCCTGGGACAGTCTCACTGCGCGTTGGGCACACCAAATAATCAGCCCAAGACGACCTGCTAGCCCGGAGACTTAGGTAGAACGCTCGCGCTCAGTTGGCGAATTCCACCTTTCATTCATTCATTCATGCATCCATTAGGCTGTCGCCAAGGTCCATCGAAGAAATGGCATGTTGTCGGTGTTGACTCCAGAGGAGGTTGCTGCCAGATCCAGGGAAGACCGCACCAAGCAGGGCGACGAGTAGCCGGCCTGACTTGAGGTCTCATTTGACTCCACTCGTGATCATAGTATCTAGTCTATCTGCTGCTCCAGCGTTTGATATCTACCTAAGCACCTACGGAGTACTTAGTTACCGGTAGATGTGTGGGCCTTTCCCTGCAAGCGCTGCGACTTTTCTGTGCTTGCGTGATTTGCTATCGATAGTGTTATGCATAACTTCTGCATTGTGTAGGCACGTCACAATAGTAAATGCTTATGCGATGGTTGCAACCTAGGTAGGTAGGTATGACCCGATACTTCCATCACGAACTCGAGTTCCTTGTGATGTATCTAGTACTAGCTATAGATGCATCGAGATAGTGGCGCTTAGATACTGTCCGCCATTTTGGAGATCTAAGCTCCATACTGTAAGTATCCCTTGCCTCCACATACACATGTACATACCTACAGTAACTTCAATATTATGCATGCATGATGGATGCACTGTCATCACTCTTGAGGGATCGTTGCGTCTGTGGGTCTGCGGCTCATGTAAGAGCCACGATTCACTCGTAGTGGCTAGACTGTCATCTGTTTTACGTATACTAGGCAGGGGCACTCCGCGGTCACCAACGACTTCCATTGCAGCATCTACCAGATGTAGGTGTAGGTATACCGTTCTTTCCCTGCTCGGGAGGCTGTGTCGATGAGGTGCACGTCGTCGAGAGTTCTGTACGGCTTGCCATCCAAGCAATGCATTGATGATGACCAGTCTACGCCACCGCTAAGTTGTATCTCCTATGTTGTCCCGTGGGTTACTAACTAGTAGTTGCATTCCACATACTTTCACTGGGTGCCGATGAGCTGTCTCTGCGGTATGCACGATATCGCGGCCCTTCGAATACCAAGCAATCGTAGCCTTCCCCTTCGTGGCTTCCCGGATATGTACACGTGGAAGGAACAAGAGATCAAATCAGGGAACGCAGTGTGGGAATGTTAAACAAATCCCCAACATAGGACAAAACTCCTTGTCGCCTCCGCGCGATAAAACGCGGTATGGTGCTTAGAAAGACGGAATACAGGCGACCAACCAAGCTATCAGAAGGGTATTTGTAGAAAAAGAACCGAACAGTAAACCAAAAAAAAAAAAAGAAAGAAAAAAGAAACCGAAACAACCCGCCCTAACTTGAAAGTGGTATCGCAACAGAATGACATATTCAACGAGAAACTGCAAGAAAATGAGACATGACAAAAATTACAGCGTTTCAGTGAAAGACGAATGGTGAAGCTGCCATATAGAGATTTGAACGTTTGGCATATTTCGCCAGACTCTTTTGTTGGTACTCGATGCTCCGACTTCTGGCTCTCCCCCGTGGTGGTTCCAGCCTAGGACTCGCAATACTTCCTGGGTCCACGTTCACTACTCCTTCGGCGATTGACATGCGAAGAGCATCAAACTTTGACCTGGAAAGGCAAGCAGTCTTACCTGCGCTGCCGCGGCCTTGTATTTCAGGTTCACTTTCTGTTCCAGTCGGATATTTTCCCGCGTGGCTATCCTCGGGTGAAGAGTAGGTTGTTCTTTTTGAGCATCGAGGGTCTCCTTCAGGAAATCCTTGGACAGACACAACGGACAATTCGGGCAGAGCAGATTCGAGTCTTCGCAGGCGATGGCAATATTGGGAGAAGGACATAACGTAGCTAGATTCAGGGGCAGCCGTGAACGATGCGCTTCTCACGCGCCCTTTCACGGGAATTTGTTGCGCCTCATGACACATTGAAGATGTGTTGATCGGCCAACCACAAAAGTTAGCATTTGACCCTTCCCCCGGACCTTGAAGGCTTAGATGGCGACGTATAGGGAGCTGATTGTACAATCCCGGGTAGTTTGAGGCAGGTTGGATCTCTGGGTTTCCTAAGCTACCGCTGAGTGTAAACCTGCGAGAATCCGTGGACTTTCTGGCATGAGCGTCCTGTAAGGAACGATCAGAAGCTGCGGAACTGTAACCGCTGTCTACCTTCCTGTGTGAATGTTGAAGTCTCTCGTGGTTATGATGACGAGAATCGCATTCCAAAAGGGGAACAACCGTTCTTTCGGCTGCAGGGACAGATATCCCCTCATCATCTGTTTCGTCTGTCCTTAGTCTATAAGGTGTTGTAATCGTCGGTGATATATCGAAGGAAAATGGACTTGCAGGGTATTCACGCTGTTTCTCAGACCCAAACGCAGTTGGAATTTTCAGCATAGACGTAGGGGGCCTAATCCTATGCATGCCGGTCAAATATGCCTGGTTGGTCGATGTGCTGTCATCAGAGATCTTCAGTTCGTCACGCAAGCTGTCCGCGGTACCCTCCACACTCTGGGAACTACCGAGGGTACTCTTGTAGGAATATTGTGGCTCATAAATTTCGGAGGGCTCATTCGCTGTGAGTTGCTGCGTATAGGGCTGATCTTCTTCATTGTGGTGCCTGAGACCCAGATGTTCTGTGGAAGCTTCTTTTGTTTCACGGGTTGGGGTACTTGAAGGATTCAATCGGGTCCTATCGCTAGGACACGGCGACGCAGAACCATTCACCACACGTAAAGACCCCAATTTGAGAGCCCCCAAATGGGTGTATTCGAAGTCACTCGGCGTGGGTGGACGCATCTGGGTCAGTGGGGCGGAGGATCCGGGACCAGTATCTTTGCCACCAGGCAACAATAGTTGCGGCGATGCGCATTGCTCATTTGGGTAGTTGGGGGTTCTAATTTCCTGACCGATTGGTGGTGAAGACAGTCTTCGAGCGGCATCCCTAGTTGACCTTCTTGTTGCGACCCCAGGTCGTGTTAACAAGGAACGCCGGCGGATGAGGGAAAATCCTTGGCTGTCAACCATGAAAAGCGTATTAGATGATGTCGCCTCTTCAATCGTACTATGATGAACAGCAGTTTGCGATCTATGGGCTGGAGAGTGGACAGAATATGATCTTTTCGGTTGGTGAACCGCTGGAGGCTGCGGGCGATTCCAGAGAGCTGCTGGCTGGAAAGTGTCTTGCTCGGAGGGTTGGAGAGAAGCCCGTCTGCTTAATGGAGTCGATGTCGCCGTAGAAGTAGTGGGTGAATAGAGACTAGAGTCATCCGACTCTCTCACCATGGACTGGCATTTTCGGGCCCTGTTGACAACTGGCCATGGTGCTCCGGGCTGATAGGAGACAGAAGGAAGAGACTGCGACCTTCGTCCAGCCACTTCTGGCTCCGGGGAACTGACTGGAATGGCAGTCCCAGTCCAGGGGTTTTGCCATGCACCAGCTGGGGAACACGCGAAAGAGTTGGAGCCCGAAGCTTGATGGGGCGTGTGGGAGCTGGCCGACGGTATTGTAGCTTTATTTGGGGGTGGTTTTGACAGCCGATTTGAGCGGCGGCGCTTTTCTTTGCTTTGTATGGAAAGAAAGCCTCCCATGACGCTCCCATGAACAGGCCGGGTTGAGGTCTATGAACAACCCAATATCCGTTGGCCTAACAATGGCACAAGCACGACATGGACAGCCGGCAGCGTCGGACGATTCCAACAATGGCAAAGAGCCGGTAGTAGAGGGCTCACCTCTCCCTCCTAGGAATTAATGCAGCCGTGCCGTAACAGTGATCAATGCGATGGACAGAATACAGACACCGACCACTCTGGAAGCGCCAGGCTCCTGCGAAGCAAACAGGAAATAACAGTGTCCTTGTCCCTATGTAGCGATTTCTCCTCAAATTGACCTCTAATTGACCTCAAGTTGACCCAGAGACCTCTCGGACCCGCCGAAAAAAAGGAGAAGGGGAACCCGAAAGACTTGGTTTCGAACTTTCACCGAAGCGCCAAATACTGATACTCGACTCGGCGAACCGCGGGGAAGGGGGATCCGGAGGATCCCTCCTGGAAGTTAAAAGTAAGAGCAAGGATATAAAGAAGTCAGACAAGAAAACAAGACACGAGGCCAACAGAGTCCGGTACTGCGGAAGGCTTCTTCTTGTCTCCCCCGAAACACTGAAGAGAAGGACAAGCTATTGACAGAGCCGATTGTTTATTGAGGTGCCAGCAAGAGGGGTGGAAAGGGCCAGGGATTGGGAGGACGTTATGCAGCGCCCAAAAAGAAGGTACAAGAAAGGAAATAACAAGAACAAGATAACAATAATAACTGGTGATTTCACTGGAAGCACGGAGGGGTGGATTCTGGGATGATCGGAGGACTAGAAGATCATGAATCGCACGGCACCTGGGGTAAAGTAAGGGAGATAGCTAGATACATGAGTGAAGTGGAGTTGGACTGGGCTGCCATGGTTCAGGATGCACGAAAGACACAACAATGACGAATGCGTTATCCACGGGCAACTGTAGCTCTCACGGGCAGCGGAACTGGCGAGCCAAACGATGGATCGCCAGGTTGCAGTCGGTCGGTCGGGATGGGAACCAGCTTATGACAGGATTTCATTATGAACAGCAACAGCTCAACCCGCCAGTCAGTCAGTCAGGCAGGCAGGTAGTAGCTGTAGTAGGGGAAGATAGCTCCTGAGTACGGAGTATCAGACCCAGCGACCACGCCATTCACACTTCCTGAAAGCGGACAAGTATCTACTCCGTATCTACTCCGTACTAGTGGTTAGTAGCATGCAAAAGGAGTGTTGCAGCCGAGGCGATGCAGCCAGAAGCGCCCAAGAAAGAAGAGAAACGTAAGCGGGTAACTATCGGACATGCCGCTACTCTGTAGTTCAAACCCATTTGGATCGTCAGGACCATCGGCTGAGTTTAGCTCCAGCCGTGGATCCTCTCCAGGGGGAGAAAGCTTGACGGCGATGGGGTCATGATTGGTGCTGGGAGGCCACAACTAGAGCTAAAGAACTAGTCCCTTCTTCCGTACCTCGGTCAGTGATAGTATCTAGACTAGATACTCCCTAGCAAGGATGAGATTACGGAGTACTACTAGTATTATTATGATGAGCGACGGAGTAGTACCGATGTCGATAGATGAATAATAAATTATGAGTGGTACGGAGTACAAATTTACTTGGTACTGCTAGTCAGATACCCACCGGTATACTTACATACTCCATACTTTTCTCAAATTTCATCATATCCGGGTTCGGGTTCGGGTTGGGGACAGGATTTTATCTGGAATCCGACTGGAGTCCGGGGTACTCTGTCTACTACGAGATACTACCCAAGTACCTTCCTAACATACCGTAGATACCTACCTAGCTAGGTACCTAGATAGATTTATATGATATTAAGTACCAGTACGGAGTACTACTAAGGTACCCTAGGTAGTAGGTACTAACTACTACTATCTATGTACTCTGTAGATCAGGTTGCAACTGCCGAACCTCCAATAGCATTTCCCCTCCCACTAACGCCTACGGTACGGTGTAATTCTTCTGCCAATGTTGCTTATGTATGAAGGTAGATACAGTATGTACTCAAAATGCAAAGGTAGCGAGGTAAGTACAAGTACGGAGAAGTACTACTAGTAAGGTACTTAGGTAGGTACTACCTTACCTTTCCTATCTTCTACTATTTTATGTGGTCCTCGTATTGACAATACCTCCCCAGTACCTACCCACAGACAGAGTACTACTACTCCGTAAATACACTTCATCCGTCAGAGATGTTTCAAATTCTAGGTACCTCTCATCAGATATGTACCTACTATCTAGATACATAGCTTCGAACTAACTACAGAGTATGGTACCTTGGCTCCTCTCAGGTTTTACCGGCCCAGACACACAGCCAAGAGTCTGGAGGGACATCTCCGATTCAAGTCCCAACAAACCTTTCTCCCATACTGCTATTGATGTATCCGGTTTCGGCCCCCCTCCCATGCCCGTGCCCAGCTAGTACTTCTTACCACCTCCTACTAATCCGTACTTAGATAATACATATCACTTCCACGCCGCCACTACTACTACGCCACTAGCAGCTACTGCGACTCTGCAAGCAGCCTTGTCTGTTACCCGCGAACGGCTTGGGTTAGTCAGTTCACATACGCTACGAACACAGATCGGTGTGCTTCTGGATAGAAAACGGCATAGGGTTTCCGCAACGCAAAGGCTTCTGCAGCCTTGTGTGTCGGTCAGCGGTCGGATTACACCGCGTCTTTACCTGTCGCATGGCGTCCTCTCCTTCAAACCAACAAACCCTATCGGGTTTCCCTTTGCTCACTGCTGAGGAATTTGATGCCGCTTGCTGCGCCTTTTTGGATCGAGTTCACGTGGTAGGTGATGCTGCGGTGGGATGGTCATCGATCCAAGTCCATCAACGAGTTAGTAGTTGCCTTTCGCTTGCCGTTCGATCTTTCTTTCCGCTGTTACCCTGCGATCGCCTCCCCTCTTAGTCGCAAAGCCATGAGAATGAGAATCCCAGGCTTTTATGAAATATTATTGGTTGCGGGGCCTGCTCTCTCTTCCCGGTTCCAGCTAATCCGTTAGGCAACGGGCTCAATTCTGCGCATATCGCGATATATTGGCCTTGATAGCTCCTCCCATCCTGATGGGCCGTGGCAAGGCTCTAGGATGGATCAAGAATCGCAATGGGAGGCCCTGGAGGATGACCCTGTCCGTGAAACAACTTATGTCATCGTACACGGGTCTTAGGTCTTGTCTAACATCTGATAGGAAGCTCTTATCCGTACGCCTGTGCCGGTTGCCTGTTTACAGGTGCTCTATGATGTTCTTCTTTCCCCCACGTACCAAGTCCCCGTTTTGTATTTCCAGTTACGAGAGGATAACCAGCCGGCGCCGCTGGAAATTGACACGGTTTACCAATACCTAGTACCGGACCAGTACAAGAAAGAACTTCGGAATGTTGGTATCATGGGTGGTATTAGTTTCGGTGTACGTGCAAGTGTTCACGACCCTAGTCCAAGCTAGAGCTCATGCTACGTAGTATCATCCAGACTCCGGAACACCGGCGTTTTTCGTTCATCCATGCCAAACGACGGATGCGATGAGGCGTATCGCTGAGCAGCAATGCGTCACTCCTGAGGCTTACCTCATAATCTGGCTAGGACTCGTGGGTAATCGTCTCGGCCTTCAGCTGCCAAAGGAACTCTTCACTACAGAGAGTATGCCGAAGTTCCAAGGCGCGATGTGACTATGTTTGAAAACAAACATGCAGCCTTTTTTCCATGGGACCCTTCTCGGCCTGGCTGGCATATGCCCATCATCGAAAAGAAGCGACTTAGTCTTCATCTGACGAGGCATCCATCGGTACATCACTATCCTCATCCATTGGTGCTTCCTCCTCATCGCTCTCTTCCTCACGCGGTCTTTTGACACCATGAGCTCCTGGGGCTTCTCCATTAACCTCACCAAATGGCTTCGATGGCAATGCCACGGATCCTGGCGGGCCACTAAATATCGACTTTTGAAGGTCTGTAGACGCCCCCACTGTTTGTGCACTGGCAGTTGGTATTTGATAGGTTCCGCGGAGCCGGGAGATAACGTCAGATGCGCCTTTAGCATAAACAATTTTCTATATTTTGTTAATGAGCCAAGAGCAACCCCAAACCACAATGCATCGAGCATACCATCTGTTTACCAAAGAATTCCGCTCCCTGTAGAGACCGCATAGCTTGCGTACTGGCTTGCACATCTTTAAAGACTATGTGCGCTTGACCGCGCATTTTTTCAGTTTTTAAAGCGACGACGTCTAGAACAGTGCCGTAGGTCGAAAAGAGCATGTAGAGCGAGAGTCGTAGGTCATGTTTCCGCAATTTGTCGGGTAGGTTGGTACAGTACAAACTAGAGACCCGTTAATGGAGTCACTCGGGGAAAGCAGGTAGGATATGGGCCCGACCTTTGGTTTGGCAGACCCGTAGACGCGGGTTTACCTTGGCCACCACGCGCTGGCACTACCCTGGTAGTCATCACTGCAGATTCGAGGTTGAAAGGGCCAGAGGGGATAATGGCACAGTGCCGGCGGGGCAGAATTCACAGTTCACAGTAAAAGACAAAGAAGGTACGCCCCTGCCCGAGAAAGAAAAGCAATTGGAGTGGAACCTGAAGTCTGCACGGCTTGCTAGCACGTACTACTACTTCTGAAGTTGAACCTGAGCACAAGTCATGTGATATTGGTATTATCTAATCGTGGCTGGGCCCGCGTCATCTTCCCGCCCGCTTCCCCTGTTCCCCTCATCTGGCGGATCATCGTCACCCCCAAGTCTCATTGTATCTTCTTGTCTACTAGTTACCATTATAATTACATCCACATCACGGCAGTAGAGAGCTCCTCCTGTCCCCCTACTCATCATGGCCTCTCCTGAAGCTCATCATCTTTTCCACAACCCAATTGCCGATCACTCTTTCTCGTCTGATAAGACGACCCTTGCAGTTGCGCGTGATAACAACGTGGAGCTATACCAGAGATCAGGCAGCAAGTTCTCATTGACGGACGAGCTTAAAGGCCACGAGAAGACGGTGACTGGCGTGGATATTGCGCCTGATAGTGGCCGCATTGTAACTTGCTCGCAGGGTAAGTGTTTACTTCTCATCCTACAGGATCTTAACTAAGTCGACTTGGATGTAGACCGCAATGCCTATGTTTGGGAGCAAACTCCATCGGGTTGGAAACCGACATTAGTTCTCCTTCGGATCAACAGGGCGGCTACTTTTGTTCGATGGTCACCATCTGAGCAGAAGTTCGCTGTCGGATCCGGAGCCCGCGTGATTGCAGTATGCTACTTTGAGGAAGAGAATGACTGGTGGATCTCGAAGCATCTGAAGAAGCCCATTCGGAGTACTATTACTACTCTTGCTTGGCATCCCAATTCGGTCCTCCTAGCTGCAGGCTCAACGGATTCACATGCCCGAGTCTTTTCTAGTTTCATCAAGGGAGTCGATACCCGCCCGGAGCCGAGTGCCTGGGGAGAGCGTCTACCTTTCAACACGATCTGCGGCGAATATCTGAACGATTCGGCGGGATGGGTTCACGGAGTGTCTTTCTCTCCAAGTGGAAATGCACTTGCCTTTACCGGCCATGATAGCAGTGTCACCGTCGTATACCCGAGTGCACCGGAACAGCCCCCCCGGGCAATGTTGAACATCACCACTCGTCTTCTACCATTTAACAGTTTGATTTGGAATGGCGAAAATGAGATCATCGCTGCAGGACACGTTAGTTTACCCTGTTTGCTCTGTTTGGAATCCTTGTTAAATGGCACTGGGCTAACAACCATGGGCATAGGATTGCGAGCCATACCGCCTGCATGGGGACGAAAGTGGATGGCAGTTGACGGGGACTATTGAGGATAAGGCAGGACCAGGTGCTGGGAATGCTCGTGAAGAATCTGCCCTTCACATGTTCCGCCAAATGGACCTTAAAGGACAGACCCAAGCCGACACTCAGCTCCAGACAACCCACCAAAATACCATCAGTACTGTGAGGGTGTTTGAAAGTACGGACGGTACTGTGCGCAAGTTTAGTAGTAAGATCCATTCTCTCCCCTCATGATCCAACAGTTGTGCTAATCTCAAATTAACAGCAAGCGGAGTGGACGGCCGTGTGGTTATCTGGAGCTTCTAAGCAAATCGCATCTTACTACTGGTAGCGCCTGATCTACTTGTGGAGGGTCCTGTTCAGAGCGCATCTTGATACGGGTTGGGGTCCTGCATGTCGATGCAGGCGAGGAGGGCGCCAGTGCGTTAAGGAGTGCCGGATGCTAGATTGGGATATCTTGGGAAATGTGTGCACTATCAATACTTAGCTCACAATATAAATAAGTTTCGCCATGCCCTTACCGGATGGGTGATGTAATGATGTTATGTAATACACGCCTATCACGGGGTCAGCTTCCCCGGATTTCGCGACGTCACGGGTTGCTCTTGACTCCCGACTCTCCTATTTGCTCTACTGCAGCAGATTGTGAGGACGACAATGAAGAGCGAAGCGCCATGGTTTTTGGACATCGAATACTTTTCCGGTTTCTTGCACTCCTAGCCCTCTACACATCCGTCCCGGCGGCTTCTTGCGCACTTGTTCCCCTTGCAGCAAACGGAATATCTCCCAGTCAGGCCCTACGTCCAGTTTCCCAGGAGCTTTTCAGGTCTCTAGAGGAGCTGGCACGTGTGGTTGACGTTTCTTACTGCGTTGGTAGCACCGGGCTCCAGAAGCCCTTCGAATGTCTGAGTCACTGCAGTGATCTAGGGGCCTTCGAACTGCTCACCGTAAGTCAGCCAGACATATCCTATGGACCACCCTGTCATTTCTGCTGATATATTTACTAGACATGGAATACCGGACCGTTTCTTTCGGACTCTTGCGGCTACATAGCACTCTCTCACTCGCCGTCACTTGACCGCATTATCGTTGCTTTCCGTGGCACCTATTCCATCACGAACACTATCATTGATCTTTCGGCCTATCCACAGAGCTATGTGCCATACCAACCACGCGATGAGGGAAACGGGGATGCGATACCACAATGTCTGAATTGTACCGTTCATGCAGGGTTCATGGCCTCGTGGCAGAACACACGTTCGATTGTACTCGACCAAGTCTCCGTCGCGAGGGAGCAACACCCCAATCACAAATTGGTACTGGTCGGCCACTCACTCGGCGGGGCAGTTGCTGCACTGGCTGGGGTGGAGATGCAACTGCGAGGCTGGGAGCCAACAGTGACTACGTTTGGGCAACCGAAGGTTGGAAACAGAGGCTTTGCTGACTTTCTTGGCAAAATATTTGGAATGAGCGGCCCGGCGAGGTCCCTATCTGCGGAAGAATGGAGCTTTCGCAGGGTTACACACATCCATGATCCTGTACCCCTTCTGCCGCTGGAGGACTGGGGGTATGAGATGCATGTGGGGGAAATCTTCATTTCTAAGGAGGAACTTCCACCATCCATTCACGAAGTTCATCTGTGCGAGGGCGCTACCGACCCACGCTGCATATCTGGTCTGGAAGGGGCAGAGAACTTGGCGCTTAATCCGCATGAGGCGGCCGCTCTGGCCACGGACTCGGACGCACATGCTGACTGGGCTCGTGCTCATTCGACGGAACTAGAAGTTCTGTCCAATGACCATGGATCTCAGTTGCCTCTAGTCTCGCAGAGGGCTGGTGCTGGTGCTGGTGCTGGTGCTGGTGCTGGTGCCGGTGCCGAATCCCAGGCACTACGCAATCTTCCTTGGGATCTCATCTCATCCGGATATCGACTCTGGCAGCTCTTTTTCTCCCATCGAGATTACTTTTGGCGCCTTGGGCTTTGTGTTCCCGGCGGAGATCCCACGGGCAAGGGCTGGTAGCCTCTCCATGACGCAGGATGCTTTTTACACATTAAAAGATCAACATGAGTCCATAGCTGCTTATGTAGGGATAAGGGCAGCGAAGACTCGATTTGACCACCCTTCCTTTCACCCACCCACCTTCAAGTCGATCCTGCACCATGCATTATGTACTGTACATATATTGTATCCAGCCCGGTGGAATTTTAATTACCGCGGTAAAATAAAATCACTCCAATCTTCTATAATTCATTATATAGTGGAGTGGGTCTGGGAGGCTTTTAACTTGAAGAATAACGCAAGGGCTTCTGCATTACAGTCTGCAGATTGGTGGGGTCGAATAGGAAATCATGAACGTATAGGCGAGCTAGATCGAAGGCTGGCCGCAAACCCAAACACCTCATACATATAATAGGATTACAGACATGGAAGAGAAGGAAATCCCTCGCTAGTACAACGATATCGTGGGTAGAGGTTACACTGTGAGCTATACATATTACGTCGTATCTTGACTGGGGGTCAACGTCAACACAGGGAGGGGGCTATCAGAAGTACATGTCATCGGCTCAAGTTAGACGCTCGATCAAGCGCCTACCCCCGGTGTGGTTAGATAAGAGGGCGGCTTGTTCAGAAAGGTCAGAGGGGGTCTGCTACAGGTGGATATAACTTTGAAGATGTATACTGTGGTCCAAGTGTCATTTTTGCAGAATGACCATGCCACACGAGATATACCAATAAGCATTGGATATGTTGATGCGCTAAGTATGAGATAGATTGAACGAATGAAGCAAGTCCGTATACTCGTAAAAGAGAGAGAGAGAACACGAAGAAGAATGCCAAAAGGCGTGATAGGTGGGGGAAGGGATCGGTGAAATGTATCACATCAGAACTCCAAATCTGCCAAAGCCTCGGCCCGAATCATCTGCCACTTACTTCCCCGGCTCCAGGCTGGGAACAATCACGGGCCCATACTTTACAACCGTACCAAATGTCCCATCTCCCTGTACCATGAAGTCCACAGCAAGATTCAGCTTTCCACTCCCTTGATTTGTAGAGGTGTACCCATACATCGTGTTAACAACTTCCGGGTCGTAGGCAACAATGGCAACATAGTTACGACGGCCCATGAGCTTCCGATGCTCACGAGGTTGTCCCGTGACGTCGGATTGAAAGATCTCTAGCATATCTTCCTTAGTATCAGTTGGTTGTGAAGGCGTCGAGCGATGGCCATTAGCAGGGACATAGAGAGGCTTGTTGCTGCTGTGGAGAAGTTTGATGACATATGAAGGCGGGGGGTTGTTCACAACCGGCGAAGAAATAAGCTGATACATTGTCTTGTGGTTTGATGGAAAAGATGGATCGTGTACCAGTCCAGCACCGCAGGCATTGACAGCACCGGAGAGGAAAGTCATCCGCAAAGACTTTTGGTGCGCAATACCCTGAAGCGTACGAATAAGGTAGGTCCGTTCAAGGTCCTATAGAGACGGTTAGTTCAAGGGCACACAGTCATGCACGCGATATGTACACACCTTGGACTCGTGCGTCCACTGGTCTCGGAGCTCATCCAGCAGGTCAAGCTCGCCAAATGGGCTAAGAATCCCACCCATGAGGCCGGTCTTTCCCACAGCACGCTTGACGGAATCAAAACCGGATCCCACCATACCTTTGGCGCCCACAACGCCAGCCACGGAGCTTGTAACTTTTCCCAGTACATTATATGCCCCTGTGACGGCTCTTTTCCCCGTAGCAACCGTATGTGCAATGTGCTCTGCAGTCTCGAGTCGTGGGTAGATGATGGGTACCGAAAGCATCCACAAGCAGTGCTGCACGGTTGGAGGTAGCATAGCCACCTTGGGAAAAATACCTTGATATGTTGGCCCAGCCACCACTTGATGCGGATTGCGCTCCGCGCGACAATCGAGACCGACAGCAACCACAGCTGGCCCAAGGTATTTGACAAAGTGCCAGCCCGTGCCAGTTATGGTAAATAAATCGGTGTCGTTCCTGACACTGCGGAGTAAGTCAAGTGTGGTGTGATGCTGAAACAGCAAGTACATCTCTGTTCCTACTCGGCCCACGTTCTTGAACATATTCGAGAATTGCATATGCTCGGGATAGGAGCCGAATCCATCAAATCTGCAAAAGTCAACATCCGCCGCCCTAACGGAGAAATCCAGGACTCACATATCGTGATCATCAATCTGGCAAACATAGGGAATCTGGGCGAATGATTCTCTCAAATGTGGTTGATCAAAATGGCTTGTGTAGTAGTGAAAGTACGCATGCGAGACGTCTTCCTCGTGGGCCGTGGTCCAGGGGGTTTTTTTCCTTGCCTCCTTTCCACTTATTGTAAGCCATTGCTTGAGGCATGGTATCTCCTTCCACATTCGATCGGCGTAAATCTGGCCTCCCAGGCACAACTGTGCATGGAACCCTCCAATCTCATTATGTTTCTGCATAATGTCTTTCCACATGAACCCTACGCCCCCCAGTCGAGATCGTTCATTCGCATTTACATTCAAAGAAAAGTCGTTCCCAGAGGTGGTGATAAAACGCCAACCTGTTTCGTAACGTCCAGCAACCAAAAACTCATAGCGTGTGCAACCAAGATGGGATGTGATCGCGTAAGTCCACTTTGCAGGACCGCCTTCATCCATCGGTAAATCCACTTCATACTTATAAAACGTCCATCGCTGATGGACGGAGATAGGCATTGCTTTCAGTTGTCGCGGGTTGGGAGATAGATCGACACTCTGGTGGATATGTATTGAGGGAGGTTGTGCAGCGTCGGTCACCAAGAGAATGGAGCCTAGCCAAATTCCACGCTCCACGTCCATATTGTTGTAGCGGAGATACGGGCCAAAGTAGACACCATTCGTTGGTGCAACCTTGTACAAATCAATCCCACTGCTCGGTGGAGGGCCGGTAAATCCCGTTACGATGGGCGATTGCAGGCTCTCATACCCCGGCGTCAAAGGAATCCCAGGAGATGTCAGAGGCTTAACAAAGGCCGATAAGACTGGAGATGCTAGAGGATGACTGCTATACACGCTGCCTACTGGAGACAGCGGAGTTTCATTGAGGTTCAAAGGTGTTGGCCCTTTAGGGAACTCCCACTGGGTAGACTGCGTTGGTAGATGAATATAGTAGTACTGGCCTGAATTTGGGTCGAGATGAGCAATCCAGCCTTCAGGGAGAGGCGGAGGAGAGGCGGGCGGAAGCCCTGGGGTTGGTAGCGCGCTGGCTATAGCATGTTGAAGGATCGGCTGGTTTCCGCTCTGCACAGGGGTTTGAATGCCATTGTGAGGATACTGTCCCGGCTGCTGCTGCTGCTGCTGCTGTTGTTGTTGTTGTTGTTGTTGTTGTTGCTGCTGCTGCAGTTGTTGTTGTTGTTGCTGCTGCTGCTGCTGCAGTTGTTGTTGTTGCTGCTGCTGCTGCTGCTGCTGCTGCTGCAGTTGTTGCTGCGGTGATTGCTGCCGCTGTTGCTGCTGCACTTGCACTTGTTCCACCTGTTGCACCTGTTGCTGCTGCTGCTGTGGAGATTGCTGCCGTGACTGCTGTTGTTGTAGCTGCCTTGGATCATTTGCAAACGCTGGGTGGTCGTGAACAGATGTTAACGGCGCAGCGGCTGCTGCAGAACCATTCATAGGGCTAGAACTTGCAGGATGTCCAACAGGCGGGGTGGGCTGACTAGTGAATACCGGAATACGCTGCTTCTCATTCGAATGATTCTGGGACGTCGCAGGCCCCGATACACTTGAGTAGGCAGGCGGGGGTGATGAGCTTATGCGCATTCTTTCCAGATCCTGCTCAAGCGCATTGGGTGGTATTCTAGTCTGTTGCTGAACTGGGTGTGCCTGCGATGGAGATGCTGTTGATTGACTGAGGGGGCTTGCCGGAGGGTTATCTTCGGACACGACTCCGGCACCTTGGTAAACAGTAGGTGGTCCATGTGGTTGGGTCCCAGGCTGCTCCGTTGGAGTCCATGGCCGGGGAACAGGTGGCATCGACTGTTGATTCCTGGGCTGCTGGCCAGCATACTGCTCAGCTCTCCTTTGCGCTGCTGTACCCTGAGCCTGCAGACCGGATAAGGTTGAGGTGCCAGCAATTCCCGAGGCCGCATACCGCGCTTCGATGTCGGACGCCGGGTGCTGTCCAGGCTCAACCACTGGGGTTTCAGGGGGCGGAGGGGAGCCCCGCTGAGCACGGGTTGTTGAGTTCGATGCTGTGGAGCTTATCCGGTTGATTGCGCCATTTGGTGGCTGTAGATTTTTTGCGGTGGGTAGCCTGTTGGAGGCCTGAGGAGGCGGATAATACTGCTGACGGGGATCTGGGTATGCAGTCGCCTGGGACTGAACACCAGCCACAGAAGCTATGGGCGCCGGCAACCGTTGGTGAATCCGGGCAAACAACCCTTCTCTGTCTGGGGAGTCCCCAGCTGGGGATTCGGGCAACGGCTTGGGTATGTTGCCCCGTCGTTCGGCTAGTGTGGCTTGTTTGGGCTCGCGACCATCCCGCAGCCGCAAAGACGCTGGATAATCCGCAGGCTTGGATAGGCCGGAACCAGCCGACATATTGCTCGGAAGAGTGGGGGAATCATCGGACGCAGCTCCGTAGGACACTGGGCTAGAGCCACTGGAGCCGGAGCTCCGGATGTGTTGAGGTCTTTGCCTATCATCGGGGTAGGGCAGGGGCGTAGTATGCGACGAGGCGGGGGGTGGAGTATCTTGCTTGCTAATACGCAATGGCCCAACAACAGGCGACTCGTCCTGTGGCAGGTCCGGAGTGGTATTCAAGAAGAGCTCCTCCTGGGAGCGATTGATCTGGCGGCTTCTGCTGGAGTTCATGATCGGCGATGAACGGTTGTGACTGTCCCAAGTTCTCTAGAGTTCCAAACACCCTCTGGATCCAAAGGCGGAGGGATTGAAACTAGGGCGCAACTGGGGTTAGACGACGGAGGAGGTATGCGACAGCGACAGGGGAAAGTAGCAAGAGAGATGCGGGGTATGCTATCAATAAGGAGGATGGAGGGGGGGGAAGAACCAAGCTGCCTTGATGCGAGAGGAGTCCGTCTATCATTCTTCGTCTGTCTAGAAGCGGAGATGGAAAAGGGAGAAGGAGGAGAGGGAGAGAGAAAGAGAGAAAGAGAGGAAGAGAGGAAGAGAGGAAGAGAGAAAGAGAGAGGCAACGAGGTTTCCTGATAGCCGCCGGGGTTGTTGCTCGCCGTCGAATCATTGGCCCAGGTCGAGGGCCCGACTCCGCGGGAGGGGCTGCTCTGCAGCAAATGGTGCGACGAGCATCGATTAGTGCTATTCGTAGAGTATTATCTACCAAGTAGGGATGGACGGACGGAGATATCTCCGGGGTCATTCATCTCTCCATCCATCCATCCCATAAGTATAGTATCGTAAGTACAACGAAGGGCCCCGGTGGATCTCCCCCCGACATCGGGATCGGCCCGCCGCGGTCCCTGCCCGGCCTTTCATTTAACTATTACATACTTGCTTACTATACATACAATACTTACTACCAAGGTCGTGGTCAGCCATGTGTACTTACCTTATACCCTCATGGCATATCTGACAAAACTTCCAGGTACTTAAATTAATTCCCCAGGCGGGGCAAAATCGTGGATTCGTGCAAATCGTGAGCTCCTCTAAACCTCTAACACCCCAAATAAATATAAATAATCAAAGGCGCTTGCATGTACGGGCCGTCTATTTCTCTTCATACCCCCCCCCCCCCTCTCTTCATCCATAATTGACCAGCTGGAACCCGTGCTCCGCCAGCACGTCAATCCAGTCCATCTCCAGAGCATGACCGCCGCGTCCCGAATGTTGGATCTGGCGCTCGTATACTGCCTGCAGCATCTGGCATGTTGTCGATGCACTGTACCCCACCTCGTTCTCCTCGATATTAGAGAGCAGCTCCAAGGCCATCATCTTGAGACCGCTCGACGCCGTGATAGCGCCCGACAAAAATGTCGGGAACGTGATGAACCACCGGTCGCCTGCTCGGCCTCGGTCGATGATCGTCGAAGCCATCTGTAAGATTCGCGCCGCATGATGATTGATTTCCTCTTCGGGCGCCGTGCCGGGTTCCAGACGCTGTCCCGGCCAAAGACTGGTGTACGATAGGAGGAGGCAGGTGTGAAACAGTATCGAAAGCTTCAACGAGTCAGCTTTGAGGTTTCAAACTTCTCAACGGGGTGAGGAGGTCGCTAACCTGTTGCAACATATTTTGCGACTGCTGGGGAAGACTGGCATGGTTCTGAAACATGAACCGCACCTCTTGATGGTCCCATAGTCGGATTAGCACATCGCGTAGCTCCTTGGCTTCCTGCTGCTGTGAGCGCGAATGGATACCGAAATACGGCGTTCTTGTCCTTCGTGACTCCTCGGCAAGAAGGCCGAGCCGGATAGCCAGGTAAAAAGTGTCATGATACAAGCGCACAATGGTAGACACGCCCCCGTACTCTTCCGCGTATATCAGCGTCGAGCCGTCAGACCCTATTGGGTAGAAGAGGGACTGGAGTTCCCCGAGCAGCTGGTTGTCAAGCACTGCACGGACAAATTCCCCGGTTCCCGTGCCGCTGAAAAGGGAGTATAAATCCACGTGGCAAGCCCACCAGATAATGACAGGGAACCGTTCGGGCCTAGATATCGATTGCCTCAGCAGGGTAAGATGTAGTAACCGAGAAATATGATGTGACCAAAGATTCGACCCGCTGGGTTTGGAAGCCGCAATCTAGAGAGAGACGAAAGTTAGGTCACAGATCCACAACGTTCAGCCCTGAGGCATGAACAGAAAGCACCCCTCAAGAAGTCTGACCTCATAGATAAGCAACAGAAAATGTGTCAAATACAGTCCATCCGATAAGATATCCTCGTTACTGCAGAGGCTACCTTGGGCGAAAGGAGCAACCTGGCTGTAGTAATAGGAGACGTCTATATCCTCAACCCCTTGGCGCACCATGCTGAGCGCCGATATAGCCATCATGGCATGATAAAGCTATGAACTTATAATTAGCCTCAGTGCACCGTATCGATCGGGAGGAAGGACCACACACAGGAGGGAAGCTTGAAGCTTCATGTTCAAAGACTTCCACATCCAGACAGTGACTGCTGAGCATTCCGCTTTGTGGGATCATCTGAGGATACACAAAGCTCCGGAAATGTTCGACAAGGGCCATTTCATAACGGTTCGGCTCGGGGCTCCCTGACGTGTGCTGTAAGCTGTTATCTGTGTAATCTGGAACCATTTCCGGGATAGAAGCCGCAGATAATGAGAAACTCTCCTGGTCCGACTCGGGCGAAGGCGGAGTGCTTCTTCTGTCAACAAATAGTTGCCTTTTCGTATATTTGAAGCTATTCAGAACAACGACATTTGGTCCATACGCCCAATCACTATGCTCTGCTTGGAAACTATCGCAGGTTTCAACCTCGAGCACAGCAACGTTGGTCTGGTCTCCTTCAGAAGCCCCGTCCGTATATTCAGGAAGCTGAGAAAAACTCTCTGGAACAGCAACCACATGATAGGTGCCAGGGATTGATGCTTGCGCCTTCCTCTCCCGCTCTTCGTCCGAGGTGAGCATCACGAAAGGCGGGAGAAGATCACCTGTGGGCGAGGTGGCACAGAAGCTCCTTCTAGTGGGCTGTGAATTTGCTGTACAATGGCATCATATTTGTCAGGGGTGATTCAATTTAAGAAGTGGATGGCAGGATTTCTTACAGTCCCAGACTACATTGCCCGTTATCCGGACATCCGGCATCCGCTCTCTTACCCGACGGGTATCGTCTCGGAAACATAAACGTGGTCGATAGTCGCAAACATGACCTAGACGCGAGCATTGCTTGTCACAGTCAGCCTGGAGCTCGGGTGTGTCAAGATCGGACCGTGGTAACATACATTACACTGAGGGCGAAGTTCATCGCATTTGACTAGTTCCTCGTCAGAATAATGCCCACTGAAAACGCGTCTGGGGTTGGATGAGGGTAGGTCCAACGCTACGGCCTTACTCTCCAACCTAAGAATTTTATTTGAGGAACAACTCACCCTTGCGGCTCTGCATCCAACGCAAGCATACAAGTTAGCATGGCCGGAAATTTCGGGAATGACTGCGTTCGCAACACCGGGGGGGGGGGGGGGGCTCACTCTGCATGTCCTAGGCAAGTGATACGACATTAGAGAGATCCAATTGACGAATAATGAAGACTTTCCCCTCGCCAAGCCAAGAGACATACCAACAACCAGTTCGTGACCGGGGTGGGAATCGTACGCGGTGTTGTCGAATTGGGGCCTTTTTCATGGCTGGCAGATCAAAGCCCGCAGTCGGGCCTATCAGGCCATTCTTGGGGGCAATGATAGGCAGCCGTAGAGGCGGCTGCTTCCTCGAGCATCGACCAGATCGGGTTGCCATCGGAATGCCGGCAACCGTAACCGTCATAGAGGCGGCGGCTTTTAGGGTTATTGCCTGGGACGAACGCATTGATTAAAAAAGAAAAGGAAAAGGAAAAGGAAAAGATCACCGATAAGGTGAACAGGGAGAGGGGGTCACACATACCAACTGTATATTTCCGAGCCTAGGCTATGTATGTATGTATGTATGTATGCCTGCCTGCAACGAATTGGATAGTATGTAGGATGCCGCAGTAGTCACTTGAAACCGAGGGGAGAAGTCGGTTAGAGAAGGAAGAGTTAGGGGTCCAGCCTGGAGATAAACGGGCTCGTAGGCAGAGTATATCTATGCATCCTGAAAAAAAGGAGGATCTGGGTTCATCGAACAATCGACGCCAGAAAAGACCATGAGTGGGGTCTGCAAAAAATAGCCAGGAAGCAAGAACGCGAGATAGGATAAGGTACAGAGCTGATGCAGAACGCAGGCGTTCCCGAATCAGCCAGCCCTGTCCCCGGTGGCGGCTCCGATGGAATTAGACAGGAGCCAGGCGAATGGGAACGCAGGGACCATGCCCACCTCAGCTGCGGACCTGGCAACTATACAGTACTAGAGCTTGCAGCTTGCTGGTCTGTGACTCGGTCTGTGACTCGGTGTGAGCAAGAATGGGATTGATCCGTAGGGTTAGGCTGGTACCTTAGGCGAGTGATTAGTCCCAATGAAGGGAAGCCAGACGAGGAGGACCCCCCAATCCGATCTAGAGCCTGGAGTGCAGATGCCAACCATGTGGCAGAGGAGAAGATCCAACCCCTACCCAAGAAAAAAAAATCCAAAGGTAAATTGAGACTAAAAAAAAAAAAAAAAACCCCTCCTTAGCCGCGCCCCCTCCCCAAAAAAAAAGAAAGAAAGAGGGAAAAAAGGGCCGGGGGGCGGAGGGGGTGGCGAGACTGACGTTGGCACCGTCGATGGGCGATGTAGTTCCTCAACCTCTGATAGATCCTGCTGTGGCATCCAATCAAGAGGTGGATCCAAGTGGAACATGATCTGCTTCCAAGTTCCAAATGATAAATCATCAGCTTGATCGGTTTAGTGTTTAGTGTTTACCTTTCGGGAACGATGGGTGCTAGCCAGCCTAGTAGATTACTCCTGTGTGGAACGGAGAAGTGGACACTCAGGAAGACGCGGCGTCTATCTAGATAATAGGTATCTATTGTGTGTATCATTACAGAAGAATAATACGGGGTATGGACTATCGGTCGGTAGGTGAAACGGCGAATAGAGTGATCGATGGATAGATCGATACTATCTAGTCGGACCCGGATATACCAACCCAAAAGCCAAGCAAGGCCCATGGTTCAGGCTGTATTGGGCGTATCATGTGAGCTCGGCGACGCCGGTATACGGAGACCCGAAACACGAGTCATGGTCTCCATCTGCCCAGTCTGTCTCATGCTGTTTGAACTGGTATCGGACGATGCGTCCTCATTGAGACTTGAGAGACGCCAGACCACACGTTTGGGCCCCTGTTCACCACCGGGCCCAATTTTCGGCGTCTTCACGACATATTCTCGGGGCCGAGAATCTCTACTTTGGCAGTGGTTCCGTTTCTGCACCTGAACCACACAACCTTAAAAAAAAAAAAAAAAAAAAAAAAAAAAAAAAAGGTTTCTTGCGACGGTGCGCTGCGCCGCTGAGAACTGAGAAGGGGGGATCCAATCTAGGAATTATTTATTACCTAACCATTGCTAAGTAGCCAGATTGCTAGTCTGCTCTCCGTCGTCCGTTATCCGTCGCCTGTTGTCGTCGACCCCCTGGGCGTTCCGTCGGACGGACGGCTGTAAATGCCGGAAGCCCTACCCAGCCAGTCCCAATGCACTATGACATACCACGCGTATGGCATGCGTACGGTATTTAGTGGGCATTACCTTACGGGTATACCCGCTACTACGCAGTGGTATCAGGGCCTTTCTACCTTTCCTAGTAGATAGTAGATAGTACCTACTACCTACTCTGTACCTACACTACCTTACTAGTACCCGGTAGTTAGCTACCTAGTTAGTAACTATCTATAATTAGGTAAGCGGATAGGATGTCCAATACCGTGTACGGGAGTGGTGTTCCTAAACAAACAGACCGGTACGAAATCCCGGAGTAATATGTAGGCCGCTAGTCCCGTAGTGGTTTGGACCGCCCGTCGTGCGATCGGTTTTCCCTGCCAGGCTCGCCTGGGCCAATCTAGATCTTCGGGATGGCCGCTGCCACCTTGTTGTCGCTTGTCCCGCAGTGCAGGCAAATCCCGTCGCTGGCAAGCGCAAGCCCAATCGTCCGGGGCCATGGGACGAACACCTCTCCCTCCCGGACCCCCTGGGAGGTACACACAGCAATCAGTAGTACTCAGTACTCCGTACTCCGTGACAGTACTAGACACATCATGCTACCGCCATGCAGGAGACACCATGCACCCGTCCTCATTCACTCAGGGCTGTGTGGTCTGAGGTCTCAGACCCCAGGTCAGGTCTTGTCTAAGGCATTCTTTTACGTCGCTACGATCCCCTCCTCCCCGCAGCCCAAGGGTACCTTACCGTCTTACGATGGATTCCCGGGCCCTCGCACCATGGATCTCTCACCCGTCCGCAGCACAAGACCCCCTTGAAAGTCGAAACTGACCTCTCAAGTGGGCTGTGCTTCGACTTCCACGTGCCTGACAAAATGCCTTACCCACTCCTGTACCGTGGACGGGATTGAGCTGGGCCAGGAACGGTATTGGTACCGGCGTACCGCGCTGGTCCCCTGACCGCTGGCTGTGATGCCGCTGCGTGTAGCACTCCGCAATTGTAGTAGTTGGCTTCTTGGTACTATGTACTCCGTACTTAGGTATCTTTCTACTGCTATGAAATGGTACTATCGCAAGTCATCTGCCCGCCCGTCCTCCTGTTCAACTAAGAACTAAGACACCTTCCCCGCATACTCGGGCGACTAGTGAGTCGATCGTATGTCACGGTCATGGAAGACTGGCCAGCGCCCGGTCGAGCACCTGGCGCACGGGTCCAGATCGTTCCCCTTCCCTCCAGGCCTTGATCGACCTCGCAACCGCCTCGTCGATTTGGAATCCAGTCTGCCTACAGAGGCCTACATACGAGACAGCCGCTTGGGCGCGTTCGTTTCGAATGGCCTCCACCGACGTGTCTATCTCGTGGGAGAACATCTCCCCTGCTAGCGCCGCCAAGGATTCCTGTGGCCCGCGTAGATCGGGTTCGCCACCCGGCTCCGACGCCCATACCCCTAACCGGTCGAACAATGCGCGGAGCTCCTTGTACAGAATGACCTGCACACTTCTGCCCCCATGGCCCATTGCCCGGTGTAAGACTGGCCTCGATGCTTCCAGGTGCCCGTGGATGTCTCGGGTTTGGTTAGCGCGTGCAATTTCAACATGCGGGCTGCAAGGGAACTCACTGCTTGCTGATGCATACGATGCAGGATTGAGGCATTGGAGCAGACATTTCACACACGCTGCTAACGTTTCATCCAGGATTTGTCTGCGGAGAAAAAAAAATCAGCAACCGGGGTAAATCGCTCTAGAGGGCCCCCCATTCCAAATTCACCCCAATTCCTCCCTTTCTGCCGCAGAACCGGCATCGATGAGACAGATCTTGGGTGTCTCATCAAAGGGGAAAGGGGGGAAAGGGAACGAGGAGAAGATCGGAACTTACTTTGGCTTCTGGCCCTTGTCCGAATCAATATCCATCGGGTCTCCTTGGTCTTCGATCTCATCCAACACCTTGATGACAATGTTCAGGGCGTCTGGCATGATGTCAAGGTCTTTGCGTGCTTGAGATACTCCGCCAAGGGCAACAAGAGCATGGGGACGATATGCGGGGTTATTCCGCTTTGCCTCTCGGATGGTAATACTCTTGAAACGACAATTAGGCCTCGCCCGTTCAGCGAAAGGGGCCGGCGCATGGAACATACCTTCATAGTCTCTCCAAACGCTGGCTTTTCATGCCACAGTTTCGTCGCCTGGCCTGAAAATTTCACAAAGGCCTCTAGGACAACCTCTTTGCCTTCCCATGTTTTCCCGGACAATGCCTTCTCCAACACGGGCCATATATACTCACTCGTAGTGAGGTCTATCTCAGAGTCCAAAGACACGATGGCCTTTGCAAGCCCCAGAGCTGCCGTATGCTTGATTGCCCAGCGGGCCGAGTCCAGGTTTTCGGCGACGAGATCCGTGATTTCCCTGATGTAGAGCGATACTGCACGGTTGCCACCCACATTTTCCTGCCATGTCTTCTCAAATATTTCTCGAACATGATCGTCCAAGTCACATCTCGACACGAACACAAATGGAAGTGCAGTAGCAGCGAATGCCATGAACCTGTCATTGGATAGCTTGGATGCAGCTTTCAAAATTTCAGCTGAGATGGCTCGCTGATTCGTGTCTTCCGCAGTCAAATATAGCGCTTTGGCATGTTCGATTGTCTTCAACACTCGACCATCGGATGCTAAGCGCAGGAGGTAACCTATTGATGTACAGTAGGATGCACTGACTGTGTCATTGCGATCAACTACATACTTGCTGAGGATCTGTATGAAACGGTCTGCAAAGGGCCGGAAAAGCATGGTTCGCATGCTCAGGAGTACCAGAACACGGCTGCAGCCCACTTTAGATGGAAGTCCAACAGCCGAGCGTAGCACATTTTCGAGTTTCATGGCAAATTCATCCATGCTCTGTTCATCCAACATGTCGATAAGGTATCGTTCAATCACTTCCATCATTGGGGACGTGCGAATGCTCGATAGCCTCATTTTATCGATCTCTTGACTTGTCAGTCCATACTTGTCGGCGTTGAGGTGAACATAGTTGACTGCTTGGGGCTCCAGAGAACTCAAAGAATTCAGGAACTGCTCCATTATGCGGGGAACATATGATCGCAAGGGCCCACCAGGGCTTTTCTTGATCATTTGGATTAGAGCTCCGATAGCGAATCCTTGAACCTCATCAACTCCGGACTCCATGCCCTTGTCGCTCAACAAGAACGGAATGGCGCTTTCCAGCATAGTTTCTGCTCGCTTATTGCTCGCATTGCTTGCTTCTAATGTGCGGATGATCGCGTTGGTCATGGTCTGGCAGAGCTTCAAGGCGGACGCTCGGACTGTCTCCTTGATATCATCCAAAAGCCTGAAGGCCTTGGTAAAGATCTCATCCATGTACTTCGCGTATCTGTCTGGCTGAAGGCCCTGGATCAAGTCTACTATAGCAGCACAACTTGCCTGGCGAACTCTCCATTCCCGGCCCGCTAACAAGCTTTTCAACAGGTCGTTCATTATATCATCGAAGTGGGCCTCAATCACTTCTGTGGGATTTTTGACCAAGGCTCGCCATATAGTAGTCATAGACCGCTGCACATTGGGATTTGGGTCGAACCGGTAGCGAAATAGTTTTGGATAGATCTTTGGGTTTTTTGCAAGATAGCCGTTGGCGCTAGAATCGGAGAATATGCTGCTGATGCCCATCTTGCTGAATGCCGCTCGGCTCGTCCAGAGGGCGTTATTCGAGGCCATGGACATGAATCGATACACGAGCGTCGGATCACCGGCTTCGGAGGCCAGGTTCATGATGTCTTTATATGTATTGACTGACGAGCCACCTCCGGTTGGTAGGGCCCCAGGTTCGAACAATTCAGTTTCCTCGTTCACCTTGCCACCTCCAAGAGTGGTATTATTTTCAGTAAACGAGTTGACCAAATCACGCACCAAATCGTCCTTCAGGTCTTGATCACCGATGTCGTAAACAAGACTTAAGCCTTGGGCGCCGGTCTCTTGGACCACCTCGTCTCGATCAACAAGTATTTTGCTGAATGAACTTTGGCACCTACGCAGACGGGCCTGCATCTGATGTAAATGACCGCAGTTTTTGACCAGACTGAGCAGCCAGATGGCAGAGGCCCTCTTGAGAGCCGGCTTCGATGCGCCACAATTAGCTATAATTGTGTCGCATACGTCAGCAAGCACATCATCCGATACTCTGGAGACTGGAGCCTCTTCGTCAACATCAAACTCCGGAATCAATGATTTGGAGCTCCAAGCCGCTGCAGCATTGCTCAGTGCCTCGCCGACAGTGAAATGAATTTCCGGGCTGCGAATTTCATGCAGAGCATATAGATCACTAAACAGAGTGCCTAGCCGTGAATTGTCGGTGACATCCTCGCGGAAAATGAAAGATAGATGTCCCAATGCCACTATGGCCACTTCACTTTCAGACTTTGCATCCCGAACAAGCGCTTCTCTGATTCTAGTCCACTCAGAATCCGAAAGCATTGAATGATTTAAAACACCGGATAGACTGAGCTGTCCGATCGCTACCTGTGCGGAACGTCGGAGGAGCGAATCGCGTGCGTTTTCGAGCATGTCACGGATAATGCTGACGAACTGATCCATAGGCCCATTGGGCACTTTGCTTATCATCTTGCGGAATGCAAGCCTGCCCAAAATATAGGATAATGCCAACACTGCCCCTCGAACCCTAAGTGCACCTTCTCCGACTGCGGAGTTCCATGACTTTATGCAATCCGAACACTCCATCATCAAGAACGTGAAGTCTTTCTCCGGAAGGGCAGGATGCGAGGCTAGAATTCCTATCGCACGTGCGGTGGCATTTTGTATCTCTTGGTCATTGCTCTTCAGGGGCGTTCTCAGAGCCAGCATCTGAGGGACCACCGACTGGACAATGTCATTTGAGGCCAAGGAGCAAATACTGACAAAGTGTGCTCCACATTGTTGTAAACTCCCCCGGGTTTCTTGAGCAAGGCCAGTCAAGGCACTCTGGAGGAACAAGACAACGGCTTCTTTATCGGTAGCTTGAATGTAACGTTTCAAAGCTTGAGCATGCTCGTTGGAGGTTAGCATCACATCTAGTCTGGTATCCCAGTCTTGATCCACTTCCTTGCTGTCCTCAGAGGCGGACACTGACTCCCAAAGCAATATATTGCGAAGGAAGGCTATGATGGCAGCGAATGCCTTTCTGTTAGGTCCCGCTAGTATTTCCGCAGCAGACAGTCCCTGCACTCCGTTCGAAGTTGTCGAGCCCAGTAAAAAGCGGGCCTGCTCGGAGAAAGTCGGGAATCTATGCCACGAGAGTTTATTGGTGGCCGATTTGTTTGTCTCCCTGCTGTAAGTAGGACTCAAAAGCCGGTACCAAAATGGATGCAAGCCTTTCTTGCCTTCCTCCAGAACCTCCTGTTGGTTTTCTAGCCCTCTCGCAATTGCCATGAGGTCAATCCAGCGGGCGACAACATCACAATACGGCAGAAACCTGTTAGCAAAACGTACAGCGGCATATTGAGGACCCCGGACAACATTGAACCCCGTCACTGGGTCCTCTTCTCCCGGATGGTTGCTCATCTGTCGAACGAGGAAAGGCCGCAGTTGTCCCTGGAAGTCTTTGTCCCAGCTATCGATTGAGGAATTAAGGATACTCCCCAAGGCTTGTTCAATGCTGACAAAGATCTGAGAGCTGGAATCATCGGAGCTCAATGAAGTAAACAACCACTGAATGAGTTCAAATCCCGAGAGGGTTTCCTGCCCATCGCGCACTTGAAAGTTGGCCTTGGGGACCATAATGCCGATGGTTTCGTATGCAAGGCCCCGTAAGCTCAGGTCTGTGGATGGGAGCCGCTGGCCGCTGGCTCCTGGGCTTGGCCATCCCTGAGATTGAATGAAGTCCCTTAGGCCTGTAATCAGCTTTGGCGCCATTTCTTCGAGGTCGGACGGAGAACCCATTCGGACTACCCATGTAGTAAAGTTGAAAATCTGGGTTCTCAACTTTGAGGCTTGTAACCCTTGGGAAGACCTTGCGGCTTCTGATAAAAGACCCTCTTCAATTACCTGAATCACTCGGGCGTCCTTTGTCGCGTTGATTGACTTCCCTAGATAGACTAGTAGTCTGGTCTGTAAAGCAGGACGCGCTGGAGGTGCGCCATCCGGCGTTCCAGCCCCAAAGTACAGATTATAGAGCTGCTGTACAGTAGCAGGTGCCTCGAGATCCGGAACGAATCTCTTCAAAATCTCGTCTCCGAGATCAGAGAGGCGAGAGTTTACATCCGCGGTCGCAATCAGAGCAGGTAAAAACCGCTCCGTATGACAAAAAGCGCCGCTTGCGAGAAACCTCAAAGCATTGACTTTCGTTTCAGTCAAATTCAAGCCACCGTCTGAAGATGGGTTCCATGTCTCAGTTGCGGGTGCGCCCCTATTCAAAAACGTATAGTCCGCAGGGGACAGCCCGGGACAGGTGGGGGAATTCCTGTCTGCGGGGGAAAGAAGCAGTAGACGCTCAAACCATGACGATAGGAACTGCGTGTCCCGGTCGGAAAGACCCAACCGAGCCTTCAGCTTCAGATCATCTTCACTATCCTTCGGCGGCAGCTTGAGTAAAGGCAAAAGCCGCAAAACCAAGTTGAACACGACCGCAGCTTGGTTGATCGATGTTCCGATCTCGGAAATTCCTTGGAGCAGGGGAAGCAAAATCTCAACTCTTGCGTCAGATCCCAAGCGATCAATACCCTGCTGGAGATATAGCAAATCAAAATGCCTGATAAGCTGAGACTTCTGCTCTTTGAATTGCTTCAGTAATGCTGCTACAGGCAGCTTGATGGACGGGGCTTGGACTCGAGTGTTGACGTGCTGGCACACTGCAATGACTTTATTGCGGACAGCAAGGCTTTCTGATCCCAGCTTCAGTAGCAGTGGAGGAAGATATGTTTTGAGGAGGGACTCAAGTTTGACATCTGTATCCGCCAGGGCAATTCGAAGCTCAACCTTGGATATTAGGCTCAACTCGCGAGCCTCGGAGCTTGTGGGCGTGGACTCTGAAGCCATGACAGATGTGAACTGGGAGATTTGAACAAACGGCCTTCCACATTGACCTAATATGGATGGTATGGGATGACACCAGTGCGAAGCATGGAGGATTTAAAGGAAAAGGGAAACCTCACTCCCTCAAGGCAGACGTTCCAACGTCATCTGCCAACCTGAGGCCACGATAACATCCCGATTTGGAACTGTTGGTATTAGTCATCATGTGCTGGTTGCTGAACTGACGGTACTAGGAATCTGTGGGTTACGCAGTACTCTGGAAATAGTACCTGTCCTGGTTACACTTATAATGTATCTAAATATGCAGTAGGTACTAAGATTTATCCCGTGCAACAATAGGCGATTCGCAAGTGGAATCATCCCAAAAATGGCGGGGTTGAGATAACTTTCCTCTGCCCAGGCCGGGCGGTCGGTCCCTCAATACTGTGGCGCGGTTGCTTGGTAAGGGGCAAGTTCTTCTTGCCCGATTGGGCACCTCCCTCCAAGCACCTCCAGACCCTCCTCTCCTTCCCCTTCTCTGTACCTAGCCAGTAGATGACACCACCACCACCACCATCATCATCATCATCATCATCTTAGCAATCCAATAAAGGGGGGTTGGGGATAGTTACAGAGTGCTGACGCTTCAACACCACCATTCTTTCGGTAATTTAGTATACGGGCACTCTTTTCCCGGTAAGGTAGTAAGTAGGTAGCACGTACGACGGTATCTTCTTCCGCCTCATCGTCAATCTGTTGATGCCGGACCTCGAGAGTCCCCTGCAAAATTGATTTGGGATTCAGCCCGTTCTACGAAATAATTGTCACCGATTCCGACATTCTTTGACCATTGTGCTCGCTCGCTTCAGGGATATATATCTTCCAATGGCTGGTTAAGTGACTCATGCCTGTGTATTGCATTCTCCAGCAACGGTCCCTAGAATAGGTCGGAACAGGGGGGCATAAGTGATTCCAAATGAGAAACCACGGAAGGACTCGTAGTGAATAAATAGCAACAGGCAAAGCAGGTCTATTACAGTCACCGCCCTGGCATTGTGACATGGGATTACTCAAGCGACCCTTGGTGCATTGCTGACACCACTTTCAACCATCTGGGCTTCGTCGAGACATACTCTCTCCACCAGGAAATTTGGACGTACGATGCGGAGGGGTAAAAGCATGGGAAGATTGGGGAAATTGGCATGTGGGTCAATCGTATGATTGGAGAAGAGAGACAAAAACTGTCTATGCAGGCTTCTCGGTTGGTAGAGATCCGATGGACGACAGTAAAGAAAAAGAGTACCAAAAAAAGAGAGAGGTCGTGCCCGGGTTCGAACCGGGGTTGCCGGAAATTATTATGACAAGTCAAAATCCGGAGGGATAACCACTACCCCACACAACCAAGTTGTTGAATGTTTCAGCCAAAATATGATAAATATCCTCATTATACGCCTGATTGCTGAATTCCACCCCTGAAACCTATTTATCATTGTCTTGCAATTAAACACTCCGAGCTGATTTATTTTTGATTTTTTTTTTTTCTAATCCATCTCTTTTAAGTGGTAAATAGCCTTCGCAGTCAAAACTATGCATATACATTCTTTACTTCATTTGGGTTATTGTCGCCTAGATCGTGCACTTGACATGTATCAAGCGGTCAAATGTGGTTTGTATTGAGGATTGACCAGCGAACCAAAAAAAAAAATAAAAATAAAAATAAAAAATAAAAAATAAAAGGTATTGCTGCTCCGGTAGGGGTAATAGACCAGGCGCAATGGCATACGGGTAAGAACAGGTAGATGGATAGGTTTGATAGTCTTTATTAGTACTGCGGAGTAAGGTGCTCGGGTAAATAGCTAGGGGGATATATAAATGAAGCTTCACTCCATACTCAACTAAGGAATAACTTATATAATACAGGCCATCTTGACCTTCGCCCGGGGTGAAACCAGTAATATTTTGCTAATATGAATATACGCGTAGCCAAGCAAATAAACCCTCATATAGTAATTTCAACCCGCTTTCCTACGTATGGCCAATCTAATCTGCCTGCCTGCGTAGTATCAACCTGCGGGCACGGAGTAAACAGGTGAACAAACCCCAGGATGCCTGGAATAATATTATTCCACCCCAGAACAGGCACCAGAACCCACCGTTGTTTCCATATATTATTCCAGAGCGAAGCTCTACATGTATAGCCTATAGGGTTAGAAACTCGAAACGGTTAAGATAATTATTGCTGATGTGAACTGTATCCATATAGCTGCCAGCGACTCGGAAAGAGCCCTATAGGGTGCCTGTAACAAAGTATACGGTAAGACTACGTAATTAACCAGTATTAAAAAAGCTGCGGAGTAGATGGATAGCTCCGACTCCGCTGTGCCGGGTCTCTAGGCCCGGGGCCGCCCTTATCAGTCACAGCACTTAGGAGGGCCGAGGGCAGGTCTGGGGGGCGCCTAGCTCCCTAGTTGTATACAAGAGGGCCGGTAAGTGAGGATTTAAAGGGCTGGTCAATCTATAGAGGGCTACACATCGAAAACAGGTGGACTTTACCTAAAAAAAGGGGGGGGGGGGGGGGGTTATTGATAATAGCAGGGAGGGACGTTAATAGTGTAATTCTGCAATTATTAGGCGCTTTATTTAACCTTCAAAATCACCCAACAAATGCAACAAAAAAGGTCGTGCCCGGGTTCGAACCGGGGTTGCCGGAAATTATTTTGACAAGTCAAAATCCGGAGGGATAACCACTACCCCACACAACCAAGTGATGATTTTGCAGCCATACTATGATTATATCATAGAAAGCAAAATTACGACCAGGCTCAATCAGGTTGTATAAAGGCAGTGCTGGGTCCCTGGGGCACCAGGGCACTGTTATCGGACGTGGGGTACGTGCTGGTAGTATCAACAAGTAAGGCTCACTTTAGACCCGGAAGATTCCGTTCCTCGGCCTCAGAGTCAAACAGCCTGATTGGATAATTTTACACTTTGACCCAAGTCCACCCTTGTATGGTACATGCACGTCATAAACACCCACTATTAGTAGTACTAGTCAGGGTAAGTGAGTGTTCCTGAGGTACCAGGTATGTACTACTTACTATTAATAGTACTATGTAAGGTACTCAGTACTAACCTTCACACCTCGCAATTTTGGCGGAGCACTGGATTCTGGAGACAACCGTGAGACATGTCTATGTTCCGCGGAGGGATACGGGGGTGTTTATGTGTTATTAGAGCTCATCCTGGAGGGTTACCGGCAAGTGACAATTCAGATCAATATTGATTGATAATGCTACTCCGATAAAGCGTCTGCAGAACCCTGGTCGAAGAGCTTTTCAACCGTTTAGCTAACTGTATCGTACACAACCGAGCCATTCACTGCATGGACGTCCCGGTGGTATGTCACCCCAGCAGCATTACTTTCAAAGAAGTCAGTCGTGTCACCAGTCGAGATCGAAACGTTAGTTGTAGACTCATAGAATGCCGTGCCCTTTTGCTCGGTGTGCAGGTCTAGTGGGCCAGAAGTGAGTGTAAAAGTCGAGACACCAAGCCCGCCGGTGGATTCGATATCCAATCCTCTGTGCATCCAGGCGCTGATTGTAAGCCCATCATCGGCCAGCAGGCCATACGTTTCATTCATGAATAGAGGATATTCAAAAATGACCTCACTGGAAGTCTTATTCCCGGTAAGCTGTGCGATCGAGAATTTCCCAAAGGTATGTTGAAGATTGCTTTGGCTCAGTCCTTCCTGGTTAATCAGCCCGTAATTGGAATATGACAGGTTTTGGCTCCACACGAATTCCGATGACTTCACTGTGAGGGTTCTCTCGGCCAGGATAGAGTATGTCAGCGTTTCGTTCACACCGGTGGAATCTTGGACAAGCTCTCGCGTGGCTGTGAACGTCGGCGCGGGCGCAATTACCTCCGGCGCCTGACCGCCTGCACTTGAATATGATGCCGATTCATCCAGATACAGGAAGATGGTCCCGGTTACCACCCAGTAAGAGCCAACGGTGTCAGAAAAGGTGACTTCCCCATCATCTGATACATCCAGACCGGTGATCTTGATTTCGAACGTATGAGTGCGATTATCAGTGAGCAAAGGCAGGAAGGGGGAGATGTCAATCTCGGGCTGTCGGAGATCAAAGGCGTCGATTCCAACAATGGGATGCCAGAATCCTGGTGCGACACCACCGGTGAAAATGATGGGGAATGGCCAGACTACACCAGCAAGAATTCCATCAATGTAGAGCTGGATCTCTCGGAAAGGAGAGTACCCGTAAAGTTCACCGTCAACGCTGTCGAATGACCATTCGTCGGAGGTGAATACATTAGACCACCAGAACTCTTCTGTCGATTGACCACAAGCAGAAATAGACACAACGGCACGGGATGTTGTCGGGGGGAATTGGTATTGCACTGTGGCATTGTCCGTTGGCAGCTCAAAGTCACTCGATGCATTCTGTGCCGACTTTCGTGCAGATATGGGAAGAATAGCATCTGGAGTCTTGACATTGCCCTCATAAGAGAAATACGCTGTCAGGGTGGTATTGTAGGACCCGGTATAGACATCAGTGACAATGTTTCCAAGGTCAAATATCAGCTTTTGTTTTTCTTTCCACAGTACGTTGAACTGGGACATGTCTTTGACATAAGTCCAGATAATTCCATTGCTCGTTGGCTCCGCGGTTGATGTCCGAAACACTTCGGTGTCTCCAAGATACATCAGTCCCAGCCTATCATACTGCGTTCCTCTAGAGGAAACGGTGAAATTGATTCGAACCGTATCGAAGTCGCACAGAGGGGGCTCGTAGAATCCTACTTCATATTAGCATGCATGGCAAGGTCGTGGGACATCTCTCCATACCTATGTATGGTTCGCCATAGCTCTCCCCGAACACATAGTCCATTAACAGCACTTCCTCATTACACGCAGAGCTACCAGAGCCTTCGGTGGGAACCGGCTGATACACCTGGAAGACCTCCTCCAAAGTAGCCCAAGCTGGGAGAAAGAGTAGGCCCCCAAGCCAGAGCGTGCGATACCAGGAAGCCATCATGGTTGCTATAGCCCGAAACAATAGTGTATGCGGGATCTTACTCGTTCTTATCAGGCTGCCTACTGTCCTGCAATGTGGTGTACTCGAAGTCGGCGATACACTAGATGCAGGGGGATGACGCGAGTCCGACCTGTATTGTCTCAAGCGGGTGTTGGTGTGTATAACAAAACACCCCGAGTGCTACCGCTAGGATCCAGTCGCGGATAGGCCTGATGTCCAGGAGTATTGCTAACAGAAGCTACTGTTAGTACTCGTCCCCTGGGTTGAGGACGGTATTTGTACTATGGAAAAGGAACTCGGGGAAAACGGCACAACGCATGATGCATGCTACGTCCGTGACTACTAACTAGTAAGTTAGTATGCGGGGCGCCTGGCCATAATTTCCGAGACGGAGATATTATCTATCCCAGTGGTAGAAGACCTCGCGGGGGTCATCGTAGACCGTCTATCTTCTGCGGTCAGTCGGACTTCGTGACGATATGGACGGGGTCATTGACGCAAAAGAAGAGCATGGGGCAGCAGGCGACCATTCACGGGCCAGGATGAATGTAGTAGTAGGGGAGACTAACTTGCTAGTGGAAGCAAGGATATGAGGGATGCAATGCATGCCCCTTGTTCCTGCCGCGTCCCGATGATGATGATGATAAGCTGCGCCAATGCGGGCAGGAACGGCTTCGCTCCACTAGCAGTATTTAGTACTCCTAGTCCTCCGTGGGAGCTCCGTCGTACCTGCACAGCCAGTCGGCCAATTGCATCCGATGGCGTTCTTTCCCCTCTCTTGGGCCGACGACGATAAGTGCATGCCGGTGACATGTTCATTTCCCTTATCAGCCGGGGGCCTGTCATTCTTGATTCTTCAGAGGACAGGACGCTTAGCCGAGTGGGTAGCCGAGCTAGTGCAGTACTTAGCGGTAAAAGATAACCACTAGTATCTGGTATCTTCGTGCTCCTAGCCGGTCTGTTGCGTGGTTTCATCCAGTGAGCCCATCCCACCCTGTATCTATCTATCTATTACGCCTCCTTCACATAACAAAATCAAAGATGCCGGCAGCCATGGGATCGCTAATGGAACACATGAAATATAAAGAAGAAAGAAAAGGAGGAAGGGGGGGGATTAATGGGCGCCGACAGCGGGTTACATAAAAAGACGCCAGGCACCAAGAATCATAGCAGCGGTACCGGTGCAGACACCCCTAATACATGTCAGCTTTGTACTCCATGGCGAGTCCGATCGAGTCCGATGCAACCTACATGAGCCATTGTAGCGTGGAAAACTTCACGGCCTCCACGCGCTCTCGTAAGCCAGCCACCTCTTGTTCAATCCGTGTTTCAGTCTCCTTTATACGCATTTCCTGTCCATTCGCTTCTTCCCGGATCCGACCTTTCTCGAGGTTTAGGTCAAGACGCACCGACGCTTGAGTGCGCCCGATCTCATCACGGAGACGGGAATTGAGTTTGGCGAGATCGGCGGCAATCTTCTCATGCGATGAGCGAGTTAGCTGCGCTTCGGTAGAGTCTGTGTTTAGGAGTTCGGAGCGGAGCTTGGCGAAGTCGACTTTCTGAGTGTAGGCGGATCTTTCGGTATCTGTTGTGGTGACGTCAGAAGGGGGCCTCAGAGGACAACACATGGCGCGGGCCTGTGGCTGGTTTTGACCTGTTTGGCATGGCTGAGGGAAATCAGACAGCAGCTGGCTTGGGTTTGTTGGCCAGTCCCAGCTCCCCCCAGTCACTGCGCTGCCCAGAGTATCGGGGGCATAGTCAGCTAACCTTCTCGAAGAACCATAGTCCGGGTCAAGTTCTGAATGGATTCCTGGATAACATCATCCAGAACCCTCATCATAGCAACGGCCTGTTCCTCGCTGAACCCTTCATTCTTCAATCGTCGAACAAACTTCAAGGTATCGAAATGGTGATCCCGCTGACGCGGAGCGGACGTGTGGAAGGCTCTCCGAGCATTGTATCGGATAGGGGTGCTAAGGGGCTCAGCGGCCTGGTGGCTCGATGGAGGGAACCGCCGTGCGATCACTGACGATGTGGATGCGCCAGTCCCTCGGGCAGCTATGGCGAGGCGTATGGAAGAGCAAGGTGAGAGACTCGGGGTGTGTAGTTGCCGTTGGCGTCTTGCTGGGAGAACGCTGGTCTGGAGAGAAGTGATGGTGGTGCGCGAGGAGGAGCCGTTCCAAGTGGTCAGATGGGGCAGGATGGAACGGGTCACCTCAGCCACAGACTTATGCGGCGCCATTATGCGTAACAGGTTGGTTGGTTGGCCAGCGTTCATTTTCTCTCTCAGATGGCAGATGATGGCCCGCAAGTGCCCGATGACTAACACGCGCCTCTCCGCCTGCACGCTACGGAGTAGGCAACCGCGCATAACTATCAGCAATCAATTACCAACGGATGGTTTAAGATATGTTCCTTTCAGCGGCCTTCGGCAGCAGGGGGGTTCTACACGGAAAAAAGACAATTGTTCCCTCTTACACTGTTGCGGCGCGTATCAGAAGCTGGCCAAACCATTAAACATGTCGACTATTCCTCACCAGGTACATTAGTTTTTTTTCTTGCTCTCTATATATGAACCTTCCCTTCCTTGAACTCCAGCAGGCCCTCATGGGGTTTCAATCTATTGCTTTGATCTCGCAAGGCTGCGCTGACCCTGGTTGATGGCCTCCGTGACCTCTTCCAAACACCCGGCGGCGGCGGCAAAGAAACCCAAGAATGCCTTGCTCGGGCCCAGTACGCGACTGAGGTATTCGGGGTGGAACTGCACACCCACGAACCAGGGGTGGTCACGGATCTCAATGATTTCCATGCGCTCACCCTTGACGTCCTTGCCAATGAAAGACAACCCAGCCTTCTCGAGCTGGTCAACCATGTCTGGGTTGACCTCGTATCTGTGACGGTGACGCTCCTCGATCTGCGACGTCGAGGGTCCATAAAGCGCCCGTAGTCGCGACCACTCAGTGCCCTTCTGGAAAATACATGGGTGCTTGCCCAAGCGCATGGTACCGCCGAGCTTGTCCTTGTCAACCTAGTTTTGATCCGTTAGCAGTAGTCTTCAGAGTGGAAGGAAGCCCTGGCAATTTTTGAGCCAGATTGGGGACGCACCTCGGGCATGTAAACAATTGCGTGGTTCTTAGCCTGGGGGTGGAGCTCCTCGCTACCAACATCCTCAATGCCAACGACATTGCGGGCGAATTCGATGACAGCGAGCTGCATACCAAGGCAAACGCCCAAGAAGGGCTTCTTTTTGGTGCGCGCCCATGTGATAGCCTTGATCATTCCAGTGGTGGCCCGAGTACCGAAAGCACCAGGAACCAGCACACCATCGGCCGTGCAGACAGCATGCCAAGCCTTGTGGAACTCAGCCGGCGAGTTCTCAAAAGTCTCGTCCTCGAGATGCCCTGCGTCCACCCAAACGACCTCAATCTTCTTATGACAGAACATAGCTGCGTGCTCGAGCGCTTTAGAAACGCTAATATAAGCATCCTTGAGTGAGATGTATTTGCCAACAAGTGCGATTGACACGGTATCATGGAGATAGTCCTGGCCGCGAGCAAGGTCGACCCAGTCCATCCACATACGGTTGCCGCGTTCGAGCCGGTCGGGGGGGCGTTGGATAGTCTGAAGGTTGAGGAGATCAGTGATCGTGGTGATGAGCTTCTGTTTTTCGAGAAGCAGCGGCACGTGGTACGTTGTCGTCACGTTATGGACGGCGATAACCTGGTTTGCCTCCATGGAGCACATATTGGCGATCTTCTGGATGGTACCCTCCTCCAACGGCTGCTCGCAGCGGCAGGCAATCTTAAGAGATTGGTCAGCTTAAAGAGTCAAAGAATCCCAGAACTGAGATCTTCCAACAATGAACAAGATAAGCTGGATAAAAGCATACCAGGTCTGGGTTCAGGCCAGCGCTTCGAACATCACTGATGGCCCTTTGAGTCGGCTTCGTCTTTTGCTCGCCACCGGGTCCTGGCCTAACCTGCTGTCAGTCTGGATCAATGATTCGGGGTTATGGGCCAAGAGCTTACGGCACAACGGGCACATATGACACATGGATCTGGATAAAGTTGCCCTTACCGGCCCGCCTCTGGAGCTGACTGATAGCGTGGATGAACGGAGCACTCTCAATATCTCCCACCGTACCACCTTACTGAACGTGAGCTAGTAGTCCTGTCGCATACAGGTTATATCCGCACTTACCCAGCTCAATAATGCACACATCCGGCTCGGCCCGGGACTCGTCAACGGGGATCTTGGCAACCCGCTCAATCCAATCCTGTATGGCGTTGGTGACATGAGGAACGCTATTGAGAGTCAGAAACCCAATTGTCGAGTTCCGTCAATACCAATTCTGCAGCACCTACACCTGAACGGTTTTGCCGAGATAATGGCCGATGCGCTCCCTCTCAATGACGTGCTGGTAGATCTTGCCGGTTGTGATGTTGTGATCGCGGGAGAGCGTGGTCAGAAGATAACGCTCGTAGTTACCGAGATCGAGATCCATCTCGCCGCCGTCGTCCGTCACGTAGACCTCGCCGTGCCTAGAACGATCAGTGAACGGGTCGATGGAAACCGGGGCGCGGGCACTGACTCGGTCGGTGACATGGTTCCCGCATCGATGTTGATGTAGGGGTCAATCTTGATGCTAGTGACCGTGAGACCAGTGGTCTTGAGGAGCAGACCGGTGCTGGAGGCAATAATGCCCTTGCCCACACCGGAGATGACACCTAGGATTTGCCCCTCATTAGCCTTCTACTCGCAATGGGTAGGCGCCAAACCAGTCAATTCAAAAAGACGTGACAGATAGACTCACCTCCAGAAACCAGAACGTACTTCATCTTGACGTTAGCGACCGACCAAAGAAATTGCGGTAGCTAAAGTACGTGAACGAGGAGTTGGCGACGGCAGAAAGTAGAAGAAAATGCCGATGCGGTGAACGCGGTGAAAAAAAGTTCGTGTCATACGCTAAGCGCCGTCGGTGGGGCGATCATGTGAACGCGGGTCTCAAGTACCTTATATGGGCTGCGGCTTCAACGGTTCCAACCCGGCCCAAGGTCAAGCTTGCACTTGCCGGGCTTTTTCCAGGAGCCCTTACTGGTCGAAAGGTAGCCCGTTCGTGGGGGCGCTGATTACTATGCCCAGGTTACCATCAGGCATATTACTAGGGACCGTAGGCATCAACAGCCATACGCGATGATGCTGTAAATGAAGTCACAGAGCTGTTAGACAACTCTAATTGTCGGATGATACGACCCGGCGGAACCAAATCCCTGTAGGAACTAGGAAGAGCTGTGAGTCAAACTAACCCCTGACACCAGAACGACACCGTAGATGAACCAACCGCGTGGATAGATGGCTCCTGGCAGCCTAACTCCGGGCAGCCTAACTCTAGGCGGCAGCCTGGCGCCTGGGGCCAAACCATGTTCCTTAGATCCATGATGATTCGATGGATAGATATCTCAGCCAAGTGAGCAATACTCCCGCTGGATCTTGGATACAAGAAATGGCATGAAATTCCCTACAATCCAACTGTGTCCGTAATCTTGCAGGGTGTCCCACCCCGAGGATTAGCAAATATATACACATCAGGAGGAATGCACCCCAATGGAAAAGCGAAGAGCTCCATTCTAAGTCAAGAAAATAAAACCGTATTTTTATGGCCAAAAATGATACCGTGGAATTAGATAAACATGAGGACAAAAATATACCCCATGCCGGAGATCAACAGAAATATGCAAAATGTTGTTTGCCGTTTGGTCTCTAGAAAATGCCCATCCTCAGGGCAAGTTGTTAGTAGCATGGAGCGTGGATAATTGACTACCCAGTCCGGACGAATTTTCCCAGAAAAAGCAAATAAGGTGGGTTGAGAGGCTTTAAGATTGTGATTTTCTATAGCTTGAAAAGCTCCTTCAGCTGTTTGATGGTGTCATCGGGGTCCTCGACCGAGTGACCAATCGTCCTAGGATCGACGTAAATCTCATAGTCGTTGCCTCCAGGGAACGTCTTATCTCCAAAAAAATGGATCGTCTTGTAGTCAATACCCGTGATCTCCTTTTCAGCCTCGACATGCTGCAAGCAGTAGGTCTTGTCCCAGCCTGTTGGAAAGACATCGAACGAGATCTCACCGCCAATAGAGTAGCTATCCAGACGTGTCATTAGCTCTATGCCCTACGTGTAGCTCTCGCGGCCGGCATTACTTTCCATGACTTACCTAAGACCATAGTCGGGGAACTCTTTCTTGAGCGCATCCACAAGGTCCCTTCGGATGTTGTGCACCTTGTCATATCTGACCACAGCGTCAGTCAATGGAGTTGGAATCGAAGTTGGCTCAACATTAGCATGAATACATACGCTTCAAACTCCCTTCTTTCGTCGCCGCTGGCGTTTCTCCCAATGGGACTGATGTTGATCATGCCATTACGGAACTCGATGAAGGTACCGCGCTTCTTAGGGAGCTCCAGGTTTCCCATGTATTTGAGGGTAAAATTAACCAGCTTCTGGTATTTCTCCTCTCCCAACCATTGAATGAAACTGTTGCTAACCAGAGGCTCGCCCAAGCGGAAAGCGATCAGGCCGTTTTCAGCAAAGCAGAAATCGAAGAGGGAGGTGACGTTGATCGAAGAAGTTCCGAGTTGTTCTTGCTGCTTGGGAAGATTCGAACCGCCAACCTAGGGATTATGAGACCGTGTCCTATCCTGATTGAATGCAAATGACTAACAAATCCAATGGCGCACTTGTGACGAAGCTGGGAGAGGATCGAGAGCATCTCCGCTGTGACGGTCTAGAATCCAAGGACAAGGGATGATCAGTCAGCCTCTATTCGTAGATGAGGAGCAGAGCAAGATCGGAACGAAGATTAAAAGGGCTGGCAGTCAGGACATGGGAACGGCTCACTCCTCTAGCAGGCGTCAATGTCTTGTCGACATCAAAGAGACAAATTGTGCCCTTCAAGGGACGGTCCTGCAGGGCAGGATACACACTGGCTGCTTCGGTGGCCATGATGAAAAAGATATGTTCAAGGAGAGTCAAGGGAAAAGGCAGAGGTAACTCAAATGCGACACGAATGGACGGGCAACGGAGTACTCGGATCGAGTAAGTACTCTGCGGAGTAATTTATGGTTATATCTCTCCTCAGGGGAGGAACGTGTCCCGACCGCATGCGGTGAGCTGGAGGGACGGCGGGGTTCCAGGCCAATATTCGGGCCTATCTGTTTTGGGCTGTGGCACTCACGGCCAGGCCCGAAGGCGGTCAAGTCAGATTGGAAGGTCATCCGCGCGTGGGGTTGGATCGCTTATCGATAACTGGGAAACCAACTCTACCACCGTTACACACAACGCGCGAACAAAGTATCTACTAGATACAGCTTGGATGTCAATCTTGTCCCGGCCAAAACAATGCCTGGTCAATGATTTGACAGAGGGCCATGATGTTGCAGCCACATTCCAATTAAAAACTCTATTATATCAGATCAAAGCCACAACGAACTAACCCGACCTTCCTCGCCACGGCAGCGGTCTCAACGGCCCATGGTGGATTGGAAAACCTTGGCTGCTAGCTCACTCAGTAATCGGGCGCGGTCCTGGTAGGGAAGTTGAAGGAAGACATCGTAGACGCTCTTTCCTTTGGCATCCCGGACTGCTCCCAGGCGGTTACCGGCGACAGCACCAGCCAATGCTCCAGGAGCGTTGGCTACAATGAAACCGAGCGCACCACCACTGATGCCACCCACAACGGACCAGAAGCGAGAGGTTGGATGTGTGCGACTTTGGCCATCGGCATCCGTGTCTTCGCTAGCAAGACCCTCTTCGCGTAGCATCTCTTCAAACATCGACCCAAACTGGTCGGATGCACGCTGTTCGCTATCAGCAGAGCCGAAGCCGAAATTAGACCATGGAAACCCTCCAGCGCCTCCTTGGGGCATCTCCTGGTCTTGCTCCTCTTCTACTCCCTCCGCCATTCTCCGTGCATCATACTCGCGTCGACGTGATGCGTCCGAAAGGGTGTAGTAGGCATCGTTGATCTCCTGGAACTTGCGCGTCCGGGCTGGTCTCTCCGGGGAATCGGCAGGAACCCGATCGGGATGGGACTTCAGGGATTCTCTGCGCCGTTCAACAGCCAATCAATGGAGGGGCTGGGGGATATGTGCATACCGTTTGTACGCACTCCGAATCTCTTGTTGATTTGCGCTAGGAGACACTCCTAAAACCTTGTCTATATTTTTCTACAGTCAGTCCAGAGTCCCCACCGGTCCTCGATATGGGAAGTCACAGTAGTCCCGCTGTTCTGTTCACATCCTGTTAACTCGGTCCATAGAATAGCAAGACGAGCGTGTGCATACTTACTTGGCATAGCTGTGTATTTCCTGTAAGGTGAAAAAAATTGTGTCTTCTTCCTGGTGTGACTGTATCACCGGTAGTAGTTAAGTAGGTAGGTAGGCAGGTGGGTAAAAGAAGCACAGTTACTTACTGGAGGGGTTCCGCCCGGGTGATGACGTCGCAACACGACCTTTCCGGCCTTAGGCGATCTACGTACAGCCACTGAAGCTTACCTCAGACCTTACCTAATAATCCCCCGTGACGGGAAGCCCCTGAGGCCTGAGCAGCAGCCAGCCACTCAGGAAGCTCCTCCCACTTGCAGGGTACGCCGTACGAGGGATTGTTTTCAGCTTCGGCCCCTGTACTTAGTGTGTACGGAGTAAGTCGTCGTAATACTATTTAGATTGAGGAAGGGGGGTCTCACCTCATCTTCCCCTTGATTTTGCTTGCCTGCTGCCACTTGCATGCTTTCAATTGATTGCTCAGGAAACCTGAGAACCATTGCTGCTCCTAAGTCTATCTTATTTGGATTCCATTCTCAATTCACAAGCTACCACCCCGCACACTCTCTACTCCTCCGTACAGGTACATACAGTACATACTATCTCCTTACTACTGCTATCTACCGCGTGGAAACCTGCCTAGCAGTGGAGCCAGTCAATGCGGCAAGGAGGCTGGATCCGAAATAATTGTGTGCATCTGCAGCATAGCACGGCTCCGCAATACTGCTCCCTACCGGTAGTCCTGTGTGCACTTGCGTTTTGCGTGCCTTAGCAGCCCACAGTACGTTTGGAGGGGTCGACTTCCCTCGTGCTTTCGATCCTCGGTTTCAGGGACATCAATCATATCATCCCTTTGTCCTTGCGCTGCATCACCACCGGTGGCTCAATTTCCTGGACCCAGCGTCAAGGTACCTCACGCAGTGAATCCAATCAAGATGGGCTGGTTTCCGTTTGATAGAAAACCCTCATCCTCGTCTTCCCACCACCATACCCGTCGACGTTCTTCTCCTTCCGGCCGATCCACTTATTCAAACCAGCGCGCCCGCCACTCTGCTCCGTCACTGTTCAGTATGAATGGCGGTGGCAGCCGCGTGGGGAGGTCCAGCCCGTCGGTATTCTCCTCATCGTCGTCGCGACGTGCGCGGCCCCGATCAGGCTTTGTGCAGCGCGTGGTCCACTCCATCAAACGTCTGCTCCGCGATATCTATGACTACGCTCGTCGCAACCCGATGAAGGTTATGATGCTGGTGGTCATACCGCTTCTCACGAGTGGTGTCCTGCAGAAGCTACTCGCCTTGATTGGTATCCGTCTGCCAAAGAATCTCTTTGGTGGGAATTCTCCGAGGTCCGGTGGCAACGGTCTGTCAGACAATCTCCATGGACTCATGAACATTGCGAAGATGATGATGTAGAGGCACTCGGGCTTCATTCTCACTGAACTGAGAATGATATCAATCAGATATATGTCTGCTACTTCCCCCGCGCCCCGGCATCACGCGTGGGAGAAGTGGCGTGGAACAGTCCAACAGAATAGAGACGATGACGATGACGATATATATATGAAGACGATGATATGATGTGAATTTGGCTTGGTATTCTTTCATTGGTTCCTGTGTTATTGTATTTGGTTATTGATTTTTGTGAGTCGTGGCTGGAAATTTTGAAATACGAGACGCGATGCTGTCGCCAATGCTTTTAGAATGGTCGGACACTCTTTGCGATATCCGCAATTTTCGGGAAATAGACAGACGCCGAACCAAACACTAGTATTTATACATTTACTTTTGCAAGACTTTCGACAAAAGAGCGAAAGATGGGAGAGAATATTGCGTACAAAATGAGGCCACCACCCGCCACATCACCTGATTCAGGACCGTTGGGAGCGCCTTCCTTTCCTCTTGGAGGATCCAGCCTTCGACGTCGCCGTGGAGCTGGTGGTGGCTTCAACCGGCTGTTCCACAACATCGGACTCCTCGCTCGCGTCAACATCCTCGTCGTCTGGGATGGTAGAGGAGCCAAGCACCCTACCCACAGACTTATGGTAAAACCAAACCGGGATGCGGAACACCATCGTGTCGCTGATTCTGGGACGCTGAATCTCCTCAATGTCTAGCAAGAATTCCTGGCGTTCTCCATCTTCATTTTCCTCCTCCAGGAACACGTTGCCAACCGAGTCGACAATCAGGACCTTTCCGTTCTCCGCGACAACCCGCTTCCTTTCCCCAGTAGGTTCCACAGTCTCAGAGGTGGGTGTTGCAGTCCCCGAGGCACGAGAAGTCGCCCGGGGTCCCTTCTTGCCCTCCTTGCGGTTTTCCCTGTCCATCATGCGCTTCTGGCGACGGTTCATGGGCATAGCGGCTGCTTCTGGTTCCGGGGCCGGGGCCGGGGCAGGGGCCGGGGCGCTGTCAAGTCCAGGAATGCCCCGGACACCCGTCTCATCGCCCCAGGCGGCTCTCCGGGCCTGACGGATGTACCGATCGACAAACTCGCGTTGACGCTTCCAGCTAAGGACCAGAGCGGCGTAGTGTGCGCCACCACCGAAGACCAAAAACAGCCCAACAAGGACAGAGCCCAAACCGGGTCGGAGGCGCGAATAGTAGTATCCAGTCCCCTTCCACTTCGGGAATCCATTCTTCAGGAAATGGTCGTAGCGCTCACGGGCCGGGCCACGTAGGATATTCACAACCGTGTTCAGGCGGGCATACCTTTCATGGGCATCCTTCACGGCCGCAGAAATTTCCCGCTGGGAAGGGCCTTGGTTGACATGGACGCCCGACTGGGAGGATTTGGACCGAGACTTGTCCTTGGAGCTGTTGGCGATGAAGGTGCGCTTGACTTTATCGGGGTGCAAGAGCTTTGACTTCTTGCGATAGGCCTTGTTAAGTTCGTCTTGGTTTGCGTTGGATTGGACGCCTAGGAAATCTGACCAAGGGAGACAGATCAATATCCGCCATTCGATGTGGTGTTAAGGGGGAGGCGACCTACCGTAGAAAGTCACATTGGCACCCTCGGCGGTGGTGACTTCGTCGTGAATACGGAAGATCTCATAATCTGGGGAGATAGTCGTGAGCTTAGTCGGGGCCAGCCATATTGCCAATGGGGAAAGAAAGAAAAAAAAAAGACGGCGACTTACCCTCTTTAGACCAGGCCGCAGCCAGAGCAATCAGGGCTGCGAACAAGAGCAGACGGAGAGTGAAGGCCTTCATTTCGAAACCAGGGAGCGGTCAAGCCGCTGGACCCAGAGAGAGACAGAGAAGAGGGGATGAGGAAGTGGGGGGTCAATTGCACAAATGGGCTATATGTTCCTGTTCCTGGGCCTATTCATTCATCGCGAGGGTTGTTATTATTCTGGCGTGCGAAACGATAGGTGAAATCCTCAGGCGACGATACCCGTAGCTATGATCTGTCATCAGGCATAAAAGAGGCGGTGACCCGGGCCCGGGCGGTATTACCGATATTACGATACGAGGCGAAGAGCCGATGGAGTGAGTCTGGGCTCACCGCCCGATCCGGTATGCAAAATACAACCCTGGCGGTACCGACGTAATATCTGTATACGGGTCCACTGCCCGAGTCTCCAAATCCGGGCTGCAGGCGCACGACGTGGACCAATGATGGGGAACAAGGTCCATCTGTGAGGAGAACACGAGGAGAAGAGACGTGATTGATACCTGATGTGTGCAGAAGCGGCTATCCAGCTCAGAAGGCTGGAGGGGAAGGAGGACAAGTAAGTAAGTACTAGGTCGCCAGAGAGAGCTGGGTTTAAATTCCAGCAGCCCCCCCCGGGGTCTGTCTACCTTCTACCTTCTAGATCGTCTCTCCTTCCTCTTCATCCATCCATCCATCCATTCCCACCCATAAAGCCCATCCAGCAGGAACGAGGAGGATTGGAAATGGATCTGAATATTGCTTGAGTGCCAGAAGATGATTGATGGATGGACCAATAGTGAGTGAGAGGACTGCATCCCGGCTTCTTTTCCGCACCCAGCACTGGCCAAAGACCCTCTCCCTCTCCACACTGTCCTTCCCTGCTTTTCATTCTATTCTTAGTGATCCTTGATAGGGCTTGAGGGTCCATGAAACCGGAGCAGTGCCTCAGATCGATTCCAATTCTTCTCTTCTCTTCTTCTTCTTCTTCTTCTTCTTCTTCTTCTTCTTCTTCTCATTACTACTTCTGCAGTTGAATTCCACGTGCTGGCTGGCGGATACGTATCCATGGTACATAGGAGCACTACTATCTGCTAGGGACAATACTCCGTACCGAGAGTACGGGGCGCTGAGCACCAAAGCGGGCTAGGCAGACGCCTCTTTTCTCTTGCCTCTCCTGTCGGGCCAAGTAAGCCAGTTCCGTCGACAACATTCCCCCCCCGTCCTAAAGTGTCCTCAAGTCCTTCCCCCCTTTTCTCTTCTTGCCTCTACATTTTCCCCGTGAATTTCCGTCGCCTCTTCTGCCGTATCTCGTGCACTTGTTGTCGGACCGTCTACCGAACCGTTTACCCTATTTTCCCTCCTGCCTACTTTTACGGCTCGTGCCCTACTCGATCGACCAGAATGAGTCCTCTTCAGTTCCCCATCGACGCGATTACCTCGCGCTTCGGTGATCGGTTCAACAGCGTTCGCTCCCAGTCCTTCAGCACGCGCTTCGCCAATCTGCGACCGGTCTCTGAGTTCTTCGACATCAAGCGGGTGTCTAAGCCGGCCAACTTTGGCGAGGTTCAGAGCCGCGTGAACTACAACCTGTCCTACTTCTCCAGCAATTATGCTGCCGTTTTTGTGATGCTCAGCATCTACAGCTTGCTGACAAACCCTCTACTCCTCTTTGTCATTATTCTGGTCACGGGCAGTCTGTACGGAATTGGAAAGCTCGAGGGTCGCGACCTAGAGCTGGGCTTTGCTCGGTTCAATACCTCCCAGCTGTACACGGGACTGCTGATCGTTTCGGTGCCTCTGGGATTGTGGGCCTCCCCCATCGCAACTGTGCTCTGGCTGATCGGAGCCACTGGCGTGTCGGTCTTCGGCCACGCCGCTTTTATGGATAAACCAATTGAGAATGCTTTTTCCGAGGAGGCGGTCTAGGTGGTCGGCCGCGAACTCCTTACGGTATGCCCCAATGGGGAAGACCACCAGGGGCACGAGTGGGGAGACAAACCAGGAGGCGTGCGGTTCCGTGGGAGGATGGTGCAGTACGGGTTGAGGAGATTGATAGCGAGGAGGAAGACGCATACATCCGGCGGGATGCTCGCTCCTTGTATGCGAGACAACCAACCGGTATGGATGGCGACAGAGGGCCTAGGTTGCGGAGACGGATGATGGAGTATGACGACTATGGGGATGATGCGCCCATGGATGGGGCGGAGTATGACCTGTATGAGGACATGGACAGCACAGTGGCCTATGCGGTCCAGTTAGCCATGAAAGACAAGGAGGAGCAGTTGGTGGACCAGGCTTTGGATCGGATTCGACGTGCGCAGGTTCAGGGTCAAAAAAACGTGCGCCTATCGAAGCCAGAGTTGGATGCATTGGAACGCAAGCGAATGCAAGCAAGCAGCGCATCGGATACTGAATACAAGACAAGTACTCCCCAGGGATCACCTGGCGGCAATCGGCGTCTGAGGCCACCCGAGAGTCCGAACAAGAAGTCTGGGGCACAACGCAGCGGATCCAGTTCATCCTCGAGCAAGCACGGGGTGCCATCACAATTGACCGACAACAACGCCGCGTATGCATTCTGGGCAAGGACCTCGGGGGCTTCACTTGGAACCTCAGCTTCCCCGCGGTCGCCTCTCGCGTCTGCTCGGACTCAGTCGAACCAAACACCGCCTCGGTCCCCGCTTCAACCAGCCTATTCCCCCGAGCGCTTTTCCTCCGTCCCGCTTGTTCGCACCCCAGGAGCCGTGAAGAAGCCGGCCTTTGCGCGGCCCCTTCCCGACGATCCCCAATGGGTGCCCCCGTATCCGCTTCCGTATCCGAGAGAACAGCCTCCCTATCCGACCGATCGTCAACGTGGCTCGCCAGGCCGCCCGGTCCCGATGCCGTACGCCTCCAACTATCGCAGTGTCTTTGATGACTACCCTCCAGCTGGCGGACGGAGCCCGGCTTCAACGCAGGGGGTACCGGGAACCGCGACGGAAGGATCCCCCAGTGAAGACAACGCGGATGAAGGAAGTAGTTCGGGCGACAGTGGGGACGAGGGGCATGTGGTGGAAGTAGTCGAGCGCCGGGTGCCTGCAGGGACCCCGAGTCGAGGTGGTGGAGGGGGAGGAAGTCGTCAGCGGAGCAGTCGCCCTTGAGTTCTCTCTCGTTAGATTCTCACCCAATTCGTGCCCTTTCATGATGTTTCTCTTTCTTGGGTGACTGTATTACACTTCTGGTTTGACCTTGAATGTTTGCTGCGGTGGTGTGCCGTCGGGTTGGGATAAAAGCGTAACGGAGTTCGTATAGGTATAGGTATAGGTATAGAGCGGGTGATCCGAATCCAAGATTTCGCTGTAGCCTGGGCGATGGATGCATGTGCTCGGTACTCCGTACAACAAAGTATGGGCTGAGCCGAGATCGAGGCTTTGGCTGGGGATGACGTCGATGAGGTCATCATGCCGGACGCGTTGGGCTCGGCATCTGCGATCCTTTCCTGGATTATTGCCCTTGGCTTAGGAGAGGCTGAGTGGGCCCTCTTCGTCACCACGAAGAGTGGTTGTCATTCATTCATCAATATTAATATTACTTACATAGTACCCAATTCTTCTCCACTGCCTCGCCCATTTCTTCATTCTTTTATTCCCCCCTCCCCCCCTCCCCCGGCCTGGTCGTCTTGGAATCGCCGCTGCCTCCGGCAAATAATTATTTGTCCGATCGAATCGAACGAACGAACGAACAGTGGTTTGATCACCGCCACTTCCGTCTCTTCCGGCGCCGCCCCGATCGAACTGAAAACCTAATCTGCGCAGCTCTGATATACTTCGTTCGACCACCATTATCTTGGCGATTCTCTGTTTCATTGATCATTGACACACGGGTGTAACCTGTGGTCGCACAGACACGACTAACCGCCGAACATGTGGATCGTCTCATTTTGGGTGTTCCCCATCGTGTCAGCATGCACATGGATCGGTACGTTGCTCACCCGGATATGCGCCGGAAACCGGCTCTATCGACTAACTCGAATCTCTAGGCATGCTGATCGCGATGCTGGCGACCTGGGTGAGGGAAGGATCCCCGATATACGCCAGCATGGAGCCGGGACAGACCATTGCGTAGGTGATCACGCGACCTCCTGGCAAGCAACGCGATACTAACCCGTGGCCATCCAGGTACATTTCCGATGTCGGTGCGCAGGGATTGAAGCCGCTGTTCATCGCGGGCAGCTGCGTGACGGTCGTCTTCCTGGATCTTTCGTTTCTGTCGGAACGGTGGTTGCGCCACGCGGGCCAGTTGGTGTCGAATAAGGGACGGTTCGACAAGGCGTGCGCCATTGCCTCGATCTGCTTCTCGATCGCGGGCGCGTTGGGTCTGATCCTGCTGTCGATCTTCGATACCCTTCGCTACCCGCATCTTCATGATGGCTTCCTGGCCATGTTCTTGTGAGTGCTTGCGAATCTGGACTGGGGGAAAGAGGAGCTCGCCATGCTAACTTACTTGCAGGGCTGGATACTTGATCAGTGCCATTCTCATCTGCTGCGAATACTGGCGCCTGGGGATCTTTTACCGCTCCCAACATCGGGTCCTGCTGGCCAGCTTTGTAATCAAGCTCTCGTTCGTGATCATCGAGATCGCGCTCGCCATCGCCTTTGGTGTTCTCGGCAAAAAGGGCGGCCATTATCGAAATGACGCGGCCGTCCTAGAATGGGGTAGGTTCTCCCAAACCGATGCCTTTGCGAGCAGACTGGCTGACTGACTGGCTGCGATAGTGATCGCACTCATCTTCACCTTCTATGTTCTCTCGTTCGTGATCGACCTGCTGCCATCGGTGCGCACCCGCAAGCATGTCCCACAAGGCGAGAAGCGCCTGGAGATGTCCCGCGCCGAACAGACCGCGGCCTATCCCAATGGGCATGCGACTTACGAGGAGCCCGTAACGACGGACTCGGCCGGTCCAGCCGCCAACTTCTACCGCGGGCAGCGCGTGTAAGAGCCAACGGCTCGATGTCGCGAGTGGTGGACGATTTCCTTCGTGTAGAAGGAGTCCATAGAAGGTGCAATGTGGTTGGATACGATAATACTTATATGATACCTAGATACCCGGGTGGTTCCCTGCTGGTTGGATGTGTTGATGGATATCACTTCCTTACTATTTACTTGCTCTTTTTTTTTTTTTTGGCAATACCAGTTGACTTGCTCTTTAGCCGTTGTTTTTCTGATCTACCAATTTTTTTTTCTTGATATTCCGCCAACTGTGTTCAGATCATCCTCTCCATCTCTCTATCTGCCCACCCTGTCTATCGGCGTTTTGGATGGTAAAGATAATATCCAAGTACATTTGTTTCACAGACCATGATCGTCATTACCATTAATTGCTCTAGAAATACTCGTCTAATATCGACCAGCCCGTCCGTCTACCTGTACATCCATCATACATTCATTCCCCTTCCCTCCCCTTTCTGCCAACTCCCCCAACCCCTCAAGCCATCAAAACGCTCCTAATCCTCTCCAACTTTGCAGCACTCACGCCCACCTGCGCCAAATAGCCCTCCACGCCACCATACCGGGTATCCAAATGCGCATGAATCTCGCGGGTAAACCCACCGGGACACTTGGTGTAATCCTCCGACAGCCCCAGCACGCGAATCTCCTTCATGCGCTCCTCCGCCTCAACGAGGAGCTCGCCCTCCGACCGAACATAATCCGCCGTCATGGCGTCGACAGGCACCGTGCCGACAATCAGCAATAGCAGAAAGATGATCAGCCCGGTGCGATCCTTGCCCTGCGTGCAATGCACGATGACGGGGTACGTGGCAGCAGAGGCAGAGTCCCCGGCAGCAGCGGGAAGGGTAGCAAACAGATCGAAGAGGTCGCGCATCTCCCCGAAACTGCTGTCGAGGGTGTCGATGCCCAGACCGATGAGGCCGCGCGGGGACATGACCTGTTGGCCGACGATGGTGACGGCGTCGGTGCGGTAGCCGACGGCTGCTAGGGCGAGGACTTTGCTGGTTGGGGGTGTGAGTTTGTATGGCTTTTTAAATTTGTGGGGGGGGGGTTAAGATGCATACAAGAAATTCCACCAGTCCAGACGCCAGAGGAGGGTCCGCTCGAAGGCTTTGCCGGTGAGACTGATCAGGGCGCGCTGAACATGCGGGAGGTCAATGAGGTGGATGTTGTTGGTGGAGATATTGGAGTTGGAGGAGGGGAGGAGGAGGAGGAGGAGGAGGAAGGAGAAGAAGAGGAGGAGGGGGAGGAGGAAGATGGCAGTAGCTCAGAAAGGCGTTTGGAGGTGGCCATTTGGTGTTCGGTGCTGGGTTGGGGGCCATCAATCCTGAGTTGCTACGCGATGAGGGTGGAGGGATGCGCCTACCTGGATCGGAGATCGATGATTGTGGAGATGTGTAGTTCGTCTGAGAGACGACGTTTGTCGCGCTCCGAGGCATCGTCGAGCTTGGGCATTGTCAGTGTGGTGACATGACATGGCATGACAATAGTGAACATGAACAACATGAACAGTACGTACCCGTGCGCTCCGGAAGAGGAGGCCCTCTTTGAGCACCCTCTTGCCTACTAGCTGGTTGATGGTTCGGCCAACATCGCGGAAGTTGATGATGTTGTCAAAGGGACGATCGGGGGAGTCGAGGTCTACGCTCGATTGGCGGGGGTGTGAGGCAGGCATCTAGGCGTGCAACCGAGAATCTACTGGAAGAAGAAAAAGAAGAAGAAGAAGAAGAAGAAGAAGAAGAAGGATATATGAAACAAACAAAGGGAGGGGAGGAAGTCAGAGGGAGAATGGGATAAACACTGTGGGGGGGGGGGGGGGGGGTTAGTAAGGCATCAGAGAGGTGGTGGCCCTAGATAGAGACTGACTGGACGCTAATTGAAGCAGGACATTAGAGGGACAGTCCACAGACGGATGGATCGAGGAGGAGGAGGATGATGATATCGCATCGTGGAGACGGGAGGGAAACGTGGATGCGCCGCTGGGGAGCCGCGCGGCAAATGGCGGTGGAGCTGCTTACTGACTACTGAACTGCAGTGACTCCCGGAGATCCCCTCAAAACAATCAATCAATCATTATCCATCAAAATGGCAGTATTACGTGCGTATGGACCGGGTTCCCTGAAGAACGCCTTTTGTCTCCCCCGACCCTGTTCGCCGCCGACAAAAGCAATCTCGCCGACCAGATACCAGATACCCCCCCCAAAAGACATAAATAACACACACACACACACACACACACACACAAACAAACACAAACACAAACTCCATACATCATCGTACATAGCAACATGTTCAACCCATAGAGGGCAAAATTCACAGCTTCTCAGAGAACCGGGACTCCCGGCCACTGCTCAATCGCTTGCTTGTCGCAGCCGGCACTGTCAGTCCTGGATCCGTGGCACTCTCGCCGCGGTCCGCCTCCACTGCCAGGGTGGGGATGGCCTGGGAGCTTCTCCGAGCCATGTCGTTGCTCCCGACTCCGTTCGTCTTCGCCTCGGGGGCATTCTTCGAGACGACCTTCTTGAACCCGGACATCAGCCCTTTCCGCTTGCTGTCCGCGGCTGGCTCTTCGAAGGAATTGGAAGCGCGCTGTGCCGCCTGATCCTCGCCTTGTGCTCCATTCGTATGGCCTTCATCGGCCGACGGCACCTTGATCTGCACGTCACGAAGGTCCATGCTCGTTACAGGATGAGACCTTAACGGCGCTCGTCGAGACTCGTCCTCGACAGCGCCTTCCGTGGAAGCCTCGGGGACCGCGGGGGTAGCAGATACTGCAGGGGCCGCAGGGAGTTCTGGGACTTCGGGGACCTCCCCGGCTGGATGGGCAATGTCCCATGTTCTTCCTTGCCCGCCTTCGGTTTCCTGTTTTGGCCGAGCTTCCTGGACTTCCTCATCTCCACTCACTTGAGCCGCTTCCTGTGGCTGAGTCGCTGCTTCGGTATCTACTGCTCCGGCTCCTTCCGGGCTTTCATCCTTGCCGCCCTTCGCAGGCTCAGCGGTACCGCCACTGGATCGCCGTCCCAGCCTGCCCTTCAACCAGGACTTGAGCTTGGACTCGGATTTAGACATGGCCTCGCTAGACCCGGTTTCTGCGACAGCACCTGAAACAGCAGCTCCAGCGTCCTTGTCGGTCTGTTGCGGCCTAGCCTCAGCCGGTACCTCATCTGCTGCCCCATCCATGGCCCCTGTTGCAGTATATCTTTCGTCCGGTGCATTGTCAGAAGCGCGCTTCAACTTCCTGCTCCACAGCCAAGCCTTCTCTTCTCTAGACTTAGATTCCAATTTCAACAGTGCTATTTGTCCAAATTAGAACGTTGCGGGTCTGCGAAGGTTGTCAGCAAATAACACTCACCTTTCAGCCGTTTCTCTTCTGCCCTGGTATCGGCCTCCCGTTCACGCTCAATGGCCTCCTGTCTCTCCGCTTCTTCCTGATCGAGGCGTTGCTCTAGTTCTCTTGCCCGCTGGGCTTCCGCGCGGTCCGCAATCTCGTCAAAGGTGGGTTGCAGTCTAGAACGGGCAAGAGCCTCAACATCAGCCATGTCGACGTATTTTCCGGAGCTGATGTTCACGCGGTCGGCCAACGGGTACTGCGTCGTCGTTTCCTGTCTTTCCTGTTTTGCGTGGGCTAAGGCGGCCTCTTCCATTGCCTTCTGCCTCGCAGCAGGAGCACGCCCGGTGTCCGCATAGACACGCATCTCCATGTCTTGGATGGCGGCATCGACATTCTTCCTCGCCGCCTCCATCAGAAGTGCGCGGTCCTTTTCTCTACGCTCATCCACTGCATCGAGCTTTGATCGCAGGCTGTACATCTGGTTCCTTATCTCCTTCGATCGCTCTGCATCAACAGAAGAGACGTCCGTGTCTATCGACGTTCTCCGTCTGCGAACCTGCAAGCTGGGGCGCGTTGTTTGCGGCTCGATCCCATAGTACTCGCGGTAGACTGCCGTCTCGTCCTGCATGCTAGCCAGTTTCTCCGCTGCACGCTTCTGGGCCATATCCTGTAAGCTGAACGCCTGCTGCAGAGCCATCGGCTCAGCTCCCGTGACTGATCGCTGGGAGCGTATGCGACTGAGGCCAACCTGTCCCTGTTCCTTGGCTTCGACAACCGCATACATGTCGCGCGCCATAGATACTGCGGCGGCTTGCAGGATGCTCTTCCGTTTGTATTCCTCTACCTCGGGCGCGACTGGTGGGGAAGCCGTGTAGAGCCGAGCGTTGGTATTGGAAATGTGTTGAATCCTACTGGCTTCCATGGCGCTGCCGATGTCACCGAGGACGTCATCGGCGTCCATGCCTGCGCGAGGTGCCTCGGATGGTGCAGAGTCAGATCTCTTCCGGTTGGCATATAGCGCCCCCGTCGCGGCATGAAGGGCCCTGTCTCGGCCTGTGGCTCCTAGGTATGCGTCCGCCGTCTGACCTGATCCGGTTATGTCATATTTCAAGACTGGGGACACGGTAGGGACACTAGAGACTGCTTGACGGTCCTTGAAAACGAATGCCGCCGCCTTATACCCTTCCAGACTTGGCCCCTCGGCCAGGCGATTGTCGCCAGCATCCTGTGCAGCGGCTGTTTCTTTCGTGACCTGTCCTCTGGACCTAGCGTGGGCGAGAGCGGCTACTGCAGACGCATGGCTGAAGCCAGGGCGGGAGCCGGTTGCCTTCAAAGCTGAAACACGGGCAAGCAGTCAGCATGGATGGCGGGTACATGGACCGCGCAGGGGAGAAGTAGTGGGTGCTCACTGGATAATTCGGTTTCGGCGGCAGAGGGCTCGCGAACGGATAGTCTGCGCTCCGGGTGGGTCACATAGAGGGCAGCGGTGGCAGCTGTGTAGTAGGAGGCATTGGGTTAGCTACTATGTATGTAGGTATAATTACACCAGAGTCCACCACATTCCGCAGTTTCCAGTCCCGACCAGTCTCGGCAGATGTTGAAGATAATGAGATCATGGCACAAGAATGAATGACAGGATGGAGAGACCCGGATGATGATAATACGATCATCGGAGTGCCAGCATGAAACAGGCTAACAACGCGCATGGCGGATCAGAAGCCGGAGGAGACGCAGATCGCTTACCTTGACTCGTTAGGCGGGCTGATCGGGACCGTGGGATGGCGGTGCGCTGGACGGGCACGGGCTGCTCAAGGGTGGCCATGATAAGATAACGACGACGATCGGCTGCAGGGAAGCTGGAGGGTGCAGACCGGCATGCCTGGAGATCACGGTCAAGGATAAGAGGGGAGGAGGGGAGGAGGGGAAGAGGAAAAGGGTAAGGGAACAAAAGAACGGATTGGGGGGGGGGGGGGGGAGGGAGGGGAAAAAGAGCGAAGGAAAAGTTAAAAGGCGGACGAAAAGTTAATGACGCCGATGATGCTGAAGGGGGAAGGGACGAGGGGGATGATGAGGTGGTAGTTCCCTTGACTGGGTAGTACCAGTGTTCAGTGTTCTCTCTCTCTCCCTACTTACTACCACTCTTACGGAGTAAGTACATCGTAGTAGTTACTAGTACAGAGTACCACCGGCGTACTTCTTTCTACCCAGTCAGTAAGCTATACTTAGTCCTGTGTATCTAGTTACTATAGTCCAGAAGGACTGTTGTAACTATACATAGTAGCAGTACTGGTAGAGTAGCACTACTGAACCGGCAGTTGTCAGTGACGTCGACGAAAGCTGATGTCATGATGAAAAAAAAGGGTTGCACTCCACCATCCATCCGTTTGCGCCGATCCTCTCCCGTCAAGGTACACCACACCGTACCTGGCAGTCTGGCTGAGGCCAAGCGAAGTATTATTTTCTTCATCGACTCAGCCTTATACAGGGCACAGTTCGTCCCCCTGCTCCGTATCTATCTAGTAGATAGTAGTAGTAGACTCATCCATCCTGGCGGCGACTAGTCGCGAACCTAGTGGCTCGCCCAGATTAATCGCTCACCAGCCCCAGTCAGGTCATGTCATCATGGCGGTGCATGCCTTGTTGGTTGGTGTCCTGACCTGATCCCAATCTTACTATCTACCTGATGCTAACTAACGTGGGAGCTGGGCCTTTTAGAGAATAAGAAGTCGCGACTAGTCGCAGAACTAACAAGACACGATGGAGCAACTACTTACCCTTATAAAGACACGCTTTCCCCGCAGCGCAACCCAGCCAGCACCTGAGCACAGCCTAGCCCAGCCTAGTCCAGCCCAGCACACTATCGCCATTTCAACAATTATTTATTATACATAACACCGAGGCACCATCATCTGTCACTCGTTCATTTATCTTACTTCCCCGTCTCCCCTCTCCTCCCCCTCTCCTTCTCCCCCCCCCCAAAAAGCTTCCCTATCTATCTACCTCCTCCTCCTACACCACCACCAAAACAAATAGTACTAGTACTAGTACTAGTACTACTACCACATCACACCACATCACACCCATCACCATGTTCTGGTTCTCTTCCCACCAGCAACAACCCCAATCTCCACCACTTCCTCCCCTCTCCTCCTCCTCCCCCAAGGCCCAAATTCGTAGAACCCTCAAGGCCCCTGGCCGTCCCATCGCCATCCGCAAGGACCATATCACCGACACCCAGACACTCCTCATCGTCCGCCCCCAGGGTGATGCCCAGTCCGCCGTGGCCTACAAGATCCAAGATGCCGACGGCCTCACCCTCTACACCGCCACCGGTCGCAAGTTCAGTGACCGGCCCTGTCGCGAGTTCCGTGACGCCTCCGGGCTACCGCTGTTCGAGCTGCACCGCAAAATCTCCTTCAAGAACAACTGGTCCGTCACTCTGCCCGGCAGTCCCATCGCCAGTCGCATCGCCAAGGGCGCCCTGCGCCGCTCATCGTTCAGTACCGCCGGCTGGGGGAATTTCACCATCACGTTCGACAACGTAGCCGCCGCGGAGGGGAAACGCCCCGAGGAATGCACCATGACCCTGGAGGTGCAGCGCCATGGGAATGTGCTGGCGCTGTTCGACGTGATCGACGGGGATCGCAAGATCGCCGAGGTGAAGGAGAGTATTCGCCATAACGAAAAACTGGCGCTCCTGCCCGCCTCTCGCTATGGCTACCGCCCGGTGCTGGATGTTATTGTCACCCCTGGGGTGGATATGGCCCTGGTAAGACTCATTCCTCGAGTTATGGCGTCCTGTTTGTTATTCGCTCAACGGGAGGGGGTTGTCTGACCGCTTGTCTAGGTTGCGACCATTGCTGTCATCGCCTCGGATACTGTGTTTGCCTCGAATTACTGAGGCGCACAGACACACGGAAAGAAGAAAAACAACTACTACTATCTCGAATGGGACGTAGCAGCATGAGACATGAACTTGATGACTCGTCTTTTCTTTCCCTCCCCATTTCTTTTCCCTCCCTTTCTTTGCCCGGCTCGGTTGTTCTTATGGGCCCACTTCCAGGCTTATTCAACAGCCTATTCAACATATTAGCGGGCTATGACTTATTCGAGGGCGTCTGTGCGGACTCTGGAGTACGCCCGGGGCTTTTACGACTCTACGTCGCTCTTACTACGTTCTGCAAATATCTGTTTTTGTTTGGCAATAGCGGGGTGACGTGCAATGTGCTTGTTTCATAGGCTGATATTTTCCAGTGTTGGCGCATCCCGTCTGTTCGCTGGAAACCTCTCTGGAGTGTACATATCTTGGATCGCTGAACTTCATCGAATAATTGAAGGGTATTATCTGGTAAACAGAGAGAACCGGAGGTCAAGCTAAAGCTATTGACCCTGACAGGCTTATCGCAAATGCAGAAACTTCAGTACATCGTGCCGATGGAAGAAAGAGCGGTTCCATTTCCCAAAAATGTCTGCAACCACATTAGTTGACATCTTCCCGACAAGGAGGAACTGGCACATACACATGGGGATGCTCAAGGCACAGATCCCCATCTGGATACTCGAGATGGCCAGGAAGGCCGGCCTGACGCCATTGGACACCAGCCAGTCGTAGGCGTAGAATGTCAGAACGAAACTGAACATGTTTTTGAAAACGAGCATGCAGGTGAACGATTCAATCGCGATTTCGCCTGCGGAGGGGGATCAGCTAGCTTGTCCACTTGTTGCGATTCTAGAAAAATGCTCACGATGTGCGTCTACGATATACAGCGCACTCGCCACGGCACCCATGACCATCCCGACGATGACGAGCGCGAAGAACACATCAGCCACAAGCCATCCATACCTGGCTACATCCTCGGCGATAATTCCGAACCCGTAGAGCCCTGCGCCGCAGAATATCAGCTGGAAGGTTACCAGGAATATGCGAAACTCTGGTTCATATTTCCCGCGGTTGAGCTTGATCAAGAAACGGTTCATCGAATCGGACAGGATCCCCGACAAAACCAAGCCCAGGATGGAACCGATGAAGGCCCCAGTATACAGGTACCCGGTTTGTACCTCATTGAACCAGAGCGGGGGTCCGAGAAAGATAGCGGCCAGGACAACACCGATGAATACCGTCCATCCGATGATGACACCTTGAATCAAACAAGCCTGCAGCTGTTAGATCGCACTTCGAATCCCCGAACCAGGCCCTAGGGCTTACCCAGAGAATTGCGGGATGGAAGAAAAGGGGAAATGGTCGCAGAAGGAGTTTGAGGAAACGTTCGTCGGTTTTGCGTCCATTGAATGGCTTTAGTGTTTCGAAGTATGTGACCTTGGCAGGTACTTCTTTCTTTGCCTCCCTCGACAGCTCGTTTGAGGATCCCCCCCGGGCGGATTCGTCTATTATACACGGTGTAGTCGGTTTTGGCAAGGTCGGTTCCTGGAGAGTCTTGGGCGCTGGAAGGTCGGTGAACTGTACCTGCGAGGCTGTGCGACTCCCAGACAGGCGGCCAGTAGCATTTTCAACGCCAGCGCTGGGGGATTCCGGACGCCTGAAGGCCGTCTCGGGCACGAAGAAGAAGGTGACGGGCAAGGCTGCGGCGGTGAAAATGGCGACCAAGTAGAATGTCCACTCCCAGCCGAGGGTGTGCGTTATCTTGCCGGCCAGGACTGGCGTGAGAAACGCTGCCCCAAAGAGCGCAACGTTGGAAAGTGCCATTCTTTTGCCCCGTTCCTGTACATCTGCTCAGCATGGACCTCAAGCCATACAAGGCGCTGCGTGTCTACCTACGTGGACGTAGAACAAGTCACCAACACATGCGTTGACCAGAGCTTCGAAAGGGGCCAAAGCAACGCCCTGGAAGATACGGGCCCACAGTAGACTTTGGTAGTTGTCTCGACTTGCCCCGGCCCAGGCGCAACTCGCGACCATCAAGACATTCCCAAGCAGAAAGAGGTGACGCTTTCCCCAGACTCGGGCAGTAGGCACAATCAAGATCCCGGCCACCCCGACGCCGCAGAGGTGGTACCCGGTCAGGAGCGCAACTGAGGTGAAGCTTTTCCCGTAGTGTAGAGCAATGGTGACAGTATTCGCAGCCATGAGTGAGCTGGTAGTTGCGCAGAGCACTGCGACAAAACAGAGGGCAAAAAGCGTGCCGTCGCGCTTCCATCGCGGCCAGTTCTGGTTCCAGCGCTTGTCAGTTCGCCGGGCTCGCTCAGATCATCCAAGGTCTTTCTTTCTAACGAACCAACGGATCATTTGGGTCATCGCTTGGTTGAGGAACGAGCAAGATGGGCACCGAACCTGTGCCGTCGTATTTCAGTTCTGAGTGGACTGTTACTTCGCCAGTGGTGTCTGCTTCTGTCCTGAGTATGACCGACGTGCCTGTTTCGGAAACCCATGAGACAATTGAAACCGGGTATTGGGCTGAACTGGCGAGATCTTACCAGGTACGTGAGCGTGTCTGGTATCTAGCACGCCAAGTCCCATTTTCGCTATACACAGGTTGATTGACAGGCTGATTGGGGGTTTCTGGATATCGAGGAGAGGTCACCCGGGCTCTAATGGATACTATACGAGTCGACCAGTCCACGGTTTCACAAGCTCTAAGCGGGGAAGGCTTTGTCCCAAACAACACTCCATGATTGTAGGAGCGGGCGGGGTTTTCTTAAGGTGGCTCAAACTAAGATGACCGCATTCCTTCCTGCAAGGGCTGGATCAACAGCCCTCCGACCAAGACAACAAGGCGGCCTGGCTCAAACTTTGATCATTTGGGCCAACGTCGATCGTCCGTGGGAGCACAACCAGCCCAGATGGCTCAATATTCAGACACGGTAGAGTTCCAACTACTGGTTGAGACATCCAGGCGATCCCGGAGGATATGCAGCTGCAGTCTAAATATTCAGTTGTGACGGGCGTTGGGACCTTGCAGGTGGGCAAGCACTAACTACAACATACTAGTAGGATATACAGATCGAGTACTCCGTTGCACATGCATCAACTTCTGCCGTATTGCTTAGCAGCTCCAGAGTAAGCCACCTCCGAGTCCTCTTTCAAAATGAAAGTGAGTACGTGTGTCACCTGGATGAGATTGAAGGGCGCATCTCCAAAGGCAATTGGACGAGAACCTGACCAAGCAAGCACCAAGGGACGAATTGCGACATAGCCCAGGAAGCAAGGGGCAGCAACTGAGGAGGAGCTGAAGATCCCCGGGGGTGTGGAGAAGACCAAAGGGTAGATAGATAGGCTGGAGACTTTCATTCCTCCATCTCCGGGGTATCACAAGCGGTATCTTTCTTCTTACTATTGGTCTGTTGCTTTTGTAGTTGGTGGATGGGATGGCACAGCGGCATGCAGGTATAATGCATCTATGTCTCCGTCCGGCGTCCACAAGACATCCGGCGGACATTATTTGGCCCCCCTTCCCCATCCCCCTTGATGATGATGCCGCCGCCGTTGGCCGTTCTATCCCGGTGCCGGTGCTATTCTCCCATGTGCCGACACAACATGACAGGTCGTGGAATAGAATCAAAGATCTAGACTTTTTTTTTTTGTTTTGTTTTGCAGAGGCAAGGAGTTTCAAAATGCAAGTCGACTCCTGAGACCCTGGTACCACATAGCTTTCCCCTGGTGGTGCCTTCCAAGTGAGAGTCCTCCGTACAGACGGACTGCCTCGCCGTGACGCGCCTTCTACTTTTGAACCCTCCGTCACGTTCATTCCGCCCTCTTCCTCCTCCTCTTCTTCCTCTTCCTCTTCTCTTCCTCTTCCCTCGTCTCATCTTCTCAGCCCCCTTTCATCCACCGATTCATCATCAACTCTCCTTCCCGGCAGGTCTATCAGTGTAAAACAGCTGCATCGGCTGTCAACACCGTTCTATCCTACTTGACTGCCCCCCTTGACATCCTCAAAACCCAACATGAAGCTTGGCCACGTCTCTGTAGCGCTCCTGGCTGGCTTAAGCCCGGTCGTGGCTCAAGGAATGGAAAGCCTTCCAGCCTGTGCTGTAAGTGTTTTGTATCTGTTCAATGCTACTGCCATCGAACCTAGATGCCAGCCCACTACACTCCGTACATGGCTGATCAGCAATAGAGAGACTGCGCTACCAATTCAATCCCAAAGACATGTAAGGCTATCGATGTCAACTGTATTTGCTCCGACAAGTCTTTCATCACTGGCATTTCCTGCTGCGTTGCCAATGCATGCTCGCAACAAGACCAGCAATGTATGTCCCGACCCCTAGCCCGCGAGCCTTCTCCTTCCTGCATTTGGCGGAGTCGTTCTCTACCTCGTGGACTCGGTGAACTGTGTTTACTGCATTGTTAAATTTCGCTGACCCTTGCCCCAATTCAAAGCTGCACTCACCTTCGCACAGCAGATCTGCGGTGGTGCTGGCGTAACCGATCTCCCCCAGAGCGCTAGTTGTACAAGTGGGAGCATAGCGAGTGCCACCAGCGCAAATACAACTAATGCAACCGAGCTACTTTCGAGCACTTCTGCGACCCCTTCCTCCACTGCTGCTAAAAATGGGACTGACCTTAACGCCCCTGGCAACGCTTCAGCAAATGCCACCCATACCGGCTCCAACACCCAATCGGTGAGAACCCAGGCAGCTACTGCGACCAACAAGAACGCGGCAAGCACTTCAACTGCTAGTGGTGCTGCTGGTGTAATTTCAAAAGGAAAGGATACTGGCTTCGCTGCAGTCATTGGTGCGGCTCTCTTTGCTTTGCTTGCTTAGAAATCGCCAAGTCACGACCCTTGTTAGGTGATGTAGCGAGCGAAGTCGAATATCGATTCACCCACCCCAATTTGTGGAGATGGAGAGCATCTTCGATTTCCTATGAAACGTTTGGTATCCTGAAGATTGAATCGATGTCGAATCAGTCGGGCCAGTGATTTTAATTGCTTGACATGTTCATTGTATGTATCATAGGGGTTTCAAGCCTGGCATCTCTTCTATTGTCTCTATGTCTATGTACCTAGTAATATCCACATTATTGCGGATACCGGATCCCGGGTGCGTCCTAGTGATCATGTTCCACGAATCGAGCAGCTACGTCCTGTCTCTCTTCCCGGAGTGTGAGGAAGATCTATTGATAGTTAGTGCATCATATCCCAGACTACAAGCCCCGTAGCGTTTTGAGGGCAATGGTCGAGACTTACCCATAGCCAGAACATCATCTCCATGAAACCGTATGTAAACACCACCCTGTTCTTCAGCTGATCCAGACCGGACGTAGCTACACCCGCGGACCCATAGCTGCCCATCACACTGGCGGCATCCATCCCCCAGGCCGACGGCTTGCTCTGGTAAATGAAAAAGGAGACGGCGAAGAAGAGACAGAAGCGAGAGGCGGATAGTATGGTCCAGATTTCCGAGTAGAGCGTGACCAGTCGGGCCAGGACAGGATTCGTGCGCATAGCCCCTGCAGAGGGGAAGGGGGACTGCGTTCTTGCGGCATTGACCATGGCAAGGACCTCATTGATCTGGGGTACCTTGGTCACGAGGATGAGGTCGACCAGAGCCTCGAGGACGAGGAGAACACCACAGAGCGCGAAGGGAGATTGAGGGCGGGAGAGACTCGGGGAGGCATCCTGATTGCGATGACAGGGTTGTTTTGTTAGCAAGCCATGCGACTTTTGGAGATAGGGGGCGCAGACGGTGTACAAACCAGGTTCAGAAACTCGCCCAGCATGAACACAACATCCGACTCGGTGACAACCTCCGGCGATCTTGTCAGGTAGACCGCAAGCACAAACAGAAACAGGGCATGTGCCTGGATCAGGGTCTTGGACGAAAGGAGACCCATGCTAGCGGATTCGTCTCGGCGGCGCAGACGGGCGACCAGCTGTTATTCTTTGGAGGAGCTCTCAGGGCGTGTGGTCGTGGAACTTATCCGGTGCATCAAGAAGTACGGAGTATCTACCATGGGGGTTTTCCCCTTGCAGGCCCGGCCGGGTGGGGCTGCGCGCTGCTAACTCCGATAGACTCCGCCCGCCAAACGATCGCGGCAACAGACCTGTCATTCTTCATGCGATAGAGGCCAGGATTTGGCACAGTCCTCCCAGAAGCCCTCCCCGATCCCATTGACCATCTCGACCCGGCCTTGAATCTGCCAGCGCCCTCGCTCTGCCTCCCCCCGAACCCGCTGCTTATACGACCGTACTCCTGGATGCGACATTCGGACCGCGCTCACTGACATCATGGCCGAAGTCACCTTCAACCGAGAACGCCATATCAAGTATTTCCTGCGATGTCTCAAGACCTTCCTCCCGAGCTTATATACCTCCAATGACTCCAATCGAATGCTCCTTGCCTTCTTCACCGTCGCGGGTCTAGACCTCCTTGGCGTCTTGCAGAGCAAGACCACCCCCGAAGAGAGACAAGGATATATCAAGTGGATCTATCACTGCCAGGTGCCCACGGGGGGGTTTCGAGCGTTCACCGGAACGGATTTTGGGTCGGAGAACCGCACACCCGAGAATGAAGCCTGGGATCCCGCCAACGTACCGTCGACTTTCTTTGCGCTGGTGGTCCTCGTTATACTGGGTGATGATTTGTCGCGAGTGAAGCGGGCGGCGTGTCTACAATGGCTCCCTCGGTTGCAACGCGACAATGGAAGCTTCGGTGAGGTGCTTGGTCCTGGGGGGGACATTGAAGGGGGCGGCGATCTACGATTTTGCTGTTTTGCAGCGGGCACCCGGTATATACTACGAGGGAAAGGTGGGAGGGACGTGGACGATATTCGGGATATCAATGTGGACAAGTTGGCCGCATTTGTTCAGGCCTGTCAGGTAAGCGAGGTCCTCTCAAGCCGTTGGTGGGCCATGCGCGCCGTCAATGGTCTTCCTTGGAGACATGACCTATGGGCTGAGACACTCTCCAGGCATACGATGGCGGCATGGGAGAGGCGCCCTTTTGTGAAGCGCATTGTACGTCTTGTCCGAGATTTTCTGTTCCCTCAAGCTGAAAAGCTCTTGGCTACAGGGTGGCTGTTGACTCACTATACATTGCAGCGGGTCACACATACTGCGCCATGGGCGCTTTGACATTTTTGGGTCGGACGGCGAAGACGCAAACTTCACCCCCAGTTCTTTTACCGGGCGCAGTAGAATTCGAATCCCTGGTCCGATGGCTAGTCGCCAGACAGACGGCCGAACTTGGTGATACGGAAGAATCAGACGAGGAGGACGGCCCTAAGGTTGACGCAGTCCCAGAACCACTGGCCGACGAAGAACTCGATATAGACGCAGGGCTTGATAGGCTTCCTCCTCTAACACCGCCCACGGAAGAGTCTTTACGATATGCCGGGTTCAATGGACGCTGTAACAAATACGCCGACACGTGCTACTCGTTCTGGAATCTAGCGACTTTAGCTGTAAGGGATCATAACCTGCCGGCGTTATGCTAGGATGACGGGCCGAACTGATCATTTCTGGCTAGATGATGGACCGACTACCTTTGGTAGACGCCGTTCGAAATCGACAATATCTCCTTGGAAAGACCCAACATATTATCGGTGGGTTTGGGAAGGGGGTCGAAGAGCCGCCAGGTAGGTCCAAGCAGCCGCGTGGCTCTTTTCCCGGTTGAGCCCGTTCACTGACGGGTATCCACAGACCTCCTCCACTCCTACTTCGGAATGGTTGCGCTCGCATTCCAAGGGGAAGAAGGACTAGATGGAGTTGACCCAGCTCTGTGTATCAGTCGCCGGGCAGTGCGGCATCTCGAGTCTCTCCCCTGGTGGTAAAACTAAGAGAGGGGGCAGATACAGGTTGTGAGATGAGTGGCGGGGAAGCCCGGGCTTCGAGTCAAAGTGCAATGAAGTTTATGAAGTTTGTCATATACCCTAATTGCGCTACCAGGTTTATGGATGATCTATAGTTATGTCAATGCTTGTACAGACGGCAGAGATGATCTCGAAAACAAGTCACAGATGCGATGCCGATGCCCCATTCGTAGGAGCATCATACGATTCGTTTCCCACATTGTATCTATCTAGCTACGGCGTACCCCGGAGACTATCTACTAGATATGTACGGAGTACGAGATATTATCTACCTAGCAATATCCTTATGAAACGGGCGGGAAAATCTCTACTCGATCTGTGGGAGGCGGCGGCCACTAGAGGGGGACTAGGGAGGCATGTCATAATACACGAGACCCTATCAGATCATCACCTTGCATCGGTTTCACCGTGCTTTCTCTCGCGGATAGGGGGGGGGGGGGGGTCGCCCGGCAAATTACCCAGGAATGAAGGCACAGCAGTAGGTTGACTAGATACATACTATCTACTATCTACTATCATGTGGCAAGGTAGATACAGCATGGATAAAATACCATCTACTGCTAGGCTAAGCTTCCGGTTTGTCCCTGAGCTGAGGATGCCGATGACGGACAGGATTCAGGGGGTGTGCTCCACCACTCCATCCCGAGCCGGGGCACCTCTGACTCTGGCTCTGCGATCTGTGAGAGGACGGGTGAACTACTCACTCTCTAGGTACTCTCCAGGTAATTTTGGTGTATGGCAATAACAAACAGTAACAGCAACAACTCCGGTTGCACATACATTGAATGTCCGATGGCGTCGTCTCTAAAAGCCTGTCACAAACAGCCATATTCTGTAGTGGTACATGGGAATCCGGGCTGGATGGCCGTAGCCAGTTCGAAATTAATGCCCATGATGTTGATGGCGGACCCGAATTAATTTAAAATGAACGGCGTGACAGAAACGGCCCACGTTTTCTCCCGGCTAGAAATGGTGGCGGCGGGCGGCTAAGAGCAGATGCTAATAAATAACAAGAACAAGAACAATCACATCATCATTAGAATCACCCCCATTGTTTAGATATCACCAGGATGGCATCAATTAAAAGCACCTTCTCAACAGCGGTATTCTACTGGGAGAGAGAGAGAGAGGTGTTTGGGGGGGGGGGGGGGGGAGGTATCTACATAAAAAGCATGAAGAGACATTGATGTCATTTCTATCTATACTTGGGTATTGTAGCCGGTGCTGCCCAGTAGCACACTGAAGTAGTACTATCGAGTCAGTGAAGGACAGCGACCATCGCCAAATTCAAGACCGATGGCGAGGATCCGAAAGGGGGATGTTCCGATTCCGACACCAATCTAGATACTTTAACTACTTACTAGTAGTGGTAGGAGTGCGGAATAGCAGTCGCACTTGCCAAGTTAGCAGAAGATGAAGGCGGAGGGAGGCAAGTGCCCGACCAGAAAGGAAGGAAGGCACTGAACAAACCAGTACACCAGTACCCAGTACAATCCTTTCCTTTGTATTCCTCTTTCTCCCTCCTCCTCGACCTGCTTTCTACCTTCATCGCTTTGGGTGTCACATTCGTTTTATCCTGGTCCTCCCCTCCCTCCCCCCCCACCTTCCTCCCATTCGGGCCCATGCACGCCCCTGCCTGTTGTCGTCAGTGCCAAACTCCGTCTTCCATCATTATTTCTTCGTCACCACCACCACGTCTCTCTGCTTGCTTGCTGGTCGGCTGGCTGAACTGAGACTTGCCTGCCTGCCTGCCTCCTTCCTGCTCATTCATATCTACTAGTACTGTGTATTGATTGCCCAGGAACCAATCCAGTCCATTAATAGTCGTTTCCACTATATCCGTCCGTATCGACATTTCTTTTGGCCCGGTTGCTCACTACCTGGTATGTGTTTGCCTTTCCCTCCTGAGCTCCCCCTCCGTCCTCCTCCTCCACCACCACCACCATTCCTGCACTTGGCCGTTCATAATGTCGCATGCCTTTCTAAATCCAAACTAATTTCCACCTGGCTTATGCTCCCTCTAGCCGATTTCTTATCTGTTTGCCCTTCTGCATCCGCTCCTTTCCCCGAGATATTGCGGTTCCGAGCTTCCCACCGACGGAACCACCTACCAGCAGCAGCTACTGCTACTACGTCTTCCTCATCCTACATTCTCTCGTGCTTCAGATCCCGAAAGACGCCCGCCCGCCGTGAATAAACATCGCCCTTCATCGCATAATCTTCCGCTGCGCCCAACCATTGCCTCCTTGTTTCGCTCCTTTCCGTTTCTTCCGCATCGGCGTCAACTTCGAGCCTCCTCTTCTTCCAACTAGACCGGTCTCTGCGGTCTCTCCTCCTCTTCCTATATACTTCGCTTGGTTGGATGGCAACCTCCGGCGATTCAACCCAACAACGGCTATCCACGACATTCGAGGACACACGTATCCCACCTCCGCGGACTTCCCCAGATAGGCGGAGATAATCTAAACACATGCCACCTCCTAGGTCGAGAGCGGAGGTCCAGGCCCAGAAACAAAAGGAAAAGGTGTGTATCTGGCTTCTGCTGTCTTGGGACTTGACGGTTGTACAATGCACATGGCCCAGCCTCTCTTTATCCACCACCCCATTGCCTGTTCTTTCCAGACACCATCCCGGCATTGCGCCCCTTTCTCCTTGTATATGTGTGGGGTGATTGATTTACTAACTTTGCGCGCCATAACAGCTTGCTCAGTCATATAATGCATTGTTAGAGTAAGCACCCACCCATCACATTCTTTGCTACAAATACTAATGCCATCGTTGCACCAGAGAATTCTCGTCAAAGGATCTCCGGACCGTAGGAAATTATACTCTCGGGCGACTCATTGGGAAAGGTTCCTTTGGCAAAGTCTATCTTGCCTCTCATAAGCTCACCAATGGCTCCAAGGTATGCGCGCCGACTGAAAAACACAAATCACCCTGGTGTCGCGAGAGGCTGACCATAGATGTGCAAAGGTTGTCCTCAAGTCATCAAGTAAAGAAGACAGGAATCTGGCGCGCGAGATCCATCACCATCGCCAATTTCTCCATCCCCATATCGCCCGCCTCTACGAAGTCATTGTGACGGAAAAGCTGGTTTGGCTTGTGCTCGAGTACTGCCCAGGTATGTTGCGGAGCACAGTCGCACGTGTGGTTAGACGTTAATCACACATGTTCAGGTGACGAACTATACAACTACCTCCTCCGACACGGTCCACTAGCAGTCGACAAAGTCCAGAGAATTTTCACGCAACTTGTGGGGGCCGTTGCTTACGTTCATAGCAAATCTTGTGTTCACCGTGACCTGAAGTTAGAGAATATCCTGCTCGATAAGCATGAGAACGTCAAACTTTGCGATTTTGGATTCACTCGGGAATATGAGGGCAAGGCGAGTTACCTACAAACGTTCTGTGGAACGGTGTGCTACAGCGCCCCGGAGATGCTGAAAGGCGAGAAATACGCCGGTGAGAAGGTCGATGTATGGAGCTTGGGCATTATTCTGTACGCCTTGCTCGCGGGAGAGCTGCCGTTTGATGAGGATGACGATCAGGTTACCAAGGCCCGAATTCTTACCGAAGAGCCGGTTTTCAGCGATAAATTCCCCGACGATGCGAAAGCCCTCATCAACCTTCTACTGTCGAAACGGCCTCTCATCCGGCCTGGCTTGGATGAAATCCTCGCACATCCATTTCTTGCTGAGCATGCCCCCGAACAGCTAGTGATATTGAAGATCCCACGCCCGTCAGCTTTCTCGACCCCCTTGGAAAGGACGACTCTGCAACGCATGAAGAGCGCGGGTGTCAACATTGATGAGGTTGTTGAGAGCGTCCTTTCTCAAAGATGCGACCCGCTTGCCGGCTGGTGGGCATTGCTGATAGAAAAAGAGCAACGGAAAGAGCAAAAAAGGGAGCGCAAGCGACGCGAACGCGAAGCGGAGGCCAAGAATATACGGCGCTTGAGTGCAGCGAGCAGCCGGTTGGAAAAGATCTCAGCCGCACTTGTGGAGGTCGACGAGGAGGGGCATGCCTCTGCAAATGTACCTCTACATGAACGAGGGCGAAGGGACCGGCGAAGTCTTCCCTCTCAACTTGCTGTCCCGGAGTTACCGATGCTCCCTGAGCCGGCCCCCATGCAGTCCCCCGATTCCAGCAACCCCCGCCTCCAATTGATAAGGACTCGATTCGTTCCGCTAGTTCCACTCGGCAGCGTCCACCACCCCCTCCAAAGGACCAAGCACGACGGCCAAGCACGTTACATGTGAGTGCTTCGCAGCCTGAATTAGCACAGCACAATGGCCTATTCAGGCGTCGGACCAGCCGCCGCCAGTACCCGATTATCAGCCAGCTGGCCTCATTGAAACACTGGTTTGTGGAGTCTGCAAAGAGAGCCAAATCTCCCCACGCCAAATCATCTGGCGGACAAGGAGGGCATCGCAAATTTCTGTCGGAGAAGCTTAGTCCTGCAAAGAGCCAGGACGCAGGGAAAAAGCCCACCTCGTCATCTGGACCCGTTGCGCACCCGGGCGACCTGGCAACGCCCACGCAGATCAAGCGCTCATCCAACGCCAGCAGTTTAGCCCCAAGTAGTGCTTCATATCCCAACAACCGTCACTCATTCCCTCGCCAGCAGCGTCCCTTGAGCACCAGCCAAAACCACCGCAATTCTCTTTCACCATCTCCAATCACCCCGAGAGGCTCCTACAGACGATCTTCTGCGGGCCTGCGTGGCCGCAAATCCACTTCCTCTTCCGTGTCCTCCATCCGCAGCATCCACCACACTCATACTCACTCTAAAGCGTCGTCTGTTTCGTCAAATAGTATTGGATCCGCGTCAACCCCGACGGCTAGGATATCGAAATCCCCCCATTCCTCGGTCAAGGTACTTCCCACGACACCAAGCGCCTCTGCCCGCTTTCCTAGCAATATTCGTCTTGTTCGAGGTACACACAATGGATTCCGGGACCTGGATGACCATAACGGAAGGATGAATTCGATGTTCAACGAGGCAGCCCCGACGCCTCTACTCTATTCCCCTTCATCAAGTCTCGTGTTTGCGCGTCGTAAAAGATCTGCTTTCAAGGGCCCTATGATCCATACAGCCAATCTCATGGTGTCAGGAGGTATGACCGGCCCAGAGTACCCGAATGGTGATTTGGGTGTGGGGGGACCCGCGGTGACTACTACGACCCGGGCTACCGGACGGAAAAGCCAGATCATCGAAGAAGAGGAAGACATGGAGGAAGATATTGAGGAAGTGGACACATTTGAGTGCGCGGAAGAAGAGCCAGGCTCGCCAGTCGAGTTCATGAGTGCCGAAGAACACCCTTCCACGGATCATACTGAGGAGTTGCCCGAGCAGACTCGCAAGCCGACCTTGGCTCCTGCTCCAGAGCTCGACTCCAGTCCACGTCCGCCGCGTTCATCCTCTTAGAGAGCAAGGCCAATAGCAACACCCACAGAATAGGTGGGGAGTATCAGACGTCTTGGTATTACTGCTCTGAAGAAAGCTAACTCAAGCACGAAAGAACGTCGAAACCAGAGCATCAGCAGCAGCCATAGAATATGGAGCTTTTTTTGAGTATATTGTTAGCATTTTCGATACATTGTTTGTCCTGCACATTTATACCCCTTTTTTCGTGTCTATATGGAGTTAGACCTTCTTGGACAGTGTTGCGCAAAATAATGATGGGATGATGAGCTAGAAGCCGTTTGTACACCATGCCATCCCCTCTTGCTTTCTGTCCTTTGGTTCCCCCTTTACCCTTTTTACCAATATTTATTCACCCCGAAGAACCGAGAGGTGTGCCTTTTTTTTTTTTTTAATTTTTCTACCAGGCCATCTGATCATGCACAATCGCACATTTCCTTTCTGTGTATTTGCTCCCCTTCCATTTATCTACTAACACCCCCTTCACATCTGCTTTAATGTCTTTTTTGTCCGTCGCTGCACACTTTTGAAGATATCCCTTTCTCCACGGCTGCAGTTACCATTCTCGTCTTCTGATTTTGGGGGGAGGTGCCTGGCAAGGCTGGTCCTGGGTTAGGCACGAGGAATGATATCCTGTGAACAACAATGCAATGTTCGATTCGCCTGCAATTCGTTGTGCACCGCTTTCAAGCCTCGACTTTGGATTGTGTACATGTCCATTTTTGTTCAAATAGACTAGAAATTTTAACTTTGTACTGGTATCTATCTATCATTCTATACCAGATATATTAGACCATGGTCATATTGAGCTCGTACGTAGAGGGCACATACGCCCCGAGCATCCCTGGACCCCAAAAAGAAAACAGTACATCAAGAACCGTGGAAGTCAAGCGATTGGTTGACTGATTATCATTTCCCAACATATTCCTTCTGGGGCAATGTGCTCACTTCCGTCAATCCGCCACCACCCTCGAGGTCCTTTGGAGCTGCATCGTCCCCCCGAAGCCCGATCTCACTCGATCCAACCTTATCAGCCGTATCACGATAAGCGGGCACCAGGTTCACCGAAACAGCATACGTCCATGCAACGACCATGAACATGGTTGGAACAATCATGGCAAACCCCGTACTGTTCCGCATATCAGCGACATGGCCCAGGATCGGAGGTACGATAGCGCCGCCACAGACGCCGCCAACAATAAACCCGGAGCCGCGCTTGTAATGGCGACCAAGACCGCGGATTCCCAAGGCGACAATCGTGGGAAAACAAACAGATTCAAAGAAGAAGGCGCAGAAGAGCATTGCTTGTGAAAGAAAACATGTTAGTCTGCTGCAACAACGCCAACGGGCATGTGTGCTCAAACATACCTATACCGGTTCCATCCCGCTGGGTGATAGACGCGGCAATGAAAGCCACCGTGCATGAAATGTATGCCAGAAACACCCATCGAGCCTTGAAGAATTTCATGATAAGGGCCCCTAGAAACCGGCCAAGAGCAAAAGTTCCCTGAGCTCCAGCAAGGTATTTGGAGCCGGTAGAGCTGGTCGTACCGGGCCAGGTGTCGGTGACATAGTTGATAAAGTAGCCTGCAACAGCAACTACACAGCAGCGGATCAGTCAGTCCCATGGGATGCCAAAAGCAATTTCATCAGAAGCCGATACTATACATACCCTGGGCACCGGTATATGTGAACTGCGCAAGCGTGGCATGAAACAGCTTGTACTGCTTCCAGAATGGCTTATCGTGCTCCCCAGCATGAGTTTCGGCAACCTGGAATGCCATGTCTTCATCAGTCACCTCGGGGATGGTCGACATGAAAAAGACGCCAGCGAGAACGAAGACAAAGATGCCAATGGCCAGGTAAACCCATTGTACATGCTTGAGGGCGTCGACATCATCCTCAGTGGAGGTAAAAAAGACGTATGATGCCAAAGCTGGGGCTACACAAGTGCCGATGCCATTGAAAGCCTGGGCAAGATTGATTCGGATCTCTGCATATTTCGGCGGACCGCAGACTGAGGTCATCCTTGTCTTTAGCGCATTCCCTCCCTTTTCGATGTCCGACACCCACTGGAAGAAAACAAGGGACTTAACCTACCAGTTAGGTACGGATTGGCAGCTGTTTCCAGTGATCCCAGGCCCGAGCCAATGACAAAGGTGGCCGCACAGAAGCCCCCAAACGACCGATGCAAGCCCGCGGGCCACATGCAGAGAGCTCCAATCCCATACAGAGTCAATCCGAAGATAAACACGGCCTTATACCCAAAATGACGGAGTATGTAGTTTGCGTACCCCAAGGACGCCAGTGGATAAGCCCTAGCGGTTATGAGAGGGATGATCTGAATGGGGAATCATTCGAACACTCACCCAAAGTATGCCGCCTGAAGCCCCGAAGAGCGTGTCCGGGTAATATGCAGGGTATTCTGGAAATGTTTGTTGAGTGTATCCAGCAGGCCATAAGCAAAGCCCTGCGGGCAAAGATATGCGAGGTTAGCAGTCAGAATTAGGCCAAGATCTGCTTGCTCTGGCTGAACGGCTTACCCAGAGAAAGAAAAGGATCGTCACGAGAGTCAAAGGCCACAGACTCTGACGCAGAGTAAGGGTGGCGGCAGATGTGGTCCTGGTGTTGTCGATGCGGACCCCGGAACGATTCTTGAGGAAGTGTGAGAAACCCATGGTAAGAGATGATAAGAAATGAGAGGTAGAGAAAGCGTCTGAGGTGGCGAGATTGAAAACGACGGTGAGTAAGTAATGAGGATGATGTAGAAGGTCAGGTAGGTCTAGAAGGAAAGAGAGGACGAAGTGAAGGCAAGGCGAGAGAATAAATAAGAAACGGACCGGGGGGGGGAAGGCCTGAGGAAGAAGGCGCGAGTGTATGCCTGCGTTGATGGCCTTGGTGTTGGTGGCCTTGAGGGCCTCGAGGGCCTTGATGGGCCACTTCTTCTTCCACTCCTCTCTATCTCATGACCTACTTGGCTGTGAGCAGCACCACAGGATAAATTGATCGCACCACGGCTAATCGGTCGTCGCCTTCTCCGTGGAATGAATGCCTCCTTGGACACAGCCAAGACAAACTGCTATAGACAGCTGACTCCAACATGCCCAATCGCTTGGGTTGTCTCGATCCACCGCAGTCTGCACAGACTTGCGTTCCCTTTCCCCGCAAATGGTCCCTGGCAATCAGGCTAAAATCCCGCACGCAGGGTCCTACGGGGCCCTGCAGGGGAGCCGAGGTCATTGTAACGACGAGCATCGGTATGCATGAGGCGTAGGTGCTGCTGGGGTTGGAATGCGACGATCGCTGCCATCTGCAAACACCGGGGGGTCGATTATTCCATGATCGAAGACAAACAGAATGGGATGGTTACACCTTTACAGGAAGGAAGGAATGGATAATGAATTTCCACGCAGACGGGCACATTTCATCGCTTCGTGGTTCTTTATACTATCGGGACATCCAACGTGTTACATACATGTGACCAGCCGTCCAGGCAGAACAACGTTGGAGGGCCAAGATCTATATCTATCATCAACACGCCCATCGACATTCAAGTCGTCACTTCATCACCCAGCGTCTACGCCCTCTTGGGCTTCTCGGAAACGCCATTCTGTTCAATGGCTCCTGCGGGGACGTTGGTGTACAGGGCACGCTCCATCCACTTCAGAACCTCGTCGATGAACCTGGTTATCTAGTCAGCCACGGAAGGTTCGAAGAATGGGGCGGGAGAAATAAACTTACACAACCGGGGCACTGATGGCCAGAACCGCCTTCCACTCGATCCAGTCCAAGGGCAGGATCGAGAACAAGCCTTGCAAAAATGGAACATACAGGATCGCGAAGTGCAACGCCATCGACAGGATAATGGCGAAGACCAGCATCGGGTTCTTCCAAAGAGGGAAAGTAAGGAGAGACTCGCTGGACGAGAGAGCGTTCATGGCGTTGAGCATCTCAATGACAACCAGGATGGAAAGAGAGACAGTGGACGCGGACTTCGACATGTCGCTTGCGAACATCTCGCAACCGATCTCAGGGAACTGGGAGGAGCACTTGTGGAAGTGAGACTGCATGCCAAGTTAGTAAACTGTGTGTTAGGTAAAACCATTTCGAAAAGATGTCGGGTCTTTCATACCAGTTGCCAGAAGGTGATCTGAGGGCCCTCGGGGTTGTAGACAAACCACCAGACATAGCCAAAGACAGTAGCCGCCCCGACGTATGTACCAATCACCATGTACCTGAAAAGGAGCCAGCCGCCGACCAGAGGCTCGTCGCGCTTTCTGGGAACCCGTCTCATCACGTCATGGTCGGGAGGGTTGAAGGACAGAGCTGTGGCAGGCAAACCGTCGGTGACCAAATTGACCCAGAGAAGCTGCACGGGAATCAAGGCTTCCGGCATGCCCAAGGCGGCGGTCAAAAAGATCGACACGACTTCACCGATGTTCGAGGAGATGAGATAACGGATGAACTGCTGGGTGTTGCTGTAGATGGAACGTCCCTCTTCGACGGCCACAGTGATAGTTGCAAAGTTGTCGTCAGCCAAAACCATATCAGCGGCAAGCTTGGCAACATCAGTTCCTGTTCCCATGGCCACACCAATATCTGACTTCTTCAAAGCAGGCGCATCGTTGACACCGTCACCCGTCATAGCGACGACGTGACCCTGGGATTGGAGGATATCAACCAGCTTGGACTTGTGGCTAGGCTCGGTACGGGAGATCAAAGACACGGTCTTGGCCGCTTCGAGCTTCTCCGCGTCGGTCAGACCATCGAATTCCCTTCCAGTAAGACTCTTGCCTGTAAGATCCTCGCCTTCGCGGAAGACACCAATCTGACGGCAGACTGACTCGGCGGTGTTCTGGTTGTCGCCAGTGATAACGATAACCCGAATACCGGCCTCCCGACATTTCGTGATCGAGGCGGCAACCTCAACCCGGGGAGGATCAAGCATACCAACAAGGCCGATAAATGTCATATTCTGTTCCAATTGAGCGTAGTCCTTCGAGGTTTGAGCGCTGTGCAAAAGAGGGTTGTTGCCAACGCCATCAACGCTGGCCAGAGCCATCACGCGAAGACCGCGATTTCCGTACTCCACGACCTCGGCGGAGACCAGGTTTTGGTGTTCCTTGGTGAGTGATACACGGCGCCCATCGGCTCCAACGATAACTTGGGAGCAGCGCTCGAGGATAGATTCGGGGGCACCCTTGACCAGTAACTTCTGTTCATCCTCGCCAATAAGGACGGACATGCTCTTCCGGTCACGCGAGAATTCATAAGTTGCCTTCAAGGGAAGGCGAGCTTCGTAGTGCGCACTCGCAGCGTGGAGTCGCTGGGAGGCGGGGAGGCGTAGCAACTTCGCATTAGTAGCAGCATCTTCGGTGCCAATCTTTTCGACCAAGACACGCAGCGCGCCCTCGGTAGGCTCACCGATACAGGAGAAGTGTCCGTTCTTCGCATCATGGGCCAGAGTTGCGCTGTTGCAGCGAGCCATGACTTCGGCCATTTGCCGAACAGTGGCTGAGGAGACGGCGATGTTCTGGAGTTCCGTGCCACGGCTCAAGAGTCTACCCTCGGGCGCAAAAGTGGTGCCTTCAATGTCAATCTCCTCAAAACCGCTTCCAGAGGGGCTGAGATAAACGAGCTTGTCCGCACTCATTTGGTTGGTAGTCAGAGTTCCGGTCTTGTCGGAGCAGATCACACTGCAGCTACCCAAAGTTTCCACGGAGGGAAGCGAACGGACCACTGCATTTTTCTGAGCCATCTTGCGGGTGCCGAGAGCGAGACAGGTGGTGATGACAACGGCCAAGCCTTCCGGGATGGCTGCCACGCCGAGAGACACTGCGATCTTGAGATAGTAGATGGCTCCCTTGCTCCAACCACCGTGAGACGGATCGTTGAAGTGCTCAATGTTGATGAGCCACACCAGAATACAAATGACAGTAATAACCTTGGCCAACATGTCACCGAAGTCATCGAGTTTCTGCTTCAGCGGGGTCGGCTCGGAGATCTGGGAGGTGATGCTCTCGTGGATATCACCAATCGCAGTGGATCCACCAGTCAAGACCACAATGGCTGTAGCGCGTCCATTAACAACAGTCGTGCCCGAAAAGAGCATGTTGGTCTGGTCCTGCTTGACAGCTTGTTTGTCGTGAACGGTCCGGGCGTCCTTGCTCACACTCTCACTTTCACCGGTCAGGATGGCTTGATCGACCCGGAAGCTATTACTGTGGATGGCAAGCAGTCTGCAGTCAGCTGGGACGCGGTCCCCAACTGCAACATGAACAATATCTCCGGGGACCAGATCCTCCGCCTTGATGCGCTGGGTAGTACCGTCGCGGACAACCGTAGCTTCGTTCGCAGAATATTCCTGAAGAGCAGCAATGGCCTTCTCGGCATTGCTCTCTTGGGTCACACCAACCACGGCATTCAGAATCAGAATCGTCAGGATCTATAAGAGTAGGGTGTTTGTTAGTGCCTCCCCTCGACGCGCCGACCTTGGAAGCTTCGCGAGGACATACCACAACGGGGTCAACGAAGGCGGACCAGTCATCGCCTTCTTCGAAAAGCGCCAAAACAAAGGACACGGCGGCGGAGCCCAGCAGAATCAAGACCAGCTGGTCCTTGAACTGTTCGAGCACAAGCTGCCAAAGAGGGGTCGGGGGTTCTTCCGCAAGGGCTAAAGGTGGAATCGATCAAACGTCCGGGTCAGCATCTGGTCTCGACCTCGCTGGGGGGGGGGGGGGGAACAACAAGGTTGGCAACATACCGTTGGGGCCATGGCTTTTTCTCGATTGAGAGACCTGGCTTTGCGACAGACCAGAGTCTTCTTTGACACTGAAATGGTCCAGCACTTCCGCTGGGGAAGAGAGATAGGAATGCTCCATATTGGACCCCAATGAAACCGTGAGGTGACCAAGATGGGGAGCAATAGGGAGGAGGGAAAAGAAAGAGAGGAGAGAGGGACGGATCGGAGAAGGGAAGAAAGAAGGAGGAGGCGGAGCGACGAGACCGGGGAGATAACCCAGATCAAGACATGGACGCCAAGTGGCCGGAAGCTTGGGACCTAAGAGTAGCGGTAATATAACAATAATTAATCAGTCAAATCAGTCAGTACTTTTTTCTGGTCCCCAAAGCCAGGAAGGATCTAGAAGAGGAGAGAGAGGGAGGAGGCGGAGTGAGAAAGAACCAAGTAACTAGCGGACACTGTTTATCTAATGATGCGGGCTTCGTCCGTTGGTTACATTTTACGGTACGTACATAGTACGACCTGAGATGCTAGTATTAGTAGTACTGACCGACTGAGGGTTGAAGAGACGAAAATATTCGATCAATACTAGAATGATTTGCCTCTTGGGGCTGTCGGGGAACCGTGAACCAGCGGCGGCTTTGTCAGGTACTAACTATCCACGCTGCCACTCAAAGTCTCCAACGTGTTCTCTTTTTTGGTGGTCTGCCAGTCTGGATCCATCATTATTGCCGGTACCAAACCGCAGGGCTGAACCGTACCGTGACCGTGCTTCGTGCTTCGTGCTTCGTGCCTCGAGTCGGTGCCAGGGTCAGGGCCAGTGCTTCCCCCATGTTAAATTAGGTAGGTGATTTAGTGAGAGGAACCCCCCCCCCCCCACGATGGTTATTCAAGGCAGGTGTCCCTGTCTATGTATGTTCTCTACCCCGTACATGTGTCTACTTCTAGATACTAGCAGCTAGACAGAATACCTAGATAGTTACGTACTTTAGTATCTGCTGGAATCTTTCCCGGGGGGGGGGGCGCGTCTCTCCACCGCTCGAGGCATAACGATACCGTACACTCCACCGCGAAACGACGCTGCCTTGCCCCCCGAGATAGCAGGACTCCGACTGGGCCACTGGAACCACTCGTTCCATGTAAACCCGCAAGTCATCCTGGCTTCTTGGCCCTTTTTGGGTTGGGGCTGCACAACCGTGGGTTGTGATTTGTCTTCTACTGATCCGCCCCGGGAGGACTGACCGCACGGCTTCTGGCCATCCATCCATCCATCCATCCACATCATCACCAGCATGATGACTACGTAGATATTTTCCCTGGAGTTGGTAGCTAGCTGTAGCCCTGTAGGGCAGAGGACCCCGTGCGATCGATTCCATCATTCATACCCTGTATGTCATAATCGCGTCCGCCCTGTGTGGCTCCTCTGCTGGAGTTCTTCTCGTCGGCTCCGTAAGTACTCCGTACACAGGACGGTATGGTATTCAACCCACCGCTGGATCGAGAAGGAATCTACGGACAAGGCGTGCAGGATTGCGTGGCCACAAACTCCCCAACGGAGACGACCTCGGATAATAAATAACAGTGCTTGTCACCTTATCGCTGCATTCCCCAATAGTACCTGCGGCGCTGTCCTCATTATCATAAGCATTATTTACCTGGCGCTCAAGACTATAGTCTCGTGCATGCTGGGGGACGATGACGATCATCGGAGATACGGAAGATGAGAAGGACGTATAATAATAAATAATAGCACTATGTAGTAGTAGTATTTCACCAGTTGGGCTGGCTTTTGACCAGAGCCACCAGACCAGACCTTATATTGGTTCAAGTGAGCAGCAGCACCCGGAGTACGGAGTCTCTCTAACATAGTACTCCGTACTGGGTGGAAAAATATGGGTGATATCACATTAGCCGCCCTACTGTTTCCATTCATCTTTTGCATGTACCTGTAAGTCAGTATGTCTGATCCCGAGTCGCTCTCTCGTGATTGCTCTTATATTATCTTTCCCCTTCCCTTTTTCTTTTTCTGAGTTTTCTTATCGTCCACTGCTATCTACTTAGTAGTTAACCAAGGCCGTACCCCGTACAATGCGATTATTACTGTGTAAGGAGGGAGGGATTACGTCATGGTCCCGTGACCGTGCAGGCGCGGGCAGGTGACCCGGGGGTGGCTGAGTCACCTTTGGTCTGCCTGAGGTGTAGTTAGCCGCTGGCAGAAGCAAACGGCGCAAACAGGCGAGGCGCCCGCTTCTCGCTAAAGCTGGCTGGCCGTCACCTTCACCGTCCATCACTTGTTGCTGTTAGGATCACATCTGCCAAACCTCTCGTGATTCCCCATCCTCTTTCCATCCCATTCCCCGTTGTCTCGTGCTCTACTTCGGTGTCTCGCACCTCGCTTCTTCTCCAGCTTCCTCTTCCAACCCACCCACCGTCTTCCCCAATCCTCTTATCTGCATTAGATCGCCTACTATGACTTCTGAGGTATGTTGTCTTCCCCCTCCAGCCTGACCCCTCTCCTCGCTCTCGGATTACGACACTGCCCTCGTCGCTCCTGGCGTCGCCCCAGCCGTGGCTGTCTAATCCCTGACCGCGTCTGCTCCCCGCTCATGTATCTTGCTTGCAAGACTTTTGTGCTGCTTCGTCGCGATCGATCTGGACTTGGCTAACTGCTACCCCCCCTTTACTTGCAGCGTGAGAAGTAAGGATCCAGACCCCGTCCCGACCAAGTCGCCAACAACAGCAACACTGACACCTCACCCGTTTCTAGCAAGACTTTCCTCGCCCGGCTCTGCGAGCAGGCTGAGCGTTACGATGGTAAGACGCTTGTTTGAGCCTCCTGCTGTGTTGAATTCACATGCTGATCCCTACCGTCTACAGAGATGGTCACGTACATGAAGGTCAGTAGCCGCCTGTCAGCCCTCACACTCTGGAAGAGCACAACCGCTAACTGTTTGACAGGAAGTCGCCAACGTATGTCCCCCTTGCCTTCCTCTGACCAGAACCCCCTTTCCGTAACCCCTTCCCCCTTTACCCACTGGTCGGACTGACCCCGCACCAGATCGGAGGCGAGCTTTCTGTCGATGAACGTAACCTTCTCTCCGTTGCCTACAAGAACGTGGTCGGCACTCGCCGTGCCTCTTGGCGTATCATCTCCTCCATTGAGCAGAAGGAGGAATCCAAGGGCTCCGAGCAGCACGTTTCCATCATCCGTGACTACCGCCAGAAGATCGAGACCGAACTCGAGAAGGTCTGCCAGGATGTCCTCGATGTTCTGGACGAGTCCCTCATCCCCAAGGCCGAGACCGGCGAGTCCAAGGTCTTCTACTACAAGATGTAAGTGCTCCGACTTCCATGTTGATAGACCGATGTGAAGAGAGTGGGGCTGACGATCGTCCGCGCATAGGAAGGGTGACTACCACCGCTACCTCGCTGAGTTCGCCTCTGGCAACAAGCGCAAGGTCGCCGCTACCGCCGCCCACGAGGCCTACAAGGTACGCTCGTTGGATCTGTCCGCTTGACCCGTGAACCACCTAGCTGACGGCCCATGATAGAACGCTACCGATGTCGCCCAGACTGATCTTACCCCCACCCACCCCATCCGTCTTGGACTTGCTCTCAACTTCTCGGTGTTTTACTACGAGATCCTGAACTCCCCCGACCGTGCCTGCCACCTTGCCAAGCAGGCTTTCGATGATGCCATTGCTGAGCTTGACTCGCTTTCGGAGGAGAGCTACCGTGACAGCACCTTGATCATGCAGCTCCTGCGTGACAACCTTACTCTGTGGACCTCTTCCGATGGTAACGACGCCGAAGGCGCCGCTGCCTCCAAGGAAGATAAGCCCGAGGAGGAGTCCGCTGCCGCCCCCGAGGACAAGGGTGAGGAGACCAAGGCCGCCGCCCCTGAGTCCTAGAGGGTTGGATTCCAGTTCTTGTTGTATCAAAAACAGGGTTGTGTCCTCGGCGTACCTACGTGGGCGCGCGAAATACTTCCTGGAAGCGCTTATGAAGGTCTGTTTTAGCTGCGTGACTGGTTTGGACCGGCACATATCTTCCACTTGTTCGGGATCGTGTGGGTCGGCCGGCGGAGTTTGATATTTGGAGAGCGAAAAGGGGCTGAGTGGAATTTACCTCTCTTTTATTCTCTCTTTATTCCCACCCCAGCAAGATACAGTGTCTTATTTCGATTTTATTCACCCCCCTGCCCCTTTTCCCGATTTCCCTTTCTGCTGTTGCGCTCGCACGTGTTAGAGCCTTAAGCTTCCCCAATATCTCAATCAAAGTAGCCAATTCTGTCAATTCCCAGTGGGACCCGTGCCAAGCAGGTACTCACTCGTATTTTCATGTCTTGAAACACACATTCCATCCGGGCTCACCTGACCACCGTAATGTCATGCCTTGCCTTGCCTTGCCTTACCCTGCCGACGGGCCCTTTCCCGCCCTAGAACCTGGCTATCTTCAACTAAGAACCAACAGGGTATTTCCATACCTTCCCACCTTGTCGTCCGCCACATAGTGTTCTACTGTATCCGTAGCATCGCCTACACGAAAAGGATCCGCGCTGTAACCGCCCAATCTGCAGATGATGGAACGAGCAATTTCAAGCAAAGCAGTCTGCAGTCTCTGTACTCGCGCGATAAGAATATGCTACCAGATATACGAAAGATATATCAAAAGCCGTATGTGAAAGCAAGTAAAGAAATATGCTGGAAAAGGGGGGAAACGTTTTAAGACGGATATACAAAGATGAACATGTCAGAAACATGTAAGGACCGGTCTAGCAAAGAAAAATGCAAGAACAGGGGAAGGGAAAAGGTGTGGTGTGTAAGCGAAGAAAGATACTGGAAATGAAGAGGAACAGAAGTCAACAAGATCACATGAAGTCATCATCACCCAGTCCATCGTCATCGTAAGAGGTGGAATCGACCTGGTTCTCTCTGGTCGTGACCAGGGAAACCTTGGTCTTGGCGGCCTTGCTCTTCTTGTTGCCCTTATCGGCGGCACGCTCCTCCTTCATCTTCTCGTTGCTGAGGGTCGACAACGAGGAGGCAATTTTCTTGACATCCTGGCTGGACAGATCCTTGACGAGCTGCTTGACGAACTCCTGCGCCCAGATGGCATACTGCGGCTTCTTGGACTGCACAGTCAACAGGGGGATGAGGGTGGAGGTGACGCGGGCGAACTGGTCCTTGGTAGCGGGCTTGAAGAGAGGCATGGCGGAGAGATCGACCGACGAGGTCGGGTCGGCCGAGTCGCTGATGACGACGGCCTTGGGGGCGCCGCGGTTGCGCATACGGTTCAGGTCGATATCGCCAAAGAGGTCCTCGGCGTGTTTGAGATCGGCGTCCTTCTCGGTCTTCGCAAGACGGGCTCTGCGCTCAGCCTCGTCCTCTTCGCTCTCGTCTTCAGCATCCGCGTCGGCCTGCGCCTTCCTTGTGGCCTTGCGCTCCTGTATCCGGGTTGCCTTGCTCTTCTTGTTCGCAGCGGCCTCGGCATCAGCCTTCGCCTTGGCCTCCGCGGCCTTGGCAGCCTTCTCGCGCTCTACCTCGGAGTCTTCGGCGGCATCCCAGGAGTCAAGGACCTGAGTGAAAGCATGGTGGCGTAAGTGTCCAATCGTTTGTTTGCTAGGCACCGGGGGGAAAGAAAACTCACATCCTCATCCTCTTCGTCGTCGAACTTACGGCGGGCAGCCACAGGAGGGGGGCTGACGCTCCTCTCCTCCTCTTCATCATCTATAGGAGATAATTAGTGTTGGTGGCCAACAGGAAAGGCCACTCTCTTCAATGACGGGAATCCCATCCATTGTTGGAGGGGCCACAAAAATCCCAGGATTCGGACTTACCCCACTTTGAAGGAGCCATGGCGGACAAAGTTGTCAAGGACGGAGCAAAAATGGGCAAGCCGTGAGATGTCTGTCTGGAGGGACTGGTCGTGGAGCCGGTGAGAACCGTAAATCCCGGCGGGAAGGACTGAGTTGGGTGAGATGCTTGGTCAAAGAGGGATTTTGAAGACCGAGTGGCTGATCGGATCCCGTGGGGCATATGCGGCGAGGTCACGTGCCGGCGCGGGTTGCTGATGCCCAAACAGGACGACGCCTACGGACCAGATACAGAGCAACAGTCATCCCACCCCGAGTGCTCCCCAAGATATTTATCCAGGGTGGGCATACTACTAATAATACGGACTACGACCTGCGGTGCACACGGATCTCCCCCGCGCAAGCCGGTCGTGGTTCTTGCGCTTCAGGGCACCCCCGAGGGCAAGTCAGGGGAAGGATTTTGAACTGGAAAGGTTTTCATTATATGCCACTAAATTCATTTGACTGGCCTATCAATTCGTCATCATAAGTCTTCATCATTTCTGATGTTTTGTAGCTTGTTTCCTGCCCAATTATCCCCGCGAGACACTAAATATATGGTTGCGGAATTGCATTTACAGGTTAACAGCGGTGCGGAACTTCTCGCCGGCGTAGACGGCGTTCTCGCCCAGCTCCTCCTCGATACGGAGGATCTGGTTCAGCTTAGCCAGACGCTCGGAACGGGCAGGGGCACCGGTCTTGATCTGGCCAGAGCGGAGACCGACCGAGATGTCGGCAATGGTGACATCCTCGGTCTCACCGGAGCGGTGGGACACCATGACACCCCAGCCGTCGGCGTAGGAGTCCTTGGCAGCCTGGATGGACTCGGTAAGAGTACCGATCTGGTTGACCTTGAGGAGGAGAGCGTTGCAAGACTTGAGCTCAATGGCCTTCTTGATACGCAGGGGGTTGGTGACGGTCAAGTCATCACTGTCAAGCATTTATTAGCCTCGGGATCGCTCGTTGGCCAGGGTCCAAGATCAGAGTACATACCCAACAATCTGGAAGTCGGAGGTCTTGTAGAAGTAGCTCCAGGCCTCCCAGTCGTCCTCAGCGAAGGGATCCTCAATGCTGACGATGGGGTACTTGCTGGCGAGCGACTTGTACAGGTCGGCCAGCTGCTCGTAGGTGAGCCACTTGGTGGGGTCGCTGTCGGGGTTCTTGAAGTCGAGGTCGTACTTCTTGGCATCGGTCTTGTAGAACTCGCTGGAGGCAACATCCATGGCAATCTTGATCTTGCCGGTGTAGCCGGCCTGCTCGATGGCCTCGGTGATCAGGTCGAGAGCCTCCTCGGCAGTCTGGATATCGGGGGCAACACCACCCTCGTCACCAACGTTGCCAGCAGACTGGCCGTACTTCTTCTTGGCAAGGGCCTTGAGCTTCTGGTAGACCTCGGCACCCTGGCGAAGACCCTCGGAGAAGGAGGGAGCGGTGCTTGATCATGTCAGTATGGATCGCGGATGGATGCAAGCCACTCAGCGTCAAGGAGTGACAACTTACTCGGGAACAATCATGAACTCCTGGAAGGCCAGGCGACCACCGGCGTGGGAGCCACCGTTCAGGACGTTCTGGAAGGGAACGGGCAGGACGTAGGGCTTCTTGGTTCCGGCCAGGTCGGAGATGTGAGCGTAGAGAGGGATGCCCTTCTCGGCAGCACCGGCCTTGGCGATGGCCAGACTGACACCCAGGATGGCGTTGGCACCGAGGTTGGACTTGTTGGCAGTGCCATCAAGCTTGTTGAGGAACTCATCAACCTTGGACTGATCCTTGACATCAAGGTTCTCCTTGATGACAGCGGGGGCAATGGTCTCGTTGACGTTCTGGACGGCCTTCAGGACACCTTATCGAAGCACTCGACATTAGCTGACTGACCGGGGCAGATGAATTGGGGGAGGAGGGGGTTTGGTGTTTCACGACTTACCCTTGCCACCCCACTTGGACTTGTCACCATCACGGAGCTCGTGAGCCTCGTGCTGGCCTAAATGGAACTGTCAGTAACTCGAACCGAGAGGAGGACAGGCGAGAGAGTGCCTGGTTGGAGCAAGACCACTGACCAGTGGAGGCACCAGAGGGAACGATAGCGCGGTGAAGGCCAGTCTCGGTGACAACGTCAACCTCGACGGTGGGGTTACCGCGGGAGTCGTAGACGGAGCGGGCGTGGATCTTGGAGATAGGCATGTTGAAGGACTGGGGGAGTACGGATCAGTAAACTGGAGACTGGAGAGAGAGAACGGAAGAGGGCGGAGGGAGACAAGGCCCAGATATAGGAAAGACGGAGCAGGAAAAAAGAAAACGCTCTGGACTGCCGTTGGGTGTGCAGTGTGCACTAGCAGCGGGGGGAGGTGGTGGTGAGCGTTCACCGAGGACCCAAAAAGAATGGGCGGATGATGGCACCCAGGTGGAGAGCTCCGCACGGCGGTTTGGAATGATCTAAGGATCTTCTGCCGGGCAGGAGTGGATCAATCGAGCCGGTGTGGTTGGGAATTGAGGATTGGGGGTTGGTAGATATGAATTGCCTTACCAGAGATTGGGGGGGGTGGGAGAAGGTGTGTGTGTATGGGTTGTAGGAGGGAAGATGGATGGATGGATGGATGGATGGCGGGGTTGGTGTGGTGTGGTGGGCGGCAGAGGGGTGGGGGGGGGGGGGAGGGGAGGGGAGGGCAGGGGATGGGAGGAGACGATACAGGGACTTACCAGAGAGTAGTACTACTACACTGGAAGGTAGAGAAGAGGTCAATGAGAACAAAATTATAATAATGACAGGATCGAGGAGGAGAGGCCAGTAAATAAAGCCGGCGCAGCTTCTCGTGCTCGGGATGGTGGGGCAGCCAAAAGTGACGCTCCCCAGCGAGATCTCCCGCGTACCCTCGGGGTAAGGCGGGTGTTGCTTGTTGCTACCTTCTACAAAGTACTTGTCGTACGGAGAAGCAGAAGGTGACTCGGGAAGTGCCTCCTGTCCATACCCGATCTGGTCCATCAGGTAGTCCATGTAGTTCATCAGTCCATACGGCTGAGAGTCAATAATAGCCATGTTGTTCTGTAGGTATATGCAACCAAGAGGTAGTAAGTTCCCCGGGTTTCCAATCCCGACCATATGCCAGGCAAGAATTGCTTCTATAGAGCAGAGACTTGAATCCCTACTTGTGATCGCCTTACTGCGTACTATTGTAGTCTTGCGGAGTCCCCCGAGAGCACATCATCGGGACTGGAATCTTCCATTGCGTAATGGCGAAAACGCCCGCGGCTAGCTCTTCGACACCTTACCGCCTTACCGGATAATAGATACTGCGGAGACTCTCCGGGCAAGTCGCCTGATCCTCCAGGCAGCATATATTCACGTGATGCTCCATAACATCACCGCCACGGTGCCTGGTCATGTGACGCGCGTGACCTGGTGGCTCCTGTGAGCTCCTCGACAGCTCTCCGAGCTGGCAGCAGTCAGACCCGATACCGTCAACTCGCCTCGCCTATCCCTTGCCCCATACCTCTGCATCTTCACCGGACCGGGATATCGACCGGGCTTCTTATCGTTTGAAAATTAAACCCTGTTGATTCGATTTGTTTTTTCCGCTTCGCCTGATCGCCTGACATCATGAACGGCGCCAGTGACCCGGAGAGAGACCAGGCGCTCGAGGACTACAAGCGGAGTTTGCTGGAGCTTCGAGAATGGGAGGCCAAGCTCAAGTCCCTGCGAATGGGCATCAAGGACCTGCAGAGAGAATTCGACATCTCCGAAGAGAACATCAAGGCCCTGCAAAGTGTCGGCCAGATCATCGGCGAAGTGTTGAAGCAGCTGGATGAGGAGAGGTGTATGTCCATTCCCGGAATGGCTCGCTTGCATCCCCGCGTGGTGGGCCGGGGTGTGTACGAGCAAAGAGCTGACCAGAACCAGTCATTGTCAAGGCATCATCCGGTCCTCGATACGTTGTCGGCTGCCGCTCGAAGGTCGACAAAGCCAAGCTGAAGCAGGGCACTCGTGTGGCGCTCGATATGACCACCCTGACGATTATGCGAATGCTCCCCAGAGAGGTTGACCCCCTGGTATATAACATGTCATTGGAGGACCCCGGCCAGATCAACTTTGCAGGCATTGGTGGTCTCAACGAACAGATCCGTGAGCTACGGGAGGTGATCGAATTGCCGCTGAAGAATCCCGAGCTTTTCCAACGAGTTGGAATCAAGCCGCCAAAGGGTGTACTGCTCTACGGGCCTCCCGGTACAGGAAAGACGCTGCTGGCCCGAGCTGTGGCGAGTTCGATGGAAACCAACTTCCTGAAAGGTACGCACACCCTCGATGCTGGCACGGGCCCCAACTGGCCTGATTCGCTGACCGGCTCCAGTCGTCTCATCGGCCATCGTGGACAAGTATATTGGTGAGTCTGCACGGTTAATAAGAGAAATGTTTGGATACGCCAAAGAACACGAGCCTTGCATCATCTTCATGGACGAAATCGACGCTATCGGTGGACGACGTTTCTCCGAAGGTACCTCTGCGGATCGCGAAATCCAGCGGACGTTGATGGAGCTTCTCAACCAGCTGGATGGGTTTGACTACCTGGGGAAGACGAAGATCATCATGGCCACAAACCGACCCGACACGCTTGATCCGGCTCTGCTGCGAGCCGGTCGTCTGGACCGGAAGATTGAGATTCCCCTCCCCAACGAGGTTGGTCGTATGGAGATCCTGAAGATTCACTCGAGCACCGTCCAAATGGATGGCGAGATTGATTTTGAGAGCGTGGTGAAGATGAGCGATGGGCTCAACGGTGCTGATCTTCGCAATGTTGTTACGGAAGCGTATGTGACCCCCTCTCCCTTGACGCACCACTCTAGCTATAGCATAACTGACATTGGGATAGTGGTCTGTTCGCGATCAAGGATTACCGTGACGCGATCAATCAGGACGATTTCAACCGAGCGGTGCGCAAGGTGGCGGAGGCGAAGAAGTTGGAGGGCAAGTTGGAGTACCAGAAGTTGTAGTTACTTTACTCTTTGACAAACAACCACAACCGAGTCCCTGAGAACGAGCCGTGAATTTAGAAAGCCATTCAGCTATATCACCCGGCAATGTACACAACCTATCTACCTGTCTGTGTGCCTGTCCTGCACGGGCTGTATGTACCATTAGATACCTCGTAGCCTCGTACTAAAGTAGCCCTAAAATCTATTGGTATTTGGGGGAGATTTCCCCACATCCGAGGAAGAGGCTTCCCCCGGGGGAATAGGACTGGACCCTTGGCGGGTAAATGTATCGGAAATCAGGGGATAGACTAGGATTTAGGATTTAGCAGATATCTGTCAGGGAGTATCTATCTATCTATCTATCTATATATATATATTCATCTCTCCGAGTTCGGGGCCTTGCCAGGGCAGGGATCGATCGGCGCACCTGCTGGGATGGGCGGAGGACGGCTCGGCGCCCGCCACATGGGCTTAGCCTTACACGCGTCCGGCCTCCAAGAGCATCCTCGAATTCCTTCAGGTTTAGGTAATAATGCGCCCGCCAGTCGGGACACCTGTTCAGTCTCCATATCTCCATAGTTCATCCATCATTGCGGACTCGGTGGGCTGGTCGCGTTCATCGGAAGACTGACAGTGCGCGCACGATCACCAGAGCCAGGCTCTGACTGCGACCGGTGAAGAAAAAGAAGGAAAAGAAGGAAAAGAAGGAAGGGTTAGGTGGCTTCTAGCTCCAACGGTAACCCATCTATCCATCTACCACTACCTACCTACGTCAAGGATCACTGGCCCCTGCGTGACTTCGCCCAGTATTTGGTTCGCTGACTTCTGCCTTCCTGCTCTATGGCGTTGACAGTTCCCTCCCCTCCCACGCTGTATAATCCCGGCCATCGATCCCTCAGTGCCGACTCATCCTCCCTATTGTTAGGAGCCACACAGGGCTTGTCTCCGACCCGACCACCCGTGGACCCCAGAGGAGATTCCCGGCCCATCCTCGCCTGTGTCGCGTCTCGGAGGTCTGTTCCTCTTGCGGTAGAGGACAGATATACGGAGTAGTAGTAGAAGCTTGGCGGGTCGTCATGTCTTTCCAGGCCCCTCGGAACAATTCCCCTTTTGCCTCCCAGCAACCCTTTCAGAACAACTATTGGCGTGCCAGTCGAAGCCCCGCGAACAACGGGCTGCCTGGGTATGGGCTTTCTCCATCAGCTGGCCTCTCCAACTCCCTGAACACACCCATTGCCGCCGACCGCACCCTCCCCATGTACAAGGACAAGCCATATTTCGCGCCCCGGCGCACCGGCCCGAGAACCAGGCGGCGGAAGCTCATCTATGGCGGACTGTGTGCGCTCGTCCTGCTCGCCCTATGGTACTATTCCCGCGCTGCTCAGCCGGAGTGGACGACCCCGGACGCCGCGAATGGCGAAGAGCTCTGGAAATGGGTGCAGGGTCTCGACGAGTCCGATCCCGAGTATGACGGGAGCTCCCAGACGAAGATCGACTGGGATGCCAGGCGGGAGAAGGTCCGAGACGTCTTTACTATCAGCTGGGACGGATATGCGAAGAATGCGTGGGGTATGTTTCCAGACGTTCGAATGCACGAAGCCGGGATTTGATAGCTGATTGCGGGCTTGCCTGCTGGCACCAGGTTACGACGAGTACCACCCGATTTCCAAATATGGCCGACATATGATTGCTGGGGGAATGGGCTGGATCATCGTTGATGCGCTGGACACGTTGATGATCATGAACCTGACCTCGCGAGTGCAGCACGCCCGCAGCTGGATTCACAACTCGTTGCAGTACAACCAGGATCACGATGTGAACACCTTCGAAACAACCATTCGCATGCTGGGGGGGTTGCTCTCCGCGCACCATCTTTCCACCACCTACCCCGAGCTGGCGTCGATCACGGACGACGATGAGGGGTCCCCCGGAGAAGACTTGTATATCGAGAAGGCTACCGATCTGGCAGACCGACTGCTGGGCGCCTTCGACTCCTCTACCGGGATCCCCTACGCCAGTATCAATCTCAACAAGTCCGAGGGGATCCCCTCTTACGCGGATAACGGCGCCTCCTCCACCGCGGAAGCGACTACCGTGCAGCTCGAGTTCAAATACCTGGCCAAGCTGACGGGCGAGGCGGAATACTGGCAAGCCGTGGAGAAGGTGATGGAAGTTGTTGATGCCCAGAAGATGCAAGATGGCCTTGTCCCGATCTATATCTATCCGGAGACCGGTCAGTTCAAGGGAGACAACATCCGTCTCGGCAGCAGGGGCGATTCATACTATGGTAAGGAACCAGACAGTCCTCGTTTCCTTATGCAACCCTGGTAACTGACGCCTGTTCTCTCCAGAGTACCTGATCAAGCAGTACCTCCAGACATCCGAGCATGAGCCGGTGTACAAGGAGATGTGGGACGAGGCCCTTGCCGGCATGCGCAAGCACCTGGTCACCTACACGCAGAATGCTCGATTGACGGTCCTAGGTGAACGCCCTTCCGGGCTGAGCGGCGTGCTCTCGCCCAAAATGGACCACCTGGTCTGCTTCCTGCCGGGCACCATCGCCCTCGGAGCCACTGGGGGTATCCCACTATCTGAGGCCCGGAAGTCGCCCAACTGGGGCCAACGCCAGGAAGAAGAGATTCTTCTTGCCCGGGAACTGACCAAAACCTGCTGGGCAACGTACCGGATCACGCAGACGGGCCTTGCCCCGGAAATCACCTATTTCAAGGTGGACGATCCTCGCGTGATGGAGGCCGACATGTACCCCGACTCGACCATTGCTACGGGCATCGAGGGCCAGCAAGCCTCTCACGGCGAGCTCCCGCTGCTATCGAAGCCTCTCACCAGTGACTCGGGCTGGCGCAAGGACTTGGACATCCACCGTCAGGACCGCCATAACCTCCAACGCCCCGAGACCGTCGAATCCCTTTTCTACATGTACCGCATCACCGGTGACGATATGTACCGCCACTGGGGCTGGGAGATGTTCAAATCCTTCGTCAAGCACACGGCTGTGGTCGAGGACGCCCCCACGGAGGATACTATTCTTCCGGCGGACGGCACCGGGGAAGAAGGCGATCAGGAGAAGCCTGCTGTCATCTCCCGGATCACAGGCTTCACCTCTCTGTCGAACGCGGACACCATTCCCCCGGACACCCGGGACAACATGGAGAGTTTCTGGATGGCCGAGACACTGAAGTATTTCTATCTTCTGTTCTCCGACCGGGATTTCATCTCCCTGGAGGAGAACGTGTTTAACACGGAAGCGCACCCTCTGCCTCGCTTCAAGCCGACCGGGGATCTGAAGACGGGGTGGACGAGGAAGAGCCGGACAAGAAGCGAAGATCAGACCGTGGAGGAGGGTTCGGTATAAACCACTTCCTGGGCTCCAGTCTTCTTGCCTTTTTTTTTTGTTCTTGGTTCTCTTTTTGGGTAGGGGATTTGCACCGTGGAATAAAACGTGATTTCTTTTCCTTTTCTTTTTCCTTTTTTACTGCTGAGTCTTCTTGTATAAGGTTATTTTATCCGAGGCAGGAACTTGGTTATTGGCGGCTATATCATGGCGGTCTACTGGCGGGTTGGTTTCTTGTACGATATCGCATTTCCGTCCAGCATCCCTCGCATCCGACGCCGCAGATATCATCATAATATATACACTATATATACAGCTATCCGCATTAAACCGCCGTCATTAGGTATCGTGGCTGAAAATGCTGTTCAAATGTATCAATCAAGTCGGCGGTCTAGTTCTTGCGTCCGCGCTGAGTCGCCGCCTTGATCAGCCTCTTATATCCACGGACCGCCGCCTCCAACTGCTCAACGGTGATGGCCTCATCATCACCATGGGCGACGTGAATACTTCCTGGCCCATACAGATACCGCTTGACGCCCTCCGACACCTTCAAGTTAGGAACATCCGTGCCGTAGTTTACCGTGATGACGTCGAACCCGGGCACATCAGTATCCAGATCCTGAGGGGGGTATCCAGGGCCCCAGGCGCCGAAATCACAGTAGACATGGTCATCCTGGGCGGTAACATTCGCCACCGCACGCGCGACAATCCCGCGCACCTCGTCGGGCGTCCCTGCCGCCAGACGAATAGCAACGCCGGCATACGCGGACGCGGGCACCACATTGGTTGCGACGCCGGCGTCCACACGACCGATGTTCACGGTCGTGCGTCCGTACTTCTCACTCGCGGGCAGACCGCCCTCCTCCGCCGGAATATTACCCAGGACATCGAGTCGGGACAGGGCAGGTAGCAGGGCGGAGATGGCACTCCGGCCGAGCCACGGGTATCCCGAGTGGGCGGCTTGACCGGTTGCGAGGATCGGGAACTCGACCATGCCCTTGTGGCCGGAGACGAGGGCGAGCTCGGTGGGCTCGCCGAAGATGACGGTGTGGAAGGGCGAGGGGGACGGGTTGAGGGACGATTCGGAGAAGATGCGCATACCCAGCCCGCCGACTTCTTCGTCAACGACGAACAGAAGACCCAGGCTGGCGGTGGGGTCGGCGCGGAGGGTATCGAGGACGGCGAAGACCTGGGCGGCGACGCTGGCTTTGGCGTCTACGGTGCCGCGGCCGGCGATGAGGGGGGTGCCATCGGGGCTCTCATGGAGGGAATAAGGGATGAAAGGGGGGACGGTGTCGATGTGGCTGGTAAGGAGGATTTCGGGTCGGTCCTGAGCCGGGGATGTCGATGGGTAGGCGAAGATGTTGAAGCGGTGGGGGTCGCCGTTGGGCGACGCGGGCACGGGCTGTTTGATGACGGTGAAGTTGTGGGATTCGAGGAAGTCGATAAGGAACGATCCCACGACGGTCTCGTTGCCAGAGACAGAGGGGATCTGGACGAGGTCGCGGTGGAAGGAGAGGAAGGGAGAGGCGTCAATGATGTCGGATGCGGAGGGGGAGAGGCCTAGAGGAGCCTGCGGGGGTGCGGCCGAGGCCAGAACGACGGCTAGGAGCAGGGAAAGGGGGGGCTTCATGCTTTCAGAGTGGTAGGAATGGTCGGAGGGAAGAGTCTCAGCCGCATTCCCCGTCGAGGTAGAAGCGGCGAATGTTGTGGACGTTGTGGACGTTGATGGTGATGTTGGAGTTGCAGTTGCCAAGTTGGAGATACGAGCTGGTGCCTGGATCACCAGGCAGGAACCAGGGCGGAGTGGACCTGCCAGATCGGGTTAGCGCCACAGCACGCCATTCAATGCCTTTGTTGTAGTATTGTTACTCTGATACTCTTGTATACAGAACATCCCACTGATGATACCTAACTTCTATCTATACTATCTACTCCGTATCTACTATCTATCTACTATCCATCTACTTGGTACTAAGTATATCCGAGGGAGTCCAGTGGATGGATCAAACCGCTCCACTCAGCCCGATCCCAGCATCATACAATATCTGCAGAGACAACCGGACTCCGATTGATGGATGAATCGAGCCTGCAGGGAAAAGGAAGGAAGTTCTCCGGATGGTGTCCAGTCGGAGGAGAGGCTCTCGACTCGAGGCGATGGAATTGACTTTTTGCATCCCGGCAGTTGTGACTACGACTCGGACGAGAGAAAGAGAGTGTGTTCAGTTAGGATCATCACCGAGGAAAGAAATGACGTATTGGGACCCTGCGCGCGCCATCGTTCTCTTCTCTCTGTCGTAACGATCGGCCCTCGAGTTGCAAGTTGAAACCACATGCACCGGTGTCTTCCATTCACACTTGCACATTTTCAATTGCCCGACCATCTTCTATCTGAGTGCCGGTGCAAGCATGGTGCCAAGATCCCTTGCTGTTACGAGCGTCGGTCTTCCACCCGTTCGTCTGGCATTCTTGATCCGGTAGACCAAGGAGAGTGAACCAGAGATGAGGGAACTTGAACGCTGGAACGCTGGAACGCTGGAACATTGGAACATTGGAACACTGGGACACTGGGAAACTTGGGACACTAGGGCCCGGTCGGTTGGCGCTGAGCCATGTGGATCTGACGTCGGCACCACAAATGATCGCACACTGCCTACACTATGACCGCACAGTACGGAGTATACTGTCGTCGAATACACACAACAAAGCCCGTCGTGATGTGATCCCACGATGAGCAGCTATCTATCCATCTACGCCTATTTTTTTTTTTTTTCGCGTACAAAGCAAACAACGGGCGGTCCAGTTCTGGGTTCTGGGAATGAGCCAAGTGCTACGACCCCCGCGGTATTCGAAATCCAGCCTGTCCCTCCCCACGGATAGAGGCACAACAGCCCCGGCCACTGCAAAACATCTCCCTGAGTCTCCCCCCCCCTGCCGTCCTTCCCTCCTTCTTTCCCACCTGTAGTCCCGCCGGGACTGGTCCGATGTCAAAGGTCATGTACACATCGGCGCATGCCGAAGTGTGATAGGTCCTCGTACTTTGTGTTTTCGGGTCCCTTCCTTGGTCACGGGTGACTGAAGAGGAATGACGATGAAGATGGGGGTCGCACAACACTTCAGACGGAGAGGAATCCACCAGCCACTGGAGCTGTGTCCGTCCGACGGGGTCTCGGTGTTGGACCAGTCGAGTCGGTCGGAGTCTAGACACCCTCTCTAGTTCTCCCAGGCTCCCTAGTCCCTAGTTCCCCTCTCGCGCTCTCTCCACTGGCCGCTGGGCTTCCCTTGTTCACCCGGTTTTTCTCTGCCCGGCTCCATCCTCGCTTGGTGCTGGGAGACGGACGATGTGCAGCAGCCGTTGAAACTCACCCGAGGAGACTCTGACACACCCCCGCCGCTGGATGCATCATTTGATCGATTGGCTTCCGGCCCATTTGGACTGCCACCGAGGCTCTCTCACCATCCGCGGGCGAGGAAGAAGCGTGCAAGTGCGCCGGAGGACGATGCATTATTAGCGGTCGACCGCGTGTCTTCTCCGACCCACGATGGCCAGAGAAGCCCAAAGAACAAATGGGATCCGTGGCAAGATAGCGTCCGATCCATGGTTCGCGGGCCACGGAGCGAAACGGAGCAGCTGAAGGCGCCTGGTTCGATGGAAGCCCGACGATCTCCCCGACTATGGTTCCGGGTCGACTGGGTTTGGCCCATGGGTTTCAGGCTCTGTTTTTCCCTCTTGTAAATTTTCTTCCCTCTTCTGTTTTTTCGCCTGTCGCCAGCCCTAAGCCGGCCTGTCAGATTGCTAGAAGAGGAGGGGGGGGGGGGGAATATGGAGCCATCCCAACGCCCCGACGACTACGATGAGAAATCGAGATAGCTTCGACGCTACGACGCTACGACAGCGAATAATGGACTGGAGATCCAATGGATCTCTCGACTGGGGCCCGGCAGCGCGAAGGACGAAGGGTCATGTCAAAAAAGAAAAAAAGCGGGTTCATTTGTCAAGTATCACAAACAGATTTTCATTCCATCGTAGGAAGGATACAGCATTCCTGTCATAGCGAGGAGTATAGTTAGTATCTAAAGTAGGTAGGTGTAGGAAAAAGATAGGTGTAGGGACGCTGTTTCCATTCTGGTTGGGATTGTTATAATTGTTAGAATGATAATATGATAATAACTGAATATATCTACTTACTGGTGGTGCTCGCTCCCCTCTCGGCCTCCATCGCCATCGCCATCTCCAAACTTCTCCTCTTCTCTTCCTCTTCCTCGCCTCCTCCTTCTTTCTTCCTTTCCCCTCTTCCACTTTCTTCTTTTCTTCCTTCCTCATCTCTTTTTCCACTTCCCCTCCCCTCCCCTCCCTCTCTCTCTCTTCTCTATATCCGTCTTCCATCTCTCCATCCTATCCTCTCTCTCTCCCTCCCCCCACCTCTCCTCTTTCTCCACTCCATCCTCTACTACTACTAGTACTGCCACTACCAACCACTGCCATCACTGCCATCACTGCCACCACCACCCTTATCATCATCATCATCATCATCCTCATCCTCATCATCATATCCTGGAGGCTGGAAATCCTGTCACTCACCGCACCAACGGACTCCGATTGACTGCAGCTCCCCGTGAGCTGTCAGCCTGTTCTTTGGGCCTCACGAACTACAAACCACCACTTGTTCGTCCACTGCGACCTCCGACAGGCTCCACGTCTTGCCTGCCTGCCCTACCGCCGTGACTCCTTCCTTCAGCCCGTACTTCTGGATCCCGAAGCCAAGCCTGTCAATCAAGCAGTCGCGCTTTCTCCGTCTCCGGCAACCCAATCCTGCTGCCCCCGAGGTTGCTGCCGGTTCATCCCCCCCCCCCAAATCCACGCCTCTGCTGCTCTCCCACCGCCACGTTGTTTCGTTTACAAACATCGACCCTGACACCACAGAGCCTTCTCGGACTCTTTGTGCCCTGTTGGGTCCGAACCTGCCTGTCTTCTCCCTTCTATCTTTTTCTTTCTTTCTTTTTTCCTCCCAGCTTGCTTGCTTGCTTTCTCATCCCCCCAAACCCGCTCGTGTCCTGGGGAAACCGCTTTATTTTTCTAGGAAGGGACGACGCTTGGGCAAACAAAACCCGCCGGTCTGGGCAATCAATCGATCACCGGATGATGTTCCGTCTTCCTTCAAATTGAAGCCTACCGCCTCCCCTGCGTTTCGCGTTTCTCCTCACGTCCGTTTCGCCCTGTCCCGGCACGTGAAGTGGAAGCCTCACCATCCGTGCGCTCGCAGTCACCGCCAGCTGCTCGGGTTCGCCTGGCCTGTTGGGCTCTTTGGAGTTCTCGCCCATCATGTTAAAACCCACCCAGTTTCTAGACACAAGACGGCGGGATAGTTCTGAAGTCATGGCCGAGTGGTCCCCCTCCACCCGTCAGCCTCCCCCGTCGCCCTGGACCACCACCTCGTCCACACCTGTTTCACCCGCCGTGTCTCTCTTTTCCGCCAAAGGCCACACGCGTTTCTCCAGCTCGGTTTCGTCCCTGGTTTCATCCCCGGGACACGCTAATTCCATGGAGAGTTCCTCGCGGAATCCCTTGACCGGGGTCAAGGAAGAACCCTGTGGGGCGCAACCCAGGGATCTCGAGGACGATTATTTCCGTACGTTCCCCGCTGCCCTTGCTCCCAGCCCCCGTGCCTTTTCGCCTTTATTCTCCGACATACTTCTTAAATTTTGCTAACCGGCTCTACGCTACAGAACATTTTGACCGAGAACCATCTATTGCGGAGGACTCGTATTTGGATTCTTTCGACACCGTCGATAGTTACGACCTGACGGATGCCGGCATGGATATGGCCCATTCGCCCAAAAAGAGACGCTCCGATAGCATCTCCGCCCGGGGCCTCTCCCGTATCGGCTCCCGAATTTCCACCATCTCGACTCGCTGGAAGTCTAAACGTGCCTCCGATGGCCCCGACGGTGCCGATGTTTTCGTCACGCAGCTGCGCTCCCGCACCAACTCGGCGTCCTCGGTCATGGCCAGCCCTATCACAGGTTCTTTTACGCGGGTCAACTCGATCCAAGTTCCCCCGTCGCCGGCCCGAACCATCTTCGAGGAGGCCATTAGTGAGGCCGGCACCCAACCGATCGACATCGCTAAGGCAAATCGGCACAGCCAGGATGATTCGGCTCCCCAAGCCACGACCCCCCTGTTGCCGCCGTTCATGGGCGACGAGCCCTCTTACCAAGCCACGACCCGCGTCCACTCCCCATTGCAATCGCCTTCGGTGGCGGACATGACCGATGATGGCCTCAATGGTTGCGGGCCCATCTTAGATCCACGGTTGGCGGGCCTGCCGTCCCCGCCTTTATCCTCCAAGCCATCTGTCGCGTCATTCAACCGCCCACGAGCGAGTACAGTGCGCACGGTGTCGGGAGACGCGCCTCCCTTCACCCTTTCCGATCCAAATGACGAATGGGCAAACAGACTTGGCCATGCCAACTTCACCATCCAGCCTGAGCCGTACGTGCCCGAAATCTGTGACATGGTGTCGTTTCAACAGCTACGTACCGACTGGGATCTGGCCCAGTGCAATTTTGCCCGACACCTGGTCCGGACGGGCGAACACTATGGCGTCACCTCCACCATCTACAAGCTGACGGAGGAGAAATGGGGGTCAGTCAACCGTCAATGGCGACGTCACTACGAAGCGATGAAGTCTGAGTTGGTGCTGACTGAGGGCCCTCGCCTCCATTTGGTTAAATCCCACTGTGATCCATGTGATCCGGTCAAGATCCCGCGCCTGCACGACGACAAGTTTCCCGAGCTGGGCGATGGGGAGATCGTGGGTCCGATGAAGATTGCGCCGGCGACGAGCGGCTCGGGGCTGTGCCGTAGTCGCTCGTTGAAGCGCAACTTCGTCAAATTCTTCCAGGATCTAGTCATACGGTCCTGATTTCCCCCATGGCACTGTCATGGGGCCATCTAATGATGATAGACAGACCACGGGAGGCTTTGATGTACAACATCTTATGATTTGAACGCCTCTTGGATGATATTTCAGCGTGTCATGAGTTATGCCTTTCCTATTGTTTACATGTCTTGACGGTTATATCTCCTGCTTATGATCCATGATCGGATAATGATGACTGATGATGACTTTCGTGCGCCTGCGACTACTGACTCGCAGAGCGCCGTCCATTCCTTAATGTTTGAACCCTTTGCATCTGTTTACCCCCCTCTTCTGTTGCACCGACATGTAATAGTAATGCCGGCCTCTGATCGGCATGTGCTTTTGTGTCCTCTCTTCAGCGATGTATTCCTTGCATGACTATATGTCTAATAACTGGGGAGAGCGCGCGTGCGGATCTGAGACAGGGGAGGGGGGTCGGCTCGCAAAAGACTTATGAAAGATTAAGATAAGAAAAGTGGCTGGGTTGCCAAGTGACAAAGGGAAAAAAAAAAGAGACCATTGCAAGGGCGCTACCGGTGTTGCATTCTGTCTTATACCCCCAAAGGCATGGTTGATTTATTCTACTGAATTTCACAGTCCACTGTACCTCATACATAGACTTCATTTGTTGATGCCCCCACACAAAAGCCTCGATGCCTGTTCTTTTATGCATATGTGTATATAGAGATTAGACCTACCTACGCAGCCACCCACTCGAAGAGGAATAATTATGGTTACCACCCTTGCTGAGCGCATGCATATGCAGTGTACTTTTGTTTCTTAACTCCCATCGTGCAGTGCAGTTACTCCTCCCAAGGGCCAGCTGGGCCAGACAGATTGTCTGATGCGTAACCCGGGCCTGGGTATCGTCGGCTACACCAATCGAGAAACTCGCACCGCTTATCACCTCATCAGGCGGTCCGCTCCAGGGCTTTCCCACTAGTTCTCCGCGGAAGAACCAGACTCAGTCAATCCGGACCCTAGTCTGTCAGCTATCTAGTACTAGTCCTAGTATAAATTATATATTACACCCAGAATTGTCCCCATAGCCGCTTCGCTTCCTGATCTCCTTTGAATCGGAACTCAACCTGGATGATATCCTGGAATCCCTCTTCCATGGTGGGTTCCTTGAAGCGACGCAGAAAATCTCCAAAGGCGATTCCGGGAAGGGGTGTTCGGGATTCAGGGTTCTGATGCATGCAAATATGGGTTAGTGGTACTGAGCCTTGAAGTGCTACCGGTAGTTGTATCAGTGGGGGGGGGAAGGAGGGGGAGGATGAGGGCCTCTGCGAGTTCGGGTGCATGATCGAGATGCGGTGGGTGAGTGGGTGGGTGGACACTACTAGTGGATGGTGGCTCAACGCCGACGCAGCGTGCAACCTCGGGACTTTGGGGTAGTATGTGTGTACTCCATGTGTATGGATGTTCTGGGCACTGGTGGATCGCTACCCCTCGAGGAGGGACGAGCGAACCAAGAGGGTGGGATGGATGGATGCAATGAAGGATGGAAGGACAAGGGAAATAGTAGATGCAGTGCGCGCGCGCACACACCGAAAGGGACATACCAAGGTTTGATTCGCGGCACGGACCGCATCATTATGCCGGCAGAGGGCCGAGGAAGCAGTGAAATAGATACAGCGAATCGGAACGTTGAATTCCTTCGCGACGGCGACCCAGTGGGCTCTGGTTTCTGGATCGGCATTGGTGTTGTCTGCGCATGGCCATGCAGGTAGGTATATGTTAGCGAACCATCCAGTCCAGTTAGGGAGTAGATTGGATTCGAAATCGGGAGGTTTGCGGGGAGGGGGGAAGAGGGAGGGCGAAGGGATGGATGGATTGCAGAATGGACTTGGACCGGACCTGGAATCCGGGACTGGATGCTGTAGAACGTCGGAGTAATATGCAAGGGTGGTGGTGTTCTTGGGGAAGGGCAGGGAAGGGAAGGGAAGAGCCCCGTGTGTCTACGTACCAACAGCCACGGATCGGCCGGCTGCAAGGTGCTCCTTGGCCACTTTGATGCATTTGGGGCGCTCGATTGGGTTAGCTGCGTGGTTCTGGTAAAGGTCGTGTGGACTCTCTCACTGTTTTGAGGAGGTCTTGGTTGACCCGCTCGTAACTCAGCGGTTCCAAGTAGTTCCAGTAGAATGACGACTTGCCCGCGCCGGGACTGCCGCAGAATATCGCCAGTTCGAGGGGACTCCGGCGTGAGAAGGGCGGAAGCACTGCGTTGTCCAGCCTGGTGTATTAATAGACTGGCCGATTCGCAATCGCACCGGGCAGCAGGGCTGACTCACCATCGTCGCCAGGTTCTGCCTGCAGATATAAGGTCGGGTCGAAAGGTTCCACGAGTGGCTCCGGGTCAGCGTTGAGGAAAAACTCCTCGGGCGTTCGAAATGGCACTCCTATATTCACAGCAAACCCACTTCAGCCGCCGTTAGCGAGCTGGATGGGGGGCTGGAGGGCTGGAGGGCTGGCTGTCTTACCGGTCTACCTGCGAGTGGTCATTTGGCCGTCCAGCGGCATCTCCCACAAACACGGATTCCAACAAATTGACTCCGGTCACATCGAAATCGTACTCATCCAGGAACTCGCCCCACAGACCCGTTCTTGGCTTCCGGTACTGGTCGCCTTCCGTAGCGGCATAGACACTCAACGGGATGTCCAGTTGCTTCATGACGGCAGCCACTCTCTCCTTGAAGTTGGTGAGACTCTTAGAGTCACTGCGGCCCCCCTTTAGATCCTTTTTGAGGCTGATAGCCTTCTGGTTCGAGATAATCACTACGTAGTATCTGTAGATATGTGGATTTCAGTTAGCCGGTAACCCGTCCGCGGGACAGTGTCTTCGCACTACATACCCGCTTTCATTCAACTCCTTGAGCTTCGATGGCACGGTGGCATGCCACCACTTCCAGTCAGATCCATTCCTAGGGAAGGTATTCCCCGAAGCCGTGCTGACGAGTGTGGAATCCTAGGGACAATGACCCAGTCAGCCTCGGGCTCATGTCACGACGAGCCGTAGAGAGACTTGGCATCGTTCTCGTCTCCATTTCGGACATGTCTGTCACTCTCCACTCACCAGGTCAAATGCGGCAATCCTGGGCTTCTCTGCACTGCGTTTGTGCTCCTGTTCTGTGGTATATCTACCTATCACAGCGCTGTTGTTCACGATCCTCCAGGTAATCTGCTCTGGCTTCTTCTGGGAAGCAGGCGTGAAGAACGAAGACATGGCCTTCTCTGGAACATCATTAGGGATTGAAAATTGGAGTAGGAGGTGGGAGAGATGAGGTTGTATGTCTTACTGGTGATAGTGGGCTCGGTCTTGCGTTTCAGCGGAGGCGGCGATATGGCTCGCGTAGGAGATCCGGCCCGCTTGGTGCCCCCCACTCCGGCCATTCTGAGATGCTGGAGCCTTGAAAGAATCTTGACGGACCTTCCGTGATGAATTGGGGGGTCAGGAAAGGGAAGTGGCGGGGAAGTGATGGGGAGGAATGAGGGTGGATACTAATGGACTTTGCATTCAAAGCGGAAGTCCGACGCGCCGAGGCGCGCCTGCCCTTCACGAGGTCACATGCTCCTCCCGCCACTCTTGCCTCATTCGGGTATAAGAATCCCCTCGCACGATGGATGGATGGATGTCCTAAAAGAAGAAATTCCCAACGGCTGTCGGAAGAACAAGGTCGATGGACGTGATCCTTGTACTGGTTTTACTTCTGGATCTCTTGAAAAAAAAAAAGTATCATCATCTACTGGGAGCCGTATGCTCCGGGGTATATAACATTGTCAAAGAGAAGCGCAATAGTGTCTGGTTACTTCGCCCGTGGGTCCAGAGACAGCCGATCTGCCTGCTCCAGACGAACCGCTGACTTGAGCTGCTCCCGAAGCCCAAACAGGTGCTGCGACGCTGTCTTCATCATCTCCTGGTTGGCCCCATCCTGGACCGTGATGGCAGCTTGCAGGACATAGCTCCCGGTCCGTTCCAGCGGGGAGAGTTCTCGGTAAGCAGGCAATTGCCGGCGAGGCCCATGTGATTCCTGCACCCCAGAAGTCGGGTAGAGCAGGACCCGGTGCATGAAGATCACGATGTCATTCAGGACAAAGACATCGCCCTCCACCACGTACTCGGAGACAAAGCTGACCCCAGGCCGTCAGTCTCTAGGATCCATGCAGGGGCACGCAACAGACAGTCACCCATCCATTGCGGGGGGGATACAACTCACCTATAGCCCCACGCATTCATGGGAACGGTGATATCACCTTTGGGCAAGACCGCACTCGCCATCAGCCGCGCCGTCACTGCGGATCGAGTCCCGGCCTCAGGGATGTCTCGGAATTCTAGTTTCCAGGGCTGGTCCTCATAGGAGTAGGGGGCTGTAGATGGCTTTTCCTCCATACCGGACATGGATACGTCTGCGCCTCCGGACGAGGCAGAGGCAGGTTTCGCACCGAACTCGGCCTTAGCCACGGGTCCGACGACCTGAGTGTAGAACATGCCCCCATTGAGCATTTTGTTCAGACGCTGCAGTTCAGCACCCTGTAGATCCTGACTGGCCCCAACACGAGTGTTCGTCATGCCAGGCTGGCGGTGGGCCTTGAAGATCAAACGCCGTTCCACGCGGTGCCGGGGCTGCATGGCCGTCAAGCCGGCCAGCTGCTGGAGGAGCTCATGATGTTGATGAGCGGGGACCGAGGCGAAGAGCAAAAGCTCATGCATACCGGAGTCACGCGAAAGGGGGATAGAGGAGAGGGGGGGGAGAAAGACGGGATATAAGGATAAATAGTAGGTAGTTTAGGTAGTAGTATCTAGCTTTAGCTTTAGCTTCTTCTTCTTCTGATGAGGAACGGCCAAGGAAAAGGCGGCGGGTAAACTCGGGACGGAGACAGGCTCCGAGTCCACAGCTGCAGCACAGTACGATACGGTACGGTAAGGCGTGATCGTAACGGGGGCCGGGTTGTGTCGGGGGGAAAAACGCGTGGGGGATCTCGGGCGGGTGTCTTATCGATCATGTGATATCATGTGATATCACGCGATGTCGCGGCGGCAAAAGGCAATAATCCGTTCAAAACTTCAAACCCCAAGTCTGGGTGGGAAAAAGTCAATCTTGATAAGTTGATTGATAAAAGTTTTTTCTGAGAAGAAGGGACGGACAGCGTCCAGGCCCACGGGAGCCGAATTCCGAGCGACTATGGAAGATCACGATCACGCCAGAAGCAGACGCTCAGGCGATAGAGATAAGAGACGTTACACGACGCGCGACCAGTAGTAGTATACTTTAGTATGATAGTATCTACGACGCAGGTCCCCCAGCTTATTCCAGCTCCCCGACCACTCAGACCCGGGTCTCGCTCACCGGGAATGCGGGTTTGGGCAAGGATCGGGGCCTTACCCAAGTGTCACTGCCACTCACAGGCCATCTGATTCGGGGAAGACGGGGATCGATGACTATCTATCGACATAACAATAGTAGAGTCCCCTACCGCCCAACAGACCGTCGCCCCCTTCGGGCATTACTCAAAAACTTTAAAATCGCGTATATTTATAAAATTACGATTTTATTATATTTTTTTGTTATTTTTTAATAAAATAATCAAAAATTTAATTGGGCTAATCTATTTAATAATTATATATAATTAATAAGATAAAATAAATATAAATATTCTAATAATACTATAAATCAGGGTTCTTAATAATATTTTATAAAAGATTATTAATCTATAATAATTCTAAAGATAGAAATACAACTTTATATTATTTAATTAAGTTATTAAACTATAAAGCACTTATTATAAAGATTAAAGACTTATAAATATTCTAATTTAATAATAAAAAGAAATTATATAATCTCTTAACAATCTTATTTTTTTATTATATTATATTAATTATAATTTATTAAAATAGCTGCCGCGCAGGTATTATAGATAGTTAAAATAATATTATTATTATAAATATTATAAATATTATAGATAATTAAAATAATATTATTATTATAAATATTATAAATAATTAAAACAATATTATTATCTGCGCAGATATAGATATATATAAATTAAAATATAATATAAAAAATAAAGATATTAAAATAATTAAAAAAGATCTTTTAATTTTAAATTAAAATATTTAAATTATTATTTTATCTCTAAATATCTAAATTTTAAAAAAAGACTTTAATTATAATTTCTGATTTTTTTTATTTTATTTTTTTTTATATATAATATCTTAATTTTTATATAATTTTTTTTAATAATTTTCTTTATTTAATATTATTCTGTAAGTTTCTATATAATATATATCTTTATAATATTATATATATAGCTCAGTAAAAGTTTAAAAATATTATATAAAATAATATATTATTATTCTATATATTTTTTTTTATTTAATAAAATATTTTTATATTATAATATAATAGAGTACTATTATATTTTTTTTATTTAATTTAATAAATAAGCTATTATTCTGCTCAGACAGAGAATCTTAATAAGCTATTTTATAATATATAAATTATAGAATTAATATTAATTAATATAATAAATATAGATAATTTAAAGATAAAAGATAGTTAAGATAATAAGAAGCTATCTAAATAATTTAAGTTATTTAATCTAATATAATTAAGTATTTTTTTATTATATAAAGATTATATCTTAAAGTCTTATTAATTTATTTTAATATTAATTAAGCTTATTACTTACTTACAGACTGTTTTATATAATAATAAAAAATTATATTTATTAATATTAATCTATATTTTTTATATTATATTATATAACTACCTGCTATACACCTGCTTAAAAAGACTAAAAATTCTAATATTAAATAACTGCAGAAAATATAATATATATAAAAATAAATAAAAAAAAATAATATAATTATTTTAATATATAAAAATAAATTTAAACACTGTATAAGTCTTATAATTATTAAAAATTAAAAAATAAGATAATTAATTAATTTACTGACTAGATTAAATTATATAAGATATAAAAATCTATAATATAAAAATTTTTATTAATTATTTTATAATATATTTTAAATTATTATATCTCTTATTTTATATATTAATTAAAATCTTAGAATTATTATATTACTGTGACTATATAGTATTTAACTATTTATCTTTAAAAATTATATATAATAATAATACACAGCTAAAGAGTCTGCAGTATTTAATATTAAAGACTTATTTTTAATTATATATAATAATTATATAATCTTTATAATTATAGAGTAAGAATTTAGATAATATAATTTTTTAATTTTTAATTAAAATATTAAATATATAATCTTTCTTATTAAAATTCTATATATTTTCTAAATAAATATAATATTTAATAATAATTATTTTTAATATTTAAAAAAATATAAAAATAATATCAGAGATTAATTACTATATATATTTAAAATCTAAATATATAATTTATATTTTATAAAACTTAGAATAATATTATAAAAATTAATATAATTAATTTTTTTGTATTATTTTATAAATAATATTTATATAATTATATTTCTATTTATATAAAATATTAGTTATATCTTTTAATATCTTGATAATAGAAAAAAAGTCTAATTTAATCTATTAAATAATATAATTATATATTAAATTCTTTTTAATATTATTAAGTTTTTATAATATAATTATAATCTTAAATACTTTGCATGCCTGGCGGTTCTGCAGATAATAAATTAATATTAAATAAATAATATTAAATTATTTTATTATCTGCTGAATTAATATAGAGTTATTATTTTTATAAAATTTTATAATTTTTAAAAATTAAGTTTTATAAGATATTATAGTAGCAGAGATATTAATTTTATTAAATAATTTGTGATAGGATCTACTTGTCAGGGTAGAAAGCCTGTCGACTAGATAAGGAATTAATCATAAAACACTATGTATTTATTTAATAATAATAAAGATAGTCTATATTTATAAAATAGACTAATTCTTAAAGAATTAATAGCTTCTTATAAAAAAATTAATATCTTATAAATATCAGAGAGATATAGAATCACTATTAATAATCTTATAATTTTTATAATTACTATAATATATTATTTTGATAATATAACTCTTATAATTATTATAATATATTATTTTAATAATCTTTATCCCGATAACTGGATTATTTTATTATAAATAGTATTTTTTTTTACTAAGATAAGCTATCTAACTCAGATATTAAAAATAATCTTATATATTTCTGATTCAGAATAATAAAAATCTGATAATAAAAAATAAAAAATTCGCGAAATATATAATATAAACAGGATTATATATTATTTCTATATAGCTTTATAAATATTTAATTATATTTATATAGATAAATCCCCTGCGAAGAAGTATAAATAAAAAAATCTTTTATATTATATTTATATAGATAAATCTTCTGCAAAGAAATATAAATAAAAAAATCTTTTATATTATTTTTCTTTCTTCTTCTCTTCTATTTTATAATTATTATTTTTTTAGTAATTTATAATTATTCTCTTTATATTTTTTTATTATTTTATATAATCTTTATTATTTCTATCTATACTATATTATTATTATTCTTTTCTTTATTAAATATTAGTCTTATTCTTAATTACTTTATAATAATAAAAAAAATAGTATATTTTAAGTAGAATATTTTTATTAAAGCCTGCTATAACTTTTATATATATTATCTGAGATATATAAATAATAACTTTAATTTTAAAAAAAGTGCTTTGTATAATATTAATTATCTATTAAATATAAAAATATTTATTCTATATTATTTCTATTCCGCGGAGAAGAAAACTTATAATTCTATAAGTTTTATATACTTTATATTATATATATATAATTTACTGATATCTTTCAAGCCTGTAACTAATCTGCTAAAAAATATTTATAATTTTATAAAAATTATTAAATAGATTACTCTAATTTTAAAAAAAAAATATTAAAATAATAATATTAAGCAGACTATTCACAAAGAGATTTATATTTTTATAAAAATATTTAATAATATAGAGAATATCTATACTTATAAATTTTTATTAAAGAATATTAAGACTGTTAAGTATATAAGTTCTTATTATAATTAAAAAATAAGATTTTTATAATTTTATTATTAATATTCTGTTAAAAGTTTATTATTAAGTATATTAAGTTTATTAAGATCTATTATATTTTTTTAATATAATTAGTTTCTTATTCTGGCCTCCGCGCCTTGCTGAAGAATTATTATAATTATAAAATAAAAATATTATTATATTTACTATTTAATAATCTAAGATATATAGACTAAGTTTCTGCTCTGCAGAACTTTCTTAATTTAATAAAAATTATAATATATATTTAATATCTGGATATTAATAATAATAAATCAACTTTAAATAATAAAAATAATATTATTAAATTAATTATAGATTTCTATATTTTTTTTTAAAGTCTATTTTCTCTGTAAATATTTCTAAATTATAATAAAAAAATCTGATTATTATTATTATTTATTTTATAAATAGATAATAGATATAACTGAATATATTTAAGTATTTTTTATTATTTTATAATAAAATAATTTTATATCTATTAATATATTTAATCTGTGATAATATAATTAATAAAAAATATTAAAAGATTAATATTTCTATAGCTTATTTCTTAAGAATATAAAATAATTTACTAATAATTATCTTTTATTTTCTTAATATATAATACTTTTTATAATATTTCTAATATTATTTTATAGCTTCAGATATATTTTTTATATTTTTACTAAAAATTTATTAATTATACTTACTTAACTATTTTTTTTATTTAATTAGATAGTAATTCTGACTATTATAATATTAATAATCTTTAATTTCTTTAACTTTCTATTTATTTTTATTATCTAGCTTAGATATCAGAAGCAGTTCTTTATAATCTTTTTTAATATTTTATAATTTTAATAAAAAGATATAAAATATATTATAGATTTATTTATATTTCTCAGATAAATATAATTAATATATCTAAGATTTAATATATTTAAAAATTTAAAAAAGTTCTATAAACTTCAGAGCCAGCTTTTTTAATTTTTTAAATTATAAGTTCTGAGTTAATAGCTTAATTAAATCTTTTTTTTTAAAATAAAATAGCTTTCTATATTTATTATAATATTTTTTTTATTTTTTTATAATTATTTATTATATTTTTTATAACTATTCTTTTATTTCTCTAAGTTTCTTAATTTTATTCTATACCGCTGAGACTTCTTGCTGCTGAGAATTAGTCTTAATTTTAATATAAAAATCTAATAAAAAATTATAAAGAATATTATAAAATAATTAGTCTGTAATTATATTATCTGTATTATTATAAATAAATTAAGTATTTAAAAGAATTAATAGCCAGTTAATATTATACTGACTAAAGTAATATTAAAGATAATATTTAAATATTTAATTTATCTGTTCTATTTAATTATTAATTTAAGAATAAAATATAATTAAAAGCTTTAAGATTATATAGCTATTATAGACTAAATTTAATCAGAATTTATTAGTAAAGATTAATTCTTAATTAGATATAATTTTATTTAAGAAATTTAAAAATTAATTTAATTTATTTATAAAATAATTCAGCAAGATCTAGAATAATTATTATAGACAGAATAATAAAAAAAAAATAGTATTTTAAGAATTAATTAATAATAACTAGAATAATATTAATAATCTTTTTATATTAAATAATAGAGAGCAGCTCTGTAATAAAATTTATTACTAATTTAATAAAAAAATATAATAAAATTAATAATAATTTAAGATTATTATATAATTAATACTTTAGAGCAGTAATTTCTTAATATATTAAATAAATTTAAATATATTTAGCTATATTATATTATAATCTATTTTAGTAGAATTTTCTATATAACAGTACTTTTATTCAGATTTTTCCAAAGTATCTTACTAATAGATTATTATAATATAGCTTAATAAATATCTGATATAATATTTTAAAAGAGAGAATATAATATTAATCTTTAAAATAGATATAATTAATTATTTTAATAATTTAATATTTTTAGTTTAATTATTTTTATTAAATAATAATCTTTTATTATTATATCTCTGGATTATTATTCTATAAATATAAGATTATCTCTTAAAATTTAGAATTATATATATTTAAGTATAAAACTTCCGCGGTATATATTTATAATATTATAGATTAAAAAATAAATTTTTTTTAAAATAAATTTTCTTAAACAGCTTAATTAGCTGTCTCTATACTAGCTTAATTATTAGAATTTTTTAAGCTTAATATAATATAAATATTAAATTCAGAATAATTTTATATATCTTAAGATTTAAACTAAGTTTTTTCTTTGATAAGATCTTTTATTATTAAAGATAATATACTTATAAATCACGCTTGAATCAGAATTAATAGTTTTTTTTAAGAAATAGATTTTACTTAAGATTTAGAAAATATTTTAAAGAATTTATCTACTAAATTTAATTTTTCTGTTTTATATTTAATAATAAAATTATAAAGAATTAGATTTATAAGCTATTAAGCTTATCTTTTATTAATCTAGATTTAATATATAAAAGATTATAAGTTTAAATAATCTGATAAAATCTTAATTATTTAAAAAGTATTTTTTAAATATTATTATTATTATTTAAAAGAATAAATAATAGTAAATAATTCTTAATCTAAAATATTATAATTTAACTTAATATCAGAGAACTTACAGAATTAGAATATAACTAAATAAAATATATTTTTAATATTAAATTAGAATAGAATATTATTTATTTTTTTTTTAATATATCAGTTTCTAAACAGCGGGGTTTTGTAGAATTAAAATATATTAATAAAAATATTTATTAAAAGATAATAATAAAACAGCAAAAAGTAGTCTATTTAATTAAAATTAGATAAATTTTTTTTAACTTTTGCTTGTTAATTATTTTATAAAATAAAAAAATAAGAGACAAGATAATATAAAAATAGTCTTAAATAAATTATTAATAAAAGTTATAAAATTTAAGAAAAATCTAAATATTATAATAACTTTTAAAAATTAGCTATAAAATAATATTATTTATTTATTAAAAATTTATAAATACTTTATCAGAGTTAATAATATATTTCAGAAATTTAATTTAAGATTAATAAAATAAATATTTTAATAATTTTATATAGAACTGAGCTTCTTAAAATCTTTTTAAAACTTAATAAATATATTTTATATAAGATTTCTTATTTAATAAAAAAATAAAAATATTATTCAGATATACTATATAAAAGTTATTAAGAAATTCTTAAAATATAGTATATATATAATTTTAGAAAGTTACTAAAGTATTAGTTAATTTAAATAATATAATTATATATTTAAAGTAATTATATTAAATATAAAATACTATTTTTTATTTATTATTTTTCTTAATATAAATTTAGTAGTATATATTTTTAATATTAATTTTTAAAAAATAGATACTTTTTAAAACCCTGTTAAGAATCTCTGAAATAAGAAATAAAAAATAGTAATTTTTAATAAAAATCTTATTAAAATCTTTATAATTTATATAAAAATATAAGCTATTATTTTTTTTAAATATAAAGAGAATAGAGGCTTCAGTAGGATTCTTTAAAAATTAAATTTAATCTAATTTTAGATTTTTTTTAATATATTTTTATAGAATCTTAAATTTAGCTTTAAATAAGAAATATATTAGACTATAAAAGAATATTTTATTAGATTTAATATTAATAATATAATCTGCAGAGCCATAAAAAAATAATTATTAAAAAAAATTTATAGAGAATATATCTTAAAACTATTTAAGTTTAATAAAAATTATTTTAGAATTTAATAATAAATTATAAGATTTTTTTTCTAATAGCCAGATATCTTCAGAAAGCTTAATAATAATATATATTCTTACTAAGTTTTAAGTTGCTTTAGTAAATTAAGTAATAAAAAATAATAAAATAAATAATATATTAAATTATTACTGACAGTTTTATATTAATAAAATAATATATAAATTATAAAGTATAATTATTAAAAATAGTACAGAGCTGTCTTTTAGTTAAGAGTCTTAATTAATTTTTATATAATATTATTTAAAAATACAGATATCTTCTTATAAATTAATAGCAGTAATAGAAACTTTCTATATATTATAAATAAAATAATAATTTAATTAATAATTTTAATCTTTGATATAATAATCAAGATATATTAAAAATTATAAGCTTTAATAAACTAATAATTAATAATATTTATTTTAATATAGCTATTTAAATCTATAAAGATTTTAAGACTATTTCAGATATAAATAAAAATATAAAAATAATATATAGTTTCTATTATAAATAAAGAAATTAAAATTATAGAGTCTATCTTAACTTTTTTATTTTTTTCTCTAAATCTAATAAAAATTAATAGATTCTAGTAAATTAAACTTTTTTATTTTTAATAAAATATTAATTTACAAGATATTAAATACTTTTATATATAAAATATTATAATTAATTACTATTTTTTTTAATAGAATTTTTTTTATAATTTAAGATATCTTTCTTAATAATTTTACTAGTAATTTCTTAAAAACACTTATATAATTTATAATCACTGAATTAATTATTATTTCGCTTGTATTTTTCTCTATTTTCTTATAATTTATAATAATAAATAATAATAATTATTATTTTGTTCTGCTTCTCTAATAAATAGAAAATATATTTTTAAATATAATAATTTAGATCTAATAATAATTTAATAAAATAAAATAAGATTTTTTTTTTCTACTTAACAAGAAAAATATTGCTTTAAAATATTAAAATAAATATAAAATTCTTATAAATTTTAATTATATTATTAATAAGTCTGTTTAAATTAAGCTATAGTATTTAATTAAAAAATAATAATATTTTAAATTAATATAAAAGTCTAATCTTTAAATTAAGATTATAATTTTTTAAGAAATTATCTCTTTTTTAAACTCTTATTATTTATAAAATAATATTATCTTTATTTATATATTAAATTTATATAGCTAATAGTAGCAAGAATCTTATATTTCTCTAATAAATATTTCTTAAATATATCTCTAAATATATATTTTAAATCAGTAATTTATTCTTAATATTTTTAAAAATTAAAATTCAGAATAAAGTAAGAAATATCTTTAAACTTAATCTCTCTTTTATTTTTTTCTAATTTAAAAAAGAATTAATAATATCTTAAGAAGATTTTACTTAAGAAGCTATTTCTTTAAAGATAAGCTATTTTTTATTATAAATTAATAATTTATTTTAATTAATAAATATAATCTTCTAGCTGTTAAATCTTTTTAATAATAAAATATGATAGAATAACCCAGCTATCGGAATAAAGGTCATCGGGATGATATATTATAATAATTATAAGAGTCGTGTTATTGAGATGATATATTATAGTGATTATAAGAGTTATAAGATTATTAATAATAATTCTATATCTCTCTGATATTTATAAAATATTAATCCCTCTATAAGAAGCTACTAATTCTTCAAGAATCAGTCTATTTTATAAATATAGACTATCTTTGTTATTATTAAATAAATATATAATATTTTATAATTAATTTCTTATCTAGTTAACAGGCTTTCTATTCTAATAAATAGATTTTATTATATTTTAATTCTTCTCTTTTCGACTATCTAAGAAAGATACTATTTATTAAAAATAATAAAAAAATAAAAATACTCAGCAATCAAATTGATCTAGAACTCTCGCTGAATATTATTCTTATTATTAAAGAGATTTAATAACTAGAAGATCATATTTATTAATTAAAATAAACTATTAATTTATAGTAAAGAATAGCTTATCTTTAAAAAAATAGCTCTTCGAGCAAAATCTTCTTAAGATATTACTAATTCTTTTTTAAATTAAAAAAGAATAAAAAAAAGATTAAGTTTAAAAATATTTCTTACTTTGTTCTAAACTTTAATCTTTAAAAATATTAAAAATAAATTATTAATTTAAAATATATATTCAGAGATATACTTAAAAAATATTTATCAGAAAAATATAAAATTCTTATTATTATTAGTTATATAGATCTAGTATATAGACAGAGATAATACTATTTTATAAATAATAAAAATCCAGAAAAAAAATAATTTCTTGAGAAATTATAATATTAATTTAAAAATTAGACTCTTATACTAATTCAAAATACTGCTATTCTTTAATTAAATATTATAACTTAATTTAAATAGATTTATTAGTAATACAGCCAGAATCTGCGAGAGTTCTATATTTATCTTAATATCTTAAAATAATACTTTTCTTATTAAATAGAAAAAAAAAAAGTTTTATTCTACTTTATTAAGCTATTATCAGATCTAAATTATTATATTTAAGAGTATATTCTCTATCTATCAGAGAAGCAGAACAAAATAGTAACTATTATTACTTATTATTATAAACTATAGAAAAATAGAGAAAAATATAAATAAAATAATAATTAATTTAGTAATTATAAGCTATACAAGTGCTTCTAAGAAACTACTAGTAAAACTATTAAAAAAGATATCCCAAATCACAGAGAAAACTCTATTAAAAAGAATAATAATTAATTATAATATTTTATATATAAAAATATTCAATATCTTGCGAACTAATATTCTATTAAAAATAAAAAAATCTAATCTGCTAGAATCTATTAATTCTTATTAGATTTAGAGAAAAAAATAGAGAAGTTAGAATAGATTTTATAATTTTAATTTTTTTATTTATAGTAGGAATTATATATTATTTTTATATTTTTATTTATATTTAAAATAGTCTTAAAATCTTTGCAGATCTGGATAGCTGCGCCGAAGTGAATATTATTAATTATTAATTTATTAAAGTCTATAATCTTCAACATGCCCTGATTATTGCGCTAAAAATTAAAATTATTAATTAAATTATTATTTCTATTTATAATATATAGAAAGTCCCTATTATTGCTATTAATTTATAAAAAGATATCTGTATTTTTAAATAATATTATATAGAGATTAATTAAAATCTCTAATTAAAAAACAGTTCTGTATTACTTTTAATAACTATACTTTATAATTTATATATTATCTTATTAGTATAAAACCGCCAGTAATAATTTAATATATTATTTATTTTATTATTTTTTATTACTTAATTTACTAAAGTAACTTAAAACTCAGTAAGAATATATATTATTATTAAGCTTTTTAAAGATATCTGGCTATTAGAAAAAAAATCTTATAATTTATTATTAAATTCTAAGATAATTTCTGTTAAACTTAAATAATTTTAAGATATATTTTTTATAGATTTTTTTTAATAGCTATCTTCTTATAGTCCTGCAGACTATACTATTAATATTAAATCTAATAAAATATTTTCTTATAATTTAATATATCTCTTATTTAAAGCTAAACTTAAGATTCTATAAGAATATATTAAAAAAAATCTAAAACTAGACTAAATTTAATCTTTAAAGAGCTCTGCTGAAGCTTTTATTCTTTTTATATTTAAAAAAAATAATAATTTATATCTTTGTATAAATTATAAAGATCTTAATAAGATTTTTATTAAGAATTACTATTTTTTATCTTTTATTTTAAAAATTCTTAATAGAGTTTCAGGAAGTATCTATTTTTCAAAGATTAATATTAAGAATATATATTATTAAATCTATATTAAAAAAAATAATAAATAAAAAATAGTATTTCGCACCCGATACAGCTACTTTAAATATATAATTATATTATTTAAATTAATTAATACTTTAGTAACTTTCTAAAACTATATATATACTGTATTTTAAGAACTTCTTAATAATTTTTATATAATATATCTAAATAATATTCTTATCTTTTTATTAGATAAAAAATCTTATATAAAGTATATTTATTAAGTTTTAGAGAGACTTTAAGAAGCTCAGCTCTATATAAAATTATTAAAATATTTATTTTACTAATTTTAAGTTAAATTTCTGAGATATATTATTAACTCTGATAAAGTATTTATAGATTCTTAATAAATAAATAATATTATTTTATAATTAATTTCTAAAAGTTATTATAATATTCAGATCTTTTTTAGATTCTGTAACTTTTATTAATAATTTATTTAAGACTATTTTTATATTATTTTATTTCTTATTTTTTTACTTTATAAAATAATCAACAGACAGAAGCCAGAAAAAATTTATCTAATCTTAATTAAATAAACTGCTTTTTGCTGTCTTATTACTATTTTTTAATAAATATTTTTATTAATATATTTTAATTCTACAAAACCCCGCTGTTTAGAAACTAATATATTAAAAAAAAAAATAAGTAATATTCTATTCTAATCTGATACTAAGAATATATTTTATTTAATTATATTCTAATTCTATAAGTTCTTTAATATTAAATTAAATTATAATACTTCAGATTAAGAGCTATTTGCTATTATTTATTTTTTTAAATAATAATAATAATATTTAGAAGATACTCTTTAAATAATCAAGATCTTATTAGACTATTTAAATTTATAATCTTTTATATATTAAACCTGGATTAATAAAAAATAAGCTTAATAATTTATAAATCTAATCTTTTATAATTTTATTATTAAATATAAAATAGAGAAATTAAACTTAGCAGATAAATTCTTTAGAATATTTTCTAGATCTTAAGTAAAATCTATTTTTTAAGAAAAACTGTTAACTCTAATTTAAATATAATTTATAGATATATTATCTTTAATAATAAGAGATCTTATTAAAGAAAAAATCTAGTTTAAATCTTAAGATATATAGAATTACTCTGGATTTAATATCTATATTATATTAAGCTTAAAGAATTCTAATAATTAAACTAATATAGAGACAGCTGACTAAGCTGTTTAAAAAATTTATTTTAAGAGAGATTTATTTTTTAATCTATAGTATTACAAATATATACCGCGGAAGTTTTATACTTAAATATATATAATTCTAAACTTTAAGAGATAATTTTATATTTATAGAATAATAATTCAGAGATATAATAATAAAAAACTGCTGTTTAATAAAAATAATCAGATTAAAAATATTAAATTATTAAAATAATTAATTATATTTATTTTAAAGACTGATATTATATCTTCTCTTCTAAGATATTATATCAGATATTTATTAAGCTATATTATAATAATTTATTAGTAGAATATTTTAAAAAAATCTGAATAGAAGTACTGCTATATAAAAAGTTTTACTAAAATAAATTATAATATAATATAGCTAAATATATCTAAATTTATTTAATATATTAAGAAACTACTGTTCTAAAGTATTAATTATATAGTAGTCTTAAATTATTATTAATTCTATTATATCTCTTTATTAAATTAATAATAGATTTTATTACAGGGCTGCTCTCTATTATCTAATATAAAAAGATTATTAATACTATTCTAGTTATTATTAATTAATTCTTAAAATATTATCTTTTCTTTGTTATTCTATTTACAATAACTGCTCTAGATTTTGCTAAATTATTTTATAAATAAATTAAATTAATCTTCAGACTTCTAAATAAAATTATATTTAATTAAAAATTAATCTTTATTAGTAAATTCTGATTAAATTTAGTCTATAATAACTATATAATCTTGAAGCTTTTAACTATATTTTATTTTTAAATTAATAATTAAACAGAATAAATAAATTAAATATTTAAATACTATCTCTAATACTACTTCAGCTAGTATAATACTAACTAATTATTAATCTTTTTAAATACTTAATTCGCCTGTAATAATATAAATAATATAATTATAAATTAATTATTTTATAATATTTTTTATAGCTTTTTACTAGATTTTTATATTAAAATTAAGACTAATTCTCAGCAGCGAGAAGTTCTAGTAATATAAAATAAAATTAAGAAACTTAGAGAAATAAGAGAACAGCTATAAAAGATATAATAAATAACTATAAAAAAATAAAAGAAATATTATAATAAATATAAAAAATTATTCTATTTTAAAAAAAAAGATCTAATTAAGCTATTAATTTAGAATTTATAACTTAAAAAACTAAAAAAGCTGGCTCTAAAGTTTATAGAATTCTTTTAGATTTTTAAATATATTAAATCTTAGATATATTAATTATATTTATCTAAGAAATATAGATAAATCTATAATATATTCTATATCTTCTTATTAAAACTGTGAAATACTGAAAAAGATTATAAAAAACTGCTCTTAATATCTGAGCTAGATAATAAAAATAAATAGAAAGTTAAAAAAGTTAAAAATTATTAATATTATAATAATCAGGATTACTATCTAATTAAATAAAAAGAATAGCTAAGCGAGTATAATTAATAAATTTTTAATAAAAATATAAAGAATATATCCAAAACTATAAAATAATATTAAAAATATTATAAGAAGTACTATATATTAAGAAAACAGAAAATAATTATTAGTAAATTACTCTATATTCTTAAAAAATAAGCTATAGAAATATTAATTTCTTGATATTTTTTATTAACTATATTATCGCAGACTAAATATATTAATAGATATAAAATTATTCTGCTATAAGATAGTAGAAAATACTTAAATATATCTAGTTATATTTATTATTTATTTATAAAGTAAATAATAATAATAACCAGATCTTTTTATTATAATTTAGAAATATTTATAAGAAAAGTAGACTTTAGAAAAAGAATATAAAGATCTGTAATTAATTTAATAATATTATTCTTATTATTTAAAATTAATTTATTATTATTAATATCTAGATATTAAATATATATTATAATTTTTATTAAATTAAGAAAATTCTGCAGAGCAGAAATTTAGTCTATATATTCTAAATTATTAAATAATAAATATAATAGTATTTCTATTTTATAAATATAATAATTCTTCAGTAAGATACAGAGACCAGAATAGAGAACTAACTGTGCTAAAAAAATATAATAAATCTTAATAAACTTAATATACTTAACAGTAAACTTCTAACAGAATATTAATAATAAAATTATAAAGATCTTATTTTTTAATTATAATAAAAACTTATATACTTAGCAGTTTTAATATTTTTTAATAAAAATTTATAAGTATAGATATTCTCTATACTGTTAAATATTTTTATAAAAATATAAATCTCTTCGCGGATAGTTTGCTTAATATTATTATTTTAATATTCTTTTTTTAAAATCAGAGTAGTCTATTTAATAATCTTTATAAAATTATAAATATTTTCTAGTAAATTAGTTGCAGGCTTGAGAGATATTAGTAAATTATATATATATAATATAAAATATATAAAACTTACAGAATTACAAGTCTTCTTTTTTGCAGAATAAAAATAATATAAAATAAATATCTTTATATTTAATAAATAACTAATATTATACAGAGTATTCTTCTTAGAATTAAAGTTATTATTTATATATCTTAGATAGTATATACAAAAATTATAGCAGGCTTTAATAAAAATATCCTGCTTAGAATATATTATTTTCTTTGCTATCGCGAAGTAATCAAGAACAAGACTGATATTTAATAAAAAAGAGAATAATAATAATATAGTATAGATAAAAATAATAAAGATTATACAAAATAATAAAGAAATATAAAAAGAATAATTATAAATTACTAAAGAAATAATAATCACAAAGTAAAAAAAAAGAAGAAAGAGAAGTAATATAAGAAATTCTTTTATTTATATTTCTTTGCAGAGGATCTATTTATATAAATATAACTAAATACTTATAAAGCTATATAAAAACAATATATAATTCTATTTATATTATATATTCTGTGAGTTTCTTATCTTTTGCTATCAAATCTTCACTGTTCTAAATCAGAAATATATAAGACTATTTCCAATATCCAAGCCAGGTGACTTATCCCAGCGAAGAAGAATACTATTTATAATAGAATAATCTAGCTATCGGGATAAAGATTATTAGAATAATATATTATAATAATTATGAGAGTTATATTATCAAGATAATATATTATAATAATTATAAGAGTTATAAGATTATTAATAATAATTCTATATTTTTTTAATATCTATAAGATATTGATCCCTCTGTAAGAAGCTACTGATTCTTTAAGAATCAGTCTATTTTATAAATATAGACTATCTTTGTTATTATCAAACAAATACACAGTGTTTTATAGTTGATTTCTTATCTAGTCAACAGGCTTTCTATCCTGACAAGTAGATCCTATCACATAAAAATAATATTTAGCAAGAATTCTGGATTAATTTAATTACTAAGTACTTTTATTTTTTTATTATTTTTAATAAATAATATTTTTCTTAGATAGTTAAAAAAAAAAGAATTAGAATATAATAGAATTTATTTATCAGAATAAAAAATCTGTTGACTAGATAAGAAATTAATTATAAAATATTATATATTTATTTAATAATAATAAAAATAATCTATATTCACAAGATAAACTAATTCTTAAAGAATTAATAACTTCTTACAGAGAGATTAATATTTTATAGATATCAAAGAGATATAGAATTATTATTAATAATCTTATAACTCTTATAATTATTATAATATATTATCTTAATAATATAACTCTTATAACTATTATAATATATTATCCTAATGATCTTTATCCCGATAGCTGGGTTATTCTATCACATAATTTAAAATATTCTTACTCTAGTTGTTATATTTTAATTTAATTAAAATAAATTAAGAAAGAACTTAATAAAATACTTAAATTATTATATTTAAATATATAAGAAATCTTAATAAATTAAACAGAATTAAATATTATAGATTAGATAGATATTAAAAATAAAAAAAATAATAATAAAATATATAATAGTTTTTTATTAAATTTAGACTCTGATTTATTATTTAAAATCTTAATCTTTTTTATTTAGATATTTAGAATATATTATTTAAATATATTAGTTATAGAATATAGTATATCTAATCTTCGACCGGCTATTTTAAGATTAAAAATATATTAAATTAGTTAAAAATAATACTTCTCGAGATATTCCGTGGAATGTGTAAAAATGGCAGTTTTATTGTGATGCCCGAAGGGGGCGACGGTCCGTTGGGCGGTAGGGGACTCTACTACCTGTAATATACTCCGGACTCAGATCATGCCATGATGATGCGACGGGGTGGACGGGGTGGACTGAGTGACAACTTGACAGGAGTTGACGGGAGTTAGTTGTACGGAGTACTTTGCGACCCAGTACTCTTGCTGAGTATCTAGCAGGTACGGTACCAGTCTGGGTTGTACCCCGTACAGATCAGACTGTACCAACTGTACCAGTCGTACACACGTATCTGTTAATAACCCGTATGACCATGACACCCGCGAATCACCGGCTTATCAAAACCCACACCTTGTCTCTCGCTTCCGCCTTTTTCCTTCTGCTCCTCGCCCGTCCATTCTTCTTCTCCTCCCCTCCCACTCCACTCCCTCCTCCGACTTCCATCTTTCCAGCTTCCCTCCAGCCAGCATTTCCCCTCTCTTCGCCCAGACCAGCCTTCGCTACCGTCTTTAATTCTCTCTCCCCCCAAGATATCGTATTCGTGTGAATCGCCTGCCCTGCAGAATTGCCTGTCTGCAAGCTTTATACTCCGCGACTCCACTCCACTCGACTCCAGCCTATCCCCATTTCAGTCGCCCTTTTCCGGTCGCTTCGGATCGCTCGAATTCCCCCCTCGTGAGAAACGATTCTCACGATCTTATAAATAATCCCATCCTTATACCCCCCTCCTTCGCAACCTCCCACCAAAATGCGTGCTACCTTTGCTCTGCGGAACGCTGCCCGCACCCCCCTCATCCGGTTCCTCGGAAGACGCTCCGTGCCCCGTATGTCTTTCCACCCCTTGCACGCATCATCCACTGGTTTCGTGTCTAACAGTAATGGTTTCAGAGTCGGTTGACCACAGCCCTCGTCCTCACCCCGCCTCGCCTTCGGGAATTCTCCCCGACTCTTTCGCCGCCTACCGCTCCAAGGCCCAGCAGCACGGTCCCCTGGGCCGGGCCTCTTTCTCTCAGGGCATCGGTCGCAACGCCGGTGCCTCCTTGGGCCCCGTTCAGCCCAAGCAGGGTGAATTCTTCGACCGTGCCGAGCTCCCCACCCGATTCCACCGCCTTCCCTGGACCGAGGCCGAGATCGAGGCCATTGAGACCGGTGGTGCCAGCCTCTTCGCCTAGATCCATTGCAATCTTCATCCAATGAGGGATGACGCAACGATAGCGGTCACGAATCTGGCAATTTACGATTATATCCATGTGGAGGTGGAGGACGGGCCCCTGGCCCGGGGTCGTGGCAGCCGTTACTCCCCGGCTTCCGCCATGGGGGGTAGACCGGTGAGCTGTGGGCTGGGTCCACCTCGCATCGTGCAAACGTGAATGGCACATAACCCAGGGGCCGGGAGCACCGTCGCATACTGGTGATGGGTCGTTTGTTGGCAATGTCCAACCAGGAGCTCCTCCGCCCTTGACTTTTTCTTTCTCCCCCCCCCCCCCCCCAACTTTCTACCTCTTCTTTGTTTCTCTCCGCGGTCCTGGCGCTGGTGGTTACTCGTTTTCATGCTTAGCGGTTTTACTTGTTTGTACTTGGGGCGCGGCACCTATGGGATCTTTGCTTGCGGTCCGATCTGCCAAGAGATCTGTGCATAGTTGATGGATCCAGTTGGATCGAAAAGTCTGCTGGCCGTTGGACGGTCCATGTTAGAGGATACCTCGCTTTCCCGAGGGGCTTGTTGTTATGTTGGAGGTCTAATCCAATCCAATCAATTGATGTGCCGGTTCCGCGTAGAAGAGGTCCATCTGTAGAGCCAAGCACGTGCCCGCGGCGGCCTTAGCGTGCGGCCGCTGCCACGCAACCCTCATCGACTCCTCCTCCTCCTCCTCCATCCTTCGTCATCCTCGTCTCCCGTCATCTGGGTCGGAAAAGTCCCCATTGCGCACCACCTCTGACTATGACATTAACGGGGACCAACAACGCCATCACCTTCACTGAGGTGGACGACGTGAACCATCCTCGAGCGACGTACATCTACTCCGCACCTGCAGCGGGCCCTGCACATCTCAACCATGGAAAGCGTGGGGACAGCTGGGGACGAGTGGACGTAGCGGTGAGTCCTCGAAGCTGCAAACCATTGCAACAATTGGGATGCACCAGTTCAATAATAGCTCGAGCTGACTGCGCATCATCCGCCTCCCAGAATGCCCCCTCTGGCACGGCAGCAGTATCGTGGTCCCCCAAGACCCTTCTAGACTTCCTCATCGACGTCTTCCTACCGGCTGGGTATCCGCACAGTGTCACCGATGATTATGTCCCGTGGGCCACTCCCTCAATCCCTGCACTGAGACCCCATCACTGACCGTACGAGCAGGTATCAGATCTTTGTACGTTGACAGCTATCATCCTCTTCATCGGGTATCGATGTAGATAGCTAATCTCATGACGCATCGAAGGACTCACTCCAAGCCTTCAGCAGCTCCATTGCTGGTCTCTTGTCGTCAAGAGCAGTACTGCAAGGTCGGCGCACACCCACAACTCATGCGCTATTTAGTCTCACGGACCGCAGACTAACAGCCTTCAGGCGTCGGAGTCGGCAATGCCAGTGCCTCTCCCACCTCGGCCCTACTGCTACACATTCTCCAAGACTCCTCCGGCCGGGTAGCCACGATTCTCTTCGCCCACCGGGTCGGCACCGCTCTCGAGCCGGAATGCAAGATGTACCGGCTCGCAGCGGATGTGTTCAACGATTTGGCCATGATCCTGGACTGTCTGTCGCCCATGATCCCAGCCGGAGCCCCTCGAGTCACCGTGCTCAGCACAGCCGGTGTCCTACGAGCTCTGTGCGGAGTCGCCGGGGGCAGTTCCAAGGCGAGTCTGAGTGCGCATTTCTCCCGCTGGGGAAATCTGGCCGAGGTCAACGCTGTAAGTCACCGGTGTCCTCCTCCCTCTCAAACACGGAGAACATGGCCATACTCAGCTCATTATCATTTGCAGAAAGACTCGTCGCAAGAGACCATCATATCACTCATTGGAATGCTTGTAAGCCAGATCCTGCTCTCTGTCCCGCCTGCACAATGCATAAACTCACCCAGACAGGTTGGATCCTTCGTAGTCTCCCATGTTACCGGCTTTGCCGCAACATGGATCTCCCTCCTGTTCCTTCTCGCTCTACATCTGGGCATGAACTATGCGGCTGTCCGCTCCGTCCAAATGACCAGTCTCAACCGACAACGCGCCAACATCGTCTTCTCGACCCTGCTCGCCTCCGACCCAGACCTCAGCTCCCAATTCCTCACCATCCACCCCGACCACGAGCACCAGAAAAACGACACCCACGACCAACCCTCCTGGCGAACCCTAACCCCCGCCCAAGTCGCCAACCAGGAGAAAATCTTCGAAATCGACGGCATTCTCCGCTGGTCCCAAGCAGCCGCAGCCCCTCAAACCCTCGGCTCCTGCCAGATAGGCGTCTCCCTGCAGCAATTCCTTGCCCCTTCCTCTTCTTCTTCCTTTTCCTCTTCCTCTTCCTCCCTCATCCCAGGACTCCGCGCAACCCCCCGATCCCTCCGAACCCCCATCCCTTTACCACATCTCTCCACCCTCTTCAGCGAAGAATCCTACATCCTCTACCTCAGCCCCACCAGTAAACGCATCCGTGTCGGCAACTGGCATGCCCGCATCCTCCTCAAGAACACCAGCACGACCCACTCCCAGCTCAAGGCCTGGGCACATGCCTTGCTTGCTGCGCGCATTCTCTCGAGATCATCATCTTCCTCCCATTCTTCTGCGGCTGTTAGCACCGAGAATGAGATGCTTGAGTCCATCGTGGATGTTCTGGATCGCACGCTGCAGTTCCTGAACGAGAACGGGAGGTTCGAGCGGTATGTTGCTTCCTTGGTGGATGCGGGGTGGGATCCGAGTGTTGCTGCTTTGGAGACGAGGTCGGGGAGGAGGATTGTGTTGTAGGTAGTCAGTTAGTCTGTCTAGCTCTCTGTATATGGGGGTTGGTTGTAGGGGTGGTGGTGGTTATTGGAAGCATGTACGATAAATAGTGCAATCAAAGTTGTCCAGCGAATCAGGCGATTGCTTTCCTTGTATGATTTAACAGTGATGATCTTCTACACTGTATATTACTGACTGAGAGAGAGAGAGAGTAGAAAAGCATTCAAACCATGGGTATCTTTGACCAGTACGGTACAGAGTATGCTAATGCTAATGTTATGCTAACAGTAAGTAAAACACAGAAGATAAAAGCATCATGACACGCCATGCCATGCCATCATGCAGGGAACACAACCGCATACACTCACACTCACACTCACACTCACACATTTCAAACAGAAAGAAAGTCCACTCGAGCTCGCCATTCGGGGCACATGAAAATGAATATGAATACATCAACGCCGGGATGAACAGCCTCCCAAACAACCCCATTTTGAACCCAGTCTATATGATTTTGTGATGACAAAGGAAAAGATGCACGCTTGGTCGCTTGCGTTGAGACAGAAAAAAAAAAAAAAAAAAGGACAGAACGCCAGTATGTATGCTTCCACCGTAATAAAGAAGAAATCAGAATGCACATGCATTACACCGTCCACTCGTGTTCAATGAGTCAATGCGACATGTTCGCTCAATAACCGAAAGATCAATCGTATATGCAGTATCAGGTATGCAGATCGGATCATGCGGCCACAGCCGGTTGCGGTAATAGATGAGGGTGAAGAATCAGGGCGCTGTGGGCTGCCCTGGGAGGATAGAAGTAGTCGGGGGTTGAGGGAGAGAAAAGATATTGGAATGTAGAAGTGCCGGGAGATGGCATTCGGCTATGCCGCGCAGGCAGCCATTTGACATCCGCGATCGGTCAGTCAATCATCCATACCAGGCAGCTTGTAGTGCTGGTTCATCGAGCCGTGGTTGCCCGAGCGCTTTTTGAAACCCAGCTTCATTCCCATCTTCTTCCAGGGGTTGTCGGTGCGCTTCGGGCTGTGGGCCAGGTGCATGCAATGGGGGTCGCTGGAAGGCGGTGTAGTCGGCGGCGTCATTGGCTCCCCAGTGCTCGCATTCGATTGCACACTGCCCGAGTCGTCGGTCAAGGCGCCAGACCCAGAATCCCCACTGGCATTGGAGACTTGGCCGGAAGTCCGATGGCCCACCTTGCCGATTGAAGTCATCGCACTCAACGAGAAGTTCGAGCGGCCGGAGTAACTGGACGGGGAACTGGCGGAGACCGGCGACCCCATATCTTTCGAAGACTGGGGGGATGGGCGTCTTCCCTTCGAACGGGTCCGATTGGCGGCGTGCTCGTCAAACCCGGGGTTCGACACAATCATGATGTCTTCGTCCGCTGGAAACAAGGGCTCTGATAGCGGCAACACGTGGGCGGAGGTAGCATGGGAATTGAGGAACGGCAGGAAGATTGACTCGTCCATCAGGTCATGGACGAGTTTGACGGCAGCGTCCAGGGTCTCCGGGCACGGGGGGTAGGTGAGATTTGCGTGTCTCAGGATGTCATCCCGCACCTCGCTGGAAACATTGATCTCCCGCGGCGATCCGGGGAAGACGTACGCGGTCAACAGTCGCTGCCAGAGCATCCGCAGGTGCTGGGATTCGGGGCATTCCGTGGCAATGGGCAATTCGTTCAGCTGGTGGCTCAGGGCGTCGTAGGTCTCGCGGTACCGCTTGGCCTCCATGGTGAACTCGAGGGTCTCCAGGCAATGGTTCTGCGAGAGGTAGGCCATGAAAGCGCTGAGGGTGTAAGGGGCCGGGGCGGTGTTCGCTAGCACCTCGTCCAGGGACGGTCGCATGGGACAGAAAGCACCGGGGGGGACGGTCAGACTCAGCGGGCGCGAACCGGAAGAGTCCATGTCCTCGTCCGACTCGCTATCCGACGAGGAAGACGTGGGGGAAAGCTCGGGGGTCGTGGTCGGAGAATGGTGTCGGAACAGTATGGGTGGATGTAGGGTCTTCTTTTTGAGCATCGCGTACAGCGTGCGGCGGTTATTGGAATAAGGTGAAGAGGAGTTGACACCCTGAAGGTCCCCTTTAAATCGTAGGCAACCGAGACAGTAGACGCAGTGTTTCGCCAGAGTGTCGAGCTCCCTACCGGGGGGTGTCGAGCAGCACGGCGGGTAGAATTCGGAGGTGGCTCACGAGTCTCGGATGACAGCCACTTCCGGAGAGGCCAGGCTCGTCGATGCGAGAAGCCGTGTTTCAGGGCGACAGGCGTAGATTCGTTAGTTAGGACGAACGAGAGACAGTGCGGCGAGAGGTGAGGCGGGCACTGAAAGAGACAAGTCGAGACTGGCGATAAGGTGGGCGGCAATCACAGCAGGGTAGTTGGAGGATCTCAGTGAGTGAAGGGTGAGAGATCTGCTTTGGGGGGGGAAATGGACAAAGGATTGATTAGTGGATTTCCCGCGGCAAGAGTAGATAGGCAGGTGGGAGTAGATAGATAGGCAAGCCAGCCAGCCGTGGGTTTTTCCAGAAGGGTTAAGGAAGACGGTGTTCCAAGAGGGAAGGGGAGGGGAGGGGGGGAAGGAACTGGAAGGAGGGGGGGGGGAATTCCAACCGTCGGGGGGGAGGGGGAAGAAAACGGTAATAATAATAAGAAAAAAAAAAATAAGGGAAAATAAAAAGAAGAAAAAAAGGTTATAGTGGAGGGAGGGAGATTAAAGCATGCACATCAATAATCCAGGGGAGGAGGAGGGAAAGAAAGTTGTGTGGGCAGATGACGCCACAGAGAGGACAGGATCGAATTGGCAGAAACAAGGCAGGCCAGCGAGTGGTGGAGAGCGTTTGCCGATCAGGGCCCCTTCACACCTGGCCGAGGGACTGTCGACTGCGAAGTCTGAGACTGAGAGAATTGAGAGACTGTCCACAGGAACAACCCACTCCGAAGGTGCCAGTGACAGTGTAGTAAATTCTACTCAGTCATAATCGCAGCACGTTGGCTGGAAAAGGCAGTAACGACCCAAGGAACAAACAGCGCCTGCCCACCCACGAACCACGAATCATCGCCGACGAGACTTCCCGGTCGATCGTAGCCAGGAAGCGCCCCCGCCTATCACGCCGACCTCGGTGGGACCTCTCTGGCCAATCTTCAATGCCCTTCTGGCGGGTCCACCCCGATTCGACCGATGATTGCCAAAGAGAGAAAGAGTCCCGCTTTGATTTCTTTGTTTGTTTCTTCTGCTCTTTTCGTCTTGCCTCCCGGGAGAAGAGAAGAAGGACGGAAATGGAAGACGAACAGAACATGGAATAAAACTCCCCAGGCCATCCGTCACACCCGTAGTTTTTTTTTTTTTTTTTTTTTTTGTTTTTTTCTTTCTTTCTTTCTTTCTCTTTAAACTACGCGGCTCGGCTGGCAGGAAAGTGGTAGTGGTCTCCGTCCTTTTGTTTCTCGCCCAACCAGAAGATCACGTCATGCACCCCGCCCCTTGGACATGCCTCAGATAGTGCGACACTGGCAACCCGAACACACTGGGACTGGAAGGCTGGAAGGCTGGAAAGCCCTCCTCGGGTGGGGATTTTCAATGGAAATCGGGTTCCGTCGCTGGATGTGAATGGCTCATCAGGACGCCGATGGATCTCCGTCGATGAAGTCAATCCAGAGGTCCCCGTCCCAATTCCCAAAAGACCAAGTGGAGCCCCAGCAACGCGATCACATTGGGTTTGCTTCTCGTCGTCAGGCCAGGCCAAAATGGGTCAGGTCAGGTCAGGCTACTGGAGGCTAGATAGGTCAGGTCATGGCCGGCCGTGCTGGCCGTGCTGTCGTGCTGGCGCCGGTGGTCGGCCGTCACTCGCCCTGGAGGAATGGAAAATAAAACCGGCCGGGGTGGAGCCGGGCGCTTGTTTCTCGGTTTCTCCCTCTGGTCTCTATCTGCCTTGCTTTTTGACACTACCACTATGGATCCTATGATGTCGACCTCGAACAGTCGATCGTCGATCGTCCCTCTATGAAGACGACATCCGTCTCGGTCTGCAATTGCGGTCCGAAAGCGCATAGTGGAGCGATCGAGGGCAGAGAGTGAGGGAGAAGGGGGTAAAAAAAAAAAAAGGCTCATAGGCGCTATGGGGGTAAAATTTTCAAAAGAGGGCCAAGACAACAAGGATGACGGAGGCGAAAAAGAGGGGGAGGGAAAAAAAGAAACAAAAACAAAAAAAAAAAGAAGAAAAAAAACACTCGGGGTTCTAGAAAGAATGGAGGGATTGCTTGCTCACTCACCATGCATCAATTGAATGCGACGTCCCGCAACAGAATATCCGTAGAAGGAGGCCGGCAGCAAGGGGCGGTCGCCAAAACGCGCGTTCAAAGTCAATATGACCCAACGGCGCAGCGAAAACGAGGATAAAAAATCGCTCAAGGCTGAGAAAGATGATGGATAGATAGATAGAGAGCGGAGCTAGATTGCAGGGCGGCAAGCAGGTGGGTGTCTGTCTGTCTGTCTGTCGGTATGCAGGTTTCAATAGTAATGATGATGATGATGATGATGTGGTTGGGGATATCACAGCATTGACAGGATTCCGAAGGACAAAATTAGAAACAGAAGCAGCTCTCGCTAGATAGTAGCTAGATAGACGCCCAGGAACCGGATCTCTTGCAGCTTTTTGTATGGAGAAGGAGGTTCGGAATCCCATGCGAAGCTCAGATCAGTTGATTGCCCGAAGGGGTTTGGGGTGGCAACTGGCCTCGTACTATGTGTCAGTCTGGACTCCGGGCAAGGTAAGTATGCATTACTACTGTTCTGTATTCAGGCAGGTACCTGCTCATACCGGGGCGACTGCCAGACTCTAGACAGACGTGTTTGCGCATCCACCCGACACATGGCGAGACTTGACGCAGGTTTTTAGTTTGCAACGGGAAGGCAGAAGAATAATGAATGAAATGAATGAATGCTGCCCATGGCACCGGAATGGCGACACAAAGAATTCCACTCCCTGCCTTCCCTCACATCCCTGTCAACGCTCCCACCGTTACGGTACTTGTACGGAGTAGTACTCCGTAGGTAGTCGTGTATACCAATCCGGACCCGGAGAACAAGTCTCCGGGCAGCCCCCCCCTCGACTACTGCAAACCCCATGATCCTGAATGAATAAATGAAATGATCCAACTCCAGTCTCCAAGGCGCACGACGGCCTGACGGCGGTCGTGCAGAGCAGCCAACCCCGCATTGATTGGCCAGGATGGTGCAGGATCTACAGGACGCCAAGTAGGCTGTGCAGCTGCTAGAGGCAAGGGGGGGGGGGGGGGGGGAAGAAAAGCATACTATGGAGTATCTACTACGGAGTAGAACAGTCTGTCTCTGGCTGTCTGTGACGGCAGTCTGTATGTATCTACTCCGTAAAAAGAATGGTTCTGAGTTCGAACGATTTTGAATGCAGCTGCCGCGAGCATGGTGCGTGTGGGTGGGTGAGCAGTTGGCGATGGTCAGTCCAATTCTAAACAGTAGTACTAGTAACAACAGTCATGTCTGCATGATTAATGTCAATACGCCGTAAATATGGGGTCTAGATAGATATCTAGTAGATATCCAAGTCGTATCTGACAGAGTCACAGACAAAGAAAGGTGGCATACGGAGTATCTAGCATGCGTAGGCTTAAGGCTAGTAGGAGTCCTTCTCCATCTGTAACGGCCAATCCTGGGGGCGGAACTGCCTGCTTGACGCCGTGGTATCACCAGTCGCGACCCTTGTCTATTACTTTAGACTCTGTTGGAGGCTTGGCCGCTTGGGGCTGTTCCCCAACCCCACCTGCAAGGGCCTGCAGAGTGCAGACATGCAGGACTGTCGAGATACACAGTACTATGTGTCACAGTGTATGTACGGAGTCGCAGTGTGTCAAAATTGGATATGATCCATCTACCGGTAGGTTAGTGAGTATAGCAGCCGTTTTCGTTCTGGGGCTCCGGCTCCGGCTCGGGCAGGAGAGGAACAAAGAGAAAAAAAAATTATCTTACATTTTCCAGAACACGAAGGAAGGCCCAAAGAAACTCCCAAGAAAATTCGAAGAATGCCGATTTGCCCCCCGTTGGAACTTCAACTTCGAACATCGAACATCGAACAGCGAACAGCGAACAGCAAGGGCGCCTGGGACTGGGACTGCGAGCCGGACCAGCCCAACCCTTGCGGCCTCCACTGATGAGGGGGGCTTCCATTCGGCCCGCCCGTACACAGGCTAGCCAGTCAGTGGCCACTGGCCACGCCGAGGGAACAGTGGCTTGCGTGGGGTCAAGTGTGTGTGGCATTAGCGCTGGCGGGGCGAGTGGGGTGACGAGGGAGTCCAGCCAGTCCACTCGGAGAGTCCAGCCAGGTCAGCCAGTCCAGCCCGTCCAGAAGGTCCTCGGAGTGGGTAGTACAGCCCCACCCCATCCACCGAGTCCGTACACCCACGCACCCCCAACCGGAGGGCCACACAGTGACGGGCCAATCACGATTGCGGGCGCCGAGCAACGTGTTGCCCGTTTGGTCTTGGCGGGCTGGATGCGGTGCTCACGAGGCGTGAGGCCGTTCTTTATCTTGCGGGCGACCGTCGATGAAGCTTGTTAGTGGCAGGCTGGCAGTGGACTACTGTGGAGAAGATGGCTCTCGGGGCGCGTCTGTCGAGGTTTGTTTCTTCTTTTCTCGACTCGGTTAGGCATTCCCCCTCAGTTTCTCTGTCTCCCCAGTCTCCAGGCTCTAATCTGCAGGTACGTACGGAGTACGGAGTAGATAGGTACTGTTTGATCATAAATAATAGTACGCCGTAATAGCAGCGGTAATATAATCTCGTTCAAACCTTCGGATCGATGGCTGGGCGATTAGGTGTCAGTCCGAGTGGCGGATTAGCGATGCCCCCATCAGATCTAGAATGGTATGGGCACTTTTTTTTTTTTTTTTTTTTTTTTGCCGATGTTCTGTTTGCAACATAGCAGAGGCTTGCGTGTCGGGTATGATGTGCAACCCTTTGGTCGTACTGTGTGTATCCAGTGGAATGGAGACTACGTCAGCGCCCGGGAGAAGCCATAGAGAAGGTTCCATGGAGTGATAGTGACAGTGACACGGCAGGCGAAGACTCGAAGGGACCGTACTCCGTACACTGCATATTCCTTGATATTGAATCTGTTTTCTTGTCGACTGGGAGGGATTTAAAGTTCCCATCCATCGTTCGACGACAAGCCACACCCTCAAAGCCCATATCCCAAAGCCCCAATAACGTCATGGCCCTACTGTGTGATGCCTGCCCGTTTGCAGATCCTTTGACTTTGACATCGTCAAGCCTGAGTCATGTTGACTAATGAGAACGATTTTCTTTTCCGACTTGATTGATACTTTCCGCGGGCCTTTTCTTTCTTGTCCAGTGTTCGTGTTCCACCGTTCCACCGGTCTGCGAGTGCCACCCGGATCGCTGCTTCCTTCCAGAAGGCCCAGCAAAGCCACATCAACTGATCAGTCAGTCGCCAACGAAAAATTTTCGTCGATTCTAGATCAATAATGGAAGCTTCTCCCGAGACGCCACTCTATAAATGTCAGCGCCCAACAGGCCACCACGATGAACGGCCACGCATCCGGCTGTTTAGGATTTACACATCATCCCGGCATTCTCCGTATTCTAGTGCTTAGGTAGGTGATAAGGGGGGTAGAATCAAGTGCCGAAGGCGCCCGAGAGGCCCCGAGAAGAAGAACGAGCCTTATCAGCTTGGCTGGCAAGCTGGCACACGCTAATAGTTTGTACTACACTAATCCCGGCACTAGTGGCTTGCCTATCTGGGAATATGGATCTGTTCTGCTATCAAGTCACAAGTTGTAACTAGTTAACTAGTTATCTAGTGGCGATTACCTAACGCTCCCTCCAACTGTTCGACTTCAAACAGTTCAATAAAATCTGCCCGAATCTGCCGTCTCCTATCATCGTATGGAGTCCGCGCGAACAAGGTTGTCGGCTCCGCCCGCACACCGAGCGCCCAAGGAATCCATCTATACGGAGTATCTATCCATCGGCGGAGTAATGAGAATGACACACGGCGCGTTATTATTACTTCTACAGTCTCAATGGTGCTGAAGCTACGGAAGAAACGATGCTTGACTTCGATATCGCACTCGCCTCACTTCTCGTTCTGGAAGCTCTCTACTAGTACCTAGTACTTACCTATACCGTGCATGCATAAGTGCACAGTAGGTAGGATTTCTGCGAACAAGAGCGACATGCAGGAGGAGGACCTCTCCCAGCTACAGCTGTCAGCTCCAGCTTGGCACAGCTCTCTTGCCCGCCATGCTACTGTCATTCCATTGATTCAAGAGGCCCAATTGACCCATCGCGACGTCTCCATTGCCAAGCAGAGGGTCGACCACGTGTCCGGCCTCAAAATGGCGAGGCGCGAGAGAATTCTTACGGTCACGAAGCCACGTTTCGGCCAGCTGTCACCGCGGATGGGATTCCTCTCATGCAGCTGTCTGCTGCACATCCCTGCTATAGAAAGGACCTAAGTACTCACACTGTACCCTGCCAGTCAGGACGCAGTAAGCAGGCGCTTGGTGGTAGGTTGATGCTGTAGCTGGAACAGGCAGGTAGGATAAAGTATCTCCCGTCTCGACCAACCCCGGGCATCACTAGCCCATAACATTGGCGATATATATACGGAGGGCGGAGGCCCCCGATGGAGTGGACAAAGTGGACAAAATGGACAGGACAAGCCAGCACTGCTGCTGTCTTATCCTGGAGACCAACTCTGAACTCTGAGACTGACGGACTGCTGCCAATGCCATGACCAGATCCACAATTTCCCCGTTCGGCAATTGTCACTGCCGCCCCTCCTAAACACCGAAGCAATGGCTGTCTACAGTTGGTGAACCAATTACTTCACAGCCAAGCAGACAGCCCGATTAGCCACGGTGACTACGGCTAGCACTACTAAGTAGTAGTATCTAGTAGTATCTAGTAGTTATTGGTGTGCTGCAGCCAGATACAATTGGGAACTGCCGCGGGAAGACAGAACAGAGATTCCATTCTGCAGAACCCCAGAGAAGCTAGAAGGGAAGGGAGGGTGGGATCATCATAACGGACGGGTGATATCTAGTACCTATCTACAAGGTATGATATGCATCCCAAACGGTGATGGTGGTCCGGACTTAGTGCTTCGGGGGGGGGAAGAGGAAGGAGGGGGGGGTGCCCAATGACTCAATTACTATGACGAAGGGATTGACAGTGAAGAAAGAGAAAGACAGAAAAAAAAAGAGCTAAGAAGATGACGAAGTGGCATGATGTCTGGCTGGCTCCGTTCATCTGAAACAACATGGGCTCCGATTCGATTTCCGGGCCAGGAGTGGTCCATCCTAAATTGGGTCTAGACCCGGGGTGGAGCCCGGAGGTCGGATGATCGTTTTTGGGGGGGAGGGGGGGGTTGAGATGATGCTATCTTTGCTATTCGCTCGTGCTTTGTTGTGGTGGTGGTGGTGGTGATGAGCAATTAGCAGAGGGCTAGTTAACTATTTCAAAGTACCATACAGTTGACTGCAGATGATCCCGTGGATTGATCGATCTCCAGACAGTCAGTCGTACTTGTATTATGTACTACCCCAGTCCGATCATCACCATCACGCAACCCTTCTATCTCTGCCCTGCAATATGACAGCATCAACCACAAGCCAGCCCTACATAGTTAGTAGATACTATACTTTACTTAGCCTACTCCGCACTCTAACAACACCCAATATCCACCTGTTATATACATCATACACCTACTTTGCACAGAAGTATACATCGTACCTGCTATGATAGTACCCCGGCATTATACATCCATTTTCATGCACCGATGGAATGACCCAGCATCATCAACCCATCCATCACTATCACATTATACTACGAGTACTCTGTAGAACCTACTCTATCGCAGACAACCTGTCCCTGCAATCTCCTGACTCAAAGAAAGAAGCTGGATGATCCATCACAGATACCCACTCAGTCATCCAGACAGCCCAGCCCAGCCCAGCCCAGCCCACAAGGGTCTATCCCCTCCCATCCCATCACGCCACACTCCATAGTAGCTACTTACACTTCTACGATGTGCTCCGTACTCCGTACATACCCCAACCCCAGGATAAACAGCCACCACCAAGACAAGACCACCCGTTCTATGTAGATACCTAGCGCTCGGATCCCTCTTGATCATCATCCCGGGCCACCAGAGCCACACAGACAGCCAGCTACTAGCAGCGGCAGACTAACTAGATAGTGCATTTGCCTCGCATGATTCTAATGGATGGATGGAGCCGTGTGGTTCGACGCATCCTTGTGGGGAGGGGAGGTTGGGAAGCGGTCGTGGCGTTCGGGCTGACAGGCAGGGATGAAGGGATTAGGATGGGGATGGGGATGGGGATGGGAGGGAGGGAGGGATGCAGGGCCCTCTGTTCGGCAAAGTCTAATTAATGCATGGCCCATGGATGGCGAAGGAGTGGGTGGTTTGCTGGGGGAAACCCCGGACCCCCCCTGGGAGAACCTTACACGGATTCCGAGGGATGGATGGAAGGGAAGGAAGGAAGGCAGTCTGCCCTATCTACTTCCTTTACTACTGCGGACTGCGGCCTGCGGACTGGTGGTACCGATCACGTCGGTGGCAGGTGGGTTGGGATGTTGATTGGTAGGCGGTTCGTATTGGAGCTTGTTTGCTCTTGACAGCTGGAGGAACTAAGCTAGGTAAGTAGGTAGGTGGCACAAAGGACCTCTCTAGTAGTACTTGAGTAGGCAAGGTAAGGTACAACGGCAGAAGGATGAGGTGGTAGGATGGTGTGTATAATCCTAGCTAAGTAGGACTCTTGGCCGGATTACTCTACGCATTTCTATCGCCGTCAACAAACAGCTTCAGCCCCCGCCAACCAAAACGTCCGAGAACATGAGACCGTCACATCACAGCCTGCCCCCGAGTCTACCACACGAACGATATATAGTACAGCTGTAGCATGTCGTCGTTATTGCGTTTGTTGTGGCGGTTGTAAGGTGGTAGACTCCCGAACGCGAAGCGTATCGTATATGAAGAAACAGGGTCTCTCGTTACTGCCCACCCGACCCAGAGAACAGCTGCAAGCACCTGGATACCATGCCGAGGAAAGAAATAGCGCAAGGAGAAGGAGAAAAAAAGAACACCCAGGCGCATCTGGTGAATCAACTGTTTTTGAAACTGACAACGGCAATGAGCACAAGAGAAACGAGTACAAATCCAACAGAACACACGGCTACATCCGAATGATCCCCTGCAAACACGACGGAATGGAATTGGAGGAAAGAAAAAGAAAAGAAGAGAGACAAACAGACAATCACGGGGATGATGATGATGATGATGATGATGATGGGGAAAAACAAACAAACAAACAAACAGCCACAGGCCGCTATCGCATGAACTCCTTGACCGATGGACTCTTGGGTCCCGCACACGCATTCCACGGGGCGCATATTCAAACATTTAGATGCTAAAAATGCTGTGTAAATCAGTGTCTGCCCGGACGACACGCGAGGACTTCCACCAAATGCCAAACGCCCTTCTGCCACACATCATTAAAATTACCATCGAAAGACCAGCCACAGAGACCCGGCGCGCGGGAGGGGGAAGGGGAGAGAAGGAAGAAGGTCGAGGAGGAAACGGAGGGGGATCGAGGCACTGATCATGTACTCTGGCACACAAGACGCAACTCTAGTATTAAATGGCTCGTGCCGGGAATGCGGGACGAAGGAAATAGAAGGAGGATGAGAGGAAAGCAAAAGCAACTGAGAGACACACGCGGGGAGGGGGACCGATCAGGGTCGCCGTTCCGAGCCGTAGCACCATCAAAAAGAGTGTTGTTCGAGGGGGCGAGGGCGAGACGGATGAGGGTCGTTCTATCGTCGAGAGCAGTCGCGGGGGCCTTGGGGGCCGAGGAGAGAGATCGATCGCGAGAGCCGGCGGGTAATGCAGCCAGGCGCTCCGGATGATGGATGACACAAAAGGAAAAGAACAATATATCCCACGCGCGCCCATCCCCCCAAAGTCCACCACACCGTGTTCACCTGCCAGCAGCAGCGTCGGCGATGCCGAACACGTACGATACAACGGGTTGGGGAGAAAGAAGTTCCCGGTTTATAACACAAGTATAATCGCATGCTGCCTTTCAAACCTCCCAAGTATGTTGAAGACAAGAAATAACGAAAGAAAGTCGAGAAGCGAACATGACCAGGATATTATGTAGAATTACAAAGATTCCATGTTCAGCCTCGCATCAACCTGGAAACCCGCATGAGTAAGGGAGGCGTGACACGTCGGCATCGAGGCAGATCACCTACCGCAGCAGAGCGCCTTCATCACTTTCTGGACGAAACTGGGCTGCGGCTCATTGGTGCCCGGAGCGGCCTGGCCCTGTTGGCTGTTCTTCGTCGCGTTGACGGGGCTTCCCATGCCGCCGGGAATGTTTGCGTTCGAGTTCTGGAACTGCGCCTGAGTCGATGCCGCCGGCGTGGCATCCAGACCCCCGCTCTGGCGCTTGGGCTGCATCCCTCCGGAGACGCTTGGCCGATCGCGCGTCTTCCCAGCTCCGGGTTTCGCCGGAGACGGAGGCGGGGGCTGCGCGGCGTTTAAACGGTCGGCCGTCACGCCGGGCCGGCTGCCGCGGAGCTGCTGGGCGTGGAGTTCACGGGCAGACGAGTTGGGGAGGGCGTTGTTGTGAAGGTGTTGCTGGGACGAGTACGACTTGTACTCCCACCCCCGTCCGTTGTTGAGCTTCATCCAGTCGTACTCGCCGTCCTCGACGTCCCCGCCGTTCTTGAGAGCCTGGGTCAAGAGGTCCCGGAGATAATCATAGTCGGGAGTGTCCTCGAAACCAAGGTTGCGCACGTACGTCAGGTATTTCGTGAATTCTTCTAGACCCATCGGGTTAGCTTTCCCTGCCCACCGGGCACGCAAAACGGGGCAGTAGGGATATACCTGGGAATCCGTCGCAAAGATCCTTGATCGCGGTGGTCTGCTTCTTTTCTCCGATTTTTTCGTACTTTTGCTTGTTGGTCGCAGCCTTGAGACCCTGCCAGGGGAGGCCACCTCTCAGGAAATAGAGGAAAACGTGACCCAGAGCCTCGAGGTCATCACGTCGCGATTGTTCACGACCGAGATGGGTGTTGATACTCATGTAGCGGGCTGTGCCGGACAGCGACTTCCGCTCACGATAAGGGATATGCTGCTTCGTCTTGGGGTCTCTGTATTGCTTGGCCATTCCGAAATCAACCACATGAATCACGTTGGCAGCCTTGGTGTTGGGACGGCCGATGAGGAAGTTGTCGGGCTTGATGTCACGGTAGATCAGGTTTTTCTCGTGGATCGTTTGGACTCGGGACAGCTTTCAAGGGAGTTAGAAACGATGTCGGACTTCAATCAATCAATGGTCAGGGTACGCACCATCTGCTTGGCGACCATGACAACGGTCTTGGTCGAAAACCGGCGGTTGCAGTGATCGAAGAGATCCTCCAGACTAGGGCCGAGCAAGTCGATGACCAGGATGTTGTGAAGACCCTCCTGGCCAAAGTAGTAGACATTGGGAATGCCAGCTGCTATCAGTCAGTCCACCTGACCCTTTATCCGATCGCCGTGACGTTGAAAACTTACGGCATCCGACCAAGATCTTGTATGTTCGATACTCATCACGAAGCTGGGGGGCATCACTCTTGCGAGGTTCCTGGTATCATTAGCACGGCGAACCATCCACCGTTCCCGCCCCGAGTGCCTGCCACGTACAAATTTGATCGCCACCTGTTGGTTGTTCAACAGATTCGTACCCTCGAAGATCACACCGAACGACCCTTCACCAATCTTCTTGCCTACTCGGTAGTGGACACCCACGACATTTGAGGAAGAGGACGCCATCGCTGCGGAGGTCGGAGGGAGATGTCGAGAAACCGCGGTGTCGACAAGGGGGAGGAAGGACAGGGGACTCGGTCAACGGCGTTTACACGTGAGACTAGCCTGACAGATCGATCGGAAGCGTCAATTGGGAGGAACTAACGATGAAGGGTGTGGTACAAGTAGTCGCTGGGGAGGGGAAGGGAGAGGCGACTGGAGTCTCACAGGAAGCCAGATGGTCGTCAATCTGAACCATTCATGAAAATGAACCCCGGCGTGCAGATATCACGGAACTCGAGACGGACCACGAATCGGAGGCCGCAGACAGCGAGAGGAGACGGGCGGTCGAACAATCGCACCGGTAAATTTGAGAGGGGGGGACAGGAGGGTGCACCCTTAGGACAGCGTTGGCAAGGAGGGTGACGGGGAGGGAAGAACAAGGTATTCCGGGGGGGGGGGGGGTGTGGTGGAGGGGGCGACAGCTCTGAGGGGCTGCAGGCTGACAGTTAAGGGTGCGCTCGTTGGAAAGGGGACGAGGAATCGTAAAAAAAAAAGTCGATTTTAGGAAAAGAAACTAAAGAGGAAGGGGGGCAAGGAAAGAAAATTCCCCTACTACTAACCAACCGCGTGGCAGTACGACAGAACGCACTGGGCAAGCAGTGGTGTAGATAGAATTGAGGTGCCGAAGAAGGGGAGGAAGAGGGAGGGAAGAAGGGAAAGAAGAGAGGAGGGATGGAGAATAGGCGATGGAGTAGAGGGGACCTAGGTGAGCAGTGAACACGCCAGTGGTGGCATGAACTACAACTGCTACGGTCTGCCTATGGGGGAAGGAGGGAAAAGAGGGAAAAGGGAAAAAAGGAAAAAATGAGGCGGAGAGCAAGAGGAAGAGGCAGAGAGAGAGAAGAAGAGGAGAAGAGAGAGAGAGAGCGAGCGAGCGAGCGAGACAGAGACAGAGAGGCGATGGTTGGATGGGAGGATGGTCGAGTCGGGTCTGGTCTGGTCCTCTTGGTTTGGTCAGGTCAATACATTACCTGAGTTACACCTGAGATAGTACCTAGCAGAGGTACTTACGACTACGTAGTGCCAACACTACTAAACTAGGTACCCAGTCGCAAAATCCGCCCGGCCGGCTTGGCCCCGATGACGATGAAATCTGGTGCCCGGTTTTCTGCTTTCCTGTTTCTCTGTTTCTGGCCCGAGGTATGGTAACCTAAAGGTATTGCGTATGAACTCCGGCCTGGGAGGTCCGCCGCAGTGGAGGCGATTATAGCCGGAGAAGCCCCATCGATAGGGGATGAAGGGCGGTAATCGGGAGTACAGATACGGTACCTGATTACATGACCTACCAGTTAGTTACCTACACTGAGACATCGATTCATTCTATCCAATACATGCCTTAGTAGGTAAATAAGCAGGTACTAGGTAGGTTGTTACCTTTTCTTCTCGTTGTTGTTATTGTCCTTCAGTAAGAGGGTCTGACCCGATCGACCCTGGCCTGGTTGGAAAAGGACCGAGTCAGGCCCGTGCCAATCAATCGGTTCAGGGCCATGGCCATCGGGGGCCTCCCAATTTTCATCATCCTGGCCTCGGAATCGCCCTGGGCCCCAGGGACTCACTAGCGGCGCCTCTAGCGCTCAGCCTGTTGGGCGATGAACGGTTGAAAGCGGGCACTAGACGCCAGCAGTGGGTTCTGGCCAGTGGCCAGATGGAAGCTACCCAGGTACGGAGTACCTTGCTATAATTATTATTGTTCTGGGTCATCCTGGTACGATTGTTACCAACTCCAGTGCCACATGGCGTTGAAGGAGGATGGGGGGGAGGGGGGTAGAGGAGGAGAAGAAGAAGAAGAAGAAGAAGAGGAGAAATGGGCCATACATATGGAGTACACAGTACATAATAACTACAGTTACTACGGTGACCCCCCTCTCTCAGGTACCATCATTCTTGCGGTCTCCTGTCCGTTGCGCATGCTCGCTCGCTCGCTACTTGGTTGGCCATTGGGAATGATAGCCCAGATGCCCACCGGATCTAACTGCCTTGGGTGTGGTATTGTCAGTTTGGGGGGCACTGGTATTGCCGGGCTGTCTGACCATACCTTACCGTACAGAGGTACTACCTAAGGTAAGGTAGGTACTCCGTACTAGTAAGGTCCCCTCCCTCCCAGGGAGATACACTCACTAACCCATCTCAGGGTAGCCCCCAGGCACACACCTTATCCGATCAGGTGTGGTCAATAAATAATTAATTGCCCATTGCATTGCTCCCCTATATGGATCCTGGCCACTGGGACTGATGATCGGGGAAGAATCGAATAGATAAGGGGACCCGACCCATGGAACAGGCGTCCCAAGACTTCCAACTCCCTACGGAGGCGACTCCCTTCTACCAATAACCGCCGGCCATTGTAGCTGTCAACCCAGCTACTGTGGAAGGGTAAAACTCAGCCCCATAGCCGGCCGACCGTGACAACCGTGACAGAAACTGTCTGTCAGCTCCCGCTAACCCGTCTAATCTATCTAGTATCTAGTCGTCAAGTAGTGTGGGCTGCGGCGGGCGGCTTCAAGGCTTAAGTACTCCATACTAAAGCAGTAGGCTGCGAGGTACCTGCGCTGAGCTGGCACTGCCCCTGACCAGTCTGGAGCCCAGCATGGTGCCCAGGGCGACCAATCGAGCTGTCCCATCCGTGTACGTGAGTGTAGGTAAGTATGTATGAATTGTATGCATGAGCACGGATGCAGTGGTAAAATGGACAATACTCCCTACGGAGTATAAGATACTACTACTCATCACTTACCGTACATTGAGACTGGGGAGGAGGAGGAGGAGGAGGAGGAAGCTTACCCCACTCTTTTGTAGAGCAGTCCCATTATCGAGTTATCGAACGGATAGCACGGGGGCTCAGAGCCAGCCGAATCGGGACAACCGACTGTCACCACTACGACCAATCGAGGAGTCGAGGAGAGGACAATCCCCGAAAGAGTGTTCGGTCGTCGTCGCAGCCGACGGACCTGACGGAACTCGATGCCTTCTTTTATAGGTACATCGAGTGGCAGTGGCAGTGGCAGTGGCACCTCGATTTTCGATGCATCTGACACGTCTGTGACCCACAGCCCATTCGATGCCACTGCATGGTTTGCTGGCCCTTATCCATTGGACTTCGAGCCCTGGTCATCTGAAACAGGCTCCATGCAGCCTTGAAACGAACCCTCGTCCTCAAAAGCCCTCTCTACGGATTACCGGCGTGGATGCTAGACAATGCACGAGCACGGCCGGGGCGGAGCAGTCCAGGAAAAGAAGAGAGGGGGGAAGAATATCGCACTTTCAAGTGGCCCCGGTGTATGGTAGTGTAACTGAATGGCGCCCACCGGTACAATGCTTGGGCCACGCGGTTGTTGGATACACATCATAGCACAGAGACCCTTAGTGTGACTGTAGCAGCATCCATTTATTCATACAGCAACAGTCGTCATAAAAGGCCGTCCTTCCGTCCTCCCGTCCTTTCTCTCACGACTCATCGGCCGGAACATCTTCTGCTTCGCTTCCCAGTTCTTCCGCCACGATGTCTCGATCATCTCCCTCCTCATCCTCCTCCTCATCATCCTCCATGCCACCTTCCTGATCCTCGTCGTCGTCCTCGTCGCTACTAGAGCCGCTGCCGTCGGTGTCGCTCTCACTGCCAGGGTCGTAATCCTCTTCGTCCTCATCCTCGTCCTCTTGGTCTTCAAGCTCGCGCTGGGCTTTCTGTAACTCACTTTCTTCTTCTTCGGCGCCCCCTTCGGTAGCATCGTCTTCCGTCTTGACATTATTGACATTGTATCGCTTCGCGCGCCGAGCCTCCGCAAGACTGGCGTCTTGCAGGCCGTGCTTTTTGATATACGTATCAATGCCGGAGAAGTCGGCCTGGTCGATCATGGAAAATTCGAATTCCTGCGTCTCATCGCTGCCAGTGGATCGAGCCACGACGTTGAGATTGAAGGTCCGCTGCAGCACGGACGTGTATGAGATTGAGTCAACATTCTCAAAGGCGAAAAAGACCAGCGGTTTCTTGAACCCAAACAGAATCCCCGTAGAAAGAAGGAAAAGATAACCTACGCCGTGCAACATTTAGTTTTGAGCAAGAGGGACTGCGGACGCGGGGTACATGACCATACCTTCTTTACTCCCGCGGAAAGCCTTAACATGGTAGGCCTTTTCCCCCTTCCGATGGGCCTCGGGCATCGCGCTCACAAACTGGCGCTCATCCGGGCGCACAACCTTGGTCTGCGACAGGTTGTCGTTCAAGACCCGTTGGACGACTTTGTCCGCCGTCTCGCCATCCCCGGTTCCAAGCTGTTGTCCAGTTCCCGAGAACGCTGCCTTGGGAGGCCCATCGGCAACGGTCCACACCATGGCCTCTGGAGCAGACACCCCTTCGGGTGGTGGGTTGACGCCATCTCCATACTGGGGAATAATGCAGAAATTGAATTGTCGTTGGTTCTTTTCCGGGACGGGAAGGCAGAGGACATGCTCTATTCGCATCCGCAAAAGGGTCAGCACTGATCAGCTCCGGGACCACCCTTTTTCCTTCACTTACGTATCTTCCCCAGCGGTACACCAAACTCCACTTCCTTCGATGTCTGGTTTCTCGCACGTAGGAATCCGTGCTGGGCGGTGATCTCGAGCGTGAGCTTCTTGCGCTGGGGCATGGCGAAGGAGACATCCTGCATGTAAAATTGCAGGGGCATGTCCGCTTTCAGGTCGCCTGGCGATTGGGCATTTGCCGGGGCATCTCCATTTTGTAACTTTCGTTTCTTCATGGCCGGGCCGTCGCTGACGAGCTCCACAGTCTGAGCGGAAGAGTTTGCAGTCCTGTCCAGCAGGCTGGATGTATATTTAGCGATGTCTTCAAAGAGAGGTGCATGTTGCGGGGTATGTGCTGGGGTGAAAATAAACGTCAGCGGGCGATGATTGCTTGTTGGGAGAGGGGGAGGGCTGTAAATAATGGCGCTCTGAGCGAGTGACCCATACATACCGATCGCATCGTAAACTCGTTTCTTCAGGCCCGGTTCGGCGGCAAAGGCGTTCTCAATCGCCGGAATACTGGTCGGCGCTGACGAGTTGATCGTGGCGAAAGCCATGCTGGGAAAAGCCACAACCCCAACAACTGGTATATATAATCGGGGTGGGAAAGGAGAGAGGGGGGGCGATTCACAACCGGTGAGGTCGCATACAATGAAAAAAAAAAAAAAAAAAAAAAAGTCGGAGGGGGGATGGGAGGAAGCAGGGAAGTCGGGGCGCGCGGATAAGATGGATGAGAAGGAAAGTGCAGGTCGTCGGTCGTTGTTGTAGCTGCAGACCTCCCCTGGCGGCCCTGTCGACCCGTGGGCGCGCGCGCAATTAGAATTCCCAGCGCAGCGCACAGCACTTCTGGCGGTGGGCAAGCTCCTCTATGCATCTAGGCATCTACGAATCTCCGTGCAGGACATAGTGATCTTATACAGTCGGATTCTATGCTACAGTAGGATAATTGTGTACACCCATTTAAAAGAACAGTGTGAAGAAACAGAACAGACCCAGGTACACGTTCGCCCATCGGACACCCAAGGGAGAGGGAGAGATTCAGAGCAGCAGACGATTACGCGTTCTTGGCAGCCTTCTGCTTCATGAATGTTTCCACGAACCCGACCGTCGCGGCGTCAAGGATGAAGTTTCCGTTGGCATCCTTCTGCGCATCCAGGCGCGCCTTCCTCTTAGCCTGGATCATGGCGATCAACTCGCCCTTGGGCGTCAACAAAGACCGGCTTTGAAAATATTCCTTCCTGTAATCTTCCATCTTCTTGGCCTCCACCCACTCGGCGTCGTGTCTCGTCCGGTACTTCGAAAACTTATTGCGGAGTTCATCCAGAACGCTGGAAGGGAATGGCGCAGAGTGCAGCGACGGCATCCAGGTCGGTGTCTCGACTTCCATACGGAGCGTATCCCAGGCCTCATCCTTCAACTCCGGAGGCTCCGTCTTGGGCCAAGGGATTTCGATCTCTTCGCCAGCGATATATCTCGTGTGTCGGGGAGTCGAGGAGCCGTATTCTCGATCGAGGAAGGGCTCTCCTCCGCGAACATGTTCCACCAGCACGTCACGCGTCTGGCCGGTGACCGGGTCGTCGAGGGCAACAACGAGGCGGACATCGTCAATGGGAACGGGAAGGCTCGTCGACTGGAAGGGGTTTTTGGTGCCGTATTGTTCGTTCAACCAGTCGGGGAAGTGCACATCGGCCTGCGGGAACGAAGACATCATCGATCAGTAAACGAAGCAGAGATCACTCCGCAGGGTGGATCGGAGGTGATGCATACCATGTTGAGATCTTTGACTATGACAGTCTCATTGGCATCATCCACCCGAGCTACCTCGTTGATTTTGCCCTTGTCTCTACCCTTCATGATGCACACCCGATCGCCCGCGGCGATGTTGATGTACTCTCTCCGCAGATGCTTTGGGATAGAGGGAGGGTTCATTGCTTGCGGGCTCAGTGCACCGTAGGTCTGTCCTTCAAGGCCGGCATCACGCTGAGGCGCCAGAGGGCCGCGCATCCAGTCTTCACGGCGTCGTTGCTTCTCCGCACGGATGTTATCGAGCTCCAGGCGGTTGTAGGAAAACCGCTGCCTCAGAGAGTCGTTGAGATCATCACGCTCAGCAACTTTGGCTGCTCGAATGGCTTTCCGCTGAGCCTGGTTCCGGGCCAGGGCCGTCCTTCGAATGACCTTCTGCATTTTGGATGCTGCGGGTACCAGCAATGGCCGACTGTTCCGCCGAATCACCAGGAGGCCTTGCGAGATGCTCGGGAGGGAAAATTGCGGCCCTGGGGTGTGGCACGTGACCCGGACTATGGCTGACCTGGGTGAGCCAATGGGAAAGCATGCCCATGGTCTGGGCAACAGAGCATGGCTATTCAATTAGGTGCAGTACACTACTCACTACATCACATATTCACCATTCTCATTCATGGGGATTGCATGTCCCCCAACTACGCGTGCCCTTAGAGATCTGTGGGTGGCGCCTGCCTCGAAGACGCGCTTATACAGTAGGTCCATCACATCCCCCATTGTTATGTATGGAGATGAAGGTTTGTAATTCCCTCATGAAGCAGGCTCTAAGTAGCACCGGAGGCTTGTATGTTTCATACTTTGCGGGTTTTATGCGCACCCAGAAGAATCTGCGATACCAATAGCCCGGCATCAGGCTGGGCCTGGCCGGCATGGCATAACTGCTCATAGTTATAGGACGATAGAAGTGTGGCCATTTGCTTTCGCTCAGCCGTCGATATCAGGCAACAGGATACTGCCATATAGGTTGGCGCTCAACGTTCGAATTGGGCTTGCAGGGGATTGTAATTGAAAGGCGGGTGGCATGGGCTTGGCCGCTGGCTTGTGATACCACAAACTCAGACCTTGCTCTGGTATTGTGAGCCAATAAGCGGTTCGGTTCGTTCATGGTCAACCACAGATGTCTCTAGATAATCCTCAAGATGTATTCGCAACTCGCAACATTGGAGAGTCAAACAATGTCGTATCCGACACCGGTCTATGGGATCCGCGTCCTCGGTAGTATCCCACCACTGCTGGAATTTCCAATCAAACCTCCCCAGGCTATTATTCAAGTCGTAGCAGCCTATTGCAATGTCGGTAAGCACTGAGTGCGGTCAGACCAACCAATACGAATGGCCTGGCAAGCTGGTCCTGTACAGACATGGGGCAGCAGCTTACTTGCTTACCACGGTTCACTGGCAGCAAAGTGACTGGTTTGCCAGTCAATTAGTTGACTAGTCATCGAGACTGACTCATGGCCATGCTATTGTCCAGACGCAGAGAGACGATAAGAGTGTACCATAAAGGGGATGAGTGATTGAGTGACCTGCAAGGTTCTGTCTGCCAGGTTATCAAATCAACGGAGATGAAGACTGAGAGGGTCTTTCTTTCCCAGCGTCCCGCAGGCCCCAAGCCGGAGAGGAGACCGTCTCGGCCGTAGGCTCGCAGGTCGCAGGGCTACTGTATTGTACTCCGTACCTCCACATTATTATTGCAAACTCCCCAGTGCGACCGCAGTCTATCTAGTCCATCTTCTTTATACTCCGTTGGTGTACACTGTATATGCTCCGGTATTCCTATGGTTTCCCTTTTCCTTCACCTCCCCCCTCCTCTCTGGTATTCACTCGAGAGCTCCAGGAAATAAAGGGGCCACCTGGTTTCAGCTGAGGATGACGTTTGCTTTGGGAGATATACATTATAGCCAGGACGGAGTACGTAGTGGTACTACTGTGTACGTTACGTACTATCTATATGGTAGCAGGCCCGACCAGGCTGGGTTAGCAGCAAGGCCGATCACTTGCACCGCCACGTCTCTTCGCTGTCGGCAATTGAAGGAGTAGCATCTAGATATGGAACCCCTGGCGGATCTGGAGCATTGGCGGCAGCAACAGAAGTACCTTGCCTCAGGCTAAGCCCCAGCGGACTACGGGAGTACCTTCGCCGATTCGGAGGCCTCGATGCTCTGTCATTTATCTACGGAGTACTTAGATATCCTAGAGGCTTTAACGAAGCTATCCACGTACGGAGTACTATTGCTATATACTCCATAGACCCACTGGACATTGGTCCGGAGCAGGCCAGGGCGATCGATATACTTTGCCTGTCTGTCTGTCTGGCTTAGGTGATCCATAGGAGGACAAATGTCAATCCGACAATCAGGGACGAATCAGAAGCAAGATTGGGGACTGCAGGGCTATCGTGCGTGGCCACTCATCCCTTCGACCTCCAGTAAAGTTTCCCTAGGAGGGGAGGTGAAGTGAGGTTCTGTCATTTCACACGGAGTACTCCGGGCGTTACTGTTTACTGTGGCACGCTGGGTAGGCTCGAATAACTTAACCCGGGCGGAAGTAACAGGAATCAAAGAGGCACACCGCTTGATCACCGGGATTCTATCTATGTATCTAGATAGAATGTATTGAATAGTACCTACTTCGTACGCCGCAGTAGGTCGATATACAGAGTTGTGGGTAGATAGTGGCTAGGAATTGTTTAATTAGCATGGCCCTGTTGTCCATCTAGCGCACGGGAGTGAGGAAATAACAACCCAAATAGCCCAAGACCATTGGTTCAGGAAGACTAAGAAGGATGGAGCCACAGCCGACAAGTCCGAGTCTCCGGGGCACCCACAAGCTTCTAGGCTCCTTCAGACTATGGTGACGGTAAGTATCTAGCTATGGAGCTCGTCACCAAAGGTCTTGCGCCCAACTTCTAGAATGATGTTACTATGAAGAACTGACTGAGCCTGCCTGTCATGTCGCGTGGAGGATCGGATGCATCTGTTTGTGTTCATTTTTCCAACTCTGTCCGAGCAGTGTGATACCACCAGAGATGGCGAGGCGAGCAGGAAAGATGATGACAACTTCATTCGCCCTGGAGCCGAAGCGGACCGGCGCAAAGGACCTCGCCTGGATCATTCTTGGCCTGAATGCCTGAGAAGGACATTATTATTATTATTATTGACCAGGTACGGAGTACTCCTGACTAACTACTACCGGTAGGTAGGTATGTACCTGGGTACTACTACTAGTAGTACTAGTTGGTCGTAAGGCCGGTCAGCAGAATACGTAAGTCGAAGCCGCACAGTTCTCTTCTTCGCTCCTCGACCCCTGGTACTATCACGATACCCGTACCGTCTATTACCGTACCACGCGGGTATTGTACCTCCTACCTACGGGAGTTCTTGACTTTCAGCCACGGTCGGGTGGCTTTGATGAGAATGAAGGCAGGCCAGCTAGGCAGCTCAGTAAGCAGTAACAAGGGAAAAAAAATGTACACTTGCCTTACCAGAGAAAGGAGGTGATTTTTTTTTGGTAAAAGATAATCAAATAAAAGGGAAAAGGAAAAACACCCATTTGGACTTCTTACCATGAATCAGATCACGTCAGGATCAACTGCAGATACCACCTATACGTACGGAGTAGAAGAGACGAGGAGACACGGTAATGAAAAAAAGGGAAATGGATAATGGAAAAGGCCAGAGGAAAAGGGCAAGGAAGGAGCAGAGCTTCCACAGCCACATAGCTTTTTTTTCACCCGATGGGGCTGGCGGACTTGTCGCTTGCCAACCGTTTCAGCCCTTTTAGTCTAGTAGGTTGGCTTGGTTTCTTAGTCAACTGGGGAGCGCCGGGAGCCTCAGCGACTCATCTTGAAAGCCAGCAGCCCTGGGGCTGGGGCCAACCGCCGATAACCCAATACACAATACGGAGAGTACACAGCAGCGCCCCCCCCCGAGCACCCAGCAAGCAGCAGTCAGTGCCAGTAACAGTAGCAGCAGTACGGCGTAGTAGGAGCAGTAGGAGCAGCACCAGCAGTATTCATCCCCATCCTATCAACCCATCTCCCATCCTTCTCCCTCCCTCTCCCTCTCCCTCCCTCCTCTCCCTTCTCCTGTCTTTCTTCCCCTTCTTCATCCACGTTCCCCGGGGAACTTTCACTCGCCATTCACACTCCTCGTAACCGCGCCTTTTGGGTTTATTCCTGGTCTCTTGGCTTTTCTCTCATTCACCTGGACTCGGCCTCCCTGAAATATTTTAGTCCGCGCCCGTTGCGCCTACTACTCCCTGCACCGTACGTGATAACCACCCTTTTCCTCGGGCGCCTGACTTGTCCCTTTCTCTACCCTCACCACTCCCCCCCCCCCCCCCCCCCAAATCCACCACCCGTCGTCCATCCATCCATCCATCCATCCATCCATCCATCCATCCATCCATCTCCATCCATCCGCTCCTGCAACAGCTTCCACTTCGCTCGCTGCTGTGCCACTCCCCTCCACCCCCTTTCTTTCACTCCTGCTTATTTCTATCCCATCTATTCCTCTCTCCATCATTTGCTAATTCCTAACCCTCCAAAAAAGATGGCTGAGATTCGCCGCAAGCTCGTTATCGTGGGTGATGGTGCCTGCGGTAAGACTTGTCTGTTGATGTGAGTGTCACCCCCCTCCCCTCCCCCCTTCTTCCGTCTGCATTGGGCACACGACCCGTACCATCTACTAACCTCGTCTCCTTTGACCAGTGTCTTCTCCAAGGGTACCTTCCCTGAGGTTAGCTTCCACCCGCCCTCCTTGGCCTGATCCTTGATACTGTTCCCCTCCCCTCCCTCCCTTCCATGGCCGCTCCGCGATAGCTGTCTAGCTATCCCAGATGGAGACCTCCGCTTTTCTTGAGCTGACCGACATATGTCTTAGGTCTACGTCCCCACCGTCTTCGAGAACTATGTCGCCGATGTCGAGGTCGATGGCAAGCACGTTGAGCTTGCTCTTTGGGATACGGCTGGTCAGGAAGATTACGACCGTCTCCGTCCTCTCTCATACCCCGACTCTCACGTCATCCTGATTTGCTTCGCTGTCGACTCCCCCGACTCTCTCGATAACGTGCAGGAGAAGGTTAGTTGCTCGCCGTGTTTCCCGGTGCCCTCGGCGCGTGGACGATAAGGGGGCGAAGGCGCTCTCTGGAGGACCTGCAAGGAGTACTGACAAATCGCTTTAGTGGATCTCCGAAGTTCTTCACTTCTGCCAGGGTCTTCCCATCATCCTTGTCGGATGTAAGATGGATCTTCGTAACGACCCCAAGACCATCGAGGAACTCCACAAGACCTCCCAGAAGCCCGTTGGCCCTGAGCAGGTATGTCATGAAAATAGAATAGATTACGGAAGCCTTGAACCGCTGCTAACATTCCCACTAGGGTGAGGAGGTTCGCAAGAAGATCGGGGCCTACAAGTACCTCGAATGCTCTGCGCGCACCAACGAGGGTGTTCGCGAGGTCTTCGAGGCCGCCACCCGGGCTGCTCTCCTGACCAAGGCCCACAAGAGCAAGAAGAAGTGCACCATCCTGTAAACTAGTTTTTTTCTCCTTCGCAAAAGGTCTGTTTCATGCGGAGATTATATGAACGGATAAGCGTCTCGAACATTTGGTTTCTATTACTTATTAAGAGGGGGGTTATTCCGTTGGCGTGTTCCAATGTGTGCCTGGATGCGAGTGTGGATAATGTTCAATCACGGGCACATGAGCTTTTATGGGATTATCTGGCTATGCAGTTGGTCGACTTTCTTATCTTGCAGACTTGATTTTCTAGGGAGGCGTTGTCTTCATAACCTTGTGGGTTTTCTTCTCTGTTTCAACTCCTCATAGGCGCCTATGGGGCGGTTCTCGATCACGATGGCAAGAAGGGCGCCAGGTTGCTACCGGAGCAAACGTCCTCACTACTACCTTCGAGTAGTGCAGATCGGAATTGGGCAACAGAGGATTGCGTTCGTCTTGCGTGTGTCCTGCCAGTCAATTCTATCGGAAGCGTCCGTCCGATCACGAAAGTCGCAATCTCGCGATCCGATAGACGGACGACTCCTGCTCCTTCGGATTTCCCTCAGCACGGTCTTATCCCCATTTCAGTTTCCTCCTGTTTCGGTTAAAGAGAATGCATGGAATTGTCGTTGACTTCGCTTTTCCCTCCCCGTCCTGCAGTCGGTCCGGTCAAACTACTCTGCATGTCCTACGTACGCGGCGGTTTCGGAGCAGGCATGAGGGATAGCGAGCGCATCTATACGTTACTATCTACTAATCCACTATCCCCTTTTTTTTTTGTACTGTTCGCCGTGGCATCATCCATAACCACGCATGTAGAGCCAGAACCGTACGCAGGACCATGGTCCCGGGCTACTCCGCACATACGTAGCTTTCCTGAAAATAGCATCAAAAGCCATGAACTGCTAAGTAGTCAAGTATTGACAGGGGTGAGAGAAAGGACGAATGGACGGAAGCACCCACCCACCTGATAGCGTAGCGTCTATTGATAGTAACACTAGCCCGGATATATAGAGGAGTTGTAACTCGTCAACCTACCCAGGTCGACCATCACCTATATATGGAAATATGGCAAACTCGATTCCGACGCCAGTTAGGATTTATCCAAGCAGAGATAATTGCCTACCTGGTAGTCGCCGTACTATGGGGTGGTGGGGTTTACGTGGACATGATCGATTGATTGTTGTTTCCTGGGAATCTTCCAAATGGGGATGTTTGTATGTTGTACGTACGGAACAGGACGGACGACCTTACGCTCGTGTATGGTCGGAGTACGGTACTGCCATGGCGGTGTATGGGGATTACGTACGGGGCGGCTATTATTACCTTATATCCAGGGGCTGGGCTGCTATGCCTTAAATTACTATCAACCTGGTGGTACCTAACTACTACTAGGTACCTGAGTAGGTAGGTTGCCTGCTATATAGGTACCTCCATATACTCCGTGCACACATAATTCTGCCAAGTACGTATCTAGCTGGCTATGTTTATTGGGTTAGGTGGCTGTGCTTGCATATTGAGAGCGGGTGAGAGAATTTCACGAAATATGTCGTCTATAAAGTTATCGATTTGCTTATCGTAATCAATAGAAACCTCGACATGGTGTTTCGACTTGAATCATCTTTGTCCCCTTAGGTTAGAACGGCTTCCACCTTTGTAAGAGTCGAGTAGATATGTCCCATTTTTCACGCATGATACCTCCCATCATGATATTGTGCCGCCTATATTGCTGGCTATCTCTATATACTCCGTACGGGGGCTGGAGTTATATATACCGCGGGAACCAAAATCAAATAAAAAGAAAGATAGGAAGGAAGGGGTGTGTGTCCAGGCGATCCAATTCAAAGGGCATGTATGCATGCATGCAGCCACCTCATCTATTCAAGCTGAGTAGATTCTCAATATATCGTCTTGCATCCAGGCCTAGCCCTTCCACAAGCTTCCCTGGTCCTGTATCGGCCCGCAGACCCGGAGACGATGCTCCGCCTAGATCGCGGAAGAATCGAGAGCTGCTACTGCTGCGCGCGTGTCCGGACGGAGAGACGGAGTCGCTTGACCGTCGGACGAGGAAGGCCTCTTGGTGGGCATTGTTGTCGGTCATGTCGGTGACGGTGCGGATGCTGGGGGTTGACGTGGTGCTCCCCTGTTCTTGCTGGGGAGGCTCGGACATCCGAACCCAGACAATCCACCAGCCGCGACTGGTCTTGCAGGTTCGTTCGACTTCCAGAGGGCGAGCTCGGGTTTCGAGATGTGTGCTCAGGAGTCGGTGGTGGATGTTGAGGCTCTCTACTCGAGACCAGGGGTGTGTGGAAGGGTCCCTCGGATCGTTGATGGAAGAACCAAAGTCTGGGATGTTTGGGATCGAGGAGCGGATCGTCAGGTTGGTTCGGTCGTAGACTAGGTTGTAGACTGGCTGGCTCTTGCCTGAGAATCGTTTGTTGATGTCAAAGGCATTGTCGGACATGGCGATACGCATTGCTGCAGTAGCGGGTGAGGTTGAGTTGTTGAGCGTCTTGTGAAGAGGGTATAGTTGGTGGTCGATGCTGTGGTAGAGGGATGGCTCGAGGAGTGCAGGCGTTGAAGGGTCGAAGAGGAACGTGTACACGAAGGGTTGGTGCTGTAGACTTGTTAGCACTCACGGCAATGATGGCTGAATACGGGGCGAGACTTACTATATAGACCACCGCTCGTAGCTCTATAGAACCTAGGGTACGACTGGGATCAGCCTCGGACAGTATAGCCTGCACTTGCGTTGCCCTACCTGTTGGGTTGTCCTCCGAGAGCTCTGCTAGATGAACATGTAAATTTCTCTGTCCTATTTTCTCATCCGGTACGCTGGGCTGATTGTCTGTCGTCGCAGCGCCTTCCTGAGTAGCCTTGTCCGAATCGTTCATTTCAGTATGCAGACCAATGAGAAAACTTCCACGCTTCTTGGGTTTTGGGCTATCGGTAGGTTGGATCATATCCTCATCAATCGCCTCCTGGGCATCTGTCGGAGAATTTGGCCGATTGTTGGGACTGGAACCTCCATCCTCTCGCTTCAACGCTTCAATGCGAGGGTGTGGACTGGCTGTTCCGGACGAACCCCCCCAGGATGAGCCATAGCCAAGCGTCAGATATTTCACAACCGTGTCAGTCCTGAACCCCATCCAGTCAAGCCCTCGATCGCTCGGCGCGGGAGAGCTTTCACCACTTGTAAGAGAATTTGCCCTTCCATCGGTATCTCGTGGAGGCTGTGGAGATTCTGCGGTCCCGATCACGAGCGGAGGGGGGATGCCTGGAGTGAAAGGTCGATCTGGAGTTGCAGCTCGAGGCTCAGCCACGCGAGCAGATCGAACGCTGGCATCTTTCCCCCTCTTTCGTTGCTTTCTTCGCCGCTTTCGACGGCGTGGCGAGGTCGGGTCTTCGCCAACCCCGTATGCGTCCACGCCATATCTATAGATCGATTCCATCCATTGTGAAATTCGCATTACGGACGGTCTCGAGACAGCGCCTACCCCCGAGAACACAACCCCATCGTCTGGTTTCGGGCATATGCCTAGCCCAAGCCATCGCTGTTCGGCATTGCTTCCATCCGCTGCGTCTAGAGTCTTGTTCCCCGTTGCGAGAGCTTCGGTGTTCGAGTGAGGGTCGCCGAACCGCGAGACTACCAAGTCCAGAAGACCATCTGTACGAGCGACAAAGTCCTCCAGCACTTCTCGCTCTCCGCTCCCCCACTCCTCTTCACCAACGCCGATGCCGAGTTCGCCCCCAGCGGAGAGCTTGACGCCGTCATATATCTCAACCACGGGGTTCCCGTTCAGGAGAACCTCCCAGCTCCATGCGAACCTCCACCAAAAGTTATCGAGGAGCGTGCAGAAGGCAGGCCTGCCTACTCGATCGTACAATGTGTCCAGTGTAGAGTCCTGGTGGAGGAGGAAAGTGGAGTGAGCCCGACGTAGCTGCTGTATCAGGAGCTGGGGAGGGCACATCTCCCTTGCGGAGTAGATACAGTCCGGGGTGGCTGAAGAGGCATCGCGCTGGGAGGAGGGCGCGTTTGCGGGATCACTTGGAAGGCGAGTTAGGTCGACAGCCTGTGACCAGCTCAGCAGCTATCGATGACAGGTTCAGACACCAGGTCACCTACAGCTAGAATCCACCAGTCTTTCTCCAGCTCATGCAAAACGATCTGGGATTTCTCCGTCTCCACGTAATCCACAGCTTTCCCTTGCGAGAAGTTCCTAGGTAGGCCACGAGCTCAGTACTGCCGCCGCACGATATGCCTGGGAAAAGAGAGAGAGAGAGAGAGAGAGCGCGCGCGATCCTCACCTGGCGAAGCCAATCATCCCCTGCGCCAGACCAATCTGACGCAACCTCTCATTCCATTCATCCTTGGACGCCGCATCACCATCTTCGGTCACCGAGCCTTCCCGTCGCCGCAATCGAGCTGACCGGGATGTGTAGAAGACGACTTGATCGGGGAGGGATTCGTCGGTGGGACCGAGGCGGGGGTTATAGATGGCGAGATACGACAGTTGCGCGGGAATCACGGAAGTCAGGTCGCCCTCGGGCATTGCACCATGGGTCTGTGAGCTGGAAGCTCACAGCGCAGCGGCAGCATTGGCAGCAGCAGAGCAGTGGTCGGTTCATCGAGCGCGCCTCGTCGGTCGGCCTGGAGGGGGGAGGCGGCGGTGACATCACGTGGCGGGGAGCTGGTCGTTGGCCGGGTTGGCCGGAGTTGGCCGCAGTTGGCCGCGGTTCTTCTTCCTCACGGCTGGAGAAGACCGAACATGTTCTTCTCGCTCTGTACCCACAGACGCGTCCCTTTCTTCCCCTCCCTCTCCTTCTCCCTGTTGTCGCATCGATGCCTGGCTACCAAAGCCTACGACCCGCTCCGGATTCTCTTTTGCGGCTCCGACGAGTTTAGCATCGCTTCCTTGAAGGCCCTCCATGAAGAGCATGTCAAGCGACCGGATCACATTGCCTCCATCGACGTCGTCTGCAGACCCGGGAAACGAGTCGGGCGAGGCTTGAAGACCGTACGCGATGGTAATCGGTTGACACTGTATCCCGTGCGAGAGAGAGAATGGATGAACATGAGGCTTACTTGACTCTGGTCGTCTACAGTTCCCATCAAGGCGGCCGCCTCGGACTTATCGCTCCCGATCCATGAGATAGACACTTTCAGAGGCTGGACGGTAATCTAGAGCCGGGGATACCCGTCATGAATGCCTGCTGACGCGGTACAGCCGCCTATGCTGCCCGATGGCCCTATCAACTTGATCATTGCTGTCTCGTTTGGGCTTTTCGTCCCCCCGCGGATCCTCAATGGCGCCCAGTACGGGGGATTGAACGTCCACCCTTCGTTGCTTCCTGAGTACGCCTGCGGGTTGGTCTTCTAACGAAAGAATTTGACTAACAGAAGCACTCAGCTTTCGGGGCCCTGCACCTCTCCACCACACCCTGTTAGCCGGCCGCACCAAGACTGGTGTCACCCTTCAAACGTTACATCTCAAACACTTCGATCACGGCACAGTACTGGCGCAGACTCCGGCGCCCGGCTTCGATATACCAAACCCCGATACGTGCAGCTTTCCCGATCTGTTGAGTCTCGTTTCTCCGAAAGGCGCGGAGATCCTCGTCGAAGGTATTCGAAGGGGCTTGTTTGTGCCCCCGGTGGAGGATGTGGGCTGGCGCTCTTCCGAAGGAGACGGACCGTTGATCCATGCGGCCAAGATCAAGCCGGAGGACCGACACATAGACTGGAAAAACTGGAGCTTTTTGGAGATCAGCAGGAGAAATCGCGTTCTGGGGCCGCTCTGGAGCAAGTCCCTCGTTGCCAGCAACACTCCCGGTGAAAACATATCTTTTCAACAGCGACGACTTATCTTCTCCCAGTTCGAAGAAGTGCCGCTCCTGGAAGGCTGCGAGAAGTTCTCCCTCGTCCCGGGCTTGCCGTTCGTGAATAGCGCGCATCCGGTAGAACCCCGCAAAGGGAGGGGTGTCTACGTGTTCACCCGGGATGGAAAGCTTGTCCAGATCCACGAAATGAAAGTGGAAGGGGAGAAAAATGCTGACGCTCTTCGGGCCGCTCTAAAAGCTCGAATGATTGGCGATCGGTCATTCTACTCGGCTGGTGTTGGATATACGCCGTTCCATAACCCTCTTTCTTAAAGGGGGCATATCTGTGATGAAAACTCTCACTCTGTATTATATCGCTAACACTGCAAAGCCGGCTCTGATTATTCTTGATAGCAAACGGCCGGTGTCCTACGCGGCCCCGAAGCCTCCATCTCGCAAGTGTTGGGATTTACCTGATCGCAAAGCCGGAGTCTGTGGGATTAGTAGTGCTGTAGACAACAGGAGTAATAGCACTCACCGATCGTTATCGCTTGTCCAGTCATGGATGTGTTCTGAGCAAGCATCACATAGGTATTCGCAGTGTCCTCTAACTCGGGCTTCATGGCCCTGTCAGCACGCGTGGCTTAATCCAGGATGAGGACAACCGTACCGCCTTCTTAAGGACCGCCTTTTGGGTCCAACCCTCAATTGCTTGCGCAGAGAAGCGCTGGCCCTACGAAAGCATTAGCTCTACCGTGCCTGACCTTTTCGATAGCTGCAACTGTGCCACTTACCCATTCCGTGAGCAGGAGGCCAGGCAGGACCGCGTTCACGCGGACCTTGCTGCCTTGGGTTTGCGCAAGGCATTTCACCAGATGCAAGCCTGATATTGATTCAGCAAAATGAAGTACTCTCCGTCGCAGAATACCTACCGGCAGCTTTGGTAACGGCATAGGGCAGGCTACTGCCAGTCGCTGTAGTAGCCTATCCCCCAATCACTACGTAAGCATGTGCATAACGCCTAGGCTTGGTCGAAGGCTCACCGCAATTGACGATGTCAAGAGGAACACGCCACCATCGGGATTGGCGTTGAATGTGGGCAGTGCCGCCTTGAAAAGATAGAAGTGGCCCTTCACATTGGTTGACCAGCACTAGGGTGCGTATCAGCCTGCATATTCCATGACCATCTCTCTTTGAGACATGTCTCCTCTGAATACCATACTTTATCCCAATCGTCATCGTCCATTGCATCCAAGTCGGCGAAATTGGTGATTTTGGTCCAACCCTGGTCCCCAGTGATCAGCCATTCATTCTTTCTCCGCTGCAGGCAGATGACAGGATGGCGACCATGGGCAACTCACCGCATTGGATACAACAATGTCTACACCACCCAACTGTTCAATGGTGGCATTGACGGCATTGATGCAGTCGATCCTTTGGCTGGCGTCCTGGTTGGGGCATGCATCTTGTTAGACCAGCCCTCCGTGCGGTTGCGGAGTATAGTATATCAAACAACAACAACGTACACCTTGTATAGTAATCGCCTTGACCTTGTACTGCTCCCGAATCTCCGCGGCGAGTTTTTCGGCAGCGTCCTTGCTCGAGGCATAGTTGATGGCGACATTACAGCCCTCTGCGGCGTATTTCCGGGCCACGAGAGCTCCCAATCCCCTAGGGGCCCGACATATGAGAGATGCACACCTAGGTGTCGGTGTCACGCGGAATGGACGTACCGAGAGCCGCCCGTAATCAGAGCAACACGATTGCGTAGGGAGTACATTATGCGATACGCTGCGAGTCTGCCAGAGGGCGTGGCGGAGGATGCTAGAGTACTAGAGCTTGGGAAGGTCGGTCAGGGAGCGAGGAGGGGTTTCCTCGCAAGCAAACAGAACTATAAAGCGGGGGTCCGTCGGAGCTGAAACCTCGGGACTTCCGGACGACCGTCGCAGCACTAAGTACTATATATCTAGTAGGTAGATCATCCAAATCCTACCCTCTATTAAGTTGTACCTCGGGTCGGCCCCTCGAGGTGGTCCCGCCGATGGCGGATCGCCCGCTGCTTTGAGTTTGCCTGCATTTGAAGAGGCTTGATTATTGCTGGAGTACTTGCAGGGGTATCATCACGTCTGCATTATCTACAGATACAGAAACATCGGAAGTCGGAAGATGAAAACACAATAACACAGGAACCGAGAATCTAGCACCCTCAATCCACGAGCGTACCGGCGTATTCCGTCTCTCTCATGCCGGGCCAGGCTTTCTTCCCCTCTAATGCCGGCCACTGAACGAGGAACCGGTCCGCAAAAGGCAACAGGAGCTTCCCTGAGAGACTCAACGTGGTCACCCGAGCCCACGACTCGACGAAGATCGTGCGAAGCTGGAAGTCAGGTGCATTGGTTTCCGACCCTGTCTGCGTCCCAGCACGGCGCCTGAATGTAAGGACCGCGCAGAAGGCGTGGCACAGTCGAAGAAGCCGAGCAGCCAGAATCACACAGACCGCCGTGGCAGGGCCATTGGTGAGGATGATGTCGGGATACGGCGAACGGATGGGTGCGGTGAGGGGTCGCTGATCCGGGTGGAGGCCTCGTAGCACCAGAAGACAAGACCAGAAGGATTGGATCGTAGAAAATGGAGCGGTCAGGAAGGATTGATGCACGCGACGCGCGCGGGGAACCGTGACGATTGTGTATGCGCCCGTCGACCGCTGTTCGTCTTTCTTTTCAGCATCAGCAGCAGCAGCAGCAGCAGAGGCTTTGGCAACCTTGTTGATATATGCGGTTTCGAACTCGACTGCCTTCGCGGCGCTGAAGTTGTCCCCTGAGCTCACGAGGTAGGTCCGATACGTATACTTGGAGGGGTCCAGTTTCATGCGCCGGAGCATGGAGAACATCTCCGCCGTGTGTCCGCCACTTCCTAGAACCACGAGCAGATGGATGGGGCTATTCTTCGGGCGCCATTTGGGGACCTGGCTATTCTGGGACTTGGCGAGGGCGTGCATGGCGATCTGGAGGCAGGCGGATGGGTCAGTGTTTATTGTCCTTGTGAATAGGATTAGGGAGAGGGGGGGGAGGAGGAGGAGTTGTGGTTCCTTGCTCACAATGATTGTGGATATGCCAGCCACCATAGCAAAGGCTGCGACCCAGAATAGGCCAGCCCAAGAGATCCAGGAATCCATGAATAGGGAGTGTTGGGGTTGAAGGTGTGAATTGTTGGATTTTGATGATAACACTTGGCCGACGGGAGGATGAGGGAAGGAATGAATGAATGAGATGCGGGGAGGAGGTTGCAGCCCGCCTAAAAGGGGCCAACAGCTTTCATGGTATTGAGGGATTGTCCCACGCGCGAGAATAGAAGGATTGTGGGAGGGAGAAGTGAATGGAGCCGGACAGAGTTAAGAGTGGTGCTGAATGGGGCGGGTGGAAGGACTACTACTAACTACTCCGTACTAGTAGTAGATCTGCCATGCCGCCCTCGGCGATTATTTTGGTGTTGTTGTCTTAACTCCTTCCTCGGATTTCCCCCCCCCCAATCAATCAATCATCTTCTTCTTCTTCTTCTTCCCTTCCGCTTACCCCAGCATCATCATAACTCACCACCACCACCACCCATCCATGTCCACCACCACCACTTGACATGGCCCCCCTTTTCGCTAAGCGATTGCAGTGCTTCTACTGCGGGCGTCGCTCTGCCCAGCATGGCAAGGACCCCGTCCGCAAATGGCGCTGCAGCCATTGCGAAGCCTTCAACTACCTGGACGAGGTTGGTTTTGCCGGTTCCCCCATAGAATGAATAAAACGCCCCCGCAGTGACTGATAGCCCCCGATCTTCTGAACTGGCTAGAAAGGAGAAATCACAGACCCTCCCGCCGCAGAAACAAACCCGGATGTGTACGGCCCAGGAGCATCGAGTCCGCCCTTCGAATCCACCGACTTTACGGCCTCCAGCTTGTTTTGCGCCCAGTGTCTCCGCAACCAACACCTATACACCAGCGCCCTGGCCTCCTTTTTCCCATCGTCCGATGACCCGAACTACGGCGCATACGAGAAAGAGTTTCCTAAATACCGCAAGAACATGGAAGAACGATACCCGCAGGTGTGCGTCAAGTGCGAACCCCGAGTGAAGGCGCGCATTCGCCAGACCGGCTATGAGGCCAAATCCGATCACCTACGACGCATGATGGACCGGAGCAAAGCTGGGAGGGCGGCCAGACATGCACGCCAATGGAATTGGAGGAGTCTTCTGGTCTGGGCTGGCGCTATGTGTTACTGGGTTAGTGTTGCTGGTCAACTGAGCTGGAACGTGTGGAGTGCTTTGACCGTCGAGGAACCCGAGCCCCTGCAGGATCCAGATGCCTCTGCGACGTCGCCGTCCATGGTGACTTGTGTGCGCCAGACGCTGGAGGCGCGCCGGATTCCGAGTTATTGTTCAATGGATTTGGCACCGTACGCCGGCCTTGCTCTCATCGCGGGCATTCTGTCTCTGTGGTGGAACCCGAAGCTGCGGCTCAAGGTCGAAGGGAGAGGGGGTCGGTTTGTTGGTCTGAGTGAATACTATCAGGTCCAGCTTATAATCATGGTGGTGCGGTGCGCATTCTGGGGCGTTCTGAAAGATCCATCGTCGAGTGGTCTAGAGCCAGCCCTGCCACCGACTTTGCATCTCTTCATGGTTTTCTTCACGATAGTGGTACGTTGCCCCGACGACATATGCCCTATTTGGCAGCATGCTAACGATGCCCAGGCTGTTATGATCTCGCGACGCATTGTGCGCTATGACACCCGTCCGTTGGTTGTATGGACCGATCCTACCCCCGCAGCTACACCAAACCCCAGGACCGAAGCATCCCCTTTGCCCAGTACAAGCAGCAAACATACGTTAGGAACCCCAAATGGCGATCTTCGGCAGCGCCCCTCTCGCTTTCCTATTGAGAAACTGGCCGCCCCCCAAACAGCACCGGAGGAGCCACGCTTTTCCACGCCGCCCCCCGAACCGGACGACATGGATTGGACCCCTTCTGTGCAGCACGAACTCACTCCAACCGTCAGCGTTCGCCAAAGGGACCAGAAATCTGTTCTCGATGGGCCTATGCCTTTCTATGGCTCTGTGCCCCCCGCGCCGCAGCCCCCCGCATGGAGCTTGCGTAAGCCCGCCCAACGTCCGAAGCCCATTGAGCAAGTTGTCGAACGCAATCCATTCCATCGTACCCCCATGCAAACGAACCAGTGGCAACGAAGCACTGGCAATGCGGACTCGGTGTTTGCCCCGCCCAAATTCTTCCCCGTGAGCGACCATGCTGCATCAACTGGTCTTGAGAGCCTGTTTGATCGGACGTTCACCATCAAGTCGCCAGAAGATGGAGAAGACGAGTCGTGGCAGGGGCGCCATCAGGCACCGCACACCAAGTCCCGCAACTCGGCCAACCTACAGGGGTATTTTGCGTTTCAGTATCTCCGACTGGGTCTGCTTCTGTTCTCTCTCGTCGCCTGGTATCTCTCACAATTTGACCGCTTCTCAATCCCCGGGAATTATGTCGAGGTGGCCTCCCTGGGCAGCGCCAGCTTGATTGCCGGATTTGCTCTGCTGGAGACCCTCAAGCAACCGATCGTGCAGTGGAACGGCATGGAAATCCTTGTCTACTTCGCCGAGCTTGTAGCCGCAGTTCATATCGGGGGTAACCTCCCGCGAGTCCACTTTGAACGGCAGTATTTCGATCGATACGGGCAGTTACTTTTGATCTTCATGACAGCCCAGGAGGCATTGAGCCTACTGTCCCTCTATAGCATAGCCAAGGCTCGCAACACTGGTCCGCAGCAGCAGCAATCGGAACATGACGAACCATCGGATGGGCCCGCCTCTAGGGGTTCGCCTGAGGCGGCGACCAACAACCAGCTGCAATCATTCAGGTCTCGGTCATCCGTGCCTCCGCCTCTCTCCTTCGCCTCTACTGCCCCTAGCTCCACCTTCCAGACGCAGTCGCCTGAGCCGTACTACTCACTCGCGCCCTCGCCATACGACGGAGCCTTCAACAAAGACCACAGCTTCAGCTTGAATAGTTTGAAGGCGAACGAATCCGACGTCTCTGACTTCTACGATCGCGATTCGGATAACGAAACCACCGTCACCACCGCAACCACCGCGACGAACAACACAATCCACAACATCCGCTACGGACGGACCAGCAACGATGCGATGTTCTCTCCCAAGCGCTCCGAGCTGGGACCCGGCTTCGGGGGATTGAGTCTGGAAGATAGGCCCACCGCCCGTCGAGTCACCCGCAGCCAGACCAAACTGCAAGGGGCCGGCGATGGGTTACGCCGGTTCACCACCCGGGGAGTCCGGTAGTTCCAGCAGCCCAGTTTTTTGTCTTTTCTTCTTTTTTTTTTTTTTTTTTCCCTTGTCATATCCCTGTGTTAACATCTCGATTCCATCTTTCAGCGCTTGCACTATCGGAGTTGGGTTAGTTGTTTCTGCTTTTTTTTGTTTGTATCAGATTGTTCAATATGCCTATGCATGGATTGCATATGGCGGGTGAGATGAATGGATGGATAGATGGATAGTGTTAGTACTTGCTGTTGCGGTTGCTGCTGCCATGTGTCCACGGACATCATCATTGATGGCTGGATGGCTGGCTGGCTGGATGGATGGGTATGGCTTTGGGTGTTTGTTTGGTCTTGTACATACATAAGCCGGTAGGTACAATATGTGATTTACGAATGATGATCGAACATACCTTGTTACTGCTATACTTTGACTTGGTGTCAACCAGTCCAGCCCCATATCAACTCCCCTTCTGGAAGAAGCAACTGAATGCAGGACCATGATCGATAATGCGGGGTGGTTAGTGGGTGGGTGTTAGTAATTTGATTCGGTGCCAGTGTGATGCAAGCAAGCATCCCCGAAATGAAGTTCGGTTCTTCGCCTCCCTTCAACATCAGGCAGGTGTCTTGGCGTGTAGTCAGACCGGACCAGTCTTACATATATATACAGCAATGGTCTACCGGGGTAGTAAGTGTGTCTAATATACAGCCCACTATAATCCAACCCAATCACGTACCGCGCACCATGCCGAAGTCGAGTCTTACGATCCTCGTATACTACACTATACTATACCCAGCCAAGTTTAGTCGTGATGAACCGGGCGAGTTCTTCGATGGCGTGCGAATCCTCCTCCGCGCCCAGCTGGGCATGTAAGACTTCCTTCCATTGGGGTGGTGTAAGCTCGTGGAGCTTACGTTCCTTTAGCGTCTCGTGTAGCCGGACGGCCTGCTCCGAGGCTACCTCGGAGTCAGACGAGGTTGAGATGTGACTTTCGATGATGGCACCGTGTTTGAGACGGAGGAAGACACGGGTCTGTGTGGAGTCGGTCAGTCAGCGGAGTAGCCAAGAGACAGACAGGATGATGACGAGATTCTCACTCACCGAGGGGGGGAGGGAAGCCGGGAGGGCTGGTCGTTCGCGAGGATCCTCCTCGTCGACCGGATGGGTGGAGAATATGAACTGCGGTGTTTGGGTGTATTTCCACTCCAATGACTGCGCAAATTCGACGCTTGGTGAGTATGATCAATGCGGTCTCAAGACGCGGACAATGGCTTACCCGTAATTCATCGATGCCCTTCATGATCTCGGGCTCTTCATAGCCTTGCGCTTCTCCCACGGCCCCCACCACCCAGTCATCCCCCGAATACAGCTCGGGTTCGTGGACGTAAGCACGCTGCGCACGGCGGACCGCATCGGGACCGGCCTGGTACAGCCCTGCGAATTCCTGCATTATACTAGCGATGACATCCTGGATCGAGAAGGGGATGGAGGCATCGGCGAAGACGGACGACACGTTCGCGACGGGAGATCGCACGCTCTCCACGCCCTTGGCTTTGATGTAGTCGCGCGCAGGCGACCGTAGGAACGAGCCCAGGATGTTGATGTTGGGGGAGTCAAGCAGACAGGTGCCGTGGTGTAGGGCGCGATGCCTGGTCAATTTGAACGCCGAGCCAGAGATCTTCCGCGGCTGAGGGGTCGCCTGTTCTCCGGTAGTTGCGCTGTCGAGAGACATGACAATATCGTGGCGGTCGTTGACCCTGGTGTTGGTGGCTCCGAGGTGGTGCAGTGCGCGCACGACCATCTCGGCATGCTTATTCCGCGTGAAGGTCGTTCGCGGGGAGATCACGCTGTAATTGAGGTTTCCCTCGTCGTGGAACACAGCACCACCGCCGGAGCGGCGTCGGACATAGAGTGCGTGGGCATCTTGGGGGTCGTGATCGGAGGTGGTCGCATTGTCCGCGGAGCCGCGGTCATTATGGAGGACTCGGAGATTGGTCTCGAGCCATGGGTTCTGGTTCCGGCCGATGACCACGCAGGGCTGGTTGATGTAGAGGAAGAGGATGTTGGAGTCGATGGGGGCGTGCTCGAGGAGGAAGTGCTCGATGGAGAGGTTCACGTAGGGGTCGGTGGAGAGGGACTGGTAGATCTGGTGCTTAGAGGACGGGCGACTGGCGAGCTGGGCGAAGCAGTCGGCGGAGAAGGAAGAATTCCACCTCCTACGACTCGGATTGAATCTGTGGCCATAGCAGGGGATTAGAAGTGACGAGGAGGAGGCGGATGACAGCCAACACGCGGCTCGAGGCCAGGGACGAGGCATTGGGGAGAAGAGAAGACAAAACAAAACAAGGCCAGGATTTGCGACGGCAGAGAGACTAGAGAGCGACTACCCAGCTAGGTAGGTGTGCTCCCGGCTCGTCGCTTCTAACTCCGGAAATACCGACTGGGAGGCCGATCCACGGGCGCTAAACCGCATTCGGCAAGACTGCAGCACTCCAGATGCGATCCACTCCTACTTTTCTCTCCCGCGTCGTCTGCAGTCACACTTCCAACTCTTCCTCTCTCCCTCTCTTCCTCCCGCTCCATTATTGCCCTCGCTTCCTTTCCCTTTCTCTCCCTCTCAACGCCATTGTCATCCTCCTTCCCCTTACCTGCTGTCATCTAACCCCTTGAGCTCCTCTCTCTCCTCCTCTCTTCTCCTTCCCTCCAGAGACAGCCAGATCCTGTCCCCCTCCCTCTCCCTTCACCACCCCCAGAAAATCACGGCAATTGACCGCTGACCATCATGTCGACGTGGGGTGATTACTTCCGAGTCACCACGTAAGTCCCCTCTGTCTAACCCCCCCCCCTCCAAGTCCGCCTGGTTTCCCCCGAGGAACTTCAGATGACATCCACCCCACTCCTACTCCTCCGAAGTCGGTCAGTCAACTAACCACCGCTCTTCTCTCCGACTCAGCTATGGTGAATCTCACTGCCGCTCCGTCGGCTGCATTGTCGATGGCTGCCCGCCCGGAATGGAACTCACCGAGAACGACATCCAGCCCCAGATGACCCGGAGACGCCCCGGCCAGAGCGCCCTCACGACCCCCCGCAATGAGAAGGACCGCGTTGAGATCCAGTCCGGAACGGAATTCGGTGTCACCCTGGGCACCCCCATTGGCATGATGGTGCGCAACGAGGATCAGAGACCCAAGGACTACGGTGGCAGCACCATGGACCTGTACCCCCGGCCCAGTCACGCCGACTTCACCTACCTCGAGAAGTACGGCGTCAAGGCCAGCAGCGGTGGCGGTCGCAGCAGTGCCCGTGAGACCATCGGTGAGTGGGCCGCTTCCAGCCGATCACTCCCACATGAGGTGTCGTTAACACAGTTTTCTCGTTTCAGGCCGTGTCGCTGCCGGCGCTATCGCGGAGAAGTACCTGCGCCTGTCCCACGGCGTCGAGATCGTCGCCTTCGTCTCGTCCGTGGGCAACGAACACCTGTTCCCCCCGACCCCCGAGCACCCCACCGCCTCCACCAACCCTGAGTACCTGGACCTTCTCAAGAAAATCAGCCGCACCACGGTCGATGAGTTCGTGCCAACCCGCTGCCCGAATGCCGAAGCCGCCGCGCGCATGACCAAGGTCATCGAGCAGTTCCGCGACAACCACGACAGCATCGGCGGAACCGTGACGTGCGTCATCCGCAACGTACCCGTTGGTCTGGGAGAGCCCTGCTTCGACAAGCTCGAGGCCAAGCTCGCCCACGCCATGCTTAGCATCCCCGCCACCAAGGGCTTCGAGATCGGCTCCGGTTTCGGCGGATGCGAGGTCCCCGGCTCCATCCACAACGACCCCTTCATCGTCTCCGACGTCGAGACCCAGGTCGGCCCTAACACCACCACCAAGCAGCGCCTCACCACCAAGACCAACAACTCCGGCGGTGTCCAGGGCGGTATCTCCAACGGGGCCGACATCTACTTCCGCGTCGCCTTCAAGCCCCCGGCCACCATCGGTCAGGCCCAGAACACCGCCACCTACGACTTCGGCGAGGGTGTCCTCGAGGCCAAGGGCCGCCACGACCCCTGCGTCACCCCCCGCGCCGTTCCCATTGTCGAGACCATGTCTGCCCTCGTCATCATGGACGCTCTCATGGCCCAGTATGCCCGTGAGAGCGCCAAGAGCCTCCTGCCCCCGCTGTCCAACACTGTGCCCACCCGTCCCACTCTGAGCACCAACGCCTAGATTACTTCCGCATAAAAGTGAGCTGCAGGGCCAAGCTCTGGTTAAAATTATTTTCATTATAATCGCCTTTGGGGGAGGGAGTATTTTGCATGCGAGTTAGAATACAGTGATGTCACGTCTGTCAATGCGCTTAATGATTTATATATCGTTATCTTATATCACTTCTGGATAGATTTCGGGTGACCTTTTTTTTTGACCTTTTATCCAATATTAAAGTGGCGTTCCATGCCCCGCATGGCACAGATGTCAGGGAGCGGAGCACCCTGTGTCTTAGTAATAATACCAAGTAAAATAAAACCTTTCAATCTTCAACATTACAGTAGAGACCCGGAAGACCCGGCGCGCAGTCCCAAAGCCAACCCAGAAGAACAAAAAGGCGTACATGCTGCAACTCAATTTAAATCAGGGAAATCCTCATCCCATTCATTCTACTCATAACTCGTAAGTAAATAAACATGTCCACCACCAACACTATCAATAACAACAACAACATTGTCGTCATCAGAGCCAGACATCCCAACCTCAACCCCAACCCCATCAACCCAACTGTATCTGCAGAATAGTGCAGAAGAAAAAGGATGAACATATGGACAAGACCTCATAAAACATACAAATAACGAATGGAGTATCATATATCAACAACCAGAACCTTTGTATAGAAAACCGCCTCCCCGCACAACCCAAGTACGTAACAGTGTGAATGTGAACTGAACACCGCTGAACACCGCCAGTATATTCATTCATTCACCCATCCATCCAGTCACTCGTCCAAGGAATAATAATGAAAAGAATGAGAAAAAGAAAATAAAGACAAGGGAAGAAAAGAAAAGAAATGAAATAAGGAAGTAAGCAGGCAAGCACAGCTAGCCCACTTACTTAGAAGCACGACTATTACTCCTGGTCACCTCGACATCGGAATCATCATCCAGATCGCCTTCGGTGGGGTTCACGACGCGGAGTTTCTCCTTCGGCACGGTAAAAGCCACCTGGACGCGACGACCCTCGGCCGCGCCTTCAACGTCCCAGTCCTCGTCACTATCCGGGTCCAGATCGAGGAAGCTGTGGAGGGCAGGGAATCCGTCACGTGAGGAATGAAGAGTGGTCTGGTCGTCCAGGTTGGCGGAGAGTCGGTTGCCGACGCTCCAGTCCTTGGCGCCTTGCTTGCGACGGAAGACCTCGGCGGAGGCGCTGACGGAGCGGCGGGGGACGGGTCTTCGGTCGATTCCGGAGGTGATAGACGCGGTGGTGGTGGAATCTGAGTCTGTTGGGGGGCGTCTTCGCGTTAGGGAGATGACCCGGCGGACGTTGTTGCCGAGCCACTCGGAGGCTCGGGGCTTGGGGGGCTTCGGGAAGAGATCGAGCGGGGAGGATGGTTCGTGGTTGTTGTTGATGTCGCGGAGGAGGTAGTCGATTTCGGCTCGTCGCTGGGAGAGGGAGGTTTGGGCGGTTGAGTAGGAGTCGGAGGAGTAGCGCTTCTCGCCAGGGAGGATGAGGCTGTGGGGCCGGGCTCGGATGACTGTTAGATCTCGAGGATGGACGGACACGGAGGTTGTCCTCTGGGGGAACTGGCTGGGCGGATAGTTGAGGTTGATGTTGAGGTTGGCCAGGTGGGATCGTTGGACGGACTTCACGGAGGTCGAGGAGTCGGAGAGGTTGGACGACGTTCGCTCGTCCTTATCCGGAGAAGAAGGGATGTCTCGATCAATGCCGACGACACTAGCCATCAAGTCCCCGCCGACGGTGGTGTTGATAGGAGGCAGGTACTTTGAAGAATCTCGGAAATGCTCGCTCGTTTCCGGTCTGATGCTCGCCGCATCGTTTGCCTCGTCCTCCTCGCGCTCGTCAATGGGGTGGATGTCGCCGGTGGCATCGCTTTTTCTGTATTCGCTTTTCCTATAATCGCTGTATTGCGAGGAAGGTCGATACATTCTCGTACCCACGCCGGGACGAGCTGTTCTCGTGGGGCTGGAGGCATTGTCTCCTCCTAGCAGACCAGTTCTTTCTGCAGCTGATCCGCCTTTTTCGCGCCTGGTAGATGATTTCTCAGATTCTTGGTTGCCGCTCCAGGGATGGTCGCTGTTCACTTCTGTCTCTTGCATGGAGGGCCTGCGGATGCTACTAGCCATGAAGGGCTCCTCCTGACCCCAGAAGTGGGATCGTTCAGCCCCGATTGCTAGATTGCGAAGCTCGGGGTCGCGCTTGCGACGCTTTTGGCGCCTCCTCCAGATAAAGAATAGAAGCACCGCGAGGCCAGCAACCACGGGAATTCCCACCCCAAGGCCAACACCAACTTCTGTCCTCCATGTTCCCGAAGACCCGTGGCCCGATGTTGTGCCTTCTTGGTTGGCGATCGAGTAGGGATTATGGTAAGACGAGACCCACTTCTCAGACGTGATATTGTACAAGTACACTTGAGAGTTGGGCTGGGTGTCCACGACGGAGCGTTTCGACGACGACGACGATGACCGCGGTATGCTGTATCCGCCTGCGACCATCATCACGCCACCAGGAAGCATGGTTGCCCCATGTCCGTAGATTCCATACCCTTGTAGAATCCCGGTATTTTCGGCCGACGGTACGCTCCAGGTCCAGTCTCCAGTGCCCCCATAGGACTCTCCAAGCTCTAGTACCACGAGTTGCGGCCGGGCGGCGACGGTTGTGTTACCTACCCAGCCCCCGTACACAATAACCTTGCTTCCATCCGGAGACAAGACTGCCGTGTGCCCCGACCTTGGCTCTATGGTGGTGACACCTCGGACAGCGAGCTCAGTCTTGTAGGAAGCCGGTGCAGTGTCGACAGTCATGAAGCTCCAGCTATTTTGGGGGAGAGAGAACACCGCAAGCTGCGACATGTTGATGAACGCGTCCCGCGTCTGCCCTCCAACTAAAAGAAAGTCCTGTTGTTGGCGCATCTCACCGGTTGAGGAATATGCATATGTGGCCTGCAAAGGTGTGGTCGTAAACCCGGCCTCTGCAATTGGAGGTGCTCGACCGCCGGTGGTGGACGCATCATATGCACCGCTTCTGCGGGGCCCCGACGGCTCGAGGACTATCATTGACTGCGAATAGTTGGCCGTGGCTATCCAGGTTGTCTCTAAGCTGTTCGAGAAAGGGCACATCCCCCCAAAGGTATAGAGCGAGCTGTCGGAGGTATTGGTGGCCGAAAACGTAAAACCGGCGGAGAGATAATTCGGACCATCCACCTTGTGGACGGTGCTGTTGCTCTCCGCGATAGCGAATTTCCCCCACGTCCCATCGCCAATGGAGCTGTTGGTGTCCGGGGTGAAGCGCCACAGCTCCCCTTTGTCCAGAGGCTTCTGGCAATCGCCCGTGAAGATCTTGATCACGCCCTGCTGGTCGATGGCCGACACAAAAGCCGGAGATTTTTCACCAAGTTGGAACGGCAATGGGTCCATCAGAATGTTGTAGCTGGGGCTCGTGGTGTAGATGGTGCCAGAGATGTTCCAGGAGATAAATTCGGTAGTGGCATCCTGGCTAGTCCCCGTAGTTTGTAGTAGGTAGGCGAACGAACCATTGCTAATTGAGGAATAGAGCAGCTGAGAAGGCGTGTATGGGACAGTCGTGAAGGCGGGTCCGACCCAGAGGAGAAGGAGAAGGAGGGTCGACGCCACATAGACACCTCCAGCCCGGCGCATTCGGTGTATCCGAGGGAGGGGACATTCGTCCATGAGGGTCAGCAAAATGTTCGCGCGGCGTCAACAGGAGTGTGGCGGTCTGCGGCAGACCACGAGGCATCTAGAAAACTCGACGGTCTTAGCTCGTTGGCACGAGTCAGAGAGCGCGTCTTGTGGCTAGAGCAGCCGACATAAAGAGCCGGATGTGGAGCACCCAGAGCGAGACAATTTGTTTCCCTTTTTTTTGGATACGGGGGGGGGGTGTCCAAGAACGTCGCAGGGCAGGGCAGAGGTGGAAGTCAGAGAGCGTGGTGGTGTGTGAAGAACTGCACGAGTGGGAGGTAATATAGACATGGGCCCGGAATTGTCAACAGGCAGCATCTCAACCATGACCGATGGGGCCCGGCTCTACTGGGGACGATCTGGAGTGGCACTGGGGCCCTGGGCCACTGGCCGGGTGGAAGATTTGATCAAAGCCATCGTCATGACTAGCGGACCCTCCCAAGCTCTGTCCAGTCCGATACGCCAGACGAAGATTGCTGAGGGTCAACACGGGCGGTTGCGCAGGCAACGTTGGAGGGGGAACAACGGCTTCCAAGGATCCTGGCCGGTTCGTACGCATTAACGGTCGTCATCTTTCCGCGGTTCTTTCTCTCGTCCTTTTTTTTCGGGAGTTTTCTCTCTCTTGCAAGTCGAGTCATGCTGTGGGGTGGAGGAAATTTTCGATAGAGGGCGAGAGATGAAGGGGATGAGACCCAGAGGAAAAGAGTGGTATGCCGAGCGGCCATGTGGAGCAGCTGAAACACGGCGATCGCCTAGCTGCTCGATACTTTTTAGTCTTTTAGATCTCTCGATATTTCTTGCCTTCGGTTGGGCAGGAGGTTATTTCAACGGCCGTCCCGTTCTTGCCGTCGCATGCATTAGTGTGGTGGAAGAAGAAGAAGAAGAAGAAGTAGAAGAAGGCTCAAGGATGAGCGACTCGATCTGAAGTTGAAACGATCCCCGCCCGGTCCTCATGCTTAGTAATCCCCACCCGGGCTGTTTACCGACTACCTGATCGGTCATTTCCATCCATCCCACAAAACACACAAGATGACCTCGGAGAAAGAGATCCGCATCACTTTCCCCCTGGGCCGTGGCCTTGCCCTTCGCACTGCCCGGCTTATTGGCGCCCTACCCGGCCGTGACCTCGTGGGGCTCCAGCGGGGCTGGCAAGAATGTCAGCCTTAACCATTATACAACAATAACCGCCAACCGTGGTAGGAGGCTGTGTCTGGCTCCATCCTAATATTAATCCCCGGCCCGACTCGCCGCCTCCTGGTGGATGAGATACTCAGACTAACTAGTAGATACTTCCTATGTACTCGGCAGTCAGTACGGAGTACTCAGTACTTCCTCGGATGTTGCGAGATCTACTTGGCCACCGTGAGTCAATGCACTCTTCGGCCAGTACCCGACGGCCAATTCCTCGCGCTCAGACGCCCTCCCTCCGGTCGATTTCTTCATCCCGGTGTTTGATAGACGCCAGAACTGACCACCGCTCGACGAGGTCAGGCCGATCTCCGTGGCGGGATATTTCTCTCTCTCTTCCAAGTTCCTGGTGGGATCCCCTCGACTCCCTCGAAAACCCACGGAGCATTCTCTTCCTAGTACTCCTCTTAGTACAACGTGCACCCACGCATCCACTCAGTCATGGTCCCACGGAGCCCGCACAGGCCGTTTCACGATAGGAAATCGCCTCCGGGCCAGTCTGATAATGAGTGGGGTACAGGGAAAGCTCATCGGCAGCGGAAAGCAAACATCTTGACGGCCTCGAGACTGGCAGCCACGAGCGCGGGGAACCAATCGAATGCCAGTTCATACCTCCTGGCTGAGCCTGGCACACGGCTGAAGGTGAAGCCGGCGATCAGCTAGGTGGCTCGGTCCCTTGTGCCGACTCATGTTGCTCACGGCATCCACGACCAATGCGACGAATAGCGATACTAGATACCCAGGCAAAGTCGGGGGTGCCTCGGAAACTCTCGGTTCGGGGTTTGGCGAGCGCAGCCTATTGCGACCCGGAATCCAGCCATCATCATCCTGTGATATCTGGCTTGGTAGGCAGCCTTTCCATATCAAAATCCAAATAACCCCCCCCCCTCCCCCTCCCATCCCCGGGCATTCTTCCTCCCTTCAGTTGGCTCCGCTGGCAATCCTGCTTGGGCGCCACAGGAAATGCCAAGAAGAGCCATGCTATGTCCAGTAACTGCTGGATCAGTAGCCTCCAATCGGAGTCCGTGCAACAACTTGCCAACTTATATGCAAGCGGACGATAATGCAGTAGTAGGAGATGGTTCCTATCACCATGCACCTTACAGGGAGCCTTACTGTTTGAACTTGTATTGAGTCGGTCGAATTGCTAGCTTGATTCACCTCCTTGAATCGATACTGTATCGGAGATCATGCATAGTATGCACGGTACCGTGTTTCCCTCCGAGTCGAGCAACAGATCGAGACTGATTGACGTGTCGAAGACCTGTCAATATGCACACGTAGCCAGCTAGCTGCCTTTGGTGGTTTATAGAGCTGGCACACACACACACCTTTACCGATCATACATGAATAATCCAGATAAATGGACATCTCCATCGACGAAGACGAGGTTCCGGAACACCCCTTGATTGATATTAGGCTGTGGCTGCATGCAGTTTGATCCAGCTACCATGCAGTAGTAAGTAATCTACCAAGTACTTGTCAAATGCATCGCCCGCCAATCAGTGCAGCTCGTGTCTTAGATCAGATGTATGCCTCAGACCCCGTCATTTATTCCCAATAGACCTATTACATGCACCCGGCTGGATGTGGCGTGGTGAGCACCCTTGCGCCGTACATGGGAACACCACGACTCTTGACGGGGATTGGATGTACCACACTGCAGGCAAGTGTACCCATGTCCAGGGAGGGCTGAATGGCACTATCTTCTGACATGGCCCCCGGTCAGGTCGATGGATGGGACCCTCCCTATATTATACGACTTGTCTGCAATGACTCACCGGGGGTGTATGGATGGATGGATGGGTGGACGTCGGGCAACATACAGGGGGTGATGGAGAGACAGAGAGAGCTGGCTCGGGCTATCACGGAGCAGATGACGGAACACGCAGGAGGCGAGGCCTGGTCTGGTCTGGTCTGGTCTGGTCTGGAGGAAGAGTAATCTCCGGGTCGATATGCCCGATGGGATAGCGGAGCTACTTGCAGTACTGCTAGCGACTTACCCTACCTACTGGCCGGTGCCGTATGTATGCGCTAGCCAGGCCATGCATGGTCGGCTCGCTAGATATCTAGCTAATGGCGACGGCGATGGCGAGTGGACGGGGGATCATGTCACCGTTGCCTCCGGGTAAATCAATCCTAGTCGCACTTAATATGAACACCTTAATAGACCTGACAGGTGAATCATCGACTACGACTCCGGACGATCCAGGGGCAGCCAACCCCAGTACAATGTCCAACAGATGGCGCAATCTATCCCAGCAATAATGATAACACTTGGCCCAACCAACCCCCGATATGCCCTCTTCGCATCCAATACACACACACACTGACACACTACATACCAACATACACTAGACTAGACTAGACTACTCAATATCCACCGGAGAGCGAAAAAAAAAAAAAAAAAAAAAAAAAAAAAGAGCAACGCTAATCTTATACCCGAGGTACATACACACTATACTAGTAGTCTCCTCCTCCTCCGTACCGCCACTAGTACTAGTATCTATCTAACAGCTAACCACCAGTGTACTAGACAGACTACCACCACGACCCGAACCAACCCCAGACCAGACCCCAAGCCACGTCGTCGTATGTATGTCAGTAAATCAAGTAAATCAGTTATCCTAATCCCCCCCCCCTCCCCGCCCGCCCGCCTGCACCCCAATCTTATCAATTTCCTATCTGGGCAATGCCCCCACCCCCCCCCGGTGAGCAGTACATACCTACCCTACCTAGTACCTAAAGAGTGATGTAGTAATCCTCTCAACCTCCTCTCCCCAAATCATCAGTAGGAAGGGTAAGAGGGGTGTCGGGGGGGAAGAAAGAAGACCATCCGTCCGATATAGAGTTTCATTCCCCCAATCAGAGCGTCCCCGTGGACATGTGCAGGTCGGGTGTTCATGCACTGCCCATATCAGCGCGCGTTGGATGGGAATTCGTATCCATGGGGTTTCTTATTGGGTCAGCTGCGCTCGACCGGTGATGGGAGGTTGTGCTGGTTTTTTGGATGGTAAGTAATACGGGGGGGGGTTCTGTCGCTCGGTTTTCTGTCTAACTGTGAAGGGAGAATGGTATGGTGAGAGATGAGGTGGGATTGCTTGGTTGTTGAGTGGTTGTAGGGGGGGAAAGGGTGGGTATGGCTACCTGATATCTATCTACTATCTACCACTGGCAGTACTGATGGGATAGGACAGGTAAGAGGTAAAATAAGTAAGGAACAGTAAGCAGCGGAGGCGATGCTCCGTTACCAGTACCAACGGGGACCCTCGGTAGAATCGCTCCCGATCCATCCCTGTCCTTAAGTACTGACTGCCTGGTATGTAGTGGTGGATAGCTGCCCCGGTCTCTTCCGTATGTATGCAATGCAAGTACATGGGGTGGATGAGGTGTACCTGCAGTTAAGCAGAGGGACCCTTATCGCCATTGTCAAGCCAGAGCCACCACCTACCTACCTACCTACCTACCTACCTACCTACCTAACCTATATACATACCATCGCGAGCCATCCACACTCCACAAGCCACTGGCACTGGCACTGACAGTTGTAGTCACCCGTAGCACACACATACGGGTACATACAGCCCACCGTGCCCATTCCGTACATAGGATCTCACGGACAGTAGGACAGGACTAAAAAGCTTGGTTTGGGTTCAAAGAACCAGTCAGCGGTGGTGGACGACATTTCTGATCATGCAGGCCACCCGATGAGGAACTCAGCTAATGGGTTGGACGGTGCTATTTTGGATGACTTGCATCGGTGGTGTGGTGAACCGATTATCGGCTTGGCTGGATGTCATGTGTGCGTGTGTGTCAGAATAATGAGGGAGGAGTGTGAGTGTTCAGCAAAAACAAAAAGAGAAATAAAAAAAGATGATTGATGATTCTTGGCGCTGCCCGGAATCGAACCGGGGCTGGCACGGCCACAACGTGACGTCATACCACTAGACCACAGCACCTGTTGTTGTGGAATTGGCGGGAGGTTTAGCTACAAATCTTAAAAATAGTGAAGAATGCCAACGCCACTTACTTTCGCGAAGGTGTGGTGTTCTTGTAATAAAAGGATGGGGGCATAACACTGCTTCTTCGTATCTAGTATTTCATGATTGTAGGGCTGTCTTTCTGCCAAGACCTTCTGGTTATTTCATAATCAGTATCTTACAGTGTGCAATTGGTCGTTGATTGATTGTTGCCTCGTGGTAATCCTGCTAACGCCCCCGTCGTATATATTTACGGAAAGTCTAATGTGCCCCAAGAGCACACGACCACTACTACTCAGTATAGTCTATAAATGTCCGCAATGTCCCTGCGCCCACACCATCCCCAACTTACTCATGCCAACCCCGTGACACAGGGACAAGAACGGCCACTAGATGGGAGCTAGATTGGTCGCACAGCAGGGAGCTCCTCCTCACGGGGTATCCCTCAAACCGGAAAGAATCCAGGTGACAGCAGCAAGTCACGTCGAGCTGCTTCTAGAGATCGGAGTCATTGACCCAGCCGCTTCATCTGAGCCGTCCCTCGACTAACTCCGGACCGGGTATACAAGTGCCCACCCGGATGGGCTCAGGTAACCCGGAAGACATGGAGGGCGACGCCATGACCGCAACACGAAACAGCGTTCGCCCTAGTACTGGAGAAACCAGACAGGACACCTGCCTATCAGCCAGCAGGCAGACATGTGTCGGTACGGATTAGTGCGGCCGCGTTTGGACGACAGCCGGAGATCTGTGGTGTCTTCCTCGATCTGCACATCCATTAGCCACGCGATTGACAGACATACAAGTACATGCGTCGCTTAACCCCCCACGGATGTGTCCACTGATACGGTCATGGCATTGGCAGCTGTGTATGAGCTCAGGACACTAGCATAAGGACCATGTACCCCACATTGAACGTAAGCCGAGAGACCTGGAGAACAGGCTAGCCGCTGCACCGCATCCCCACCGGAACTCGAACAATGGCAAGAAGCGTGGAGCACAGAGCACTGCCCAGTATTCACGGGTGGGGGCTCAGACACAAGTACTCCGTAGGGCGAGGGCCGACCCCAGGTCTGGGATGTAGTGCTAGCACGACAATCCTTTCGGTTGTCTGAGAGGGAGGTTACCCCTCACCGTCAAAAACGCGGCACTAAGACATTTAGCGATGGCCCAGGCAGCACGGAAATTCGACTAGATCGCCGTAGACTGACACACCGGCGCGGTAGATATGTGTGGGAATGATTGCCCGGGCATGGGTTAGTTGGACTGTGTCTTGTCTTGGTACACCACCCACTACGCTTTCCCTCCCCTCTCCCTCTCTTTCTTGGTTTCTTTCGTCCTTAAAACCTTTTTTTTTTTGTGAAAAAAAAATAAGAAAAGAAATTCAGAACCAACGAGAATGTCAACAGCCACGAGGCGGAGGAGCACATGTATATATAGCGTGCCAAGAAAAGATATATCTTGCGAACTGATGGACAATAGAACCTTGATGTCCAATGAATGGGGGTGGGTGGCATGCCAGAATTGGGCCTCGATGACGTTGATCACGGCCAGTCGCCAAATGGAAATGGAGGAGCCCGATGAGAATGCAAGACTGCATACCTACCACCACTACAATGCAAGCCTGCAGTGTGTCCCGAGGCCAATAGGGCGCACCAGAAGGTTTCACTCATACTGGGCTATTCTGAGAGCGAGACCGGAGTAATCCGTCTCTCGACAATGTCGCCATGCATACAGTACGACGGTCACTAGTCCGACGCAGTGTCTGTTTGAAGCTCTTAGCTCCTGCCCGCCGCGGATCCAAGGAACCAAGCCAATAGGCCGCCAAGAGCAGAAGGACCACGTCCACGCGAAAGGCGACCGGAGAGAGATAGATAGACAATAGGAATCACCATCAGGGACGGTTTCCATGACAGACGGGTAGGAGACGACGGATTGCCGCTAGAGCAGCCACGCCTCGTGGAGCGAATCAGGCTGCTATGCATGGGCAAATCAGAGGAGAACTCGGAGTCGTGAGGTATCTAGCTGTAGGTAATTTTCGACGGCCCTCCCACTTCCCATGGGCCAGCCGCTCTGATTTGCGAGGCGGTTGGGGGGATTTTCCCACTGCCGCACTAGATAGATAGTAGAGATGGGGCCAGCTGCACAGGCATGGATGCCGCCTGCAGTCCCGACTGGCCGTTTGAATGGGACTCCTCGAACCCGACCTTGGGTGGGATCACCCTCAGTTTCAGACCCAGGGTTGGTAGCTGGCCATACCACCGCCAGAGACCGACCGAGACCCTGCTCTGCTCTACCGGTGGGTGGGACCAAACCGGTTGCCAGCGGAATTTGGGGGAGGGGGGAGGGGAGAATTCTATTGAAGGCGTCGCTTTTATACTCACTCACATCCATCCATCCATCCATCCATACGTACAGGTATCGATGGATCTGCCAACCCAGTCTCGCTGTTGCCTCTTCGGGCAAGAACCCCAACTGTCAACAGCGGCGTCGGGATCGCTGGGAATCGGGGAGAACACAGACCTCCTCGCCCAAGCTCTGCGCGCGGAGCTAAAAGAGGGCCCCTGGCTCTCTATTGGAGGGGGGGGCCGCAGTCAAACATTATCGGCTGCAGGAAGGGGAGGTGGCCTATGGGGGACTCGGAGTGTCGGACTAGTGCCTGTTTTCTCGGTCGATCAAATTTACGGAGAGCTCTGGGGAGGGGGGATGAGATGATGCCTTCAGGGAGGAGTCGGTCGGGGGACCGCAAGAGAGAGAGAGAGAGAGAGAATAAGAGAGAGAGAGAGAGATGATGTCTGGAAGTGAACCTAAAGAGAGGAGGAGTTGGGGATGGACATCGTTGGACCCACGGAACACCCAGATCCAGATCGATGGCCGGCTCGTTGGAACTTTGCTGGCCAGATTTGACAGGTGTCAGTGACGATGAAGATTTCCGTTCCGAACCCGATCAGTGGTCGATTGATCGATTGATTGATATGTAGATAGATAGACAGATAGAGGAGAGGGTAGGTATCGATAAAAGAAAAGACTGTAGGGCTAAAGATACCTTAGATAGCGGATAATGGGGTATGGGCAACTGTTCCCGGGTGGGATTGCCCAGTCACACAAAGGATTTACTCAGGCACGACGGGAACAGCAAGGGGCGGGGGGAGTGTTGCTTGGTAAAATATCCAAAAACAAATCGGTATTCCGTACGGCGTACTTGATACGTACACACCTGGAAAGGAAGCTAAGGCGGCATTCAGGCTATTCTGCTTGCCCCGTTTTGCCCCCCCGATGAACGAACGGATGAAGAGATAGAGAGGGACCGCCCATGGATGATGATGGAAGGGGAGGGCCCCAACCATATTGCCAAGGAAAAGCCCGGATGGCCGGCCGAGATGGATGGCTTGTTCAAGGTACGGCGTACATATTACTACTAGGTACTGTGTGTACTCCGTACTGTGTACTATTTGGGTACTACCTACTAGGGCTGCTCGTATTTTCGTGGCCACAATAAAAATAAGATTTTATGGGATGACATTGACTATAGATTATCTTCCGTCCAAACTAGGTGATTGTCCATGGATTTGATTATGATGATGATGATGATGATGATGATGATGATGATGCTAGTCCGCAGCTAACTGCTACCCAGCTCTAGAGCTAGTCTCCACTCAGGAATTTCACCTCGACCCTGGAAGCTGCAACAAGACTCCGAGTCGTAGTTGGGTGTCCCCACTGGCTGGCGATTGGATCCAGAATCTCTGTCTGTACGGTACCTATTCTTGTGTTTCCCCCGGAGTACCATGACCGACTTGCGACCGAGACCACCACCGCTGACCAACCGAATCCTGTACGGAGTGAATACTGCGTATTGCTGTTACCACTCCGTACCGTTCAGTCAGTCAGTCAGTTCCCCCCTCCTTCCCTTTCCCCCAAATCCGCCTGACAAAAGCCTGCTTGACCCTCTCTGCCCGCCGAGAACCACCACCACCACCACCTTCTCCTGTCCCTCCTCCCTCCCTCCTCCCGCCCATTATTACTTACGAACCACCATCCACATCGTTCGTTTTCTCCCACTCCCACTCCTCCTCTTCCTTCCTCCCACCCCCCCCCCTCCCCATTTCCCCATCTCCTCCGTCCCTTTTTCTTCACCACCGTCCACCCAATACCCTAATCTCTATCCTCTCTCCTCTTCTTTTTCTTCTCCCTTTCCCCTTTTCTTCCATCACCTTTTCTTCGTCGTCCTCCTTCAATACTTACCGATAACTACCCCTCCTTTTTAAACCTCTTTAATTTCATCTCCCTCCCAGTATAATTACCACCACCTACCCTGCCTGTCCCTTCACGACCGTTCCTTCCTGGACGACCACACCCCCTCTACCCACTATATACCGGATATCCACTCCATTGTGTCTTCTTGTTACTATACTTAGACACTCCTTACCCTGACCCTATCTGACCCTCGAGGATCTCTTTCCCGACCGATCTGCGACCATCTCCGGCTCTCATTCCATTTCCACCACCCTTATCTCCGGGCGCATCAATCGACCATCGGCTGCATCCTGGTGCTGTAGCAGGTCTGTCGCTCAACAGTCCCTCTCCGAATCGCCATTACCGTTGTCCGGCACACGGTTTCCTACCCCAAGGTCGACCTGGATGGCTGTTATTGCTCTCTTCCGAGTCGAACTCCGAGAGTAATGCCGATCCACTCGCGCGCACCCTCAGAGCTTCACGTCAGCTCGCCCTGAATTAAGTGACCTTCTGGGACAGTCGAAGGGGTCACAGAAGAAGAGAGACGCCGGAAAGGGCCCCGCATACACGGAACTAGAACAGGCTCGGGAAGGAGAGGATGCACAGTAGCAGTCCGGAGAGAATACGCTGAATCCAAGACATGAAAATGGATCGTCCCCATTCTGTTCCTGGCCTGGAGGAACCCGTTACCTTGATTGCCCGAAATGGCCACACGTCGGACACTGTCCGTAGGCGCAGTTCGGACAAGTCCAGCGAGAGTTCGTCACCCGAGACAGATATCAGGCCGACTGTCACGAAACCGCCCAATGCCAAACTTCCCCTACCGAGCGACTTCGCCGACGGCCAAACCTCCATTCGTCATCCGTTTCCCCACCTATACCATTCCTCCAGTACCTCTCGGTCACCCTCCACTAGAACCTCCTCCAGCTCTCTCCAGGCACTGAACGAAGATACCGTCGTCGATGCTCGGTCCGATCATGGTACGCTTGCACGGAACTCCGTCGCTTCCCGGAAGATGGCCCATATGGGCCATTCCGAGACCCATCTCCCAGAATACCCCGTCTACCCTGACCAATCCTATGCTGTCCTCCAGTCTCAGATCCATCCCACCTACCAACCACCATTCACACGCTCCCACAGCTCTTACCCATCACGGATCGAGACGGCTAGGCTTGCCCCAACGCGTGCTTCGCGCACAGCGGGCAACACTCCTATGTCCAGCCCAGGCCTGTTTTCTGTCAGAAGCTCTCGCTCGACTCCGTTTGGATCGGACGATGAAGGCCGCATCAGCAGTCCATTCCTTCATCCCACGCACCTTCAGCCCCCAAAGAGTAAGTTCGATATTGCTTCATATCTCGCCAATCTTTCCATGTTGTCAGAGGCCAATCAAAGAGTGACTAACCTCCACTGCAACAGGACTCACACTGCCGAGGTGGATCGAGATATTGTGACCGGAAACAAACTTATCAACCAGTATGAGATCCTCGAGGAGCTCGGACGAGGCGAACACGGAAAAGTCAAACTGGGCCGCCATGTTACAACCCGGCAAAAGGTCGCGATCAAGATTGTTCAGCGGTACTCAAAACGTCGTCGCCTGGGCAAACTGGGGAACCCCGAGGACAAGGTCAAGAAGGAAGTAGCCATCCTCAAGAAGGCCCGACACCCCAATGTTGTTAGTCTGTTAGAAGTCATCGATGATCCGAACCGCCAGAAGGTCTACATAGTTCTCGAATATGTCGAAAATGGTGAAATCATTTGGCGGAAGAGAGGGTTGCGGGAGATTGTGCACGTCGACAAGCGCCGGCTAGAGCGTGAAAAGGCTGGCATTCCTGACACGCCCTCATTTCTGGAGGAAAGTCAGCAGTATATCAGGACTTCTCAACACCTCCGCCGCCAACGTGAAAAGGCGCGCGAACGCCGCCAAGCACAGGCAGCGTATGCTCAAGAAGCCCCGATCCCTGCTTGGAGTTTGGAGCATGGTGCGGAATCGGAGGAGGAGGAGGAGGAGGAGGATGAGGATGCGAGTCCCGGAACGGCGATTGCCCGTATCCCCAGCCGCTCAATGAAAAGCAACGATGATGCCCAGCCTTCCCCGAGCAACTCTTATGCGTCAGGCCATGAAGCCGCATTGGCCGCAGTGGAAGGTAGCATGTATGGTGCCTATGCGGATTACTCGTTCGATAGACGCTTCAGTACCGCATCGAGCAGCTTCGGCTATGCTCCGTCCGAACCCGAATGGTGTCCTGATGATGATGAGATGTCCTATGTGCCTTGCCTGACCTTTATCGAAGCGCGAAACGCTTTCAGAGATTCGCTGCTCGGGCTCGAATATCTTCATTATCAAGGCATCATCCACCGTGACATCAAACCCGCAAACCTGCTGGTCACCAGCAGCTATCGTGTGAAGATATCGGACTTCGGTGTATCGTACCTGGGACGGCCCATCAGAGACGAGGAAGAGGAGCAGGTGGAGGAGACGGACGCGACTGAACTGGATGATGCACGTGAGCTGTCGAAAACGGTTGGGACCCCGGCTTTCTATGCCCCTGAGCTGTGCTATACAGGCGAAGACTTCGTGGACATTCTTGGCGCCGTCCCTCGGATCACCGGTGCTATCGATGTATGGTCTCTCGGCGTAACCCTATACGGCATGATCTTCGGGCGGCTACCTTTCGTTTCGGATGACGAATACAGCATGTTCCAGACTATCGTAAAGAAGGAAGTCTTCATCCCGCGAAAGCGCCTGCAGCCTGTGGAGGACGATCCCGACACCGCCAGTCAATGGCCCCGCTGTGACGACAGCCCCAAGCGGATGGAAGATGAGCTAGTGTACGAGGATGTCGACGATGAATTATATGATCTATTGAAGCGGCTACTTACCAAAGACCCCGTTAAACGCATCACTGTCAAGGAGATCAAGCATCATCCTTGGGTTTTGCATGGCCTGCCCAATCCCAGGGCCTGGGTGGAGGAGACCGACCCGGGCTATCAGAGCAAGGGCAAGAGGATTGAAGTGTCTACGGAGGAAGTGACTAGCGCCGTCAGCAAAGTGCCGTTCATCCAGCGCGTGCGATCCAATGTCGCTAAATGGTCCAACTACCTGACCGGAAGGTCGAAAGAGAAGGACACTCGCAAGCGGACTCCTAGCAACACCCCGTCGGTTGATTCCTCATCCACGGCGAGCAGCACTGCTTTTGGGAAATACCTCTGGGATAGTCGGCGACACAGCCTCAGGGGCGACGAGGAATTTCCGCGCACTTTCAGATTCTCTAGGGATGGCGAGCATCCACTCTCCCAGAGTGTCACCGCAAGTCCTGTGGGCAGGGATGATCAGACCTGTTATTTCGCCTCGTCTGATTTTGCTCCCCCGCTGGAACGGACCCCACGCCCTGACCCCCCGGAACGTACGACATCCACCTTGTCCACTGCTGAATCTGCGAAGACCGTGAAGCCATCCGACCACAAAAAGCCCGCTGTACCCCAGCGTGCCGGCACGCCAGTCCGGGTAGAAACGTCCGGGACTACCAATGTTGGTGGTCTCTTTGGCGGCGCGAGCCGCCGGCTCGCGAGAGGCCTTCAGCCAGGGGAACGCTCCGATCGGTCTGTCTCTGGAGAGACCGCGTCCCTGGATGGTGACCGACACTCCGAGCCCAGCCTGGCTCTGAGTGTCACGTCTGCGGTCGGCCAAATGCAGCAGGCTAACTTGCTATCGAACGAGGAGCCACCATCAACGCATCCTGATAGCCCCCTCGCTGGAACATCCCGTCACCGGCGTAACCGATCGCATCAGCTTCCAAGCAGGCATTCTGCGGAGCCATTCCACCTGACCAAGGAGGCCTTGCTGCGGAAGAGAAGGAGTAACATCGAGTCGGCTATTGACTGCGACCACGGGCTTCGTGGAGATAGTGAGATGTGTCCTAGTGATTTGTTGAGCGTACGGCTCGAGACTCACCCGCAGGCCTCGGATTCGTTGAATGACAATTCGGCCGGCGACCTCCTTGCTGGGGGACTGACAACATCACCCCCGTCAGCTGCCACCATCTCTTCGTCGTCTATTGACGAGTATACCAGCGGCATGTCGCAGAGCACCTCGCACCCTAGCATTCCATCCGTGGTTTCCGGGGCATCGTCGCTTTCCGGGGAGGGGGGCTACAAGGAGAAGGACGGCGAATCGTCTGTTCCTTCCATCCTCCGTACGGGTGAAACCGTCAAAGCCCGGCGGCCCAGTTCATCGCGACCGGCGGAAGATGATGAATCTCGCTACTATTGCGATGACGAAAACGAGTCTGAAGACGACTCGGAGGATGAGGGCCTTGTCATTGGCAAGAAGAAGGTGACCCCTCAGAAGCCAATCATTCGTCCTGGGCAGTCGAAATCATGATGGCCTCCCAGCCACTTGCTATGTCTGTGTCTTCTTGCCGCGCCACCGACACCATCTCCGCCGTCTTCATTATCATTTACTCTTTTCTGGAGCGGCCACACAGTTTCAATTCTCGCTGACCTCTTATTCTTGCGTGTATATCATTTATTTTATGACCGGATTCTTTTTTTGCTTCCCCACTTGCTTCCTTCTGGCTCGTTGCGTCCCTTTACTGGCATACAGGAAACTATGCCGGGGTTCCGCGTCTGTTCAGATACAGATACACTGCTTGTACATATATTTGCATGGGTGGCACGTTCATATTTGGGCTCCCTTTCTCCGTTTAATTCCCCTTCTCCATCTCGCTGTTTGCATTCGGATGACGCTGGGTACCCACCCCCCCCCTTCTTCCCCGCTGGCATTGCTTCCCCTTTGCGTCTATATATATCGGGTCTGTTTGATGCATTGGGACTGGGGTCTGTGATTTCCTGTATGTGACGTTACGTCGGCAGAGGACCAGGATATATACTGCACCTGCCATTTCTTTTCTGTGTCCTTTTTTGGGGGGGGGGGGTGATAGCTGGTAGCAGTGTGTATGGTGTCTTGCTTTGCGGGTTGACATGGACTGACACGATGTTGATGACCAAGTGGAGAGAGATGATGATGATGATGGTGGAGAGAACAATACTACAGACTACAGAGACTCGTTCCACCATCCAAAAATGTGTTAAGCTATTGCAAGCAACTGTACAATTTAGTAGAGGTCTTATATATGGCAAGTCTAGTTTATACATAGTGAGCAACTAAACCGACAATCTCCCCAGCATACTAGATCCCATATCCATACATTAACTGCCCAGTCTTCTTTTGTTTCGATTGCTTGATCCTCAACCTTGCTGCTCTCGCCTTTCCCGACCTCGTCTTCCTCCTTCGCCGCCTCCTTCATTGCAACTTCTATGCGGGATTTGGTGTACTCGTCTGGATCCCATGCTAAAACTCTTGTTTCCATCTCTTCAAGCTTCTGGAACATCAAAGGCGAAGTTGTTCCTTGCAGCATATGCAATCCAAAAGTCCCCACTCTTCCAACTATCGAGCATTGGACCTGAAAGCCGCTGCGTTGTCTTCTAGCCGGCCCTTCCGAATGGCCTCGTCTTCGTGGTCAATCATCGCCTTCAGAAAGGTCTGGAGTCGGCGCTCAAACTTCCCACACCAGTCCTCGAGGCCATCGGGCCAGTATTCTGGCTTCTCAATAAGAAGCCACCATGGTGGCGCATAGGTGAATTCAACCGGGGCAGCGTATGTGAACTCCCAGTCTACGACTCCAATGATTTTCAAATCCTCGTCCATGAGCACATTGGCCGGTCGAAAATCATCGCACCAGATCTTGAAGGGGCCTTTGTCGAGGGATCGCCATCGTTGTGTGAGCTTCTGGTCTCGAGCGAGTTTCCGAAAAAGACTCGCCGACAGTCATCAGCCGAGTCAACGGCATCATTTCTCTCTGGTGCCTGAGATGTGTAATATGCAGCTCCGCCAGAGATTCAAATTACGAAGATGCTGTGTCAAATGTGGTATCAGGACTCGGCAATGCAGATTGAGGTAGCGAACCCAATCGAACAAGTTCGTTCATAGGCATTGCGAGAGGCCGATGTAAAACTTCCCAGGTGAAATCATCCACCTGGCCAAGAGACCCTATCCGAGGAAATGATAGCCTGGACAGCTGGAGCAGAATCCTGGCCAGCTCGCCGTAGAGGGCCTCTAGCCTCCCCTCACCGATGTTCGGATCGAGTCTTCCACGGTCTGCTCGTGGGCATCCCGGGGCGTTGAGAACATCATACGTATTCACATCGTGATTAATGTACTCCTCAGGCCCAACATGCAAAAAGGTAGTTAGGATGGTGTATTACTGTGAAAGAGGGGGGGGTAAAATAGATAAAATAGGGGAGTGAATGCCCAACCAAGCATGTGCAGCGGTGCGGTCATATGACCTGGGGCTTAACCAAAGGAGCATATCTCTCTTCTGTATTATTTAAATCTTCTAGAAGGAAAGTGGGGGACCCCTCCCAAAGTATCAGTGATCTCAGATATCTATCTGGCGGAATCTTCACATCACAGTAAGGCTCTGTCGAGACTTGAGAGACTTTCGGCTTGCAGAGTCGGGCTACGTAAGAGCCAGCCCTAGTAGAACCACGTAGTATCCCCACCTCCACCACCGACACTCCTTGTATGTATGTAGCAGTCAGTTAGCAACAATATGCAGTTTTCCTGCTTGCGAGAACGCTCCATAATGTCCAAAAATAGTAGCTCTTATATTGTTGCATAGCTAGGGGGTGACTATCCAAGAGCTTTCTTTTGTACTATTAGTCCATTGAACCGAGATTCTATAGGGGTCTGGGGAGTTGGCCCCCTATATAGGGCAGGCAACATCACCTGCCCAGACCCAAAGAGCGTTGGGGGGGCTTGGGGGACCCCTAGCCTCCCATCTAGTAAGCACCATCAATCAACATCAGTATTTCCGGTAACTATCTTTATCTACTCCATGGAATCTCCCTTTTCATACTACGCCTTTGGCACCAGAGGTCAGCCTCTTTCCACGCCTACTGTAGACGCGTCGTAGTCAAGGAGTGTTGGCTCATTGGCTTAGATCGAATATTTGTGGAGCATAGTGAAGGCGAGCGTTATTTGCCAGGTGACTACGATCCGGACAACATACTTGGTTGATCTCAACCGGCCCTGCGCATGAAGAGATAGATGTGTCAACTGCCAAAAGCCTACGGAGTGCTCCGTAAATAGTTACTCTCACCTGCCATCTCCCTAGTTTGCCAACCTCGCGTGTCGAGGTGAAACAGGCCGAGCAGCCCACGAGTCAGAGGGGCCCGAGTCAGGGCACGAGTCAGGGCACGAGGCAGAGGGCCCGAGGCCCGCCGTGCCGTCCCCAACCAGTCCTTCACCTGGATCAAATCCACACGAGAGCTCCTCTAAGACTCTTTGGATATTTCCGAAGGTGAAAGGAGCCCGTCGGACCTCCCCGCCTTCACGCGCATGTCGTCGGTTGGGAGAGGTGGAGTTGTGCATTTCCGGGAGAAGCTTCCACCTCTTCCACCTCTTCCACTTAATCCACTTTCCTCACGCGTGCCACCGGCCGATCTGCACTGACCGTCGACGATGGTGTCATTCCTGATCATTCCTCCACCAATGGCTCCGCTCAATCGAAACGCTTGGTGTCGGGCGACAGCAGTCTAGTTGAACCTAAACCCTCGTGCCGTTCTGCTTTGATTAAATCGTGGAGTCCTCCGGCGGTGTTTAATATACACATCGTCCGATATTGTCCTTCGTCTGCTCCGTGTTGAAAGTTGAAAGGAGAACCGCCGACGTTATTCCCCATCCCCCCCCCCCCTCCCCGTCCATAAAAGCGTGCCTATGGACGTCCTGTCCTTGTCTCTTGTTCTTCCCGACACAGCAGTCTCTCCTTGATCAGTTCCGCCGTGCTTGGATTCATTCACCATGAAGTTCCTGCCTCTCATCTTCTCTTCCCTGCCGCTGCTCGCCAGCGCCGGCCTCACCTACAGCGGAGCCGATATCTCCTCCCTTCTCATTGAGGAAGAATCCGGCATCAGCTACAAGAACCTCGATGGCGAGACTCAGGCTCTGGAGACCATCCTGGCCAACAATGGCGTCAACGCCGTCCGCCAGCGCGTGTGGGTGAACCCCAGCGATGGATCCTACGACCTGGACTACAACCTGAAGCTGGCCAAGCGTGTCAAGGCCGCTGGCATGAGCATCTACCTGGACCTCCACCTGAGTGATACGTGGGCGTCCCCCAGTGCCCAGGTAAGCCACCGCCCTTGCCCACGAAACGAGCCATGGAAGCCCAAGTTAACCCCCGAGATGTAGGCCACCCCCTCCGGCTGGTCGACCACGGACATCGACACCCTCACCTGGCAACTGTACAACTACACCTTGTCCGTGTGCAACACCTTCGCGGAGAACGACCTTGACGTCGAGATTGTCTCCATTGGCAACGAGATCCGCGCGGGTCTCCTCTGGCCGCTGGGTGAGACCAGCAACTACGACAACATCGCCAAGCTGCTGCACTCTGGAGCGTGGGGTGTCAAGGACTCCGACCAGACCACGACCCCCAAGATAATGATCCACCTGGACAACGGCTGGGACTGGGACGAGCAGGAGTACTTCTACAACACCGTCCTGGCCACGGGCTCGTTCCTCTCGACGGACTTCGACATCATCGGTGTCTCGTACTACCCCTTCTACAGCTCGGACGCCACCCTGTCCGCCCTGACCACCAGTCTGGCCAACTTGCAGTCGACCTACTCCAAGCCCGTGGCCGTCGTGGAGACCGACTGGCCCATCTCCTGCCCCGACCCGGCATACGCCTTCCCCTCGGACCTGAGCTCCATCCCCTTCTCGGCCGCCGGCCAGGAGGAATTCATGGAGAAGCTGGCCGCCGTGGTGGAGGACACCACCGACGGTGAGGGCATCTACTACTGGGAGCCCGCCTGGGTGGACAACGCCGACCTGGGATCGAGCTGTTCGTCCGTCATCATGGTGGACTCCAGCAACGACGAGGTCTTGGAGAGTGTGACCGTCTTTGCCGACATTTAAACACTTTTTTTTTTTTTTTTTTTCTTCTTTCAATTGTGTATAACTTAGGTTTGAATATTTTTATGAGTTGGTTAGTAAGTTGTTGGTGGTACGGATTAGGATGGGTTGTAAATATCTACTTCCGAAGGATTCCAAAATGACAGGTCCCATTCCTAGTATCAAGTACGTGCTTTGCGTCAGCTGTCAAAATCCAGAAATCCCGTAGGAAAAAAAAAAAAAAAAAAAAAAAAAAAAAAGAGCGGTGGCATGTTTCAGCTGTCCAGGAAGATACTCGCCAGGGGAAAGCAATTCATCCGATTGGAAAAACAAAGATCCATCAGGAAAGAAACTACCGGGCCGCGTCGATACTAATAATAAACGAACCATGGGCCGACAGTAGCGGTGGGTGGCTGTGCACGGACGATACCCTCGCACGCAGTAACTGGACTGGCACGGCGGTTAATCAGGGGATGGAATTGGTGGTTGGAGTTCTTATTATTGCTATTATGGTTATTGCCATGGCTATTGCCATGGTTATTGTTGTTCTTAGGGTTTTGGATAGGTGCGATGTTTATTCCGTACTAGTTCGTACTTGGTAACTGCAGGGCCGGTGCCGTGAGGCTGACTCGTCGACGGGGCCAGTCAGTCAGGCAGGTCACGCAATTTCAGGAAATACGAGATCTGTTTATCACTGCGATGTAGATCTTGTTACAGTCTGATTAACTATCGACTCTGTAAGTACATCTTAAATTAAGTATTGATCTATCCATCTGTTTACTCCAAATTGTATCTGTCGTGTGGGATGGCGATCTATTCCCGCGGGTTATTAGGGCATGGCTGACCAGTCAGTCAGTCAATAAGTCGCAACATCATACTTTCGTACTTTCTTTCTTTCTTTCTTTCTTTTGGTCCCTGGTGTCATGGTAAGTGATTACTGCAGGGTTACTGGTAAAGGTTAAAAAGTAGGAAACAGGCTTCAGCATTTTTACTCCAGATCTGGTGGGCTATTTTTATCCCGTCCCATCGTCGATTAGATCAATCATCCAGGCTGGTACATGGTACTGTAGTGGTAGTACAGCCAGGGATCATCCTATCATGATGAATAATGGGTGAGGGTTCATGGATCATGCATGGATCATGGATCATGGATCATGGAGGCTACTGACTTACTACTTTTGTATGTATGTATGTACAGTTTTTACTTACGTCAAGCATGGTCTCTTCCCCCCCCCCCTTTCATTCCTGGCAGCATAGCACATTTCCCTGGTGGATCCTGCAGTCTGCCTTGTCGGATGCTGGGACTGAGTCCCTTTCGGATCTGTCAAACAGGACCGTTATTGCCTCCTGTCCAGGCAGCCTTTAATTTCCAGTCCTCACTGCGAGGGAAGGGAACTAGATAAATAAATCGTGATGACTCTGTAGAGTGTAAGGAAGTTCCTCCGTAGAGAGTTGGTCGATATCAGGCGATTTCGCAGCACGTGCCGGGGCGAATCAGGCATCCAGGCGCGCTCTCGCGGACTCTCTCTCCCCGTCTTTTGGACTCTCTCTCTCTCTCTCTCTCTCTCTCTCTCTCCATCCCATCATCATTCAACTTCTCTCTTCACTGCTCTTCTTTTCCCTCGCACTGCCTCCCTCCGTCTCCCTAGCTTCGCTTCTTGTCATCCCTCCCCGGTCAGGGATCATCCTTCGGCTTTCTTCCCTGGCGCTTCTGGCGCCCGAGAATGTGCAACCGTCCCCTCCAGACCGACCGCTGATGCTTGCGCCACGAGGCTGAATTCCAACTCTCCTCCCTGCTTGCTCTCTCGCCCTCTTCTTCCCTCCCTCCCGACCGACCGTGTCCACCCGTCCGCACACACGAATGACAGCTCAACTTCCGCCTGTCTCCATTTGAATTTTGTGCTGTTTCTGAATCGGTCGACCACTCGCTCGCCGTCATCCACCGAACTCGTGCCCGATTCCTTCGCCCACCTTCCCCCTCCCCTCCGTCCACTGCGCCGCGTCGGACTTGCACCCCCCCCCCCCCCCCGCGTTCTCTTTCTCTCTCCACTCCTGATTCAGCCCGGGTGGTGAGATTGATCTGACCTTGCTTCTTTCACATCTCCCCCCCCCTCTCAGCCTTGCGTCGCGTGGGATCTATTTTGGGATTCCTTCGTCATGGCTTCCCAGGACACGCTCCGGGAACCGGGGCAATCTTCCGCTGGCATGAAGAACCGCAGCGTGAGCCCATCCCACCATCCTTATAATGACCCCTCCGCGGGCTTGACCTTGGACGTCTCGGTCGCAACAAGTGCTTCTCCTTACAACACCGCTTCCTTCAACCCCTCCAACCCTGGCGCCTCCGACTCCTACGGCTATAACCCCGCTAGTTATCTCTCCGCACCCTCCGCCGCGCAGACGCTGGGCCCGACCGACCAGACCTACGCGCACAACCTTCAGCTGCCACAATCGTTTGATCCTACCCTCCTCTCTCAGCTGGACCAATCGACGGGGTTGTCCTTGCAGCAGCAACAGCAGTCGGACGAGAACTTCCAAAACCTCCTCAACTCGAACCCGGGCGACTTCGACTTTTCCCTCTACCAGAACCCCAGCCCCAGCAGCACTGCGGCACCGGACTACGACTCCCCGCTGCTCCTCGATCCCCAGGTCCACGGCCAGTCCCAACCAGGCTGTCAGGCTGTCAACCCAGCCGACCTCGTCAGCCAGATACCCTCTCCTCATCCTTCGGCTTCTCCCCAGCTGTCTCCCATTTCGCCGCAAGATCATTACCACCGCTCTTCTCCCGGGCCCATGTCGCCGCCGAACTCAACCCCGGGGACATACTATACCCCGCAACACTCCCGTCATACCTCGTTAGATCCTGCCACTGCCGCATATCTCACGGGAAATGTGCACCATGACTGGCAGGCGGTCATGGCCAATTCCGCCTTCCAGGGACATCGACGGGCCCCCTCTGAGGTGTCCGAGGTCTCCTCTGCGGCCCCGTCCCCGTACATGTCGCAGCATGAATCCTTCGATGGCGTGGATAACAATCCTTCCCCGCTCTTAGCGCCCCAAAATGATCCTGGCCTCTACGACAATGCATTGGGGATTGAATCCTTCACTCTGTCCGAAAACCAGCAGCAGCATCAACAGCCAGCCTTCAGTCCGGGCCAGAGCCCGTACATCTCGCCGCAGTTGATGCCCCAGCAGGGCACGGAGATGATGCCCAACGTACCATACATCTCGCCCCCGGCGGTGAATACGCAGTATCCAACACCGCCGACAGACATCTACGCCGAGAGTATGGCACAGGGAAACAATATTCCTGGTGACATTGGCCAGGCGTCGCAAATGGCGCCCCCGTCCATCAACGTGGAGTTTGCACCCCCGTCAAAGAACCCGAATATCCTTCAAGCCAAGCCTGCTGCCAATCTAGACTCGCTGAGCCCGCCTGTCGCCATGCGTAAGCGCCCTCCATTCCGTACTATCCTTTGGGCAAGCTTTGTGTTCTGAGATAATCGATGCTAACAATAATTCGATTAGGCTCCCGCATGCGCAGTAAGTCGGACCCGTATGCCCACCCGGCTTCTCGCGCCCGGTCTTCTTCAACCTCGACCAGTTTGGAACCTTTTATCCCTCCATCGCCGCGGTCGCTCTCCCCATTCGACTCCGCGCCACGACAGCCTCAGAGTAACCCCAGCTCCCGGGAGCCGTCTCCGTCGCGATCTGGCCGGCGTCTGTCCACGTCCTCTATTGATAGTCGCAATTACATCCTTGGCCTCGCAGATCCCCAACGGCCCGGGGCGACCCTCAACGACTCGAAACGTGTCCAAAAGCATCCGGCGACATTTCAGTGTCACCTGTGCCCCAAGCGTTTCACCCGGGCCTATAACCTACGGTCACATCTGCGCACTCACACGGACGAACGGCCGTTTGTGTGTACGGTATGTGGGAAAGCCTTTGCGCGCCAACATGATCGAAAGCGTCATGAGGGGTTGCATTCGGGAGAAAAGAAGTTCGTCTGCCGTGGTGAGCTGTCCCGGGGCGGGCAATGGGGTTGTGGCCGGCGATTTGCTCGGGCAGATGCTCTGGGTCGTCATTTCCGGTCTGAAGCTGGTCGGATCTGTATCAAACCGTTGCTGGACGAAGAATCCCAGGAACGCGAGCGCACCATGATGGACCAGCAACAGCATCTACAGCCCATGCCACCTCCGTTGATGGTGCCGGCAATGGATGGCCAGCACGCAAGCAATTTCATCCTCCCCGCGGCGTTGCTGGCCCAATACCCAGCGCTTCAGACCTTGCAATGGGACCAAATACCGGCCAATGCAGACGATCCGAGCGATATCGGAGGACGCAGCAGTTTCGACGCGAGCTCTGGCGGCGAATATGGCTTCGATGACGATGAGTCTGGCATGAGTAGTGTCTCCGGTATGAGCGGAGGCTATTCAGGCAGCCAGGGCAATATCTATGATATGAACGGCCAGGGTCAGATGTTAGGGATGAACCCGGGAGACACGAGTTATCAGGAAACGGAATGGAGAGGATGATGACGCCTTTTCGTCTCTCTCTTTTCTCTATTGACCCTCCATTCCGTTGCTACTTTTCTTTTCTTCTCATCCTCCATATTATCTCTCCATTTCATTCCCTACAGTTACCTCATTCACCAATGTGGAGAGGGTGATGGATACATCTTACCTGGCAGATATCTGCATCAAACCCCCGGGTGCAGACTTCTCTTCACACGATAATTTCAATTCTAGATAGAGAGAGGGCTTTGGCGTTGTGTTACAGGTGGGAAATCGGTGGTAGCCCAGATGACGGCGGATTCGATTCACTTTCGTTCAGATACCTTCTTCTTTCTTCTTGCTCTACCCACTGATTTATGGCTATGGTGGTTTTTTTCCCCTTCTTCTTTACCTGGGTTATGGCTATTGATCCCTACCCACTAGCTGGTCTGGTACCCCCAGACCCTCATTCTTTTTTCTTTTCTTTTTTTCTTACGTCTTTACGATGAACTCTGGCTTCATACCCCCTGGAAGATGCTCCATCTGTTTTTCGTGTGCGAGATACCCGAGAAAGAGGGTGCTTGGGTTGGGATATCCCTTTGAATGTTTTACAGTTGTTTATTTATCTATTTAGTCTGGATCGGAATGGTCAGTAGGATGGGTATGGTATGGTATGGTATGGTATGGTATGATATGATATGGTTTTGTAATACTCTTTTTTTTTTTTCAATTTCTTTCTTTCTTCTTTGGGGCCCCGTCTCTCGCATTCTTCATTGGGAGGGGATAGTGAATGGGTGCATGGGTGCATGGGTGGGTGGTGCATTCAGTTGAATAATGTATGCATATACTGGTCACATCTGACCAGATCGGACCGGACCAGATCAGACTGGCATGAAATGCTTCCTCGTATTCATCCCTCTTCATTGGAGTATGATACATACATATACTATCTATACGTAGCTAGCTTAGGATGTATGTAGAAAGAGTAGTATATGTAAGATATGGAAGGGAGTTTTTATATACTGTAACAAGCCCGAAAAAAAAAAGTAGAGTGAGTATTCCGTATATTTCATAAATATACGATCCACTAACGCCAAAAGTAAACGGTCTACATCCATCATCCATGCGTCCAGCCATCTACTACCCATTCATTCATCCAGACCGACAGTGGAAGATAAGACTAGAGAGATAGAGAGGACGGACAGACAAACAGACGAAGGTAATCTACGCGCGCAAGCTTACTAACTTCTCGATATCGGCGATCCATTTAATGGAGAACTCCTCCTCGGAGAAGCGCAAAGCGGATTTACGGGCGCGCAGACGCATCGCGACCTTCTCTTCCTCGGGAAGGGCGAGGGCGGCCTCGAAGGAGGCAGCGAATTCCTCCTCGGTTGAGGCGCGGAAGCCCGTGGCGCCGTCGCCGAGGTCGATGACGATGTCTTCGCGGGGACCGCCGGAGTCGTGGACGACACTGATCAGGCCGGCGGCTTGGTACTCGACGACGCAGATGCCGAAGTGCTCGTTCCACATGGCGTTGACGCCGATGGAGGCGGTGCCGAGGTGGTCGAGGATGGCGGGCCAGCTGGCGTCGCAGAGGAAGGTGGTGTGGTCGCGGATACGGAGTTCGTGGGCCAGAAGCCGGAGGTTGTAGATGTGGGTTTCGTCGGGGCTGGCGTGGCGGACAGAGCCGATGAGGACGAGCTTGGGCTCTTGATCGGGGCTGGGGGTCTCGCCGAGACGTTTGCGACGCTCCTGGAGGAAGCGCGCGAACGAGCGCAGGACGAGCGGGTGGTTCTTTTCCGGGCGGAACTGGGCGATGTACAGGATGAGGGGCTGGCGGGAGGATTCGGTCTCAGGGGTGACGGTGATGGTGGATTCGAGTTCGGAGACGGCGGTGGGCGGGAAGATGACGGTGGGGTCCTTGTAGGTGTTGGACTGGCGGGCGGGACCCCAGATGGCGCGGATGTGCGCGGAGGTCCAGGACGAGTTGCACATGACGACGTCGACGTGACCGCCGACCCAGCCGTACAGTTTGGCGAACGCGACCCAGTATTTCCGCTTGACCTGGCCCTTCAGGCCCTTGCCGGCGCCGGCGTTGACGCCTTGGAGACCCGTTTGGTCGTCCAGGGACTGGAGCATGTCGGTGGAGATGGTCGGGTAGTGCACGTAGGCGGCCGTCGGGACGGAGGGGAAGAGGAGCTTGCTGAAGGCGAGGGTGAAGGCGTAGCCCATGGTGTCGACGAAGATGTCCGGGACGAGGAGGCTGAAGGCGTCGTAGGCGACGATGAGGGAGCCCAGGGACTGGCCCAGGAGAGTCATGTAGGGGTACATGCTGCTAACGACGTATTTGCGGGTTGAGAGGTAGAGGAGCACGACGGTGGGGGCATGGAGGTGGATGTTGAAGCGGTTCTGGAAGGGAGGGGGTTAGGTTGGGAGTTCCAGAGCCGTGGGAGTGAGAGACGCACCTGGACTCTCTCCAGCATGGCTGCTTTGTTGACCTCGTGGTCACCGGTATAGATGGCGCAGATGGCCTTGGGCCAGCGCTTCTGGGTTGCCCTCACGGCTTCCCAGAGGACACGCTCTCCGCCGCCGCCGGCATTGCTGTGAAGAGACGAGCGTCAGTCAAGGTGCGTGAGATGAGATGAGATGAGATGAGATGCTCTGGCTGCCTACCAGAACGGGTGAAAGAAGCCGATGATGCCGTCCCACTCGTCATTTCCGTTGATGCCAGCTGTTCCGGAAGTGGAGCTGGAGGTATCGACCTTCTCCCAGTCTTCTTCATCGTCGCCGGAGGTCGTTGCGGAGGATGGTTTGGCCCGTTTCGAGAATTCCTCCTCGTCAGCGCGGACCCGCGAGACGATATAATCGCGCCGAGAACGGCTTCTCCTCTGCACGACCCATCCCACTGCGCGGAGCACCAGGCGGAGAACACCCAGGGGCAGCTGGGGGAGCAGCACGCAGGTCGCGAGGAGGGAGAGCAGAGTGATGAACGACTTCAGAATGAGCAGCATCATGATGGGCTAGCGAGAGACTGCAGTGGACATGGTAGTGTAAGAAAGGGAGAGCGACGGAAGAGGAGGGGGGGAATTGGACAGCGTGGAGGTTTGAGGGCGACGAAGCGAGCGGCGGGTCGAGAATAAATATAGAGAGGAGAAAGATGGAGGCCAGCGGCATTACGATTACGAGGCCCCCGTCCCGCCCGCTGATGTACCGAACTTACATACCATACATACACCGTATGTATGGTACGGCCCGGATATGACAGGCGCCACGTGACCCGGTCTGTTTTCCCTTCCCCGGCCGATAACTCCGATGGTTTTCTGTTGGAAGACATCATCTGGTTTGCCTGCCTGGACTGATCGGTTCGTGCGCGCGGTGCGTCAAAGGCATTGTCTCCGGTCCCATTATTGCCCCCCCTACCCCCCCGTCAACATGCGGCCTTTCCGACTGTCACCCACCTTCCGGAAGCCGGCCACCTTCCATCAAGTGCGGCACTTCCACCCAACACGGCCCTCGCCCTTCCTGAACGAGGCCCTGGAGCTCTCATCGACCTTCATCCACAGCGTCCACTCTATCAGCGGCCTACCATGGGCCCTCTCCATCCCATTGACCGCCGTAATCGTCCGAATGACCGTGGCCATGCCCTTCCAGTTGTATAGCAAGATGCAAGCGCACCGAGAAAACGAAGTGCAACCGCTGCAGGTGTCATGGGCCAAGCACTATCGCAACAAAGTCTACGAAGAAAAGACCGGCAAATTACCCACCGACAATGTCTCCCTGCAACCCAGGGAAAGAATGCAGGTCCTGACGTTAGTGCGCCAGAAGAAGAAAGCCATATCGCGTCACATGGGAATCCCGCGGTTCTGGAGAGTGGCCAACTTCCTACAGATCCCCGTCTGGATCTCCGTCATGGAGGGCCTTCGCGCGATGTCGGGAAACAACCGCGGTCTGGTTCCCTGGCTACTGTCCTGCATGGAGCCTGCAGCCCAGGCCGGAGAGACCCCCCTACGTCTGATGGTCGAGCCGTCCCTAGCTACAGAGGGTGCTCTCTGGTTCCCGGATCTGCTGGCGGGTGACCCGACGGGGATCCTGCCCATCGTGCTGACGGGTTCTATCTTGCTTAACATCCGTTGCGGGTGGAAGGTCCCTCCGCTGAAGGATCTGGCTCACCTGCCGAAGATAGAGATGTATAAGAAGTTTTTCACGCGGGGGATAAGGCTCTTTATCCAGATACTAGCACTGAACGTCGGTGTCTCATCCTACCTGTGGGAAATGCCTGCCGCGTTGATGATCTACTGGACTACCAGCACCACGATGGCAACCTTGCAGACTCTGTTTCTGGATAGGGTTCTTTTCCCGACCAAGCCGTTGAAACCCTGGGTCAGACAGTACCTGTCGTACCGCTCCCCGACCAAGCAGACTAAACTCAAGCCGTGAGTTTATTGGGGCTATGAATTGGATACTTGGGTTTGCAGGGCTGGACGACGACTACGGGTCGTGATTGAGACGATATAGCGGACCTACCGCCAGAGTGCGCTGTCGCCAAAGACAACCTCGGAATTTGGAGACATAGTTCTTCACAAGGGCAGGAACTCGGGACAAGTGAACGGCAAACCACTAGCTTTTCAAGACAGGGGCTGAGCCCCTCGATACCCGGAACGAGTGCATGACAAGCCTTGGGCTTCTGCAGTGTCCGTCAACGGCCGAGGCGAGAAACCTTCCGTGGTCCACTTTGCTAAAGCTGCTGAGTTGTAGCGCTGCTCCCAACCAGGATCGATGATGGCCCAGCAGGGATGAATAAGACATCTGACGATTCTGCATACTCCCAGAATTTCAAAACCGGCAGCTCAACCCATTCGCCTAAGAGATGGAGGCTCCGCCACTCTTATTTATCGCAGCTACCTTCCTGTAACATACCTTCCAAGGAAATGGAAATAAACAGCCCATCACAACCGAGTGTCTTGGTGACCAGACAGCGTAACATTTTCTAAGTGTAAAGGATGCTAATGCATACAACAAACCACCATCCCAGGCCTGCAGGAGTTAACGCCAGCTTACTGCCATCTGAAGATAGATGCAGCCGAACATGGACCGATAATACGATTTTGGAAAATAAGATGGAAAAAGAACAGTCTGATGTCATGAAAATCTTTCCAGCGTCTTTCTACGCCGATAATTGGTAAAACATGCAACGACGTCCGAATCACAGCTTCGCCTTGGCGTTCTCCTCGGACGCGCTGGCTTCTTCGTTGACGGTGATGGTGCGCAAGTCGGGGCCCTCGCCGAAGAAGATCACTTCGACGGTCACATCGTCACTAGAGATGGTATTAGTGGCTGCGGTCAATGGAAAAAGATGAAGGCTGGCTTACCGGTATCTACGAGAATAGGGACTCGGAAGAGTCAGCAGAGCGCAAACCATATCCTTCTCCTTTCCTCCCAGGGCATTGCGCACCAGGTGAGTGGCCGCATTGTTGTCCTCGACGGTGAACCGATTGGCCACACCGGAGATATCGTACTGCTGCTGGCGGATAGGAGGGCGCTGGCCTTCAGTGCTGGTCTCCTTGGATTCTTCTATAGGGAGCTGCTTGCTGTCGAAGCCAAACCAGCTCTTCAGCCAGGTCTTGTTGCTTCCACCGGCACCGGCCTGCTGCTGCTCAACCCATTGACCAACGAGCCCGACAACTTCCTCGTTGCTCAGCATCTCCCAGAGACCGTCGGTCGCGAGGACCAGGAAGTCGCCGCGGGCGGGCTCCACTTTAGTGGTGGTGATCACCGGCTCAGCAGTCACGTACGGAGGAGTCTTCAACAAGGGGTGAGGGGTGCGGCCCAAGAACTGGCGCTTGATCTTGTCCTGCGTATCCTTGCTCCACTTGTAGAATGCATCTCCGAAGGACCGACTGGGTTCCAGCTGGCCGAGGATTCGTCCGTTCCGCACAACATTGGGCTCACCGGGGTGCTCCTCTCGGAGGCGGTTCATCTCCGAGGGAGTGCCACCGGTTTGATCTTCGGAGAGCTGTGTTGCCGACCATTTACCGTTCGGACCACGGCGACCCAGAACGGCCCTGGAATCACCAGCAACAGCAACCTTCAAGTCCTTGGACTGGGAGTCGTAGAAAGCAAGGAGAGCGCAGGAACCGGAAAGGGCAGGCGCAAGCATCTCGGCTGCGGCGCGGCGCGATTTATCCTTGAGCACCTTGTCGACACTGCTGTAAACGATGTCATTGTCCAAACGAGTGAAGCCCTGCTTGATCGCAGCGTCCACGGCGGCGGACGAGGGCAACAGCACGGATGGGTCTGCGGCGGCGGCTTTGTAGGTGGAATTCAGTTCCCGAGCGACGTATGAGATGAGGACGTTGCGCAGTTTGGCCGAAGTCGTCCAGCCGCTATGAGACGGTTAGCAAGTGAGAGATAGACACAACTGCTGGCAACAGTGGAGACTCACGAATGGCCATCGAACACTCCCCAGAACATCCAATCGCTGCTGGACTCGCCTTCCGTGGCCGTAGCCACGGAGGACGGCACTTCGACCACCTTCTCAGCGTGGTCATCTTCGATCGGAGAATTGCTGGGGACCTGGACAACATCGTAGCGGACCACTCCCTTGCCCCGGTTCACCATGTACGACTCCTCATTCTTCCTGAGCTTCTGTGTGGCCTGCTCCGGGGTCAACATCTCGAGGACTCGGCGGTCGGAATCGTCGGTGTTCTTGAACACGGGCTGCTCTCCGGAAAGGGTGGCGGTATAGAACTGATCATTATCCACGAGCAGAGCACGGCGGGTGGTCTCCGCAGGGTCTTCCGCATGGGCGCTGGAAGTAGTAGTAAGGGAGCGTAGCTGTGAGGCGGAGGTTGCGTTCAGGCCCGCCGATGCCTGCTGAGCGCCGTTGCCCTGATAGGCGTACCAGGCACCCGAGGCGACGACGGTCGAGATGACAGCGAGCGAGAAGTTCCGGAGATGCATCGACGACTGCAGAGTAGCGGGGAGGTAAGAAGGATGTCTGCCGGAGGAGGGACGAAGGCCGAGACGACTGCTGGAGAAGGACACGGCGCACGGTTTCCTACCAGCGACCCTCCATGTTGGCACGCGACGGGCAGTACGGAGAGCCTGGATAGCCGCACGACGCATTGAGCCGGCGGGGGGGGGGGGGGGAAGAAGCGGAGTTGAAGTCGAAGATGTCCTGACTACTCTCCGTCTTTGGGATCTGGAGGAGAACAGCGACGACGACGACAACAATGACGACAAGACGAACACACAGAAAGGCCGATGAAGGCAACGGGGATCCCGCCGCCGATTGCGTCATGTGATGCCGTACGAAAGGTAACCGTACCGCACAATACGTGACCGTATTACGGTACCCCGCTAATCCCGTCTCGGCAGTGTCGTCATTCTGATCCCCGCGGACTGCCCGCTGCCATAATTATTATTCGGCTTCGTTTTGTTGCATATCTTCCCCCCCCCCCCCCCCCCCCCCTCATTGCGACAAGCCGTCCTGGTCGTCTCCGCGAGGACTTTCCCCACTAATTAGCGACTGATCACATACCCAACAGTCCCTTCTGAATGTCCTCCCGCGCGCTCCGCAGGCTGCAAAAGCAGCGCGAGCAAGAGCTGCAGCAGGCATCACTGCACGCCGAACAAGAAAATGACAACTCAAGCGACGAGGAGCCGATCTCTCGGCCGTCAAAGCCGAAGCTGAACGCTTTTGATCTCCTGAACATGGTCGAAGATGAGGACGAGCAGGGATCTGAAAACGAAGCCGAGTCGGAAGTCGAGGACGAGGTCGAGGTACCTGAGCCGGTGACTCAGCCGAAGAAAGATGTTTCGGTGTCCGCAAAGCCAGCAGGCTCGGGAAAGAAGAAGAAGAAAAACAACAAAAAGAAGAAGGGAGCGGCGGCAAAGTCAGGGACCCCGCCAACTGCAGCGCCTGGGAAAGGAAAGCTGGACGATATTGACCGAGCGCTGAAGGACTTGGCCGTCGACCCCAAACAGGCCGCACGCTCCGGTGCCACGGCTGGCGCTGGCAATGTTCGTGATACTTCGTTCCCGAAGACGCCGGAAGAACTTCTTGCCATAGACCCCAGGTCCCTCAATGCAACAAACGAAATGCGCAAGCTGTTCGGCAACGTGGTATTGGAGAACTTCGACCAAGACACTGGCTCGGGCCGCAGGAGGGACAGAACTCAGGAGACGGTCGATCTGGGCCAGGCATTGACAGGGAGGTACAGCCCTGCAAGCAGGGGCCAGAGCCTGGCGGGCGTGACACTACGGCGGAATGCCCTCATGCAGGGCAGAGATGAATGGCCCCGGGCGCCTAGTGGCGGTCTTGGGATGGAGCTCACTGAGAAACTTGCGGACGGTGCTACACTCTACAAGATTCTCCATAATGCGACATACACCGACATACAGAGGCAGTTTGACATGTGCGTGGAGTCGATGGACCCTCAAAGGATGATCCACCTCCTGCAGTACAACCCATACCATATCTCCACTTTGCTCCAAGTGTCGGAAATAGCCAAGCACCAGGGTGACCACGCTGTTTCCGCTGACCTGCTAGAGCGAGCACTGTTTAACATCGGGCGCTCGGCCCATTCGTCGTTCGGTAACCTCCTGAAGCAAGGCCAGGCCCGGTTGGATTTTGTGCAGAATGAGAACCGTGAGCTCTGGCTGGTTGGGTGGAGGTATATTGCCAATCTGGGGATGAAGGGCACCTGGCGGACGGCATATGAGTGGGCGAAGCTCCTACTGAGCCTCAGCGAGGACGACCCGTACTGCATCCGACTCCTGATCGATCACCTGGCCCTGCGGGGTCGCGAATACGCCCACTTCGTCGACCTGGCCACGCAGACGCAGCTGAGCAAGACATGGGACGCCCTGCCCAACATCCAATGCTCGCTCGTGCTGGCCTATCTCCGACTCAACAAGCCCAAGGAATGCCGCGAGCAGTTGCGTCGGGCCATGTCCCGCTACCCGTGGGTGTTCTGCAAGCTGGCGCAGGAACTCGACATCCAACCCATGCCTAAGAGGATCTGGGGCAAGATGCCGCCCACTGCTGCACACGAGCTCTTCACCGAGCTCTACATTACTCGGGCCAAAGATCTCTGGAATACACCCGAGGCGGTCTCCCTGATCGTGGAAGTTGCCGACACGCTTGCTGACGAAGAAGAGCCCGTCGAGCCCCCGGAGATCACCCTCGACATTGCGCGCCACGTGGTGCTCTCGGATATCCCTCGGGTCACGACGCATCTTCCGGGACGCTTTGTCTCTGGGCGGATCTCCTCATCAGACCCCCTTCCGCCGTACGAGTCGGAAGCCTTCCGCCAGCAATCCGACCCCACCCCATCCTACCTGTCCCAGGTACCGGACGTCGGACGACCCCAATGGCTGCGGGACCTTCTTGACCAGCTGAACAACGGAGCCATCCACTTCCCTCGATTCCAACGGGACGGCGACGAGGAGGCGAACGAAGGCGATGTTCCCGCAGAGGACGACGCCGAGGGCAACCAGGCGCCGGCGCGCCCGAGCGCCGACCAACAACCTCTCCTCGAGCAGTGGCTGCTGGCCGACGGGATGCACACGCTGGAGGCATTTCTCCAGCAGTACGGGGTCGATCGCGGAAACTGGGGAGAGGTGCTCGATTATTCGCCGCTGACGGAGTATGTGGATGCTTTGGAATCTATCCAGCCGGAGTCGGCGCGGGAGAGGTTATTGCAGGGAAGGATTCGGGAGTCGATGGGGGATTTGGCGGTCGCGTTGCTGGAGGATGAGCTCCAGCTGCTTCAGTATGACGAGGAGGAGGACACTGCGTGATAGATACCCCGGTGATGTTTCCATCTGCGTGTAGCCTCGCATAGTTATGAAGCTAGAAGAGGATCGGGCGATGGGGATTTCGAGACGTACTTTTGCATAGAGCTTATGTTTAGACTGTGGGGATACTAAAAGCCACGGGAAACCGAAATACCATTTTACAATCGATGCCATATCTCGAGGTATTCCCGATATTGCAGATATTGCAGATACCCAGAATAAACAACGGTGGTGGGTGCATCAAATATGCAAGACTAGTAGTACTAGTCGTAGTAAACCCTGCAAGCATAGCCCTAGATACATGGCGATGGCGCATCGCAGCCCACAACGCGGCCGCAACCCCGATAGTAAATGGAAAAGAGTCGCGCGATAAGCCTGCCAGAATAATGAGTTAATGAGGCAGCTTAGTCAAGAACATTCCTTGGGGTTCAGGCTCCACCCGCAACCATTAACCAATTTATTCTGTCATCCCGATAGTCTCGTCGACCAACGAACGACTGCCTATCTACAACCAACTGCTGGCCTCCGACCTAGATATCTATCTATCTATCTACATCTCCCTCTCGCATATTGAATTTTCTTCCCTCCAACAGGACCCACCAGCTGACCTCCTTTTATCACGCGCTCTCCTTGTGCCCCCATGCGTGTGGCCGGCAAGGGATTTCGCCCATCATAAGACGGTCCTTCCTTATCTCCAGACTGTCCAGACAGACAGTCTCCATCATCCAACCAACCAACCAACCAACCAAGCAATCTCAACCTCCAGATTTTGCACCTCACCTCCTCGATTCCCCTGAACACGATGCCCCTCTGGACCGAGGCCAATACCTCGATGCACGATTCCGTGCCCGTCCTGACCCCCCGCGAAGCCGCATCCGGTCTCCTAGGCTCGATATCACTCACCTGCTGGATCTTCCTCCTGGTACGGCCACACAACCCCATAGCCCACATAGCCCACATAACCCACGCTCACACTCACCCACCGCACAGGTCCCGCAACTAATCGAAAACTACCGCAACGGCAACGCGGAAGCGATCTCGCTGCTATTCCTCTTCGTGTGGTTCGTGGGCGACATCACCAACCTGATCGGCGGCGCCTGGGCGGGGCTGGTCCCCGTGATCGTAGCGATCGCGGTGTACTTCTGCATTGCGGACGGGGTGCTCATCGGGCAGTGTCTGTACTACAAGGTGCGCAACTCGCGGGCGGCGGCCGCCGCAGCCGCGCGCCATCGTCGCCGACGCTCGTCCCTCGATACCCCCGATCCGACGACGCCGCTGCTGGGGAGGCGGTTCAGCGACGCGATCGAGAACAGTCGCGGGTCTGCGCGCAGGGCGGATAGCCATGGCCAGACGGCGGGGGCAGGGGCGGATGATACGCTGGCGAAGATCGTCGAGGAGAATGATGTGGGGAGGAAGGCGTGGGTGAAGAACTTGAGTAGCGTACTGGCGATCTGTGTCATTGGCATGGCGGGGTGGACGATGGCGTGGCGCACGGGCGTGTGGAAGCCTGCGCCCGAGGAGGTCGATGGCGGCGTGGATATGGCGCCCGGGGCCATGGTCTTGGGGTATATCAGTGCTGTTTGCTATCTGGGGTGAGTGGGCTGGATATGACGATGGGATGAGATGGGCGATGTGGTGCTGACGAGGAATTCCACAGGGCGCGTCTTCCGCAGATCTACAAGAATTACTGCGACAAGTCGTGTGAGGGTATGTGTTGTCTTGTGTGTAACCCTCGGTGATGACGCTGACTGATAATGATTCTGCCAGGCCTCTCCCTCCTGTTCTTCATCCTCTCGCTGCTGGGGAACCTCACCTACGGCGCAGGTGTAAGTTGACCGACTGACCGACTGACCGACTGACTGAGTAACTGAATCGGTATCTAACGTCTATAGATCATCTGCCACTCCACGGAAAGGAACTACATTGTGACCAATGTCCCGTGGCTGATTGGCTCGCTCGGCACGATGGTCGAGGACATCACCATCTTCATGCAGTTTCGACTGTACGCGACTCGGGACGCGACCGCGGCTGTGTAGGGCGGCGGCGGCGGCGGCGGCTGCTGCTGCTGCTGCTGCTGTAGCACGCGCGCGCACGCGTCCTTCTTACTGCGGGTCTCAAAAATTGCTGGTGATTTAGCGTGTCATCTCTTAGCTGGTGATTGTACTTGTATGGCGGGCGGTTTTATCATAAAAGTTCTTGCATTGCTGGGTGGATATGGATACGGATATGGATCGATATCGATTACTGTTGTTATACTTATATATGGCTCCAATGGACCAGGCTAGCCGGGTGGAGTAGAGCAGGGCTCCGTAGTTTAAGCTTGTTTGCATCGTCTTCTACAATCCCTACACATCTACAACCAAACAAGAATACGAGGAACAGTATTTTGCTCATGGTCGCATGACAGACATTGCATGAGAGCTGGGGCACCTAAGCTCGAAACGTACTAGCAACAAGCACAACAACATCAACATCAGATACGGAGGAGGCGTAGACGGCCGCCCAAGGGCAGTCGCCGCCGACCCGTACATAGCCGATATTCCCACGGCCGGAATCCTAGCGTCATCCGATCCAGTACCTCTGTCACGACGGAGCCTATCATGCGAGCAGAGCGCCCAGTCCCACCGGATGCCCTTGTCCGTTGTTCATTCTGTCTTTTAATTTTCCCTTTTTGGTCTTCGTGCGGTTGCGTAGTATCAGGTACATGAAATGCGAGGGGCGATATTGAGAGAGTAAGGAAACGAGGATAAAAAGGAAAAAAGATGAACCCGAATGGTCGAGACGCTTAGTCGAACAGACCGAATCCCATGTCGTCGTCGGACTCCTCCTTCTCTGTAGAGTTGTCAGTATTCCGTGCCTCCAAAAGCCCGATAGTCCGAGGGAAATTGCTGTTTACCTTCTTCCTTCTCCTCGGCGGCAGCCTCGGCGGGGGCAGCGGCAGCACCACCAGCAGCGGGGGCGGCAGCGGCGGCAGAGCCAGCGGAGCCAACGTTGGTCAGGAGCTCCTTGATGTCCTTGCCCTCGAGAGCCTGTGAAACCGAATGTGTAAGTTTTTTTTTCTTTCTTGGCCTTTGGTTCTTGGTGGGTGGTGTCGAGGATTCGCGATCGCATGATGATCATCGGGGTGGGTTGCGAAACTGAACGGATGTGGTATTTACCTTGGCGAAGATGGAGGTCCAGATGGGCTCAACCTCCTGAACCTTGGCGGCAGTCAGGAGAGTCTGGAGCTTGTCGGCCTGTGATGGAGGAAAAATCCAATGGTTAGCTTAAAGGTTCTGAGCCTTCTTCGAAAATTCCAGATCGCCCTCCATTGCCGTTCGCTGTCCTGATTCCTTTCCCCATCTGTCTTCTTCTTTTTTTATCATCCTCCTTTTGCGACCGGTTTGACGGTCCTTTCCTTCGCCGTGTCCTGCGCTGTCCTTCCCAACTCCCAACCGAACGGATGATCTCAAGGGTGAATACGTACGGTGACCTCGACGCCGTCATCGGCGAGGATGAGGGCGGCGTAGGAGCAAGCGAGCTCGGCAGTAGACATTTTGGTCGACGGGGGGGTGGACTGGACTGGAGTCTCGAGAGGGATGGGGGATAAAAGAGAGGAAGAGGAGGAGGAGACTTTTTTGTAACGGACTTGGTCGAGAAGGGGATCGGACGGTGAGTGTGACTAACGCTTCGCCCCGAGCGGCAATTGTGTGTTGAGCGGCCGCAGAAGCCCTCGCTTAGGGCTGCTCCCCTTCGGGTCTAGCGCCAACGCCCCTCGCCCGTGACCGCCCGCTAGTCCGCGTTGGGAAATGCCGGCCAGCGATGCCATCATCGCCCCGTCCGGACGACTTGTGATAGTCCTCGTGCCATGCTTCCGACTGACTGACTGACTGACTGACTGACTGTCTCTCCCTCCTCTCCTCTGTGTAATCTGTCGGTGTGACACTTCTATCTTCCCCCCGCCAGAGCGCGTCTCTGACTTTGACTTCCATTCGATCCCCCCCCCTCCCCATAAGTCATGGACTTCCCCGCCGTCCCCGCCCCGCTGGATCCCCGAGAACAGCCTATTCTCGAACGCCTCCTGCGCACCCGCGATGCGCTCCTCCTGCTCAAACAGGACAAGTCGTCCTACATCAAATCCCGCGACGTCCTCCCGCTGTACGAGGAGGTGGTGGCCGAAGTGGAGAAACTCAATGCCGTGCGCAAGGGAAAGGACCGCCGCATGGCACACAACCGACGTTAGCACCGAGTGGGCCTGCGCATGAAGTCCGGATGAGACAGAATGGCTGACCGCTTGCTTCGGAGATCTAGTGGACTATGTGCTGGACGATTGCTTCCAGTTGATTTCGCTCTTGTTCTTGACGGTGGGCCGCAACAATGAAGCCCCCGCAGTGTACGTGGAGCTGCCCCTCTCCATCCCAGCATGAATGAGCTGGATCTTGCTGACTTGCGGTGTCGCTGTAATGTAGATATTCCCTCGCCACGACAGTCCAGGTATGCCTCACTGAACCGAGGACTATGCTCCGCATCTTTCTGACCCCGCACAGCGCCTACTCGACCACCTGGAAGAGGCCGGCTTCTACAGCTCCAAAGACTTGATTTCAATCACCAAGACCCTTGCGCACATGAACGAGACCCTCGATCGCTGCCGCGAAGCCTACTCGCCGGCCCTCATCACGCTCCTCGAGAGCCGCCTGGAGAAGTGCCGTCTGCTATTGGAGAGGTTGCAGGGTGGTCTGGCCAAGCTGAGTCCGGAACTGGCGTCGACACATGAGACGCTGGTCTCCATCCTGCGGTCCACGGCCGCCGTCAACACACGCTCGAAGGTATTTGATTCATATTGGAGACACGCGCGCAGGCTGACAGCGGTAGTTCTCGTCATCGGAGGTGAACAACTTTCGCAACCAGCTCAAGACGATACAGGAAAAGACGAAGGATGGGGTCTTTGTGGACGCGGATGGCTTGCCGCTGCCCGGGGAACAGGTTGACGTCAAGTTACTGCTGGAGCGGTGTTGGATCTGGACGGAGATCGTCCTGGAACGGTATGCTTGGGATTGTCGCCGCGACGGACGGGCCTTGCTGACAGCCGCAGACAAGGAAAGGTTGACGAGCGCTTCGAGGAGCAGTACGAACGGCTGATTGACATCCGCAACCAACTGGACCGGCTCGCGGTGACGCAGGCCTGGTCGCTCCGCGAGACGGATCTGTTTGGGTACCAGCGGAAACTCGACCGGATCGACGAGGGCCGCGTGAACGGCAACTTCGTGGACACGGAGGGTAACCCCGCGGATATCCATGCGCAGCGGGTAGGTCTCTTTCGAGGGTCGTGGGCAATGCGTTGGCTGACTGGTCGCTCTAGACATTACTGTATCTGATCCGGCGAAGCTACGGGTACATCTACTCGCTGTTGATTTCGTCGGAGCCAGTGTCGGAGGCGCTGTTACCGGTGTTCAACCAGCTCCAAACGCTGCGGAAATGCCTCCTAGAGGTGCAGGAGTCGGGTGGCGTATCCAATTCGCGAGAACTATACCCGTACAGCATGAAAGTAAGTTGCGTGCCAGCGAGAAACAGACGGGGGGGGGTGGTTACTAACAGGGCCAGCTCAACTCGATCGACAACATGCGCGTGGACGGCAAGTTCTACGTGGGGAGCGACATCCCCGAAGGCCAGGGCAGCGTCAACGCGCTGCTGGCGGAATGCTACGACATTGTCTGGGAGCTGCGAGCGGCAGTGGACGACGAGGACCGCACGGCGGCGGCGGCGGCATAAACGGGTGGGATCGATCTAATGGGCATGTACGAGTTCGTGGGAGGACAACTTTGTATCTGGAGGCGAGATCTTCGGGGCTGCTTGGAGGGGCGTATGGCGTTTTCGTATTGCCTGCTAGTGCTTATGTAGTATGGATGGGCGATGATCCTGCTTGCTGCTACTTGGTAATTTGTGTCCCAGTAATAATAATAATCATTATTGCAATGTACTGTGAAAAACATGACATCACTCCGCTCCGCCCCGCCAGCCCCACATCACCTGCTCCGGCTTGACGCTGTGACCATGCATCATAATACTTACTATCCAAGCCCTACCCATTCACAATCATCCCCATAACCTCCAAACATGCCCGAAACCGGTGCCTTCGAGGCATCGAGGGAGAAGACGCAGGTGTTGGAGTGATTTTTGGAGATGGTGGTGGGGTAGATTTTCAGTTATACAATTACTATAGCTACAGGGTATATTAAGTTGTTCAGTGTTTAGTATTTTATGTAACGTGCCAGGAACTTAAGATAACAGCATATGGTACTACTCTTAAATAATATATCTCTGGCTGATTATGGCTCCGGACGAACTACGCATTGCATTGTATGGATGATGCATCAGTCATCAGACCCCGAACCTGTACCGGTACCGCTATACAACTGAAAGACTAGAAGAGAAGAAAAAGAAAAAAAAAAAAAAAAAGAAAAAGAAACAACCGATATTCCATATCCATATCCTTATCCTTAACATCATCGCATCGCAAACCTCATTTAACATGAATGATCATGACAATAGATCTCTCTTTCTCTCTTTAACAATCCACTCTCACTGGAAATAACTGCGCACCGCCGCCTGGAAATCCGGGTTGACGCCCGCCAGGATCTGCTCGGCGTTCAGCCCCGTCGCCGCCACCAGTTGTTTCGCCGAGTTGGCCACTCGCCCTGCCGTCTGTCCCTGCAGCGTCTCCGCCTCCAGCGCCTGCACGATGTATCCAAACACCTTGTCCGCGTTGGACATCACCACCGGATTTTGCCTGCAGGGGTTAGTGAATCGTCCGAAAGAAAACAGGGGAAGAAAAAACTTACTGGTCGATCAGCTGCGCCAGGAACGAGTATGCGTAAGGGGCAGCCTCCTCATCAAACGTGATGGGCAGCGTCGTGATCCAGGTCGCCACCACCTCCTGCGCGTTCGACACCTTGCTGGAGTTGTAGTGCAGGATCTTGGCGATACTGGCCGCCGAGTTCTCCGTCGCGAACACGTGCTCCTCGCTGCGCGCCTGGTTAATCTGCGTCGCCTGGAACAGGCTGGGCAGGCAGGCCGCCACAAAGTCGGCCCACGGCGCGCCGCCCTTCTGCGCCGCCACGCCCACCCCGTACGCCGCCGCCTGCCGGTTGGCCGCATTGGGGTCCTGCAGGCCCGCCGCCAGGGGCTGCATGATGTGGTCCTTGTAGTTCCACGACTCTGGCCCGCAGAACTCCAGCACGTCGTCCATGATGCACAGCGCCCATTGCCGCTGCGTCGGGTCCTGGCTGGTGATGAACGCGTCATAGAACGCCATGAGCTGCTCCCACCCGGGCAGGAACGTCCGCCCCTGGTTCTTGAATATTGTGTGGAACGCCTTGTTCATGTCGCTGAGCAGGTTCTGGTCGTCCTCCACCGCGTACTCGTAGTCCAGGCTGTCGTCCTCGCCCTCCTCCGCGTCCGCCCGGTCCTCCAGACGCGCCTTCACGCGCACCTGGTAGTCCTCCAGCGTCGACTTGGCCGACTCGATGAACGCCTGCATGTGCTGCTGCGTGAGGCAGTTCTGGCCCACCACCTCCACCGACTCGTAGAAGCACTGGTACATCTCCGCCAGCGTGTCGACCGTGGGCTCGGCACTCAGAACTTCGATGATCTTCTCCGCCACCTTGGTCCAGATGCTGGCGAACCCAGCAGACTGCTCGCCGTGGGCCTTCTTGTATGCGTTGAGGAGCTGGGGGATCAGCTTGGCGGACGACACCCGCACGGGGTCGTGGAAGAAGAACGCAAGTCCCGGAACGGCAATCTTCTCCATCGTCTCCAGCACGTAGGGCTCGAAGGCGGCCTCCAGGATCTGAGCGTAGATCGTGATCAGCTCAATGGCCGTGTTCTTGTCCTCCAGCGCGCTGGTCTTGATGCCGATGATCTTGCCCTTCAGAGGCACCAGCTCCCAGCCCTCGTCCTGCTCCACCTGATCGATCTGGTCCTCGTCATCCAACAACTGGATGTCGGCCTTGGCGGCCGCAACCGCCAGCAGAGGCGGCATCACTCCGGGGAGGTACGGAACGAAGTCCTGGCCCAGCACCCGGCACATGCGGCCCCAGCAGTGGAGCAGGTACTGCGACTGCGGGTCGTCCGCATCGACAATGTTCTGTTGGATGCTACCCAGCAGCTGCACCAGGTTCAGGGCGTCCTGACCCATCTTCTCCTTGCCGACAGCCAGCGCAATCAGGGTGGCGCACTCCATGGCCTTCGCGCGCAGCAGACGGTACTCCTTGGACTGCTCCTCCTTCAGGACGTTGAACAGCAGCGGCATCAGGGTGTCATAGTACTGGTCGAATGCGTTCTCGGCGGAGTCGGCGATCGTCGCGATCGTCGAGAGCGCCTGCTCCTGCACGTAGCGCTGCGGGCTGCGCAGCAGTTGCAGGAGATGTTGCAGGAGATCGCCAAGGTACGGCTCCAGAACCTTTCTCTCCGCTTCCTCGCAGAAGTTGACCAAAGCTGCGGCCGCGTGCGCCTGGACGCGAGGCTCGGTGCTGTTAAGCACGGGAATAATGTTGGTCAGTACCACCGCGTGGTACTTCTCCTGCATCGTACCGGCGAAATCGGTGCTCATCTGGCCCAAGGCGTTGCAGCCAGCGTAGCGCACGCGCGGGTGGGGATCCTGGAGAGCGGGAATCACAAGCTGCAGCACCTTGTCCAGTTCGCCGAGCATCAGGTCGCGGCAGCCCTCCGAGATGGCGGAGATGGCCATCAGAGCGGCGTGGCGATCACGCCAGGCAGAGGAGGACATCATGCGGGGGATCCACGTAAAGGTGGCGGGGAGAATAATCTGGCCACCCAGCTTGTTGGCCAGACGGTCCATGCACTGCTCACCGGCGACGTGGTTGAGATCGCTTTCTTCCAGGTCAAGCTGTTTAGGTCAGCATATGCAGCACAGGCCAGGAGATATCGTCACGTACATCCTCCGACGCATTCCACTCGGCAGCATCGTCATCGTCGACGCCAATGTCGGTCATCAAGCTCAAGCACTGGGTCACCATCTGCTGAGCGAACTCGGTGTTCTTCTTGCACATTGTGGGGGCATAGTCGGCAAAGGTGGCCATCAACTCCAGCGCGTTCTGGCGGACTTGATCGCTGAGGTCCTTGTCGGCAATCACGCTGATGCTGAACGTGACGAGGTTGTTGAACATGCTCTTGAACATCTTCGGGGAGATCTCCGCCAGCTCGATCAGGGCCAAGAAGGCGGAGGAGAGCTCGTCGCTCTCGGTCGATTCCTTCAACGGGGGCAGGATGTTGAGCAAGTCGGGCATGAGCTGGAAGAACTTGGGCTGGGACTTCTTGGTGATCGAGCGGAAGAAAGACGAGAAAGCCTCCATGGCTGCAATGCGCACCTGTACACGGCAATCAGCAGCTGCGCGCGGTGGGAGAGGGGAGACCAGAGGGCCGACATACTGAGACGACGTCATCCTTGAAGCCCTTGCTGAACACGCCAACAACGGCCTCCTCGTGTTGCTTCTCGATGATACCGGGGGTGGTCGAAAAGATGCGGAACGCGGTTTCGCGCAGGCCGGCCTCGGGGGACTGGCTGGCCTGGAAAAGAACGCCCAGGAGCTCGGGCCATTGGTCGCCTACAGCACAATCAGATTCACACGTCCTCCGCGGTCAAGGGTCCTCCACGGTGCATACCATTGTCGGTGTACTGCCTGGCAATCTCGGCCACGGCATCTCCAATCTTCTTGCGGGTATCGGTAACGGACTCCGACGTCAGGCAGGTCACCAGCTTTTGACGGATGATCAACCTCTGTTCTCCGGTGAGAGTCGAAAAGAGCTCCTTGGCCTCATTTGTGATGGGGTCTTTTCGCGTCTTGGTGGCCATTCTTCTGAACAGGACGGCGGAGAAGGAACGTGTCTGTGGAAAGAGAGAGAGAGCAAACAATGAGCATGTAGAGTCAACCACCTGGGGAGTCGGCAGCGCGTAGAAAGTGCCGGTCCTCAGAAATGACCGTGAACTCTCTAGGACCACGCCCGGGGGCCCCCCAGAGTTCCAGACAAAAGAGACTTACCAGCACATCCTCGGCACCCTGGATCTGCTCTGCCAGGCCCATGAGCAGGACGTCGGGGCGGCCCTGGATCCAGTCATTGTTCAACTGTTCCTCCGCCTGGGTACGGACTGCATTGTCGGGGGTGGAAAGCGCGCGCAGCAGCTGCGAGAGCGCCGAGTGGACCTCGGGGGGTAACAATGACATTTCGACGACTCTAATCTAAACAATCAACCCGGCCCAAAGACCAACTAGATCGCGGAGACAAGAGACACGGGTTCAGCGGTGAACCCGAGTGGTGGAAGTGGGGGGGGGGAGTGGTTTTGTTGGAAGGGACTTTTTTTTTTTCCTGGCCCTTAAGAAATTGTTTTGGTGGGGGTGGAAGAAAGAGGACCAAATGACAAGTTGAGGGGAGAAGGAGGGGGGGGGGGGGGGTTTGTTCGGAGGGGTGTGGGAGGCGGTATGGGAAGAGTTCGGTCAATGAGGGAGGGAAAAAAAAGAAGAGGATCGGAACTTGGCACGATTCAAGTACAAGCTCGCAGCATCGCAGCCGGGACAAGGAACGGCGGGCGAACCGGAGGGGAGAGGAGGGGAGGAGGGGGATGAGAGTAGTCACGGCAGAGGTCGTGGTGGGTTGCAGGTACCTGAGAAGGATCACAGGGAGGAAGCAGAAGAGGGAGAGGGAGGGAGGGAGAGAGTCAAGAGAGGGTGAGAGGAATGGAGGGGAGAGCAAACAGCAACTCCGTACGTACTGACTGTATGGACTCTTTTGCCGTTGTCTTTTGAGGCCCCAATCGTACGCGCCCAAAAAAACCCAAACCAAAAAACGCGCCCCGAAATTTGCAGCCCGCGAGGGGACGCCCGCTAGTCCTCTTCCGGTAAGCCGCCCAGGCCATCAGGCATCCGGCCTCCCTGCAGGATTTCGGCACATGCCTTGAGTGGATGGCCATCTGTAAATGTCTATCCTGCTACAAAGTACGGATATTTAGTCATGATCTACTGTGTCTCTGTCTACTCTCTACCACAGAAAAACTGACATCCACAAGTGATCTATGCATGCAATTGTAACTCTACGCTTGCTTGCTAGTACTAACAGAGCGGTATCCGAACAAAGACAGGCAGAATTAGGGCCATCACGGGGGAATGGAGATTGACCAGTAGTAGGAAACAGAAACACAAGGAAATGCAACAAAAGCTCAACATCAAACAAAACGCTCTTTAGGGGGGAAAAGGGGGGGGGGGGGGGGGGTTACAGATATACGACAGACACGGAAGAGGGGGTTCTTCACCAACAGAGAATAAATACAGAGTTTCGTGCGTCCTTCACATCACCCTTACCGCGACGTCGCCCGGCTTAGGATGAACACTCCCGCGATAACCGCGGCCAGGGTCACAATCGCGCCGGGAAGCAGCAAGTCGTTCGGCACGCCGGCGATGAATTGCTCCTCCGGTTGGTGCGCAGGGAAGGACGGGGTCCGGGGCTTCGCCACCAGGGACTCCTCCTCGGACCGGGACTCGGACACGGCGCTCTTCTCCTCCACGAGGCGAGCAGGAACCGGTTGGGGGTCGAGCGTGGCAGGGATGGGAGGCTGTGTGGGGTCGTGCACGAAGAGGTCGACTTTGTCGTGATGCGATAGGCGCGCGAGACTGACCGCGTCGGCCAGATCTTGATCCGTGGTGATCGAGACGGTGTCGCCTTCGTTGTCCATGTAGCTCAGAGCGTAGCCCGTGTTGCTCAGCTTGCCGTCCTCGGAGATGGGAGAACCGCCAACGGCCTCCACTTCGGGGCCCAATTTGGCAGACACCTGAGCAACCAGCTCGGCGATGCCAGCCGAGGGGAGCACGTTGACGCGGTGCACGCGGCCGCTGGGAGCCTTGAACTTGAAAGGGAACGAGATGTGTTCGCCGTGATGCGGGTCCACATGGTACTCGGAGTGCTCGTCTCCACCGTGGTGAGAGGCGGATTCGTTGGGGAGAACGCTGTCTCGGGCGTCATAATGAGCCTTAGGCGACTCAGGGCTGAGTACTGACCGCTGCGCGGGCTGCTGGCTTCCAGAGACCATGGAGTCGGACTCGTGGTCCATTGACAGCCAAAACTTGTTCCAGGCCGGGCCCTCGTCATCCTGGGACTGCATAGTATTGATCTGCGGCGACGTTAGGCTCAAGTCAACACCACGATAGATAAACCTGGTACTAACCTGTTCCAGGGTGGCGTATGTGAGCTTGAGAACATCAACCATCCCGACAATCTCACCCGCATCGTTCATCACGGGAAGGTTGAGGTAGTGACCGTCTAGCAACACCTAAAGTCAGTTCCATCCCTTGCGTCGCAAAGCTGCAGATGGTGTTTACTAACCGTGCATCTTCCGGAGTGCGGCCTGGATGCTCATGTCGCTAGGAGCGAAATCGGGGTGGGGGGTCATCACACGGACAACACTGCAGGTCGCGGGGTCGAGACCGGGCGCAATAACACGCAGCACAATATCCTTGCTGGTAAAGATACCGGTGATGGATCCCTGGTCCTGCACAAGGAGGGCGGTGGTGTGGTTTTCCTTCATCATAGCCGCGGCTTCCTTCACAGTGGTCCGGACGGAGACGGTGGTCGGGGGCATGCCGTCCAAAACGGTCTCGAGCGTCGGGCCGGACATCTTATGCCGGAGAGCCTCCACGTACTGGATAACCTGCTGGGGCTGACTGGAACCGAGTTCCGTCTGGACACCTTCCAGGGCATCGTAGAGTTTCCGAGACGAGCTATACGCACGTTCCAACTTCTCCATCGCATCGTAGAAGCACTTTGTAATATCCAGCACACCGGAGATATCCTGGTTCTCGTCCATCACGGGCAAATGTCTGAAGCCTTTCCGGACCATCAGGTCGAGGGCGTCGGTGGCGCTGGTGTCCGTTCTTGCACATAGAGGGTTCTTGGTCATGATCTCGGAGACGTTGATTTCCCGGGCCTTCAGGCCTGCACCCACGACGCGGAAGGCGAGGTCCTTAGCGGTGAAGATACCGGCAATCCGATCATCGTCGTCGGTCACAAGCACGCAGTCTTCTCTCTTGGCGGCCATCAATTGAGCGGCTTCGGCAATGGAGGTGTTCGGCTTGATCTGCAGGGCCTGGCTGGGCTTCAATGCGAGGACGGTGCCCGGGGGGCTTTGCGGGAGCGGTTTGCTCTGGCCGGGACATGCCTCTTTTTATTGAGGTCGGCCTCCAGTTTTCGCCGGATCGCCTAGTCGGCATAGTCAGAAACGAGTCAATTGCATGAGGCTGAGCCAGCATGGGTTGACACAGGAATTGGGAGGGCCTCTGGTTTTTTTTTTCTCCTTCTCTTTCCGTCCCTTCGTTCACCTCCTTTTTCGCGGCCAGCTGCTGGACAAAACCCACATGGGAGAGGGGGGGGGGGGGGGGAAGAAGTGGAGGGAAAGCGAGCCATACCTCATCGCGCTTGGACTGGTTCTGCCTCTGTCGACTGCTGGCGGCACTCATGGTGGTACTTCCAATATCGCTGGACGCGGTCTGTGGCGTGTGAGTCGTAGAGGAGGAAGGCTCTGGACGAGGACGAGGAATGTGACTGTCAAAGTCGGGCAGCCTGCCTCTGCCGACAGTCTTGTGGCTAACGGTTCCTTTAAAAGTGGGTGTGGATGACATGTCCCCGAACCGTCGTAACTAATGGCGGAGCAAGTCGGTCTGTGTTGCACGAACGGATCGAAGGGAGGGGGGGGGAGGAGCGGAGAATGCCACGGAGGGGGGATGGAGGCACGCAGCAGGACAACGAACAAGGAGGGGAATGGACTTGAGATCACGCAAGGAAAAGCAAGAGGAAGAGGAAGAGAGACTCGAGTAGGATGATCCCCGTCTGGAGGGCCGACGAGAATGATACGGCAAACAGGGGGTTCCCAAGTGGTTTAGCCCGGCCAAACTATTTGTTTGCTGTTAATGACAGTTTCAGGGAGCCGTGGGACCACCGTCACCGCGTGTGGATGCGCCCGCTCGGGTGAGTAAACAGAATACCGTATTGGTGTACCGTAATGTTGGGTCGGCACCTGCTAACTGCTTTTGGGCTGGGCACGTGAACCGATCATCCAACCGGTCTGAGGCAGGCGGTCAGGCCACCGGGCCACCAACCCGCCCCACCCCGCCCGACCGACCGACAATGGGTCATGCCTGAGGCAGGCTGGGGGCCTGGGGCAGACCCGAGGCACGCTGACGCACTTCCTGCCTGGGGCACACATCCCGTGACCCAGCTCGCTTAAGGGCATAGGGCTACCACACAAACCCGACACAACCTCATCCCCGAGAGAGTCTCCGGAGCCTTTACGACAACCAAACCCGACAGCCAAGTACGCGCCAACCTCCCTCCCCCTTTCTCCCTGACTTACATTCTCTGACCCGTCGCTGCAGAGAAATCCGTCAAGATGGTCAAGAAGAGGGCGAACAAGTAAGACCGAACCCTTTCCTATCCCACATATTTTTGCCTTAGCGAGAGCGAGAGAGAGAGACAATACCATCATCCATGCATGCCCACCTGAACACGACGCCGACGGGTCCGCCATACATCTGCCGCAGAAGGCTCGGCTACCGTGCAGTGTTGCGTCAGGAATGAATTGGGTTGGAAAATTATTATCATCGTCAGACCGTCGAAATAGCACCAAGCGAATATGATGAAACTCAACAAGCAAAAGATGTTCAAATACTAACCATATTCTACAGCGGTCGCAACAAGAACGGCCGCGGCCACGTCAAGCCCGTGCGCTGCTCCAACTGCGCTCGGTGCACTCCCAAGGACAAGGCCATCAAGAGATTCACCATCCGCAACATGGTTGAGTCCGCTGCCATCCGTACGTTCCACGACCCTCCATTGACATGAGTCATCCCGAATCCCGTCCGCGCGCTTGTCTGTCTGTTGTCCGATTCGCAAGAGCTGGAGTGTTGTACGTTGGTGTCGAGAATTTGAGCGAATCGAAAAGAAGAAAAAAAAAAACAAATGGTGTTGTCGACAAAGCGGGGGAAGGAATCGGCGGCGGCAGCGCAATGCACGAACGAGCGGGTTTCGACATGTCTTGAACAAAACCTATGAAACAACTCCGGACTGACTCGTGTGCCCTTCCACAGGTGATATCTCTGACGCCTCCGTCTTCACCGACTACGCCGTCCCCAAGATGTACCTGAAGCTGCAGTACTGCGTTTCCTGCGCCATCCACGGCAAGATCGTTCGGTACGACTTCCCACCCAACCCACCCACCACTCACCCATGATGCCATTCGAGTGCCCTCGAAATATCTTATACATATATACTGACCAATTCCCTCCAGTGTCCGTTCCCGGGAAGGTCGCCGCAACCGTGCTCCCCCTCCCCGTATCAGGTACAACAAGGACGGCAAGAAGCTGAGCCCCCCTCAGGCCGCCAAGGCTATGTAAGGAAGGAATAACCAAAAGACGAGAAAAAATGGAATTAGTTTAGGGGCCTTCAATGTTGCTTCTTATTTTTTCTTTTGTGTTATGAACAGAATTCTTTACACGGATCAAATGGAATGAATGGGTTTCAGTTTCGGGGTTGAAAAAATATCAAAAAAGGCTTCACTTTTAACTGGCTGCTCGTGTGGTGGCCAGGCGATGACGTATCTTATATAAAAAAAAAAACGAAGAACGAAATTCTAAGCATCGCATGTCCCGCGCTGAGGTAGACGCTCTACTCGGTTCTTTCTGCTGTCTCTGAGACGGCAGAGAAACGATGGCACGCTTGGCTTCACGCTTTGAGGTGTTGCTCTGCCCGGCCTGCCACGGCGGTCCCCGGGAGTTCGATTAGGATCATGAATGAAAAGTGAAAATGACACGATCCCATCACGAGTGTGCGGTCTCATGTATAGACTTAAATAAAACGTAGAGCTCGAAGCTGTCGGCCCCGCAATGGACATTTGGCTATGTGCTAACGTATTCTAGTTATATAGTATACTGGGGCTCGATCTACTAGTCAAGGGTACAGATAGCCCTTTTCAAAGTAGTTCCCATACATATCCACCATGCCGCTTCTTCCCTTCGGCGCTGCATTGCGGATAACCTTCACCTCTCCCTTCCAATGACCCTCTACAAAGTGAGCAATAGACAGGGGAGGTGCCGAGGACGCGGCCAACGTGGCCACGCTCGGCGACTGGCATGATGATATAGAAGAGGAGAGGCGAGAGGACGTCCGTCGCCCACTAGTCCTTCTCATCAATCCTTCGTACTCGATCTTTTTGGCGCGCCGGAATGACGCCAGTTCAGCCACAAGATCCATTTCCGGGATCTCGTCCCGCGGAATCCCCACGTCTTCGCCTATCCCCGACGCACCTGTACACCGGACGGCATGCGTCTGCGAGATGCATTGGCCCGGCTGCAGCCTATTTGGCGAAGCAGCGGTAATATCGGGCTGGGACGGTCCGGCTTGGCCAGGACCATCGTCATCCGGTATTAATGTCACCTTCTCGTTCAAAGCTGCCATAGGGAAATACTTTCCCGAATAATCATTGGGGATTCCGCACTCGTCTTCATCGAAAAAGCTGAAGTCGTCTACGGCGGCCGACCATAGATTTTCTACGTCTCGATCTCCTGTACTTGACTTGGCTGCCCCGGTTCGGTAGCCTGCAGGTTTCCATGCTGTCAATCTTTTGGATCTGACCGTTGGTGTGATCTCCAGCACTAAGCGGCGCAGAGCAAATAGAGACCTGGCACGTTCTTGCTCAGCTCTGGCTCGATCCTGGCCGGGTGGAAGTGTATAGTCGGATCCTGCCTGGAGTGTTGCCAGTAACGCTTCGTTCGAGCAGGCGGTTATGAACCGCATTAGCGACTTCAAGATCGGGGAATTCGCGGATATATGGGAAGGCACATCAGTCAGAACTAATGTTTCCAAGTGCGGAATATGAGAAGGATGCAGGTATGAAAAGTTTCCCGCCTTGCCATCACGCCGAGGGAATCCCTTTGGCCGCTTGGCAAGCAACTCTTGGATCTTCTGGGATCGAGAATCGTCAACTGATATGGGAGAGGAGCACTGGGGGATCGAGCCCGCTGTATCCCATGTAGTATTAGGGATGCTGGAGATGCTCGAAATCGAAACATGACGAGGCAAATGCGATGAGGTAGCACCGTAGGGACTTTTCTGCCCGCCGTCTTCACTGACTTGAACTGTCTCGACTACTTCGGGAGCGAAAACAGAGCCTCGTCGTCGCTCAGGTAGCGGCTCGTCTTCATAGACAGTAAGCTTTCGGCCATTCCCAACAGACCAGGATTGCGGGACTGGTGAGCCAGGAAGCTCGAAAATCGCTGCTTCGTTTGCAGGTACTTCATGAATCTGATTTGTTGCATCTAACTCCGCTTCTCGGGATACCTCATTCTCGTTCCCGACTGGAAGCTCGGGCAGCAACGCATCTAGCACTGTATCCCCCCGTAAAGGTCCATCAGCCGTGCAGAGGGCATGATGTGCTCGAAGATATGTAAGATTTTCTTTCGCAGCAGAACCCAGAATAGGTATCAGCTTCTCGGCGCCCGGAAACTCCTGAGAATTGCCCTGAGGCGAGGCTAAAGGATGTTGTTGTCTACTGATAGACTCGACAGTATCAACCGTCCCAACATCAAGGGCATGAAGCAGCGATGAGGCTAAAAGACTTGCGGCCCCTTCTACTGAGATTGGGTTGTCCGCGATGTAGAGGTGTGTTATGCCTACCTGCGGCAGGTCCTCGACCCAAGCGCGGCCTGTCAACTGTTGCGTCAATGCCTTCATTACCTGTTCATCCAGGACAGGGCTACTGAAGAACTTCGGGTCGGGAAACAGCGGTCTTGATTGTGATTGTGGTGAGTTCGTGAGAGGCTCAACCGTTCCCCTCTGCGGGCCATGCATTGAAGTTGAATCCCCCAGCGGTAAGAACGACGCTTGCAACAAGGACCGTATAGACATGTCAGTAAGCAAGTTATTGCGCAAATCTAGGAAGCGGACTCTACGTCCAATCGCATTGGCTAGAAATTCCGCATCGCTGTCTTTCAAGCCGATGCCCCGGAGTTTCAACACCTGAAGGTGCTCCAATTGCGACAGCGCGGACAGGACCATGCGATCCCTCGCAGGGGTGGTGTACGACAGATCAAGGTAAATTAAGTCAGGGAATCGTAGTAACGTCTCCGCGATCCCTTGAGACGTCGTGTTGGGCTCACTATCGGCCAGTAATAGACGGACATTATATGTCTGGGAAGTTGATTCACTCCCCCCAGGTCCGCTGGTGGTTTTCAAGGCGGTCATGGAATTGTGGTCAAAAAACGGCAGCTTGGAGACCACCAGAGATTGGAGGCCAGGTAGAGATTCCAGAATCTCCCTCAGCCATTCGGGCCTTGGGCCCCCATAGATCTCGGAGAGGGCAGGAGGTAGATGCAGCGTATGAGTTAGCATCCGCACCTCGAGACGAGCATATTTTAGTGTTCGCCTGAACCTAGTCAAAGCGACTAGTGGCAGAAGCCATCGTCAGCACCGACCATTCAAGTCAAGAGATTGGAGCACGAAGGCCAGCATTACCATAAACCGCATCGTTCTCGGTTCCAAAGTGCGAGGCCGGGTCCCCCCACAAAACCGGCATGAATAGCCGGTGCCATCTCCGACACACCAAGGCAGCGGCACATAAGTCGCTGGATGGGATGTATTGAGGTATAATCGACCAAGCGTCTCGGGTGGTAGCTGTTTGGTACGATGGAGGTATAGTATCCGTCATCTTCGTCACAGTGGTTTGGGGTGCAATAGTCCCCATGTCAGTTCAGCTTATGAGTTCCGTTTCATTCCCGTGGGGGCGGTCAGGTCCGGAATCAACATGTCACGGAGCATACAAGGAGAAGGGAGAGGAGAAAAAAGAGGGGGAGGGGGGCATCTATCTGGGTGTTTGTTCTCATAGAGCCAAGAGAAAAGGGGCCCCCAAATGAGCTGTCGGGCGAGGGGCACTGCCACGGGGTGCGATGGGGCGCCGGACGACACGATGGATCAGTAGACCAAAATGATCTCATAGCTTATCTGTGTGGCAGTGGATAAGGATGACCCGAATCGAGCTGCAGCTTACCCAGAGAGAGATGAGTGGGAAGAAACAAACCCCTCAGACTACCGGGTTGATGATGATTGCAGGAAGAAGAAGAAGAAGATGGCATCTCCAGTCAAGTCAGCCTTGAAGATACCAAACTTACGGTACGGCTGTTTCTGACGTCATCCCCCGCCCGTCAGCAAAACAGAACCAGAACCAGAACCATACAAGTCGGAGAAACAAAACCACTTGGATTTCCTCACGGCGCGTGCGCTTGCTATCCTCTTCTCATCTCCCTCTCCGCCTCCCTTCCGTTCCCTCCCTGCTCCCTGGGCCAAGATGGATCCCTGGCAGCGGAGCATCCGCAGGATGCATCAGGTCGGGGAATTCCTGGATCTTGACCCCGAAAAGTCCAACATGGTAGCCGATTTCGTTTCCCTGATCGAGGCGATGCGGGAGGGCCTCACTCATATCGACGATGAATCCTATATACCCGATTCGCAAATCAATCTGCTTTTTCTCACCAAGCTCAAGGCGCGCCCCGAGTGGAATGGCTGGGCCACAGCCATGCTGCGAGATAATCGGATCAACACCTCCAATCCGGCCGAACAGATAACTTTCCAAGAGCTAGCCGACCTGGCCATTGAGCAAGAGAAGAATCGTCAGCGACCAGGGAGGTCTGCATGGGGCCCTTCCAGAGCAGACTTCTCACCTCCGCATACGATCCCGCATACTACCGCTCCGGAGGAGCCTCGTACTCTCACGCAAGACGAGATCAACGCATTCGTCGTTCAGCAGATGAGCCAGGATAGGAAGCTAGATAATCGCCGCGCACGGGGACACGCCAAAAGACCGAGTCAGGAGGAAATCAATGACTACGTGGTTGAGCAAATGCGCCGTGAATACGAACGCACCACGAGGGATCGGAGTTACAGTCAACCTATGCCAAGTCAGCCCCTCCAACGACCGGTGCAGATGCGCTGCACATTCTGTGGGGACAAGCATCACCAGCTGCAGAATTGCTGGCGTCGATGGAGGGTTGCTGTTGAAGCTCCGCATGGCGACTATCTTCCGAAGCGCGTCGAGTACAGGAGTGAAATTCCGGGTCAGCCGCCCACTTATCACAGCGGTTTCACGCTTTACTGAGCGTCCGATTATGGCCTTCTCCTTTCCTTTTTCATTTTTTTCTGTGATGCCACCTTGGGCCGTATCCGTGATTGCAATCTGGGCATAAGCATGGCGTTGGGGGTTTTTAGCATTCTGATTCTTCATTTGACAAATGTGATCAAATTTTGGCTTGTATTGAAGCGTGACGAGCATACTCTCCTCATGAAGCACCCCATACTGTAAATGCATCGCCATCCTTATATTTCTTAGATCGCCACTTAAAGAAGCGATGGTCACTATTTTTGGATTTTCAATATCAAGGTCAAGCCGCCGGCCGGTGATAGGCAAGAGTCGGAATTCCCAGATGCAGGGTTCCTGGGCCTTGGAATGCTGGCTCTGCCATGGAAGAAGACGAGGAGCAGTTTGGCCGTGCTTCATGTAAAGACATGCTTTGCAAGCGCATCTGGATAGCTACGCATGTATCTGCCCATGCACAAAGAGTGCCTGCCAGACCTTCAGCAAGAGAAAACGGGTGATCAGGCAGCCGATATATGTTGGCCGAATTATAATAAGGGGGTGTCTCCCGCGCTTGCAACATGAACGAGAGCGCCTTTGACAGGAAAAAGTCACCGGTAAGCCCATGTTCGATTGACCGCGGATCCGTAGTCTGTGTTCGCTCCATGTAATTGCGTTTAGCAACTTGCATCTCTTTGTCGTCATATTGGAAGCTGTCATGGAGAAGCAACAGTGGCCATGCATTCCCGGTAATGCCATGACATACTCCTCCACCTTTAGAAAGTAGCCCTTCTTCCCACACTCGCTCGCTGGCCAGTCGAATCGCTAGATCCCACTCGGGCTGCCAGTAGTCGGACGTCAGAGGGCTGTTTCTCCTAGCGCAGGCCATGAGAGCCAGCATGCCTGGACTACCATGACATATCTGGACTAGAGGAGAAGAGCGGCGGGATGAAGGACCACGGTCTGGGATGGACGTTGGTAGATGGCCGTTATGAGCAATGCAGATCTTACAGAGATCTGTGATGGTTTCCGCTATCAGGGGCAGGTAGTTGCGCGAAGCGCTATCGTTTAGTTCTCCCGGATCGCAAGCAAGGAGGGACGCAATTATGCCGCCTATAAATTATTTTTAGTAGAGAATTTGAGATGAGGGTCTCGTTGTGTAGAGCTAAACGTACACGCTCCATGTACCCTGGTTGAGACGGTTAGAATCAACAGACTTGCCTTGCAGAACGAGGTTCCAAAGAGCACTCACGCTCCTATATAGTAACGATCATCATCCCAGTGCCACATCAATGGCAGCGCATTTTTTTCTCCGTGTTTCTTGGTGTAGTCCTTCCGGCCTTCAAGCCCTCCGGTGATAATTGCATCTATGAGCTTCGGAACGTAGTCAAAAATGGGCGCCAACAGTTCTCTAGCCTGTTCGTCGTATTCATGAGCTCTGACACTTAGTACAGCCCACAACAGCCCAGCTCGTCCATTCAGGACTTCATCGGTACCCATCATCCGATCACCGTGAGGCAGGAGGTGACTATTTGTAAGGGCCACTTGTACAACATTTCGAAGACATTCAATATCAACTTCCGAGATGGATCCACCGGACTGCGCTGCTGCAAGGAGGCGCATGAATGGACCCACTAGCACGCTGTGAGAGCCAAAAGGAGATACTCTTTCTGGTAAAAGCGGCACATCCGGTCCGTGTGACAGGATACGTTCATTTGCAAGGTTGCGAAAGTCAAGGGGAAGTCCGACATCGCTGTTGCTCAAGGTTTTGACCTGATGGTCCAGTCGAAGAAAGGCAAGAGCAATTCCTGGGAAACACAAAGGGATTAAGATTTCTGCCAGGAATGTGCGACAGACTCTCACGGATGGCAAAACCTACCCGGGAATCCAACATACAGGCCTGTGTTGTATGTCTTTCCCCAGTCTTTCTGGGGACGACAACCCTCCTGTAGTAACCCAGCCCCATGGTTGACAGCAATCTGTAGCTCCTTGAGGGTCTTCTCCAAGGATTCTTTGGTTATGCTCACGGGAGAGAGGTTGTTTTGATAGAACTGGGGCAGATCCGCAGCTGCCATGGTTTGATTGATGGGTGGAAGGAAAGTCAATAATGAATGTGATCAGGGGACGGAGCAAATGCCGTATCATAAATATCCTTTATTCATATATAGGTCAAGCTGCAAGGCTCATTACATGCTGTGGAGTAATACCTTTGTCGAAACTGCCATGCAGTCATGGGGGGAGGTTAAGGCAGAGAGTGTGCGGAGTAAAGTCGAATGTAAAGTGCAGAGGTGACATCACCTGCAACTTAACCTCTCTTCCTCTCCCTCTCCCTCTCCCTCTCGTTTGGTACCAGGTCAGAACATGTCATCTCTGTGCTTGATTTGTCCAGCGTGACTGTGAGAGCCATTTCCCCATGTTTGACTTGTCAAGACAATGGCCAGCCAGGGTGTTGACTGGGACTCAGAGACCGACTGGCGCAAAGAGGTGGTTGCAAAATCCGGGCGGTGTTGATGGGAGCGCAACACCTTCAAAGAAGAATGACTGGAAAGTTGGCAGGATCGGCAGCCTATGCACGCCTTTATAGCCTGGATGATCCTCCTTCGCTATGTTCGCTTCCAGAGGCCTGGTTCAGCTCAGCCCGCCCTTGCTCCTCCCGGGTATACACCCCTAGTCTGTTTCACCATCGTGGCTTGCGGGAAGTCGAGGACGCAGTGACTTTGAAGCCATTAGATTGATGTTTCCAGTCTATTCTTAGTTTGGCGACAATTGATGCTCCGTCGTCACCTGAGGCATAGTAATCCATCATTTGAGGACTTCTCATACCCCGCTAGTCGCATCCAATGCTGGCTGGCAGATGCCTCCTGATTTGTATATGGATCTTCTCCCGCTCTGTCATTTGTCATAATCTTTCCTTTATTTACTAGCAAATATTTTGATCTTTTTCTTTTTCTGGGTTCTATCAGGTAAACCCGTAAAAGAAGGGACTAGTCATACTCGATATATCACAGCTACAGAAATTTTTTTTTTTTTTTTTAAAAAAAAAATTGGTTTGAATCATCGGTGGTTTTAACTCCTCGGATGATCTTCTAGATCCCTCTCGGAAATATAGAATAGTACTAGCTACACTGTGTCTATAGTTGAGGGTTTGACTACATGTTGAACATTATACTTCCACAATACATAAAAGAAACCAAACCAATCAATGGAATCAAAACAAGCGATACTGCATATAAGAATGACCACGGATTAATTATTGCATTGACCGGTTTTACAAGGTCAGCACATAATGGTGTTGCATGTACCCCCCACCACAGGTATAGGACATCATTAAAAAATTTCCATAAATAGCGTATTTAAACTCCTGACTGGATATTCCTAGTAACATATTAAAGTGTACCTTTCTTCCGGAGAAGCTATAACCCCTCGCACACATCATCGATCTATGGGAGTTGGTGGGGGTGGAATGACGAGCGACGTGGATTTCGGACCACCACAACATTACTGGAGCAGTATCGCCATGAAAATTCACAACAACCGCAGTACCAAAACAATATTAATTTCGAGAAAATGGGGTTTAACTTATAAAATAACACAACATTGTATACTTACACTCGCCCAGGAGGCTCGGGGAGCAGCAGGTAGGGCTGCGGGGCGCGGCATGATTGGTCACCGCCTCCGCGCTGGTGGGAGTTTCGATCCCAAAGCAGCTCGGGGAAATTTTGGTCGAGAGCGATATTGAACCCCCCGACCAGCTGGGACATTCAGGGCCACGATCTCATCTCTCTCTTACCCCGTGTCCCTTGGATCACTCACCCTACCTCCCTCCCCGCCGTCTTCCCCCGAAATCATCCCACCAAGATGGCCTTCGCCGGCCAAACACCCACGATCATCGTGCTCAAGGAGGGTCCGTCATCCCCGCCCGCATTGGATTGCGTCTGTGTGTTTCCGCTGAGCATTGCTGACCTTGAACCCGTGTTTGTTGTGGTTTAGGCACCGATACCTCTCAGGGCAAGGGCCAGATCATCTCCAACATCAATGCCTGTGTCGCCGTGCAGTCCACGATCAAGAGCACACTCGGTCCTTATGGAGGGGATCTCTTGCTGGTGGACGGCAACGGCAAGCAGACCATCACCAACGATGGCGCCACAGTCATGAAGGTGCGTCCCGTCCCCATCGATTTCAGACTCGGTTATCTATTACTACACGTTTTTCGTATACCCCCGCGGATGTGCTGATCGGATCCCCCTCTCACTAGCTGCTGGATATCGTGCACCCCGCCGCCCGCATTCTCACGGACATTGCCCGCTCCCAAGACGCCGAAGTGGGCGATGGAACAACGTCGGTCGTCGTCCTGGCCGGTGAAATACTTAAGGAAGTCCGGGAACTGGTCGAGCAGGGTGTCAGTTCACAGACCATCATCAAGGGTCTGCGGAGGGGCAGTGCCATGGCCGTCAACAAGGTCAAGGAGATCGCCGTCGACATCATCGAGGCTGGCGGAAGCGAGGAGAAGAAGGTTGAGACGCTACGACGGTTGGCCGCAACCGCGATGAACAGCAAGCTTATCAAGCGGAATTCGGACTTCTTCACCAAGAGTAAGGGGCTCCTCGCTGCCTGCCGTGGGGCGTGGCCGTGGACACGAATGCTGACTGGATGCTCTAGTGGTGGTGGACGCCGTGCTGTCGCTCGACCAGGACGACCTCAACGAGAAGCTGATCGGTATGAAGCGTGTGACCGGTGGTGGTCTCCAGGATTCCCTCTTCGTGAACGGTGTCGCCTTCAAGAAGACTTTCTCCTACGCCGGTTTTGAACAGCAGCCCAAGTACTTTAAGGACCCAAAGATCGTGTGCCTGAACGTCGAACTGGAGCTGAAGAGCGAGAAGGACAACGCCGAAGTGCGGGTTGAACAGGTGTCGGAGTACCAGGCCATCGTCGATGCCGAGTGGCAGATCATCTACAACAAGCTCGAGGCTATCCACAAGACTGGTGCCAAGGTGGTTCTCAGCAAGCTGCCCATTGGTGACTTGGCTACGCAGTACGTTCTATTGCGAATCTGACTACTGGCGGGCTTCATGCTTACGTCTGTTTCTCTACCTCTAGATACTTTGCGGACCGCGACATCTTCTGCGCGGGTCGCGTTGCCTCCGACGATATGGACCGGGTGTGCCAGGCGACCGGCGCTGCCACGCAGTCGACCTGCAGCGACATCCAGGAGCGCCACCTGGGTACTTGCGGCATCTTCGAGGAGCGCCAGATCGGTGGTGAACGTTTCAACCTCTTCTCCGAGTGCCCGGCAGCCAAGACCTGCACGCTCGTCCTGCGTGGTGGTGCGGAGCAGTTTATCGCCGAAGTCGAGCGCAGTCTGCACGACGCCATCATGATCGTCAAGCGCGCCCTCCGCCACACGACCATCGTCGCGGGTGGTGGTGCGACCGAGATGGAGCTGTCGAGCTTCATGCACGGCTTCGCGGACCGCAACGTGCCGCACAAGCAGCAGGCGGTTGTCAAGGCGTTCGCCAAGGCGCTGGAGGTGATCCCCCGGCAGCTGTGCGACAACGCGGGCTTCGACGCGACGGACATCCTGAACCGCCTGCGGGTGGAGCACCGCAAGGGCAACACCTGGGCGGGTGTGGACTTCGACCACGAGGGCGTCCGGGACAACATGGTCGCCTTTGTGTGGGAGCCCAGCCTGGTGAAGGTGAATGCCATCCAGGCCGCCGTGGAGGCCGCCTGCCTGATTCTGAGTGTGGACGAGACCATCAGTAAGTAGCCTACCACCTACCCCTCTAGTTCCCTTGAGGATCAGTAGACTGACGCGGGGGTCTTCCCCTTTCCCCCCACAGAGAACGAAGAGTCGGCCCAAGGTCAGGCACCGACACGAGGCCTGCCGCCGGGTGCTGCCCAGCGTGCCCTTGGAGGCCGCGGGCGTGGCATGCCTCGCCGCGGACGGTAGACAAGGAAGACCCAGGATAGGCCGGGTGGCCGATGGACATGATGGTTGAAGGCAAAAGCAAATGATCGGTAGAAAACCCTTGTCTGTGTGTCACTGTGCATAATCATAATTGGTGGTAGTCTCCTGCTACTAGTAGTATCTATCTACTCCATAGGGATTGATTGACACTTGAGGATTTTCTGCACTAAATCTGTCTCCATATACTCCGTACTATCGTACACTATACGCTATAAGGCTGGTCGCAAAAAGGAGACATGCATCTTGCATAGTACGTACGGAGTAGTCAAGGAAAAGGGAGCACGAGTGGAGGCTGAGGGGAGATTATTGAGCAGGGATCGGGCAGGCCGAAGGGCCGAAGCGACGATTTGGTCAGTTGCCGACGAATTACTGGAATTAATTAATTGGGGGTTCTGCCGCGCCGGACCCAATCGGCGCCGCCTTCTCCACTGCCATCGGCGCTGCGCCTTTTCCTGCTGAGCTCAAGTCGTCTCCTCATCCAGCATCATCATCTCACCTCCTGCGGCTTCGTTGCCTCCCTCTTATTTGTCTGTTGCCTCCCTCACGCGCACAATCCTCGTCTTCTTTCTCTCTTGTGTCCCTTCCCCCCTCTTCTCTCTTCTCTGTTCGATCATGTCCTACTATCCACCTTACTCGGGCCCGCCCGGGTATCCCCCGCAGCAGCAGTATTCCTATCCTCCCCAGCAAGGCTACGGCTCCCCGCCGCCATATCAGCAGCAACAGCAGCAGCAGTGAGATCTCCTTGCATGATCTTTTTTTTTTTTTTTTTTTAATTGTCGCCGCGATCCGATTCTCTCGATTCTCTCGATTCTCTTCTCTCGCCGACAAACATACAGTCTCCGGAGTCGTGCTGACGCCGTCTCGCAGACAGATGAACCCTCATCATCAGCACCAGCATCACTCCTCCTCCTACGGAGGTGGTGGTGGTGGCTATCCCGGCCAGGCCTATCGCCAGCACCAGCCCCCCAGCAACCCCTACCCCTACAGCCAGCCCTCTCCGCAGCAATACCAAGGATCGCAACCTCCTCCGAATGGCTATAATGTATGTTTCGCACGATGCATCTCGTTTCTGCAACCCTATGAAGTGGCCAGTGGTTGACGTCGCATTTCCCAGAGCGGTTATCCCCCCAGCAGCCAAGCTCCTATGTATGGAGCCCGGCCAGGTATGTCCGATGCGACTTCCGACCCGAGAATGTCGCGCAACTGACACATCGCAGGGAGCGGCAACGCCTATCCGAACTCCTACGGCCAGGGCAACCAGGGCGGTCCGGCCCCGCCGCCCAGCCAGCCGGTCGCCTTTGGTCAAGGTGCGCCGCAGGGCTACAGCTTTCAATACTCGCGCTGCACGGGCAAGAGAAGGGCCTTGCTGATCGGCATCAACTACTTCAACCAGAAGGGCCAGCTCCGGGGATGTATCAATGATGTCAAGAACATGACCACCTACCTGAACCAGAACTTTGGCTACGCCCGCGAAGACATGGTCATTCTCACGGATGACCAACAAAACCCCATGAGCCAACCCACCAAGGTGAACATCCTCCGGGCCATGCACTGGCTGGTCAAGGACGCGCAGCCGAATGATTCCCTGTTCTTCCACTATTCTGGTAAGCTCCAATCCTCTGTTCCGCCCTTGGACCGGGTTGACGACTGTAGGTCACGGTGGGCAGACGCCCGATCTGGACGGCGACGAAGATGACGGATACGATGAGGTGATCTACCCGGTCGACTTCCGGCAAGCGGGACACATTGTCGACGACGAGATGCATCGGATCATGGTCAAGCCATTGCAGCCGGGCGTGCGGCTGACGGCGATCTTCGACTCCTGCCACTCGGGCTCAGCCCTCGACCTGCCCTACGTCTACTCGACCCAGGGTATCCTCAAGGAACCCAACCTCGCCAAGGAGGCGGGCCAGGGCCTGCTGGGTGTGGTGTCGGCATATGCGCGCGGCGACATGAGTAGCATGATGTCGACGGCGGTCGGGTTCCTGAAAAAGGCGACCAAGGGCGACGAGGCGTACGAGCGCACGATCCAGACCAAGACCAGCCCGGCCGACGTGATCATGTGGTCCGGCAGCAAAGACGACCAGACCAGCCAGGACGCGCAGATTCAGGGCCAGGCCACGGGCGCGATGTCGTGGGCGTTCATCAACGCGCTGCGCCGGAACCCCCAGCAAAGCTACGTGCAACTGCTGAACAGCATCCGCGAAGAGCTAGCCACCAAGTATACGCAAAAACCGCAGCTGAGCTGCAGTCATCCCCTGGGTAAGCCGTCGCCTGTCGATTCGTGATTGGGAGTAGTGGTTCTGACGGATGTTTAGATACAAATTTGCTTTATGTGATGTAAATAGTTGCTTGGGACTTGCGGGATAAGCCTTGGGATGGGAAAAGGATTCCACCATAATAATTTTCTTTCTGCACTCTTCTAGCTGAACATGATTTTTGTGACCGTCCGTTTGATGCCGAGTATGATCCGTTACGTTTGCATTGGTGCCGTTGAGGAGTCGACTGGTTTTGTTCTCGGGGGGAGAGACTGGGAATAATCACTGGATGGTACCTTCTCATCAATGTATCATTAGAATCATGCCTATGTCCACGAGATGCTCATAACTTTTCCAACCCAAACCCAACCCAAACCCAAAGCGCAATACGCAACACTTAACACGCAACATATAGTCCTACCACCGCTTAGGGGCATCCACCACCGTGCGGGAGAAGGAAGCACTGAACGTTTCCTTGTCCTTTTTCTTCTGCGCGGCAATGATCCCCGTGCGATCCGTCACCGGCGTAGCATTGATGATACTATCAAAGGCCTCATCCTCACTGCCCTCGGCCGAACCGGACTCGGCATCCGAATCCTCCAGCGGGTGCTGCGCCGCGGACTCCTCCGGACGCGCGATCTTCCCTGGCTGCGGCTTATCCGAAGCATCTGGGTTCTGAAACACCTTGGAATTCAGGATCTTCGCCCGAATAGCAGCCATCTGCGCCTCATCCTCCGAGTCATCCGAAATAGCAAACGGATCTTTATCCTCCTCCTCCTCTTCTTCCTCCGCTTCCCCACCCTCCTCCTCATCGCCATCCTCCTCGGAATCCGACTCAGCCCGCCGATTCGTATTCCCCACGGTCCAGATATCGTCTGCGCCGCCCGCAGCCCGACTATCCTCATACTCGCGCTCGATCTTGGCTAGCCATTCCTCCTCTGCGCGCTTGACGTCCTCCTCGGTAGCGCAGGCGGCGTAGCGCTTGAACAGCTTGGCGTTGATCTCCATGAAGGCCTCGCCGTAGCGGAAGTGCTTGAGGACTTCCCGTGCCCAGTCTTCGTGGCCGCAGATGCAGAAACAGGCCGCCAGGGCCTCGACGCAGTTGAGTCGCCACGGTTTGCCGTAGTTGACTGTGTTGGCGGCGATCAGGTAGGGCACTGTTCAGAGACAGATTATCAATCAGTATGTCGGACATGAAGAGAAGGGAGGTTTTCCGGGGAGGGGAGAGTAGAGTCAAGACGTACAAAGCCGTTCATGCTTTCCTCCGATGCGCGACCAGGGAACTTCCTTGACGCGGGCCCAGGAGCATTCCACCACGGCGGCACCGAATTGTTCGAGAAGGCCTGTGTCGGCGGGGGAGATGATGGTCTTTGCGTTGGGTCTGGAGGATTGTGTCTGTTAGTGAGTGTTACTTGAAAGAAAAAAAAAATGTGTAGAGCGTAGGTAGAAGGTCGCACGTACGAGACAATCACTCCGGGGAAGCGCTGTCCGATGGCCAGCTCGCGCATCAGCCCAAATTGCATCAGGCGCTTGCCGGAGCAGCGCTTGGGGTCGCAGTGGCCCAGGTCCCAGCAGGCCGCCTTGAAGGGGGGTCTGGAGGGGGCGCTGGATTGTTCGGCGTCGGGGTCACCATCGGCATCACGGCGGGCAGGTCGCGGGCGGGGGTTGGCGGAGAATTTCTTGCCGCCGCGGGAGAAGTTGTCTTTTTTGTGGCGGACCATGGTGGGTGGATGTGAGGGTTGTGTGTAGGGAGAAGGGAAAAATGATGATGATGATGATGATGATGAGGCGGGCGCGGCAGTGGCCGACAGACAGACACACGTGGAAGGGGAACTAAAGCCAGCCAGCCGGACTCGGCCACCTTCAGCGAACCTCCCCTCATTACTACTTCTCTCCGCCCTCCGCCCTCCTCCTTACCTCCCTGGCGTGCTGATCTCCCCTGTCGGGTCTGCTCGTTTCCTTGCCTGTTTTCTTTCCCTCGTATTCTTCTTCATCGCCGTCACCCTGGAGGCCGCCTCAGCACGTATGGCAGCGAGGGACCGCTTCGGTGGTGCCTACGCTGACCTGGGCTTAACACCGCTGCAACGGGCCATTCGTACGTCACATCCCCCCCACGTCTCCATCCACGCATCTACGCATCTCCAGAGATCCTTATCAGTCCCTCCCAGGCAATGCATGCGATCTCTCGCACTACGAACCCAACCTCGCCCTCAATCTCGAAGTGGCCGATCTGATCAACTCCAAGAAAGGCAATGCGTATGTGTCGTCGCGCGCTTCCCGTCTACCTCTCTCATGCGCCATCCAGCTAACCATCCCAACCCCCCCCACCCTGATAGACCCCGCGAAGCTGCCTTCGAAATCGTCCATCTTATCAACTCGCGGAATCAGAATGTAGCTTTACTGGCATTGGCGGTAGGCATTATCCTCATCACCCGACTGGAAGGCAGGATGCGGGGCTGACGTGACCGTTCCCTCTCCCACCCCCCAGCTCCTCGACATCTGCGTCAAGAACTGCGGATACCCGTTCCACCTCCAGATCAGTACCAAGGAATTCCTGAATGAGTTGGTGCGGCGGTTCCCCGAACGGCCGGCGCTGCGGCCGTCGCGGGTGCAGCACCGGATCTTGGAGTCCATCGAGGAGTGGAGGCAGACGATCTGCCAGACATCGAGGTACAAGGAGGATCTGGGATTCATCCGCGACATGCACCGGCTATTACTCTACAAGGGCTACGTGTTCCCGGAGATTCGACACGAGGATGCGGCGGTGCTGAATCCGAGCGATGTGGGTGTTCTTTTTGGCTTCGGCGGGAGATAACAATGGGCTGACCGGTGCTAGAACCTGCGTTCGGCGGAGGAGATGGAGGAGGAAGATAAGGAGGCGCAGTCGGCGAAGCTGCAGGAGCTGATTCGCAGAGGAACTCCCGCGGATCTGCAGGAGGCTAATCGACTGATGAAGGTGATGGCGGGCTACGATAACAGACACAAGACGGACTACCGGGCGAAGGCCGCGGAGGAGGTCGCCAAGGTACAGCAGAAGGCGAAGATCTTGGAGGAGATGCTCCAGAGTCACCAGCCGGGCGACCGGGTCGCAGAGGGGGATGTGTTTGAGGTAGGTGTGGGCGCAGGCGCGTCGGGGACTGGGCTGACGGTTGTGATGTTTAGGAACTGGCGGGTGCGCTCCAGAGTGCTCACCCAAAGATCCAGCGGATGTGCGAGGAGGAGGGGGATGATCCGGAGGCTGTTCACAAACTGCTGGAGATCAACGACAGCATACACCGCACGATCGAACGCTACCGGCTCGTCAAGAAGGGCGACTGGCAGGCTGCCGCACAGATCCCCAAGGGCACGCTGGGCACGACGACGGGAGTTTCGAAGAACGCGAACAACCAGCTGTCGCTAATCGACTTTGACCCGGAGCCGGCTCCCAGTGCGAATGGCAATGGCAACGGCGCCGCGGCCGCGACGGGGGGCAGCGCGTTGGAGAACGATCTCCTGGGGCTGTCAATAGACGAGCCTGTCCCGGCGCAGGGCGGGATCTCGTTAGGACCAGGTAGGGTGCTTCCTTTTGCGCTTGCGCATGGATTCCATGACATGGCTGACGTTTGTCTAGCGGTTGCGACATCGTCTGCTACGCCACCGATGCCCCAGGCGCCGGCTGGCTTCAAGCCCAACTATGATATCCTTTCCTCACTGGGCAGCACATCCCGATCACCCTCGCAGTCGTCCACCCCGGTCCCCCACGCACGACCCCAGAGCATAGCTACCACCAACATCACGACTACGGCGACTCCGCCACCCCCTGCCGTCGACCCGTTTGCGTCCCTGGTCTCCGCCAGTCCCCGGCACGCGAGCCCCGTGCCATCCGGGTCCCTGCTCGATCTGGCAGGAAGCGGGCCCGTGCAACCGGTTGGCGGCGGAAAGTCGGCAGATGAGGACGAATGGAATTTCGCATCGTCGCTGCCGGAGAGCAACCTGCTTCCGAGCAGCAACCGAGTCGTGGTGCTGAGTTCGGCACTGCGGATTGAATTTGTGGCGCGCCGACCCCCGCAGCAACCGCAGCAGATCCATGTCGTGGCCTTGTTTTCGAACGGAACGAGCCAGCCGTTGCAGGAGCTACACTTCCAAGTGGCTGTCGAGAAGGTAAGTTTTGGATCCCCCTGAGCATGGCACGCGCAAAGCTAAACGCGAACCGGAACAGGCATACACGCTGCAACTCCGCCCGCAATCCGGGCGGGAGATCGCACCCCTGCAGACGAACGGGGTGCAGCAGGAGATGCTGGTGGACGGGGTAGCCGGGGGCAAGGGCAACTCGATCAAGATCCGGTTCCGGGTGTCATACCGGGTGGGCAGCGAGCGCAAGGAAGAACAAGGCATGGTGCCGCCGTTGGGGATTGCCTGAGAGGCCGGCAGGAATGGGTTTCTAAATTGGACAGGGTTCGGGGGATTTCCACCACCTGCCAAGTATCAACAGGGGGGGGGGGGAGGGGTGAGATGCAATTTCCACTAGCTAGCCTGCATAGTTTTTCTTTTACCCTGTCGAGGAGAGAGATATTTTTTTTTCTATTTCGTGTATACCAGAGCCGCCGCTGCCGTCATGGCCGATGGAGTGGAAGTTTGCATTGAGTTGAGCCGAGCAGAGTTGAGTAGGGTTGAGCAAAATCCGTGATCTTCCACCACCGTAGGAGGTAAGAGTGCACAAGCAAAGTAAACAACCCTCACTGTCACCATCATCATCAAACCCTAACCTAGTATCTACACCACAGCAGCAGCAACACCAACACCAACACCAGCGCCAACATCACCAAGAAACAACCCCACCACTACGTACACTACTATATCCTCCCCCCCATCCATGCAAACCAAACCATATCATACTCCACCTGGCTCCCCCCGAGAAACCAAACAACCCAACAAACCAATTGTCTCTTCCCATGTCATCACCCATCCCCCATCCCCCATCCCCCTAAACGACAACCACCACCACCATCACCAGGCGCCCAGGCCCTGACCCTAGTTAGCCACGAAACCTTCTCCCACTTATTCCAGGGGCACACAGCCTGACACGCGCAGAACTGGAGACTACTGGCGCATGGCCCACAGCCTTGGTTTCCATCCCTGAGACGATCATAATAATGGCATAAGCATACAAAGGGGGGGTCGTCAACAAGGGCTGACGGTAGAAGTTCGGTTAAGCGGGAAAGGATATACGGCCACGGGGTGGGTGGGTTGACAGGTTGGCAGGCTGGCAGGTACAAAGTACTACACTAGGCCCTAGGTACTACACTAGGTACCGAAGCTACCAGGCAAGTACAGACACCGCACTACCACTAGTAGCAGTCCGGAAGAGCAAGCAAGAAAGAGTGCGTCTGTTAGACTGTTCCTGGGTAAGTGGCGCTGGGTGGTGGCGACAACCCCAAGGGGGGAGGACTGAGGAGGACCGTGGACGAAGGCTTGAGGTAATTACGGAGGATATACAGTTTAGTTATTCTGATTGTAGAGTTGATTGACGGGTGTTTACAGGGTACCAGTAGTAGATTTGGACCGATTGATTGATTGAATCTTTTCCCAGCAGTCAGAGTGATTGGGATGTCGTGGGGAAAGTTCAAGGTAAGATTGGATCTGATTTTGAGGGTTTGTGTTTTATGAGCTTATATCTAGGAGTTTAGGTGGTGGTCGTTGATACTCGGTGATAACAACAATGGGACGGACGGGTGGACGGGAGGATGGATGGATGGATGGAATGACAGGCAGTCAGGCTTACTGGGATAGGTAGTTGGTTACGGGGACATCGCTGGTATCTTCTTTCTGTCGCCCTGCCACGTACCTTGCCCTAGTACTACTAGTTTAGTAGTACCTTTACACTCGGACCGACTAGTACACGTGAGCATCCGATATGCTGGAAGGAATACTCCGTAGGAAGGGTTAATCTAGACGAGAGAAGAGAGAAGAGAGAAGAGAGAAGCGAGAAGCGAGAAGTGAGAAGCGAGAGGAAGCGAGAGAGTTACCCAGTTGGGTAGGTTCCAGGCGGATTGGACCGTGGCAAAGGTTGGTTCCACTCTGCAGGGAGGGCCTTGCTGGTCATGGCGGTGTTGCATACAGCAGATCACTGGCAAGAGGCAGGCAATCTCAGATGGAGGGGAAGATCGGCGACCCGATCTGGGGACTGGGCGACAGATACGAGAACGCCCGGATTACGCACGGGCAACCCGGCCGTCTGTCACCCTGCCCCCTTTGGGCTGCGATCGGCGCGGTGGGCCAATCCTGGTCGGCGAGGGGTCGGCGAGGGGTTGGCGGGGCCGTTCTGGCGGTACTACTTTACTTACTGCCAGACTGCCAGACTGGTGCCATGAAGGTGGTAAGTACTTGAAGTACTGTATAGTAAGTTTGATGGCTGATGCAGGGGCATCTCCGTCAGTAATCCTGTATCGATCGTATTCCTCGGGGCAGAACCGAATCACATGATCGTGCAGACACCAGATCCTGCAGTGGACATTTCTTCAGACCTCGGGGGAAATCTCCTCCCACTACCACTACCACCACCACCAGATGAGTAGAAGGAGTGGTAGGTAGTAGTGGTGGTATCCGACTGCTACTACTACTACCACCACCACCACCACTCCATCCTTCCCACTCATTCTGAATTCCGCTTTTCCATGGGTTCCCAGACCCGGATTCTGTGCCAGAGAGAGAACCTTACCTGTTGGCCCGTCCCATGGATGCGCGCCGGTCTGACTTTGGATCGAGCCTCGTTTGTTACCTTGTATCGAGGACCCAGACCTCCCCCCTCCCCCCGTTATCCTGGCCTGTCCTCGGGTCCTGGGATTCTCGTCTAGACCCCCCGACCTGCCCTGCTTGGCCTGCTGAGGTGAGCTGCGGTGACCTGACAGCAGCTACCAGGCCAAAGTTCTCTGTCCGATCCACTCACTCACTCCCTCCACTCCACTTGCACCCTGCTCTCCTGCTCTCTGTCAGTCAGAGTGGGATAAATCATTCACTACTTAATTTCACCCTCTCCCCCATACCGTCCCTCTCTTGTTCCCACACACACACACATACACACACACGCGCCCCCCCCCCCCCCCCCCCTCCGGCGAGGTGCACTGTTCCCCGGCCTCCCGCTCCCCAGATCAAGCCTATTTACTCCACCTGTTCCCCTCCCACCTCCCTCCCCTCGGCATCTCGTCACTGTGAAGTTGTGTACAAACACATCCCTCTCATGATGGCCTCCCCCATCGTCGAAATCGACATCTCCCCCAGCCCGCGCACAAAGGAGGAAAACCAGGAACGGTAGGCCCCTCCGTCGCCTCCCGGACAAGGTTCAACGTGCTGACCACCACAGGGCGTTCATTGCTGCCTCCAGACGCAAAGACCGCAGTCTCGATGCCCGCGTCGAGTCCGCCAACCGGGCTTCCAGCCTGCACAAACAGCGCACCGGCAAGGCCCTCCTCATCAATCGGGACATCGTCGAACGAGAGGCCATGTACGAGGAGGTCGACGACCGCTATCAGGAAAAGATCAACCGCATCATGCACGCACAGAGCCTGCAGATGAACAATGATTTCAACCGCAACCTGATGGCGGTCCTTCACGCCAGCCGCCCCAGCGCCCTGCACCAGCGTCGGGCTACCAACGCCCATTTGAACCCGCGGGCGTCTGCCAACGGCATTCGCAAGATGAGCCTGGACCTGACCGGCCTGCGCGCCTCCATGTCCGAGGGCATGCACACCGGGCCGATGACCAGCCCGCTGGAGGTGCAGCAGAGCCCCTACGTGCTGTCCCCCACATACCACGGCAGCTCCCAGTCGCCGTCGTATCCTAACGTCGTTCCCGCCTCGTCGGGCCACCTGCCATCCTACCTCACGCAGACCGCCGGGGGACCCACTTGGCCGACCCAGATGGGCGGCGGGCCGTCCGTGCAATCGCCCTGGACGGCAGGGTTCGTGTCGCCGGCGCAGCAGGGCCCGAATGGGCTGGGAGATTTATCCGCCATGCCGGTCCGCCAATTCCGGGACCGCATGGGGTCGGCGCCGGTGATTCCCATGCGCACCGTGCCCTCGCCGTCCATGGCGACGCCCGCGGGGACCAACCCTACCAGCACTGCAACGGTGACGCCCAGCACGCCGGCGACCCGACCGGCCAGCAGCATGTTCCAGCACGCGCGTGTCCGGTCGGAGCCCACTCCAGGGTCGCGGACCCAGAGCCTGGCGAACCTGTCGCAGATGCACTCGCTGGGGGGGCTGCCGATGGAGGCGATGGAGCCCATCCCGACACCGGACCTGTGTCCCACGCCCAGCACGCCGCAGTCGCCCACGTCGATGGGCCAGACGGGGGGCCTCTGGGGGCTGCAGCTGCACAAGGACGAGGGGCTGGGATACCCGCCGGAGCACCACCTGGACCCGGAGTACGAGGATTTCAGCCATTACGCGATTGGGCTGGGCAGCGAGGGTCCACTGGTGGAGTCGGACATGGCGACCTTTGATGATTATTTAACGATGGAGGAATTTACCGTCAGCGTATAGTAGCCTAAAGGTTTTCTGTTCTTTTTTTTTTCATTCATTCTTTTTCTTTTTTCTCATTTTGCTTTTAAATTCTGATTGTGTTATTTATTGTATGATTGGCTACCCGGGGGGGTCTGGCTGTATGTACGAGGGGAGAAATACCCGAGGCGGCGTTGACTGTTGACTGTTGCTTGATGATTGATTGATTCTGGTTGCTTACATTTCTTCTCACCGGACTCACTATTATTACTATTACCATCACTATTAGCTTCTTCCTTCTGCCCTTCTCCAATACAGCCTCAGCCTGTAGGTAGTAGTCAGTGGTAGCAAGGTAAGTTGCAACCCCTCAGGGCAAACCAGGGCAAACAAAGTGGATCCTCCCGACCAGAATAAGTTCAGAGAGTACCGTAACTACGGTCTGCCTTACCTACCTGAGGTAGGTATCTTGAATGGAGACTGGAGTCTGGAGTACGGACGACAGACAAGACATGCGAGGTTACATTCCCTGCCCTTTCCCTTGCCGCATGCAGCGAGCACCACCACCACACCACCACTACCACCAATGAAGGACCTGAGAGAGACAAGAATAGACAGGGCAGCGCCGAGATTTTCGCGCTGCATCATGATGGGATAATGGAATGTGCGTCTGGGCGCTGGGATTTATCTATACTCTTCGTATGGGAACTAACTAGCTTACGGATGGATGTTCGGGGAGGAGGGTCTTGGCAGGCATTGTGCATAGTTACTCCGTAGCTATCGTATGTATCGTATCTATAGGTGGTGAGTGACTTTGTCAGGAAGTAAGTATCCGTCAGTGCGCCTGGGTTAGTTGTCCTCCGTATACTTAAGTATTGGAATGGAAAGGAAATAAAAAGAAAAGAAAAGAAAGGCAGGATTATATCCCCGCGCCAATGACATCCTCCCTATAACCCCGAAAGTAAAATACTTAAGGTATCCGTAAGTCTAACCGAGCGTAGATCCTTACCTACTACCTACCTACCTAACCACCCCTATCGAGAAATAACGAGTCCTAACTAATCTAATCAAATCCAAATCAAATCACAACCCAGGGAGATAATCTGACCAAGTTCCACTTTACCCCAAAACTACTTTAAACTCCAGCCTAGAGCCCCTTCCAACGGCCGCGCCAAAGCCTCCGCGGGAAGGTTCAGCGGTCGTTCGAATGGAAACGGGGGGAAGTGGTGATTGAGTTGGGGTGCCTCGGGTTGGAGCTTGAGGGGGGGGGGTTGAGGCGGGGGTGGTTTCATGGGACGGACGGGGTTGAGGTTGAGGTTGAGGGGGTTTTTTTTTTCCCACCCCCTTTCTAGTCGTGGGGATTGTTAGGTGGATGTGGAGTTATTAAGGTACGTGGTGAGTTGGTAGTAGGTAGGTAGTAGGTAGTAGGTAGTAGGTAGGTATCTATCCAGAGAGCGGGAGGTACCTCCTGTGCCTCTCTATCTAGTGAAAGGGAAAAGAGGGAGTACCTATCTCTCTACTATGATACTGTCTCCTATCTAGACCACCCCCGGCCATCCTCTCTGCTTCTACAATTCTACTAGCTTGTGTGGATCCCGGATCCATCTCCGGATTCGATTGCGGATTTAATTGTGATTTTGGGTTGGGGGGGGGGTCGGTTGGTGGATCATGAACCAGATGAAGTATGTCAAGTGGAGGGGATCTGCAGTGCAGTCCATGCAGCCAGTCAGAACTTATCTAGCATCTGGGATGAACGGCAGAAGTGGATGCAGGAACTGACTGCTGGCTTAGTCGGTGGGGACGGACGGATCGGGTTAGAGTGGGACAGGGTTGGGTGGAGAGAGTGGCTTTGGCTTATTCAAGGTTGGAGGTGCCATGGGTTGCTGAACTTGTAGGTATGTCCTTGGTAGTTATCGAGTTGGCAGGACAGAGATATCATATCTTGAGAGCTAAGCAAAGGATGCACGCAGTTCGTCATGCAAACAACATCAGGCAGCAGGTCTTATTGACGTAGGCAACCTCAGGCATCCATCCCGGTGCCAGACAACAACTCCAGAGTCAGACAAGTTCATCGCTACATCTCCCCTCCCTCCCTTTCAAACAGGTCAGTCCCAAGTAACTTCACCTTCAATCCTGAAATTAGACATTTAGACATGGGTTAGCACATCCAGACCCAACCACCCCCCCCCCCCCCTACCCCTCTGAAAACCACCGACTGAAAACAAGTCTAGACTAAACTAGACTGTAGTCTGTACCTCGCCGAAAGATTCCCCCGGACCCGAAAATAACTCCTGTCTGGAGTTTGGAGTATTGTGCCGTTTTCGTCTGTTTCCCTTCCACATACCACAGCTAGGTAAGGTAACTAGGTAATAATAAGTACCTAAGCAAGTAGTACGTAAGTAATTGAGTAAAGTAAGTAAGTAAAGTTAGAGTTCAGTTCTGACACCAAGGTAAGGCATATACACACACACACAATACATACACAATAATACGCACAATACAAATGATACAAAGAATACAAAGGAGACAAGGAAACAAGGAGACAAGAAGAACAACAGAGATTACTGTACCTTACTTCCGGGAATCCAGAATTTCTCGATATACCAACAATACCCTCTCTCTCTCTCTCTCTCTCTCTTGCATTTCTTCTTCTTTCCTCTAACAAATGACCTGACAACAGATCTCAACAGAATATCACAGTATAATCCCCGATCCCTACTACATCTACATACGTACTACCTACTTCATACTTCCTAAGTATGCAATATCAAACATATCAACAACCCGTTACCATTCATCCCTATTAATCAGATATTGATCAGCAGATCAGACTCGAACCCAATCTATAAAGAGTTAACCCGGCGCGAAAGTGATGTGCCATCCATCCATCATCAGTCGCCACTGCCTACGTAGACCCTACTGGTTTGGGTATAGCATGGGACAGGGGTCTGAGCTAGCCTAGCCCTTCTCTTTCTCCCTTCTCCTCCCCTCCCCATCCCAAGACTAAGCCATAACTATCTCTATAGTTAGCCTATGGCCTAAGGCTAGACCACCACTCACCCTACCAATCTCCACCAAACCTAGGCTGCCACTAGTTACACACTTTTACTAAAACCAGGGGGTAGACGAGGAGATGATAGGCGAGACAACCCAAGACCAAGACGAGCAAACCCCGAACTCACTCCACTCCACTCAGATTGGCCGGGATCCATGCCTATCAACTACATATAGTACGTTGTAAAAAAAGAAAAAAGACCCTCGGCATTCGCCGGCGGATCATGTTCGCCCCCCTCGCCGTCTCTCTCTCTGGGTCGGGTGGAGGGAGGGGTACATAACTTGCTAAAGTGAGTGGGGAACGCACGCACGGTCTCGGGGATGACCGAGGCCAATCACGGTAACTTACCTGTTGTCTGGAATAGCACTGACTGCACTAACTACTGTCTGCTAACTGATGGATAGATGGATGATCGACCGTCTGACTGATGTTGAAAGGTTTGACGGATTGACTGCCTGACTCACTCACTCACTCACTCACTGGCTGGCTGCAGTATCGAAGTAAACTGATTGGACGAGTTCCTACTTCCGGGATTCCTATTCCGAATGCCGAGATTGCGTGGACCCAGGCACAGGCACAGACAGGCAGGCAGACAGGCAGACAGACTGGCTCCCCTTTTTGCGACGATCGGCATAGGCCCAGACTCGACTCCAGACCCCAGCCAGATCAAGATCAAATCAAGGAAGAAGAAGACAAAAAAAAAGGCAATCGGATTTGCATTAGCTATGTACGATCAATGCATCTAGGTAGGTAAGTAGGTACAGACTAAACAAGCCCAAGGAACAAGATCAAAAAATGACAGAAAAAAAAAATATCATACGATCCGCCCGCTGAACAATTCCCGCCCGATCTCCCCGGAGCGACGCACCCCGACGCTCGAACTGCTGCTGCGCCGGCGTCGGCTCCGACTCTCGGCTGGGTCCGCCGGGCTGAGTCCGCTGGCGCGCGCGTGAAGGTTCAGGATGTCCGTTAGGCTGACCACCCCCACCAGCCGGCCGGATAACCGCCCCGGGAGTGCGGATGCCGGGATCGATGGCACGATCGTCGTGCCGAGGTAGGCCTGCGGCGTGCTGCTGCTGCTGCTGCTGTTGTTGTTGTTGAAGCCGGGCGTGGTGCCGTTGTGGGTGGTGATGGCGGGTGATTGCGGCGGGCTGGGGTTGCTGGGGTTACTGGCTAAGGGGATATGCAATGAGGAGTGAGAGGGCGTGGGAGGGCCGGACGAGGAGGGCGAGAGCGGATCAGTGACCCAGAGTCTGGTGCTGGTGTTAGCTGTCTGTCTGTAGAGAGTTCATGGGGAGGTGATGGAAGTGATGTCCTTACCGGTGAGACCGCGTGGCCACCACTTTGGCCACGGTGTGCGCCAGCGTCGACCCCGGGTTGACGTGGAACACCGGGAAGGAATCCTTGCCCTCCTCCAGGCCGCGAGTCGACAGGATCACCGAGATGAAGTGCGTGCAGGTGTTGCGGAGCAGCGGGAGCGATGACGATCGGGTGAGAAGCTGGCTGGTCAGCGTGGCAGTCGCGGTGTCGGCGGGATGCATATGCGTACCTTGACGTCTGTCGTGGAGATGTTGCCAACAACATTGAAGTGGTTGTCCACCACGGCGATCGATGAGATCCCCTCGTCGTTCATGACCTCCAGCGCTTCACTGAGTAGCCGGTCGCCACTGCACACGGTTAGTCGAGGTGTCGAGGGGGAGAAAGGGGAGGGATCACGTACTTGATCGAGATCACGTCGCGCGACCCGATCCGCAGGTCGTGCAGCGACTGCGGATACAGCTGGTCCAGCACCGGGAAGCTGCGGCCGTTCTCCCACAGGAACTTGACCAGCCGGTACTGGCTGAAGATGCCCACCACCTCGTTGCCATCCTTCTCATCGACCACCACCACGCGATGCACGCCGCCGCCAAAGGTCTGCACGGCCGTCCGGACACTGGCCGATGCCGGCAGCGTCGTCAGCGGTTCTTTGCGCCCCAGGTCCTTGACGTCTCGCAGCGGGATCGGGATGCCCTCCTTCGCCTTGCGGGCAAGCTCCTCGTACGACGGGAGGAGCTCCTCGTCCGGCCGCGTCAAGCCCGCCGCCAGCAGGAGGTATGCGTTCAGGTCGGAGTAGTCAAAGGTGCCCACGGCGGATTGGTGCTGGGGGGACTCCCGGATCAGCAGGACGGCGGCCCCGGTATCGATCAGAACCTAGCAGCGTCAGCCCAGCTCGACTCCACCTCCGTCTCCGTCCATGTGGCCCACATTCGTCGCTTCTTCGATGCCCGTGTCCATCTCGACAAACTTGAGATCGTCCGGGCTGACCAGCTCGCCGATGGAGATCTCGCGCCAGTCCCGACCGACAAACGCGGGGTTGCCATTGCTGGGCGCCGGAGGGTTGTCGATGAGGCTCTGGATGGCGGCCTGGGTGAGCGACGGCTGGCGGCGTGCGCGCGGGGACCCGGGAGCGGCGCGGAGGCTTTCGCTCATGCTCTGGCGGTGCTGGTGGTTGGCGACGCCGGAGAGGCGGAGGGAGCGACTGCTCACGGACGGGTTGCGGGAATGGTCGGCACTGGACCGGGGAGATGTGACGGTGGAGGATACACTGGAGGCGGTGTCTGCGACCGGGTCAACCGGATGGTCTGTCATGGTGGTAGTCGATGGTCTTGTCTGGTCGCGTTCGGGGAGTTGAGTCGGTAGCAGTCGGTAGTCGGTAGTCGGTAGCGGGTAAGTAGCGGTGGAAGGATGTGAACACCGTATGCAGTATGTACAGAACCGGTGGGGAAATAAGGTGTCCCCCGCAGGAGGATTTGAGATTTGTGCAGACTTACTGTGAAGAGAACAAGTCGAGGTGAAGAGGTGAAGAGGTGAAGAGGTGAAGAGCATCGGCCGACATGGCGGGGCGGGGACAATCAATGCGGCCGCGGCTGGCCAATCAGCGCCCCCCGCTTGTCATGCCGGCGTCATCGGATGAATCAGATCAGAGGAACTCCCGCAGCAATCCCCCCAGATCCTTTCCTCTGCCCGCCTTCATCACCCTGGCTCTTTTCGCCGCCGGTGGTCCTCGTTCGCGTCCCTCCACTTTCTCACGGCGCCGAAAGAGCGTCCACGGCTTCTGCCGCATGTTCCGCATGTTGTCCAGCGCTCGGCCGGTCTGATAACCGACCTGGAAATCCAGGACCGGGCCATCCAACACCGTCCCATCCGTCAAACTGATCCGGTAGCACTCGTAGAGAGTCTCGGGCTTCTCGGACCCGAGAACCACCTCCCACCCATTGGCCTCGGCATCTACGCCCGCGACAGGGACCAGACCCGGGCAGTCCAGAACCATAATCAACTGCAGCGACGGGAAAGCCCTCAGATACCGCAGAGCCAGCCCGGAAAGCTCCGTCTGCTGCGCCAAGACCAGAACCCGGAGATGCGCGAATGCGCCAGAAGCCGCAGCCAACTCGCTCCAAGTTCGGACGATTCGGTCACTGAGTGCGGCGAGCGGCGAGACCGCCTCATCCAGAACCGGTTGGGCATGCTTCGGCGTGGCAATCTCCAGCGCCGCCAGATTCCGAATACTGGAAATCTCTACCAGCTCAGGGACCCTGGCGTGCGAAGCAGCCAACGTCAACACCACTCGCCAGCCCATCGAGTCGCTCTTCACCAGGCCCAGGTACTCCCGCAGGGACAACCTCGGGCCCTCGATCTTCATGCGACGGTACGGCGAAACGTGCCGGAATTCCTCCGGGTATGCCGTTGCGAACAGCTTCCACATGTGTAGGGTCCTCTTCCTGCTGCGGGCAAAGTTAGATCGATTAGGCTCGGCCTCGGGAAAGAACAGACAGGCACAGGTAGGTACCTCCGGCCAAGGCAATCCCAGAGGTAGCTGGCGATGCGCCACGGGACGTGGGCAAACAGGGTCGGCTGTAGGTTTCGCTGGTCTGACAGCAGCTGGCGCATGGCCGCGTGCTTCAGGGAGGGGGGCCCAGCGTCGCTGGTCTCTTCCCAGCCTTGAGGTAGGAACGGCGTCTCATGTACCCAGGCTGGCCCTCTCGATGAGGACAGTGACGGGATGGCGGTGGACTCCAGGTAGACCTGGCCACTTCGCCGATCAACGTTCATTGTTGAGTCTTGTAGCTTTTGCCGGTCTCCTGGCACGCGATGCATATTCAAGGGGGTTGTAGTTATGAGCGCACGCGGCACCTGGCAGTGCGGTTAGACATGTGCTCCATGCAGATACTGTCTTTGATTCAGCAGAATCCATGCATGTCACCGGGTCCTTGATTCACGGCCAGATTCAGGATAGTAGGGGGCGATGGGGGTGTGACAGGGTGAAGTTTGTTGACAGCAGCAGACGCGTCCCAATGGACATGGCATATTCACGTGATCCAGCCACAGAGGAGGATTTTATGTCCGGGCAATTAAGATGGTCTCTCACCTGCCAATGACTTATCCTGCTTTTATTTTCCCTGGCTGTCTCCTCCATATCTATATCCATCTCCATCACCATCTCCATCTCCATCTAACAAACAACGCGGCCATGTGACATGGATATGATTCGTTACGGTGTTTTGCAAATCTGATTCTGGTCACATGACAGCCTTGCCAATGAATGGCTGTTTACAATTTATACCAGGAAAATCATAGCAGATGAAATTGTTATTGATTTCGAACAGTCGGAGCCATCTCCCAGAGACCCAGGATAAATCCATCTGCCGGAGCCCAGAAAGGGAGCGAATTTGACAACCTCTTGAAAATGCATGTATGTATGTACTTCGTATAAGCGTCGGCTTTTGGCGGCTTTAGGGACGTCCCCCTGCCGAAAGGATTCAATATCTAGATCCTTTAAAAACAGCCCAACATCCACCCCATGGGCAGACAGATAATTATTTATTCTTCACTCAATAGAACCATCACCTTATCATATAGAATCATCCGCAATAACCATAACCATGGCCTTCAACCCCCGCCCCGGCTTCACCATCCAAGTCTCCCTCTTCATCGCGCCAGAGAACATGGAGAAATTCCACGCGGCCTTCCAACCGATGTACGAGAAGACCATCGCCGAGCCGCAGTGCGTGTTTTCCGAGGCCTGTCAGTCGGCCAAGGATCCGGGGAAGTTTTGTTTTGACGGAGTGCTGGTGTGTTTACTACCTAGATATAGTACCTCTTACTACTTCTACAGTAAGTACTCCGTACCTCGCTCGCATTTCCGGTGTACTTTTATAGGAATGCGACATTTTTTGACTGGTTCGTTAATGTATTGCTACCTACCTACCTACCTACCTAGTAGTACTCACCTCGGAGTGACCAAACTCTGTTATTAGTAGTGTTCTCGTTCTCATCAGGAATAGGAACGAGCGATGAGGGACTACATCAAGGAATACGCGGCGACAGTCGAGCCCTTGTTTGCCAGGCCGCGGGAGTTCAAGCTTCTTCATCGCCTGGAGGGGTTTCATCATGCCAAGCGATACACAGCCATTACGGATACGGGGTCGATAGTAATCTTGCTATAGTCCAGAATTACCCGATTAGGTAACAACCCCCCCTCCCCCCCCCCGGGGCCCAGTGGGCCGCGCCTTCCCCTTTCGTTGTGCTCTTGCCGGTGTTGATTCCTTCCGCTTTTATCCTCTTCTCTTCTCTTCTCTTCTCTTCTCTTCTCTTCTCTTCTCTTCTCTTCTCTTCTCTTCTCTTCACCTTCCGCTTTATTCCTCACATGCGTTCTACCAATATTGCCCATCATCTGAGACTATGATCAGCGCAGCTGATCACCTCCTCCATGGAGCTTGGAACTATACATACGACTCCCTTCATACATACCAATAACCACAGTTCCACAGATACTAGAGCTCGTACAACCTCGCATCAATGCATTATTCTGTCCTATCAATAATTCGCCGCGGGTTACACAGCAACGGTCTGGGTGAATCTACTCCGTATCTCGGCTGATTCCCCAACCCCCTGTTCCTGCAGGGCCTGCAGGTGAGCACCGCAAATGCTTATTCGACGAGCCCCTGGAGGCACTACCCCTGGGATTTCGGTATCTAACAGGGCTATAGGTCAAATAGCAATGCCGAACCGGCCCCGGGAGTCTTATGGGTTCAGTCTGACATTCGTCAAAATCACTGGTTCAATTTGGATTATCATAACAAGGAAGAAGACGGTCCAATTTGGATTACCATGGCAATCAAGGCGGCAGACAAATTCAAGAACCAGTACAGAAACTCAGTCTGGGCACCCAGCTGTGTGCCGAACTATCTCCCTCTTCCCTATGAACCCGGAACTCCTTGTGGCTTTTATTGTCTCCCCAGTTTTCCACAGCGTCAATCAGGCTGCTACCCTTCTCCCCGTACACGGTGGCCGTCCATACCGCCTTGATGCTCTGGCCAGATTTCAAGACAAACTTTCCCAGCGCATTGTCGTACGTTTCCTTGGCACCGGCGATCTTCAAATTTTGCTGGTGGTAGTAATGATCGGTACCGATCCGGTCTGAATGAGGCAGTGTGCCATCCCCGTTGCTCGCAGGCGTGATATAAACATGACCCGGCTTATCTTTGTCCGATTCGGTGTCCTGGACCAGGAAGAGCTCGTTAGCATCACTAAAAAGACAGTTGCTGCTATCGCCGGTGAGGATCCGAACGGTGATGTTGCTCATGCTGATATCCTTGCTCGTGTCGTTCCGGGCACTCACTGTGATGCTCGCAGTCGATCCCGGGGATACATTGTCTGTGTTGATATCGTATGACAGCTGCAGGTCTTGAGCATCGTCAAACGAGGCGATCAGTGGTTGGCCCGTTTTACCAATAAATGTAGCTATTGGATCTGGCGGCGGCGGATCTGGCGGCCAGAAGAGGTGAATGAAAAAGCTGACGATTGCGAGAAGAACACCAATAACTGTCAGAACCTGCCCTAAAACGGGAATAGTTGTCAATGCGAAAAGACCGACAGTGGCGCTGAGCTCGGCGAGATCCAAAACAACCGTCAGGGTTGTAACAACAAGAGACAACATGTTGAGGATCTTGTCAACCGTGCTCATGCTCCCCCAGTCGTTGATTAGACTAAAGGCCATTGCAATTGCAGCTCCGAGGCCAAGGAAAGCATTGACCCCCTTGAGTATCTTGCCGGTAAGACTGAGCTCCTCGGCCGTACTTGCAGCTGCTGGGGGGAGATCGTCGGGCGTCTCATTAACAGGCTCGTTCCATTTCCCTCCCCCTGATCCTTCAACGGGCACCCCTTTATCGCTGACATGGTCTCCAACGGAATGACTTCAGCTTCCTTCTGAGCCATTGACTTCATCGGCCATAGAAATCAAGTCATCCCCGCTGTCCTCGAGTGCTCTATACGTGCCTTGGTCCATGAGTGCGATGTCTAGCTGGTCCAGATCTACCGAGGCAGTTCTGCCTTTCCAGACCTTCCATGCATCGATAGCATTTCCGACTCCTTTCGTTGCAACTTTCAATGTCTCTAGAGCTACCTGCGCGCGGCTGAAGTCCGAAAGCGAATCCCAATCGCTAATCAGGCCACTCATCTTCCATAGACTGAGGCCTACGAAGAAGGCCGCCTATTAAGATATCATTAGCATCTAGATTCGGCCCTACCAAGCGGCACGATGCCGCCTACCATCGACGAAGTGAAAAGTCCTTTCAGAAGCTTAGACCCATTGATCGTGGTGCCCACTTTGTCGGAAATCTTTTCCCACTATACACTCAGCCATTGATAAAACCTCGCCCCAAACCAAGCTGTATCCACGTCGTTACCCACCGCACTGAACCAGGTCTTAGCCTCATTTATGACTGGTGACATAACCTTCACCATCTGTGTGGCTCTTTCTTCTGCTGACTTCCCTTGGTCGAGGTCGTTTGCCTCTTCAAAGCCTTGAACATCATCCAAGAGCTCTGCTGCAACGGCACTCTCGATACCACCATCACGTTGTATTGTCTTCGAAATGAGGCTTTGAAGTGACTCTTGAAGCCATTTCTCGGCAATTGCTTCGTTTCGACCAGTGAATGGATGCTCAAGACCAATTTTGTGCGAGTACAGCACCATGTTCTGGAACCACTGGTCTGCAACTTTACTTATCGGTGAAAGTGTGTTCATAATACAACATTGTTTGTTGATCACATTCTGCTTCTGTAGAATGGTCATATTAAACCCGGATCGATAAGGATGATTTCGGGGCAGAAAGCCTTCTTACCTCGCGGATCAGATTCGCCATGACATGGTCCATAACCGGCTCTCTTTGCAGAGTTGTGGCCTTCTTATCCGCCCAATATTTGGGATCATCGTTACGGAACTTACTAAGTACCGATCGATGTGACTGCTTCATGGCCTCTATGGTGGTGAGGCTATTGATATCAGTATATTCCTTCGATTTGGCAAGGCATTTATCGCCATTGCCCTCCCACCAGTACCAGAGCTTCTTTCGTTCTTTGTCCGTAAACTTGGTCTCGTACTTTTCAGTCATGACTACTGAGCGGCACAGATAGGCTGGGGCGTATTTGTCATGCAGAAAATCTTTGAGTTCTTGTGACAGTCCATCAGCCAGCGAGTAAGGCAAGGATGTGGGTTTGCCTTGGGTTGTGAAGTCCTCTCGATTCCCATCGTCCATTTGGTAGAACATCATGTCGTTGATAATGGATTGGGATGCATCATGAATCTAAGGATATATAACAGTTCAGTCTTTGTTTCTTCTTCTATCTGGCGAGTATGAGGTCGGAACGTACTTCTTGGTCTTCGTAACAGACCAGATTGATGAGATCACTAATGTCGGGATCCGTTTCCCCTAAAAGCCTCTTAGTGATCTCCGCAAGCTTGCGTTCAGGTATCCCATTCATCTTGTTTGCGCGTCCAGGATGGGAATATTCCGCCAAGGCACGAGAGACCTTAGCTCGAAGGGAGTCGAAAAACACACGGCGAGAAGAACTGTCACTCTCTTCGCCAACAACAATATGCCTATCCGCTATTAGCTATGCGACAACATGCGAATTCAGTATCAGTTCTACCTTGTCCCTTTCGCCGCACGCACCTGAGGATCATATTCGTAAAATGCGCCTGTGGTATCACCAAAGAAATTGTCGATGTCTACAACCATTTCTTGGAAAATCACGGGCAAGGTGAGGTCCACGCCAATCTTTGAAGAGAAATCCACATCGAAGACATTGACATTCAGACCAGCGCTGGAGATGAATGGGATGAGTGGTGCTTTGTGGAACTGGACGGTCGCTCGGATGGCGTCTTTCGTGGTCGTACAAGTGGCACGGTAGAGGGGCTCTATGCTTTTGTTGAATTTGCTGTTCAGTCCTTGTTGGAGTTTATCGAGGAGGGGAATCCGGACAGTAGAGACCTCGTAACCTTCTTCGGTGAGGTACTTTTCATACTCAATGTCTACTCCACTCATTTGCTTCGTGGTTTGGTGAAATTCAGTGTCCGCAGGCCATGGATCTTGATCAAATGTAGTCTTGATTGTAGAGCTGGGGTTGAAGCCGGTCTTAAGGGCATGCTTATGCACAGTAGCATGGAAAGGATAAAACGACTCGCGCACAAGCTTGGAGGGGTTGCATTCAGGGGCCAGATAAACGACCCCTGCTCCTCTGGTTCCGTCTGCGTGGATTTGAAGTAGACCATGCTCAAATTGTTGCACGTGTGGTAACTCGCGTGTCCAGCGAAAGGTCCTGTAGTGGGAATCGAACGTACTTTTGAGTTGAACCTGGCCATCCGTGATGATGCATACATACATCGACAATAGTCAATTCCGGCAACTGGTATGCCGATGGAAGCGGGCATTCTGATGAGTCGGCACTAAGATAGTAATGCGTCTGCAGCCTGTCGAGGGGAATGCCGTTCCTAGCTGATGTCCGTCTACCACACACCGTCAGATATGGAGAACAGTCGTGCAACTCCTTTCCTGAGCGCAATTCCTCCTCGCCGGGGGGAGAGGGTTCACCAAACAATTCAATGTCGAGCCTCTTTTGGAGAGCGAATATGTCGTGGGTGACGAAAAAGGTCTTCATCTCCGGGAAGCTTCTCAGATGGGCCATTCGCTCATTCGTCGGAATGGTTTTGATTAGGTCTTTAACAGACTTGAGCGTACCATGTGGAGAGTTCTGAGGGATAAGGAAGGCACTGGCTTGGCACGATTGAAGAAATCCGTGACTGGGAACTATCTCGAGATTCTTCACCGAACTGGACGCTTGTTCGATGGAAGTGATCCCAACATGCTCATATCGGCGGCTGCTATAACTCCAACAAAATACAACATGGCCCACAGCAAGCCTACCAATATCCTCATAGGGATTATGGGCTTGGGCAGCCTTCGAGTCAACCGCGCGAAGCCCCGATGTGGTATGAAATGCTTGTGATGATACGGCAAAGAGGTTCCCCTTGTCTAGGAAGTCACAGTCAACGTTAAAAATGCACAATACAGGGGCTCAGGTGAGGGACTTACTAAAGCCAATCAGTGTTACGCATTGCTCGGATGTTGGTTTGTATGCTCTCTGCCTCTGCTGCGAGTCTAAAACTCCAGGTAAACAAAATTCCTCGTCTTCCTCTTGCTCACTACCATCCTCGTCACTACCGTACCCAATCGGCGTGGTGAAAGCAGGTGGTTCGACAACCGCAGAATCTAGCTGGCCGCAATCCTCAGGGCGAGAGTGTGGCTCGCTCATGAAGACTAGCTCGTAGTGATTTTCTTGGTATAAGTACTTTTCGGATTCCCAAGCTGCATCTCACTTAGTCCTGATTACTCAAAGCCGATGTTTTCATACTTACAATCATAAGCCCATTCATACAAGGCACACCATTTGAAGTCTGTATATGTGGCGTCAACTGCCTGCTGCCATAAGCTTGTCTTCAGTGTCTTGTACGTGTCCTCCAGGGTCTCGCTATATGTTTTCCAGTCGTTTACAATGTCCTCAGCACCAGACAGGCGTTTTAAGCTGGCAGTCACCGCCTGGATGTACTCCGTGTCTTTAGCCGTTGCACCCACGCTGGAATGAATGATTGAATCATAAAATGCATTCATCACATCAAAAGTAGGAATAGGCTTGATAGTGTCGTTACCAGTCGCCGGGCAAAACGTTATACCGGCTGCCCTTCCACCCATTGAACAAGCTGGTCTGCTTTCTGAGCATCACCCTTCATTTGCGTGTCGTGAATCCGTTGGGACCACACTTTCAAAAACTCATAGCTAGCCCGCTCCCAGTAGTATGGACCATATCCAGGTATAGTCTGAGGATCAGTCTGAAGCCAGTCGGCCATAAGGAGTACAGAAATGCTGAAAAGGTGGTGGTTTCCCTTGGCCTCGTCCCAGTCAACAGAGGCGTCAATGAATTGATCACACATCATCTGCTCCTTTGCGAAATCAAAGAATCCAGTAAGTAAACTCAATTCATGAAGGACGCTGACAGTCACTTTTCAACTTCCGGTCAATGTGTGCAGCTAAGCCAAATGACATAAGATTACTCATAGCCTCACCATAACGTAGTCCTGTCGCGGTTGCATCGATGCGATCCTTCACGTGCTTGTTATCATGCTCTGCCAGGCTCGGACTCAAACAAAGGACACTGTGACTGACTGAGGCAATTGCCAGTCGGTGGAGCTGTGACGCCGCAGAAAGACCAGCAAGTTTGGCTTCGTGCCATTCTGGATCATCGGGTGGGAACTGTGGAGAGACAGGTATATCATCAAACATGCCTCGCACGAGATGATCGTATTTTGCTTTGTTGTGCAACTCATCGGTAAAGCCCTCAAATGGAAAGGGGTCAAGGTTCTGGATGGCCCTGACCAGAAGCCTCCATAGCGGCTTGAAATCCCCGTGGTCAGTCATTGCATCTGATTGCTGTTCTTTATTGTGCCCAGATTTCGGAAGATTAACGGTGATGACAAGTATTGAGAAAATGGAGGAGATATTTGGCTTTAGTTAGCTCTGCCTCGAGTGTCTTTATCAATAACGACGCTCGGTATGATTAAGTCTGGATGATGCTACCAAGCGTCATGACTCTTTGCGTTGGTGTTCTGGTCCGACGGTACGCGTTATTAGAGACCGGGGCATACCAACGAGCCTTTTTGAAAGAGGACTACTTCCCATGATCGTGGTCTATTCCAAATCTATCGATCCCTGCGCCCATGCTTAGTATTCAGTGATAATGTAGTGACGGAAGTGGTGGATGGTGGCTGTCAACTCGACGCCATTGACGTGGTTCTCATCAGTACGTGTTGCTATCTAGGCAAGCAAGTCGTCAAGAAAGCAGTAGTAAACGAGTTCATTTGGTAGCCAGGGACAAGATTAAGCTTTCGACAGAGGAGAAAGCAAGGAGGAAGCAGGAACAGGAAGAGAATCAGAAACAGGAGCAAGAGCAGGAGCAGGAACAGGAACAGGAAAGGGAAATGGAAATGGAAATGGAAGGCGCGCCGAAGAGCAACACGTGAGCGCAGCCATCAGGTGACCGGCCTGACAAAAATCAATTCCTCCAACGAACCCATCGTCGACAACACACTCTCGCTATCTGAAAATGCACAGCATGGTATAAAGCACAAACCCGACCTGTCAGGAGACCTGGCGCGTCCTGGTGGGGGAGCATGTCAGTCCGTCCATCGGGATGACCAGTCTGATCCCAGCAGCACGTGTAGTGCACCATCCACGGCTTGGCTCTATGATGGGTGGCCAGCCTACTACTCACGGTAGGTTATCTCGGTAGGCAGCATAGTTGATATTGTCTCATACTCCAGTGTGCTTATGCTCACTCACTTGATCCTCAGACCCTTAGCATACCTCGTGCTCCCGGATCAAGCGGTACTACATCAGACGGCCTCGTGCTGTCGATCCCCTACCCCACAGGGGCACTCAGCCTTATGGCCCTGTTCTCCTGACTCACCAGAGAGGAAAATGACTCAGGCCGTCTGCCTCGACGAGAATAGAAATGGCACTGCCCTGTGGCTTGAGATCATTGACAGTGTGATTGTTCAAGATCAGGCGGCTACTGCCTGTTTCCTCGTGGCGTTGTATAAAATAGCGGACCCTGAGCAAACCTGGGCGGGATTTGGACTGCATTGCTATGCGGACACTTCTACTACCATAGTCGTATATGTTCATAAGACTAACTTAATCACACAACATAGTATTTCTTTCTAGCCCTTGCATTCACAACATAGCTTTGGTTGACTCGAAAGAGAAGCTGCAACTAGCATGGCTTCTGACACACAACTAAAGGACTCCTCCATTTTCCAAAAGATCACACGGGCTGCTCATACATGGAAGCGAGAATCAAGCCTGCTGCAGCTTGCCACGTCCTTCCTGGCAAAGCCTCCTCCGTCGATGCAGATGGCAAATGCTCGCCGGCATACAGTATGGCTGTTCGACAACACTGCTTATCAGCTGACGTCTCCCGGCACATCAAAGCCAGGGCCATGGCGCGCAGAAGTCGTCGCCTGCGTCTTTCGGAGGAATAGTCGAAGGGACATCACGAAACTTGTTGCCACGGTTGCAGATCTTATTGGACTGGATGGGGAAATCGGCACGGATAAGGAGACGCGTCGCCGGATAGCAGAACGACTTCAACCCTTCTTGTATCACACGACAGCCGCTCACTTGATGACTCTGGAAACACCCCTTTCAAACAGCTTCATCCAGATGCAGCAGATCGGGCCCACGGATGATAGTGGCATCAGCAGTCAAACTATTGGTGCGGACAGTCGGCATATCGCAGACGGGGCTAAGATCCGGTCCTACCTTCGAGGCTGGGGAGGCAAGGTTTTCATGGACACCATCTTTGCTAGCCCCGAGGGATGGCTTGTCATTTCAGACATCGACGACACCATCAAGTACACCAAAACCTCCGAGTCGACAGGAATTCTCCGGACCACTTTCGTCGAAGAACCGAGGCCCATAGCCGGGATGCCTCAGCTATATGCTCATATGCAGAATGAGCTTGTGCCTGGATGGTTTTACGTTTCGGCATCCCCATACAACCTGTACCCATTTCTGCACGGGTTCATTGGCTCGTATTTCAGCCCTGGCACGATGATACTTCGAGACACTTCCTGGTTAGACTTTAGCGAGCTGGTGAAGTCCTTCACTGTAAATACCGGCGAATACAAAGTGGACCGCGTCGAAAAGATCCATGGATGGTTTCCGCACCGACGGGTGGTGTGCATCGGGGACTCGACCCAGGAAGACCCCGAAGCTTACGCAGAACTCTATAAGAGGCATCCGGATTGGATCCAAGCCATTTGGATCAGAAAGGTTATCGACGTCCCGCATTTGCACGAAAAGAATTCTCCGCAGAGGTTCCAAGACGCCTTCGCGGGCGTGCCCGAGCATATCTGGCGGGTGTTCGAGCAACCCACAGAAGTATATGACTGTGTCGCCAACCTCAAGGCAAACCACTCGGCAGGCAGATTCCCTGAACCACAACCAGGCCTCGCAGCCACTGCGACCTGGCATTGCGACACATCAAAGTTGGCCTAAAGTCTGGTCCGATGCGTTTTGATCGCCTATCGATACTCGACTGGTCTAAGTTCCGCCTAACCGCTGACGTCACAATGAGACTATCCGCATACATCAACCACGGTGGCTCGACAACCCCAGATTCAAATTTATACCAGTTCCTCATGGACGTCTTGTTTATAATGGCTGATGCTACACACGGCGAAAGCCTTCGATGTTGACCGCCACACTGGTTCGTCCGCTTGATAGAATATAGCAAGCAGCACATCATGAAGCCCGCAAAGCCTCAGTCGGCCACGATGGACGAGCAGACGTTCGTACCGCCAGCAATGCGGGCCATCTACTATTCCCCGGCATCGACCGCGATCACCGACCTCACGGCCTTGGACGCCCCCCGGGTCGACTCCGAAGTCAAGTTCGATTCCGACTTCCAAGTCCCCATGCCGTCAGAGAACGAATACCTCATCAAAGTCCAGACCGCAGCCTTTTCCCACGACGAGCTACGCCTATCAAAGACCCTCAACCCGCCCAAATCCATCCCCCAGATTCCTCTCCACAGCTTCTGCGGCACGGTCATCAGTACCCCCAGCGCCGACCACTGGAGCCCCGACGGTCCTAGGTTCAAGGTGGACGATGTCGTCTACGGCTTTATCCAGCACACGCGCGACGGCGCAGCAGCGGACTATGTCGTCGTGACAGAGAACGAGCTTGCATACAAGCCAAAGAACATCGGCGCCGCCGAAGCAGCCGCCATCCCCCTGCCAGCTCTCACGGCCTGGCAAGCACTGTTCACATACGCCGGACTCGACCCCAGCACCACCACGCACGACCAACGCCATCCCGACCGGGTTCTCATCACCAACGTTCTGAGCAACGACGTCGGCACCCACGCATTGCAGCTCCTCCGGTCTAGATCTCTCTTCCCAAACTTCCGCCCCTGGGTCTGCGTGACCTGCGACGCCGAAGACCAAGAGGAGCAACTGCGCAAAGAGTACGAAGTCGACGAGATCATCTTCGCTCCCTTGCCCCTACCGCAAGACTACGACCTCGGAGCCACCTTCCGCAAGAACCACTGGGACCCCGTCCACGTCGTGCTGGATTGCGCCGGTGAGCAGATGTTCCAGCAAGCTCACTCGCCGAAGGTGATCAGAGAAGGCGGCACCGCCCTGACGGCCGTGGACTCCACGCCTGCCAAAGACAGAGACCCTCTTGAATTAGAAGATATTGAAGGCTACCCGCGCAAGCACCGTGTGTTCAGCCGGTTTATTGTCGTGAACCCGGACAGAGGGGCCCTGCAGCAGATTTCGGAGCTGGTTGAGGCCGGCGAGATTCAAGGCCGGGTGGAAAGCATCATTGACCTGATCAATGCCACGGAAGTGCTTTCTTGGGGTGCCGCGGGTGCGGCCGGAGGGCGACGCGGAGGTATGATGGTCATCCGGGTGAATAGTACATAGCATTGGGCGTTGTCTTTCCCTTCTTTTTTTTTTTTTCTCTCTCTCTTTCCTCTTCACCATTTCTCTTCCTTTCTTTCTCATTCTTGTAGCATATACATTACCATTCTTGTCTTCCTATTAGGCATTGCGATCCGGATACACGGGGGTTATGAGGTATAAACGATAGACCATATATAATGTTAACTTGTGCACTTGTGCTTGGATATGGACTATCTAAGTGGCATTGGTACCGGACTAAGCTTGATGTGGAATACACTAGGTTAGAAGCAAAATATAGCAATTATTTTTCTATCTACAAGACCGCAGTGACCCATAACATCAAGCCCTTCCTACCTCCCTCCCAAATTGAACATTTAACACTAGCATAGATGTGAAAGGCTATCTCTCTATTTCATGTGCACACACAAACAGAACAGCCTCTTTCTTTCTCTTCCCAACCTACACAACCCCCTCCCTCATCCTTCCCCCCTTCCCCCAGAACAAAACAACAAACAAACAAACAAACAAACAAACAAACAACTAACCAGACACCACCATAGCACGACTTGTTATATTGTTATTGTTATCGATCCATACGGGCTCCGAAGCACCGAAGTAAGTAACTAACGACATGTTGGAAAGGAAGGGAAGCGCTAGAAAGGTGATCAAGAGAGAGAAAAAAAAAACGATCAGATTCAGAAGCAGGACAGGAACAACCAAAAGCCTACCTAACTATGGATGGAGGAGGGGGGTGGAGGATCGGATAGAGAGGGAGGGAAGGAGGTAGATAGTAGATAGTAGTAGTAGTAGAAGAAGTAGACGCCGGTATGATACATACATACATGGATGGATGGATGGATGGATGGAAGTAAGCAGACAGGCGGACGGACAGACAGACAGAGAGCAGACCGGAGAGGGATAGGAGACAGGGTATGGGAGGAGAGGGAGGCACTCGCCAGAAGGGAAGAGAAGGAAAAGAAAGGGCTAGTGAGTAGATTATAACGCAGATCGGAGACCGACCTGATCGTCAGCAGACAGAAGGATAATAAAAAGCCAAAAAAAAGAGAAGAATGGAAATAACACGGAGGCCCCCCTTTTTTCTTGTCGCCGATTCCGGTCCCAGTCTCTCTCGTTTCTCTCTCGGATTCCGCATGTCCGTTGATGGGACACAAACCAGTTGGTCTCATCCTCGGGACAATACCGGGTCATCTCACGTCATGGCTGGATTTGGCAGGCAGTGGGTTCTGGTCCTGGCTGGATCAGAGTCGACTGGAAGAGGACTGAGTCGTGTGTTTTTATGCAATACACATGGCATGCCCGGCCACTGAGGAGGGATGCAAGGCAGGGGCGAGTCGATGGAGAAGAAAGACGAAACACGCAGGCAGACAACAAAGCAGATCAATAGATCAGATCGAACATCTCGTACAACAATGCAAGTGACCGTTCTCCACGGTTGATTCATATAACGCCGCTCTGCCAGTTCCAACCGGTGTGCCGGTGACTACTTCAAAACAAAAAGCCAAGGGGCTCCCCGCGCAAGTTGTTTTGTATGTTTCGGAAACCAATAGCATAAGAAGGGAAGATGGTGGAGAAGACGAACTAGGTTGGGGACTATAGCAGATGACGGTAGAATAAAGCCCTACAGAAGGGAGTCGAGTCTAGTGAAAACGCTCAAACATGCTGCCACGATCTGCACTGGGTTAGTATGGAGGGGGAGAAAGCATCGAAACCAAGACATACCTCCAACTGAAGCTCCCTGTCCTTGCCCTTGTTCACCTCGTCGTTCACGGCCTGCGCCAGGTTGGCACCAATGGCCTGCGAACCGCCCGGTTTCCGGCCGAACGGCCACTGCGAATACTCGGCCAGTAACTCATCCACCTGCGCAAAGGCCCGCTCGCGAGCCTCGTGGCTCATCGTGACGAGCGCATTTTCCAGCACATTGGCCGCATAGGCCGCGCACACCATGGTGATGGTCCGCAGGTAGCGGAACTCGACGTCTTCGGGGAGCCAGGTGTTGGCCGGGAGGATCACGGTGCGACTGCTGCAGATGTTGCGGACACGGCGGTGGATGTCGTCCTTGGCGCCTCCGTCGGCCACGGGATGCGTGGCCATGTCGAAGAGGAGGAAGTTGCGCTTTTCGGTCCGGAGGATTCCCTTGTCAACCAGGCCCTTGGCGAGACGTTCGCGCACTTGCTTCAGCTGGTAGCCAATCTTCATCAAGTTCCATGTTTCACCTGATCAGAAGACGCGGAAAGTTAGCGGGCGCAGATCCTCGTAGAGGCCATCTCGTACGTACCACTCAGCAGGTCGATCCAGGAGTTGACGCTCATCTTCTCGCTCGACTTCATGATCTTCAGCGCCTCGTCCAGCAAGACCTCCCCGGTCAGCGTATCGTCGACCACCTCAATCACCCGATCGGCCAAGGGGAAACGGCGTCGAGACGAATCCTTCTGCATGGCGATCCGACCACGCAGCGCCAGCTCAATGACAATGCACCCTCGCAGGGCGTAGGAAATGTTCTCGTTCCAGAAAGACAGATAACCCTATCGGAGCGTCAACGACGATCCCGAACGCGCCTGTCAGCGATTGAACCTCCATGTGGGCGAAGGTGGGCGGGCGCTGGACTCACCTGCTTATCCTTCAATCCCAGCAGCAGCACCTCCTCCATGAGCGTCAGCTTGGGCTGCTTGCTCCGCTCCTCCGTCTCACTGATGTCGCGGGGGTCGAAGGCGATCTTGTGGCCATTTTCGGAGTTGGTGAACGAGGTCTCGGGGATACGGTTATCGAGAGAAGAGCCGTTTCTCGACACGGGCGACGAAACTCTACTGTCGTCGGCGTCTTCGGGGCCAGCGACTCGACCGCCACCTCTTCGGCGGGTCAAGCCCCCGGCTGAGGCCATGAGGATCGAAAAGTGTCGGAGGTTCGAGAGCGGGGGGAGGGGGGAGGGATGGGAGTGGGAGTCGGAAAGCACACGCCAGCGATGGGGGGGGAGTCTATGCCGCTATCGCGTGCGACATGGACTTATGGTTGCTTTTCTGAGAGCGAGTCCTTTAGGGAGGAGGAAATTGGAGTAAGGGATTGCTGAAATCGTAGAGCCCCAAAGGTTTGCAGGACGGGAAATTATCAGGGGGGGGAGGAAGAAGTGGAAAGACAGGCCGACAGCGAGTGCGGGAGAGAGAGAGGGAGAGACGGGCGGGCAGAGGATGGACAGTTAGTCCGAGGCGAGACAAAGACGCCAATGACACGGCGGGTGGGGAGGAAGGAAGGGGAGGAGAATGGTGGTGGTTGACAGCAGTGAGAGGGAGACAGCGAGGAGAATAATATTGATGCGGTCGCTAGCTCACTAACTGCTACGTACTAACCACTGAAACTAAGGCTATCTGGCGCTTCTTCGTCCTGCCTTCCTATGGTGTGCCTGCCTGCCTTGCCCGCCTGTAACATCTCCGGTGACGGCCCCAGGCTCCCAGCCCAGCCCAGCCCAGCCCGCGCGTCCCAGACAACTACAGGACCCTCTTCACCCACATGCTCCATCCCAGGCACGGCCCTGCGTGTTTCGACTTACTTTCCCCCATCCATTTCCATTCTTTGCGATTCAATTGCAAGGGACTTCCCCCCTGCCATCGATATCGGTTCCAATGCAACGGCAGACCAGGATCTCCTGCCTCCCCTCCCGCCCGAATCGGCGGCCTCCACGTCATCCACGGCAGCGCATATCAGATTCATCCCGACAGGAACACCGCATGCGATTCCAGGCCTGGCTGGCGACCATCGGAGCTACCACGGTGGCGGGCATGCCCAGCGCGACAACCCCAGCCTCTATCTTGACGTCTGCTCCCCCTCTATCGGACACAGACACAGAGTGCCGCAGGTGACGCAGGTTACGCAACAACAGTCGGCCAAAATCAGTCAAATCTGCATTCAAGATGATATACACGATATAATAGAATGAAAGAGCAGAGGCATGTATCAGCAAACAGAGTAGCGTCACCGACGCCCGGTTCCTCCGCCGTGGCGAGCCCCGTGTAGTTGCACGCCAGCATTCCCTTTCCGTTCTATTCTAAGCCTCCATCCGACCCCGCATCCTCGCATTACGTCCATAATTTAGTGAGCTGGGTGGGAGTCAGTACAGAAGGTCCAGAAACAAGACTTCTTCGCGCCGGAGAGGCAGCTTACCGTCGGGCTGGCCGAGGATGTACTCAACAGCCTTGTCAACTGTAGCAAAAGGGCAATCAGCATATGGCTCCCGGTAAGATCCAGTATATTTTATTGGCATGGGCTCATCCACTTACCACTGAGGATGGAGTCGGCATCCTTGTCGGGGATCTCAATGCTAAATTCCTGTAGGGGTGTCCATGTCAGAATCGCGACATCCCAAAGCCAGACAGGGCGGTGTCCATACCTCCTCGATGGCCATGACGACCTCAACGGTGTCCAGGCTGTCCAGGCCGAGGTCGTTGGCGAAGTGAGAAGCAGCGTTGATCTGTGGGTGGAAGAGCGTTTAGATAATCATGCTTGATCCGAGGGAAATGCCGAGCCAGAGCGTCCGGCCGCCATCTGCGATCAACTAACCTTGCTAGCATCGGAGACCTGTAGAGGAATCAAACATGTCAGTCATGGCGACAGTTGCAGGGAAATCGAGGAGGGCAATTCCTCGGATGCATTCCTCGCCTCGCGTTCTCGCGGAAGTCCGGATGCGATCGGACGCACCTTGTCAAAGTTCTTCAGGAGGTTGACTATCCGACCCTCAACCTCATCCTTGTTGAGACCGGCAGGAGCGGAGTAGAGTCTGATACCCTGGTAGGCGAAGCGAGGGGCGAATTGAGCCGGGCGAGCGACAGCAGAGCTACGGATCTGGAAGGGAGCCGGGGTCTTGACGGCACGAGGGACGGAGGCCCTGAGGGAGCGGACGATGGCGGAGCGGAACATGGTGAGAAGAGGCGGACGACACGGGGGCCTGAGATGAAGAGTGAGGAAAGAGGGAGGGGAGGTGGGTGGTGGTGGAGAAGAGCGAGGAGGAGGAGGTGGTGGTGGTGATAAAGTCGAGTGGATGGGATGAACGGAAGCGATGATGGATGGTTTCTGTTGCGGCTCGGGGGAAGCAAAATCCTGCGGCGGGCCAATCAGCGGGCGGCAGAAAGCCATGAGCTAAGCAGCCGCCGGCCCCAGCAGAACTTCGTCTTCGCCTTCGCCTCGACTGAGGTTCGCATCGCCTGCAAAGCACCTCCAATTGCTCTCCCCTCCCCCCCCCCTCCCCCCGCGCTCTCTCGCTGCCCCCGACTTCCGCGATGGCTTCCACCAAGTCCGTCGCCCGGCTCCTCGCCTACTCCCGGCCCACTGCCTTCCCTCTCCGCCCCTCGCCTCTGGGTTCCATCGCAAACTTCTCTTCCTCGGTGAGCCGGGCAGCTACGCCGGCTGGCCCCCCCCAACCGGGCTTCCGTCTCCCCCCTCCGAAGAAGTGGGATGAGGGCTCCGAGTCCTCCCTGGACAAGGCCAGCAAGTACTTCCTCATGGCCGAGCTGTTCCGCGGCATGTACGTCGTGCTGGAGCAGTTCTTCAGACCTCCGTAAGTCGCCCTCGCCCCTCGTCAACTGGGCCGGTCCGTGTCGTGGCACCTTATCGTCGGATGCCACCCACTGGCACCCGGTTCACATCAATGGCAATGGAGCATTGCCCCCTCCGGAGGGGTTCTCACGTCGCAATGGGATGGTTGGCTGATGGGAGATTTGCCTAGTTACACCATCTTCTACCCCTTCGAGAAGGGTCCTATCTCTCCCCGTTTCCGTGGCGAGCATGCCCTGCGTCGCTACCCTACCGGTGAGGAGCGCTGTATCGCCTGCAAGCTGTGCGAGGCCATCTGCCCGGCCCAGGCCATCACCATCGAGGCGGAGGAGCGTGTGGACGGCAGCCGTCGGACGACGCGTTACGATATCGACATGACGAAGTGCATCTACTGCGGATACTGCCAGGAGAGCTGCCCCGTCGATGCCATTGTCGAGAGTGAGTGCACCCGCCGCATTGAGTGGGCCATGAACCGTAACTGACCGATCTTCGCGTAGCTTCCAACGCCGAATACGCCACGGAGACCCGTGAAGAGCTGCTGTACAACAAGGAGAAGCTCCTTGCTAACGGTGACAAGTGGGAGCCCGAGATTGCTGCTGCTATCAGAGCCGATGCTCCTTACCGTTAAGCTCTATCCGAGCCGGTCTGTGGATGCCCATCCGCCCCGGTCGTTCCAGGCCGGTCCTTCTTACCGCTCAGAAAAAGCGATGCGAGATAAACATGATATCGGAAGACCAATCTTCCTGGTTAGAAGCTGGAGGGTTTGGCGTGTGTGGCCAAGCCCTGTTCGATTCCCACCCACTCTGTACATAACTCACACCCACCCTCTCCGTCCCCCCCTGATTACCTACCTCCTGTACTAGTCGGGCCCGCCGGAATTCCTCCGTCGCCGGGACTCCGGCTCTGGTTTTGTCTTTGATATTGAAGGAAATCCTGCATGTCTCATTGCCTCTATTTATTTTCTTTTCACTTTTGTTTGTCTAGGAATCCAATCAAAGAATTTTTCCTTTGTTGGTGGTGCAATGCGTAGATCTTGCATTGGCTGGCTGATACTACCCAGATAGAGAGTGAGATAGTTTGCACATGGTTATACTTTAGCTCCCTGTTTGGCACTATCCCAGATTATGATATTAGGCCTGTTAAGGGCTATGGTAGAGAGCCAAGACTCGTGAGCCTGCTAGGCAGTTTCTGATAGCTACAAGTCATTTGCAAATATAAGCAAGTATGAGCAAGGTCCTACCAATGCCGGACATGTTCTCCCAAATGACAATACACATTTCTTGACTCATCTATCCGACCCACCCTTCTTTCTCCCGGCACCTAATTACCCCAAACCTGGCCTCATCAAACCCATCGTAGCCGCCGTCGAGTGTTCGAGGAATGCTGGCTGGTATGAGAAATTTAGGGGAGGCAGTCAGTTAGTGATTATTATCATGGCATTTTGTGAGGTTGTTCAAGCAGTTGCTTGGGGGATATGGAACTTGGAAAGGCTGTAGAATTGACCGATATTGACGGAGGAGGTGGCAAGAGTTAGGGTACTAGGTAGGGATATCATCGGAGCGGGCAATGGTGAAATTTTATGCGAACAAGGGTATAATTTACCACCATTAACTAAGGTAGGTAGGTTTTGTTGCGTAGGCTAGCCAGGTGATATGGTATACTAGTCCGATATCTAGGCAATCAGTCACACTGGATGTTTGTTAGAGGGGTTTATGTTATGTTAAAAAAAATTGTAGGAGACAGTATTGTCTATCAAGCAAGGTCATGGGCAAGGGCATGTATGAACAGTCTGTATTTACTACTCCGTATCGAACTAGTAGATGGACACTTGAGTGGTTCAAGTGTAGTACCTAGGAGGAAAAGAAAGTCCATACGAAGTGTAGTAGTAAAAGTTATCAGGCTCAGCCCACGGACAGAGAAGGGAAAGAAAGACGCAAAGAAAGCAAGCAAGCAAGACAGCAAGACAGCGAAAACAAAGACAAGATGCTTCGTGAGATTCGGATATATGCACAAAATGGAAAAAAGAGAACCTCCAGAGTAAACTGTAAACTCCCCAAACACCAGATCTCCAATGCCCGCACCCCTCAACTTTTTTTTGTCTCGAGCCCCTGCTCAATAGCACTGCTGCAATATGATCAATCAATCAATTCCCCCTTTTATGTGGTGGTCTTTTTTGTTTTTTTGTTTTTATTTGCAAGGCTCCTCCCGGTCCGGCTCATTCTTTGGTGTATGCATGCATGCAGCCTATGTACACACAGTTCCGCGGTTGTTGCTGCTTGTTATTACAGATAGTGTGGTGGGTTACCAAAGGCAATCAATCGGTGGGAATTTATTTCTTGCCACCACCGGACTTGGACTTGAAGCTGCCTTCGAAGCCCGGACGAGACTTCTTCTTGGCTCCGCCCGCGGGCTTCTTCTTGTTGCCCTTGTTGCCGCCCTTCTCATCGCGGCGCTTCCGGAGGTTGTCCTCGCGGCGCTGCTGCTTCATGTGCTGGCCCTTCTTGACGGCCTCGAGACGCTCCTTCCATTCGCGCTCCGACTTCTTCTTGGCCGTTTCCTTGCGCTTGAGCGCCTTCTTCAGCAGGGAGGTGTCATCCCGGATCCGCTCACCGTGTGCCCGCTTCTTCGCGTTCAGCCACATGTCCTTCTCCTCGATGTCTGCCCGCTTTTCCTCGTCCATGGCGGCCAGTTTGGCCTTCTTGGCTTCGACCGCCTTGAGAGCCGCGGCGGGGTCGTGAGTCCCTTGGCGGTGCTTGGGTTGCTCGCGGGTGCTGGAGAGGGTGGGGTCGGCCTGCTGGCCATCACCGAAGACGACCCGGCCAAAGGCGTAGTTGTTGTTGGAGCTGACCGACTCAGCCGGGGAGCGCGGAGAGGCAAGGAGAGACCCGGAACCGCCCGGAGAGAAGCGCCGGGCCATGGCTTCGTCCTCCCGCTGCTCTTCCTCCTCCTTGGCTTTCTGGCGCAGCAGCTTCTTGTGCGCCTTGCGTTGCTCCGCTTTTTGTCGGCGGGCTTCGATCAACTCTTGGCGGTTGCGGGCGGGCCGGCCGTTCAGTCCGTCGGCTTGACGAGCGGCGCGGAGCTCGTCGAGGCGCTTCTGTAGGCGCTCTTTTAGTTGATCGGGGGTGGGCTTGAGGGGCTTAGGTTCGGAGGTCGAGGTCTTGGAGGCATCGGTGGGAGGGACAATGGAGGATATGGAAGAGCTGCCGGATTGGGGATTCGAGGCAGGGGAGTTGGAGCTCGACGCAGACGGCTGTTCGTCTTGTTCAGCATTGAACTCGAGAGAGAGCTCCTCGGCAGGAACACCCTCAGCGCTTTCATTGTCACTGTCGGCCTCCTCTTCTTCTTCTTGTTTTTTAGACTTGCCGCCGGCGGGGGCAGACTCGGATTTTTGTACGGCTTCGGCCGCAGGGGTCTTGGTCTCGGTCTCGGTCGCTGGTAGCTCTACCACCTGGGCCTTTTTAGCGGCGTCCTTGGCCTTCTTCCTCTCTTTTTGGGCGGCCTTCTTCTGTGCCTTCTTGTCTTCCTTCAGCTTCTTGCGCGCCTCTGCCTCCTCGTTCAACTTGGCGGGGGTGCCATCCGCATTTGCCGAGTTTTCACCCTGCTTCTGCTTCTTGGCCTTTGCGTCGCCTCTCTTCAGACCTTCCTTGGGCATCTCCGAGCCGAGGTCGCCGTCGGACGAGTCGTCACCCTCCTTGCGCTCTTCGTCGCGTTTGCGTTTCCGTGCGTTCTCGTCCATCACGTCCTTGGCCGACTTGGCCGACTCGGGGTCCAGCTTCGCCCGCTTGGCCTCTCTAGCCTGTTCCTTGGTCTGCTTCTTCCGCTTCCATTGCTCCTATGGCAGGATTTGCGGTCAGTTATGCCCAAGGCGCATCACCAACATGGGAGAAGGGAGAAAGGAGGGACGGAGGGGTTTTTTTATTTATTTTTTTTTGCACGGGATCAAACAGGAGAAATCACATACACTGCCATCCTCGCCGTAGTAGTGCTTTGCCGGGATCAGCGACAGCAGACCATCGAAGGCCTGAGCGTGGCTTCGCAGCCGTTCCTGAAGAAGAAAAAAAGAGGCCGTCAATTTCGTGATCGGGCTTGGAGCAAATTCACGGAACCACACACCTCAATATCATCCATCCTGCAAGAAACGAAGTCACCGCGAGCCGTCCGGAGTTTTAGATCCGCAGTACGAGTGCCGTACCTGGAGGTTGAAGGATATTTGGGGGCAACGCTCGGGCAAAGTAGCAAAAGCCGCGATACCTCGAAAAAATTGGGTGGGCGACTTGAAATCTTGGCGCTCACGTTCTCCGCTCGGCTGTCTGGCGCTCACCGCCCGCCCCCGGGGCATTGTAGCGCCGGCTTCCGTCACTTATACAGTACACAGAACATAACTAGTTAGTCATACTCCATTCTCTAACTAACTACCACTCGTCATAGTAGATACATCCTCTCCTAACAATAATGATAACCAACCAAGCATGAACGCATCCAGCAATGACACAAAGTTACAAATAGCCAGTCTACGCTATGCATCCAGTTCCCATCTCCCCCTCCATTAGTGACCAGACCGGCTTGATCACTCCTGGACCTTCATCGCATGCGGCACATCCAACCCCGGGCATCGTTCGCTTCGGATACTGGTGATATTATCATAAGGAAACGGGATGGTCCAAACCAGGTCGAACCTAAACATGACACGGCCATCAGTATCAGCCCCAAGTAAACCCACACCATGGCTTTTCCACTCCAACTCACCGCTCATCAGGGTAGGCGGGGGGGTCCTCGTAGCCCAAGGCCTGGGCAATCTCCCTCATCTTGCCATGTCGCCAGGAAATCAGAATATTCCCGGGTCCCTTGAACTCTCTTATCCGTTTCGCCACGCATTCGGCCCGGTTTCGCTTGCAGGACGTATCAACCGGGAGATTGAGATCTGTTGCGACGGGGAGTACAGTCTCATAGGGCCGTCGATGCTGGCCCACTGAAGCCCACAGAAAGAGCCAAGGGTCAGCTGGCTGGCCGGCCGCGTGGAGGACAGACAGGGTGGGATAACTCACGCGAATTGATCTTGGGGGCCATCACATGGGCGATATCATAGGGCGAGGTCGCACCGAAGACTTCTCGGAGACACTCTGCGCGCTTGAAGCCGTCGGCGTTCAACCCGCTGTCCTCGGGATCCGGGGGCTTCTCGCCATGACGGATGAGGTAGACCGTAGGGCGGCCCGGGATGGCAGCTGCGAAAGCCTGTGGGAGACTGAAAAACAGGAGACACAGGAAGAAAAGTAGCGATGGCATGGCGATCAGAAAACCCACACGTCCTCGTATTTCATTTTAGAGTGAAAGTGCGGTGGACAAAGGCCCAAGCCTCGAGGGGACAGACAAAGACGTCCGTCCTTAGCTCCTGCTCCATTCTGTCAAAGTCGGCATATCTACTTATTAAGTAGTATCTATCCTATTTCGCTCGCTCGTAGCTTACTTAGTCTTTGGGTTGCCTTCTACAAGTCTCAGATTTCGGTTGCACGGGAGATCACTACGTGGAGCAGGAGTCGATCATCGGCATGACATATCCCATGTCCATTCCCAAGTCCCATGCGCCAGCCCAACAGGCGGCAGAGATGCGTGCCCACTATGAGCGAATTTCCCTGGTCGCCTGCGCGTCCGGAGATCTGGAGTGCTGGATGCGAAGTGGAACTGGAACACACACCAGCCTGTCTGTCGGTCAGGCGGACTATCATCCACATCCACCAGCTGAGGAATAGGCAGAGTGTAACCTTAAACCGGGCCAATGGATCTGGATAGGTCGCACTTTGGAGGGGAAAGAGAGAGGGAGAGAGTCAGATGATCGTCGAGGTCGGGTGTTTGTTGTGCCTGCCTGTGCCTGTGCCTTCTGGTCGGGTTTCTGGTGAGGACCTTGGGATTAGGGCGGGGGATCCGTTCTTTCTCGCGGACGGACGGTGGGCTAAAGTTCGTATGCTGCGTGTCTCCTGCTATCTCTACATAGTATAAAGTTCTGAAACGGTTCCCGGCAGTGTGTAACCTGGGTTGCATGGCTCCTTACATCGTGCCCATTCTTGAGGGAGACATCCGGTTGTTGCAGTTGCACGGCTTCGATGCCCTGTGCAGGGTCGAGTACATACTAAGCCTGCGATGGGAAAAGGCTTGTTCTTGTTCGTTCCTGCGGAGCATGCACGGTGGTGTGCGGTGGGCGATCGGACCGGTTTTATACCCCCGCGAACATATATAACTACTACTAGTACCACCAGACCAGCATACATCATCGAATGACCACAATGATATCGGTCCAACATCATAGCACATGCGTGGCTGGGTCATCCGACAAAATAGCCAGTCAGTCAGTCAGTCGACTTTCGCATTTTCGAGTGTCCGATGACAGATCCCTCGTTTTTGGTTATGTGTCCTTACACCGTTCACAGTACTGTGGTTGGTGCCTTCTGGTCGGTCGGTCGGTGTGCCCGATGCCAGCCCGAGATAGCCGAAAACGACTGCACTGCATACGAAGTATCTAGTGCCCTGGACTAAACTCGGAGACGAGCCTCCGAGATTCTAGAAAATCCTTCGATGAGGCTATGTAGATAGTACGGAGTACTCCGTACTTCAGTAGTACTTAATTAGGTATACATTGCGCACGCATCTCAGCTCGTATCTGATCAACATCCCCCCTCTGCCAGTGCCCCCTGCCCCATCTCTCGAGCCCGAGCCCAGCCCAAAACCCCCAAAAGCCAAGGGTCCAAGATATGAAATCCAGTGAACGGACTGGAACCGGTCCAGCAATGGTCCACTCAGCATTCATTCTGGGCAATTTCCCCTCCACTGTTGGTACACAGTAGTACGTGTTCGCAGCGCTCGGTTACGTATATGGAAGAGTAAATTTGCACTACCAGTACCGCTAGTGGGCGAGGAAACCGTACGTCCGCTTTTCATTGGAACGTGTCTGCCTGCTTATGCCGGGCGGTTTTGGACCCCAAGCGGGAAAGACTTAAAAATACGGAGAAAGAGACCGAGGCCGGCAAGCACGGAGGTTGGTTCGGAGACGACGGAGGGAAGGGCGGATCCGATGATCCGGAAATTGAAATGGTCAACTCAGCAGTCACTGCTACTACATGACAGGATACATGGATCAGGCTGAACGGGCAACGGGCGGAATAGATCCTTCCGCTCATTTGTATTGTGCGGTATTGACATCACGCCATTAGAAGTAGTAGTGGCAGCAGATTCGCACAGCCATTATTACGCCGCACAGAGAAGATAGTACTAAGTATTATTCACCATCTTTTGCGCGCACTTGCTGTGGCTAAGCCACTGCGAGGCTGTGGGCGGGGGCGCCACAATGATCTCGGTATGAAGTATTTTTATACCGTGGTAACGTCACCGACGTATCCCGCTATCTCCGAGGGCGGGATTGCTTCTTTGCCATCATACATGCTTGATACCAGCAAGGGGATTGAGGAAATAATGGCTGCAGGCATAGATAGGTATGAAGCCATGGTGTACTCGGTACTTTTGTCTGAGGAAAGTAGCACTACACCCCAGGATTTGCCACCGCCTGATCCCCAGGTTGGCGGGGCATGTACTCCGTACTATGTACGACGTATGTACAGCAGACTCTCCCAGAGGATTATTACATACAGAGAGATCAACAGCCGCCTTGCGCCCGTGATGAACACATGGCACAGCCACCCCGCGCTGCATGGTAGCGGGGGTGGGAGTCACTGTGTAATATTGTGTAACTACTACTGTGTGTACTGTGGACGGGATGAGCCTCGCAACAGCCACAGTCTCTGACACTGTACTGCAAACGCCCTCCTGGGACCAGAGGTACAGCTCAGCCACGGTCGATGACCGTCCGGTGACTGAATACCGTATTGTTGACCCGTGTTTCCCAGGTGAATCCAGGTTGAGTCTTGGCGTGGCTTCCTGGAGGTGAATCTTGGTGGGGCTTGTCCTCTCGGCGAGTGAGCACTGCGCCTGCTCAGCCCTGCAGTGCCAGATCACCTTATCCAGTGGCCAAACATCTCAACTATAAAAGGCCCAGGAGCCCCTCGTTGCATCTGACATCCATCATCATACCCAACCCACATCTTCCCTTCCCACCACCAACCAACCAACCAACCTACCTACCTCCAACCCAAACAACCACATCCATAACCACCTCCACCACCACATCCACATCCAACACCATGTCCGGATACGACGGCTACAACAACCAGGGCTACTACGGCCAAGGCCAAGGCCACAACCAGCAGTACCAGCAGCAGGGAGGCTACCCCTCTCAGCAAGGCTACGGCCAGCAGGGCTACGGCCAGCAGGGATACGGCCAGCAGCAGGGACACGAGCAGCAGTACAACCAGAGCGGCGGCGGCAGCGCTAGCGACTACTACGGCGGTGGTGGCCAGCAGTCCCAGTACGGCGAGGGCCAGTACGGTCAGCAGCACCAGCAGCAGCAGGGTCAGCACCAGTACGGTCAGGACCAGCGTGGCGAGTATGTTTCCCCTTCTTTCCACACTCCCTCTCTCCAACGCACCCAAACTAACTTTTCCTAGATACTCTCAGCAGGGCGCCCCCGGCGAGGCTCAGGACGGCGAGCGTGGACTCGGTGGTGCACTGGCCGGTGGTCTGGCGGGTGGATTCGCCGGTCACAAGGCCGATCACGGATTCCTCGGAACCATCGGTGGAGCCATCATGGGCAGCATCGCCGAAGATGCCATCAAGAAGCACAGGCACAAGGACGAGGCCCAGGACTACCAGAGCCAGGGTGGCTACGGCGGTTACCCCCCTCAGGGGGGCCCTCCCGGCTCTCACCACGGCGGTGGCAGCATGATGGACCAGCTTGGCGGCTTCTTTAAGCGATAGACGGGTCATTCCTTTGCCGATGTTCTCGCTTCCTTTGTCCATTTTTACCTCTTTTCTTTTATTACGAATTCCCTTGTGAATGAATTTTTCGATTTTGTGTCGTTCGGCCGGCCGGGTTTGGAAGAATTAATTGTTTCGTGCCTCTTGAGATATTTAAGATTGCCTGTCATTTCGCATCCCCGATGTTACTACCATGTCCCATGGGGTGGTGAAACTTGAACTTGATACCGACGCTGGACTGTATTCCAGTATCCATACATAGCTCGTCAGTGGTTACGCTACGAAGAATCATTCAGTTTTTGGCTTCATATATATGGTTGTCGTAGAATATAGTAGTGATGCGTAAGAGATAATCTAACCCCACGGTAACTAACTACTGCCATGTCTGTCCATCTATACACGGGGATTATGATCGAAAGCCTGTTTCTACGATGATCGACCGGTCGTTCCCGGTTCTCCTTCCATTTCCCTCTGCTTTTGAGTTCTACCCTGAGATTTGATCGTCAATGAGGGGCTTCAGGTGGCGGGGAGGGGAGAGGGGGAAGTACGATGGCCCAACCCAACCCCACCTCAGGGTTTCATGCCTCCGGACGGAAAATATCGCTTGCTTTGTTCCGGGTTGCATTTGCCGAGCCCATCAGATCATACTATTATTCCCTTTCCATTACTACTTATGATTCCCACTACTCGATCGTATTCTATCCCCAATGGACCTACCACCTCCCTAGTCAGTAACTGTGAGTGACCACTCCGTACTAGTAAAATTCCGGGGGAAATGCCTCTCCCCGCACAGCACAGAGCATACAAAGCAATCAGGAATGCAAAAATATCGTGTTTCCCAAGCAAGTATCACAAGCCATGCATTCGTTGCGTTCTCCTCCTCGGCCTAGACTGTCTACCTATCTCTCCGTACATAGTATCGAGTCCTTGGGCAAAGTAGATATACTCCCCACCCACCTGGGCATAGTAGGTAAGCAGGTAACCCGAGCAACACCGGCCGAAACCTCGTTCACGCTTCGAAGAGCCCATGCCCAGTCGGATGGAGTCGGGATTGCGCGGAAAAGAATCATTCGCATGTCGGACGGGGACAGGTGACTCGAATGGTGTTGACGAGGATATTCCTGGGCGGGGTGCCGGAGTCGATTGGTTGCCTTACCCGGGGCCGAGAAGATTCTATTGTGGCATTTGATGTGTGGCGGCTGCCTTTTGGGAGGGGAGGCTTGGCTTCTCCTGGTTACATTATGGTGGTTGTCCGGGACTTGAGAGGTCTGGACGACTTTGTATGTCTGGTTGTTGTGCTGAGGCTTGTTCAGATTATGTAAGTTTTGCCCCGGCATCCGATTCAGGCCGGGGACGCTGGAGACAAGACACCCCAAACGGGTTAGCGCCATCATGTGGCAGCCCCAGGCACCGACGGCGCCAAGGCCGACATCAAAAGTTCGAGCGGAAGATTCCCTTGAACTGGTTGCTCTAGACCAGACTCCCCGCCAGCACACGCCAAGATGATTGTCCGACAACTATGTCTGCGGCAAGGTAAGCTGCTTGCGGCATTGGGATGGTAGAGATGCCAGCGGAAAGCTAATGGACTTCCCTGCCAGCCCGCCAGCTTCGTGCTCTGCCCCGTCAGTCGCGCATTTTGTCCCGGTTCTCGTCCACCGAGACGACTGTCGAGACGGCTGTCAAGACCCCAGTGCGACCCTCCCCTGTCGAACCAGGAACTTCGTCGGGATTCTCCGCTACCGAGGTGGAGGCCTATCAGCAGAAAGTGCAGAACAGTGAGTGCTGTGCCTCCCTCCTGCAGTGTTGTTGATGAGCCTGGCGCGGGCGGAACGGAAAACTGATCCCTTCACCCATTCATCCAGAGCACGTTTTCCACAGCTTCGGAAGTAAAGTGTCCGGTGCCTATCGCCCAGAGAGCATCATCAGATCCCCTCCCAAACCCTCCGAGGTGACCCTCGAATTGCTCCTCGCGTGCCAAACACACCTCGGCCACTCGACCTCCCGCTGGAACCCCCAGAACTCCCGCTACATCTATGGTGTCAGAGACGGCATCCACATCCTCTCCCTTGACCTGACAGCCGCTCACCTGCGACGTGCAGCTAAGGTTGTGGAAGAGGTTTCGGCCCGGGGCGGCTTGGTTCTCTTTGTGGGCACAAGAAAGGGACAGAAGCGGACCGTGGTCCGGGCCGCCGAGCTGGCTGGAGCGTATCACCTCTTTGAGCGATGGATCCCCGGTAGCTTGACCAACGGGCAGCAGATCCTGGGCCATTGTGAGAAGAAGCTTGTGAACCCATTCGATGAACAGGTCCACATGTGGGAGAATGAGGTGGAGGAATACCCGGCTCTCAAGCCCGACCTGGTCGTTTGCTTGAACCCCCTTGAGAACGAGGTCCTGTTGCACGAGTGTGGTCTGAACAACGTCCCGACCATTGGTGTCATCGACACCGACGCCAACCCTACCTCCGTCACGTACCCCATCCCTTCGAATGATGACAGTTTGCGCGCCGTGGGCCTGATTGCCGGTGTCCTCGGAAGGGCTGGACAGGCGGGCCAGAAAAGAAGATTGGAAGAGGCCCAGAAAGGAAACCTCACCTACGAGCGGATGGCACCCTTGGTGTCCACTGAGAACGTTGCTAAGCCCTCCCCTGCTCACCTCCCACTTATGAATGTTTCGGATGGACAGCCTGTCGAAGCTGCCAGTGCTGCGCCTTCCGCTGTAGAGCCTGCTAGGACGGAGGCTGTCAGTGCTGAGGCTGCCAGTGCAGAGCTTTCTAGTGTGGAACTTGCCAGTGCGGAGGCTGCCGGTACAGAGGCTGCCAGTGCGGAGGCTGCCAATGCGGAGCCTACTATCGCAGAGCGTGGCACTGATTCGCCTAAAAAGCAGCAATAGAGAGCGGAGCCTTGCCGATTGTTTTTATTGATATCAGTCTGTCTTCATGTGAGCTTTCTACTGGGATTGTATTGTATAGGACACTGTAAATTTTTGTTTTTCTCTGGTGTTATCTCATGTATCAACAAATACTTCGAATTGATCTCCCGTTTCTTTCTCCTTCAACGGTTGGGTTCGCCAATGAGCAGGATTTGACGAAAGTGGCACTCTAGATCTGCCACGATCTGGCATTCTGACTACAAAATGCCTTCAGTCTCCATTGAGAAGGAGTCAATCAATGACACATGTCCACAAAAGCATTTCTGATTGGCAAAATGGTCTTCAAGACGCAGTGACGTTTCTATCTGTTTCCGAATACCAACATCCAATGCTGACGAGCATACAGGAATCCTCCTATCTAGTTCTTCAGGGTGTACACCACACGTCCCCTGGCATCCTTCCCCTTGTACTCCACCGTCTTTCCAGTATCAGAAACAACCCGTCTCTCATCACCATTATGCAGGATGAGATCCAGCTCTTTCCACGCGGGAACAAACCCGGATTTCTCATCTCGGGTAAAGCCAACAACGACCTTCTCTGTCGTGGAGCTATAGCTGAGCTTGTACCCAGATATGCTCGGTTCAAGCGAGATTCCATCATCCTCGAACCAAGTGGTGGTGAAGACCCGTCCATGAGAGTCGCCCCTAGGCGGGAAAATCTCAACACCTCTATAGTCGTCGATTTCCTTCACACCTACCGACGCTGGAGTCTCATCGTCAGGCACCCTGGTATGGACCGACTTCCCGACGGGGATAGCACCACCGATTCTGGCCAAGAGGGGAATGCTCTTCTTCCATTCAGACGGAATTTCCACCCATTGGCCGGAACTGAGATAGTTGTAGGGCTCGTTCATGTTTACATACCCGAAATCGAACTGGTCGGTCACCTTCCGAGGGAGATATATCTTGCCAAAATTTACACCTGGCTGGTAGACACCTCCGACTAGGATGGTGTCGCCGAACCAGAATTGCTCATCCCCTGACTTGAGAGCCTTGGTCCAGACCTCGGGGTCGGATTCATAGCCCCAGCCGACCCAGCGTTGGGGTGGGGAGGCGGTCAGGTGGCTCTCCAGTCCCAGGGAGTATATGTAAGGAAGGATCTCGTAGCGACGCTTGATTGTGTCCCTGACGAGGGGAGTGATTTCGGGGTACATCCACGGTTCGATGACCTCTCCGACTGAACTATTCCCCGGGGAGGTCTTGAAGCAGTTGATCGCGAATCGAGGGGAGTGAACACCCAACTGGATCCATCTGAGAAGCAGTTCGGGAGATGGCTGGGGTCCTGAACAAGGCATAAGACATGGTTTGTGCATTACAATGTGGGACTGAGACTTACCTTCAAAGCCTCCAATATCGTGACCGCAACACTGCAAAAGAGAAATGCCGGCATTGAGGGACAGAGCGTTCGCCCCCTTCATGCCTTCCCAGCTGGTGACATTGTCTCCACTCCAGGTGCTGGCAGCGTAGCGCATCGTGCCTGCGGTGGCACTCCGGGTCAGGACGAAGGGCCTGTGATTAGGTTCGAGATCGAGAAGAGCGTCATGAGAGGCTTTGCCCATGAGTTCGGTGTGCAATGCTCGACCCCAGAGTCCAACGGAGTTTTTGACATCCTTTTTGGTGGCTTCGGAAACAGTCGGGTCATCGAGAGCTAGTTTCCAATCGTCATCTGGGAGCGTATACTCATTGTTGTCGTTCCACATGGCATCCACTCCGGCACGTTTCAGGCTTTGGACGCCATCGTACCACCACTTGAATGCAACGGATGAGGAGAAGTCGATATGGCAGCCGTCACCCCCAGTTGCGCCTCCCGCACTCCACAGGCGCATATACCCTGGCTCATCGTTGTCCGGATTCTTGAAGAACCCGTTCCCCTCTATCAGCTTCTGATAACTAGGGTGGGAGGCAAGCAGGAACGGCTTGATGTTCGAGAGAAGGCGAATTCCGCGGGAGTGGTATTTAGCAGTCCACTCTTCCGGGTTTGGGAAGCGATGCTTGTTCCAGGTGAAGACAGTGCGGACTTTGGGCTCCGTTTCCGCGATCGAGTATCCGGAGCTCATCTGGTGCGCCGAGCAGGGGATGCCATGCTCTTCCAGCTTGTCCGCAAACTCCATCAGGACTTGGTTAGCCGGCGGCTCGTCCATCATGGTGTACTTGTACCCGCCCGAGATGTATCCGTATGCCCATCTGGGCACGAGGATCGGGAGGCCGACAAGCTCTGCATACGCCCTCACGACATCCTTGAGGGTCTTTCCGACAATGAGATACTGTTCGAGTCCGCCGTAGTCTTGGCGGTAGACTTTGAAATGGCCCCAAAGGCCGTCGATTTCCGAACCAACCGACCAGGTTCCTCGGGCGTGTGTGGTGGAGAAGATCGCCACGCATCCTTGTGGGGTCGCTTTGATCAAGAGCGGAATATGCTTGTACAGGGGATCGGTGTTGTAGACATCGTACCCGAAGCTGTCGGTGGCTGACAGTTGGAAATGACGCCCGCTAAGATCCATCGGGGCTCTCTTCTCCCCCAGCCCGACGTGAAGCGCATCTCGGTCGTGCTCGGTGTAGTGCGCGATGCCTGTTGCGTCTGCGACGTAGGATCGCAACGGCAGATCCCGATACAAGGGCTCCTGTGCGCCCTTCCATGCTAGCGAGACCACGGGAGTGTTGGTCCACTGGACGGAGGCTGTCACATTGCCTACTTCGATGGTCTTCTGATTGGGACCGCTTGTTGCAGATACCTCGACGCCATTCAGGTCCGTGGTCGGCCTGGTCACGCTGGGATACGGGGGAAGAGGATGATCTTGCGAGGAGAAGGTGACTCTGAACAGGTTCTCGCGGATAGGCTCGAACAGGAAGTCGAAAGATCGGTCTTTTGGGCTTGAGCGAAGATGTACGGAAGAGGGGCTCTGAGCGCCTTCCAGAGTCTCTTGATAGCTCTTAGGGCAGAATTCCTTCTGAGGCATGGTGGTTCATTCGGTGGTCAGGGTTGTGAGGGGGGAGAGTAAGAGTTTCACGATGGGGGAATAACGAAGCTACAGCCAGACTTAACGCTCTATTTGAGGGATTGTAGCTGCGTCTGGTCTCTGGAACCTAGTGTGAGGAGAAATGCTGTTGTATCCGCGGCCTTCGGGGCTCATGTCCGACAGCCCTGGCCGTCCCCCGCATTCTCGTGGTCCCACCCCCAACAGAGCTGGAGATCCTGCCAGGTATCGGATTTCAAGACCGAAAGCCGAAACTAGACGCTTTGAAACGTCTATCATCTCCCAACTCCCGGGTACGATGCTGTGTCGGATGATGTCCGACCATCCTCGTGCCGTGTTGTCCCGTCCTGGTTTGCCGATATGGATGGCAACGTTGACGCTAGCCTTGCTGTGGTCTGCAGACAAGCCACAGTTGAGGTGATTCGCTTCCGCGTCGGTCTTTTCGCGGTTTCGTCCGGGGTTGCGATGATGTTCTTCCCCACGGGGTTTCCCCATCCGTGCAAGTAGTATACGTGGACGGGAAAGGAGGGCGGAGGGAGAAGGGAGGCCTTCCCCCCCCAGCATTCTATTCTGCTCACTTGACTCGGGCTTTGTCCTACTTCAAAAGTGCTGATGTAGCCAAGAGGGATTCATTTGAGACCGGGTATCCTTCTTCTTCGCTTGAGAGCTGCTTGAGCTTGAGTCTCGTTGAGGCTATCTACATACAGCGTGAAGCAGACGCCCAACAGAAGGGAAACGATGTCACACGAAGACGAAACAGACCACAGCAAGCGGGCACAAGATGAGCATATTGAATCTATCGAGGCTGCACCCCATCAGAACCCGGAGCCTCCAGAGTATCCACAAGACAAAGCCCTTGAACTCATTGCGGATGCAGGACAATCTACCACCCTCACAGCCGAGAATAACGCCCGAGTCCTTCGAGAAATTGATCTGAGGTTGCTCCCTATCCTCCTGGGGATCTACTTCCTCCAGCAACTCGACAAGTCAACCCTTTCATACGCGTCGGTCTTCGGTCTGGTCGAGAAAGCCCATCTCCACGGGCAGGAATACTCTTGGCTGGGAGCAGTTGTGTACCTGGTGCAACTAGTTGCACAGCCCTTTGTGGCCTACATCTTAGTTAAAGTACCGCTAGGGAAGTTCCTCGCATGTACGACCCTGTGCTGGGGCATTGCCTTGACATGCATGACTCCGGCGAACAGCTTTGGAGGGTTGTTGGTCTGTCGGATGGTTTTGGGTCTCTTTGAGGCTGGTATCCGTGAGTATCTCTCTCCAGATGCGGATATTACTTGGCACTGAACCCCGAGCATCAAGCCCCTGCGTTCATTGCAATCACTCAAATGTGGTACCGACGACTGGAGCAGCCTGTTCGGCTTGGCTCGTGGTATGCTATGAATGGAGTGGTGAATATGGTGAGTTGTGGTTGGTGCAAATGGGAATGTCTTTGCTGAGGCGTATTATCTTCGGAACAGTTTGGAAGTCTTATCACCTATGGGCTTGGTCATATCAAGTCTTCGGTCCTTGAGCCCTATCAGGTCTGGTAACTTCTGTCTGAGTTATGCTCGATGGAGCTGACATGGGATTAGATTATCTTCTTATTCTTTGGACTCATCACGATTGTCTTTTCTGGTGCTATTCTGCGAGTGATATTCTTGTAACAGGATTCGTACATATCTAACAGGTTCCACAGGTACTTCATGCCCGATTCGCCGGTCCAGGCCAAGTTCCTGCAGGAAGAAGACAAACTCCTGGCCATTGAAAGGTATTCGATATAGTGCATGATTGGCGTGTTGGCGCTTAGAATGGAATAGACTTCGTATGAACCAGCAAGGGCTTGAGACGCATGAGTGGAAATGGAACCACGTCAAGGAGGCATGTTTTGACATCAAGTCATTCTTCTGGTTTGCCTTGATGTTTTCGATCTCGTAAGAAATGTGTTACCAGTCAATGAACGAATGACTTACAAAGAACAGGATCCCCAGCGGCGGCATTTCGACTTTTGGCTCACTAATCATCGAATCATTTGGGTTCGACCAGTTCCAGACGATTCTGTTCAACATCCCGTTTGGCGCGGTCCAACTCCTCGCAACAATGGGAGGGGCATGGCTGGCGACGACCCTGAAAATGAAGGGGCCGGTCATCGCTCTGCTGTGCTTGCCTGCTATCGCGGGCTGTGTGATGTTGCTGCGCATTGCCCACGATGGGCACCATAATGGTGCTTTGCTTGCAGGATACTATATCGTAAGTGTAGATGAAGTTTCATGTTCATACCTCGCTAATTTGTATCCAGGTCTCCGTATACCCCGGAATCAGTATGTCCCTGCCACGCCCCGTTAACCACCAAGCTGACAGACAACAGCGCCTTTGATATACTCGTGGTCTGCCGGAAACACGGCCGGCGAGACGAAGAAGAAGGTCGTGAACGGCGTTGTCCTAGTCGGACAATGTGCTGGAAACGTATGTCTACGACAAGGATTAAGAACAGCCCGAGAAACTCACATAGGGTCTACAGGTCCTCGGCTCCAACTTGTACACGACCAACGAAGCACCGCTTTACAGACGTGGCTTGCTCTCCAAGTAAGACCAGACCGCGAACTCTTCCAGTCCACTGTTAAAATGCTAACTGACAATACCTGCAGCCTGGCAATGTTCTGCCTCCTCATCATGCTCTGCCTGTAAGTCCCAACCCTACAGCCTCGATTCCAAACCAATCACTCATTCCTTAGGATGAACCTGGCATACCTTTTCTTCCTCAACACGAAGCATGAGAAGCAGCGAGCCCGACTGGGCAAGAGTGCGAAAATTGTCGACCACTCGATGCAAGCTGTCGGTGCTGTCCCCGTGGACAAGACCGACGCTGCGCCTCCGCAGACATTGAGCGAGGATAATGCCTTCAAGGACCTGACGGACTGGATGAATGAGGACTTTGTTTATGTTTACTAACTAGAGCTGGTATGGCTTTAATAGGATGAGATGAGGCGTATTTGTTTATGTGAGGGATGGGGGGGTTGGGCAGTGGTTGTATAGCGTTTGTTGAATTAATAGCGATATGCGATTGGAACACAAGCTATACAGCATCGGGTGTAGTTCCACTTTCGGTAAGAATAAACCAGCGTACGAAAGACCTCGCGATAATGATACCCCAGACGGTACGACGACCTGTAGCCGAGTCGGCGAGTCTCCGATGCGCTTTCGCCCCGCCCTCTTCTTTCTCCTCTTCTTCTCCTCTTCTCCTCCTCCCCTCCCCTTCCATCCTATACTTTCCCCACCTATTTACTCTCCCTACCTCTGCATGGCTAAACGCCTCCTTCTCTTCCCCCCATCCTCCCAGAACTCAGCATCAGTCATGGAACCCTCCTCCTCCCCTCCTTGCGCCCTCTCCGCGCCGATCGGCAAAAGACGCATCCCGGTAGAAGTCACCCCCCACTCCCACTCCCCACTACCCACTCCGGGGTTTATCGACTAGTGCAGGAGGATGTTTACTTACTTGCTTACTGATATGTGTGCATGGAACCTAGAAAGCTTGTAGGTCATGTCGGCAGTCGAAGGTGAGTACTCGGTCAGATGGAATGTTGTCTTGATATTTACCGGTAAGAATGTGGATTGTTGACGGTCTGCATGGATGGAGAGGTGTGTAGGTGAGATGTGATGGGGGACGGCCGTGTGGGAGGTATGTATACATACTATATTATCCATTTATCGGGGGTGAAGGAGGGTGTTTTGCTGATGGAGATGGCTGGATGAGTAGATGCACACGATCAAGAAAGCAATGCGAGTTTTTCGAGACCCCGAAGGATCCTGCGGTGCAGTATGTATTCCTTTTCTCTGTCTGTCTGGCTGTCTGTCTAGATGAAGTGTCGAGTCGAGCTTATTTGGATGCTGATACACAGCTGTCTAGGAGATTAGAAAACGTGGAAAGGGAGGTACAGCGTCTCCGGACACAGCTGGATGAGATACATGCGCTTTTGCGGCTTCGTGCACGGTCTGATCCTGGAGCTAGTATGATGCCTCAGACCCCGCTCCAGGGACAGTTGGTTCAGAAGATGTCCTTTCCCTCGTCGAGTCAGGGTGTGTCGGATCCGGGGATGATGTTTGGTACTGGGGATTATCATACTCGGGGGGCTACGTATAATTCGGCTCAGAGGATTGATGTGATGCCTCAGCTGGAGGCTGCTGAGGTGGATGTGGATGTGGAAGTGAACCTGGAGGCTGCTCGACCTGGAAAACGGAGCCGGTCTGGATTTGAGATCAGGGAGGAGCCGATCTCGAACTTCATCACTAAGGGGCTAATGACGGTTGATCAGGCGATGGGATGCTTTCGAACGTATGTGTCGTGGGTGGGCGTGTCTATCTGGTATATTGGGCTTGCTGACGTGGCGTAGGTTCTTCCAGGGCTGTGTATGTAGATCATTCCATTTTGTTGGGTTTCTCGACAACAAGGCTGATTGTGAGGGAGGACTAGGATAGGTATATCCCGGTTTTCGACCCAGAGCTGGACACGTTTGCGTCTGTGCGTGCTCGAAGTAGCATTCTGCTCAATGCTATTTGCACGATTGGTAGTCGTGTTGAAACAAGTATGAGTTCGCCAGATGGGATAGTGTCCGGACGAGGCTGACATTCCCAGCGTCTGGATCCCAGATACCTGATCTCTTGCACGCCGAGCTCAAGCGATGGATCAATGTCGTTATCCAGAACAAGACCCTGAGCTGTTTGGAGTCCGTGCAGACGTTACTCATCGTAGCCTGCTACTCTCCCGAGCGCTCCCTGATCTTGTCATTCGCGACGCGAATGGCGCTGGATCTGGGCCTGGACGAGGCCTTTGAAGAGCTCATCCAGCGATTGACCATGCGAGAGATCGAAGGGTTGCCTGACATGTCTAGGACAGTGGACGAGGAGCGTTACCTGATGCGAAAATCCAGGACCTGGTTTGGGCTTTTAGTCCTCGATCATATGTACGTGCTTTCTCTAGTATTATTCTCTCCGTATTGATTGATGATGGCAGATTCCACGTCGATGGTGGAAAACCGCCTGGGATCCGGATGACAGGAAATGCACATCGATGCCGCATTCTGCTCCGACATTGCACTTCCACGGTTCTGGATCTCCGTCTGTTTTCTCAAGTCGAGGTAAATAGCTGTCTTCGCTCAGTATGTATAGCAATAGCAATCGCGGCTGACAGTCCCTGTGATAGCTGAACGTCATTCGAGGTATATCACATACTTCGTTCACAAGGTCTGAACAAGATATCTAACAAGCAACAGCAAGGATCAACGACACACTCGATGCGAAGAAGACCCTCAATAGACCCGACATTGCCGAATTCGTACACGAGGCCAAGGTAGACCTTGGGCTCTGGTTTGAGTGAGTCTCTCACCCTGGACACTGGACACCAGAGCTAACCCTACCAGCGACTGGCTACGCATAATCGGTACATTCCCTCCCTTACCCTCCATCAACAATCCAATTACCACTAACCAAATGAGCAGAAAACACTTCCTCAGCCGAACAAGAGCGCCCCTTCCTCCTCGCCGCCCTGCGCGTCCAGAAATGCTGGGCCGAGCTAATCCTCCACTGCAAAGCGCTGCGCTCTATGGGCGTCGAGAACGTCGCGTATGCCTCCTCCCAAACCCACTACCTACCCAACTATCTATCCCCCATCCCTCCCCAAACCACTCCCTCACTAACCCGCAACCTTTCGCAGCGCCATGTCCCCCACCTCACGCACGATCCTCCAAATCGCCAAATCCAGCGCCCGGCAACACCTCCGCCTAATCAGCCTGGAACCCGACTTCTACCTCGCCAAACTCAAATACGCCATGGACTTCGTCTGGGCCAAATGCGCCTTCTGCTTCCTCCTCCTCCTGAAACTCTCGCGTCTGCTCCCGGAGCGAAAAGAAGAGCACCAGGAACTCCTCGACCATGGTACCAGGCTTCTCTCAGATTTAACCAAGGCTGTGGGGGATCAGCCGTCTCCGTCGACCTCGACCTCTACCTCTACCTCTAATGTAACTTCTACCTCAGCTGCCACCGGCACCACAAACACCAACAGCAGCACTACCACCAACCCATCCCTCAGTGACCTCACCACTCCAGCAAGAAACATCTACATCCAAATCCTACGCCTCAGCATCGAGAAATACAGCCGAACCCGACAGGACAGAGACGTCGAAACAGAAACCGAGGGCCAGAATCAGCCGCCCTTATCCTCATCCTTATCCTCATTCCCATCCCCATCCACAACACAAACACAAACACCATTCTGGGAGCTGTTCGACGCACAGATAGATTTGCAATCATTCGTACCGGACCAGTTTGTCCGCGAGTGGGACTTCCCCGGGCTGAATCTGTTTTATTTCCCGACGGCGTGGCAGGATTTCTTTGGGGATTTTTCGTTGGCGGGTTAGTTGGGATTGAGGTGCTTGCATATTACTATTTGTAATGTATGTATGTATGTTTATTTGGTTGGTTGGTTACTTTAAATTCTGGGGAGGGGTCAGTATTAGTTGCTTGGTTGGATCATTCTTTCTCTGTTTCTATTTCTATTTCCACTTCTATTTCGTTCGTATCCAGACGATAGATAGATGGTCACAGTGGGGTGGATGGGATATACACCTGAACTGCACTCCAAAGGGAAGTAGAAATGAAAAAAAGGCTAGAGATCATCAGACATGAAGAAGAGGAAGAGGAAGGTGTATCATATTCATGGATCATTGGCCAAATGTTGAAAAACCAAAACCACAGATTGGCGGGGGTCGAACTCTATAAAACCGCACAGAAAAAAAAAAGGAACAATCAAGAAAGAAGAATGAAGTCTATTGTGCAAAATTTCCCTCCAGCACCTGTTGAATGTATAGACGAACCCAGAGAGAAAACACCGCCGACTCGGGAATGCGTAGACGTGATGATGATGATGATGATGATGATGATGATGATGATAATGATGATGATGGGTATTAGGTTCTGCTTTTATTTTTTTTCTTTCCAGGATACTTGATTTAACCCAGGGCTCTCATGGTGAGCTCGACGCTGTGGGAGGTCGATTAGTACTCCGAGAGTTTCAAGAATGTATACCACACAATGTAAAAAGGGGGAACATACACAGCAAAAGTACCCGCGGACACAGGCATAGCCCTAAGAAGAGTGGGTCCGATACCCTTCCAGAAGCCGGCAAAACCCTCGGCGGCGTAGGTCTTCTTGAAGCAATCGGTCATGCTCTTGAACTGCTGCTGGGCACCGAAGCCGTCGCACTGCATCTTACTCTTGACGACGTCGAAGGGGTAGCTGCTCAGCCAGAGGGCCTCACCGGCCAGACCACCGTAGGTGGCGACCTTCAAGCTGGAGATGTCCTCGCGCTTGATGTTGTTGCGCTTGGCATCCTGGTTCATCAGGTACTCGAAGGCCAAGAACCAGGTACCGTAGGCCTGGGCCTCACGGAAGTAGGTGACGTTCTGGCCGCGGAAGAGACCCTTGAGGACGCCGCCCTGGTTGCAGAGCTTGCGGATGCAGTCGATGGGCCCGGTGTAGAGGCGGTCGGCGCCGTGGGGCTGGGTCTGCAGGCGGATACGGACGTGCTCGATGGGACCCGACAGCACGGAGTTGGTGAGACCGGCGATACTACCGGCCATGAAGTACTGGGTGTAGGAGAGGGTGCTGTCGGCGTATTTCTTCTTGTTGAGCTGCTCGAGACGTCTGCGGGCTTCGTGGAACGCGCCGAATTGCACACTGACCTGTGTTCTTCTGGTCAGAGGGGGCACGGGGGTCGGCGGGGAATGAGGCGGGTGCTTACGCAGGCACCGATTCCGATCAACGGGGTCAGAGTACCCTTGTAGAAGGCGAGAGGGCCCTCATTCTTCAAGATCTTGCTGGCGCAGTCCAGCGCATTGGAGTACTGGGTCGTCGTCTGCAGGCGCACCTTGACGATATCTGCTCGGGTTTGTGGTTAAAGAGATTCTTATTTGCGACGGAAGGATGTGCCTACCAAAAGGTTGTCCTAAGCCATGGTTAGCAGGTGGTTAACGTGATGGTGGAGAGACGGTCAAGGGTGGGTGGTGGCCGGGCGCACAATCACAATCTCCGCATTCGACCTCCGGTCCGCGGAGTGACGGCGGCCATTGCGAGGGGCAGATGCGCAACTGAACGAAAAGGGCACAGGATCTAGATCACATACCAAGAAGCACCTGGGCAATTCCACCCGCAGCGCCGGCGGACAGGTCCTTGACCATGCGGAGGCTATCGCCGCCCTTTTGCATGTCCTCAAAAGCCTCGGACTCCATTGCGGGGAAGTACTTCGTCGGATCGGGAAACTGGAAACGGAGGGGAGAGGGGGAGATGGAGGGCCACGGGGCCGTACGAAGAGACAATGGAGAGAGACGGAGACTGAAGTTGGTCCTGGTCTTTACCGGGGAGACCGCAGTGTCTGGGCAGGCAAGGGGAGGAGGAGGAAGAAAAGTCGAGCGCAAGTGCGAAACGGGGCTTATCAGGACGATGAGGAGAAGCGATGATCACGAGTAAGTCTTCTTGTCGCGCAAGATTGCCGCCCTCCGATTCGGCGCCGCCGCCGAGAGCACGTGAGCCGGGAAACTACTAGTTAACTACGGAGTACAAACCACAGCGCTGAGTCAGCTATGCAAGCGGACGGCTGAGTCAGCCATACGGTCACGGCGGATACGTTCGCGTAATAATCATCGAAGGAAGTAAAGTTGCTTCCGCCCGTGTTCGCTCGCTGTGAGCAAACGACATCCACAATGTACAGGCGGGCTGCTTTACAAGTGAGTGGCCAGGATCTCTCAAAGCTCTCGGTTTGCCCTCCGCTAACCCAAGACTTTCCAGCTCTCCAGCCGTCACGGGGTCGACTGCTCGTGCCGAACCGCCCGCAGAAATGCTGCTCTCGCTCCGGTAGTCTGCCTGGTTCCTCGACGGCGCTTTCGACTCTCCCTCCCATCCCTCGAGTCGTCCGAATCTTCGTCGCCGACTGACCCAGCGTCCGCTCCGGGTCCCCTGCGTCCAAAGTTTGGCAACCGCTGGGGAACTAAAGCACAGCAGCCGACTGGCCTCAGCCCGGCCGAGCAAGCCATCCGAGATGCTCTAGTAGCAAAGCAGCAGAAAGAGAAGGAGGAAAAAGCGCGCGAGCAAAGGGAACTTCGGGAAAAAGAGCGCGGGTTCAAGACGCGCCTGGAAAAGGAGCTTCGGGGAAATGAAAGTCGGCAACAACCAGCGCAGGAGGGACAAGCTCCTCGAAGGAATGGATTGAAAATCAGCTGGTCAAGTAGGCCAAATCTGTCTAACCGGGGCCCTGTCCTCAGCCCGGCTGAGCAGGCCACCCGAGATTCTTTACTGCAGGACCGACTGGAAAGACAATCGCATCAAGCTTACAAAGGGCCGGGGGACCCCAGGAGGCTTAACCATCCCCGGCGGTCTTCCGGTTCATTAGAAGATCCGGAAAGCCAATCTCTCCAGCCTGACAGTTCGCTCGAGGTCAACAGGAAGAAATGGTCGACGGGTTGGACATGTCCAGATTGCCAGACGCAGTGCTATCGGAATCACTACTATTGCCCAAATTGCAAAGCGGCCAGGCCCAACATGCATCACCCGCGGCATCGGCGTGCTCCTCAGACCGACGAAGAAGCCCTGAAGATCCGGAAATTAGGCAGTGCGCTCTTGGAAGATGCGGGAACCGCAAGCGCGGTGGCGCCCGGTCGAAGGGACTCCGCATTCAGGGAGCATATGGCCCAAAGGGGAGAATACGCTGGAGTCCGGCCTGTTTACGACCACACCCTTGATGAGAAAATGGACGAGAGAGAATCCAGGCAAGCAGAAAGAGCTGCAGCCAGAGCCGCACAAGAACAAGAGAAGGCCGAAGTACAGGATAAGAAGAAGAAGGCCAACCCTGCAGATATCTGGTCCTGGGATGAATCTTCCTTGCAAAACCTCGGAATAGAGGATGATTATGTGCCACAGGATAGGTCGAAGCGATGGGATGGTCGCAAGAAGCAGGGAGTTCGGGAGAGGGACGAGGAGGCAGAGTTTGACGAAGACGAGGAGGCCAATCGTCGATTACGTCGCGAGGCGCGGGCGCGCATGAAGAAGGAGAAGGCCCGCAGGAAGGCCATGGAGCCTTCGCCCCTGTACCTGCCCGAGTTCATCAGCGTCAGCAACCTTGCCGATGTGCTCGGCGTGCACCCCGCGCAATTCGTTCGACGGATGGAGGATATGGGCTTCGAGGATGTCAGCTATGACCATGTCCTTGACGCAGAAACGGCGGGCTTGATCGCCACCGAATACAACTACGAGCCTATCTTTGACACAGGCGAGGAGGATTTGACCGCGGCGCCGGAGCCCGAAGACAAATCGAGCCTGCCGCTCAGGCCACCGGTGGTGACGATCATGGGCCATGTTGACCATGGTAAAACCACGATTCTCGACTGGCTTCGCAAGTCTTCCGTTGCCGCGTCGGAGCATGGCGGTATTACACAGCACATTGGTGCGTTCTCGGTGGGCATGCCGTCCGGAAAGACGATCACGTTTTTGGATACTCCCGGCCACGCCGCCTTCCTGGACATGCGCCGTCGTGGTGCAGACGTGACCGATATTGTGGTCCTTGTGGTCGCAGCGGATGACAGTGTGAAGCCCCAGACAATCGAGGCGATCAAGCACGCCACCGCGGCCAAGGTCCCTATCATTGTCGCCATGAGCAAGATAGACAGAGAGGGCGTCAACCCAGACAAGGTCAAGCAGGATCTTTCTGTCCACGGGGTGCATGTTGAGGACTACGGCGGCGACGTGCAGGCAATTGGCGTGAGTGGTAAAACGGGCCAGGGAATGCTGGAGCTGGAAGAAGCAATCGTGACCCTGTCCGAGATTCTCGACCACCGGGCCGATCCCACGGGGAATGTTGAGGGATGGGTCGTCGAAGGAACCACGAAGAGCTATGGCCGTGTGGCCACGATGCTGATCCGGCGCGGTACTCTACGACAAGGCGATATCGTCGTCGCCGGCAACACCTGGGCGAGGGTGCGCACCCTTCGAAACGAAGCCGGGTTGCCCGTCCTCGAGGCCACGCCAGGCATGCCCGTGGAGGTGGACGGCTGGCGAGACCAGCCAGAGGCGGGCACCGAGTTCCTGCAGGCTGTGGACGAGCAGCAGGCCAAGCAGGTCGTCGAGTATCGCCTGGGGAAGAGCGAAACCGCGAAACTGAGCGAGGACATGGCCGCTATCAATGACGCCCGTCGAGAGCAGCAGGAGAGACGCCGGCGGGAGGAGAGGGGCCAGGAGCTCGAGAAGGAGAGCCAGTCCGGGCCTACGCCGGTGCACTTCATCATCAAGGCGGACGTTGGCGGATCCGCGGAAGCGGTTCTGAACTCGGTCACGGCGGTTGGCAACAACGAGGTCTATCCCAACGTGCTTCGGTCGGAAGTCGGGCCCGTGAGTGAGTTCGACATCGAGCACGCGGCCTCAGCCAGCGGCCATGTCATCTCGTTCAACATGCCCATTGATGCGGCTATGTCCCGGATGGCGCAGACGCGAGGCGTCAAAATCATGGACCACAACGTCATCTACAGGCTCATCGACGATGTGAAGGGCGTTCTGAGTGAGCAGTTGGCTCCCTCAGTGAGCCACCGGGTGACAGGTGAGGCCGAGATCGGACAGATCTTCGAGATCACGGTCAAGGGACGTGAGAAGACGTTGATCGCAGGCTGTAAGGTGCGCAATGGATTGATCAACCGGGCCAAGAAGGTCCGGGTGGTCCGAGGCCAGGAGACAATCTACGATGGTGAGTTCCCTCTTTGGCTTTTTGTCTCTGACTGTCTGCTAACGTGCTCCAGGTTCGATTACATCCCTGAAGAACGTCAAGAAGGACGTGACGGAGATGCGCAAAGACACCGAGTGTGGTATCGCCTTCGGCGGATGGACCGAGTTTGCCGTTGGCGATCACATCCAGTGCTACGAAGAGATCTTCGAAAAGAGATACCTCTAAGCGGTGCTTCTCCCTCTCTCTCTCTCTCCCTCCCTCTCTCTCTCTCTCTCTTTCTCTCCCTCCCTCACTCTCTTACCCCTTCATCCCTCCTCTTCTTCCGACCTACTGTATTATTAGCGGGCAACTGACGCCCGATCCCCATACCCCCCTATCCTCTCTCTCCGCCCTGACCGGCATGGATGGACATGGCGCAGTGGAGGGGGAAAATCTTCCTGTACAATATTCCCCGGGTTGGCTTACATAGACGATGTATTTTGAAATCGTCACCCCGATAGAGACCCCTGAACCCTACCTATCTACAATAAATAAATACCATGACTGATTCATATCCCCCCTCCTTCACTTATCTTTCCTCCCATTTAACACTCATCTACTCTCCATATCTCATATCCCACATCCCACATCCCACATCCCGCATCCCATCTACCTACTATCTATCTACCTCGCCTTCCACCTAACCCTCCCCACCCAACCCGCCCAAACCCTCACATCCTCCCTCTCGCAAATCCTATCCACGGTAAACCACTCCCTGGCCAGTTCCTCATTACTCGCCATGCGATGCACAAAGCTATGACAGGCGCGACACAGCCACGCCACGCTATTCAGCATCCACTCCTCATGCCACCCCTTCTTGAGCACCTTGGCGTGCACCCCGCGCGGAATAAGATGATGATACGACAGCGGGATCCAGTCCCGTTCGCAGATCTCGCAGGCGGAGGCGCGCGTCGTCGCCCACACGGGCGGCGGCTTGGTCACGGACGCGATGTATTCGGCTAGGATGGGCGAGAGGAAGGAGGGGAGGTCGGCCGCGTCGGTGATCAGGGCGTAGGTTGTCAGGGTGTCGGGGATGGAGGGGGGGAGGGTGTGGCTGGTTGTTGTGGCGAGGGCTTGTGGGGCGTGTTGGTCTTCTGATTCGGAGAAGGGGGAGGGGGTGGTTGGGTCGTAGGTCAGGGTTTGGAGGGTTGGTGGGAGTGAGGGGAATGTTTCCGAGGCTATGAACTGTTGTTTTTTTTTGTATCTCGCGCGCGCGTTAGAATGGTATGTGGTGGTGGGGGAGAGGGGAGGGGAGACGCACGTCAATGAAGTCAGCTAGGTCTTCGGGGTCGGCGCGCGATTGGAATTCATTGTCCTCTGTCTGTGTCTGTTCCTGTGCTTGGGGCTTGAGTTTGGATTTTTGGCGCTGCGGTCGGCTGCGACGCGCTTTCTTGGGCGGGCGGGACGGGGTGGATTTTGCGACGATGGCGCTGGACACGCATTCGCGGAAGATTTGGTAGTTTTCGCTGTCGAGAGGTGTCATTGTTGTTGGGGGGTGGGGTTGGGATTGGGCCATCAGTGGGTGAGAGGTGAGGCGGTTGCGATGGAGGAAGTTCTTGGTCCGTCACGGTTGAGGAGAGGCCTTGACATCATCGTCACTTGGTCCGCGCTCGGAGGTTCAGCTTGACTCTCCCTCCGTCTACTTAGTACTTCAGACCCAGTCCAGGTTCATATATACCCATTTTGTCTGACAATGGCCGTACAGCCTATTCTTGCGTTTGATATTTACGGCACTTTACTCTCCTTCGAAGTCGTCACCCAGCAATTGGAGCACTACTTGGACGACAGCGCTCGGGCCCGGACGGTATCGCAGACATGGAGACGCTACCAGCTGGAATACACTTGGAGGCTGAATAGCATGGGTATGACTGGCCATGACATCTAGTCTATAGTTAATCCTCCAGTCTAATTCTGATGGCTCCCGTCTACCTAGGCCGCTACCAGCCCTTCCTGGACGTCACGAAGAATGCCCTCGTGCACGCGCTCGCCGACACAGACGCCCGCCTGTCTGCCGACGAGATCGAGCATCTCATGGCGACCTACAACAGCCTGTCTCCCTTCCCAGACGTCGACGACGCCTTGACCCAGCTCACCAACCTTCCACAAACCCGCGCGGTGATCTTCTCGAACGGCACACAGGATATGGTGTCGAAGTGTGTGGACCGCACGCCATCGCTGTCGCGGCACCGGAACTTCTTCCAGGCTATCATCAGCGCGGACGAGGTGGGGCAGTACAAGCCGGCGCCGGATGTCTACAAGCATCTGGCGGCGCGAGTCGGCAAGCACCACTCCGGCATGCAGGAGATTTGGCTTGTCAGCGGCAACCCGTTTGACGTGGCCGGTGCCCTGAATGTGGGTATGAAGACCATTTGGGTTGCCCGGGATCAGGCTCCCTGGACCGACCGCGCCCTGCCTGACCTGAAGCCAACCGCGACCGTCCACAGCCTGGGACAGGTGGTGGATGTGATCCGGGATCGTGTATCACAGTACTCGTAGCACTCTGTATCCCTAGTAGGGTAGGTAGGGTACTGGGTAAGGGAAGGCCAATGGCCGAGCCGACCGCACAATGAAATCTCTACATATCCGAAGTATTTTTTTTTTGTTTTAAAATGCGATGTACCGCCGTTGTTATTTCCAAATGCTCCACGCCAAAGGTAGAAGAATTCGGGGTAAGTCAGCAGAGTTACTCTTACCTCCCATTTCCCCTCTAAGGCTCCACAGAAAAGGAGCTCAGAGTGAATAGGGAGGTTGATCAGTTTGTAAGTAAGTGAAGAGGAAAAGAGAAAAAGGCGCCAGGGGGGAAATTCGACGCCTTTTATAGCCGGGCCGCTCACCGCCCGCCGCCTATCGATAACGGGCTGGGCTTGGCATGAGGATGACGATGCATGAGGGAGGCCGTGCGGTGTGTGTTGTTGCTTGTTGGGCTGCTCTGCTCTGCTCTGCTCTGCTCCGCTCCCCCCGTCCACCTGGCTCATTCATCCTATCTGGCACCTTCACTGGTTGTTTTGTTTGGCTTTGCTTTGATCTGATTTGATTTCTTTTTCATCTTATTTTGAGCCTCTGCATACTTCTCAAACCCTCCCGACCATGCCTGCAAGACATTGGGATACCAGTAAAGCCGCGTGGTTGTATCCCCTGCGTGTATGTTGATTCTGCTGCTGCCTGCTGCCTGTTCCCAGCTCCTTACCGCGAAGACTGACTCGCTTCGTGGCCATCTACAGGGAGTCTACTACTTTGCATCCCATCGCTATCTCTGGCCCTTGTTCAAGACTCGCCTAATCCCCATCGTGCTGCTCTCCGCCTTCATTTATGTGCTGCTGTTCACCTTCACATACCTGCCCCAGGTGGCCTTCCTCTCCATCTTCCAGGGCGTCGGGGCGTGGGTCAATGGCGCATTCCTGGTGCTCGGCGAAGGGGCCGTCATCGTGGCCGGGCTCTTCGAGGCCTTCTTCGTCGACGAGACGCTGGTGGACATCTTCGACTCGGTGCTGGTGAGCGAGGGCCACGGCGAGCTGGTCACCATGTCGAGGGTGCTATACCCCCAGGGTGACGATGTCGTCAAGCGGCTCGGCAAGCCCACCCAGAGCGCCGTTTATGCGCCGTTTTCCCTTCGCCAGATCCTCGAGTTCATCGTGCTCCTCCCGCTGAACTTTATTCCCGTGGCTGGAACGCCGATGTTTCTGGTGCTGACCGGCTACCGGGCGGGCCCCTTCCACCACTGGCGGTACTTCCAGCTGCTGGATCTCTCCAAACCCCAGCGCAAGGAACGGATTCGTCGCCGGCAACTGCAGTACACCACGTGGGTTTCACTTCCAACCCTCTTTTCCCTCTCCCCCCTCCCTTCCCGATCAACCCAGATCGACCAGTACCGAGGTGTATGCTAACGATCAACCACGCGGCGACGCAGATTTGGGACGACGGCCCTGGTTCTTCAGCTCGTTCCGATTTTGTCCATGTTTTTCCTGATGTCAACCGCGGTTGGGTCGGCCCTGTGGGCGGTGGAGATCGAAGACAGGCGCGATCCTTTCGGCAGAAGGCGCGGGCAGGATCCCGAGAACATCTACCGTGATGATGATATGATATGAACCTTTGTTTTTCCTCTTCTTGTTTATTGGCCCGGGAATCATTTCCCACACCATTGCTGATTGCCTTGCTCCTGCTCCCGCCCCACTGGACCGGGAGGTTTGTGCAACCGTGGCATTCCCGCCGGGAGGGAGACACATAATAATCTAATAATCAATAATCACAATCAAGCCTTTCCCCTCCCCGGGCAAGTCCTACGTAAGTAGCAGTTGGTCGTGGACGAGAGTCCTCCGCCGGGCGGTCCACCGGGGGGCATTCTAAGCTAGCCCCGGGGAGATAGTCGATCATGGGCACTGCACTGGCTGGCCCCTGCCACAGGATAGGAACCCGAGGTGGGACACTGGACTGGCGGAAGGGATTGCCGACTCCACCTGCAGGCTTTTCGTAGCCGCAGGAGCCTATAGATATCTAGACAGGAGGGCGCGGACGAGGAGTGGCTTTGACTTTGGGAAGTGGGAAGAGGTCCTAGGAGGATGGTCGAGGGACGAAAGCGGGCCACGCCGACCGATTGGGAGAAATCCCCCTGAACGGGGCGCCGCTAGCCCGTCTAGCCTGCATCTTAGCTTTTGGCTCCCTCGTTCCGGCGCCCGACACGGCGACATCAGCACTAGACTGTTTGTCGCCGTAGGCTGTATGGAGTATGTAGTACACACAGTCAGGAAGGACCTAGGCCTTGTCACAGACTCGGCAAGACTGCGAGTCTGCGACAATGGGAGTCTCAGCCCTCTTTCCATGGACCCAGTGGCTGTCGTAATTTTTTGTTTTATGTCTACGTGGTGTTCTACTTGTAGTCTTCGCGGCTTCCATGCCTCGGCTTTTCCGTTCAGGTTCAGGTTCAGGTTCAGGTTCAGGTTCAGGTTCATGCAGTTGGTCTGTTCGGCCTCTGAGCTGCCCCCTCATTGGCCCGCCTGGCCTGTCCGCGTGGGGAATCTGGTCCAGGCAACCAGGCAATCCCAGGCAGTCAGGCAGTCAGGCAGTCAGACAGTCAGACAGTCAGACAGTCAGACATTGAGGCACCAAGGCAGAGAGCGTGAACAAGGTATGACGCGCAGCCACGTGATCGTCCCGCCTTCTGCAACAGGCAGGACTCTGCTGCAAGTGGATCAACTCTCTTTCTCTTGTACTTCTCTTCTGCTCTCTCACACATCTCTATCAACTATCTACGACACCATCTACTCGATCAACAATCCCATTTCAAATCATCAGGCACCCCCTCGTGTAACAACGGCCGGAATTTCCCTGCGTGGGCCACCAACGGCCACCACCGGTGAAACCCCCTTCCGATTCCACCCGCCATTGGCCACCACCCCTCGATCGACGGCGGAGTCGCCCAACTTAAGGTACCAGCCAGCCTAGCCCGGCTCTATCGTCTGCGCCTCCACCCGGCGGGGATCCTGACCGGTGGTCGATATTGCATTAGGTCACTCCGGGGTCGCTTCTTTGGGTCTTCGGTCTTGGGACTCTGCGACGCTGCGACGCTGCGACTCTTGGACTCTTGGAACAGAATCTCAAAAGTTGACCTGGTCCCTCGACCTGCCATCTAGTGGCTTTCGCACCGGCCACCGACCACACGCGCTCCCTCGCGGCCCTTAATAAAATACTAGCGAACCTGCCTCCTCCGGTGATCGCCCTTTCAATTTCCCCCACACCTACGGGACCGCCGTTATCACAGCAACTAATTCTAATTTACCCCCCCCCCCCCCCCCCCCTGGTCCGGCTACGCAAGTACATTGCTCATCATTAGTGCCCGCGACTATCGGCTTTCCCTAACTAACCTGCGCTACTACTGCTATTATCGACGACTATTCCTCGCCTTGCCTCTTCTCCAGATCTCTCTCTCTCTCTCTCTCTCTCTCCTCGTCCCGCCCTTCATCTCCGTTCCGCGCCCGACAGCGGCCGCAGCTTTCTGCCTCGTCGGTTCTGGAGTATGCGCGGACGGCCTGGTCCTTCTCTGGCGACAGGTACCGATGATTTAGCCTGCTAGATGCGACTTAAAGCATGGGAACGGTCACTGTGTTCTTTGTATGCTCATGGACCAACGAACCAGGCTGCGGAAGGCCTGCGATGCCTGTAGTATTCGGAAGGTGAAGGTACTTGATCTGATGGCATCCCCCCCGACTCACCCCTCGCTGATCCCGATCCCTGTGTACAGTGCGACACCAGTGGGCCTCCCTGTCGATCGTGCGCAAGCTTGGACATTCCTTGTACATATGAACGACCGAATCGACGTCGCGGTCCTCCCAACCGCCACGCAGAGGCATTCAAAAAGCAGAAGCTAGCAGAGACCCCTTCAGGCTCCCCAAGCCCGTCAGATCAGACCACCCCAGGCCCTTTGGGGTCTGTTGGGAGCACCATCCTATCCACATCCGCCTCCATATCACTGGAGTCCATCTGTTCCATGCCGACGATACGATGTCTGGTCGATGATTTCTTTACCTATATTCACCCTCTTGTTCCTGTTCCCCATGAACCTACGTTCCGCGCCGCGTTGGAGCGTCGAGATGATCTTACCAGCCCCACCTTTCTGGCCCTGACGGCCGCCATGATCGGGACATTGGTGGCCTCCTTCCCGCGGAGGCCCAAGTTGCATCTCAGGAACGAAGCAGAGAAAGCGGCCTTCCCGCATTCGATGGCGCTGGTCAGGCGGTGCCACGACGTCTCAGTCCAGGCGCGAGGCACCGGCTATCTCGACCGAAGCGCGACGGTGTATGATGCCGCAACCAGCTATTTCCTTGGTCTTTGCTCTGGATATGTCTGGCATATGCGCCGGTGTCGAGCGTACTTCGCGGAATGCCTGACCATGCTGCATGTATACGATCTTTGTCGCCCCTCAAACCGGATGTCTACATCCATGACTCCCACGACCCCGAACTCTTGTTCGTCAATTTACTCACAGGATCCCTTCGGCGCGACTGCCGAAATGCAGGTCGACTTTGTCGAACAGGAACTCGGGCGACGTTTATACTATACCATTGTTGTCGGCTATCGCACATTACAGCAGTTGGGCTCGGGCGACGCGACAGTCTATCTCCCTCCCGAAACCCCTACCGAGCGTTATCCACCTATGCCGCTGGAGGTGGACGATGAATTCATCTTCTCGACCCATGTTGACCCACAACCACCTGGCCGGACTTCGCGTCTGGTCGCCTTCAATGCTAACGTCCGGGTGTTGAATTCTTACAACTCCCTTTCTGCCTGGGAGGCTGCATTCGGGCGCGGCCAGATTTTTGATTGGGAGCGGCAACGCTCCCTCCTGTGTGAGTGTTTACAAAAGGCCAAGGCGGTGCTCGCCAACGTCCCAAGCGAACTGACCCTTCGGTGGCCTCAGGATTCCATGTCAGATGGGCATGGCCACTTCGGACCGACCCTCTCCGTGGAGGACCCGCGGTTGTATGCCCGCCACGTGCAGTACGAGATCCAGAAAGCCAATATTTACGCCAGCCAGCTGTGCACAAGGTCGTACTTGGTGGAGAAATATTGGGCTCTATACACGGCATGGAAAATGCAGCGGAAGATGTCTGAGCAGCATTCCGTCAGCCCTCGAACTAACATCAAAGTGGAAGGCGAACAACCCCACAATCCGGACGTATCGGATACGTATGCGCAATCAGACTTCATCGGGAGGATGATGACCGAAGAACGTCGGCTCGTGATCCGAGACTTGTTCGTATTGCTGCGATCTGTCAACGAGATCAATATGGAACCCAACGGTGCAAGCTTTGTAATGCACCCTGATTCTTCCACTCATGAAAAGTACTAACATTTTCCAGACGGCTAAAGTCCGCCAAATCGCATCCACCTTGCTCAACTTCCCTCACCCCAACACGATCACGCCTGCCATGAACGGACCGCACCCGCTGACCTCTGCCGAGGCGGAATCCTACCTCCGCGCGTTCATTGACACCCTCGTCCGGCTGGAGGGTCTGAAGGGGGCACCCCGACCTGCTGACTCTAGTCCCGGGGGCAGTGGGCGGTCCATGAGCTATGTGAGCGACCATGACCGCGATGAAGAGGAGCTGCGGCAATGGGCCAGTCTGAAAGAATACCAGACCAAGTTCGCCGAAACCGGAGGGATATATACTGATTTATAATGGCATATATGAGTATGTATGTATGTGTGTGGATGGGTGTGGGTTTATATGTGTATGTGTATGTGCGTGTGTTTCCAAGCCATTGTATTTTGCATTCTTTTGCCTGGAGTTTCTGGACTGGATTCTTTTTTTTGGGTGGCAACATGTTTTTTCTTCTTTCTCCTGCTTCATTTTCATTGTCGTTCTTATTTTTACTTTCATTTTCATTTCTGCAAGCTTTATTTTCTATCTCTTTGCTTAGATTTGTTTTGTTGAAGGGTTGGTTAGCTGACTCGTTGGTTGGTTGGATGGATGGATGGATGGATGAAGGATGGAGTTAATGAGTGTATTAGGAGGGGAAAAGGGATTGGGCGGTCTGGTCTTTCTGTATTATAAGATTGGGGTTAGTTGATACCGATGCTGGTGTTGATGGTGGTAGTGATACTGATACTGATACTGATACTGATACTGATACTGATACTGAATGTGCTACCTGGGTGGTTGCACGATACCCCCCTATCCCACCCATGTATCTTACCTAGGTCATGAATGGATCTGATCATACAGTTTATCAAACAAAAAGTCAGGTGTATAATTAAGGATGCCCTGTATCTATTCACCGCCTCGCATAGAATATTATACAGTTATAATTCCCCACCGTACCTAGTACTTCACTCTACTACTTAGTACTATGTATGTACGGATGGATGGATAGTGTGACATGCAAGGAAATACCTGTTGGACCCCCCCCCCTCCCCCTCCCCCACAAATTATGTCACCCGGGCAGGATAAACAAACAGCCAGAAACAAAAGCCACGCCATTACTACTTACATCGCCACTAGGAAAAAAGAGATAAATAACTCCAACAAAGAAAGAAAATTTTTATTCAAGACAAAATGAAATACTGAAAGACAAGACAGATACACAGACAGATACACAACGAGAAAGAAAAAAAAGCGCAGCAGGGTATGGTTGGTGGGGATGGTAGGAATGGTAAGGTAGGGATGGTGCCATCTACCGCGCCGTAACGGTGACAGTCTCGGTGAATTTCTCGGTCTCGGTCTCGGTCTTGGTGACAGTCTCAGTCTGGATCTCAGTCACGGTGATGAAACCGGATGGTGTAACGGGGACGATGCTGAGGATGCCACTTGTTTCGGAGGAGGAGGATGAATGTGAGGATGAGGATGCTGGGGTGGGAGTGGGGGTTGAGGTTGATTCGCTTTCGCCTTCTCCTTTGTTTCCTGTGGGGTCTGTTGTGGGTTGAGTGGGTTCTGTAGTAGTGGTTGTAGTGACGATGATGGTGGTGGGTGGTGAAGCTGATTCTGGGGTGGCGGTGGCGGTGTTGATGATGATGATTGTGGATGTTGATGCGGCTTTTAGAGGTAGTGTGGTTGTTGTGGTGGTGGGGGCTGGTTCGGGGGTGGGGATTGGGGTGTTTGTAATGACTAAATATACGGTCTGAAGGAGTGTTGATGTTGCAGAGAGGGTGGTTGTTTCTTCCGGCTCTGTCATGGTTGAGGTTGAGGTTGGAGCTGGGGTGGGGGTAGTGGTGGGATTCCCGCTTGTCGTGGAGGATATTGGCATTGTCTCTGTGGTGGAGGACGTTTCTGGGATGTGGGAGGTTCCAACGAGGGTTGTTGACCCTTCGGGCGTGATGAGGACAACGACAGGGTTTGGTGCCGAGGTGGACGTGGTCTCTACTGCCGGTGCCGATGGATGGACGGTTGCGATGACTGTCACACTAACGAAAGAGGTCGAGGTCGGGGTTAGGGTATCTTTCGTGATGGACTCAATCTGGCCTGCGGGTGCGGTGGTCGATTGGCCCTCTGTGGATGTGGTGGATGCGGATGTGGTGGATGTGGATGTGGAGACATCGCTGGATTTATCTGGAGTTGGTGTCGCGATGTTCACATTCGGGGACGGTGTCTTTGACGAACTAGAGAGCGAAGACGTAGACGATGAAGAGCTTGTGCTGGAATTGGGAAGTGGTATGGGGAATCCAGGAGCTATGTTAGAGGAGGACATCGTCATTTCAGAACTTTGTCGCGAGACAGACGCTGGGTGTGACGATGCAGGAGAGCTTGGACTGGCATTGGGGAGCGGGATGACAGATCCTGGGGTTGTGCGAGAGGAAGATATCGTCTCTGCGGGGTGTGAGGAAGGTATTCCTGAACTCTGCGGCGGGACAGAAGCCGGATGTGACGATGAAGAGCTTGAACTAGCATTAGGAAGTGGTATGGGGAATCCAGGCGCTATGCTAGAGGACATCGCCATTCCAGAACTCTGTCGCGAGGTAGAGACTGCCGATGATGATGGGGAGCTTGAACTAGCATTAGGGAGTGGTATCACGAATCCAGGGGTTATACTAGCGGAAGTTGACGTTTTTCTCGAAGTCTCCGGCGAAGCGGGGGCTCTGGGAGAGGACGACGGAGCAGGGCTCGTGCTAGCATTAGGAAGTGGTATGACAAATCCGGGGGTGATGCTAGAGCTAGGGGTGCTTGCAGAACCGAAGGAAGCTCTTGCAGAGCTTTCTGAAGTAGAGGTTTGGGATAGTGATAGAGAACTCGTGCTGGTATTGGGAAGGGGAATCACAAAGCCAGGAGTTATGCTAGAAGAAGTTGCAGTCTCTGGAGCTCGCGATGAAGAAGGTTCCGTAGGACTTCCGAGCAAAGCACCAGAAGAAGAGGCTGTTATTGCTGTAATATCTGGGACGTGTGAGGAAGTAATTCTTTCCTCGCCATCGGGAACGGCACTTGTGTTTTCTGGGACGGGCAGTGAAGTATTCGCCGAAGAAGTCCCAGATATGGCGCTGGTGGACGGGGACACAGCTTCAGAGGACGACTGGGATAGAGAGATGGATGGCTCAGCAGAGATAGACCGAGAAGTGGAGTGTGTTTGAACCACTGCGCTGGAACTGGTCGGCTGCTGCTGGGTTGTTGTGCCGGGGCTGGGCTCAGTCTTGGGGAGATTGGATGGTGTCACAGGAATGACCGTCAACACGTCGGCGTCATCCCCATCGTCTTCGGCAGATGTACTGGCAACACGCACGAGAGGGGTGGTAAACGAAGGAGAGGGAGCAAGTTGGGTCGACCCTTGGTCAGACCCCAGATCCCTGATCTTGGGAACAAAGTAAGCGATCGGACCAGCCGAGCAAGGAATGACTATAAAGTAGATCACGATGATCAGGTGTATGAAATACATCATGCGGTCCGATGCGAGACGAGTATGATAATGATCGATTCGAGGATAGCAGGTCAGCGGCTAAAGAGAGGGTGGGCTGATAAATAGCGGACGAATTGGATGGACATGGCTCGGAGGGTTTCAGGGCAGACAGTCATCCATTTTTTGCTTAGACGGTCCAGACAATGAGAGTAGAGGCTGAAAGAACGAAAATGACAACAAGGAATGATCGACAAGGCAAATGTTGTGTGGGAGAAGGCCTTTCTTTAAGAAAGCAGGGCTGCAGAACAGCATCGGCAGCCATCGCCTTGGTAGGTCATTGTTTGCAGCGGGAGGTGAAACACTCCAGCTAATGAATGGCCTGCCAATTCTCGAGGCCAGCCAGACTGGTGGGCCTGAAGAGTTGGATCGGTTGGCCGTCGAGCGTCGAGTTGGCGCGCGACAAAGAACAGCATGCGGGAGGTTGCAGCACCCGCCCGGATTGGCCTGGCCTCCGATCGATTGGCAATCCTGCTTTGTCGCACAGGATCATGAAGCATGGTGGATCAGGTGCTGGCCCATTGAGCTCTTCTATGGGCTTGCTCTGTTCATCAGGCACGCGCCTCACCCCGTGCTCGGCCACAGGCAGGATACTGGAGAATCGTCCCTGGCCAACCAGCCAAATATAGGCAGCTCTGCCTCACGTGCAGACTTTCACTTGCAGGGCTACTCAAAAATCACAAATCCAAAAAATTCAATTGAGATGATAGTGGTGGTGCGGTGCACCAATATGTGTCTTAAGCCCTAAGCCTTGTCCGCCTTGCCATCGGATCATGATAGACAATCATCAACGAGGAATGTTCAGCTGACCGCGACTGTAAAGGGCTCACTGGTTCCCTCAAAGGCCGTTATCTTTCCCGATAAACTTTTCCAATCGCCATAGTAGTGGAATCGATATTTCCCAGACTGAACCCTGTCGGGGTTTCCCGTGTTGTAATACTCATCCTCTATCTGCCACTGGAAGGTGACCTCACTATAGCCCAAAGCCGTGCTGGTCCTTTTCCAGTTGTAAAGAAGATTCCAATCACTGTCAGTGCGCACAACGTCCCATGCGTCTGTGGCTGAATTGTACTTCTCGACGGCCGCAAAGGTTGATTCGAGTCGCAGATTGTTACGGGGATTAGCGCCCACAAAAGTGACATTGACGACATCACCAGGTCCAAAAGTGGCACCCCCAGCGGATGTTACAACATCGCCAAATGCCTTTCCAATAGGTGACCCATCATACACAACCAGTGGGATAAAGCTCAGGGAATTGTCAGTGTTAATGGGGGGTGACGGGCCGGAAGACAACGACGGCAAACTGGCTGCTGGAGGCGAGTCTCCGAGATACGGCAAATACGTGAGGGTCAGGTTGATGTACGCCGCAAGGGTGTTAGGTCCGTACAGAGTCGAAGCACCTTCGTACCGCTGCACCCCATATTCCTCCTCCGTAGCCACGTAATGGGCATAGCTATTAGACGGGGCGCCCAAGACTACGAGGGGCTCTGCAACCGAAAGAGCGCTCTTTGCTGATGCCGCGATGGCTTCTTTCCAGCGCCGCCCGGACATCGTTGTGGCCTCGCTGGTAGAGATAACGAGGAATAGCTGACCCACTCGCAGGACCTGAATGTCCACAATATTTGGTGCCCAGGCGTACGGCATTCTGATTGGTCCGACGTCAAGGAGGATCTCCTTCGGCGCTTGACATGCCTGCTGCGCTTTTGATGGCGGGTGGACGAATGCGCGAGCAACGTACCATAAAGGGTTGGACTCGGCTGATCCAGTGCCATTTTGAGTGAAGTCAAACATGCCTGGTCCGTCGGTGGTGCCAGCGGCGAATGAGAACCCCAGTGCTGCAGAACATGTCTTCAAGATGCTACCGTTGAACGGCGAGGGAAACGTGTAGTTGGAGAGATCTTGGTAAACGTGAAAAGAACGGACGTCGGAGCCGGAAAGAATATGGATGGGGTTGGAATCCAGCCGACCATACAGGTCTTTGGCAGCTGCATACTGCCGCCGTCCAATCTCGAACCCGCTTTTTGCCCCGTTGTCGTTCTCGCGAAAATAGGGCCCACGGCCGCGACAGTCTTGTGTTTTGCCGCCACACGTGCTGTCTGAGTATCGGCATTGCTGCCCAGAGCCATCTTCACACCAAGCTCCCAGAACATTCGGGCTGGTATCGCCAACACTGGACTGCGAGAAGCCTGCGACAAACCCATCCGCAAACCTTTTGTCATTTCTGACACTCCTCTCAAAAAGCCACGCAGCGACCCCCTTGTTGTCTCCGGTAATCAAGGTATTGTTGTTATACAATGATGTGCCGTGGACCGGGAAGAAGGTCAGCACGGCAGTGGTCTTGTTGTCAGATTGCCGGTCGAACCTCAGAAGCGTCAACGCCTTATCCACGTTGGCCGAGTACCGCGTCTTCTCTTCGGCGGGGTTGGCGTCGTAAGCGTAAGGACTTCTGTTGACATTGGCATCTTCTAGATCTATGGAGCCAAAACTCAGACGTCCCGGCGCCAGACTCTCGTGGGCTCGTTTGATGGATAGAATAACACCATCGACAAGCGCCTGGTAGCTTTCTTTATCGAATCCCTTGGTAGGAATCTGGGGAAGGAGATAGTTCATCCACGCGCCTGGCCCTGAATGGGAGTGCGTCCCTGTCAGGGCCAAGTTGCGTTCGGTATACTGTGCATAGTCACTGCCAAGGCCGGCAAGACCCTGGAGGACGCCATGTCGCACAGCGGTGTCCCCCGACAGTGCATCCAAAACGATGTATATAAAGGTGTCGTTTGGGCTCTTAGCATTGGCAACGATAAAAGCACGAGAATAAATTCTCTGCCGAAGACCAGTTCCAACTTGATCTAAGCTAGCATAGCCATTAAGCCCTACCTCCACAACGGGTCTGGCAGAGGCATTAGCAACATCGGGGTGGCCTCGGGAGTCAGAGAAAATACCCCGTTATATCCGCCTTCCCCGCCCCTAGCATAAAAATGCCATCATCCGCCGCGGACGCGGCCGTGCTGTGCTCCCACTGGGGCCGTACTCCGACGATGAACGGCTGGTCCTGGGTCCTGATCAACGAGAACAGTTGCAGCAACACCAGTACCGTCGCTAAGCTGCCGATAAGCACCGCCCCGAGCCTAATAGTAGCCATGCTCGCGAGGTGTATGATAAAGTTCAGAAGAAGTAAAGCACCAGAGAGCTTTAGATTTGGCCACGGAGAGGCGAGATTCTTATTCCTGCAAGCAGCAACCAACCGAGGCGAGAGCTATCACAAGGCATGACCGGCTAATTTGGAGGAGCGGTGCAGGTGATGACACTGCAGGGTCCTCTGCAACCTCAGCCAACGGATGCTGGAAGAGACGCCACTGGCGTGAAGGTCAATGGAAGGAAGGCAAGCTGTAGGTAGCAGAAGGCGCCTGGCTTGTTTCGGTCGTCGCCCACCACTGGGCTCGACGAAGCATGTCCGTTTCGCGTGGAGAGAAGACAGCGAAGCTCCGAGTGCAGCTGTCCCGGCGAAGATGCCCGGGGGGTCGTTGAGTCATCATTGTTGTTGTGCTGGGGTTGGACCTTGGACAGGGCATTCCATAGGGCGGGGAACTGGCCAGTAATAGCCTGGTAAGCTGGTACAAGTGATCACAGGGAAAAGAGTCGATCGCGCAGGCCAATTCCTTGTCAAATCGCCCAGGCTGGGTCGCCGTGGGTGCTAGACCATGAGGCCCGCACTGCCTAAAGAACCGGAGGAAGACAGTTCGGGGGAAGTGCAGATGAAGTGCAGATGAAGTGCAGACGAAGAGCACGACGCGATGCACTCGCCGACTCCATACTCGCCCGGCTCGAAAGGGGAAGGCGCCGTCTTCCGGGTCACGGGAGGCAGAATCCTGCTTAGTCAGCTATATAGACTCACCGCCCTGGCGTGCTGGGGAGCAAAAGCTGCGGCGCGACTTTGATAGCAGGAGATGCTGCTGGCACTCTCCGCTGTTATAGGTTTCATCTATCAATTGTCCCATCGCCTTCAGACGCCCTTTCTGCGCTCCTGTCAAGATGCCTCTTATCAACGAGTCCCATGATTCCCTCCCCTGTAAGTGGCCTGACCGTTCGTGGTCCATCCCCTGCTAACGCGTGAAATCCCTCCAGACATCGAGCCGGAGCCTTCCAGCCAGGCACGCGCAGCTGCGGAGAAGCTGATCATCGCGGAGCTTTCTTCCGACTATCAGACTACAATCCATCCTTTGATCCCTGCCTCGGTTGAGCCGCGGTTCTCTCCACTCATCCAGCAAGAGATCGACCGCAAGGCCGCTGGGCTGCCCTGGACCAGCGGCATCGACCTGGCCCGCTATGAGGCCCCCGAGCCACCTGCCAGAGCCGCGGACGGAACCCCTGACGTGGACGAGTGGCGGCGCGTGCTCCAAAAGGCCTACACGGCCAGCTCTCACCTGTCCATGAGGCACGAAAACTTGGCGCTGCTGGAGGAGAACGGCAAGAATGCGTGGCTCATTGGCAACTCCCAGCTGGAGGAAATCCTACGGGGGCTGGAGAAGGAACTGGCTGAAACGAAGGAGGCAGCAGAGTCGGTCAACAAGGAGAGGAAGCTTGCCCAGGAAGCGAACAAAGGAGAGATTGCGGGGCTGGAAGAGACCTGGAGACGGGGAGTCGGTGCAATCCTCGACGTCGAATTGGCTGCGGAGGGCCTGCGGATGCAAATTCTGGAGCAGCGGCGTCATCTAGCGCAGCAGCACGCGCAGTAATGGCTCTTCCCCAACCACCAGATTGCTTGAAATGGACACTGTTCTGGCTACTGGGATACGAAGAGGTTCGGACTCGGTCCGGTGAGATGAGGGCCACTGGGAAGTCCTGGTAGAGGATGGTCTGACAGGTGGGGGGATTTGCCCTGTTCTGGGGCCGCGAAAGCGCCCTCTGCGACAGCCATTGGACACGACTCGCGATCGGATGCGACGGGGAGGAAGCTGCATACGTCCCGCGGTAGAGTAGCGGGAGGTCGAATTCCAGATCCCCGGGGTGTTCATTGGCGTGCGGACTGGACGGTGGCGACGCCCGGCAAGCGGGGAAAGCTCAGGTCTCGACGTCCCCGCACCACCTCAAAGCTCCAGATGCCCGGAACATCATCCTTCCAGCCACAGCTCCGTCGGCGATGAATCGACTCCGCATAAAGAAGCAATTATTGACGGGGGATGTCTGTCTGCGCTAGACAGCAGTCTCTCCGTCCACTGCTACGCGGAGACTCCACATTGGCGATCTTTCCGGCCTGCATGCTCCCAGATGACTACGTACGCCGCAGCACCCAGGGTGAGACAGCTTGCCTTCGATTCTTTGTCGGAAATTGAGCTTCCGAGCGAACTCCCCGACGGACTGTGTTGGATTTGCTGTGGGCGCCCGTCTCGAGTCCGTTGATGGTCCACCGCGGCAGGCAACAATGCACCCCTGCACATCCTTCATGTACTTAGATTAATCAACCTCTGATATCCCTCTATCTATACAACATTCTGCATACGGTATGCACCACCCCCTCTTGCCGTGCGGGGGTTTCGGGCGAAGCTTTGTACTTTTGTGCGCCAGCACCCAAGGATAAGACGGATTCCGTGTACCAGATCCTCACCCCCCCCCCCCCCCCCCGTGCTTCTTCGTATCTGTATGTCCCAATGGACCAATGCCCGGTCCAGCACTCCCCTTGGCCCAGACGTGTATGCGAAGGCGTGTGCTGGACGGGGCGGGGATGCGATTTCTCGCCCATCGGATTGGCCTTGAGCTGTTGAGAGGAGACGCCCAGGGACTCCAGCCCTGCGGGGTTGGGATCTATAAAGTGGTCCTCACGGCTGCAGCACTGACAAGAATTCCTGTTATTTTGGCATTGCATTGTTCTTTATATCCATACTATACTATTCACGGTGGACTGAATCTCCCAACATGACCATCCCAGATGAAGTCGACATCATTGTCTGCGGTGGTGGCAGCACCGGCTGTGTCATCGCCGGTCGTCTTGCCAATCTGGATCGTAACCTCCAGGTTCTGTTGATTGAGGCTGGTGAGGACAACCTGAACAACCCATGGTAGGTCGTTGTTGATCCTTACTGCGTACTGTCCAAGAGATCCACACCTAACCTGTCCCAGGGTCTACCGTCCGGGCATCTATCCCCGGAACATGAAGCTCGATTCGAAGACTGCTTCGTTCTACTATTCCCGCCCCTCAGAATGGCTGGATGGACGTCGAGCTGTCGTGCCCTGCGCCCATATCCTTGGAGGAGGTAGCTCAATCAACTTCATGGTCAGTATCCTTACCGTAACATAGCTCGCATGAACTAATCGTAGCAATAGATGTACACCCGAGCCTCTGCTTCTGATTACGATGACTTCCAGGCCAAGGGCTGGACGACTGACGAGCTGCTCCCTCTGATGAAGAAGCATGAGACGTACCAGCGAGCCTGCAACAACCGGGATGTCCATGGCTTCGAAGGGCCCATCAAGGTCTCGTTTGGGAACCACACGTATCCCATCATGCAGGACTTCCTTCGTGCTGCGGAGTCGCAGGACATTCCCATCACCGACGACCTGCAGGACCTGAAGACGGGGTGAGCTATTATCACAATGCTTATGGTATCATTTGCCACTGACACATCTGCAGCCACGGCGCCGAGCACTGGTTGAAATGGATCAACCGTGACACCGGTCTGTCACATCTCCATCTGCAAAGTCATCTGAAACTCCACTGACCACATCCTAGGCCGCCGAAGTGACTCTGCCCATGCGTACGTCCACAGCACGCGGGCCAAGTACTCCAACCTTCATCTCAAGTGCAACACCAAGATCGACAAAGTGATCATCGAGAACGGCCGGGCCGTCGGGGTCGCAACGGTGCCAACCAAGCCCTTGGATGGCCGTGATCCCCCACGCCGGATCTTCCGGGCTCGCAAGCAGATCATCGTCAGCGGCGGCACTCTCAGCTCGCCCCTGATCCTGCAACGATCGGGCGTTGGCGACCCCGAGAAGCTCCGTCGGGCTGGTGTGCAGCCTTTGGTGAACCTGCCCGGCGTGGGCCGGAACTTCCAGGACCACTACCTGACCTTCTCGGTCTACCGCGCCAAACCCGACGTCGACTCGTTCGATGACTTCGTCCGCGGCGACCCTGAAGTGCAGAAGAAGGTCTTCGACGAGTGGAACATCAAGGGCACCGGCCCTCTGGCGACGAATGGCATCGATGCCGGGGTGAAGATCCGGCCGACGTCTGAGGAACTCGAGGAGATGAAGACCTGGCCCACCAATGACTTCTACCAGGGCTGGGAGAGTTACTTCAAGAACAAGCCTGACAAGCCGGTGATGCACTACTCCGTCATTGCCGGGTAAGCATATCATTCCTTCTCTTCCTTCCTTCCTTTCTCCCTCCCTTCCTGTCTCACTGCCGCTCCCATGCTAACCGACCCCCAGCTGGTTCGGCGACCACATGCTGATGCCCCCGGGCAAGTTCTTCACCATGTTCCACTTCCTCGTAAGGCCCCTGCCCCTTCCTTCTGCCCCTGCCATCCCCCTATGTCCTCTACTCACCATCACCACCAGGAATACCCCTTCTCCCGCGGCTCCACGCACATCCAGTCCGCGGACCCGTACGAAACGCCCGACTTCGACGCGGGCTTCATGAACGACAAGCGCGACATGGCGCCCATGGTGTGGGGGTACATCAAGTCGCGGGAGACGGCGCGGCGCATGAATGCGTACGCGGGCGAGGTGACGGGAATGCACCCGCACTTTACGTACGACTCGCCCGTCCGCGCCTTCGATCTCGACCTGCCCACCACCAAAGCCTACGCCGGTCCAAACCATCTCTCCGCTGGGATTCAACACGGTATGTCTTCTTTTCAGCTCTCTTCTTTATCAACTCAAAAAAAAAAAAAAAAAAAAAAAAAAAAAAAAAAAAAAAAAAAAAAAATAGCAAACATCCACTAATGAAAACAGGCTCCTGGTCCTCCCCCCTCCAACCCGGTGCCTCTCCAGCCTCTACTGCCCTCAACTCCAACCAGCAGGAAATCCGCGAGTCGCTGAAGTACAGTAAGGCCGATATCGAACATATCGAGAAATGGGGTGAGTAGATATCCTCCTCCTCCTTTACTCTCTTTCTCCCTCAAACCACCCCTACTACAAACACCACTAACACTCATCCAGTCCAACGCCACGTCGAAACAACCTGGCACTCCCTCGGAACATGCAGCATGGCGCCCCGAAACGGCAACTCCATCGCACCGCTGGGCGGCGTGGTCGACGAGCGTCTTAACGTCCACGGCGTCGAGGGGCTGAAAGTTGCGGATCTGTCGATTTGTCCGGATAATGTGGGGTGTAATACTTATAGTGTATGTTCCTCCCCTTTCTCTCTCTCTCTCTCTCTCTTTCTTTTTCTTCTACTCTTCTACCCTTCCCGTCTCTTTCCCAGAAATGTATCTCGTTGGTATATATCACATGCTAACGTGTTGATGTGTGGGATGGGAATAGACCGCGCTCCTCATCGGCGAGAAATGTGCTGTCCTGACGGCCGAGGATCTGGGGTATTCGGGCAAGGCGCTGGATATGAAGGTTCCCGAGTATCATGCGCCTGGGGAGGTGACGTGGCTTTCCAGGCTGTGAATATGACACGGTATGATACAACATAACATCACATAAGATAAGGGAGGTAGGGAAGGTAGATAGGGGGGAGATTGACATGTCGGTATGTGTGGTGGGTGGGTATATTGGTGCAAATAGCTTAGGTAGTAGGTAGTAGGTAGTGGTATTAGTATGATACATGAATTGAATGATTACAAGCTATCTAGCTACTACCTAAGGTAGTACAGTACTATGTACTCTCAGTTACTAGACTTTACTGAGGTATGATTACATACATGCTATTTACGGACGGTGAATGAGTAGCTGTATGTATAATACAACCACCTAAACCTTCCTCGGCGGCACTACCACATCCACATCCACATCCACGCCGCACTTAGTCTCCACCGACAACCCCACGAGCTTCTTCTCGGCAATCACAGCAGCGGCGGACTTCCTATCCGCATGCCTGCGATTCCAATCCCCCAGCTCCTTACACAGGCCATACAACGTCGAAATCGGCGGGTTATAGCCCAAACCCCCCTCCTCCGGCGCGCGTCTCGCCCTACCATCATCGACAACCACATGAACCGTCGAGATGGCAAAGAGCGCGGGCTGCATCTGCGCGAGATCGCCCGACACCGGCGGAAGTAGCCAGGGGAGGTAGATGCGCTGGAGCAGAGCGTACCATTCAACCAGGTAGGAAAGAAGCAAGAAGGGGATAGCAGGAACGGGGGGGAACGCGACGGGGGTTTTGGACAACGTGCAGAGGAGGAGATAGAAGTCCGCGAATGAGATGGCGGGGTTGGGGTCGGTGACGACGAAAGCCTGGCCGCCGCAGTTGGGGCGCGAGGTCGGGTTGGCGGCGTGTTCGAGGAGACGTTGCTCGTAGAGCAGATGGGCGAGGGAGACGTTTTCGGCGTTGACGAAGTTCTGGATGATCGGGTAGAGCCAGCTGGGGTTTCCGCCGGCGCGGAGGTAGGTGCCGGTGATGGTGGCACTGGCGTCGTCGCCGATGCCGTAGATGCCGTTGGCGGGGCGGATGCAGCCGGTGCGGAAGTTGGAGGAGGGATCGTCGGCGGCGCGGACGATGCGCTCGGCCTCGGCTTTGGTGACGGGGTAGTTGCCGAAGAAGTCCTCGTGTTTGGTTGGGAGGGAGGTCGAGTCGTTGATGACTTGGACCATATGTTTGGGGGTGCGGGTCCAGGGGAAGAGCCAGAAGGAGGGGCTGCGCAGACAGACGGACCCGGAGGACGTCGAGATGAAGCAGCTGGCGCCGGATTGCTTCGCCGCGTTAAGGACGTGGACGGTCCCGGTGACGTTGACGTTGCGGCAGAGGGAGAGGAAGGCTGGGTGGCGCTCCGAGGGCCGGATCACGGCGGCGTTGTGGATCACGGTCAGGGGGAGAGAGGCGGTCTCTTGGGCCCATGGCTGGGAGAAGGCGTTCAGCACGGCGTCCTCGTCGGTGATGTTGGTTTGGACGAAAGTCACCCCCTGGTCGAGGAGCTCGCGGCGCGGGGGTTGCAGGTCTAGGATGCGGACTGCGGAGGGGGTTTCGCCGCGAAGAAGTAGATGGGTCACGACCCAGTTGCCCACAAGGCCTGGATGTTTGTTAGCTTGGTGGTTGGGATGGATGGGAAGCAAGCAAGCAAGCAAGCAAGCAACGGCTTGGATTGCTGCTTCACTGCAACGTACCTGACCCGCCAACCACAATATACCGCCGGTTCTGCCTGGGCGGGAGGCTTTTCTGCACGTCGACGGGGTTTTGGATGGAGTCCTCGAAGGCCGCCTTGATTTCATCCACCGTCCAACGACGAGGGCTCAACCGGCGCGCTTCCTCGGGGACTTCAGACATGCCACGATTGACATGGTAGAGGTAAAGGATGGCCAATCCGGAGATGGCGAGGATTGTCGGAATCATTGGGGGGCGGCACGTTGGACAGGTCCCATTGAGCAGCGCAGTTTGCTGATTGATGAAGAGATTGAAAGACTGACGGTGAGAATGAAGTGGGTGACACTGCGTCGCGTGTGCAAGGCACCCATAGCATCCAGGATGGAGCCATGGACTCAGGCGGCCCCCCTAAGCGAACGGGATCCAAATTTAGACGGTTCGGTTAGAGAAACAGGCACGGCCGTTTATCCACATGTCTTGTCTGACGGTCCGAGAGCCTGGTCCACCGTTGAACGATGGAGATGAGTGGTCCTCCGTATTGGGGGTATTCGAAATCCGAATACGACTCATCCATACAGTACAGTAAGTATACTTAGTAGTGCGGACCTGCTGGATGTTGATCCCGCATAGATTGAGGCATGCATCCCACTATCAGCCCGGGTGCATGACGTGCCTCCTCACGTGCTGGCAGCAGATCGAATGGGGGTTATATGAGAAACCCAGTCATCGATATCAGAAAAAAAAAGAAAGACTTGGCCACTCGTCCACAACCTTTGATGCTACCGCGGACTCGCAGCATGGTGGTGGTTCCTGGTGACTCGACCCGATAGAGCCGGACATAGTTATAAGACTCCGTACACTCCGTACAAAGCAGAGCTAAGATGGAGACAGCCGCTGGCTGCCTAATAATGCCATAATGCCATAATGCCTTAATGCCTTAATGCCTTAATGCCTTAATGCCTTAATGCCTTAATGCCTTTTGTGTCCTCACCGCCCGCGGGAGTCCTTCCGCATGGTCTGCCTGGCTTGCCGTCCAGGCACCCAGGCAAGCATCGCATGCTGTCCGCCGCAAGGGGCGATGCGGGCATTGCAGCATTGCGGCATTGCAGCATATTGACGGCGGGACCCATGGCTTCCTTGCGACAAAAACCCTTCCTTGCCCACGAAGTACTAAGAATATATCTAGGTAGTGGCCTGAGCGCCAGGTCAATAATGAGTCCAACGTTCGATCGGCAAACCGGCACGAGCGGCACTCGGAACCGAGCCATTCCTGATGATTGATAGTTTGATAGCTATTTCTCTAGCTATCTCTCTAGATGATAGATGACTGATAGATGGCTGATAACCCTGTTTGCGTCCTCAATCTTATCTTCCATCCTCACCGGCCGATATTCTTCGTGTGCTGGTTCCCCTCCCTTGAATCAGACTCTGGAGTAAGAAGCGACCCCCCCCGGGGTAGACCTCAAGGCTCATGCAACCGAACTGGCGGTCCTTGGAACGCCCCATGCAGATCCTCCTGCACCAGCTGAGGCGCGGACTGGGAAGCCGCAGCGGCATTTTGGGAGTGCCCATCCCTGAAAATACTGCATACTGCACACCGTTCCTGAGTGCGTTCCCCAATTTCATGTCTGGTCGTCAATGGAAGCTCCCATTGGCATCCACTTCCCGGGCACTCATGGTACCGGTAGGGCTGTTCTGTGTGCGGACCACCACCCATGGAACCCCCGTCAATCTCAGATTAGGGCTATCCAGATCCCCCCAGGGGCAATGCTGGACCGGCAACAGGACTCGGCGATTCCTCCGTTCGACTGTCCGACAGTTCGATGCCCGGCGATGCAGGGTTCGCACATCAGCGGTGGACGTGTCGACTGCATCCCAGCACTAGCAATCATGGACAATTGCATTCTCGTCTTGGCAATGCGCGGCAAGGCCCCGTAGTAGTTAGTTAGTTAGTTAGATAGCCTATAGTGCTTAGTTACTAACTATATTATACCATTCCCGTTGCAGGGCACTAACTAATTGGCAGGCTTATCAGGGCGCGCATCCCGACAGCCCTCATCCGGTCCCCACCCCCGAGGGGGACTTGCTCTGTTACTCACCAATCTGCCTCCCATTATTAACGGCCCCTCTCAGAAGTAGAACATTCCATGGCCCCGAATTCTTATATCGGGCGACCCATGGTCACTCGTCGGCGCGTTGCCCCTCGACCCGTTTTTTTCCCCTCCCCACCGGACGCTTGGGCTGCGGTTCCTGTTGCCGCATCCCATCTGGAATCCTAGATACTTAGATATATCCCAAGGAACCCACCCCTCCCCCGTCCCAGCGATCGTTCGTCCGTCAAAGTCGGTCTCGACTACGATTAGTGCTGTCCCATAGCCTTGTCCCGCCGGCGACGCAAGGCTACAACCGCAGAATTGAAGATTTTGTTTCGTTCTTGGCCTTATGACTCCCATGTTCCGCCTCCGTTGCTGCATCCGTATAGAAGGCGAAGCTTGAACTCGATCAAACCCGCTGGATATACACCAGCTGAACAGACCGGCTCCCAGTTCACTACTCCTCTCTTATTCCAGCCACAGAAGCCATGGACTCCCGTCAGCATCCCAATCCTAAGGAGGAATCCCTCGCGGCGTACGCCCAATCCTACGCCGATTCCGGCTCATCGGAAGACACCATCGACCAGGCGGCTGCTCTAGCCCACATCACGACGCGAGCCTCTCGTCACTCCGTGCCCTCCTTGACCAGGAGAGTCACGTCGATAGGCACGACGGAGGGGTCGGACCCGAACTTTGAAGTCGACTGGGACGATGAGCTCGACAAGGAAAACCCGAAGAACTGGTCGATCGCCTACAAGTCCATGGGGATCGCCATCCTCTCCTACAACACACTGCTCATGTCAGTATCTCTCATCTCCCCGTCGCGATCAGGCGCCGCGAGGCAGCGCAGCGTTACTGACCCCGTCCAGCGTGCTGTATTCCACCTCATACACCTCGGGAGAATCGCAGATCGCCGCTGAATTCGGGGCCTCGTCGACCGTCGTCACCCTCGGACTGACCATGTACCTGATCGGCCTCGCCATTGGATCCATGTTCATGGCGCCGTTGAGCGAGCTGTACGGGCGAAAGCCGGTTTCCGTGCTCTGTCTGCTCATCTTCACCGTGCTGATCATTCCCTGCGCGCTCAGCAAGAGTCTGACCACATTGGTTGTCGTCCGATTCATCGCCGCCCTGTTTGGAAGCGTCATGATCTCCACCGCCCCCGGAATGGTGGCGGATATCGTCCTGGACGACCAGCGCGCACTAGCCATGTCGTTCTGGAGTCTGGGCCCTATAAACGGGCCAGGTAGGCATCAACAGTCCCCGGCACAGGTATGCCGTTTTAGCTAAGTCTTCGCAGTCATCGGTCCCATCATCGGAGGCTTCGTGACGCAGTATCTCGGCTGGCGCTGGATGGACTGGATCGCCCTGATCCTTTCGGGCATCGCCTTGATCCTCTCGTGCGTCCTGAAGGAGACATACGGGCCCATCATTCTGCAGAACAAGGCCGCCCGAATGCGCAAAGAAACGGGCGATCCACGCTGGTGGTGTCGCTACGATCAGCGAGCCAGTTTGAACGAGCTGCTCAAAACCAATCTCGGCCGGCCCTTCGTCATGGCCGTCACTGAGCCGATCTGGTGAGCCTTGCCCATCCCCATCCCCATCACTTCTAACCCCGCCCAGCATATTCTGGAACGTCTACATCGGCCTCGTCTACGGCATCCTCTACCTCTGCTTCACAGCCTACCCGATCGTCTTCCGCGACATCCGTGGCTGGTCACTGGGGATCTCCGGCCTGGCCTTCCTGGGCATCGGCACCGGGTGCGTGATCACCATCTCCAGCGAGCCACTCATCCGGCGATTCATCAACCTTCACACCCCCGACCCCGCAACCGGCAAACCCCCGCCAGAAGCGATGGTCGCATTCGTATGCATCTGCGCGTTCCTCATCCCGGCGGGCGAGCTCTGGTTCGCATGGACCTGCTCGCCCGCCTCGATCCCCTGGATCGTGCCCATCCTGGCAGGCGTGTGCTTCGGCGCCGGCAACACGGGCGTCTTCATCTACGCGACCAACTACCTCGCCCACAGCTACGGCGTGTACGCCGCGTCCGCGCTGGCCGGCAATTCCGTGGTGCGGAGCATCCTCGGTGGCGTGTTGCCTCTCGTCGGCACGTACATGTATGCGGGCATAGGGCCGAATTGGTCCGGGACGCTGCTGGGGTTGCTGGAGGTGGCGATTATTCCGATTCCGTTCGTGTTCTATAAATATGGCTATCGGATCAGGGAGAGGAGTGTGCTTATTCGGCGGATGCAGGAGGATAAGAAGAGGTTGGATGGGAAGAGGACGCAGACCCGGGGACGGGTGGAAGACGTGGAGGTGTTGGGGGAGAAGGCTGTGTGAGTGACTGACGGCTGGATGGATGGATGGATGAATTGTTGTTGTTGTTGTTGTTGTTGGGTATATATTCAAAACGTATAGTGTATATGTGTGTGGTACATATCTTGAGTCATAGCATAGGTATATAAAAGTCGGTTAGAAACCCCCTGCACGGTTGGATTTTGGTTGATTGATAGATAGATAGATAGATAAACCTTTTCTTTCTCATGGATATACATAAAATCATAACTCGATACTGTAGCGACTGGCGAGTACGAATAATATCTGACATGGGGTATAATACAGCAGCATAGCGTATACACACATAGAATAGAACAACCATTCATCCCTCCCAAAAGCCCCACAACGCAAGAAAAAGAAAGAAAAAAAGATCAATAAATCATAAAAATATCAATCCACCCTGCGTACCCTCCTCTCCACCTCCAACGAATCCTGCAGAATGCGCTCATACTCACCCAACGACACCGCGCCTGCCGCAAAAAGCATCACCGCCTCAACATATACCGACGAAGCCGTCTCTCTCTTCTCAGCGATGCTCCTCCTCCTCCTCCTCCTCACATACCCAAGCACATTCACCCACGCGCCGACGCGCAGTTCCTCCGACGTGACCGTCTCCAGGATGGCATTGATGTCCACCGACACGGAGGGCGGCTCTTGGGACGCTTTCCGGGGCGGGTAGTTGTGTTCCAGGACTAGATGGCCCGTACGGACGTGGTAGGTTTGGACACTGGTTGGATGGTTAGTTTTACGTGTGGATGGGAAGGTATGTAGGTGGTTTGTTTGAGGTCAAAGTGACAGTCTACTATATCATACATGGACGGTGATTAAATACCGCCGGGGATTTAATAGGCAGTAAGTAGGCATCCACGCACCAGCCGAGAAACCGGACTTTTGAGTCAGCAGGGAGAGTAGGCAGGTCGGCGAGAAAGGCCCGCGTGGAGGGGAGAGGGCCGTTCATCTTGCATGCCGAGAGTCGGTCATTGGTCCCGAGTCATCTGAAATATCTTGTGGATGAGGAGGAGGAAGATCAATAATGAAGATGGTAAGTAATACGGTGGAATACCGCCCAATACCGCCGGGACGACAGACACGTGACCGTCTGCCTCCGATCGGCTTAGCGCGTATGTCATAGGGCCAACGAGGGGAATCTCATCATCCATCCATCCATCTTGTCCGTCTCTCTCTCTCTCTCTCTCGGTCTCGTTTCTCTCCCTCGTCCACGGCCTGTCTTATCTCTCGCCCTTATCTAGGTAGCCTTGTCCCCTGCCCCCTCCTGGACCAGGTCAACGGCGAATCGAATCGACTCGGCTGATCCCCCACCCGGCTGCATCACCTGGATACCTCACATCCACCGATCGCTCACGCCTACCCTCACCGATACCCGCCCGTCGCCACGAACCCCCCATCCCACTCCCCTGCAGTGAACCCAGAACTGTCGCTCCGAGTCCTGGACAACATCAACAACAGGATCAACAGCAGCAGCAACAACAACAAACAACAGTAGCAGCAACAGCCCCCCCCAAAACCGCACCACCTACAACACCCCCCGCCACTCAACACCCTTATCAAAATGTGGTCCTGGTTCGGCGGATCCGCCGCCCAGAAGCGGAAAGATGCGCCCAAGAACGCGATCCTCATGCTCCGCGAACAGCTGGACATGCTGCAGAAGCGCGAAAAGCACCTGGAGAACCTGATGGAGGAGCAGGATGCAATTGCCCGGAAGAACGTGACGACGAATAAGACCGGTAAGGCGCCACCACAAGACACCATACCATCACCCACCAAAGAGGGAAAGAAAACGGGACACAGACTGATCTGTTTATTGTTCTTCTGTAGCGGCCAAGAACGCCCTGCGACGGAAGAAGGTCCACGAGAAGAACCTCGAACAGACGACGGCGCAGATCGTCCAGTTGGAGCAGCAGATATACTCGATCGAGGCGGCGAATATCAACCAGGAGACTTTGAAGGCGATGGAGGCGGCTGGTGCGGCGATGGCGAAGATTCACGGCTCGATGACCATCGATACGGTCGATAAGACGATGTATGTTTTTTTACTCCCTTCTCTTTCTTGACTGTCGTATCATGGATGAAAGAGGGTCTCTAATGGCGATTGATATACAGGGAGGTACTCCGCGAACAGCACCAGCTCAGCACGGAAGTGGCAGAGGCCATTACAAGCACCAACCTGGTCGATCAACCGGACGACGAGGATCTGGAGGCGGAGCTCGAGGGGCTGGAACAGGAGGCCATGGACGAGCGCATGCTCAACACAGGCACCGTGCCTGTCGCGGATCAACTCAACCGGTTACCTCCTGCGGCGAACGGAGAAAGTAAGCCATCCCCCCTTCTCCCTCTCACCCCTCTCTCGCCCCTCTGTGAAACCAAGGGAAACAGACCCCCATCAAGTAACATCCCACACAGTCAAATCCAAACCCCAAGTCGAAGAAGAAGACGAGGAAGCCGAGCTGGAAAAGCTCCGTGCCGAAATGGCCATGGGATAACCGCTCCATCCAACCACAACTGCCTTTCCCCTTTCCCTCTTCTTCTTCTTCTTCTTCATCATCATCTTCAACTTTTTATACTACGATCCTCCAGATCCCAGATCCCTCAGACAAGACCAGTTCAGATGTCCAACCCCCTACCATCTATCTATCTGTCCCGTCTAACCGGGGCATCTTCAATCATCCGTGCTACTGCTAAAGAACACGCGTCGTTAACATTTTTTTGATTGCGTTATTTGCGCCCCCCCAACCCCCCCCCAACCCTGCCCCCGCCCACACTTACTTGGAGTTGAATTGAGTTTATTTTATTTTACTTTATACTTTTTTTTTCTTTCTTTCTCTTGGCTTTAGTTTATCTTGCATGATGGTATGAATCGATGGCTATTTTCTTCACTCCTTTCCTCCCTTCCTTCCTTCCCGCCCTTCTTTCTTTCTGTTCTGTTAGTAGCATGTACGGGAAGAAATAGGTATCAGTAGTTGAGTAAGTTGTAGTTAGTTTGTAGTAAGTGGTTTCTCACATGGGATAATTATTATTATCATGGGTTTGAAGGGTCGGTCGGTCGGTAGGTAGGTAGGCCGGGGTATCTATCTGTCCATCCATCCATCCATTCATTTATCCATCCATCTATCTATATATAGCTATTGGGCTGCGCATCAGGCACGCAGGCACACAAGACAAGCCATCAGTTACCTAGTCAATCAATCAATCAATCGATGAATTAATTAATCCAGACAGCCCATACGCTGTCCCAAACGGGTTAGTTAGATAGATAGGGTTCAGATTCTCTGCTCTAGGTAGCCTGAGTATCGGTAAAAAGCAAAAAGAATAATAATGAGAAAAAAAAATATAAATAAATAAAGAAGGATAAGAAGTAATAAAGGGGGATAAAATAATAGATAGATTCCCTATACGAGACAAAAAACCGGAGTATAGATATGAAAGGAAGTGACACTCCGGACGAAATAAAAAAAAAAAAAAGAAAGAAAAAAAAAAACGCTTAAACTCCCCTTTTGTATTCAACCCATCCGAATTTGAACCCGCCCCGTGCAGAATTGGAAATCAGTTATACATAAGCTAAGCCCCGAAGAGAAGCCATATCGGAGGTGTCGCCGTACTCTGGTTTCTGGTCTCTAGTCCCTGTGTAGAGAGAGAGAGAGAGAGAGAGAGAGCAGAAATACGGCTGGCGCCAGTGTCTTCTGGGAACCGAATTAGATGATGATGGTGGTGGTGGAGGTCATGGAAACCAGGCGTAGCCCTTCAAGGGCTTGGCGCGATTCCCGTCGTTCAGTTCAGTGCACCATTTGGACTTCCAGTGCCATTCTTGGGCGGCCGCCTCGATCAGGGCTTCCTTGCATTCGGAAGGGAGCTCTTCCATGATTTCGGGGCTGGCGAACTCGGGGTGGGGCGAGTCGGCGATGCTGATGAAGCCGTTGGACCCGATGTCGTGCACGTCGCCGTCGGGGCCGGGGACGCCGAGGTTCGTGTATGGTGGCGATTCGTAATGGATGTCGTGAATAGCGAAGCGGCGGGAAAGAGCCGCAGGGACCGTGGTAAATATGGATGGCTGCTCTTCTTGCTCGGCTGGGTTGTCGCCGGCTTCGTTGGCTGGGTCGCTGACTTCTGTGTCGACAGCAGCTGGCTCGTCTTCAGTACCGTTCGTCAGGCTCAGCGTAGACAATCCCTTTTCCAGCTTGGTTGCGACGTGCGGATCGGGCGGTGGCAGACGCTCCCAGCGGACATGAGTCGGCTGCATGATCTTGGGGTATTGCATGACGTTGGTGTGGATATCGTACTGCCCTCCCAGGTTTGCGCGACGAGCGAGCGAGATCAGTGAGTTGAAGTTACTGGACAGTGTTAGCATATCATGGCCATCGCAGGCATGTCAGGACCACGTACCTTGCCTCTCGGGCGTGTTCGAGCATCCAATTGTCGCCAGTGACCGTGACCTTGCGCTTCTTCGAATCCACCACCTTCCCGGTGGGCAGGGGAACCGACGGAGCGCTGGTGTGATAGACGCTACTGGCACCGTGCCAGGCAACGTACTGATTCTTGTTGTAGGGCTCGCCCGGTGGGGGGATTCTATCCTCGGGAACGGCAAGTTCGCCCTCAACCTCCCCGCGCTCTCTGGCGGCCTGGACATTGTACTCGTCGACAATCTTTCTCCCGCCAACAATGATCTTCGCACCGAACTCTCGAAAAACCGACCGGGCAGTAACCACACCTATGGCTCTGCCTTTGTAGGAGTGCGGGATGATGTCTCGCTCGATGAGATCGCGTTTGGCCTCGTCGTCGATGATGATCTTGTAGAGGAACTTGTGTTTCTGGAAAAAGAGGTACGAGTCCCTGAAGCCGATGCAACGCGCGGGTTCCGTGGACAGCATGTACAAGCGATCGCCACGGTTGAGAATCGTAAAGACGCGAACCCTGTACTCGCGGTCGCCTAGCAGGTTTCCGTACTTGTCGACCTTCGTATCGCCCTCGGGGTCGGGGGGCAGGGCCACTTCGTCGTCAATGACATCCATCATATTTCCCTCCTTGTCGATTGGAACCTGCGTGACATGCGACGGGCCCCGGTTCCGTGCCCATCGTCCACCACTCGCGGCAGGGCGTCCACGCTTGCGCTTCACGGGCGTGCTCACATGCATCGGAGAATGCGCGGCACCATCATCGGGCGCATCCCAGTCCGGCGGACGGTTCTTCGGGGACGACCTATGCGGCGCTTTCTTGGGATGGCGGAAACGCGGCCCCCCGTGCGTGTCGGGGTATCAGCTCGCGAGGGAGGGTTTGAATCCTGGACGGGCGTTGCCGCCATTTCTTCTTCTGGGCTCGGTTCTGGCTGGAGTTCCTCCGCCTCAAGATCTCTATCCGATACATCCCCCGTGTCTTCAATGGGCGGGGACGTTCCACGCGATGGGGGTGCTTCTACCATCTCCTCGTCAGAGGCCTCGGGGAGCGGAGGTGCGGCATTCCCTATAGGGAAATTGGCGTTTCGCGTCAGTGACAATTGCAAGGAAAGTAGGACCGGGGTCAGGGCGCTCGAGGCGGGATTGCTTACTCATTGATTGCGCAGCTGCTTGTGCAGCGGCTCGAAGTTTCCGGGCCATCTTGACAGCAACGGCGTGGGATGGGGCAGAAACACCACAGACGGCCTGGACGGTGCTGGATGAGGCCCTGGGGACGTCCTTTCCGCTGCCATCGCGCTAGAGCCGGCCGGGACGGGTTTCTCCGGATCGCCGAGACTATCACGTGAATCGGATCACTTTTGCTGCCTGAGGTATCTATGTATGCAGCCTGCTTCTGCCTGACTCTGCCTGACTGCCTGAGGCAATAGAGTTGGCCTGCCACGTGCCGAGCCAATAATGGAAAGCCTCGAGCCGGTTGGCGTCGCTGCAGGATGATGTCATTGTCCCTCTGCGCCGCGGATCGCCGACGGTGGCTAACTACTGATTATTTGTGATCTCGAGGACATCTCGATGGCGCTCCCCCGTTGGGATACCGGGTTCCCCGTGTGTCTGCAAGACATGCACCTCCCCCCCCCCTCCCCCTCCCTCTGAGTTTGTCCCAACAGGTCCGGGAACCTTGCATGCCGGCTGAAGCTCAACCGAACCAGTGCCAAAACGGCTGGAGGCAGCAGACAGATTCATTCGCGGCGATAAGGTCGGTATGCACGGACTGGCTGACTGACGTATGTAGCTATCAAGCCAACCTGTTCGGCCTCGACTTCACATGCCGCAAAAGAGGCGGTGGGCTTATTGAACTTCTCGAACCCCTCGAATAATCTCCACCCTCAGGGCGCCTGAGCAGGACTGCTGTGCTCCGCATTTTGCGACCCTCGACACACCATGCGTCTCGAGGGAGGGGGATCACGCAATAACCGCAACGTGCTAGGGCTGCTACTGTGGCCGGACTGGGGCCTGTGGATGTTTTCGGAGCTTCTGTGGTGACGAGATGCTGCGTGCCGCAGATCGCTTACACAACCTCGCAGCGGCCTGCAGGTGACCAGTACCGACTGACCGCGTACAAGAGTAGCCTCAGTCGTCGACAAGGGCCCTTCGCACCACCATTGGCGGATCGTGGCCGTCGAGAGTGAAAGCAAGGGTTCTCCACGCAAGAAGTTCCTTAGGATCTCTTTTCCTACGATTCCCGGTAGGCAGCGTTGCTATTGGGGCGGTTGCAATAATAATGCCACTGATATACTGCGATCGGGATCTGATCCCTGCAGGACGGAGCTCAGTGCGGGCGCGCTTCACTGCGCCGATTGATAGCCCTTGAAACCGCCATATTCCGACTGGCTGTGGCAGGCTGATTCTACCGTCGAATCAGGCCATTCTGAAACAGTATCCTACATCGGCGGCGCGCCCATATACATTGCACTGGCGCTGGCAGCTGCACCGACCTGGTGTAACTACGTCGCGGAGACTTACGACCTCCCCATCCACCAACCGCACAGCTGCCTTGAGCTTGTGATGATGCGCGGACGTAAGGAGGTAAGGAGGCGGTTAACACGGGTTTCCCGCGATTTTAGCCTCCGAGAGCGATCCTCAACCCCTACTGTTAGTTAAACTCGGGTGGGTATCAACTTGCGGGCTAGTTATAAATGGCAGTCTGACTAAGAGAGAGAGAGAGAACCGGTGCAACGATGCACACCCACGGCTGGAAGGAACCCTAGACGCCGAGGATGCGGCTAGATACCGTGTAAGCCAAATGGGCTATCCTGCAGAGTGACCAAACCATCGCAGCCGGCAGGGCTGCGCATCATCTGAGATTGTCCCGCGCCGAATGGTGAGCCCGGGGGTCATAGCAGCCAGCGCAAGGATCGATGTGATGTCACATACTTTATCGCTCATGCTGTAGCTCAGCTCGTCAAGCAGATAGGCGGCTTGGGAGAGGATGCGACCATTGGCTCAGCAAGGGGACGACCCATTGGGGACCAAATGAGCAGAGGCAGTCCATCCAACAAGCAATGCATGCCAGATTGGGCAATCGGTCAACCCGGCCCTGCTCTGGCCGATTGGGACCTACTGCCGCACTCACCTACCTAGCTGGGTGGAGGGAGGAGGGGTGATGGAAACCTATCCAGAGGTCCGGGAGATCCATCGAGGGGATAGGAGGGGGGCCACCATACGACGAAGTATGTAGTGAATACTACTAGTAGTATAATGTAATAGTTCGGGTGCATGATCCAGTCACAACGGCAGGCATCACCAATCCATCAGTCATGGATCCGGGATCAACCATCCCAGTGGGCTGTACCCCACCTTCTGGGACCGCGAGCATGCCGAACAGGATAAGAACTGAGGAGGTGGCGGCGGAGAATGATAGAGCCCTCGGGAGTCATTTTCGTGGCAGGGCGCTTAGCGTGAGGAGACGGAGGAGAGGCTACCGACCACAAAGGAGAGGGAATTGGCATGTTGCCATTTTTAGGGAGGAAGGGGGGGGGGGGGGCTGTGGTTGATGGAGGGGGATGGAGGGGGATGGAGGGGGAGGGGAAGGGTTGTACTAGTAGGACGTACGGACTGGCGGAGTGGCAGGCTGATGAGGAGCTTAGGAGGAAGCGATTGACAATGGAGAGGAGTATAAGCTTTCTCGCAAGTACGACGTCGGTGACAAGTCGGGGTCGTTCAGGGTGGTAATGTGGTATGGGAGGGAGGGTATTTCTTTATATTCATATTCATATTCATTATTCCCCTTATTGATCCAAACCAAAGTAAGACAGGAGGGAGTGCTACCTAGGTGCTCTTGCCTACTACAGTAGGACACAATAGATAGATACACTACAATAGAAACGATAGAGAACACGAAAAGAAGGGCGCCCGTCCATGGATGGCAGAATCCCGGGGGCTGACTCGCCAGAGGTAAGTTGGTGGTCCGTACGGTATCCTACCGTTCAAACTTCGCGAATTCCCGGTTCCCCCCAACCCACCTCCGTCCACCGGGCGGATGGCCGCCATCATCATCATCATCATCATCATGGTTGTTGTCGCTGCCGCGCCCACCCCTCCGGAGTCAAGAGGCAAACCGGGCAGTCCATCATCGGACCCTCTGCAGTCATCGTCATCATCATCATCAGCAGCAGCAGCAGCAGCAGCAACAACAACAACCGGGGGGTGGACGGTTGGACGGTTGGGCGGATGGCAGGTTAGCAATAGCAGGTATTGAGAGGGGGGAATATTTCAGTCATCCGGACCCCAAGTTCAGGGTGGGAATGATGGCAGTGGCAGTCGGTCTGTGGTGGTGGGAGTTCTGGTGAATGCAATCTTTTCTTGTTCTCCCTCCCCGCCTGTTCCAAGAAAGACATGCCTGCCAGTGCCATCACCGCTAATCATCCCCATTCCCATCTCCATCCCCATTGTTATGTGCCTTCCAGCCACCCAGCCAGGCCAGTTGTGGTTCGTGGTTGACTTCACCAGTGGTTCCTCCTATTATTTGCCAGCGCGCCCCAGCAGAGCACCACTCTGGCACACCCCATCTCCACTCCGCCTGAAGCCTTGACTCTGACTTGAGGCCTTTCCCCCCCCCCCCCTTCTTGTGTTTTCCCTTTTTCGCTTTTTTTCCCTTTTTACACTTTTTTGACCTTTTTCCCGTTTCCCGTTTTCCCTTTTTTCTCTTTGCGCCCGACCGACCCTCTGATTCGGTCCCTTCCCAGTGGTTCTCCAGTGGGTGGCATTTGCCTCCAATTCTAGGGACTGTTCCGAGACAACATGCACCTGCACCCTGACTACTACTACTACTACTGCTGCTACTACTAGGCGACTGACTATCTACCGTTCCGAAAAGCCTTGAGTCAATTCAAGTCAGTAAGAAATTCAATCAATCAATCAATCCATCCATCCATCCATCCATCACTTAGAATCATATCTATCTGGTCGACCGAGACACGCGGGCCACTTATCCATCTATCGGCCCCATACGCCGTGCAAGGAGAAAGAATCCCACTCCCGATCGGGTCTATCTATTGTCTACCTCCACTACTGCCTATCTACTTACTCGGTAGTACTCAACACACTCTTACTTCTTCTGTCTATCTATACTCCATCAGGCCCCTGTACTATAACTCATCTCTGGCACTCTTATCCTCCCCCCCCCCTTCCATTTTGGCTCTGTTCCCAAGCAGTCCCTGAGGCGGTTTGGTTTGGTTTGGTTTGGTTTGGCTCGTCAACGCCACCCCATTGCCGTCCTCAATTTTGAATTAAGTTCGCCGTGATCCCCGACACTCTGATCGCGGTCGCCCTGAGTGTATTTGAATCTTTTGGACCCTTGCCTGGTCTTTTACCGATCGATTCCTTCGCTCTTCCCTCCTACCAACTGGTGACTACGAAATACGCATCCTCCTCCTCCTCCGTCTACATCTCGCCGTCTGGTACGAAACCCGCCATCCGCCGGTGTCCGCCCGCCATTCGTCCGTCCGGGCCTGGTTGACGCTAAGGCTCCGTCGCCCACATTGACGGGCATTAATTGCCTGCCCGAGACGTGGGAAGGCCAGGAAAGGCCAAGCTGCGCTCTGCGTTCTGCGTTCTGCGTTCTTCAAGGCGCCCCGGGATTCATTGGGTTTCGTCGGGTTAAACCCTTCAGGTTCGTTCGACCCTTTTCCTTCCCTCCCCTCCCCCGTCAATGCCATTGCCATCACACCTTCGTCTCGCCGGTTGTGCCCATCACTCTTCTTCATCCACTTTTTTTCAACAACTCTCCCCCCCCCCCACCACCCAAACTACTCATCTCAATCAGACTCTTCCTTTTTTTTTAACACCTTACCAGCCACAGGCCCTCCCGCCACTACACCACTACTAACTACCCCTCCCTCCCTTCTCTTCGCTATCCGATCCCGATCGGATTCATCATCCCGCAAACTTCCTCATCCCGCCACGCCAGCCACGCCACGCCCGACAGCGTCTGACTCACCCTTTTCGCTGTCCCTATCTCTGACCCCCCGTGTCGAGAGTCGTCGCCCCCTGACCGATCTCTCTTATCGCCTCGCAGCGCCTAGACCGACGAGCCCGAAATTCCGTGTACTTGGTGGAGGACTCCGGTGTCGGATGGGATCATAATCATGGCTGCTGCTCAGAGTGGACCAGAGTTGCGTGGCGATGCGGATTTATTGAAGCAGCCTACACCCCGGAGGTAAGTGGAAGACTACTGCGGCTTTCGTTTTGTGTCCGGTTCTGGTTTTGGTTTTCTGCACCGCGCTGGCAGGTCAGTGGCGGGACGTTGGTGATGGCACATGGATGCGTATTCCCGCTTCCCATTGTGTTGTCACTTCCGTCCGAAAAGTTTCCTGCCTATGGATCGTCTCACCGGCCTTGAGAAGACTCTTTGCTGCCTTGGAGACAAGACAAAACTCTTCGCATGATCCTACGGCGTCACCCTTCTACTCCTTATTCACAATGACGCCTGTCTTGCTGTGAACCCTCTGTCTCATGTTTCCTCTTCTCGCTGTCCCTTTGCCACATATGCAATCATGTGGGCCTATGCCTTTCTCTCAACCAGACTCCGCATTTCCTCGCAGTTTCGGTGCACAGCTAACCCATTCATCAGCAACGGTGCACAGGAAGACGATAGCCAAGATCAGATCGGTTCCAACAGTCCAATTCCCACCGGTATCTCGACCCCGCAGCCTGATCTTGCGGACAAGCGTCTGCCGTCCCTAAGTTCCAGTTACTTCCAGGTTGGTTCTCCCTCTGGTGATAAGCTCCATCCTTCCAGTACCCGGTCTTCTTCTGAGGCCTCTACTTCCGCGCAAACACCCCAGTCGGATATGTCCCCCAAAGGGACACGGGATGGTCAAGGCCCCTCGCCCTCGGGCTCTTTTGTCATGATGGAGCATCCTGAGGCTTCGGATGCCAAGTCGTCTACCGCTTCGCCGGACCAGAGACTTGAGACACATACTTTACAGCCGGAGACGCTGCCCCCTACGAATCTACCTACTCCCCCCTATAGTTCCGCCTGTTCCCTTTTGCAGAAAGAGTCAGATGAGACCGAACTCGGCTCCTCTGCCCCGGACAAGGGCATGAGCTCCATATTTACTACGTTGAAGAATTATCTCTCCCCCTCCGGAAGCTTGGGCTCTCCTGAACAACCCCCCGCCGTCACACTTCTCTTCCAGTCTCCAGCGTCTCTGGCGACCCGGTCCTTGCCTCCCACTTCTCCAACCCCTCCCTCTCTCTTGCCCCCGAAACACCATGTTTGGCCGATGCCCCTTTACTCGAGCATGAAAAACTCCATGTATCTATGTCTTCTGAGAATTTGGCGAAGCTAACTGGAAACGTGACGGATCTTGTGCGTCTAAAGAGTACACCTCCTCTTACGCCTCGAGCAATGTCCAGCGAAGGCCCGCAACCCGACAAGAAGCCGCCCACAACGTCCCCCCACCCGTCGGAGCCTGCGCCGCCCAAGGCCGACGAACCGACAAGCGCAGCCGATGAAATCGCCGGGAAGTTGGACGAGGCGTTCCCGTCTCGGAAAGACAGTCCCTCGCCAAATGGCCCACCGGTGGCTTCGCTCAAGGGCAAGCTCTTCGTGAATATCTCCGAGGCCAGGGGGCTCCGACCCGGGTTCGACCCTTACGTGGTGTGTGTATTTGAGTGGAACGAGTGCATTTCGAAGAGTGCGCAAGACGAGGAGGAGGCTACGCTGGAACGCCAACAAAAGGAACAAGAAAAATCCGATCTCGAAGCCGGCCGACCGATGGCTATCCCGATGAAAAGCCGATCCAGCAGCAACAACAGTGCGCTCGATGGTCCCGATCAAAAGGGTCGCGCGCCCGTGACCGACCCCCATTGGAACCACGAGGCGGTCTTGTACGTCTTTCTGCCTACCGGCATGCCCCTGCAAAGACAGTTATGCTGACTGGAGATAGTGATGTTCAGGGCGACCAGTCCGAGGTCGACGTGTCGGTATATGATCGCAATAATCAAGAGGCATTCCTGGGACACGTGCGCCTGTGTATCAACCTGCAGGATGACCACAGCCGGTTGGAAGGATGGTTCCCCTTGAAATCCCGTGCGGCAGGGGACTCTCAGGTCTCCGGGGAAATCCATCTGGAGATGCGATTCGAGAAGACAGAAAAGAAGCAGGTGGGGCCGAACGATTTCCAAATCCTCAAGCTCATTGGCAAGGGAACGTTTGGTCAGGTCTACCAGGTTATGAAGAAGGACACCCGTCGTATCTATGCGATGAAGGTCCTGTCGAAGAAGGTGATCATTCAGAAGAAGGAGGTTGCGCATACACTGGGAGAGCGGAACATCCTGGTCCGGACAGCTATGGCCGCTTCGCCCTTTATCGTCGGACTGAAGTTCTCCTTCCAAACTCCGACCGACCTTTACCTGGTTACCGACTACATGTCAGGTGGAGAGTTGTTCTGGCATCTGCAGAAGGAAGGGCGATTCCAGGAGGCCCGGGCCAAGTTCTACATCGCCGAGTTGATCTTGGCGCTGCAGCATCTTCACGAGCACGACATTGTGTATCGCGATCTTAAGCCGGAGAACATTTTGCTTGATGCGAACGGTCACATTGCGCTTTGTGATTTTGGTCTCTCGAAGGCCAACCTGACCCAGAACGACACGACGAACACCTTCTGCGGAACGACAGAGTACCTGGCGCCTGAGGTGCTGCTTGACGAGCAGGGCTACACCAAGATGGTCGATTTCTGGTCCCTTGGTGTTCTCGTGTTCGAGATGTGCTGCGGATGGAGTCCGTTCTACGCCGAAGACACACAGCAGATGTACAAGAACATCGCCTTCGGTAAGGTCCGGTTCCCCCGGGACGCCCTGAGCACGGAGGGAAGAAACTTCGTGAAGGGGTTACTCAACCGGAACCCGAAGCACCGCCTCGGAGCCAAGGGCGACGCCAAGGAACTCATGGCGCACCCGTTCTTTAGCGACGTCGACTGGCAGGCATTGGGTCGGAAGGAAGTGATCCCTCCGTTCAAGCCCAAGCTCAAGTCGGACACGGACACTTCCAACTTCGATCCCGAGTTCACGAACGCTCTGGAGAACAACAACTCCCTCAATGACCGCGCGGCGGCGATTGCTAATGGGTTTATGCCCGCCGGGACGCCGTTGTCGCCAGGCCTGCAGGCCAACTTCAAGGGGTTTACCTTTGTCAATGAGAGTTCCATCGACCACCATTTCACCGAGGATGGGGACCACATGGAAGAAGACACGGAGACCTGGCAGCGATCCCACCAGCCCGTAAACGTGGCAAGCCAGCTCATGAACGCAGTCCAGAAGACGCATGAGGGCGGCGAGCCGGGTATCTTCAACGTTGATGACAATTTCGATATGTGATTATGGCCTGATGCATGATAATGGAGTTTTGATTCCCATATATCATTTGAATTTATTTTGATTTATTTATTTTTTTTATTTTTGCTTTGTACATGCCATGGTGGGTGATGGGCTTACAATGTTGTTGCCTTTTCTTTCTTGATTTTGCTATCCGTGGTCATTTACACCTTAGCTCCTGTTTATTTTGCTCCGGTAACAGCAGAGTTAGTCCCCCACAGCGGTCTGATCATACTTGCTTCTTTTTTTTTATTTTTTTTCCCTACGCTCCGTGTCCCATTTCCTAGTGTTTCGTGTCCTTTCTTCGCTGGTCATCTGGATAGATGGTTTGATATCGTTACGGGATCAACCTGTGTCCTTCGTGAGAGGGACGCTTATTTTGTTTAATGACCCGGGAACATTTGACCTTGCATTTTTTTTGGCCTTTTAGTTTTCCCCTCCATTCCATACCATACCTGTGATATCCGGCAGTGGACCTGTTCTATCGCCGGTCGACCCATGTGCTGCCTTCCTTGGTTTTGCGGTTGATTTTGCGACTCGGACTCGGCCGGTCAGGGCCCCGGGCCGGGCGTGTCTTTCTGGAGCGAGAGGGTGGCAGCGGCGTTCATCATCCGGGAGCTGGGGGCTGGAAGCATGGCGCAGGAGGTCGCTTGCTTGCATCCTTGCACTTGGTGAGATGTCAACATTACATTTATTAAATTTGTGCCTTTTTGGCTGTTTTCTGCAGTAGAGATGTGTAGCGGTTGTTCGATAACTCCCTGCCTGCCCAAGTTGAACGAACACGGTGACAGGAAGAGACATTTCCACGAGCTCTGCCACCAACAGACTGTCTGCCCTCCAGTAGTTCACCGAGAATTGAAAGATCGCGCGGAGACTGATGAGAGCCTGAGGCAGACACCGGGCCTTCTGGTTCCAGTTCCACTGCCCACCCCACCCACCAAGACCCATCAATTCCATAGCAACCAAGCATCCACCTCTATCTATCTATAGATAGATCATAGATAACAGAGGCACAGTAACCCGACACCGATCCCGATCCGATCCATCCGATTCCGACCTCAAACCCGTGGACCCAGCCCAAACAGCCCAAACAACCCCCCGATTCGACTCGCTCGACTCGCCTTGTTTCAAAACCGATCCATCATCCATCATCCATCATCCATTGTCCATCCAGCTCGGTTTCGGTTTCGGTTTCAGTCTCGAGACGAGACGAGACGAGACGAGAGGAGAGGAGACTCCAGCCCAAGCCGCACGAACAAACCCTGCGCCTCAGCCCTCAGCCCTCAAGGCTCAAACTCGGTCTAGTCTAGATATATATTAGATCATGCTGGCCCGGTAGAAGTAAAGCAAAACAACAAAAAAGGAGTGTCTGGTGGCGGAAAGTGGAAAGTAGGAGGTAGGAAGTAGAAACATAGATACGCCCTGGGAAGTGTGAATGGATGTGGTGAGTAAGTAAGTGCATTGGCCAGCCAGTCAGTCAGTCAAAAGGGTCTATTTTTGTTGATACCTAGGGCGTAGGGCGTATCTAGATACGGTGTAGGGTGGTGTGCCGTAGGTAGGGTAGGATCTGAAACGGTTACTTGGGAGTCGGGATTGAGACATTTTGCGGCAGGGACGGGAGGGATTCTCAGGTTAGGTAGATAGCTGGGTAGGGGTGTAGATATGAATGGTTTGGATCATTCTTAGGGATTCTTAGATAATGTGTGTGTGTGTGTGTGTGTGTGTGAGAGAGAGAGAGTATTAGTATAAGAAGTAGTCCTAGTGGTAGTATTGGTTGGAGGTCTATACAGTATACACAATTACATCCACACATGGATCCGGCATTTTCTGATTATAGGTGAGAGTACTATACTACTTTTCTTTTAGTACAGAGTATTATCTATTAAATTCATGCGTAGTATCCAAATGGTATTGCTAAGCTTTATAAGATACCAGGAAGATACCTACCTATATCCAGTCACTACTTCACTAGAACTAGTTATCCCAGTAAGTATCTGCGGCTGTCTGTCGATATCGGTATGAGGATCTTTGATACATAGATCCATGCAGACTGTCCATTTATAGCACCATAGAGGATCAAATGAATAGTAGGTTAGAGAGTCTCGCCAATAAGATATCCACAGGAGTATTTCTGACTCGTGTTCATGCCAAGAGCGTGACTACTTATGACTGTGACTGTGCGGGAGTCGCTTTGGGGGCCGTGCAGGTTGCGGTCGGTGGGTGGGGATTGATCGTGATCGTGATCGGCCTCGGGAGTCAGAGGGAGGGTTGATCATGATGGTTAGAACTTCATACATACTATGATTAATAGGTGGGGAAGGTGGCCGTGTTTGCGTCTATGTTTGTATCTGTATCTGTGTTTGGGGTTGGGGTTGTGTTTTATGAGGGGAATGGTATCTATCCTATCTAGGAAGTGGGAGTGGGAGAACTACCTACCTGAAGGTCAGTAAATAACTAGGTACTCCGTAGATAGTTACTATTTGCAGATAGATATATGTATGTTTGAACTCAAGATTTGTCAGAGATGATGTCTCGATTTCCAGCACAGGATATCCATAAAGTATGTTTGTGTTTGCTTATAGTATGTACATACATACGTACCGGTCCATCGAGTCTAGAAGGTTGGAAACATCCAAGATCCTTGCCTGCACCAGCAGTAAGTAACCGCGTACTTTAGGTGACAAACAATCTTATTTGCCCTAACACTACCTAAATTCTACAGCACTATGTACTACCATGTACGGTACTTTATCCAAACCCCGAACAGATCATAAATCTATGTATATATGTATGTGCTATGTTTGTACATTGTACACATGCAATCCCAAGGAACCCCGAACCCTGTCCCCAAAAAGAAAAATAAAAAACGGAAAATAAAAAAGAGAGAGAAAATAAAGAAAAAAAAAAGATGTCGATCGCAACTCGCAACGATCCGAGAGAACCAATCGGCAAGGCCTCCATCAAGCGAAGCACCGCCTGCATGCACTTGCTCTGCAGGCTCTGGGCAGGGCAGGGCAGGGCAATAATACTACTAATAATAATGATGGTGACTCGGCCTGAGCCGCCTCACGGGCCAGGACCAGGGCTAGGGCCATGGCTCGGAGGAAAAGCGGGAGCGGGAGTTCATGTGAATTGTGAATCGTGAAACAAGGCGGTGTTTCTGATTGCCTCTGTGCCGGCCGGGCTGGGTGGGTGGGTGGTACAGAGATTCTATTTATACAGGCATTTACGGGGAAGAGAGGTGGGGAGGGAGAGAGGGATGGATGGGTGGACGGACGGAACAAAAAATGGGAACAATGGGTGTGTTGACTTTTGGGGGTTGCCAATCACAATGGCAATGCCACTGGGTTGTGGGTTGTGTGGTTGGGACTTGGGACTGGGAGTGGGAATCGGTGGTTGTCCGGGTCAGGATATATGACTGTGCAGTGTACTCTGTACTGTGTATGGAGGATGTACATAGGTATTGTGTCGGGGAGACTGGGGAGGTTAATTTCATGGGGGGTGTCTGTCCTGGACTCTGTTAGCATAGTAACCAGAAAAGGTACGGAGGAAATGAGAACTCCAGTCTCCTGCAGGTAGATGATGGGGTCGGGGTCCAGTTGTACATATAGTAAGTATCAATATCCGTTGTACAGTGTGCTGGCATTGATCGAGTAATATCTATCTATCCTCCTAGGTATGGCCGTCGCGCGCCATAGCGACCGGCACGCTAGCAGGGATTCCAATCTATATATGACGAGGCAAGTGGGACGCATGAGACAGTTATCTCCGAGGGAGAGAGCTGCTCGCCATCGTTGTCTGAGATTGATGCCGGAGACACGGAGAGGGGGGGGCTGACTAACGCCGCGTACTCGGTGACTAACTAAGGACTCAACGGGGCCCGCGCATCAGCCAATGGTTAAATTGACGGTGCGAGCCGATAGGATCCATCCTGGATGCTAACTGAGTGAGGGTTGCTGTTAAGAGGATATCGGTGGTTCGTCCGTCTTCAGGAGAACCTCAGGGCATTTATCTCTGTTGCCTGCATCGCGATGTCTCCTGCTTAGGTTAACAGAGTCAGTCAGTTAGTTAGCTGTCCGGCAACGAAGTCAGCATCAGCGACGTCATCCATCCATTGGAGGGTATAAATAAACTTCAGAAACGACCCCAACTACTGGATCGTCACCCTTGTCCGGGGGCACACAACTTGAGTCTTGAGGGTGAGAGGTGAAAAGAAAGGGGCTCTCGGGCGTATCATCCATGCAGAAAGCCAGTAATGAACCCCCCTAATCCGGCCTAGCGCCGTGTACCTGGCGCTAGTCACGCCCCCGTCCCCCGCGCTAGACCGTATCCTGCCTAGTATTCTGGCCTCGTTCCGCGGGTGTCGAGGCATCCCATGCACGGCAATCCATGGATTCGGGGCTGCCACCTCCTTTTTCCTCTCACTTCCGTCTTCCCCCTCCCCCCCTTCTCGTCGTCATCGTCGAACCATCCCAAGACTTGGGCGCCAGAAGGACCAGAATCGGGTTTACGGAGTCTGTTTGCATTCTGCAACACCCGAACGCCCTTACCAGTCGAATCTGACGGGCTCTTCCTGTGCCCACTGTCTGCAAATCACTGCCACTCATCGTTACTCCTTCGAGCGCGATGCTGTCTCCAGACTTCCAACTAAACTAACTCTCCAGCTAATGATTTAGTTCACGGCCCTCCATCCCCCTTTGCTCTCCCCCAGGCAAATCCTGGAGTCCTCTTCCGAGCCTCCCACTGTCCTCCCGCTCTGTTCAGATGACGGGTGATGCAGCACCGAACCGCCCGCCCCCTTTGACGAGGCGAGGACCTCCCTCAGGTCTGTCTGTTGTCACTTGCGGATGGGATCGTGTTTGATGATTGATGTTGGAACCGAGGTCTCCGCTTTCCCTCCCCTCCCTCCCTCCACTCCACTCCACCGCGTCACGGCCTTTGCCAGCACGAGTCGCTGCGATGCCCTGCAGTCTCACGAGTCACGGCGGACTGGGTACGGACTAGTGAACCTAAGATCCTCGTTCCTCTGGGTGGAGACGATCGGCCCTCGACTGCCGTCCCACGGCCTCCTGGTAGGCTAGTCCAACCACTCACTCTGGACGATACTCTCTGTACGGACTACGGAGAAGTGGCGTGTTCGCGGTGGTCGGCCGCTGGCCTTCTCAGTTCTCACTCCTCGTGCCATTGATGGCCCTGCGTTAAGCTCTTTTGGGGTCGCAACTAACTTCTACCGACCGAATGTGGTCCCTGATAGATAACTTTTGGTGCCCGCTCTGTTCCCCTCGTCCGCCTAAAATAGCGTGGTCGGCCTTTTCTTTTTCTCTCGAGTACTTCCCTGGGCCATCAGATTACAACCTTTGTTGTGACCTCCCAGACAATCGTCTTTCATTCCTTTTCGCCTTGTCGCTCCTTACTACTACTACTCCTCCTCCTCCCTCCGTCACTCCCTCACCCCCCTCTTTCAGACACTCTCTGGCCAGTGTATCCTGATTCCTTCTACCGCCGTACATACCTTCCGGTGCCTTTCCTTTTAGCCCATCCTTTTCCCCACTCTACAGTCTTGCTTCTCCGCCCCCTTTCCCGGTCTCCAACGGTCCTTGCGCACACCACTTTTTCTCCGTCGTTTCCCACCTGAGCGCCCTGTCTTGATGCTCGTCAAATGCTACAGCAGGGTTCACAATGAACGTTGTCGCCAGTAGACCCGAGAGCGCTGCTGTACCCTACACCTCCCCCCATCAAGCGCCAGTCGTCCATCATTACAAGGATTCAGCATATGCCGTGACGGTGCAGCCGGTCTCATCTCGAACGTCATCCGTTTCTTCCTTCAAGAGCAACTACACTACCTCAACCGCCCCTACCGTTTACTCCCCCGTCTCTCCGGCATCGCCGTACCGCGTCTTCGACTCCGCTGCCTCCTTGGATAAAATACTAGAGTCGGTATTCAAGCGAATACCGCAGGAGGTCTACGATGTCATCCTAGATCAATTGCAAGATCTACACACAGGCCCGAACCAGACGGGGTGTTTGACATGTTTCCAGCGCGATTTGCATTCTCTCTCCCTGACCTGTCGGCCGTGGGAGAAGGCAGTCCGAGCGAAGCTGTGAGTGGAGCTTTAGACATGGTCTACCTGTTTTATTGTGTCTGGAATGAAAGGCTTACTGTTTTCTAATCTAGGTATAACCACATTGACATCATTGGAAATGATTCGCCCGCCCAGTTGAAGAAATATCGACTGAAAAGGGGAAGCCGCTTGAAGCTGCTCAGACGAACCCTCCGGGAGAGGAAATTGCTGGCCAATCTCGTTTTGGAGCTTCGCGTGCCCCAGATGGACTTGCTGTTCACGACCGTGAAGCATAGTACCCAATGGCAGGAATACCGAGATCTGGTCGCCTCCGTCGTCATGGTGTGCCCCAATCTGGAACGATTGCTGGGCTTGACTATCCCGTACAACCACGAGTTCGACCGCCTCACACATGCGTTGTCCACGCGGCGGAAGTTGAAGGAGCACACGTGGATCTTAGGAGAGGCCCCGGCGGTTTCTGAAGGATCCCCTCGCAGCTCATCATGCCCCTGGAGCTTGGGTCCATCGCAGATGTTCGAGTTTCTGAACTACCATGCCTCGTGGACGAATCTAGAAACCCTGATGCTCTGTGGAGTCAACGAGAATAACGCACTGGAACCGAGTATCTTCCTTCGCATGATCAATCTTTTACCCTCTTTGCGCAATCTTTGCATCTCCAACTTCGATGCAGATGCCTTCGCGGACAGTGCTCTGCTGTGCCTACCGCCCCTGGAATCTCTTCGTCTTGAGAACCTTCCGGGTGTCACTGATACAGGCTTATGTCACTACACGACACGATCGGAATCTCGATCGCTCAAATCGCTGGCTCTCATCGAACAGAACCTCGAATCTTTGTCGACGATCTCGAAAGTCCTCGCATCCTTGAACCAACTAGAAAGGTTCCAGTTCGTGCAGAGCAGCAGATGCCCCACGCTTAACGCCGAGGAGATGGTCTTCCAGCCGCTTTTCGCCTCCTCGAGCCTCAAGTACCTCCACTGGGACGTTACCGGGCCGGACTCGGGCGCTGCGCTCAGCAGACTCGATTATGTTCCGTTCATGAAGCCGCCGCGACACACGGAGTCACCGAACTCCCATCTGGCTCAAAGTATCCTCTCGATCGGGTTCCCTCGTCTCGAAGCATTACGGGCGCCCTCGGATATAGAACCCCCGGGGGTTCTTCAGGCCGTATGCCAGCCGATGCCACGTGGGCAGGCGCTAATGAAACCGGACCGGTACAGCCTTCCTCGCAGCTCTCACGGGTCTGTCCGGACTCGACCAATGGCTCTGCCTGCGGGTAACAACTTGACTTCCGCTCGGATACGAGCGCAGACATTCATCGACATGGCCGCAAAGGATACGGAAACCGGGATGAGGGTTCTCATCACCGATCATTCTGATTCATATGTCCCGGACAACGCTTTGGACGACGACACTTCCGATGACGGTTCTGATTTGGACGTGGACGAGTACGGGATTGGCGAACATACCAAACAAGACGTCTCCGAAGACCAGGAAGGGCCGGTCGTTGTGTACGATTTCCGAATGCCAGCTTACATGGGGAGGATAGGCTCCCGCACGAGTAAGAAGGACATCACAATTCCGCGATTCATTCTTCGTCCGGACATCCCTGGACACGATGGCGATGGAGGCTTAGTTGGGTGGAAACACGTACTGGCCTCCAACCAATCGCTCACATATGCCGCCGGGGTTGGGGTGAACTGCTTCGGCAACAAGGGCCACACAAAACCGGCTGCCGACGAGCCACCATCTCCGACCTCGACTGCGACCTCCCGCTTTGGATGGGGCAGCATCGGCAGTCGTTCGGCACTGGGCACAAGCCCGAACACGCCCATTACGCCATCGACGCCGATGAGCGTTGCCTCTTCGACGGGGCTTCCCTGGGACAGGGACACCTGCACGGGATCATGGAACTACAGCCACCGCAACGGTCGGGAGTGGTGGTTCCACATGGAGCGAGACCGGCCGGAAAACGTGCAGATTGTCGACGTGAAGCGGCTCTTCTAGATGAGAAGATGTGCATCACCGGTGACGTGCATTTAGAAGCGAATTTTACCGTTCATTTGACAATTATTTTGATGATTAGCATGCAAATGGTACATGCTTGTTTGTATACACGCAGAAACGGCGTTTACGGGACCTGATGGATGGATGGACGAGCTCATCACTTGCGAATTATTTATTGATTTATTGATTGACTGATTGATTTGGTTTTATTTCCCGGCTGGTTAATTTTGTGTTGCTGTACCGGCATCGGGGGCTACTTGACATGTACAGAGCGGGCGGTTTTTATATTTTCTCTCTTAATATTATCTGTCTTGATGCATCCGGATAGACTCTTGCTGTTGCAGGCAGGGGTTTTCTGGCTCTGCATATATACATACATACACGCATACATAATACCTCTTCTTCTGTCTTGGTCATCTCTGATAGCAACAACTGGCGCACCTAATTGCCGTCGTATATCTAGCAGTATAGTATCTATCCACCTTGAGCGACTGATCGGTACATATCTTTATGCACCCCCTGACAACCCGCCTAGATAAACAGAAAGCAAGCATGGATGGAGGAGATATACAGCGATATACATATCTGTTCAGGCTCTTTATGGGCGGATGAGACAATGGTCGAGAGGAGAAAAAAAACCCCCCATTTCCAAACAAAAACCCCAATTAAAAAAAAGGCAAAAAAAAAGGACAAAAAAGAAAGAATGGGGCAAGCCGGGCTTGAACCGGCCACCTTCAGATGAACAGGGTCATATATCCTCGGAAGAGGATGAATGCCTATGGCCGAAGTTTGACTTCAGTCTGACGCGCTCCCAGATGCGCCATTGCCCCTTTTCGATGAAAAATGGGCCCCTTTTAGGAGACTTATTCGTGGGTGAAATGGGGCGGGGCTCGCTTAGGCCGCGGCGCATGGTACGGCGCATGGCTGCGCGCGGCAGGGCGGATATCAGTTTTATTGCTATGGGAACTTTTATTTTATATTATATTTTATTATATTTTATTATATTTTATTATATTTTATTTGTTGTTTGTGTGGTGCGTTACTTTGGGGTTTTATTATTCTATGCGGATGGGTATGGAGTATAATATGGAGTGGGTTTATTTGGTTGTGTCTGTGTCTGTATTCACCTATCCTACTCCGTATCTTAATCGTAGTTGATGCCTGCAGCTTAGGGCCTGAGAGTAGTAGAGTCGAGTCGAATGTACTAGACCCTCCCATTGCCGGTTTTACATATATACCTCCCCATATACCTCGCGCGAACTCCAACTCCAACTCCAGGCACAACCCCTATCCATCCCCGCCAATATCCCCACTCATCAAATAGCCAGATCTCCACGGGTGTCTCGGTCTCATGCGTGCCATGGCTGCATGCCATTCATGCCATGCATGCTGCCCGGCTACACTTACAGTGGCGGCTGTCCGTGCTCTGGGATGACAATGTGGGGGGTTACTTGATCCTTGCAGAATGCAGGGCGGGGCCTGGGTGAGACATGCTGGCGGATAGGCTTAATTCAACCTGTGTGTCTTGGATTTGGGGATGGAGGGAGGGGCTGGGGAGGGGGGACGTGTTTGGTGTAACTGTAATGTTTACTTTTGTTGGGTTGTCGGGGATGGGTGCGTGGTATTGCTGGGCTGATGGGGTTTTGACATTTGGGTTGGGGGGGCTTGTGGCCGGCGTGGGTTGTGGGTATAGAGGGATATAAATTAAAAAAAAAAAAAAAAAAAAAAAAGGGATAGTATGTCAAGATTGGCTCAGATGTTCTTTATATACTGCAGACCCGATGCTTGGGGATAACTACTGAAAGGGATCTCTGGGTTTTAGACTGCGAGGGTATACTATATATATATATATATATACTGAGCCATGGATATTAGCCATCATGGCTAGTAATGATCAGCCGATGTATGGTGTCATAGAAACAATTTCCCTACTAGTACATACGCAGCATGTGTATTGCAGGGCTGGCAAGAGAAGCTTTCCCTCTACCTATCTTGATGTATTCACAGCATTGCATCCATCCAAGTCAGCCGGGCAGTGCGATATTGACAGGGAAGGGTCCTGCGACACGCCACAAAACTCGAATGTTATGGGTAAAGTAGCCTAAGATACTGTCAAGAAAGCTCTTCTGCTTGAAGATGTTACCGGGAGGAACTATGTATTGGAAGGGCTATCAATCTTTCCATGTAGGAGGCTTCCCGTCTTTTACGGATGGGGTGTAGCGGCAGCACAGCGAGGTTCCCGGTAAGGGCAATAAAAGATGTGTATTTACGTCGGCGACGTAGATGGTAGCAGTAGCATGGGCGCCCAAGACAACAGATATCCTACTATGGTACATCATCACGTATATATAACTCCGACACGGATTCTAAACCCTCATCTCATATATAACCAGTGTTATTTATTAACCTGACCCTCTCAGCATGATTTGGATAAGTAAGTACTCCGCAAGTAACCCAGCACTAACCAGATGACAAGAGTTAAAGCACGCTAACCCCAAGTCAGCAAGGCACGGACCCACCACCAGAGCGAATTTCCGTCCCCGCCGCATCAGCCATCCCTCAATGCGGCCAAAAGTCTTACACAATCGATCGATCGGGTCAAGAAAGAAAGAGCGAGGGGGGTAAAAGAAAAAAAAAAGCAGAATGGGGCAAGCCGGGCTTGAACCGGCCACCTTCAGATTAACAGTCATCCCGAAGGACGATATGGCCGAAGTTTTGACTTCAGTCTGACGCGCTCCCAGATGCGCCATTGCCCCGCGGTTGATGTTCGGCAGGGCTGGGTGGGGGTTATCAGATGAGTATGTATTTCTTGCTTAGAATATCGGTCTTACTGGTGTTCGTTGGTGGGGTTGGGGTCTGTGGTGAAGGAGTGAAGGTGCAGGTGTTGGATGGTATGTATGTATGTATGTAGGTATTGTGTTTGTCTGTGACATGAAATATAAAGCGTCATGATATTTAGGTTTCAGGTCTATGGTTGCAGGGTGGGTGGTCTCTTGTATGTAGATATGGAACTGGTTGACATGCTTGGAACAATGCCAGCCAGGCTGGCTTGCGTCGGCAGGAAGAAAAGACAAAGAAAGGACAATCATTTAAGTAGTAATTTAATTATTACCTACCCACCTCGGTGCATTGCCATCGAAAAAAATAGGGCCCGGGAAAAAAAAAAGACCAAAAAAGAAGATTGGGGCAAGCCGGGCTTGAACCGGCCACCTTCAGATTAACAGGACATCCCGAAGGATGAACCTAAGGCCAAAGTTTTACTTCAGTCTGACGCGCTCCCAGATGCGCCATTGCCCCATTTGTTGAAAATTAATCCGCTAGTTGTACAAAATAAGCCACGTGTGCGCTTCCTGACATGCATCTTCCGAACCCCCCCCCCAAGAAACCAAACCATCACTGCAGGCCACCGTATCTCAATCCCCGTAAGATATAAAATTACAAGTGAATAATAGAAAGAGATATCCCCCAATGTTTCCAATGCCCAGAAAACCGGACAACTCCTGGGTAGGGTGGCTAACGGCCAGGGTAGGTTAATGATAACAGTTAAGAAATTTAGATAATAGTTAAAGTATTTTATAAGAAATAAAATAAATATATAATAATTATTTAAATAATAAGTATAATATAAACTGGATAATTATATAATTAATTCCTAAATTATATAATATATAAATATTATTATAAAATATTTAATAATTAAAAATTATTATATAAAATAAGTCTAGAATTAATTAATTATATATTAAATATAGACTAACTATATTAAATAATATTTAAAATATAATTTATAAATAAATATTAAATATCTTTCTAAATTTAATTTTAAAACTTATATTTTATAATTTATTTAGATCTAAATATACTTTTTAAGAGATTGATTTTTAATCTATATTTTAATTATTAGTCACTCTACTCCTGGGCCTTTTGTGTTACAGGACAGATAGATTATACTAATTAAAACATGTCTCTAAACAAAAAGAATAGCTAGAAAGCTATTTTATTTATTTATATAGAATTTATATATATATATATATATATATATTAAGCTAGTACTAGTTTAGTATATAATAGATAAAATCTTAAATATTAATTAATATCTTAAATTAAGCTTTATATTAGAGTTTTAATTTTATGATAAAAGCTTTTTTATTTTATTTATTATTCTTTTTATACTTTCTATTTACATAAATAGCTATTTAAAATTTATAATAATAATTTTATATTTCAGCTTTTCTCTTAGGACTCAATGATAGGGTGAAACATGTGACTGTTAACATGGGAAATTAAAGCTTCAATGATCCCGGCCAAATTCTGAAGGTAAGAGAGATTTGCTTTCTTGACCTGGCTGTTGCCTTCTTCAGTGGGAGGTCAGTGAATCCATAGATTCAATTTTGGTGTGGGCCATGCTGCATGTCATTGACATGTGAATCGAAGTCTTACCAGATGACCTTCAGAAAGACAGTGGTGAGATGCTAATCAATCGCACATTACAGCAAAAAAGCAACAGTAGACAAGGTCCAGTGTGTCTCTAGGCCCACCAGCCTATGTTCCTACACCTATGAATAAATGCTAAGTCAAAATACTCAGCGTGAACTGAAAACATTGGTAAATGAACGCGTTTGCTGTATTTCACTAGACCATACATAATCAGGAGATAACTCAGAAGAAGAGAGAGACCCATTTTCAGCCCGGTTTCCAGCTCAGGGCCGCACATCAGAAGACCAAGACCCAAGGAATAATGTGAAGCTGCCAATCAAAGTAGTCGAAGTTTCGACCCTAGAGTCTCCGTCTCGAAGCTGTGCCTACTCTGACTGGAGAAGTGGCCCAGGTATTTTGATCGAGGGTAGCCTGCGTACCAATGACGAATCGGTTGCGCAGCGCTCAAATAGATAAACTAGAACAATTGGCCACTGCATAAGAGGGTTCTGGCACGAGACTTACCTAGCCAGCACCGACGCTAAATCTTCATTCGAGTTGGGGCAATGGCCAACTCTACACCCTTCACACAGCTTACTATCATGCGGACCTCTGCTCTGGCCAGAATAATCTGGTCGCTGTACCTTAAGTCCGTTCCATTTTTTGAGCCAGTATGTCACTCTTTCCGCATAGCACTCAGAATCTAGGATCAGTCGACCCACGGCTCGGCAATTTCTGCATCGCTGATGATACACTCGCGCATTATATCGCTCTTGGGAGTACATGCGAATTGTAATCGCAATTTTTTTGCTCGACCACCCGCTGGAATAACATCCGCGATTTTGACATATGAACCGACCCATAATGTTCGTGTCCCGTTCCTCAATGTTGGTATCTTCATCATCGACGTCAAAGAATTCTAACTGAAGCCCTTCCTCGTCCAACAACCGTGTCACGTCATCATGAAGGTTTGGGTGGAGCGACCATAGCTTCGCGGCTTTGCCTCCCTTTCGTGGCATATTGATTTGGGTGCTATAGTGGAGTTTTGTATGTCAAAAGCTTGCGTTAAGAATTCGGAACATGACCTTCGCTGGGTTTATAAACCGTTTCTGGGAGAAAGCCTACCCCGCTTGAATGCAGCAGATGTAATTCCCGAGGACAACACGCCACTGCCAAAGCACAAATTGATTGGATTGGCAGACGTGTCTCATGCGGTGTAAGGCGCGCCATAGACATACTCAGCGCCAATACCCCGCCCGTATAGCGTCATGTTGCACAGAATCAAAACTGAGTAGACTGCAACATTTATCTTTCAGTATCTTTCAGTATCTTTCACAGAGTAATTGTCAAACCTAGTATCATTCAGTATCACGCCTACTTAGGTGTCTGGACACCTTTTTAGTCAAGTGGTCTGTTTGGTCTGTCAGTAATGCTAGCAAAAAGATTCAAGTCATCATCCAAGATGGGTAGTCTGGCGGAAAAGCTGAGACATACTGGTTTGAAGGAGACAGATATAGTGCCAGATCAGCTGCTGTTCAGTTCTGATATGATGCAGCTAGGTTTACAGATAGAATATTGTTCTATCTCTGGCTTACTAAGAGTAGAATATAATTATTCTATCTTTAGCTAAGAGATATAATATATATATTCTAACAAGTTCTTTAAAAGAATGTATTAATAATAATTAGATAGAAATTCTTAAATATTTATATTATTAATATTATGTTTTATAATTTTAAAAAATAATACTATTTTTATTTTTTATTAATATTCTCTTTTTATATATTAAATTATATATAAATAATTTTTTTAAAACTTTTTATATTTTGAAAATTTTATTTTATTAATTATAAGTCTAAATTAGAGTGGCTATATGATTTAGACAGCTGCTGTTTATTAATATTTATATTATAATATTATAATTTAGTAATACTTATATTATGAAAAAAGAATTATTTAGATATATGTTTTTAAAATATTTTTAATTTAATAATATTCTTTTATTATTAATATTCTTTAATATATAATTTTATATAGAATTAATTTTTTTTAATTTTTTATTATTCAAGATTTTAATAGACTTTATTATAGCTATTTTATTTTATTTATTTTTATAATTTTATATAAAATATTTATTTCTTTTATATTTAAAACAGAGTTCTTCTTATTTTTATTTTAAATTTTTTTTTAAAATTTATTATAAGATAGTATTCTTCTAAAAAAGATTTTTTTTTAAATTTTTTTAAATAAAGAGTTATAATCTTAGTTGAAATAATTTTTTAATTTATTTTATTTAAATTACTTTTCTTAATTATAGATAAAAAATAATTTTAATAATAAAAATTTTATTTTAGTATATTTTAAGATTAATTATAATATTTTTATATAAATTAGTTTTTTTATTTTAATTATATTTTTAATAATTATTTAATAAATAATAATATTAAGCTTAGCTTTCTTTTAATTATTTATTTAATTAATATTATTAATAATAAGAAAAAGTTTATTAAATTTTTTAAAAACTCTTTCTAGACTTTTTTTTTATTTTATTATTATAATTTATATAAGATAATAAGAGTCTTTCTTTTTATATTTAAATTTTTAAACAATTAATTTATTAGTTATAACTTATAATAGATTATCTTATTATATAATTTTATTTATTTTTTATTTAAATATAATCCAGAAAAATATATATTATTTAATTTTGTCAACAATATGGGCAGACTGGCCAGTTCGCTGCCTAAGGCTCGCCAGTTGGCTGCCTAAGGCTCGCCAGTTCGCTGCCTAAGGCTCATCAGTTTGCGGTCTCAGGCCAGTTGGCTGCCTTAGGCCATCAGTTAACAGACTGATAATTCTAAATTCTGTCTACCCCACAGCGAAGCAAAAGATCTTATTTTTATTAATTATTCTAGTCTCTATTTAATCACTGATTCTATTATTCTCGGCTCTGTTCTATTTATATAATTTTTATATAATTTTTATATAATTTTATATATTTTTATATATTTTTGATAGTTAATTAGCTATAAATATAAACAAAAAGATCTCTTAATTTTTAATTAATTTTTTAATAAGTTTTAATTAAGTTAAATCAGCTTTTAGTCTTTTTTTTATTTATCTAATCTTTAATTCTTTTTATTATTTTTTTATTTTTTCTTATCTTTCTTTTATCTTTATCTTACTTTTATCTTACTTTTATATTTAATTTATATAAGAAAGTAAGAGTTTAGTAAAGTTTTTCTAAGAGATTAAAAAAAAGTTTTTATTTAATTATTTAATCTTTAATTTTTCTTATTTTTTACTTCTCTTATCTTTCTCTTACTTTTATCTCACTTTTGTATCTAATTTATATAAGAAAGTAAAAATTTAATAAAGTCTTTTTAAGAAAAGTTCTTATTTCTTAAGAAAAGTTCTTAGTTATAAACCTGATTATATTCTTATATTAATTCTTTATTAATATCTCTAAGACTTTTTATATTCTTTTATTTTTTTTATTTTTATTTTATCTCTGACTTAAAATTTATATAAAAAATTATAGAATTTTTAAGTAAAAAGTAAGATTTATTTAAATTCTTAAATTTTTTTAACTATTTCTTTATTATATCTTAAAATCAGTAATTTAAGAAAGTTTCTATTATTCTTAATAATTAATCTAATTAGTTTCTTTGGATTAATTAAATTTGATTATTTGCTATTAATAAGAATATCTAAAAATATATAAATCCAGATTTATCTGAGAAATCTAATTATTCTATTAAGCCAGTTGCTATATCTATTTTAGATATTAATTATTATATTACTTTAATAATAAATCTTAGTGAATTAGACCGCCTTCTATATCAAAAAATTATAAATTAATTTAATTATTAATTTAAAAAATAAAAAAAAATCATCTCTGAACTAGCCTTTTTAAGTTTATTAATAAATTCTATATTAAGCAAGCAAAATCAGTATATTATATTTAATTTAGAAAGATTCTATTAAATTTTATAAGTTTTAAAGAAGAGAATTGCTCTTATTAATTAGTTTTATATAAAAAAAGTTATTAATAAATATTATAAACTGCGATTCTTAGGAACAAAGAGTTCTATTAAGAATTATATAACTTAATAAGAGCTTGTTTATTTAGAAGTAGTAGAGCTAAAATTAAGTAAGATTACTAGTCTTATTTAAATAATCTATGACTTTCTTAAATCAGTTCAGAAAATAATAGACAATTTTATAATAATTTAATAATCAAAATTAATTAATAATAAGAATAATCAGAAAGAACTATCTGAGTTTCTTGAGATAATATAAAAAGTATGTGATTAGATTCGTCTAAATTCTCAAATTAGGCAATCTATCAAGCTAGTTAGCAGTGGCAGTGGCAGTGGCAGAATCAGCCATATCTTCTTTTAAGATCTTTTAGATAATTCTAAATCAACTGTTTCAACAACTGTTTTAATAACTAAGTTAAAACAAACTTCTCAAAACAGTAAAATATTAATAAAAAAATAAAGATTTAAGAATTAGTTCTGTCTATATAAATTAGATAAGAATAATAGATTTTATAATTTTAATAATTATTTTTATATTAATAAAAAACTAAGAGATTCTGAATAGAAGCCTGAGGCCGAAATCTTAAATTATTTTAGAGATATTTTTAGAAATAGTTCTAAACTAAGATATTTCTTTAAATAATACTGTCAGACTTATTAAATATTATCTTTATTTAATAAGAATAATAAAGTAACTGTTAAGACAGAAAAGATCTTCTTAATAATAAATTAATAAATTATTTATTTAGAATAATTATTAATATTCTATTTATTTTAATAAGCTTTTAATACTACTTCAGATAGCTATATCTGTAATTTTTTAAATTTCTTTATTAATTATACTTCTATTATAAATAAAAATAGATTAATAAGAGTAAAAAATATTATTTTAGTTATTTAAGACTATAGAACAGTTATTTTTTATTCTACTTATTTAAATAAAAAAGATTTATATTTTAAACTTAAAGAAATAGTCTATATTTCTTAATTTTATATAAATATTCTCTCAGCTGTAAAAGCTGACAAAAAAAAACTATTTCTAAATAGAAAAAATAGATTTCTTAAATAAGCAGATAAAACTTTATTATATTAAATTAAAAAAATTAAAAAAATATATTATATTTAATAAAAATAAAAATCTAGTTCTGTTATAATTACTACTATTAAATTAAGTTAGTTAACTGTCAAGACAAGTCAGTTAATTATCTTAAACTTGTTAGTTCGCGGTCTTAAGCTAATTAAACTCTCAGAATATTAATATATAATATCTGGAATAGTCAAAGAATAGTATAAAAAATTAGAATATTCTAATAAGAAAGCCCTAAATTATCTAAGTAATTTAATTTAGAGAATTAATATTATTAATTTATTAAAACAGACTAGCTCAGATAAGCTAAGTCAAAATAAAAAATATTTTATATATAAAATTAGCTAATTAGAAAGACAAATTTTAAGATAAAAATTTAAAAAAAAAATTAGATATTTAAATTAATTTATTAGAATTTAATTTATATAATAAATAAAATTAATAAACAGAGATATATTAATTATTTTTATTATTTCTATTTAAAATTTTATCTAGGGCAAGTTTTAACTTTTAAATCAGATATTTCAGAATTAATTATTAATATAATTTAATTAATTATTAATTAGTTTAAGATAATATTTAAGAGATTTTATTCTGATTAGAACTGGAATCTTAGTATTTTTCTAATCTGGACTAGTATTAAAGATCTATTAATTAGTTATTTATTAATTTATCAGCTAAAGCAAAATTTATATACAGAAAAATCCAGAGTTCTAATTACTTTTAAAATAAGAAGTTTATTAATTAATTTAGAGCTTCTTATATTTTTATAATCTAAAATAATAGATTCGGCTATTTTTATTCTAAATAGAATATTAAACAAATAACTAAATTAGAAAATATTATATAAAATTATTTAAAAAAGTCTTTCACAGTTATCTGAGAAATCAGATATTTTCTGTTTAAGAAAGTATAAATTATATATTTATATCTGAATTAGTAACTTATTTAAAAAAGATAAATTAGGACTTAAAGCTCTAATTAGTTATCTAATTAATTATCAGATAATTAATATTTAGCAGATCTAAGTATCTATTCTTAAAAGAATAATTTCGGCTTGTGATATTATTTTTAATAAAAATTTTAATTATAAACAATATACTAAATTAGAAAATCTATTAATAAAATAAGAAATAACTAAATTAGTTAATTCTATTTAGTTAGAATAATCAAATATCTCTATTTCTAAAAAATCTAAAGAATCTGATATAGATAAAAATCTTTTTAATTCAGAAATATTAAAATAAATATCTGAATCTTTACTAGATAATTAATTAAAATAAGATTAGTTAATAATCTTAGATTAATTAACTGCTGAATCAAGCTAGTTAATAGTCTTAAGTAATTAGTTAGATATCTTAGTTAGATAAGATAATAATATAATTATAAAAGATTTACTGTTTTTATTATCTGATCTATCTTCTTTATTGTCTTAGATTTTTATTAATAATTTAAATATTAATAAGCTGATTGATGAAACTGAGTTCTTAGATATTAAATTAATTAAAGATCTGAAACAGATCTGCTTAGAATTATCTAATTTTAATTCTAAAAGAGCTAGACTTACTCTCTAAATTATTTAAATAATAATTAATTATATTAATAAGAGTGAAATTCTTTATATTAATTTCTTATTACTTCTATCTTTACTTATTAATTAATAAGAAATAAAAAATTATATATTTTCAAGCCAATTTACTCAGGCTGTCAAAACTAAAATTAATTAATTAAAAGCTCTAAATACTTAAAATATATATTTAATTTATAAAATTAATAAAGCTAAAGTATTATTATTAAAATAGATATTTTTATATAAATTTAATAAAACTAATTATCTGATTAATTTCAAAGCCCGAATTTATATTAGAGATAATTTAAAAATATTTAATTAATTAAAAATATATACTAGCATTCTTGCGGCCAGATTTATGCGGATTTTTTTAATTCTAATTATTATATTTAATCTGAAAATTAATCAACTGGATATAATCACCGTCTTTCTTAATAATTTTATTAAGAAGAAAATCTATATAAATCTAATTTCTGGATTAGAAAATAAATAAACAGTTTTTTTATTATAGAAAGCTCTATATAAATTAAGATATTTATTATTTCTTTAATAAAATATTCTAAAATAAAGACTAATAGTCCTAGGGCTTAAGCCTATTCAGAAAGATTAATATATTTTTATTAATAAATTTATAATTTTAATAATTTTTGTGGATAATATAATTTATATATTTTATAAATTAAATTATCAAAAATTTAATAAATTTAAGTAAGAATTAATAATATTATTTAAATTCAAAGATCTTAAAGAGATTAATTTATTTCTTAATATTTAAATCTTATATAATCGCCTAAATAGAAAGTTATAGATTTAATAATTAAACTATATTAATAAGATTATTAATAAGTTTAATTTAAAGCAAAGAAAAAGCTCTAAATTCTTACTTCTAAGTAAGAAATTAGTAAAGAATCTATTTTATTAGATTATTATTAATTAAATTTATAAATTTCAGCAGAAAGTAGAATCAGTCCTATATTTTATAATTTAGACTAGATCTAATATTATTAAATTATACTAGTTAATTTCAGAATATCTGATTAATTCAAGTTCTAAATATCTTAGAATTATAGATTATTTAATCTTCTATTTAAAAAAAATAAAAAACTTGATTATTAAATTTAGCCCTAGCTCTATTTTATTTTATATAATTAGTAATACTAGTTTTGCTGATAATCAAGATCGCGCTAGCTTAATAAGATATATTATTTATTTATTTAATAATTCTATTAATTAGCTAAGTAAGAAACAGTGTTATATAATTCTTTTAATTACTAAAGCTAAATTATTAATTCTAACTACTGCAGCCAAGCAACTTCTTTAATAAAGAAGATTTTTTAAATAAATAAGATTTAGCTCTAATCAACACTTCTCTATATTATATAATAATTATCAAATAATCAAAATTCTTACTAATAAGAATTTTCTCTTTTAAACTAGTCTGAAATATATTAATATTATTAATTATTAGCTAAGATAAGAAGCCCTGAATAAAATAATTAATATTTAATAAATATTTATCAATAAAATACAAGCAGATGGTCTGACTAAGCAGTTTCTTAATCAGAAATATACTCAATTTATTAAACAGTTGAATATAATAATTTATTGAATTCTATTATTATTATTTTCTATTTTTAGCAATTTATTTACTCCAGTTTTTTCTGATATTTTATCTCATCAAAACTGTGGGAGTATATTAATAATATAAACAGACTGGCCAGTTCGCTGCCTAAGGCTCGCCAGTTGGCTGCCTAAGGCTCGCCAGTTGGCTGCCTAAGGCTCGCCAGTTGGCTGCCTAAGGCTCGCCAGTTCGCTGTCTAAGACTCATCAGTTTGCGGCCTCAGGCCAGTTAACTGTCTTAGATTATCAGTTAGCAGACTGATAATTCTAAGTTCCGCCTATCCCGCAGCGAAGCAAGAGATCTTATTTTTATTAATTATTCTAATTTTTATTTAATTACTAATTCTATATAAGGGTGCGTGTTGAGGTAGTGTGAAGAAAGTATATCTATCGCGAAGTCAAGGTAGCGTCTGTATTGCTTAAAGTGTTGTCGCTAGTCTTCTATCTAGCTTCTCTCGCGGATGGTATATCCGCGAGGATTCTGTGAGTCACGTGTTATACTAGCGTGATTACTTCGCGAGGGACTGCCTCCGCAGCATAGGCATTCCTCGCGATATATTATATCGCGAGGGTTATAAGGATTACTATCCTTACATTCTATTATTCTCGGCCCTGTTCTATTTATATAATTTTTATATAATTTTTATATAATTTTATATATTTTTATATACTTTTAATAGCTAATTGACTATAAATATAAATAAAAAAATCTTTTAATTTTTAATTAATTTTTTAACAAGTTTTAATTAAGTTAAATCAGTTTTTAGTCTTTTTCTTATTTATCTAATCTTTAATTTTTTTTATTACTTCTTTTATCTTTTTCTTATCTTTTTTTATCTTTATCTCACTTTTATCTTACTTTTATATTTAATTTATATAAGAAAGTAAAAGTTTAGTAAAGTCTTTCTAAGAGATTAGAAAAAAATTCTTACTTAATTATCTAATCTTTAATTTTTCTTATTTTTTACTTCTCTTATCTTTCTCTCACTTTCACCTCACTTTTGCACCCAATTTGTATGAGAAAGTGAAAGTTCAATAAAGTCTTCTTAAGAAAAGTTCTTACTTCTTAAGAAAAGTTCTTAAATTTTTTTATAAAAATAATTATAAATATAATAAACTTTTTTTATTTTATTTATAAAATATTTTTATTAATAAAAAACTTTATATAAAGCTTTTTATAAAAAAAAGAATATACTTTAAAATCTTTTTTAAAAAAAAATTTAGAATTTAAAAAGTAGACTTAAAATTATATAATTAGATATTAAATAAAAAATAATATAATTAATATAACTAATAAATAATAATATAATATATTATTATAATTTATAAATTCTTTAATTAAATTTATAGCTAAGTTTTTATTATCTAATATCTTTATTATTATTAATTAAAATATATTTATTAATTATTTAAATTTATTTATAAAATATATACTGCTTGTATAAATTTTTAAATAATATTTTAATTATTATAAATTATTAAATTAAGAGAATTTATTATTTTTATGTATTAAATAATTCTTAATTCTTGAAGATTATCTCTTAATAATAATTAATTTTTAAATTTTAATATTAAAGAAATAATTAAATTAAGCTAATCTAATAATTAATTATTAATATAAAAAAATTAATAAAAGAAATAAAAAATAAAAAATATTTCAATTTTTTTTTTTATTTTTTTTATATAAATTATTTATTTAATTATAGTATACTAAACAAAGTATTCGCGCAGATATTGTCAAGCCTTTGGGATTTGAAGGGTTTGTACAAGAACCCCATAACATCGCGATCAGATATAAGAATTCAGAATTCTCTTAATCCGACTGTTAATCTGACAGTCAGATATAAGAATTACTGATAACCTGATCTGACCTGGCTATTGCCCACTCTACAAGCCTAGCAGCAATCCAGTTCACTAGTAGTACAGTAATGGTTCATAGTACATCAGACATCTTCCCCCGCCTTCCTAAATAGTACTTTTATCGGGCTCTATCTTACTGCTACAGTCACATGATTTTGACATGCTGCCTTCGATTCCAGGCCGAACAAGCCTGTGAGGTCACGTGGCACGGCATTGCCGGTGTTATTCCGATTCCGTTCCGCTCATACTGAACTTTAGTGCAGTTGCAGTGATCTATTTACTTAATATTTTGGCTCAGGATTCAAGAGGGCGGGTACGTGCACAGGGCCAAGGACTGAAATAGACCCTGTGATGCGTGAGACTTGATGATGATCAACTTGATTAAACAACCCAAGTAAAGACTCTCGGCATACGAGCCGTTGGTAGAAACTCTCTTGAGGTGGTGGCGGAGCAACACGAGAGGTAAAACATTGCGTTGGCTGATTACAAGTCTATTATGCATATAGATATGCAGGCCAGTCCTATCAAACATATCATTACGGTTGATCTATGTGCCATCGATCCTAGCAGAAGAGGACGGGCATGAACCCAGGGAGAGGGAAGGGAGAGCCTCGGCGCACATAGATACATGGCACGAGGACAAAGAGATACAAAACGGGGGAAAACATCATGGAATGGATAATCGTGACGGTAACTAGACTAGACATAGATACCCATGTTGGTGTCCTTCTTCTTGGCCTGTACTTCTGCGATGGCATCGACGTAGTTTTCGTGCCCGACCTTGTTCATGGCCTTCCGGAGGGCGATCATACCGGCCTCCACGCAGACGGCCTTCAGCTGCGCACCGCCAAACTCGTCGGTGCTGCGAGCCAGTTCGGCCCAGTTGACGCCGTCGTCCACGGCCATCTTGCGGGAGTGGATCTGCAGGATGTTGGCTCTCGCCTCCTCGTTGGGTAGCGGGAACTCGATCTTGCGGTCCAGACGACCGGAACGGAGCAGGGCGGGATCGAGGACGTCGACACGATTCGTGGCCGCGAGGACCTTGATCCGATCGTCGGACGCAAATCCGTCCAGCTGGTTGAGGAGTTCCAGCATGGTTCGTTGCACTTCACGGTCACCGGACTTCTCGGAGTCGAAACGCTTCGTACCGACCGCATCCAACTCGTCGATGAAGATGATGGAGGGGGCCTTCTCCTTGGCGAGGGCGAAGCAGTCGCGAACGAGCTTCGCACCGTCACCGATGAACATCTGCACCAGCTGCGGACCGGCAAGCTTGAGGAATGTGGCGTTCGTCTCGGCTGCACAGGCTCTGGCAAGAAGGGTCTTACCCGTACCGGGGGGGCCATACATCAAAGCACCTAGTGAAAACCAGGTCAGAAAGCTCATGTCACGAAAAGATGCGCCCATCTACATACCTTTCGGGGCTTTAATGCCAAGCTTCTTGAATCTCTCAGCCTCCTTCATAGGCCACACGATAGCCTCGACAATCTCCTCGATCTGCTTGTCCAGACCACCAATGTCGGTGTACTTCTCCGTGGGCTTCTCATCGACCTCCATAGCCTTCACACGGTTGTCGTACTCGGCGGGTAGCGTATCCAAAACAAGGTATGAGTCCTTGTTGACACCGATCAGGTCACCAGGCTTGAGCTTCTCATGATCTACCAGACCAATAAGCGGGAGGTAGATGGTCTGACGGGTCGACGTCTTGATGACAGCCGACTTGCCCACCCGAGTAGCGTCAAGGTCAATGTTCGCCCCCTCTTCAGCGGCTTCAGCCTCAACATCCAGATCCAACAGCTCGACAACGTTTCCGACGAGGTAGGGTAATTGCCTATAGAGATCGACGGTCAGAACATGAGTCGGGATAATGCCGTCATCGCCACCGCGTAGAGCCGCCGCCCGCCGCCCCCCGGACCACCATCAGGACGACTTACCGGTTGTTTTCGATCTTCTCTTGGTTGTCCTTGACTTTCTCCCTCATTGTGTTCTGCTCGTGGGTCAACCGCTGGTATTCGCTTTTCATGATCCGCAGCTCGTTCTCCAGCATCCGCCTTCGCTTGACGATATCCGCTGTGCTCGAGCCAAGGATCTCTTCGTCCAAAAGACCCTCCTCATCCTTCTTGACATCTGCATCTTTCATCTCAGCATCTCCTTCACCTCCAGGCTTCCGGCCGTCGCCGTTGCCATCAGCCTGGCCCTTCTGGTCTCTCTCCTCGCGCTCAAGGTCGTCGAGATCCTCCAAAGTGGACATGGTTGCAAGTGAGTGGGGTGGCGAAGGAGTAGGAGACGAAGATGAAATGCGGATGGGATGGGTTCGGAATGGGAGAATGGGGGGGTAGGGTCGGGGGAGAAAAGGTTGGGGTATTTGAGAGAGCTGTGTTGGAGTCGTGATGCTCTGAGCTCCGGCCAAACAACGTCAGCTCCCTGCCTGCGTCACGTGACTGTCTTACAAATAGGCAGTGCCGGTTCGCCAGTTGCCAACGGCGTGAGTACATGACTCAATTATGTACAATGGATGAAATGATGTCCACACTAAATGCCCAAGCCCGTCCATTCCACCTACTCGGACCAAGCACTATCTAAACACTCGACCATCGACATCTCTCAGAGAAGCCAGTTTGGGTTGGAGCGTACCAACGAATAATTGCCGACCCAATCCCGAACCCTTTCAGTGCCGTACTTGAGACTACGATAGCGTGAGATAAAGTCATCGTTGTTGACTGGTGGGGGTCAGCATATCATTCTGGGTTATATTATATACCCACAGTCATGTCTGGGAAATGGCAGGGAAGGAAGATACGTACTATATCCCCCGCACATCCTGCGTTTCCCCGTGAACTCGGTGCGACCGTGAAGCATTCGCCAGTTATCAAAGACTAATCGATTAGTTAAATGGAATCCGCAAATGGAGGTTCTTGTCCACACTTACTAAGGGCTGTCCCTGGTCGGAGTGTGTTCCAGATCTTCATGTTTTCACGTTCGAGAATCTCATTCCAGTGTCGTGCTGCAGCATACCACTCTACCTGTTCTTTGACGTTCCAGTTGTTGTTGGGGGCTCGATCGTAGTTGTTCCAGCGGATCTGATACAGCCTTTTGAGGACCGGGTGAGCCTTGAGGACCGGTTCCGGCTCAGCAGGCTGTATACACATGCCTTCATTGCCACTTGCATGAGCGGGAATATTGGTTTCCATCAATATACGGCTGTGCTCCGGATTCTCTTCACGCAGAACGGTAGCAGCGTGGAACCCATCAACGAGCAGATTCTTGCCACCCTCCCCGTCATGATGTAGAAGGTGGAAAAGCTGAAGTCTCGCGGGATCAGTGAAGTACGTATTATCTGTATGTGCACCGAGGAACTCATTCGTATACGCGGTGTCTTTGAAGCTCAAGTCGGCCGTGAAATCCCAGAAACCACCTGGAAATAAAATCAGAATTCATCTCGCAAACAGATATGATCAAAGCCCTACCGTAATGGGTCTCCCTGACAAATGCAATTCTTTCGAGGAGTTTCTTGGTAGATCTCGGGTCGCGAGGGACATCCGTTACAAAACAGAATCCCTCTTTGTACTACACAGCATAAGCGGCGCATGATCGTCGGGATTTTTGGGGCAACTCACTATGCGATGGAGCCAGTCGTACATAGCCTTGTCCTCCTTCATGACAGCGTCATATTTTACCATTGGCAGTTTACTGCGCCGAAGCCTGGGGTTGAAGGTCTTGAATGGTCTGGACAGAGTCAGCTATGAACCAGGAAGGAATCCCGCATTTCCTGAAGACTGGATTACCTGAAGCTGAGAAACGGAAAGCGCTTGCTGACACCGGACTTCATGTTGGAGTGCCGAAGGAGAAATTTGGGAGGGTAAGTCGCAAGGTGCCCATCCGACCCTATCCCAGTTAGACTTATGTTGAAAATGGAGAGATAGCAGCAGACTTACATTTGATGTCGATAGACTCCGAGTTTTCAGTTTTAGTTCTTGTAATTTCCAAAGGGCGAACATCCGGGGGGATCTGAGATGAAGGGGAAGATCAGTTCTCATAGCTCTGCCCCGAGAGACTACAGGGTCCACCCACCGCGAAAGTGTCACCCATCCGTTGTCTTGTATCAGGATGAATACATTGCGGACATCGGCAGTTATCCCTAGCCATGGCCATGGTAAGTCACCGAGCCTGTACCGGCCTTCGGCCGTGTATTGGGGTTCGGTTTGTACCTACCGAAGCCAAAAAGTCCCACTGTGGAAAGACATCAGTAGGTAGCTCGATTCATCGCACTGGTTTCCTTACAAGCTTCTTATACTATTTTCTTTCTTCCCTATTTGTACGCGCACGCTGTGCTCTTCTTCCCATTCGTTTCCCTCGGCTCCGTCCTTTTCGTCGGAGGGGGACTCCTGCGGATCCGTGGCAACGGACGACTGTGCACGTACTGGGGCAAAGCGCCTAGGAAGTCCGCGTGCCATCTCACATCGCTTTGCGGCCGATGCGAGCCAGAGAGTCAGATATCACAGCACATCGAATTTCAAATAGACTCGTTGATCTGCCCCTTACCGATCTAATGCATCGTGGGGTAAACGATGATGCGAAGTGCAACGTCCTGCATTCCTATCAGCCACTGCTGTATATTAAGAGGCTGAAAGATCTTACCTGGCATACTTCGGGGAGCTGTGTGTCAGAGAGCTAAATGCCCTGCCGAGCGAAAGTTGGCTCATTCGGTTCATGTTTCCTTGGATTGTCTACCCTCCTGTATTGAGCCTCTGAGGATTGGAGACAAGGCTTCTCCACACGGCAAGATAAAGGCCCTTAAAAGGACGCCCAACCGCCCCGCTGCAATCCGCCTCCGCGTCACGTGCCCTCATATTTACCTCGGATCAGGAGGATGATTATCTACGGTGTATATGCGGATTCTGGAAGTCCTATTGGGTATAAAGCAGTGTAAGCCAGAAAGAGATGCACTGATTTCTAGTTGCGGTTCGCCTATCCCTCAGACCCCACTACATTTTCTCATTGCAGTGTATACGAGCTTCCCCTTCAGAAGTCCCATCATAGCTTACTTGCCGGACCAGTGACCTTCAGCAGACAGCGACCGTTACCGAGAACCGCCTTACCCTTCTCATTCTTAGTCACAAACAGGACCTCTTCGTACCCATCCTGGAGGTTACCGGTTCTCCAGATTTCGGTGGTTAGCCTATCACCAGGCCTGACTGGAGAAGCAAACCGCGCTTGAAACTCCCTAAGATTCTTGGGGTCACTCCCGCCAAGCTCCCTCAGAATACCATGGGCAGCAGAGTTCCAGCTGAAGAGTCCGTGGAGGATGGCGCCTCCAAAGCCCATCTTCTCGCCTGGCTCGGGGGTCGCATGGAGCGGGTTGTAGTCACCATTGAGCCTAACAAGAGCTATCAGCATTCGGAAAGACCGTCATTTCACCATAGCCGTATATTGTCAAGGTGGAATCTCACCGATAAAGATGAGCTGTCTCCATGCTGGTCTGGGTTATATGGACAGCATCGGGCTTTTTGCCTTCAGGCGGTGCATAGTTAACGGTGTTGGGGCCTGCGGAATAGTCGAGTTAGGGATCGTCAATGATGCAGAAGATTAGATGATCTTTCTTGCCTTTAGGTCCACCCCAGTTACCCTGACCCACGAAGAAACCGCTGCTCACGGTCTTCGAATATACCTCGCCGGTTCCCTTCTCCACAATTGCCTGCTCTGTCTCAACCACAGTGCCGGACTTGCCTTTGTCATAGACCCCAACAACCTTGTTGCGTAGCTCGAATTGCTTGCCTGCACTCGTAGGGGGAAGGGGCTTGAGAACCGTGAGTTTGCGCTGACCATCCACCACCCGACGGTAATCAAATTTCGGAACACCAGGGATGGGCGCGCCGCCTGAGCGCGCATAGAAATCCGTGACTTCCTGATCCGTGAGCTTAAACGCTGTCAGATGGATTACAGAATCAGTCCATTATCTTGGAATAGCAGACGGTGTTACACATACGAAGGATGACAGGATAGGTGGGGAAAACTGCGAAGTTTGGGTGAAGCTCCTAGTGGGAAACCGTTATCAGCGAGTCTCAGCGAGTTCGATGGACAATTGAGGGTCGTAACCAACGTAGAGGAAATGAAGTTCATCGGCTTTGCAGCCGATGCTGTTGGCAAAAATCAAAACGTCGCGCTTGTGCCACGACACCTCCTGAGGGGGGAATTCATGGCCGACTCCGGGGTCCGACATGGGGGATGGGCAGATGGGCTGAAGGATCTAGATTGATTCGAGGACTGGGAGTCCAACGATGATAAGAGCGATGCAAGCAGTGTATCTAGGTTGACTGATCTGTGAAAGGGGCAATGGAAACAGGACAGGGGACGTCTTAACTACACTACAGGCAAGCCGGGGAGTTCATATGCGGAGAACCGTAGTTAAGCAGCTACTTACTACGGGGTATCTACTCCGTACTCAGAGAGCGGACTTTGCGGGGCGGGGAGAACAAACCGAGGCTCGAATCTCCATCAGCCGAAGAACGCCAGCCGCTTACCGGAACGGGTCCTGCCAAGTCAACTAATACCAAAGTGGGCGTGCTGATCGCTTTATCAACCAGTCTACATTCTGTCTTTTACTAACTCTACCAATACTACCTGCGTCGTGGTGGCTAGGAATGATAATAGAAGCAACCCCGGGATTGGGCAGACAGAGCCCCGGTTCGCACGTGGTCAGTTGCACCTGGTACTATTGAAGAACTTGAAGCTAGGTAATATATGAGAACGTCGGAGGTGTTAGATTGAGCGTCGACTCGGGGTATCTTCTTGGGAAATTCGAGGAGCTTCATAATCGTCCTTGCGGAAACCATCTCTCCATACCGCGCCAACTGATGATGCCGTTCCATTGCCTTCCATACACAACGCCGAAAAAGAAAATGACGAGAAGAATTGGCATGACACAAAAAGAAAGAAAGTCAAAAGAATCTTTCATCAACCCAACATCCAGATAAACGAACTTCCGTTAAAATGCTATGCTGCCCACGGGGCCAAACCCTCTTATGTTACTGGCAGAACATAAATCGACTCCAAGCAGAACGGCAGACAACCGAAAGAACAGTAGATATTAACAATCATTTAGCACCTGCAGGGGTCAGCCGATGGTCTTAGGATAGCGGAAGCTTGGAACTCACATTCTGTAGGAACAGCTGCCCTCAGAGACGCGGTTCAGGTCATCGGTCTCGAACTTGTAGGCGATGTTGATGTCGAGATCACGCTTGTTCTTGTCATTGGGCTTGTTCTCCAGCACACCGGAGACAACCTCTCCCTCCTCCACAGTCAGAACGTCCCGGAGATAGAAGACGGTCTGCTTCCAGTGGGTGTACTTGGCGTGGGGGCCGGTGGAGAAGTGGATGGGCTTGTGGCAGGCGCCAAATTCAATGTCGAACCAGGCAATCACAGCGTGGATGAAATCGCTGCGCTTAGCGGGAAGCCGGAAAGGCACCTTGAAAACCAGATCGGCAGTGGTGACGGTGTAGAGATCGAGGGTGATGATGGGGCAGGGGTCGGTGACAAGGGCCTTCATGTCGACAGTATCGACCAGGGGCTCCGTAAGGGCGGTCTCCTTCATCGGGCTGTAGTCAAATCCGTACACGTTGTCCCAGACTGAAGGCGGCTTATCAGCACCCCAAATGCGGGAAAAAGTTGTGTGGCAAGCGGGTGTACTTACATCCAATCTTGTCATCCTTGTACTCGCCATCCTCGATCGCAGCCAGGTACATGGTGGCCTTGTCGGGGAAGATCTTACCACCGGGGACGAGGTAACGGTCGCGAGCGTAGAGGACGGTGTCCAACATGCTCTCATAGAGAAGGAAGTAGCCCATCCACTCGGAGATGATGATATCGACCTTGGGGTAGGGAAGGACAACCTCCTCCATCTTTCCTTGCAGGAGGGTGATCTTGTCCGAGAGACCGTTGGCAGCGACGATTTCACGCGCCTTTCCAATGATCGAAGACATATCAACACCCATCACATGCTTAGCACCAGCCTTGGCGGCAAACCTAGTAAACCAAAGGTATCAGAATCTGCATGTCGGCCTGTTGCTTGAATAGAGCACATACATGCTGAGAATACCAGTTCCGCATCCGACATCGAGGACGACCTTGTCCTTGAAGATGTGGCGGTTCTGGTAGATGGAGTCGCGGTAGGATCTAGTGCGAACATCGTCTTTCTATAAAGATAAGACGGCATTAGAAAATGGGAGAAGGATTTGGGTTGGCGAAATGGCACTTACAAGCATCTCCTCATGAATGCCTGAGCGGGGTAGGAGATTAGCCACATCCAACAAAACACGACTTGGGCTCTTGAGAGTATTTACCATGGTGATCATAACTATGACCCGGGTTAGCAACCAAGAGAACGAAGAAGGTTAAGATCCGTTTTCATACCTCGTAAAGTAACGCACTTCGGCGTGGTCCATGCCGACCATGCGATCAGCACTGCTGGCGGTGATAGCAGACTCTGCTCCCTCAGTTCCGGCCATATTTGCGGATCAGCTGGTGGCGGGGGAATAGAAGCAGGAAGATATGTAAAGAGGAGGGGGGGTGGGGGGAGATAGGTGCAAAGAAAAGATGAAGTATTGGCAAGTCTAGTAGTAGAGAGCGATGTTATAAATGCGGGAAAAAAAAGACATAAGCGCCCTGCTGGAGAGATCCCTTCGAGCGCGGTCCTTTTTTTTTTTTTTTTTTTAACTTTTGCCCTCAATTAGGAATTTCTCCTCTGGAAGGCAACAAACGCTAAACTCCGATAAAGTTAGCCTGATCTAGAATCCGCTAAACTAGATTGGGATCCTGTCATGTGATGATAGGCAAGCCCTTCGTCTTGGCTAGGGCTATCAGCAAGAACAGTAAGTTACCAGTTGTCGGTTGCCAGTGGAGATGGTTACATGAGGATATGGCGGGCAGCTTGACAAGTATCTTAGGCAAGCAACTGAGACAAAGACAAACTGTGAAATCAGGCTGTAGCAAGTACCTGAGCTGGAGAAACGATCGGGGGTCTAGAGTCTAGATAGACTCGCGTATTGCAGTCTTCTTACCTGGGGAAGTTATACACGGTAACACAGAGGACCAGAATGCCAAGCTGGCCGTTGGTACTCCGTAACTACATACCTCAGTATTGCCGCGCGCGATGTCACTTCCGCCCCCGCCGGAGCAACGCGCCGCCAGTCTAGCGCCGAAGTACTATTTCACTCCTTAAGCTCCCCTGCTCGAGCGGCTGTCTTGCCAGAACACAGAGAGCACAATGATTCCTGGACTAACTGGGGGGAAGGCTTACTGCTTCCTTTTCCTCCTCCTTGCCGCGTTTATCGGACAGTCGACTGCCTCCCTTGGTGACCACCTCGCCGACTTCAAAGAATGCGTCAAGGCACGTCTATCGAGAGTTTCATCGTACCTGCGGATCGCGGGCAGTGGCTAACTAGCGAACAGGTTTGCCAGGCTGAGAACTGTCAAGATGGGGACTCAATCATCCGTAAGCCGACCGACCGACCGACCGGTTCAATCGAGTGGTTTCGAGTAGCCAACTGATCTACTGCCAGCTTTCCAACTCCGCCTCATGCTCTGGACGTGTCCCTCCGAGTGCGATTATACCTGCCAACATGTTGTGACGGACCGCCGGGTTGCTCGTGACCCCCCGATGTTGAACCCGGTGTTACAATTCCATGGCAAATGGCCGTTTCGCCGGATCCTAGGGATGCAGGAGCCCTTCTCGGTTCTCTTCTCCTTCTTCAACTTTCTCGCCCATTGGTATGGGATCGGACGGATTCGTGAGACGGTCCCCTCGTGGCACTCCCTACGGCCCTACTACATCGCTTTTGGATACTGTGGCCTAGCCTGTTGGACGTTCAGCTCGCTCTTCCACACGAGAGACCTCCCTTTGACCGAAAAGTTGGATTATTTTGGGGCGGGCGCCAATGTGATGTACGGGTTCTATCTGGCCGTGGTTCGCATCTTTCGCCTGGACCAAATGGAGCCCAAACACAAACCGACCCTGCGTCGTCTCTTGACCTCGCTCTGCGTTGTTCTCTACACCTTGCATGTGTGCTACCTCAGCTTCTGGTCATGGGACTACACCTACAACATGATCGCAAACATCGTGATAGGGATGATCCAGAACGTTCTGTGGGTGGCCTTTAGCATTTACCGGTATCGCAAGTATGGCAAGGAATGGATGGCTTGGCCCGGAATGATCGTGGTCTGGATTATCTTGGCCATGAGCCTCGAGTTGCTGGATTTCCCTCCGTGGCACGAGCTGATCGACGCGCATAGCCTTTGGCACCTGGGAACAGTAATCCCGACCGCATGGTGGTACCTGTAAGTCTGCCGATGGACCTGACTGCCCCTTGGAATTTTGCCGTAAGGCTGACTTGACTGTGCCGCAGGTTTTTGATCAAGGACGTCCAGAACGACGTGGCGGGCGACAGGCTGAAAGCCTAGATCGACACGCCCTTAACCCTGCTTCGTATAATTCCCCTGGTCAGCTGTTGGACAGGTCCAGGTGACCGGATGGCCTGTATTAGTAGTACTACCTAGATAGATTATAGAGTTTTCAGCCATATCACGACCGCAGCTACCAGGTAGGCAGGCAGCCGATAGAGAGCTGTTTTTCAATAGGAGATTATGCAGACCCCGCTATGGTATCATGTTGCATGTCATGTTGCATGTCGTTCCATGTTCCATGTCTTTCGCTGGCTTTCTGGGGGTTGGGTTGGATTGGGTTGGGTTGGGTTGGAGTCCAGCCCCTCAGACCACGCCATTCATTATTATTATTCAATTGTAGTAGTTGTTGTTGTTGCTGTGAGTGGTTCCCTCACCGCTCGGGAAACCCTCGGGGCAGTACGTGGTGTCTTGCAGGGGCAGGGGCTATGTAACAGCCTAACCAACCTGAGCTGCCCGGTCGTGTCTCACCCACTCTTTTACCACTCGCTCTGCCCTTCCTTTTTGATTGTTTCCCACCCATTTTTTGGCCCGACCTTTTCTTCCTTATACGATAGCTTGTCTCGACCCTGGAACAACTGTCCTCCAGGTCTTTTGGTGCCGTCAAATATCCCCTTGGTCCAGTTCGCGCCACAATGGCGTCCCCCGCTGTCAAGCAAGCGATCGCTGAAGCGGCGTCGCAGTACACCAAGCCCGAAGGGCACGTTTTCCAATATGGCACTGCTGGAGTAAGTCCCTTGCCTGTCTCCGAGTTGCAAACTGGCTCTGCCGCCTCCGGAACCAGCTGATCTGTTTCGTTTGTCTGCAGTTCCGTATGAAGGCGTAAGTCCCTCCCTACGATAAACAACATCTCGAAGGATCGACCCCGCCTCCACAGTACCCCGCGATCGCCCTTTATTTACACGGGACACTTTAACCAACGCTTCGCCAGTGACCTCCTCAACACGGTCGTCTTCACCGTTGGCTTGCTTGCGGGCCTTCGTTCCAGGAAGCTCAGTGGACAATGGGTCGGTGTCATGGTCACCGCCAGTCACAACCCCGCAGAAGACAACGGTGTCAAGTTGATCGATCCCATGGTGAGTCGTGGCAGGCCCCAAACAACACAATGTCTCTGGATCCGTTCTGACAGTCTCGGTCCGTATAGGGTGAAATGTTGGAGGTAAGTCTCGAGAATGTGACTCCGACATCGACGAGGTGTCTGACAGCGGTGTAGGCCGAATGGGAAACCTATGCGACTAGGCTCGCCAACGCTCCCCTTGACAAGGTCAGCGAGGTCTACGAGGAGCTCATCAAGGAGATTGATGTCAGCATGGAGAACCCCGCTCGTGTTGTTTTCGCTCGCGACACTCGCGCCTCTGGTTCGCGTCTTGTGTCCGTTCTCAACGCTTCGCTCACCGCTTCGGAGGTCGAGTTTCTCGATCTGAAGTACATGACCACCCCCCAGCTGCACTATGTTGTCCGCTGCAAGAACACCCTGGGAACCCAGTACGAGTACGGTGAGCCCACGGAACAGGGTTACTATGAGAAGCTTGCCGAGGCCTTCAAGAGAGTCATGCGTGGTGTCAAGGTCAAGGGCTCCTTGACCGTCGATTGCGCAAATGGCGTTGGTGGACCCAAGCTGAGGGAGCTCCTCAAGTACCTGCCTAACGCTGAAGAGTCCGGCCTTGATATCAAGGTGGTCAACGACGACGTCATTAACCCCGATAGCCTGAACTTCGAGGTAAGACTTCCTCTGTTTTGGCCTGGTACCGTATGCACGCTGACCCACTTTTAGTGTGGCGCCGACTATGTCAAAACGAAGCAGCGTGCCCCGCCATCCTCCAAGGCCGGTGCTCTTGACCGCTGTGCTTCTCTGGATGGCGACGCCGACCGTCTGGTCTACTACTTCGTCGATGAGAGCAACGTCTTCAGACTGCTTGATGGTGATCGCATCGCCACCCTTGCTGCCTCCTTTATCGGTGACCTCGCTCGGAGCGCCGGCATCGCGCAGAAGCTCAAGATTGGTGTTGTGCAGACCGCTTATGCCAACGGGTCCAGCACCGACTACATCGAGAAGGTCTTGAAGCTGCCCTCTGTTTGCACCAACACTGGTGTTAAGCATCTCCACCATGCCGCCTTGCGCTTCGATGTCGGCGTCTACTTTGAGGCTAACGGCCACGGCACAATCACTTTCTCTGAGACCGCCTTGAAGACCATCAAGCAGGCGGAGCCTCAGTCTCCTGCTCAGCAGCGCTCCCTCGAGTGCCTGCAGGCCCTCACGGACTTGATCAACCAAGCCGTCGGCGATGCCCTCTCTGACATGCTCCTTGTCGAGGCTATTCTTGCCCACAAGGGCTGGAGTACCAAGGAATGGCTTGCCACCTACACAGATCTTCCCTCCCGACTTGTGCGTGTGGAGGTTGCGGACCGCTTCATCTTCAAGGCCTATGATGCTGAGCGTAAGCTTGAGTCGCCCGCTGGCCTCCAGGGGAAGATCGAGTCTCTGCAATCCCGTTACAACAAGGGTCGGAGCTTTGCCCGTGCCAGTGGCACAGAGGATGCCGTGCGTGTCTACGCCGAAGCGGCCAGCCGGTCCGAGGCGGACGACCTCGCTACCCGCGTCGCCAACGCCGTCCGTGAGGCCGGTAGCGCCAAGGAAACCGTGCAGTCGCCTTGAGCAAGCGGTACTGCTGTGAATTTCCGAGTGGCTCTATCTACCACTGCTTAAAAAAAAGGGGAGGCAGAGTTGACTCGCCAGTGAAAGAAAATTTGGACCGCATGAACAAACAGGAAAGCTTTGCGAGCATCCAGCCATAGAGACGTATGGGAATTATTACGAATGAATTTATGATACTTAGTTTAATCTTGCATTGAAAGCATAGGAAGAAGCTGCTTGTGACCTGTGATCCCCCCCTTATCTTCGGGGCTAAATTCTGTGATTCGATCAAGTTTACACTCACTCACTCACTCACCCACGCACCCATTTTAACCTTTATTTTGGTTGTGCATGCACTAGATCAAACCAGTCTAGATTCCATAGACCTGCAATTTGTGATGTCTTCGACTCCAACAGCGTGGTGAAAAATACCCAACCCATTTACAACACTCGGCTAGGGTAGGTAGGTAGTTCATAGACAGCGATATCATCATCATTTTGGGTATTAACATCGTAAAAAAAAAAAAAAAACGCAACGCCGAAACTCATCTAGTCAAACCATCACCATTTTCCTTCACTATCACTTCGCTAGCTAGCTTGCTATCTAGCCCTCCTCCTGATCCATCTGATCGCGGGATCGCTTCCCCTTACCGAATCTACTGCCCCTGTTTCCTCTCTTCTCGTCGTAGTTCTTCATCTCCATGATCGCCTGCCGTTGGGCTTCTGAAACGTTCTCCTGAAGAATCATCACCTCGTCCTTGGGGCAGTCGTGTTCCGGGAGCTTCTTGTTCAGAGCTCCTTCGATGCGGAGCCAAACTTCGATTTCATACTGGGTGACCAGGGAGATGGCGAGACCGCTCTTGCCTGCACGGGCGGTACGACCGACACGGTGGACGTAGCTGGGGGAGTCTAGATTCATTGATGTTAGCTCGGGTATTCTTTTGTATCGTGTTGGGGGGGGGGGATATATGGGATAGAAAGAAATACATACCGGAGGGCAGATCGTAGTTGACGACGACGTCCACGGAGGGGATATCGAGACCACGAGCGGCGACGTCCGTAGCGACCAGGATGTTGCGGCTCTTGGAACGGAATTTGCCGAGGGCGCCGAGACGCGCAGACTGGGAGAGCTGACCGTGCAGGGGGATAGCGCTGAAGCCGAGAGCGCGGAGCAGGAAGGCGATGCGCTGGGTTTCGTGGACGGTTCTCATGAAGATGATGACGGATTGGCCGGCGTGACTCTCCAGCAGATACACGAGGTACAGGTCCTTGTGCTTCTGGGGGATGAAGAGGTATGATTGGAGGAGGGTAGAGACGGTCTGGTATTTGCTGGTGGAGACGGAGACGCGGAGGGGGTTGGAGAGCGAGGCGCGCTGGAGAGACTCGACCTTGGAGCTCATGGTGGCGGAGAAGAGAAAGGTGCGGCGCTCGCGGGGGAGCACTTTGAGGATCTTGTCGAGCAGAGGGCCGAAGTCCATGTCCAGGAGTCGATCGGCTTCGTCCATGACCAGGAAGCGCAGCGCACGCAGACTGAATCCCTTCGTGTTTTCCAGGTGGTCCAGCAGACGACCGGGGGTGGCGACGATGATATGCGGCTTCTTGCCCAAGGCAATCGATTGCGACACCATGTCCATGCCTCCGACGATGACCGCGCAGCGGGCCCCGATGGTGGCGCCGAGGGACTCGAAGTTCTGCGAGATCTGGTACGCCAGTTCACGGGTTGGGGCGAGGACGAGACCGAAGAAAGGCCCGGGCTTCTCCATGAGGGCTGTGGGGGGCTGTTAGTTGAGGGTTGTGGGTGGGGGGCGTAAGTATGTATGAGGGTTTTTTTTGGGGGGGGGTCGACATGCCTTGGAGGATGGGGAGAGCAAAAGCTGCAGTCTTTCCACTTCCAGTCTCTGCTAGACCGATCACATCACGATCCTGCAAGGCGAGGGGGATAGCTTCGGCTTGGATGGGCGTGGGCGCCTTGTAGCCCATAGTTTCACAGGCATCGCATAGCTGCTCGATGATGCCGAGCTCTTTGAATGTCTTAGGCCGTGGCTTGTCTTGTGTTTCTTCGTCTTGTTGTGCGGGCTCTGGCTCGGGGGAGGACTCGACGTCGCTTGGGGGGGCAGGTGCCTCGGAGGCGACCTTGCGCTTCTTGAGGGCAGGCATGTTTGATTTTGCAGTCCAATCCGAAGGGAAAGACTTCCGACATCATCGAGAAAAATATAATTTTGGGTGCCGCAACATCGTTGATCCGGGGCTCCTCCGCGGCTTTGCTCCGCCATGACTTTTTCTTCTTTCTTCGGCCCAGAAAAAAAAGTCCTGTTCTTAGTAGCCAGACTTTTGGGGTGTTCCGTCCGGAGTGATTGTTCCCCCCGCCTTTTCTACCTCCTATCTTCTCGTCATCATGGCGAAGGCACGTACCAAGAAGCGCACTCATCTGCGCGCGCAAAATGCCTCGGCCGCTGCTGCCAAAGCCAGCGCCCCATCGACCAGCAAGACTCCGAAGTCGATGGTCATTCGCGTTGGCGGTTCACAGGTCGGTTCCAGCGTGAGCCAGCTGGTCAAGGATGTTCGGACGATGCTGGAGCCCGACACGGCTGTCAGACTGAAGGTGGGTGGTCAACCGACCCTTGGGCTTTTACTACATCGGATGAGGCATTTTACTGACGGGAATTGGCCTCCAGGAGCGCAAATCCAACAGACTGCGCGACTACACAGCCATGACTGGTCCTCTCGGGGTTACACATCTCCTCCTCTTTTCCAAGTCGGCGACAGGAAACACGAATTTGCGAATGGCGCTCACGCCCAGAGGCCCGACCCTGAACTTCCAGGTGGAAAACTACTCTCTATGCCGTGATGTTGAAAAAGCATTGAAGCGGCCGAGAGGTGGTGGCCAGGACCACAAGACGCCTCCCTTGTTGGTGATGAACAACTTCAACTCCCCCAACGCCACCGAGGACTCCAAGGTGCCCAAGCGCCTGGAGAGCCTTACGACGACCATGTTCCAATCCCTCTTCCCCCCCATCAACCCCCAAGCCACCCCTCTCACCTCCATTCGCCGTGTGATGCTCCTCAACCGTGAACCCTCGGGCGAGGATGACGATTCATATGTTTTGAACCTCCGCCATTACGCCATCACCACGAAACGGACCGGCGTTTCGAAACGTATCCGCCGTCTCGACCCGAAGGAAGTCCGCACCAGGGAGAAGTCGGGAGCCGCTGTGCCCAATCTCGGAAAGCTGGAGGATGCGGCCGATTATCTGCTGGATCCATCCGCCGCTGGATATACTTCCGCGAGTGAAACGGAGCTGGACACGGATGCCGAGGTCGAGATTGCGGAGAGCACCACGAGAAAGGTCCTGACCAAGCGTGAAATGCAGCGCATGAAGGCTGGCGAGCAGGAAAAAGCGCAGAAAAAGCTGAACAACGGCCCGGGAGTCGAGAAACGGGCGGTCAAGCTGGTCGAGCTGGGTCCTCGTCTGAAGCTCCGTCTGTTGAAGGTGGAGGAAGGACTCTGTGAAGGCCGGGTGATGTGGCACGACTTTATCAACAAGTCCGAGGAGGAGGCCAGGAAGCTGGACAAGAACTGGGACAAGAAGAAGAAGCTCAAGGAAGAGAGAAAGAAGCAGCAAAGGGAGAACATCGAGAAGAAGAAGCAGGAGAAGGCCAAGGCCAAGGCCGAAGGCAAGGAGGTTGCCGATGAGGAGGATGAGGACGATGTTGATATGGACGATGACGACTGGCTCAGTGACGACTTTGGCGATGAGGACAATGCCGAGGGTGATGCGGATGACTTGTCGGAGGACGAGGACGAGGACGAATCTATGGAGGAGTAAACGGGCTGCAAGCGCAGCATCTTGAACGCGTTTCGCACCGAGCAGTCCGCTTCTCCCCCAAACAGCCAAACCAACATGGCACAGCCTCAACTGCTTCCGTCATCATCCAGAGCATCGGGCTTATGTGTGAAACTAAAAAGGATGGAGTCTGACTCCGTCCATCGTGATGATTCCTGGGATGGCGTATGGCTCAGTCTTCTGAACTATCGGCTTTGGAGTTGGGAGGGCCGTGGATGACAAGGACTGAGTTGCTCACAAGACTTGATGGGACGCTGCGAGTCAAGACCAGAAGCCACTCGCAGGGGTCTCCATCCGCTGGTTAACTATACACCCATATATATGTTTAGTCAGGAGGACCAAATATACCCATTATCTCTGGCTACTCATTGTTCTATGCAATCAAAAAGCGTGCTTAACGAAATCCCTTTGATCATTTCGCATCCTCGTAACATTCGTAAGACCCCCCAACGATCACATCACCACCGTCCACATCCTCAGTATACGACCCATCACCGCTTCAACTTCTCCTCCACAATCCTCGACACCATCTTCTCCAAAATCCCCAAATCGCCACCCGCCGTGCCGGCAAAATACGCCTGTACACTCTTCTCGACATACTTCCCCACAATATCAATCTCGACATTCACGAAATCGCCCGGCTTCTTCGCGGCCGTAACGATCTTCTCCTGCGTGTACGCAATCAGCATCACCTCGAAATACCCCTCCTCGCCATCGACCACCTTGGTGACGGTCAAACTGGCCCCGTCCAGGGTCACGTAGCCCTTCTCGACGATATAGCGCATGACGGCGAGATCGCGCGGCTGCATGCGGAACACCAGGGCGTTGCTGTCGGGTGTCACGGAGAGGATCTTGGCGATGGTGTCGACGTGGCCCTGCACGAAGTGGCCGCCCATGCGCGTTTCGCCCAGCACGGCGCGTTCCAGGTTCACGCGGCTGTTCGTCTGCAGGGAGCCGAGGTTGGTTCGTCGGAGGGTTTCGGGTGCCACGCCGACTTTGAACCATGTTTTTTCGAAGGCAGTGACCGTGAGGCAGGTTCCTTTGCGTGGTGAGGTTGGTTGGTTGGTATTAATTGAGAAAGAGGGGAGGGGAGGGGAGGGGAGGGGAGGGGAGGGGTTGCGATTGAGAAGGAAGGGAAGGGTGGGGGGAAGGGAAGAGCAATTGGGCTTGGATTTAATGCATTGGGACGAGCCAGTTCATACCATTGACGGCGATGCTGTCACCGAGGTGGACATCGGTGAGGATCTCCTCGCAGTCGGTGATGGTCAGCGAGGTACCCCCGCCCCCGCTTGACGAGGTGTCGAGGGGCTCCAGGGACGAGACCGCTGCGGCGAGGCGAGACACGATCAGTCTCTGAGTAATTCATGTAGTAGTCATGATCGCGGGACGGGGGACTCACTCCCGATTTTCTCAACTAGACCTGTGAACATGGCGGAATGGGGAATGGGAGGATATGCAGGGACAGATATAACTGAGAAGTAAGAAGGTCGGTCCGATCCCGTGGAAGCGGGCGGGAAGATCAATCAAGCAAGGCGAGCGGAAAGCGGTTAATGGTCGATGGTTGACCTCGGCTGGCTGGCTGGTTGGCCGACTACTACTACTACTACTACTACTCACTTGCTACTTACTTGGTGAATTGCTTCTTCCTTTCTTGTACCTGCATAGACCTTGCCTTTTGATCAACTCTTGGGTTTCTTTTTCCAGAACAGCGTACCAATCATGAATCTCACGGCTACATTCAAGTTACAGCGGGCCTTTGTCGCAGCGAGCGGCTTTCGTCTTCCCCGGCGGACGACGCAGTGGCGCGAGTATTCTTCTGCGGTTTCAGATGACACCCTTCCCCTGAAAGGCATTCGAGTCCTGGATATGACGAGAGTGTTGGCGGGCGTGAGTGTCTCGTTCGGTTTGGAGTACCGTACGGTATGCTGACGTCCCACCAGCCATATTGTACACAGATTCTTGGAGACTTGGGGTACGTCATTTCGCTGGGTGGTGATGCTTGAGACCCTGGGGAGACTGATCTGAGTGTCTCGAGACAGAGCGGACGTGATCAAAGTCGAACACCCTGTACGGGGCGATGATACTCGTGCCTGGGGACCGCCGTATGCCACATACACGGACGGGTCTGAAGGCCCAGGGGAGAGTGCTTATTATCTAGGAGTATGCCGTCGTTTACCGCCACTGGCAAGGACTCAATTGACCGGGATCTAGGTTAACCGCAACAAGAAATCGATTGGTCTGTCATTTGCCCAGAAATCCGGGGTTGAGATTCTACACCGACTGGCAAAGCAATGCGACGTGCTCGTCGAGAATTATCTCCCTGGCAGCCTCAAGAAATACAACATGGATTATGAGACCCTAAGCGCCATCAACCCCCAACTGATCTACGCTAGTATCACCGGGTATGGCCAGACCGGACCGTACAGCAACCGCGCTGGGTACGACGTCATGGTAGAGGCGGAGATGGGCTTGATGCATATCACGGGCAGTAGGGAGGGTGCACCGGTGAAGGTGGGCGTGGCGGTGACTGATCTAACAACCGGGCTGTACACGTCGAATGCGATCATGGCTGCCTTGCTCGCACGGGCAAGGACCGGCAAGGGCCAGCATATCGATGCGTGCCTGAGCGACTGTCAAGTTGCGACGTTGGCGAACATTGCCAGTTCCGCCCTGATCAGTGGCAACAAGGATTCGGGGAGATGGGGGACCGCACACCGTGAGTGACTAGCACCGTGGATTCGGAGTCCTGCAAGCGACTGACTGACCGTCCTCAGCATCCATTGTGCCCTACCGAAGCTACAAGACGCTCGATGGCGATATACTTTTCGGGGGCGGCAACGACCGGCTGTTCGGTGTGTTGTGCGATCGCATGGGACATCCAGAGTGGAAGACCGATCCCCGATTTGTGACCAACAGCGACCGTGTAAAACATCGCGAGGATATCGATGGCCTGATCGAGGAGAGGGCGAAGCAGAAGACCACGCAGGAGTGGCTGGAAATCCTGGAAGGCAGCGGGATGCCGTATGCCGCGGTTAACGACATTCAGGGGACCCTGAACCACTCCCACGGTAAGCGGTCGTGCAGACAGAACCTCCTGCTGTTGCTGCAGCGACATCCTGCTAATGTACTTCATGTATCTGCAGTCCAAGCACGTGGAATGGTCACGGAAGTCGAGCACCCAGCCTGCGGCCCCATCAAGCTAGTCAATACGCCGATTAAGTATTCCCACGCGACCCCTGGCGTTCGGACGCCGCCCCCGACACTAGGGCAACACACAGACGAGATTCTGGGGGAGGTGCTCGAGTATGGCAAGGATGAGATTGCTCGGTTGAAGCAGGAGGGCGTAGTCGCGTAAGAGCCCGACCAGGTTGATAGACGGTGGAGATTGGAGTGCCCTAAGGGGTCGGAAGGTCACGCACGTATCGGAAGAAAGGATCCCTATCCTGTCAGTCCTGTGTAGCTACCGGCTGGTCCGCGCTCGAGGACCTTGGCATATTATGAAGATAGACAGGCAGAAGATGAATAAACCAGCCCGGCTCAATAGACCAGACAATAGCAGCAGTCATGTATTCATTGTGTGGGGATGGAACCGGCGACGAAAGCGTCTGGAGTGTTCCCCTGGAGGGCGCGGGGGATGGATTCCTGGCATCACGTGACCGTATATAAATCTGGATCCGTTCATGAGGGCCTTCTTGTTGTCGCACCATGACCGCAACTCATTCGGGTCTAGAGTTGCAAGCACACACACTCATTGATCGGACAGAACGGCGGCGCACGCACAGCCAGCCTGGGGACATGTCACAGCACAATGGGGCTCTTTCCTGTCTGGCGTCTATAGAAGCAGCGCCACCAGCACCCGCAACTTTGCACACCACCACTGCCTCTGCTGTCACTGCCACCACGACCACCTCAGGCTCGCCCCCATCGGCTCCCTCTCTCAGCACCAGCCTTGGACCCTCGTCAACACAAACCCCAGTCAATTCCAACCGGTCATCGAGCACCCCCTCGAGGAGAGTCCACATCCCGCGGCTTTCAGCGGCTACTACCGAGTTACTGGCACGAGTCACTGGGAGTATGAAAGCCGCGCAGAGAAATGATAGCAACTTTCTCTCCTGGAATCCCCTTCCTGCTTCCCAGAATCAGAATATCCAGAAGAAAGGCAGAATGAGGACGTCTTCCACCATCATCGAGCTGCCCACGGCGCCGTTCGTATACTCGAACAATATGGCGCCACCTGCGGCTCCCAAGGCTGCGGCCCCGGTGCCTCAAGCACAACAGGGCAAGCATACACGCCTAGCCACCATCGCATGCAGACCAACAGAACCATTATCAGCGGTTGCAGCATCTCCATCGCCGCAGCTGCCTCCACCCGTGGTTCCCAAGATTGCGGCCCCGGTGTCTCAAACACCCCCGGACAAGCCTACAGACCCAGCCACTATCACACAGGGGTCAACAGAACTCTCACCAGCGGTTGCAGTGTCTCCATCGCCACAGTTGCCTCCACCTGTGGCCCCCGAGGTTGTGGCCCCAGTGCATCAAGTATCCCCGGTCCAGCCTACGGCTTTAGCCTCCATTAGACCAAAGCCAACAGAAGCCTCACCAGCTGTTGATGCGCCTCCGCCACGGCGACTGTCTCCACCCGAGGCTCCCAAGGCTGTGACGCCTGTGTCTGAAGCACCTCCGGCACAGCCTAGAGCTTTAGCCACCGTTGCTACAAGACCAACAGAACCGTCACCAGCGGTTGAAACGCCTCCGCCACCACAGCTGCCTCCAGTAACACAACTACTGCCGCCAGCCCTCGCGGCTAAGACTTCATCCCCCGCGACGTCGGCAACTAAACCTAAGAAGCCAGCAGTAGGAGGCGGACGCCAGCGCAAAAGTATCACGAACGGCAGCAAGCACGGCAGTAAGCGGGGCAAAAAGCGCAGACGCAATAACGGTAGTGATGGGGAGGATGTTATCAGAGCCGGGGACTCGAGCACCGACGAATCCGACGTTGCGCCGACAGCGACGCAAACTAAATCTGGTCGTCAGGTAAACCGACCCTCGTTATATGTGCCTCCGCCGTCGGCCCCTGCGGTAGCCAAGGAGACCAGCAACTCGCTGCACACGTCGAATAATGCCACTGGCCAGACCGCTGCTCGAAAACGTAAACGTATTCACCGCATCGGGAAGGACGCTATCATCAATTGTTTACACTGCCAGAGAGGACATAGCCCGTTGAGCAATTCGATCGTGTTCTGCGATGAGTGCAATGCGGCATGGCATCAGTTGTGTCACGATCCTCCCATCGGCGCGGAGGTGGTCACCGTGAAGGAGAAGGAATGGTTTTGTCGCGAATGCCGGCCGGTGCAGATCTCTATCATCCAACCAACGGTCGTTCGGAGCAATCCCAGTCTCACAAGTGGTCAGCCTCCTTCCTATCATCCGTTGGTGGTGCCGAGGACTGAAGTCGGGGCAGAGAGATACGCAGATGACGATCGACGAGGCTTCCTTTCGGGTCTCTCGCACGCCACTCTTGTCGAGCTCCTCATGACAATATCGGATCACAACCCGACCATCCCGATGTTTCCTGGGGATTTGACCAAAACGCAGGGCTCGAAGTTCGCGTTTCGCCAATCTCTATCAGCCGTCCCGACTCCCTCCACATCTGGGCCTGGTACCGCTGCAACCAGTACTGACTTGACGTCGATGGATGAAGCCAACAAGCAAAACGGGGGCACTGCGTCTGGCGGTGCCCACTCCTCGACTCATCAAAGACGACACGAGGCCTCCGAGGAAGAGTCGGAATACGATGTCTATGAACACCGGCTGTACCCCCGTGCTGGGAACGGGTTCCGGCTCTCGCTCGATGTGGATGACCTAGACATCCTCGGTGAAGATCCTGCCTGTCCCACGTTCAGCTATTCGTTACATGGGCCAGCGCAGATGCGAGCTGAGATGAACGAGAGTGTCCCGGTCTGGAGTTCATGATACTGGTCTTTTATAACCCCCCCTCTCCTTGATCCTCGCTGTCTCCTCTCGTGGGTGTACAATTATTCATATAACGCAGTGGATGTCATAGATCTCTTAGCCCTCTTTTATAGCATGCCTGCATGGTCCCTGGACGGGTTATGTCTCCTTCGGATGTCTGAGGACTTGGTTAATGACACAATACACTGTTCTATCATCTTTCGGCTGATATATCGTTCCCAACCACAATCATGCCCAGGAACCTTTACGGACAATCCCTTGCTATACGAAACTATATGCAGATCTCGGACACAGGGAAGACGAAGATCCCTTCAAACGACCCCCTGCGACAACGTCTCTGCCTAACCTCGACGGCGGGTCCCAGACAATGCCCGCCACGCCATGTCGCGGTCTCGACACCCCACAGCCGGTATCATCCACATCATAGAACAGCAGGATATCTGCACGATCTCCCTCTTTCAGGGCGAGGCCATTGCCAGTCCCAGTCCCAGGTGGCGATAACCCTATAGCCGCGCGAGCACGGGTGGACACACACTCATACAGCAACTCTGCATCCGCCTGTGTCCCCGCCTGATAGATGCCCACGCCCAGACAAGCCAGCGCCAACGGGTCCTCCGAGCCCCACGGCGTGAACGAATTCCCAACATTATTAACCCCCATCACCGCATCCAAGCCATACTTCTCGATCATCTCCAAAACCCGCAGCGTCCCCCTCGGCCGATCGCCGTCCAGCGACGCCGCCATATACAGATCACTCGTCGGCAACCCAACAAAACTCACGGGAAGCTCCCCCTCACGAACCTCTCTCGCCAAACGACCCCACTCCTCCTCCCCAAACATCGTCAACCTTGTACAATGTCCCAGCACGACCCTCTTCCCCCCGGATCTCCTCGTCCAGCCCCTGTCCCTCAACGTCCTCAAAACAAACCACACCATCGCCTCCCTCCCGCCATCCAAATGATAATCAAGGTGAAAATCCAAATGCATCCCGCATTCCAACGCCATCTCCACCGCCCACTCAACATTCCTCTCCGCAGCCTCCAGACTATCCTCCACGTACGGCGTCGTTCCAAGAACATCGACCTGCGGCCTCCGCACCGCCTCCTCCATCAACCGTCTATTCGCGTCGCCGCCATCCGGCCCCGAGAATATCGCGTCCTGCGCAAACGCAACCAGCTGCACCGTGCATGCGTCTTTCCATGTCTCTTTTAGCGTGATCCCGGCGTCCAGGCAGGTGAGGTTCACGGTCTGGTCGATTTCCACGAAGGCGCGCATGGCGGTCACCCCCGCGGAGACGGAGCCGGCGAGCAGCCAGGTGCCGCGCCGAAGGAGGTCGGCGGGGGTGAAGTGGCGTTTTGCGGTGCTGGTGGTGGTGAGTGCCTCGGCGAAGGTGCCGGTTTGTGGGAGGAGGTGGGAGTATGTGGTCGTGTTGTGGATGAAGGCTTTGTCGAGGTGGATGTGGGGGTGGGTTAGGGGGGGAGAGCGAAGGGGGGAGGAGATGTGTTGGTGTTTTGGGGGTGGTGTTGGTGTTGGTGCTGGCTCTGGTGCTGGTGCGGGGTGATAGACGTGATGGTGCAGTTGTGCGGGGAGATGGTGATGTCCCAGGTGGAGTCTTTTCCGGGGAGACGGACATTGTGGATGGATCTCAGGGGGGTCAGGGTTGGCGGTGGCATGACTTCGGTAGATTTGTGGACTGTGTGTGTTTAGTACGTATGTATGTTGTTGATGAATTGATGGGTTGATGTCTGGTGGTGGTGGTGGTGGTGGTGTTGTAGCTTAGTGTATCGGGGGTGAAGAATACCAAATATATATTGGGCGATGATAATGTTTCGACTTTGTAGAGTAATGTGGGTGGTGTATCAACAGAGACAGTCAGAATTTAATTCCTTGAATGCTGTAGAGCTAGTATACACTCTCCATCGAGGGAAGAAAGAGTGTCTGTCTGTCTAGCTATCTCGAGTCTCGACAGTGTACTAGTAGACAGGAGCATCTCGGCCCCACATCGGCGCAACTGGGTTATCATCGGACAATCCCGCGGACCTGACCTGGCCTGCGGAGCTCTCTCTCCGTCATTTACACATCCAGTCCATTGCAACTGACCATCCGAGCTCAATCCTTTGTGTAGGCTGTGAGTAACCCCCCAATTGGCTCCTTTAAGCGCCCAGATCCCCGCTAACCGATTCCAGATCTCATCTGTGCCATCGCATCTCACTCAATTGGACCTCACCACTTCATTTTAACCTTCGAACCCTCGACCTCAGCTCCCCAGCTCTACCATGTCCCTTCACCAGTGACACCACCACCACCACCACCACACCAACACACCAACACAACAACAACAACAACCACCAAAAATGCCCCCCCAACCCCAGCACAACCACCCCCCTCCCGAAAATCCACACCACCCCCAAGCCCCCTCCCCCTCCCCCTTCCCATCCCAACCCAATACCCCCTCTACCCCCCCATCCTAACAATCGACCTCCTCCTCACCGTCCTCCGCAAAACCCTCCTGCACCCATTCCCCGCCTGGCTAACCGTCATCTGCCTCCGCGCGCAAGCAACGCCCTACACGGCGACCCCCTTCCTCATCACGAGCGTCTACGCCTCCCTCCTCACAATCCTGTACCTCCTCAGCGCCATAAACCGATGGATCGGGTACGGCGCGCCCCGCACCGTCGATCTGAGTGACGAGGTGGTGGTCGTGACCGGCGGCGCGAGCGGGCTGGGCTTGCTCATCGCGAGGATTTATGGGCTTAGGGGCGTGAGTGTGGCGGTTTTGGATGTCAGGGGGGAGGAGGATGTGAGGGCGGGGGAGGGGTGGAGGTGTGCGGGGGATGAGGATGGTATTGGGGATGGGGATGAGGATGGGGGCTCGGTGAGGTATTATCGGTGTGATGTTGGTTGTAGGGAGGGGCTGGAGGGGTGTTGGGTAGGGTGGAGAGGGAGGTTGGTTTCCTTTTCTTTTCTTTTCTTTTTTTTTTTTTGCTTTTTGTTTACGTGTTTTTGGGAGGGAGGGAAAGTGGGAGAGGATATGGCTTATTCTATTTATTGGGCTTGAGCATGCTAACGATATAAACCTAATCTAGTTGGGTACACCGACGGTGTTGATTCATTGTGCGGCGGCGCGGATTAACGGACTACCACTACAAAATCTCCCCGTCCAGGCCTTCCAGAAAACCATCCAGACGAATCTGCTCGCCGCATTCCATGCCTATCAGGTGTTTTTGCCGTGCATGCTGGCCGCCCCGAACGGCGGCACGATCGTCACGGTCGGGTCGGTGCTGGGCCAGCTGTGTGCGGCCGGCCTGGCGGACTATTCGGCGAGTAAGGCCGGTTTGAGCGCCCTGCATCGCACGCTGGAGGCGGAACTGCGCGCCTCCGGAGATGGTCACAAGGTCAAGATGATCCTGGTGGAGCCAGGCCAGATCGCAACGCCGCTGTTCCAGTCCGTCAGAACCCCCAACCGTTTCTTCGCCCCGGTCCTCGAGCCCGTCCACGTTGCCCAGGAGATTGTCTCGGCCGTCGACGCCGGGAGAGGCGGCGTGATCCGGTTGCCCACCTTTGCCATGCTGGTCAACTGGTATGCGGTGTTGCCCGCGGGGGTGCAGCGGGTTGCGCGATACCTAAGCGGAATCGACGGTGCCGTCGCAGGCTCGTCGAACTAGCAAGTGCAAGGCGGGCCAGATCACGCGGAATAGAACTGAGGCAGGGTTCGGATGAGCAGCGGTAATGGATAATAATGTCACCAGCCACGCAATGTATATAGCCGAGACACACAATGTACGCAGCTGCTGAGCGCATTCCCCGGAAGGCAACCCCCACCCAATCCCGGGAGAAAGGCGTTCTTCCACCAGGGCTTCTATTGCTCCTTGGCCAGAATCATCTTCTCGCGCTCGCTCCGTCTCTTGGGCAGGTTCTCCTTCTTGGTGTGCTTCCGCACGTTCTCCTCGCGTCTCTTGAGAGCCATCAGCTCCTCGCGCTTGATCTCGCGAGCCTTCTTGATCGGCTTCGGCACGTGACGCTGGCGTCTGATGCGGCGGATTTCCGGCATGTGCGAGTATCTGTTGATCAGAGCCTCGTCGTATTCGAGCTTGGCCCTCTGGCGAGCGCTCTTGACCCCGCTGCGATCAGAGGCGTTCGAGCGCCAGAGTCGGATGTTACCGTCGTCGGAACCAGACAGGACATACTTGCTGTCGGGGGTGAATTTGGCGGAGAAGACACTGCAGAAAAGAATTAGCCCAAGAAAACAATGACAAGAGAGAGAAATACATACCGCTGCATTCTCTGGGTGTGGTAGATATCGCGGGAATGGCCAGTCGCGCGGTTCCACAGGCGGATCGTCCGGTCATAGGAGGCAGTGACCAGCTCCTCACCGGTCGGGCTGAAGTCCACGTCCATCACGGCCGCGACGTGATCCTTGAGCACGTTGAGCGCGCGGTCCATCTTTCTCATATCGAACAGGTAGACGTTGTGGTCTTCGTTGGCAACGGCAAAGTTGAACGCCTCCATCGGGTTCCATGAGATCGCGTTCGACGCCAGGCGGAGGGTCATCTTGTGGAGCGGCGACGACGTCCGGAGATCGTACATGATGATCGAGCGATCAATGCCGGTGGAGCCAAGAACAGACGTTTCGGTCTGGTTGAAGGCCACGGAGGTGATCGTATCGACGCTGGTGGGCCAGTGGAGAACCTGGGACGGCGTAGAAGACGGACGGGAAAGATCGTAGATCGAGATCTGAGAAGACGACGCAGCAAAGTAGGGGAGGTCCCGATGGTGCGTAAGGGAGGTGAACGCCCCGCCGCCCAGGTAGGTCGCGAGCGGCGGCGCTTCCGGCTCCGAGTTGTACGGATCGAACAGCTTGATGGTCTTGTCGCTCGCACAAGAGAGCAGCTTCCGGTCGGGCGTCCAGCAGACTCCCTTGACGATGTTGTCATGCGCCTGGGTGTTCCACACCTCGCCCTGCGTCGTCAAATCCCACACCTTGACCACACCGTCACCACTGCCACTGGCGAACCGTTGCAGAGACCCCGGGTCTTTGGCCATGGTGTACACACCGTCCACATGGCCGTCGCCCATCTGGCCCAAGAAGGGCGCGGCGAACAGCCGCTGCATCTTGGTCGCATTGAGCGCGCGCGTGTACTCGCGAGCCCGCTCGAACGGATGCTGTGCCGGGTCGAGGTTTCGGGGCTGTCGAACGACAGCAGTTCCCGGCGCCTGCTGCGAGGACGTAGGACGAGAGAGGGCTTTGATTTTCTAAGATAACAATCAGCATGTATTCAAGAAACAACAGCCCGACCAGGAATGTACCTACCATGGCGTCCGAATGGGGGTTCTCTGCTACGGGAAGCTGGAAGGAAAAAAGAGTCGATCGGACATAAAAATTGCAGACGCTTTTTTCTCTGGCGGGTAAGACCCGTTCTGGTTGGCTCGCCAAGGCGCGGGCGGTGAGGGCGGCAGCTGCAGCTCCAACCGCCAGTGACGATAGCAGCCAAACCTGTAAGCTTCCTGTCCTGCCCTCCTCCTCTATACATACCTCTCCATCGCTCTCTCATCGTGTCTAGGGCCTCTCGCTCTGTGCATTGACTGTCCCTCCAATCTTAAACTCGTCTCCCTTTGCAGGCCCTCCCGATCCCCCCCCTTCACAGCCCTGATCCAGTCATGGCCCCCTCGACGACGACCGCTGGGCGGATAGACGAGGCCCGGGGTCTTGCGAAGACCGACCCGTCGAAAGCCGAGAACATCCTCAAGGAGGTCCTCGCACAAGGCACCGGCTCGAGCGAGGCCTCGTCGCGTGATTACGAGAATGCCTTGGTGTCGCTGGGAGAAGTCTACCGGGATCAGAAGAAGCCGCAGGAGATTGCGGACCTCATCAAGACGAGTCGCGATTCTTTCTCTTCATTTGCCAAGGCAAAGACCGCCAAGCTGGGTATGTTGGATGATCACGGATGTGGCAGGGACGTGAAACTGACTGGCTTCGTCTGATAGTCCGCCAGCTGCTGGATCTGTTCAGTGAGATCCCGAACACCCTCGATATTCAAGTCTCCGTCATCAAGTCATGCATCGACTGGGCCATCGCCGAGCGCCGGTCCTTCCTTCGCCAGAACCTCCAGACTCGCCTGGTGGCCATCTACATGCAGAAACAGACCTACTATGATGCCCTCACTCTCATCACCCCCCTCCTCCGCGAGCTGAAGCGCCTGGACGACAAGCTCATGTTGGTCGAGGTACAGCTGCTGGAATCGCGGGTGTATCACGCCCTGGGCAACCAGGCCAAGGCCCGTGCTGCGTTGACGGCGGCCCGGACGTCAGCCGCCTCGGTCTACACGCCCCCGAACCTGCAGGCCAATCTCGATATGCAGAGCGGTATGCTACACGCAGAGGACAAGGATTTCAACACGTCATTCTCCTACTTCATCGAGGCTCTGGAGGGATACAGCTCCCTGGACGAGGGTGACAAGGCTACCGCGGCCCTGCAATATATGCTGCTGTGCAAGATCATGCTGAACCTGGTGGATGACGTGACGAGCCTGCTGGGCTCGAAGCAGGCCCAGAAGTACGCTAGCCCGCGACTCGAGGCCATGAAGGCGGTGGCGCGTGCACACGCCCACCGGTCTCTGGAGGAGTACGAGAAGGCTCTGTCGGACTACCGCTTCGAGCTGGGCAGCGACACCTTCATCCGCAACCACCTCCGCAGACTGTACGACGCCATGCTGGAGCAGAACCTCATCAAGGTGATTGAGCCGTTCAGCCGGGTCGAGCTGGACCACGTCGCCAAGATGGTCGGGCTGGACACGCAGCAGGTGGAGCGGAAGCTCTCGCAGATGATCCTGGACAAGGTCATCATCGGCGTGCTGGACCAGGGAGCGGGATGTCTGATTGTCTTCGACGAGACGGAACGGGACCAGGCCTACGATGCGGCCCTGGAGACCATTGCGAAGCTGAGCAATGTGGTGGAGGAGCTGTACACTAATCAAGCATCGCTGCTGGAGTGATGCGGTGGACATTATTGAGTTATGCTAGGGAAATGAGACAGCCTTGTCATGCCATATACCGTGCTGATGAGTACATGTACAGTTGCGTAGAACTATATTGTGTTGTAGATTATGTGTTGCTGGGTGGGCAGCCGGGGTGGCCGAAAAGGGAAAAGCGTGGCCTGGCCGCGGCGAAAGAATCGCGACGTGCAGCCGAGCCCGTCTTCCGTCGTCCTCGTTCCCATCCATCATCCGCCATCCTCTGCCACGCCTCGCGCCCTTCTGTCTCATCGCCCCAGCGATCACCCATCATCTGCCAATCCGCGGATCCTCCCTTGCGGCCTTGTTCTCTGGTCTCCCGCCAACCATGAACGCCCCAATTCCCCCCAACTACGGGCGTGGGTTCCCTCCCCAGGGCGCCCAACGCTCGCCTGCCACGCCTCGTCGCGGACCCCAGGGACCAGGTCAGTACCCACCCCTTGGCACCTTCCCCCCATACGCTCCTGTGACTTACTTCTCACTCATATAGCGGCCGCGATGCCCGTCCCCATGCCACAGCACGCCGTCCCACCGCAATACATCCCTCCTCAGCAGCGCAGCAGCATGCAGCACCCCAACGACGCCGCGCTCCGCCGCAGCCGCAAACCCACCGACCGGAACATCCCCGATGGCATTGAGGAGACAGTCATCGGCGAAGGCGTGCAGCAATACAAGAACCTGCGCGATCTGGAGAAGCGTCTCGACGCCGCCATCGTCCGCAAACGCCTGGACATCCAGGACTCCATCAGCAAGACCGTCAAGAAGTACCGCACGATGCGCATCTGGATCTCCAACACCGTCGAAAGCCAGCCCTGGCAGACCGCCGCGCCCGGAAACAATCCCGGCTCCGGACGGTACAAGGTGCGCATTGAGGGCCGCCTGCTGGACGATGACACCGATCCCACGGCGCCGCAGGACAGTGACGACGAAGCCGACGACGATAATGACAACGATGACGATGCCATGGAGCAGGACGGCCCCAACTCCAAGAAGCCATCCTCCAAAAAGTCCAAACAGCGCTTCTCGCATTTCTTCAAATCCCTCACCGTCGACTTTGATAAGCCCGCCACCGCCATCCCGGAGGAAGTCAAGCCCGTCACTTGGAACAAGCCGCAGTTACCCCCTAATACTGCGACGCTGCCGCCCACGGCCGACTTCGACTCCATCCAGTTCTCCCGCGCGTCGCAGGAGAACCTGAATATCACCGTGAGTCTGGTGCGCGATGAGACGCCGGAGCGGTACAAGCTGAGCAAGGAGCTGGCGGAGGTGCTGGACGTGGAGGAGGAGACGCGAAGTGGGATCGTGCTCGGCATTTGGGACTACATCCGCGCGATGGGCCTACAAGAAAACGAGGAACAGCGGCTTGTGCGTTGTGATCATCGTCTGCGATCGGTACGTCCATCCATCACCTCTCATACTATTTACCGCCCCCTTCCCATATTCCCTCCCGCCATACTAACCACGCAAAATACCCAGATCTTCGGCCGCGACACCATGTTCTTCCCGCAAATCCCCGAAAGCATCGGCCCACACACCAGCCCCATCGACCCGATCCGACTGCCGTACACGATCCGCGTCGACGAAGACTACCACCGGGACCCCGCGCCGACGGTCTACGACATCCAAGTCGCGCTGGAAGACCCCCTGCGGTCCAAGATGCTCGCCCTCACCCAGAACCCGCAATACACAGCCTCGATGCGCCAGATCTCCACGCTGGACGACCAGGTCGCGCTGATCGTGCAGTCGCTGACCCATTCCCGCGCCCGTCACTCCTTCTACACCGCCCTCAGCAAAGACCCCGCCACGTTCGTTCGCCGCTGGATCAACTCCCAGCGGAGGGATCTGGAGTCTATTCTTGGGGATGCCACCCGCGGTGGCGGTGAGGATGCCAGTGGGCCCGAGTTCCGCCGTGGCGGTCTTGACGGCGCTTGGGATACCCCTGTCGCCAGGGAGGCGGTGCGGTATATGCTTGCCAAGCCGGAGGCCGCGATGGGGCGGTGAGATGGGATGGCTTGTCTATCACTTCTTCTATCTGGCTGTTTATCCGTCTGTTAGTCTGTCGGTCGGTCGGTCTGCCTGTGGTCTTTGTATCAAAGATGACTATCCGACTGGATTGACTAGATATGGTAGGCTAGGGTAGTGCTAGTGATCGTAAATGGGTCGTTGTACGTTCTTGTTGTTATTAAGCAAGCAGGCAAGGCAAGGCAGCAAGCAAGGCAGCGCAGTACGCCGGCAAGCAAGGCGAGAAAGCTATGTAGTTGCTAGTTGGTTGTTGCTAGTTGTTGGCTGGGGCGCTCACGTGGTGTTTGGTTTCGGGTTGGTCCTGGTATCTATCTATCTATCTGTCTATTCTATCTGTATCTCTTTTCTTTCTTCCTTTTGTTTACGAATTTTTACCTTTTTCAGCGGTAGTATTCTTCTGCTTCTTCGGTTCTTTGGTTACTTATTTTCAGGCGTAGGTCATAGTATTACTACGCATCATGATGTTCTCTACAGATAGTACTACTAAAGTAGTTAGAGTACAGTATAGTGGTGTGGTGTGGTGTATGGTGTAGTATATAGTCAACTACCTACTTACTCCGTACTCTCACCGGGTACAATGCGCAGCACTGTCGCAAAGCCAATCAATTAAATATGTTTTATTTTTCCAATTCTGCTTCTGCTTCTGCTTCTGCTTATTCTTCACCCCCGGACTCTCCTTTTTCTTCTTCTTGACGGACATTCATTCGTTCATTCTTTCATCTGGAACTGAGTGACACTGACACTGGACTGAACTGGACTGAGATCTAAGGACAAAACAAAACCCAAATGGATAAACAAATAAAGAAAGAAGCATTGATCAAACCCGTTTCTCTAGACCAGACCAGACCAGACCAGACCAGACCAGACCGATCCTTACCGAACCATACCGGACCGGACCGGGTTACCAACTCCGAATCAAGGACTCAAAACTCAAGATAAGAGAGACCGCAATAATCAATCAATCAATCAAGTAAGTAAGAAGTTTCCGTAACACGTGCGCGGTATATAGAAGACCTAGGCTACCATCTGCGATGGAGTCCTCGCTGAATCGGGCAGGGGAGGTCCCAATGGGAGTCGGGGGCGGGGGTGTTCTTTCTGTTGGGGGATAGGTATCGTGGGCGCGATACTCGTGGTTGTGGTTGTGGTTGTGGTTGTGGTGTGGTTGGGGATTATGAGCAGAGCTCACTCCATTCTTCTACGAGCGGTGCAGCTCCATCTAACCCGATTCTCTAGATCGAAGAATCCGATTGAAAGTAAATAGGTTAGATGAAATGGACGGGGGTGGGAGGTTCAAGAAGAAGCCACGGTAGCCTTCCTCCGTCTCAACTCCTCGGTGAGCCTGGAATCGACGGCCGAAGCGACCTTCTCATCCGTCAAATCATCGAGGAAGGGACCGCCCTCCTCCTGCTCGAGCTTAGCCGCGGCCTCGAGAACGACCTTCTGGGCGATATCCTCCCTGAGGTGATTGATTTTCTCCTCCGTGGCAGCGGACTTGGCCTCCGCGGTCTTGTCGGCAGCGGCAGGGGGGGTACGGAAGCGCTTCAGTACGGTCTCGACCATCTTGGAGAACCAGAAGTAGTTGAGGAAGTTGAGGACGAGGTTGGAGATGACGTAGGTGAGGACGAGCCAGGTGGGGACGCCGGCGGCGGTGTGGGGGGCGTATTTGGAGACCTGGATGCCGGCGCGAGCACAGGCCTCATTGACGCACAGGGAGCCGTCGCGGATCTGGAAGACCTGGGAGGTGACGTCCACGGGACGGAGGCGTCCCAGGTCTGCTTCAGCGCGTACCACATGTCCTGGTAGACGGCGAGCGATTGGTAGGTGCCCCAGAGGAGACGGCAGCAGAAGAAGCTGGAGAGCAGGAGCATGCCGTTGTACCATTGGAATTTGCTGCCGGTCATGTTGACCTTGTCGAGGAACCAGTGGATATTGAGGAAGGGGCTGGAGAGTTCGTAGAGGATGAAGACCGGGGAGTAGTAGTTCACAAAGGGTCTCTGGTGTGGTGGAGATGTTGGTTAGCTTGGGATGTGTGGGGGGGGTTGTGAGGGGGAGCTCACGAATCCGAAACTGAACACCCACAGGGCGCTGAGGGCATGGAACAGCATTCCGACACCGAAGAGCTTGATGTAGACGGTGCTGACGATCAGATCGTAGACAAAGTATCCGGCTGCGAAGGCGGAGACGAGGCCGCAGCCGCCGGTGTATCCGTAGACGCGCTCGCCGGCGGTCATGGAGTTCCGCTCGTCATCGACGAACATGACCCAGAGGGCGAGGGCGTTGATGAAGGTGCTCTGCACCAGGGAGACGACGTGGACATCCCAGTTGAGCTTGGTGCGAGGGTTGAGTTGGGGGTAGTGGCGGGGGAACAGGATGGGCGACAGCAGGGGGGAGAGGACGAAGTGGATGGCCAGGTAGCCGACAAAGGCGATGATGACCTCGTGGGCATGTTCGGTCAGGGCTGGGACGTTGTAGTGGAGGGCCCAGGGCTCGACGGCGTCTCGCAGCCAGGCTGGCGAGGGAGGGAAAGGGTCCAACATGCCGGTTGACCGCTCCTCCGAGTCGAGGGGAGAGAAGCGGCGAAGAAGGAGGCAGAGTGGGGGAGTGTTGGGGCAGAGGGGAAAGGAGAGGAGGAGAGAGGAGGAGGAGGAGGAGGAGGAGGAGGAGGAGGAGGAGGAGGAGGAGGAGGAGGAGGAGGAGAAGATGGGGACAGCAGAAAGGAGAAGAGGGCGGAGACTAGCGGCCTCGGTCTGGTCTACAGAGCAGCAGCCATGGTACGGAGTAGTGGCTCTTGGACCCAGGCTAACTCGCCCTATTTAACCGTCGGCCTCGGGCGTCTGGGCTCCTCCGGCGCTTAATCAGGGCCAATTACCCACCTGCAGGGGGAATAAAGAGGGTTGCAGCAGCAAGCATTCAATACAAGGCAGGCAATAATGCAATAATGCAATAATGCAATAAAATAATAATAATAATAATAGTTGTGGTGGCTGACTCAGTAGGGGGCATGACTTCATGCCATGTGACTTGACAGCACAACTGTACATTCTTTCTCTCTACGGCCATCTACAGCACAAGGACTAACTCAGTAACAGTATCGACTTCATGACGAGTTCTAACTCAAGTACATACATACAAAACTCAGCCAATGCCGTCCGCTCGCTGAATATAAACAATCAAACATGGATGGGTAAGTAAACATGGGGCATACAGGGGTCATCACAACATAGGAAATTACAAAGGAAAAAGAATCAACCAATCCCAAGCCACCCGACCGTCATATCGGAGGCACGTATCAACAAATACTCGAAGGAGAAGAATGGGGAGGGGGGAAATGCTATCAAGCCAGAAAGTAACATCACGCTGCCCATGACCGACAAAGAGAAAGAAGAGAAGGGGTCGGTCATGCAGCAAAATCAGATCAGATTAAATCAGATCAGATCAGGCCAACGTCCACGTGCGCGCACTAAGCCGTGAGCTCGTCGGCCCCGAGTCCGCTATCGCTGTGATGTCCATAGACCACCATCTTCGATGACGCCTCGTCGAGCTCATCCGCCTTCGTCGTGTGAGCATCGTCTTCTGCGTCCGACGCATCCTCCTCCTGATCGTCTGCAATGGAATGTAGCCCGCTAGAGCTAGCGGCGCTGGCCCGGCGATCGACGGAAGCGACACTGTTGGTGCCGTACACCATGCTGTCGGCATAGGTGCCCGTATAGCTAGTGCGCCGTTCCGTGCCGCCGTCGCTCTCCTCTCCGCTCGGGTTCTCGTCCTCTTCCGGGAAGACATCATTCTCCTTGTTCACCACGGAGCTCCGACCGCCCCAGGAGGTCTTGCGCTGCGAGGCGTTCGATCGGTAAGAGTGGCTGCGCTTCAGGCTCGCGAATCCGCTCTGGCCGCTCACCTGTCGCTCACCAGGCCCGCGGTTGCCCGTGACGTTGCTCAGACTGAGAATCCGACGTTCCTTGCCGGAAGGGGTGCCGGATCCCTTTTCCGACCCGCGCTTCTTCAACGCCATCCCGACGCTGCTCCCGAGAATGCTACGGGCGTCCTTGGCGGTGCTGGCGGTGCTGGTCGCACTGGGGCCGCGGGCCCGAGATCCACGCGCCTTTCTCACACCCGGCCCGTTGGGACGGCTGAGGAGGACACTGCGAGCGTGGTCCAGGACTCCTTCGAGGATCCGCTTCTCGAGACTATCCGCACGGTCTTCCATGACTTGCATCTCCTCGTGACGGAGCTCAAGCGCCATCTCCAAGCCGGAGACCTCCTTGTTAAGTTTGGTGTTCTGCTTAACAAGGTCCTCCTTCTCGGTCTTCAGGCTGTGGATGATAGATAGTAGAGAGTCCTTCTCCTCTCGCAGAGTCATGATCTCGGCTTCCACTTGCTCCCGCTGAGCGTTTCTCCTCTCCAGGGCGACGGCCGCTTCTTCCGCCTCCTTGCGTCGGCGCTCGTTATCCTCGGCCACCATGGCGGTTTGGGCGGCGAACATCTCGTTCATTCGGCGGGAGGTCTCCATAATGTCCTTGTGCATCTCATCCAGCTTCATCATCTGGTTAACCGACTCGTCGTGGTTGTTTGCATGGTCGATGAGCGTGTCCAGCTTCTCGTGCACGGGTCCGTTGGTATTAGCAGCATGCTCCAAAAGCTCGTCCAACTTCTCGTAAACCTGGCCATTAGTACTTGTAGTGTGGCTCAAGAGGTTGTCCAGCTTCTCATGGACTTGGTCATTGGTAACGCGTTCGACGAGGGTGTTGAGCGTCTCCTGAACCTGCTCACTCTTTGCACGCTCGAGGAGATCATTGAGCTTTTCGTGAACCGGACCGTCATCGTATTTCTCCGGCTCCGGCGGTGGCAGGGCAGGAAGCAAGGGGGTGATGCTCGAAGGGATCGTGGAGAGGTCCATCCGGATGTCCTGCGCCGACTTCTGAGAATGGTCGTAGTGCTGACCAACGATGGCGAGGATCTCCTGGATAGACTCTAGCACCTGGGGGTGGAACTCATGCAGCTGGCTCTCCACACGGTCAGTAGCAGCAGCAGCTCGCTCGATATCCGACCGGGCCTGCTCTTGCTGAGTCTTGACATCATTGTGCATCTCCTCCATCTTGGTATAAGACACGTCCACCTTCTCAAAGAAGGTTTGCGCATCCGAGGACATCCGCTCACAGGCCTCGTTGACGCTGTTCCCCATGGATCCAATGACAAGCTTGATATCTTCCGCCAGAGCCTTCGTATTGGTGACGGCCTCAAGATGCGCATTGTCACGTTCCGCCGTCTCAGTGAATTTGGAGTCGAGGTTGGTTTCCAGGGAAGATTGGACTTCGTCGTACTTAGCCACGATCTCAGCAAGCTTTTCATCGATCTTGGTGCCAATCTCGACGATGATAGCCGCCCTGGTCTCGTCATGCTTGACCATCGCTGCTGCGTCCCGCTCTTCTTTCTCGAGCTTGGTCGCATCCTGCTCACCCCGAGCGCGTTCGAACTCCCGATTGATAAGGTCCGTCAGTTCGTTGACATTCTCGACAGTCGTGAAGCTCTCCGCGGAAGCTGCCAGGCCTTCCAGGAGCTGCTTGAGCTCGGAGAGCCCCTCACTACTTCCATCCAGCTTGCTTCTGAGCTCGTCACCTAGTCCCTCCACGACATTTCGGGCCTCTTCGATCTTTTCAGCAAGGCCGGCATGCTCCACTTTTCGAGCGTCGAAGGCTTGTCCGGTCATCTCGCTATCAGCATCGACTTTTTCGCGGAACTCGGTGACAAGAGCGGTGAGATCTTGAATGTCGGTCTTCGTGGGCAAGGTTTCGATATCGGGGAGCTTGAGCTCTTCCACCTGGGTCTTGACTTCGAAGATCATGGCCTCCACGGTCTGCAGGTCCGCCTTGACCAGCTTCTCGGCATCGTTCTCCTCCTCACCCTCGGGAGTTCCTTTGCCTTTCATCTCGTCCAGTGCAATCCACATGTCCTTCATCAGGGTCTCCAAGGTACCAATCTCGGACTTTGTCGGGCCCTCCGATTCGACGCGAGTGGAAAGCTCGGATACGGCCTCTTTGGTCTCCTTGACCATAGCCTCCAAGCTCTGGAGTTGCTCTGCCCTGGCGATTTCATCGGGAGCAGGGAACGTCATCTCATCCAGCTGGGCCTTGGTATTCCGAAGAAGCGTTTCGATAGCATCGGTGTCTTCCTTCCTGGCTGCCATCTCGTCCGCAGGCTGGTCCCGAGCGACAATCCCCGTCACCGAGCTGTGAAGCTCTTGTAGACCAAGTAGGACTTCATCAAGATGCTCCTTTTTCAGCATATCTTCAGGAGCCTCGGCAGCCCGAGGAGCAGCCTCGATGGCCTCGACTTTGACTTGGAGTTGAGAAATCAGGGCCTTGAGACCTTCGATATCGTTGCTGGCGCTGTTATCGCTGGCGAGCATCAGCTCCCCTCCGCGGGTTGTCTCAATCTCCTCACTCTCCTTCTGGGACTGCCGCAAACCCTCAACATCTAACTTCAGGTTACTGAGACCTTCTTTCAGCGTCTCCAGAAGTTCGGAGTAATCGGGACCAGCAGAAGGCCTTTCAAGGAGCTTCGCCAAGTCTTCTCTGATGATACCGACACCATCGGTGAAGGCATCGATGACCTCGCCGTTCGCGGTACCCGTGTTTTCACCACCTTCCTTGGGCTGATTCGTCTCTTCCCGGAATGCTTCGAGGCTCTCACGGAGCGCAGCAATGATCTCATCCTTGTCACTCGTCGGCTCAGTCGGTTCGGCACGGACAAGAGTCGAGTTCATGGAGTGACGAAGTTCCTCGAATTCCTGCTTGATGATATCGGTGATATCATCGTTATTGGCAGGCTTTTGGATCTCCGAGATACCACGGATGGCGCCAAGAATTTCATCGTTGTTAGAGGGGGTATGCTGCTCCAACATCTCTTGGATAGCCGCTAGGATCTCCTCGTGACCCGTAGACTTTGGTTGTTCTGAAATTTCGCGAATAGCCGCCAAAATCTCATCGCTATTAGTACTGTTCTGTTGTTCCGACATCTCGCGAATAGCAGCGAGGATCTCATCGCTATTAGTACTGTTCTGTTGTTCCGAAATTTCGCGAATAGCAGCAAGAATCTCGTCACTGTTCGTACTGTTCTGTTGTTCCGACATCTCACGAATGGCTGTGAGAATCTCTTCATTATTGGAGGTGGTCTCCTGCTCGGACAATTTTTGAACAGCGGCAAGAATCTCTTCGCTCTTTGCATTCTTTTGCTGGTCGGCGATATCGCGAATGGCGTCTAGGATCTCGTCTTTTTCGTTTGACACATTGCTGTGAATGAGCAAGGAGCTCATGGTCTGGCGCAGATGCTCAAACTCCTTCTCCATAGCATCAAGAAGTTCCGGCGTATCCGGGTTGCCACGAGGCCCACTCGAGAAGGCGGTCTCGGTGATTGTCTTCTCCATGTCAGCCTGCAGGAGGCGGAACCCTTCCTTGACGGTGTCCATGATCTCATGCTTCCCCGAAGCTTCGGCAGCATTTGCAGCATATCCCTCCACCTCCTGGCGCACAACGGCGAAGCCATCTTTGAGAGTGTTGAGAAGCTGCTCCGCGTTGCCTTCGTGGACGGAGAATTGCTGACCAAGCTCTTCTTTCATGCCATCAAACTGCTCCTGGACACGTTCCAGCATCTGTTCGCCTATGCCGTGGTTCGCCTCGTTAGCCTCGTGCAGCCCGGCGGAAATCGCTTCCATGAGGTCATCTCTGTTCAGCTCAATCTCCCTTGTCATGGAGTTTTGGCTTTCTAACCCTTCTGCGATGGCGTTGATGATATCGTCGCGGGAAACACTCGGTTGAACGTGGGTGCTAACGACCGACTGCTGGGCCACAAAGGCTTCGTTGATGGCGTTCGCAACGTCTTCCTTCGTAATGTGCGGGTGCTCCGCCTCCTTGGCTGCAGCAAAGTGGGATTCCAGGCCATGCGACATTGCGCTCAGAATGTCGTCGCGGCCGAGTCCTGAGTCTAGCGTACTCCTCGTAAGTGCGGTTTGAGATGTGACGGATTCGGTGACTGCCTGCAGTATCTCATCGCGCATACTCTCGAGGTGTTCGGGCTCCACGCCGCGAGGAGCGGGTGGTTCGAAGTTTGCCAGGCATTCGTGAATGGTTTGGACGATCTCCTCCTTGGTAATGCTTGGTGGTTGCTCAAAGTTCTGCACTCCAGCCTGGACGGCCGCCAGCACTTGATCGTACGTAACAGCCTCCTCATACTGCGGCTTGTACTCTTTGAGCCCTTCCGTTAAACACTCCAGGATCTCTTCGCGCTCCAGTCCGAAGTTCTGCAGCTCGATTTCAGGCTTATAGGTCTCCCAGGCCTCCCGGACAGTCTCGAGGATATCTTCTTTCTCCATAACAGGACCCTGCGGTTCGGCACGTAGATGGGACAAGTCAAGTTCATCCACGGCCTTCTTAACGATGCCGAATATTTGGGCGCTGTCCATGGCAGACCGGAATTCCGAGATGGAGGAGGATTGGTATCTGCTCTCGTCGATGATTGAGGCCAGTTGATCTCGGAGTTCATTTAGACTGTCTTCGACCATAGCAGCAATGTCCTCGTTGCTGGGACCATCGGGCTTATCTTCTATGGCGCGAGAAGATTGAACGTCCTCAATCTGTCGAGCTAGATTCCGTCCCATCCCTAAGACTTCCCCGCGCAGTTCTCGAACGAGGGCTTTAACTTCGTTCGTCATACCACCTCCTTCGATGACGCTGGTCTTCACTCTTTTCATGATTGAAAGCATCTCGTCCGCCATATGACTATCCGCAGGGACCAGTGAACGCTCCGCAACATGGCCGTGGTTGCCTTCGACAACCTCCATATCCGGTTCGTATCCCTGCTCGGTGCCGAAGGACCTTGTTCGGGAAACCCCGATATCAGGATTCCCCGGTGACGAAACGTCGCTGGCGCCGATCACGGTATGTGAACGGATCAGGGCCTTATTTCCGGCATCCTCTTTCACGTGGTCCAGAATCTCTTCGAGCATTGCCGTAATAGCATTTTCGGTGGATTTGTCTGAAACATCGGAGACGGGCCTGGACTTTATTTCTTCGACCAGTTCCAGGAGCTTGTCTTGGCTTTCTTTCGTGCCCATCTCTCTCAAGACCTTCTCGAGCAATGCGATGCTGGCGGAGCCATCGGAAATCGGCGAAGGAGATCCACACAGTTCACAATCTATGGAAGCGGTAAAGGGACTGGGGCTTGACATTCGTGGCGCTGTTCTCTTCGAGTTCGGGGAACTATCCGAATCCCTGCGGTTATTACCAAATTCAGAGCCCAGGAGAGTACTGAAATCCCACCTTGTAGCAGCGTCAGGATCGAGAAACTTTGCAGCTAGATTGGAGGATAAATCACGGAGACTCTTGCGAATGTCCTCATCTCGGGCGTTGGTTGCGGCTTTAAGGCTGACCAGGTCTGTAGCATTGTCTTTACTTCGTCGGCTCAACTGCACCATCTCCCGCTGCAGGTTGCTGGCGATGTCTGTGAGGCTGACGATCTGGGTGGACAATGAGTGAAAGTTGTGGTTGTCCGGACGCGGAGGGCCGATGAATGGGTCTGCATCGAGACTCTTCGGTTGTTGCGGCTCGTGTGGCATGGGCAATTGCATGTTTTGTAGCGCCAGCATGGTCGCCGAAGGAGGTGTGCTTTCGCCCAGAATTGGTCTGGAGAGGTATCGGTTGGAGATGAGTAGATTAGGCAATCCCCGGTCAGGTTCTCTATGGTCGGTATCTCTATGTACGAGTTCTCTATGGTCGATTTCCCTATGCTCGGGTTCTCTATGCTCGGGTTCTCTATGATCGACATCTCTATGGTCGACATCTCGCGGGTCAAGGGAGTGAGAATCCTTCGTGGGTGTGGTATCGTACTGCTGGGGGCTCTGGTCCTGAATCGATGCGCGCTGCGGCCGCTCCGGTGACCGGTTCTCGAGGTAGTTTAGGAATTCGCTCCGAGCATCTGTATTCTGGAAAGACTGCATGCGTCTGTGAAATTGGCCCTTGATGAGAGACTTCTCCGGAGACTTGGGCGGCATGGGGTTTGTCGTGTACGGACTCGTCGTGCTCTCGCGCATCTTCTCTTGGAAACTGGCGGCGACGGCCTGGATGCCCGGGGAGACATTTCCTCTGGTCAAAGGACTGGTAGAACTGGGGTTCATGGGTAGCGGAGGGGGGGCCCGTTCGGGGTCCGAACTGTCCCACCTTCGTTTGCCACGAGATCACGGTCAGTCTGATACAATTCCCGGTTTGGTTTGCGGATATGGGCCCCAGCGGAGGGGTGGAGTGGGTACGTACATGGGCACGGATTGATTTCGAACCACCAATTCCCGGTCGTGGGAACCCTCACGAGTGTGTGAAGGCATCATAGGCAACTCCAATGCCGTTGTGTAACAGGAAATTCTAAAAAATCAAGTAAAGGGAGGAGAGGGAGGGGGGGTATGTATGTGGATGTGGTGGCTAAAAAAGTAAATCGGTCGAGGGGATATATCCGGAATGCGCGACAGGAATGGTCATCAAAAAAAAGGGTAAAGCAGATCAAAATCGTAAGGGCATATCAATTCGTCAAAACAAGAACGCAACAAATGCAGGGAGTATCATAGGGAGGAAAGAATCGCAAAGTGAAAAACAACGGGACAAATGCGCTTGCTAGGGGAGAGGCGGGGGAATCAAGGAGGACGACGACGACAACAACAACCACGCCAACGGCGACAGCGACGGACAACAGTGGCGACGAGACGGTTGCAAGGGCCAGTCCACAAAAGAAGAGCACACGCGCTGAGGAGAACGAGTAATATAGTCAACCATCAAAGTGGAGATGGAGGCTGGGAGGGAACGGTAGCTCATGGGGCATCGACGGAAGCCCGATCCAATGTGCGGCGTACACATCAAAGCTCCGCGCCTAGCAACCGATCGCCTGGCCGTTGTCTGGTAAACACCCCGGGGGCGGTGAGCCCCAGCGCCTCCCCAGCCACCTGAGTCAGCCTGAGGCTTGCACGCCCGACCGGCTCGGGCACTAAGCCCCTTGGAGAAACCTGCCCGGAGCAGTCTAGCGCCATCCAGTCGGTAATCCGACCAATGGAATTTTTGCACACAAAGCCCTGAGCCCTCTTCACTCAAAAAAATAGAACGTCGAGCGCGGAGAACCTCACTTACTCGACCGAAGCACATCGACAACCACCCCATCGACCTGCCGCTCCCCGGGACTTTCACAATGAAGTGTTAGTGAACTGCCGCTTCACCCTCGACCCTCCCCCTTTTGCTCGTCTTCGATCGAAACTAACATGATGGTCGGATTATAGTCATGAAAGTGGGCCGTGTGGCCATCATCACCCGTGGCCGTTACGCCGGTAAGAAGGTACGACAAACCACCGATTCTGCTTCATTATTTTTCTGGCGAGGAACATCATATATATCCATCCCTATTCTACATCTACTGTGACGAGCTTGGACTGGACGGGACGGAGACATCGCGCGACCGAAAGAAGTGAAAGAAGAAAATCATTGCAAGAAAGAGATGAAATTTCGACGTACTTGGGATGGGAATAGGGGAGAGAAAGAGAAAGAGGGAGAGAGAGAGAGACTCCGAACGAGCGAAATCACAAACACACAATGGGGGGCGGATGTTCCGGACTATTCAGATCAAGCAGCGGCAGCAGCAGATGAAACGGATGCAACGGATGGATGGATAAGATGGGATTGATTTGCAGGACATTGTGCTGACCAGGGTTCTTTTTGCGATATGACAGGTCGTCATTGTCCAGCCTTTCGAGACTGGCTCTAAGGCGCACCCCTTCCCCTACGCCATCGTCGCCGGTATCGAGCGCTACCCCCTGAAGGTCACCCGCCGTATGGGGCAGAAGACCGTTGAGAAGCGCAGCCGCATCAAGCCCTTCATCAAGGTCGTCAACTTCAACCACCTCATGCCCACCCGCTACACCCTTGAGCTCGAGGGTCTCAAGGGCGCCGTCACCGCCGAGACCTTCAAGGAGGTTTCCCAGCGCGAGGACGCCAAGAAGACCGTCAAGAAGGCTCTTGAGGACCGCTACACCAGCGGCAAGAACAGATGGTTCTTCACTCCTCTGCGTACGTTGATCCTTCTCTCTATCCGGCTTTTTCTTTTCTTACGCGGGCCACCAATTCTGACTGTCGGTTTGCAGGTTTCTAAACGGGATATCCTGGGGCGTTTTGTCGTTTGAGCGCGCAAGGTCTTGATGAGGCAAAAGGGAAAAGCAAACGCATCGAGGACAACCCGGTTCATGAAAGCATGGGATCACGTGAAGTATGCCATAGCTAGCGGAAGAAATGAAATGGGAAATGTGTCGATGTACAGGTCCAGGACTTGGCCAATTTTTCTTTATCATGAGGGAGGCCACTCAGATCTGGCGTCCATCTCGCAATGAAATGGAAAATATGAACAAATTCAATTTCTTTTTTTTTGTTTCTGATTTCTGATACTGGCTCTACCACCACTACTGCCATGTCTTTGCCACTACTAATCTGGGCCCTCGCGGCTCACCAGGACGCATCTGGATTTCCATACCCCAACCGACCGACCAACTCAGAACAACGCATACCTTCCTCCTCCTTCCCCCCCCCCCCCCCTCTTCAGAAGTCGGCAGCCGCTCGAATATGGATCTAAGTCCGTCATGAAAGAAACATCGACGTCCCTGTCCCGAGCGCCACTCCGTCCCGCCAAGCAGGGCTCCGATCTACTTAGGAAACCTAGTTCCGCTTAGTCCCGTCGTTGATTATATCCCCGCGCGGCGATTTCTCCGTACGAGAATCCCAGCGCATCCGAATGTTGGGGTAAAAGCGGAGTCCCAGGAGCGAATCACCCCCCACCCAAATGTAGACCGGAGGGTGATACCTCGTATGTACTCCGGGGATTGTACCATGGTGTACCTCTAGGGCCGGGCCCTGAGTGTAGAGACGGGCGGCTGCTAGGTACATAGAGTACTTGGCTTTGTCCACCTGCTGCGCGGGGGGTCGGGTTACTGCAGGGGGTTTGGCCATGTTCACCCGTGGTCTAGACGGATGTATGTCAGGACTCAGGACGTGTCCGACTCCGGAAAGCCATCTTATGCGGGGCTGTCAGCGTAGTCTACTCCGTCCTGTCTAGTCTAAAGTACTGGCCATGGCTAGGGAATAATTATGCGGGCATGATGTGTACCCGATCGATGCGGAGGTGCAATTAGAGATTGCAATCTGTGCACGTCGTTCCTTACCCGAGGGAATATCCGGCTAGGCGCTGGACTTTGTTGGTGCGACAATCCCCCGGGTCTGTTCGCAATCCTGGCAGGTATCAAGGTGTAGACGGGGTAGGTCGGTGGTATGCTGTTGTTATCTCAGGGGTGGCCGTCATACAGGAATCGGGCAAAATCACTACTTCTGAGTGCATGCTAGCTAAACTAGGTCGACCTAATACTACCTAGACTCCGCTCTACCTGGACGGTCTGGATAGTCTGGGGAGCCTGGGGAGCCTGGGGAGACGTCCATCCGGGCGTGCGGAATCCAAGTGCCTCACCGCGGGGTTGCGGTCCAGAAGGTCCTGGAGCACCGAAGGACTGCATTACGATGCATTTGTGTCAATGCCAGCAGGGATCAGGGGCTGAGAACTGACATCCGGGTCTGATAGCGTCGAGCGACATGCAGGACATCAGCGAGGTCGATGATCATGATGCGACCGGCGAGGATGGCACGACGCAACCAGTGCCACCTGAGCAGAAGTACGATGCGGATGGTGGGCGCTAAGAGGGAATGACATCCTCGATATCGGGACCAGAATACGACGGAGAGGTTATTTTGGAGGGATTGTTGCGGGCGGTTCAAAAGAACGTGCAAAACTGCCACCAGACGGTTGGCGTTCTTAGCGCCTGGACCGACGGGCGGATCAAACTAATGCAGCAAGCAGGACACACCGTCCAAGCAGGCAGACGGGCTGATGGTAACAAAAGACGGGCATTCCAAGGGTCAGGGCATTATTTCCAGGGCACCTCCGACCGCCGACCCCAGACCCTCCGGGGGGGGGGGGGGGGGGGGGTTCAGGCGCAGAGATGCTTGCCTCTCCCGCAGGAGATCAACGAGCGCGGTTACCCGTCTCAGTCCTGAGGTCCTGAGGGTCAAGCAGGAGTCCGTCCCCCGTTGTCTGTGATCCGGACTCACGCGTTGAATGAGATGAGTTGAATCGGCAGGTGGATAGCAGTGGGTTGGCTGGTTGGGCATGTTTTTTTGTTTCCTTGTGACAGGCAGCAGGTATAGCCTCTGATAAGGACGGAAGATCTGTCGAAAACTGGATCGCAATCCTCGGGACTGGCGAGAGTTGCCCCGAGGCAGCAAGACTCACGGAGTCGTCGTCGTAGTGCGACGGAGGGAGTCGAGGCGGACAGACCCGCAATCACATGCCATCAGCCCACGGGGTTTCTGTCTGTCTGTGTCTGTCCCTCTCCCTCTCACGACTATTTCTTCCCTCTGGCATCATCTCTCTCGTCTTTCCTCCGGTTCCTGCCACGCCGGCGAGGGTTTCCCTGTCCAATACTTGGCCTTCACTCGCTTGGCCGACGGAGTAGTCTGCCTAGTATCTTGGTATAGTCGCGAGCTAGTCTTCCTCGCCACCATGACAACGCAACCAACCGTTACCGCCGTTATCGAGACCAAAATCATCATTCGATTCCTGCTCCATGACTCCATGACTAAGGGTTGGGGGGGGGGGGGGGGGGAAACCATGTAGGCACGGGGCGGGTGGCTTGGTGCTGATACATCATGCTGGGCTGCTCCTATGGTTGCTCCGCGATTACACGGTGTTTGTGCCCCTCCCCTCTCTCTTCCCCTGCTGGTTCCGATGCAGGCCCGAGGAGAGGAGAGGAGAGGGAAGGGAAGAGATCCCGGGCGATTCCCTCACTCTTGGGTCGCGTTCCGGCTGGCGCATCTGGGTTCCAGGCCCGGCTGGTGAAAGAGCCCATGACGACGTAACGACGACTGGCTCGGTGCAACAAGGGTGGTCGGTGGGTGGTCGAAGTAAGTATCTCGTAGATACGGGCCGAGCTGTACCCACCAACGGCGGGCGCGTTCCAGTTCAAAGAGAGAGGGCCCGCTATCACATGCTGGTGTTGCTACTCTTGCTGGGTTGCTGCTATGCTAACTACAGTACTTCCAGAGGGAGAGAAAGTGAAGGGAGAAAAAAAAACATAAAAAAAAAAAAAAAAAAAAAAAGGACCATAATTTTAAAAAAGTGACAAAAATTAAAATTCAAATAAATTCCTCCTCTTCCTTCATTCCTACTCTCTACTCTACCTCTACTTATTCTCTACCCACCTACGTCCTACTTGGGATTTAAACTACGGTTCAGCTCTTTCCGGTCCAGCCAATTTGCTCATTCCGTCTCCCCCGGGTCTCTGACATACTTACTAGGTAGGTGATACGTCCTTCTCCGGCACCCCTCCCCCCCCCATCCTCTCTGTCGTTTTTATTCTACTTAAGCACCCTCTTGTCGCTGCTCTTCACTCGTATTCCTTCTCGACTTTTTGCTCTTTTGCGCCTTCCCTACTAACATTCCCCCCTCCCAAAGCCTCCCGCTTACACATCCACCTCCCACCCTTGACCCCGGTAAGCGCTATCTCATCAATGATCTACCCAGACTACTTTACTACCACATGCCTGCCTTGCTTGTCCTCCACTAACACCACCACGGCATGTGACAGAAACTTATGCCTCACGCCGAAAACACCATGGGTGAGAATTCTATGAACGGGGAGACCGTCCACTCCCACTTCCTGGAGGTGAGTTGATTCGATTCCACTGCCTGGCTAGCCAATGGCGTGAGTGAGTGCGTGACATGTGCTTATCCGACCCCGGCAGCACCTGGCATCCTACCCCGTTGTCTCCGACTCCATCACCGTCATCAAAACCAACAAGTACGGCGCCAAGTACCTGCAATATGCCGACCAGGGCTACGTCAACATCGCGAAGCCGGTGCTTCCCTACTTCTCCAAGCCCTACGGTTACGTTGCTCCCTATGTCGCGCGGGCGGACTCCATCGGCGACAAGGGCCTGACCAAGGTGGACGAGACATTCCCCTTCATCCAGCAGGATACCGACACCCTCAAGGGAACGATCCGTGATGGGATCTTCCTCCCGGTGCGATTCGCGGCCGATCTGAAGGACCATGTCCTGGGCACCTACGGTTCTGAATATAAGGAATGTGGCGGGGACGGCGTGGTTGCGAGCGGCAAGGCGCTCATTACGACCGGCTTCATCCTCTCGCAGGAGTCGCTGGAGTACTTGAGCTCCCTGCTGCGGGCGAAGAAAGCGCAAGCCAAGGAGGTCGTGATCAATGACCGGGCGGACAACTAATCGATTCCTCTTCCTCTTATTCTTTACTACGTAGCTTGGTTCGTTATTTCTTTGGTGTTTAGCTGGGTTGTTTGGCCTGCTGTTTTGGCGCTTTTTTTTTTTCTTTCTTTATTTCTTTCCTTTTCTTTTTTTTACTGTTCCCTTTCTTTAGATGGCTTTGCTATGGCTGGGAGGGTTGTCTCCATATTCTTCGCCGTGTTGGACATAGGTGGTTCTGTTTTTATCCTTCAATACGCCCTCACAGCCCGGGTTGAATATACCGCGGCTTCTCCGCTGGATTCATAGTGCCGATCATTGCTTAAAGAAAAGAAAAAAAGAAACAGACTCTCTTCTTAGTTCCTATACATCCAGGCTCCACAAATGATAAGCTCGGGGACCCATACCAAGTTTCGGGATCGCCCCAAGACCAAAAAAAAAAAAAAACGAAAAGCAAAAAGACATCTCCCTGACTGGGAGTCGAACCCAGGTCTCCCGCGCTTGTTCTCATACGAGTGACAAGCGGAAATCATGACCGTTAGACCATCAAGGATGTTGTTGAGATTTGGCCAGATTTTTTGCTTTATCAGCTTAGGCCGGGGTCTTAGCAAGCGAATCTACATTCGACGAGGTTGAGTGATACACTCCTCCGAGATGCTTGGATATCTAAGTAAATACATGGATATATTGCACACAACCTAAAGCTACTCAACATTGATAAATAAATTCGAACACGCCATGCATTCTGGGTATACGTGAGGATACATGCTCTGACGATGAACCCTTCAGGGAGCGCTTTAGCGGAATGCATTTCTAACGTTCAATGGTATGGTATCGACCAACCAGGCAGGTGTTCCAGGCATGCATTCAATCGTTCTATGAATGAGGGTGTCTTTTCTCTTTCTCTCTTTTAAGAACAACTCTAGTATAGCAACAACATCAATCTAGATAAGTATCGGTCGTAGGGTATGATATACCAGATAAAATAAGGTTTTAGCACATCAATGCTTAGTAGGGCACGGCACTATGGTGTCTATTATCACGCCTCAGCCCAGATTCCACCAGACAGAAACAAAGAACGTGGTAGCCAAGTCAGTTTATCTTCTGTCCATCCTCATGCCTATTCTCATATCATAGGAGTCAGGTGCAATCTTCTCAGCTAGGTAGGATGTCGACATCAATCATGTCTGTCTTACTTACGTATTGCAAACCCCTACTCTGCAAACCACTTCGATATGCATGGTAGTTAGGTGGTAGTATTCACATCCCCCAGTACCAAACCCCAAACTGGCAAACACAACTTCCCCGTACCATCCATCGCAGCCCAGCCCATCCCTCCCCTCTCAATCCTATCCCAGCCAACCCCACATCACAACCCCAAATGAAAACAAAAGCAAAACGAAAAACAAAAAGAAATCTCCCTGACTGGGAGTCGAACCCAGGTCTCCCGCGCTTGTTCTCGAGGCGAGTGACAAGCGGAAATCATGACCGTTAGACCATCAAGGATTTGTATTGAAGGGATGGCAAGTTTTGGTTATACCAGCTAAAGCAAATTGGTGGGCGGCAGCGGGTAAGTAGGGTGGGGCGGGTTTGTTAGGGTTAGGGTCCGGAGTGCGATGGGGTGGGATGATGGTCTTCACTACGTGTGTATGTACTATACTATGTTTTCTGTATGGCGCGTTGCCATTTAAATGGGATAGGCTGGGCTGGTAAGAGGATGTGTTGTATAAGACCTTGGCTTTACTTGTGGTTGGGGGTTGGGGGTTGGGGGTTTGGGGTAAGAACTGGTTGTTGGGTGTTGAGTATTTGGGGTATATAGAGACTGGAATTTATAGGATGGGAGGCAAACTTTTCTTGTTCATTTTAATTCTAATTTTCGTTTTCTCTCTGCGTAGGTGATTGGGACAGGATGGATTGTGGCATACCCTGTGTGCAAGTATTGTTGTAGTTAATACAGTAGTCTAGGAAGAATTTAATTGAAGTACTATAACGCCGGAGGCCATTGATCCATATCTTACGCATCAATTACCAGGAGCAGGTTTTAAAGTCTTTATCATGTACCTTCTTATTGAATAATGCCTTCACATCATAAGTGTATTGAATCAATGTGTCTCTCGCTCCTTCTTTAAACAAGTTGTATGGTCGCCTCTGTCGAGGAGATGTGGGTATTGTGGGCTGAAGGCGAGAGAAGACGTTTGACGATTAGGTATATTTAGTGTGAGGGTAAATCACCACCACGGGTGGGGACGGTAAATATGAATTGACTATATGTCAGTATCTTTGCCTTCCGAAACCGTACCTTGCAAGGCAAAGCCACAGAAAAAGACAATCTTTAGATACACCTTGACAGGTGTATCACTAGCAATGTGCATCCGGGAAGACAAGGTGGTTTCCATCTCTATGGTAAGGACACCCAGGGTACCTCTACTCCTAGTAAAGGGGTTTATTTTATGCGATGGCATAGCCTAGGCATTCTAGCTTCATCCAAAACGACACATTTCTAGGCAGGCAGCGAACATAAGAACTTGAACACAATCTACCGAGTATTTATATACCAGCCTCCCTATTCCGGCTTCCTCCCCACCACCGTCCACCGAGTGAAAACATGACAAGCCCCCGCCTTTGTTTGCCGCTCCACGTTTGGAAGAAGCTCTCTCAGCCTCTGCGCAGCCTCCACGTCCTTCGTCTGCTGCACAAACATCTCATGTATTACCAGATTACACTCGTGCAATGCCATCGCCATGTACCCCGGCGCGTCACGCACATCCGCCTTCAGAGCCTCGAAGCCGCTCTCTGCCAGCGACTCCGGAAGCTGAAGATTCTGCTGCGCGGTCAGCGAATATCGGGCATTTCAGGTCGGGGCTGCGGTTACTGACCCGGTTCCGCTTCCAATATGAGCGACTCTGAGTTTAGGGTCTTCCAGGGGGATGTCGGGATGTTTCCGGTATCCGAGGAGCTGGACCCAGAGATAGTGGTGGAGATTGATCCTGCCAAGTTAGCCCAGGCTGTCAATCTGCACATACAGACCACATGGGGAGTTACCGATTATTGTCGAGGTAGTCTCGTGTGAGGACATATTGCGGTGCAGACATGGTGGCTTTCCGAGGAGGGAATTAATTTTTGGGGGCGTTGGAGAGATAGAGAGAGAGGTTTGGCATTTCCTTCTTTGCCTACCCGCCGATGGGGGTGATTTAGATATACCCCATCGGCTCCATAGGAGAAGGAGGATTTTACCCACCTGCCAGATGGGAATCATGACTCCGGCTGAGATCAGCCCTCACAATAGGCAAGCCGACTCACTCCGTACTTGTGGTATCAAACGCGCAACTAGGGCTGATGGGCAGATCAGAGACATTCTCTATGTCTTGACCTGCTGTCGCTTATGAGAAATAAGGAATAATGGGATAAAATCGGAGCTCGCGACTATGGCAAGGCTGGCCAGGCATTATATCATTACCGGGTGCTTTGGCTCAGCCCCCTGGCGGGTCAGATACGGACAAACTCGATCATTTTTTTCTTAGTTCTGTCCTCCAATCCAGTTACTGTCAATTTTGTGGGTGAATGATTGGTCTTTTTTACAGTTTTGTTATGTTGGTCTTCTCATCCAGTCTGAGATACAATCAGCTCACGGAAGCGAGATTATTCCGAGTCACGAGGCTTGGATCGCATGCCTGTGTTGTGTTCGTCTAGTATTTGAGATCCATTAGTGGAATATTTTGGAGGCTAAGCTGCCTGCTCTCCTTGTATATTACATGATGGCTACGTGTATTCTAGATGGGAGGTCACTGAGGCAAACATATACTCCCCACTCGACGCTTCCCGGGAAGTCCTGCCACATCGAGTTGATTGAATATCCTCATAATACTTGGATACTTGGTTATGGCGGGGGGGGTATGACCCAGGCCTCATTTGTCTGCCTTGGGCTTAACAGGGGCCTCTGGGTAAGATCAGCGCTTTTGCTCTGTAACCTCCCCCCCCCCCCCCCCAATTGACTTCACTTCACTTGCTCACTAGCCAACCACCTTGCTGATGTGCTTACCCAGCCCGGTTATCTAGACATATTGAGTGCTCCACTACAGTGGTACTCCTGAATCCAGTACCAATGTCCCCAGGCAGCTGTTACCCCGGATTATGAATAACCTTTGTGTTTTATGCACCGGGCTTTCCCTCTACCTAATCTCTGCGCTGATGATCCCGGCCTTCCTTCTTTATTGACCATGGTCCCTGCTGACTGGTATCCCACTCTCTATCCAGCGCAACCCAGTCTCCAGAGTATACCTTGTGGCTTGCCTCCATATTTCAATCTGAGTGAGCTTTAGAGAGGCACCTCCAACGAGATTCAAAGCAGATGTCTTCTGACACAGCTCTCGACCAAAAGTGCTCTATTCATTCTTGTATTACCAAGGCCTTGAACTGGTGTCGGCACGCAAGTTTAAGCATTATGCATGACAATCTCCTTCTCTTTACTTTCTCCGTACTAATCAGCTACTTGCATACACAGAGGGGAGACTTTCTATACGACCCGACCCATCTACCGCGCGCTAGGAACCCCCGGGTCCGTTTTCGCCCTCCTTATAACTTGCCAAGAGGCTCCGATGGGTCTAATAACCTTGTCGCGGTCATTGGCACCGACTACCAATATTCATGAGGTATCTTGTGGGGTAGTCACGTCATACTTGATTGCGAAAAGACTGGAAAGGGTGATTGATACATGAGATGAACCCCCATCCGGGGGCGACAATTAGGGCTAGGTGCGGAATATATATGCAACCAAGCAGGGCCCGTCCAACCATGCACAACAGCAACGGTAGTACTTAGCACGCCAGGACCAGTCGAATATGTCGTACAGTTAACTGTACTTGGAAACACAACCCAGCTATCAGTTACAAAAAAAGATCACTAAAAACACACTCAATGGGGTCAACGAGACACAATTGGCAACTGCCCGACGCCGAAGTCGACGGCATGTATTTCCATACAACTATTTGACTTCCACAAAGCTCACCGCCGAAGATGAGAGGACTATGAATGCCAGGGTAACTATGACGGAAATAGAGGTGAAGGTCAAGCTAAATTAATGATTATCAGAGTGGAAAAGGTTTTGCAGGGACTAGAGATCAAAAATGAGGCAATTTTAACATGAAGTCCTTGATGGTCTAACGGTCATGATTTCCGCTTGTCAATCCTGAATAGGAACAAGCGCGGGAGACCTGGGTTCGACTCCCAGTCAGGGAGATTTCTTTTTTGTTCTCTTTTTTTTTTTTTGCTACGTGCTTCTTCATTTAGGGTGGATAACACAACGGCCATGCGCGCAGCTTTATTTTTTTTTATCTGGACTCAATGGAGTGACGTGTTGATAAGGGAAGGAAGTCGTGAACCGGCCGGACAAATCTGTAAACAAAGAACCCCCGATCGTGGCTTTTTTTCTATCAGCATTCCCAAATTTGCCTCGCACCCTGTGACATAGTCAACTGCTACTAGACAACCTTACCTACCTAAATCAACCCAATCCGATGTAAGTAGTTACTATACTATCCCACCATCAACCGGAACTGCTGCCGGCCATAATCCTTATCGACAAGCGATCAACCCGGACTACCCGAATAGGATAAATCACGTTGGCCCCGCCCTCCCGCCGCCGGCGCGTCCATCGCGTCCGCCATCCATCGAATAATCGAACAAAGAATCCCCCCGGCCATACGAGCGCCCCGACCAAACCACCACCATCACCACTACCACCACCCTGCGATGTAAATAGACCTCAACGACCCGCCAAAAACACCACGCAAACAACCCACCCCCCAGAAAACCCCCTCATCCACCGAACCCCAAGAAAAAAATGGCACCTGCTCGCAAACGTCGCGCGGTATGTGAATATCCCCATCTCGCAGACCCATCCATCCCGCTACGAACAACATACTAAGAAAGAAAAAAAACTACCTCTAGCCCCCGGAGCCTGAACCCGAATCCTCCAGCGACGACGGCGCACCCCCGGCTACCCAAGTCCAGCGCCGGCGGCTCACCCAGAATGCTCCGTCCTCGGACAGCGACGACGACGACGACGACCACAGCGAGGCAGAAGACACCCGCGCGCCGACCAGTCTTGACGTGATGGTCAAAAAGATGGTGCGACTAGCACTGGCGAGCGAGTACGCGCGCCAACCGATCCGACGAACCGATATCAGCGCCAAGGTGCTGGGGGAGCAGGGGGCGCGGCAGTTCAAGACGGTATTCGAAGATGCGCAGAGGGTGTTGCGCGTGAAATTCGGGATGGAGATGACAGAGTTGCCGGTTAAGGAGAAGGTGACGATCACTCAGCGAAGAGGTGAGTCTTCCCCTCCTACTATCCTTCTTCACCCCCCCCAAATCCATGTTCCGAGGGTGTGTGAGAGAATGTCACTGGCAAGTACACTAACCACAACCCAACCCACCCAGCCGCGCAAAAAGTCGAAAAACCATCATCGAGCAACAAATCCTGGATTCTCTCCAGTATATTGCCCCCCGAGTATCGGAAGCCGGAGATCCTCCCGCCCACGAAAGCCCCGCTCGAGGGGACGTACACGGGACTGTATAGTTTCATTATCGCGGTGATTCTGCTCAATGGGGGCGCGATCCAGGAGCAGAAGCTCGATCGCTATCTCAAGCGCACCAATGCCGAGACGTATACCCCGATTGATCGCACGGATCGCTTTCTGCAGCGTCTGTGTCGGGAGGGGTATCTGGTGCGGAATCGCGAGGTGGATGGCGGTGAGGAGGTCATTGAGTATATACTGGGGCCAAGGGGGAAGATTGAGGTTGGCGCTCAGGGGGTCGCGGGCTTGGTGCGTGAGGTGTATGGCCGGTCGGGTGATGGGGAGAGGGATCAGGAGTTGGAGATTCGTCTGGCGCGTAGTTTGGGGTTTGAGCTGCCGGAGCAGACTGCCGGGGGCCAGGAGGGGGAGGGGCAGGGGCAGGGGGGTGATGGTGATGGTGATGGTGATGAGGATGGAGAGCAGCGGCAGGGTCGGAGGCAGCGGCAGAGGAGGGAGCAGCCTACTAGACGAACGGGCGAATAGGGCTGTGCCGGAGGAAGACGACGATGAGGATGAGTGAGTGATTGATTGCGCTTCTGTTTACGTGATGACCTGCTGCTTTTGTAGTACTGCGATGTTGTCAGCTACTAGCCGTCTGAATGATACCCGAGATTATAGTTCACGTTTTGCATTGGATGAGCCGTCGATACTGTGAGTTGTAGTAACCTAGAGATGACATTGAAGTAAAATCCGGAGTGATATGGAGGTAGGTAGTATTTATATTAGACCCGCGAATCCACCCGCGCCAACCAATCTATGCATTCAAAATACAGGAACAAAGTATCGTCAGTGGTATATCTATAGTCAGAAAAGTCGCTATACACAGTCGCTGTCATCTACTCGCTGTCACTAGCGCTGTCGTGGACCGATCCGTTGTCCGCATCCTCTCTTAGCCCCTCGGCCATGATGTATTCGGCCTGCTGTAGAATCGACTTGACCTCCTGGTTGTTGTACACCAGGTCGGCAGGCTTCTGGCCGTGCTTATTCCTGACACGCGGGTCGCAGCCGGCATCGCACATCATCCGGATCATCTCCGTGCCTAGTTCGGCGTCCTTATCGTTGGTGTAGCGCACTGCGGTGTGGAGCGGGGTATCTTTGTCAAGGCGGGTGAGGGGGTCACATTCGAAGAACTGGACATCGAAGAGGGAGTCCATGGTATCGTCTGGAGGAGGAGGAGTTTGTGTTGGGTCAGCGTGCTGCAGCGGAGATAGATCGCGGGGTTATTTGGGGGTAAGAGGTTGAGAGGCTTACAGCTTCCATACGTAGCACATATGTGGAGGGCGTGGTTCCCCATCGAATCCGTCACACCGTTGAAGAAAGCGGCCACCTCCTCATTTGACTTCCCCTCCATGGTTTCCAGAACCTGTTCTATCAAATGAGGCTGATCGCGGCGGCATGCCTCGACGACAAGTTCACGGGGGGAAGCGCCCTATGCATCAATGCTTGTAAGCAACGCAGCGGGTTGTTTGGCGTGGGCGGCACTCACTTCGTCTGCCATAGCTGGTTATTAATTAGGGGGTGACAAGTGTGACAACGGAATAGATGGTGGTGTAGATCGACTGAGCGTACGGCTCTTTAGGTGGATGCGTGGAGGGTTCGTTCGAACAAATGCCGCAAGTATGGCCCGCGTTAGCCGTGGCGGTGGTGGGTAAGGAGGCGGTGTCGGGAACTATGACTGCTCGAGAGATCAGCATGTCTTAGAGAGTAATTGAAACCGCTAGTGTAGCCTTCGAGACTGGCAGGTGGCCTTTAGAGGTTGGGGAAAGAATGCTGGAGCCTTAACTTACACGGAGGGTTCTGGTGTCTAGAGAAGCAGCTGAGGTGTATCTAGCATGTACGGAGTAGTAGGAGCAACAATGACCCTCTTGTTGTTCCCCGCTGCTGGGCATGCAAGTCTCCCAGTCCCGCGGCGGACGGCCGCTCGGAATACCGGTTTCTCCGGCCCGCCCTGCGTGCCCCGCGCCCAATCGGCGGCTGTCAATCTCCCAGTCTCCGCCAACGAAATCGCCGGGTGATAAGAGCCTCAGCAGCTAGCCTGCGATTATCGTCGAGATCGCTGCGACCCTGACGGCGAAGACAGTGGCAGCTGCCTTCATGAGGGCTGGACCATGCGATAATTTTGCTACAAACTGACCACTATCCCTACATTTTCTATCGACGGGATTTACCCGAGGGAGCAAGCAAGCACCCCTCACAATGCCGTTGACCTGTTAGTCTGCCCCAGCAGCTCATCCAACCCTCCGCAGCATCGACTGACTGAAGACTGACTGAATTTACTCCTCTACAGTCTGCCCCAACTGCAGCAATGCGCTCACCATCTCCCGCGCGGAGCCAACCTCCAGGCATCCCCTAGGCGTCAATTGCTTCGAGTGCCGCACATGTCCCTACCGATATGCCCTGGAACAGAGCTGGTTCGAGAAGACCCCGATGAAGCAAAAGGAGGTGGAGGACGTCCTAGGCGGCAAAGAAGAATTCGCGAACGCAGACAGTGTGTCCAGTAAGTCATGGATTCGACGCCTTTCTTGCCCCCCAGAGATACCTACCGTCAGGATTTGATGAGCCTGGGGCTGATTTTGTGTTTTCTCCCTACCCGCAGCTCAATGCCCCGCAGAAAACTGTAATGGCGACCGTGCATACTTTTTCCAGCTGCAGATTCGGAGTGCAGATGAGCCGATGACCACATTCTTGAAGGTGGGTGCTCTCCAGTGGCTTATGCGGACGTTATGCATATGGCCTGATATGCCTTACTGACTGCGTTGATAGTGTACCACGTGTGGTGCCAGATGGAGAGAGAATTGATACCCCTCCATTTTTAGAGTTTTATATAATTCCCAGCTGGACACGATTATTTATTATTGTTCGAACAATCGAGGAGCACGTTTGGGCGGGAAGAAAAAAAAAGGATGGCTGGTGCTACGGCGTATTGTTAAGATGATCTGGGCCCCCTGCGATTGTTGACTGCCCTCTGATAGTTTTACATCTAAATTAGAGATAGATACCCCTCAATGGATGATTGACATAGTCCATACCTAGTCTCACCATCATACTTAGGCACTCTCTTTCGGACCTAGGTAACATGTAGATAGCCTGATTCGATAGGGAGCTGTGTCAGATTAAGCGCCAAAAGAATTTTTTCCCCTCCCGCCTTTTTCCGTTTTAGTTTTTTTTTTTTTTTTTTTTTTTCCACTTTTTTCCCCCTCCTCCCTCGGTTTGCCGCCTCAACAGAGAAAAGCCTTAACTGTCCTAGTGTTGGTAACCTGGCAACGGCAAATAATCCCCTGATTTGGATTGGTCCATCCCATGGTAAGCTTCCTTTGTGTAGTGGCTGTTCATGTGTTTTGCCCGGCTGGTACGGTACCAAATCTGAGTCATTTTTTTTCTTTTCTCTCGAACAGCCACGGTCGGGGACTCAAAGAGGAAAGGGGGGTGTGAGGGCGAAAGGACAAGACACTAAAGGAGGGGCACCGAACGCCATGATCATGGATGGCAAGGGCGATGGCAAAAGCGAAAATCCTTTTTTTTCCCGCGTGCTGACCGGTTGCTCATGCCATGTCATTTCATTTGTCTATCAAAATGGAGGATTCGATTATAGTGGGATGGATCCTATCACCATGACACTGATTACCACCAGGCAAGTAGATAGTAGTACTACTGGAGACCTAGATACACACTACTACACAGTAAACAGCAGTAGTCACTAGTAAAACCATCATCATCATCACCCTGGGCTACGTCGACCTCACATCGATGCCCACAGTGGATCGGGCGGGCGCCACTCGGCCGTGCCACAGCTGCCTGCTAACGGGCGAATCGCAGTGGGCGTTTGCCGCGGGGTTCAGGTGCAAACATGACCAACAGGCCGGCGCTCACCCACCCACCTCTGCGTTGATGCCCAGGATTTCAGTCCAAAATCCACCACGGATGGGCGACCGTCGAACAGGCCGAGCCAGAAGGCCAGAACAGACTGAGCATCAGGGAGCGAAAGGAAAAAAAAATCTGACGGAAGAGTGGTCGTAGTGGGGACGTAAGTCGGCGCTCCGAGGGCAGGGAACCAAGGAAAGGGCAGCTTTCGCTGGGCTGCAAGCGTGTCCAGTTCAGTCACTCCTCCTTCGCAGCGACTCCGCCGTGAAGATTTTGCGCTGGTCCCGCACCTGCGTGGTGGGGCAATTACCCCTCCATGTCCAATGATGAGGGCGGCTCGCCAAGGGTTGCAGCCCGCCCGCTTAGTCGCCCTCTCGCTTGCCCCTCCATATAAGGATTTCCCCCTCCTCCCCCTCCCACAGATTTTTTCTTCCTTTCCTCTTCGTCCGCTTCAGTACGTATATCTTCCCGACCCCCTTCCTGGCTCTCCTTCCTTCATTCATCCTTCTCTCTCTAACTGATCTCGTTGCTCAGCACCTCTACGCGATAAGCCGTAGTATCTGAGCAATTTTCCACAGAACCTTTCTAGTCTCTTTCAAAGAACTTCAAAAGTTCACTCACAACCTTCACCATGGGGTAAGTCATCATCCCACCACGCAAGGCCATCGAAACGAAAGGACTTCGGGATCTTCCTGAGATGGCATCCATCGCCTCTGATCTATCCTCGTGCTCTGGCTAACCATCACTTTCTGCCTACAGTAAGGACGCTAAGCCTCATATCAACATCGTCGTTATCGGCCACGTCGATTCCGGCAAGTCGACCACCACCGGTCACCTGATCTACAAGTGCGGTGGTATTGACCAGCGTACCATCGAGAAGTTCGAGAAGGTAAGGCGGATTCTGTCAGCCGAAACACCCAAGAACACGATCACTAACAGTCTGCTATAGGAAGCCGCCGAGCTCGGTAAGGGTTCCTTCAAGTACGCTTGGGTTCTTGACAAGCTCAAGTCCGAGCGTGAGCGTGGTATCACCATCGACATTGCCCTCTGGAAGTTCCAGACCCAGAAGTATGAGGTCACTGTCATCGGTATGTTCATCTTCCTATCATCACGATGACACATGAAGCTAACAGTGCCCCACAGATGCCCCCGGTCACCGTGATTTCATCAAGAACATGATCACTGGTACCTCCCAGGCCGATTGCGCTATCCTCATCATTGCCTCCGGTACTGGTGAGTTCGAGGCTGGTATCTCCAAGGATGGCCAGACTCGTGAGCACGCTCTGCTTGCTTTCACCCTCGGTGTCCGCCAGCTCATTGTTGCCCTCAACAAGATGGACACCTGCAAGTGGTCCGAGGACCGTTACAACGAGATCGTCAAGGAGACCTCCAACTTCATCAAGAAGGTCGGATACAACCCCAAGTCCGTTGCTTTCGTCCCCATCTCCGGCTTCAACGGTGACAACATGCTCGAGGTCTCCACCAACTGCCCCTGGTACAAGGGTTGGGAGAAGGAGACCAAGGCCGGTAAGGCCACTGGTAAGACCCTTCTGGAGGCCATCGATGCTATCGAGCCCCCCGTCCGTCCCGCCAACAAGCCCCTCCGTCTTCCCCTCCAGGATGTGTACAAGATCTCCGGTATTGGAACTGTTCCCGTCGGTCGTGTCGAGACCGGTGTCATCTCCCCCGGTATGGTCGTGACCTTCGCCCCCGCCAACGTCACCACTGAAGTCAAGTCCGTCGAGATGCACCACCAGCAGCTCAAGGAGGGTCTCCCCGGTGACAACGTTGGTTTCAACGTCAAGAACGTCTCCGTCAAGGAGGTCCGTCGTGGTAACGTCGCTGGTGACTCCAAGAACGACCCCCCTGCCGGCTGTGAGTCTTTCACTGCCCAGGTTATCGTCCTTAACCACCCCGGTCAGGTCGGCGCTGGATACGCTCCCGTCCTTGACTGCCACACCGCCCACATTGCTTGCAAGTTCTCCGAGCTTCTTGAGAAGATTGACCGCCGTACCGGAAAGTCCGTCGAGTCTTCCCCCAAGTTCATCAAGTCCGGTGACGCTGCCATCGTCAAGATGATTCCCTCCAAGCCCATGTGTGTCGAGTCTTTCACCGACTACCCTCCCCTTGGTCGTTTCGCCGTCCGTGACATGCGTCAGACCGTTGCCGTCGGTGTCATCAAGTCCGTTGAGAAGAAGGACGCCGGTGCCGGTAAGGTCACCAAGGCTGCCCAGAAGGCTGGCAAGAAATAAGCTTGTGCGCCACTGTGATGAACTTTTTCATGATTACAAAAGGATTACGGAATTAGACTTCGAGTCGGATGTAGCTTTGACCTAGCTAAAATCACGAATCGTTTCTTTCAACCTTGTGCTTGTAAATTGTAGTTTGTAGATGTTGAGACCATATTTCTGTAGTCATGTCCTCTCCTTTGGCCTGAGCGGGGTGGTGAGTAGCCAGCCGCGTGCCGCTTACTTAGCCTTCCCTCCTTTGTCCTCCCCCCGTAGCGGGGTGGCTGGTGCTCATTGGCTGGTGTTCATTAGTGCTGGCCTCCAAGTTCATCCCGCTGGAACTACAGACCATTCACCTGGTATCTTACATTCCACCGCTGCAGTTCGCGATGCTCCTAATTCTGCTGTGAAGCATGATGAGTAGCAGTCACTTGTTTGTATGAAATACTGTCAGCAAGACCCAAGACCTGAAAGGTTGAGGATTCTAATCTAATTCTAATCCTATCGAGCTTAAACACTTTCCCCCAACCAGCTTTTCGGTATTCCCGTATCTCATCTCTGCAATGCATGGCTCTTGATAGTTCTCTTTGTACGTCTTAGCCCGCTGGACCTCGCTCTCTTCAGCTTTGCCTTTTTGAGTTCTCGGCCCTGTTATTTGTTATGTGTGAATAATGATGCTACTGGGCGATCCTTCTGAGTAAACTCTTAAGCATCATTAAACGGATCTGGATTACTAGACTACAATTTGAACATGTGTTTTCCGGCTGCCTGCACTCTGACTCGTGAGATATTACCTAAAACCAACTACATCCAATCTCATCATCTTCCATCCAAAACGGTCAACACCCACTCAGTCCATGCACTCCTCCATCAGCCGTATACGTGCAGGATCCTGTCCCCGGCGTCGTCGCATTCTTCGAAGGGTACAACACCACATTATCAAAGTCAATATTATAGCAAGGGTGGACCTCAGAGCATGAAATTGTCGAAGTCACCGAATCATCATCGTCATCGATATAGCCCGTGAAGTTGACGAACGCAACATTGGAGATCAACATCTTGCTCGTGCCCGCGTAAGACCCATTATCCCCGCTATCCTGGCTGATCGCGGGACCAGCACTGGCACCATGGACCGCAAAGTTGGAAAAGAGCACATTCCGGATACTGCCCCAACCATCGCCGCGGGGGAGACCGGCACTCTCGTACGAGCTTTGGGGAACAAGGGCTCCCACCCAAGTCTTGATGTAGGCGCTGTTATGCATATCCTCGTTGTGGCGCATTATCTGGGATCGTCAGCGCCGTCGTGCATGAGGGAGGGGAGCTGAGCCGGGATCGTCATACCTTGACCTTGTCGACGCGGATGTTTGCAACACTGCTGTCCTCAAGGTATTGACCTAAGCTGCCGATGGCGATGCCGTTGCCACCCACGCAGGTGACATTCTGGATGTCGATGTTGTATGAGCGGGGCTTGATCGCGACGCAGTCATCCCCGCCTTGGTAGACGAAGTTGGTGAGTTGGATGTTCACGGCATCCATGGTGTCTGGAAGAGAGATCCAGTGAGCTTCTGCTCGTTAGCGCTGGGGGTGGTTATAGACAGGACCTACCGAATCCGTCCGTGTTCTGTACCCAGTTGTCCCCCCACGGCGCGTCTACTGCCGTCGCGTTGCAATACATGTTGTTGAAGCGCATGTTAGTCCCGTTCATGATGTTGATGCTCCACAGCGGCGGGTCCTTGACGTAGAAGCTGTCGACGACCACCTCGGAGACATTCCAGAAAACAAACGGCATGGGGCGTCCGGGCTGCGTGTCGGCCTTCTCGGCGTTGTACCAGACATTACCGTTGCCGTCGATGCCGCCGGTGCCGTAGCCGTTGATGCTGATGTTCTGGCCGCTGATGATGAATCCGGCGTGATGGTTCTGGAAGGCGACGGGGTAGGAGTTGTTGCGCCAGTAGGTGAGGTTGTCGGAGAACTGCAGGACGTGCTGTTGGCCTGGGGCACGCACGGCGTGACTGCGAGGACTGCGAGACTTACCGTCCACTTCCCCCGCCATTCAATCGCCACGTCCTTCAACGTGGGATTCAACCTCGTTGCGATCCAGTACGACTGGTCCTCCGGGAAGATGATGGTACCACCATTGCCGCACTCCTCGAACGCTTCCAGGATATTGGGTACGTCGTCGATTTGGTTGCCGTTTGCCTGCACGGTGCAGACGTTGTCGGTGTTGTCGACATTGGCTGCATGGCTGATGGACGACAGCCCAAGGGAAAGAGCTGCTACTGAAGGAAACAGACGCATACTGACTGCTATTTTGACAGGGGGATGGAATGGTTGGACCTCAATCGTGCATACCACCTCTATTGCGTCGGCCTTCGTTTATTAACAACCCCCCCATTCCGGGTCTTCCACAGTAGCCAATTCGCAATCAAGCCAGGCTCGGCGACTGTTCCACCGAGACCCGTAATCGAGTGATATAGCCGGATGGACAGTGCGGAGAAAAACCGGGGAATCGCGTCATGCAGAGGAAGTTGACTGACACTGGTATGCATGATCGTCGGGGTCCCTTGGGAAATTCCACCAATAACGCCGGCATTCCCCCATCGCCTACTGCACAGCCAAACAACGTGAGAGACCCCTAAGCGAGTCAAAAAGCGTGTCCCCTTTGCTTGGGCTACATGGAGCGTTTGTTGCCATTCAGCCGAGAATCTGATTAATTCCACCCGGATATTGTCTCGGACCAACCGATTTGCACCCATCGGACCTGGCATTCCTGGCATCCGGGTTACATTTTGTATACTACGCCAGGTCGCGGGGGGCTAGACAACCCCTCTTTGCCTTCTGGGCAAAAGTCCGGGGGAACATTATCTCGAACTGACTGTTTATATGGACCGGGTGCATCGAGGATAATGGATGGATCAGCGCCTGCATCTCGCATAGTCAGTCGGTGGGCTCAGGCAGAGTACAGACCATAACGGTACCATGCGCTGGTACCAACTTTTGTCGAGCGTTCTCGCTCTGCTTCCTCTGTCCGTGGCACAGGATTGTTGGCGAAACACCACCTGCTCTGGGCCAACAGAGAGTGCGTTTTCGGGGCCATGGGAGGAGAACATATTCGCGCCTTCGTCGAGAAGTGTAAGCCCGGAGAAGCTATTCCTCATTACCCAGCCAGACAAGACGGCAGATTACGCGCCGTTCACTCTGCAGGGGAATGGCTCTCTGGTGGTTTACGACTTTGGAAAAGAGGTTGGTGGCATCGTCAGGGTAAACTACAGCTCGACTGGCAGTGGTGCACTGGGAGTTGCATTTACCGAGGCAAAGGACTACATCGGCGAGTGGTCTGACTCGTCGAATGGTGGGTTCAAGGGTCCTGATGGTGCCCTGTACGGCAATTTCACAGAGGCCGGAAGCCACTACTATGTGATGCCGGATAAGGTGTTGCGTGGTGGCTTTCGCTATCTGTCGCTTTTCCTGATCACCAGCGGCAACGTCTCCGTTCAGATCGAAGACGTGAGCCTGGAGATCGGCTTCCAGCCTACGTGGTCGAATCTCAAGGCCTACCAAGGATACTTCCATTCGGACGATGACCTACTGAACAAGATCTGGTATAGCGGCGCGTATACCCTGCAGACGAACGAGGTCCCGACGGATACTGGCCGCCAGATCCCAGCCCTTGCTGTAGGCTGGGCGAATAATGCTACCCTGGGACCAGGAGACACTATCATCGTCGACGGGGCTAAGCGAGACCGCGCGGTATGGCCGGGCGACATGGGGATCGCGGTTCCTTCAGCGTTTGTCAGTCTGGGGTACCTGGAGAGTGTGAAGAATGCGTTGCAGGTGATGTATGATACGCAGGTATACCGGTCTTTTCCTACTCTACTTCCAGCATTCCAATCCATAACACTGTGTAGGACAACTCCACCGGCGCATTCGACGAGTCCGGACCGCCATTGAGCCAGAAGGACTCGGATACGTATCACATGTGGACGATGGTCGGAACATACAACTACATGCTGTACACCAACGACAGTGACTTCTTGGAGCAGAATTGGGAAGGCTACCAGAAGGCCATGACCTACATCTACGACAAGGTGACTTACCCCAGCGGCCTGCTGAACGTCACGGGCACGCGCGACTGGGCCAGATGGCAACAGGGGTACAATAATTCGGAAGCACAGATGATGTAAGTGGCCCAACTGCCGTGCTTGATCCGCCGCTAATCATGCCAGCCTATATCACACCCTGCAGACCGGGTCAAAACTTGCCACCTGGGCCGAGGATTCAACCGGTCTGTCCGCCACATGGACAGACAGAGCCGAGAAGCTGCGTCAAGCCATCAATGAATACTGCTGGGACGAGGGATACGGTGCCTTCAAAGACAATGCCACAGAAACTACCCTGCACCCCCAGGATGCTAACAGCATGGCCCTTCTATTCGGAGTGGTGGATGAGGACCGCGCCGCCAGCATCTCGGAAAGACTGACCGATAATTGGACTCCCATTGGCGCCGTGGCTCCCGAGTTGCCGGAGAACATCTCGCCTTTCATCTCGTCATTTGAGATCCAGGGCCACCTCACCGTGGGCCAGCCCGCTAGGGCGCTGGAACTCATTCGACGGAGCTGGGGTTGGTACTACAACAACCCCAACGGTACGCACAGCACAGTCATCGAGGGGTATCTGCAAAACGGCTCCTTCGGCTACCGGGGTGACCGCGGATACTACTGGGACACAGCGTATGTATCGCACTCGCACGGATGGTCTTCGGGGCCGACGTCTGCACTGACCAACTTCATCGTGGGTCTCACCGTGACGTCGCCGTTAGGAGCGACCTGGAGTCTCGCGCCGCAGTTCGTCGACCTCAAATCAGCCGAGGCGGGATTCACGACATCCCTAGGGAAATTCCAGGCCGCGTGGTCAAAAGGAGCCGACAACTACACCCTAGACTTTACTGTCCCGAAAGGAACAAACGGAAACCTCACCCTGCCGTTCATCAGCACCGCGAAACCGTCTATCCAGATCGACGGGACCGAGATCACGCAGGGCGTAGGCTACGCCAACGAGACGGCAACCGTGGCAGTCAGCGGAGGAGGAACGTACAAAGTCGTGGTGAACTAGAACTAGCACGAGAGAAACCCCATATCTCTAATTCACCCATTAAACAAGTCTTACCACTCACCAACCGATTTTCTCAACGTAGTATATACTCTCCACCCAATCAGGGCAGCCCATATCACGTGCGGCGATCGCCATTAGTAACCAAGACCAACGTATGGCTCCATCCCATCCTCTCCAAGTCCAGCACCTCCACACTCCTCCACACCTCTCACCACCGAACCAAACCAACCATGCCCCCAATGCCTCCCCTGCAAGCCGCCAGGGCATCGCCCTGGCTGAACTGCCCGCGACGAATGCGCACCACGAGCACCCCTCAACGCCTCTTCACCACCACCCGCCTCCTCCGCAGTAGCACCACCACCACGACGACGAACCCCCTCCGCACACCCCCCCGCGCTCCCCGCCACCGCGATGCCGAAATCGCCAAATCCAAACGCTCGATCTTCATTTCCGCCAGCGGAATCGCCGCCTGCGCGGTCGCCATGTACGGCGTCATCAAGCTGGACCTGTTTGCCGCCGACCAAGCCCAATCATCCAGCAGCACCAGCACCAGCACCACCACCGATGCCACCGATGCCACCCCCACCTCGACCAACCAAACCGCCCTCGACGGCCCCTCCGGCTTCCCAAGCAGCCCATCCCTGATCCGCATCTCCGGCCAAGAACCGGGCGCGGAGCAAGTCCCCACAGGCACCAGCTCAGTGCCCTACTTCCCGAGCACGATCCGCATCCCCAAAGAACTGGACAATCTGACCTCGGGCGACGACATCCGGTCCGAGACCGAGGAGACCGACGGCGAGGAGTACCAGCTACTGGGACTGGGGATCCGCACGGTCTCGTTCCTGGGCATCCAGGTATACGTAGTGGGGATGTACGTTGCGAAAGCGGACATAGCGGAACTGCAGAGACGGCTGGTGAGGGTGGGGGTTGAGGCGCAGGGGATACTCCAGGCCCAGGCGGAATCTCAATCCAAGACTGGGTCGGGGGTTGCGGTGCCCGAGACCGTGAAGGCAGGAGGGGACGGCATAAGCGCCACATCCCTCGTCTCGACCGAGCGAGCCGCGCTGAAGGACCTCCTGGACTCTGACCGCGGCGACGCGATCTGGGACGCCATCATCAAGCCTGACGGTCTGAGGACCGCGTTCCGCGTCGTCCCCACGCGGAATACCGATTTCTTGCACTTGCGTGACGGCTGGGTGCGCGGTGTCACGGCGCGGGCGCAGAAGTATAACCCGTCCAGTGGGGGTCAGTTTGCGGATGAGGGGTTCGGCGCGGCGATGAATGAGTTCAAGGGGCTGTTTGGGGGCGGGCAGAGGAAGAATGTCGCCAAGGGGCAGACGGTCGTCCTGGTTAGAGGGCTGGCCGGGCAGTTGGATGCCCTGGTCAGGGTGGCGCCGGATTTGCCCGGAAGGTATATGGGACGGGTGGTCGATGAGAGGGTGAGTCGGTTGGTGTGGTTGAATTATCTGGCCGGAAAGGGCGTGTCGAGTGAGGGGGCCAGACGGAGTGTCGTGGAAGGGGTTATGGAGGTGGTCGAACGGCCGGTGGGGACGGTGGTGCAGAAGGTTTTCTAGGTTGATTGTTTGACTGTTGGTGTTGCGGGGATGGTTTGTGATGTATGTTGGTGTATGTGTATGTGTATGTATATGTGTATGTATTATATGAATCTCTAGCCATTGCATGTTGTATAAGGTTGATATGCAGTGAGTGGGTGGGTTCTAATGGTAAGTCTGGCGGTGATGTAGTGATTGATATCTCTGTAGAGAGTTGAGTATATATCCAATCCAACCGCACCAGGACGGAAGATAACACAAATAAAAGACACCTAGAGTACCTACACGAAGCATCCCCTACGTATGTATAGTAGGTAGATAGGTGGCAAACAGGCCCCTCCAAATCCAAATCTATACAAAACCAACCCTCCACCACCCATCACATTTTACCATCTACCATCTACCATCTACACAATCCTCAACTCCAACGATAAAAGAATAAAAAAGAAGATTTATTATAAATCAGCCAGAAATCTAATCTACAGCGCACCCGCAGCCTCCAAGAGCCCCTGGAGCTCCTTCTTGTTCTTGCCCTGCAGATCGGAGTTTCCGCCGATGTGCTGCTGCTTGATGAAGATGTTGGGGACGGTGCGCTGCTGGGAGATCTCGTAGAGGGCGTTCTGGATTTCGGTGCCGTCGTCTATATCATAGGGGAAATGATGTTAGCTTTCTTTCTTTGTTTGATGATATGTTTATTCGTTTGTATTTCATTCCCGGTTCGGTTCGGTTCGGTTCGGTTCCACTCGCACTTTCGTGTTCGGGTTCTTCTTGGTGGTGTTGTTATTGTTGTTTTGGGGGGGGGGGGGGGGGGGGTATTGCATGTTGAGGGTCGAGGGTCGAGGGTCGGGAACGAAAAGAAGGAAAGGAGGAATAGACATAGATAGGGATAGGGATAGAAAGAAAAGAAAAGAAAAACATACCCAGCTGGTCCAGCTCCAGAGCAGTGTACTGCGCGCCGAGGTCATTCAGCAACTGCTTGCTGGCCTTGCAGTAGGGGCAGTAGGACTTGGAGAAGACGACTACACGCACACGCACACGTTAGCTATGCTTACAACCAGTCCACAGTCCACAGTCCACAGTCCACAGAACAAAATACCCAGAAGACGGGCAGATGAAGAGGGCAGATGAAGAGGGCAGATGAAGAGGGCAGATGAAGAGGAGCAAGAGGGGAGGAGAACATACCAACGCCATTCTCACTGATCAGAGTCTGAGCCTTAGTCTTTGCGGCGGACATAGCGGCGGGGGAGGGGCCGGCGAAGGAGCCGAACAGACGGGTGAAGATGGAAGATATGGTGGGCGAGTTGGGACCGGAGGGTGGGAGACTCCGGAGATGAATGTGAAGGATAGATTAGAAAAGAAGAGAGGTGGGGGGTTGGGGGAGGGGGTAGCGGGGTATTTAAAGTCTGGTGGTACAGTAGCAGTGATAGGAGTGGTGGAGGTGGTAGATATACTGGAGGATGATGATGAGGGAACGGAGGGAAGCACGCAAGCCGGTCGCGCTAGTGGCTGATTAATAACGATTAATGCGCGCTTATGTAAGAAAGGCGATGTCATCGGTCTGGAACGCTGTTGCTCCCGAGGTTATTTGAAATAAGGTAGAGTTTGTGCTCGGTATTCCGTACTAGTACGAGGTTCGGGAAACGGGATAGATACTATGTAATGATTCGATTCGATTCAATTCTGTCAATATGCTAGACAAAGAAGAGTTGATGCAGGTTTTAACTATCGAAGATGTAGTAGTTCGGAAAAATAAGTAGTAGTAGAAAAAAAAAAAAAAAAAACCAAGGAAAGACGCGTGATGTCGTAATGACCGCTCAATGCAGAAGTGTGAAGGAACTCGGACTGACTGATGAGAAAAAAAAATCCTCCAAGGAATCAGGGAATGAATGACAGTGGTAGGTCGGCGAAATGGTTATTTAAATCCTAGACAGATCAAACACCACCCACCCGCACGCTGAAAAGCAACAACGAAAAGCTCAATGCGGTAAATAGGTATCTTAAATGACGGAAATGCCAAGACTCAATAAATACTCGGACTCGGACTCGGACTCAGACTGCCATCTCACATCACGATGCAACACCCGCAGCCCTTCTCCTTCGCTGGCGGCTCCTGCGCCGTCACCACCGGCGGGCTCCATTTGGGCTGCAGGGCCGCATGCGATGGCTCCTGTACCCGGGGCATCGTGCTATAGCCCATGCCAGTGGTCGGCCGCGGCACTTCCGCTTCCTTCGACGGGGGCGGCTGGCTCGGTTCCTTTGGCCGCGGTGATGGCTGCGGCTGTGGCACCGGCTGCGGCACCTCCTTCTCTTCTTTCACTCCCTTCTCCTGCTCGGGCTCTTCCTTCGGCACCGGCTTCGCTGCCCGCGCGGGCCCCTCGGGTCCGATGGCCAGCGGAGCAAACTCGCGATCATACGTCGTAGGCGTCTTACCCTCCTTGACCCACTGCTCCTGCTGCATCTTTCGCGCGTGCGTGGGTAGAATCTGCTGGTCGGGTGGGAGACGCGGATCGGGCTTGTACATCGTCGCCAGCCACGGGGGATCGCCTTCGGGCCGATTGATCGGACGAGTGTCGGTTCCTTTGCCGGGCCGCTGGGTGCTTGACGGCCCCCGGACTCGCGGGGTGGTCTTCCTTGTCGCAGCAGGGGCCGAGGTCTTGCGATTGGTAGGGCCGCCCTTGGCTGTCGTCTTTTTGGCCGCGGTGTTCTGCAGTGTGTTCCCACGACTGACGGGCCTGGTCCCGGGAGGTATATTGTTCGCAGAGTCCACCGACATCGGCTCACTGGCCCTCCGAGGCATACCAATCGACAGAGTGTCGCCTTCGCCGTTCGTCAGTGCCCGCGAGCGCTGCATCGGGAACTCTCGTCCGATATGCCCAGGAGAAAGCGGCGCTGGACTGGCCGTGGGGATTGGGATCCGAGACGAGCTCTTCCGCATGCCAGGGTTTTGGTAGAAGCCCGCTGCTTTTTCCTCGTCCGCCGCAATCTCTTCCGGTCTGCGGAGATCCCAATGCTCGCGACCATTCTCCAACGGACTGTATTCGCCATCCGAGAAAGTCGGGGAGCCCGCGTATTCTCGCCGTTGCGATTCATCCTGCAGAGTGGGCCATGGCTCCAGTTGTTGCTCGGTCGGCTGAGAGATGGAACTGGCACCTTGCGAGTCATGGTTTTTGGCGCGACCCGTCTTGCCGTTTTCTCCCCGACGCTGAAACATGATGGCAGCCTGTTGCAGCTCCTCGCTCTCGATCTTGGCCAGCTTGTCCCGATGAATCCAGTTGTCGCGGTCCATCCCGTTCATATACAGGCCAATGCCCTCGTTCCACTCGCCCTGCTTGACCGATCCATTCCGATACGGAGCTTCCGAAGAGTCCATCACGTTTCCGGCGCTGCTTCTCGGTACGTCGTGGCCGTAGACGGACCGTGAGCTTTCTGCCTCACTAGCATGTCGACTGTGGGCGATCTCGCGACGACCTCGGGGGCTTAGATGTTCCAGGGCGTAGGCATGTCTCGACAGGGAGGAGCTTCGAGATCCGTTACGGTCTAATGTCCGATCCTTAGACCGGCCATGGGAATTGTGGGACGACCGTGATTTGGAGCGACGGTTGGTACTCTGCCGCAGCCCAGTCAGCATGCAACGGTCTGGAGCACCGCACGAGGGAAAACGCAGGCAAGGTCACTTACATCCTGTCGCAGCGGGACAGCATACTCCCACTGACTCTCATCTACACTGGGTGACGTCCAAACATCTGTAGTATAGGCCGCGGTAGCTGTAGCTGTCCCCGCCATTCCAGCAGCGATGCGTATGGATCAGACAAGGCCAGACCAGCTGGTACCCGTGGGTGCTGTGGTCGTGGTTGCACAATGATTAAAGAGAGTCTGTCTGGTCGACCAGGTAAATTTTTTTTTCTCCCTCCTGCAGATCCCCGATCAGGCCATCCCAATGGCACACAGACCAGAATCACCAACCACGCAGGGCAGCTTTTCTTCGTGGGTGCCCCCTAAGCCGAGAACCCAACAACGATATGTACGATGTGAGGGGTAAGGTGGTTGGGAGGCGGCGGTACGATTCGGGGAAGGACAAGCCCGCAGGAAAGGGGGCCAGGGGGGTGGGTGAGGGGGCACGAGAGCGGCGATCCGAAAAGAGGAAATTGTAAACAGGAAGCGAGTGGATATCGGGTGCCTGGAAACTGTGCAGCGCGACGTGGTCCCAAGGAGAGTTGACGAGCTGGAGGTCAGGGACCGGCGGGATCGGAACCGTGGATGTATCTCGGGCTCAGGGAATGCTGTAATAGGCCGAGGGCGGGTGGCAGGCGGCTACTCGTTAGGGTGGCCGGGCGGAGAAGGCGAGATAATAGGGAATTTGGGGGAGGAGTCGAGGTGATGGAAGAGACGATTATGGGGCCGTCGACCGGGTATAGGTTGACAGTTGAGGGGTGGTCGAGTCGAAGATGGTGGGCCAGTTCGGACGAACAAAGAAGACGAGGAGGAGGGGAGGGGAAAAGGAGTGATGCAAGATGTGGCTGGACCGTGGCGCCAGGACAGTGTCAGCGACCACTCGACACTGGAGGGGAGGAGGAGGGGGGCGGATTAAAAGATAAAAAAAAATATGACGAAGAAATGAAGATGAAGATGAAGATGAAGAAGAAGATGGAGAGTCGTCGAGTCGAGTCGAGTCCAGTCCACAGCGCAAGGGTCCGTCGGGAAAAACAAGGCGAGGAAACGAGCCAGCAGCGGGACGGAGAGAGAAGAGGAGAAGGAGAAGAACGAAGAAAGACTATACCGTCGACTACCCCCAGTCCGGTCTAGCAGCCCTCGGATTCAGACAGCCTAGATCCCCCCCCTGGGCCAATCACCCCGGCAGAGCAGAAAACTACTATAACAAAAAAAATAAAAAATAAAAATATATATATATATATAATAAAAAAAAATTGTCCCCGTCGATCCCGTCGTTCCAACTGTCTCTCCCGTCAACGACCATGTGCCGTGTTTTCTTTCTTTCTCGGGGGTCCCGCAGGTGAGCCCTCACATTCCCTGGCCGGATCGATCGATAGAGATAGATAGGTAGATTACCCCCCTGGACCAGAAACAAAGGGTCTTTTCTCTCTGAGTCTACTCCGTACTCCGTACCTGCCTATAGGATACACTACCCTGGATTTATCTTCCGGCGTTGACGTTGACAGTTGACACCTCTATCCCGAAGTCGATCTGTTCGAGTCCGATATGAGACTAAGGGGTAGGCACCACCATCTAGTAACCACCTACAGTACCTACCTACCTACCTACCTACCTACGTAAGTACAGAGTACATAATTGTCTACCTTCTTTGTGACCCATCCACCCATGAAAAATATCAATCCCTACCTGTCTATCTATCTCCTTTAATTAACCAGCGAATAAGCATGACAGCTAGACAGTAGGCACTAAGACAGATAACTAGTTCGCCCGGTAGTTCGCGGTTTGCTTAGCCGGGACTGGGAGATGGCAGGTTTTTTCCCCACTAGTCGGGGTGACTAGATACTCACTATCTAGCTACTAGATGCTTATATATATATATATACTATGTTACTATGTAGAATTGACTCGGGATATCGATACACCTCCCTTCCTATACTCCACTCCTAGTAACTTATAACCCATCTTCCCTCACGCACAACCAAACCCACCATCACTGCACCAGCACCATAAGTACCGTATCTAGGTAGTATATCCAATACACCCTCCCCCCCGTCATAACAAAGACCGTACCCGTAACCCCAATACCCCAACATCGCCGATAACCCGATAGCCTTCATCGATGACGAAGGAGGAAAGTCAGAGCTGTCCCGAACCCTGTATCAACAGGCGTGCTCCCTCGCCACTCAAGGTTTGTTCATTCCAAGGCCCATCGCAACCGCAACCGCAACCGCAACCTTGGACTACCCGTACTAGACAGACGGTGCTGCCGCCGACCGACCGGGTGCGTCGGCACTTCCAACTGCCAGTGGTGTCGGGGAGTAACCAGGATCAGGATCAGTATTGTCGCGAAGAATACTGCCGCACTGCACTGCATTGCACTGCACTGCACTGGGCACGTGGAATCCGCGCGCTGATTACTTTGTATAATAATCTATGTATATGTAGACCTACTACCAGCGATACTCCGACGACTCTGCAACTCTGCACGGACGATCTCAAATTAATCATCTGCAAGGACCCTATCCAGTACAATCCGAGAGACATCATCCGGACACCGGCCAGCCACTCCACCAACCAATGCGATTTCTTCCCTCCCAGGTACCCGTGCGTGCGGAGCGATCCCATGTGCGTGGTCTGGGAAGACATGCAGGAAATTTGTACACAGAATGTCAAGATGAATCAGATCGAACCAAAACAAACAAATAAGTGAATCAATAAGTAAGGGTAGAAAAAGAAGGGGGGGGGGGGGGTGTGAATAGTGTCTATTTCGTTCTTGTATTAAGGTCATCTATCCCATAAACATTCCCATATCCTGTACAATCAAGCGAAACGCGAAAAGCGAAAAGGCGAGAGCAAGAGTGAAGAGAAAGAGAAAGCTCTCAAATCTTGGCCGCCTGGTCCAAACTATTAAGGGCCCTCTGCGCTTCCTTGATGAGCGCCCGGCGCGCAGCGCGGTCTTCCTCGCTCGCGGGCTCGATTCCGTCCGCCTTCAAGATCACCTGCGCCAGGATGACCTCACTCAGCATCTTGTGCTCGAAGTCGCGGGCCTTCGCGTCGGGCGGGGGGCTGGTGAGGTATTCTTCGCAGCGGGGCAGCAACTCGCGCTGCAGGTAGGCCATCAGGCCGTTGGCCTGCTCGAGGGGAGAGCGGAAGATGCCCAGAGCGGGCGAAGCGGGAGGCATGCCTCGACCGGCGGCGGAGGACGGTCGCGAAGGTTCGGCGGGAGGAGCGAGGCCATTCGCGTCCTCGCCCTGGTTCTTCTTCTTCTTTCCGTGCCGTTTCCTGTTCTTGCCGGGGCGCTTGCGAGGCGGCTCTTCCGGACGGGCGGACAGGTCGCTGTTGTTGTTGTTCTTGTCGGCCTCCGCCTCGGAGACATCGCTGGGAGAGCTCTCGCCGGGCTCGACCCCGGACACCACGCAGAGCACCTCGGACTGCTGCTTGAGACCCTCCGACCGGCAGGGCAGCGAGTCGGTCTCCAGCAGCTTCCCCTTGTACAGCAGCTTGATGCGGTTCGGGTCGGGCGTGCGAGTGACTTCCGCGGCGCGTTGTCTCAGCTGGCCCACGCTGAGGGCGCCGTCGTTGATGGCGTAAGCCGGGAAGTGCAGGTCGTACGTGTCCCTGCGGTGTTTCAGACGCAGGACATCGGGCTCGGTGTCGGCGCCGCCGCCGGGGTATTGGGTGGCGGACGGGTTGACGATGTCATCCTGGGTGATGTAACTGTAGTCGTTGTCGGTGACGTGTGGGGGGTCTTGAGGGCCGGTGTAACTGGGGGAGCGGCGCCACAGGTTGGCGAACGGGGAGCGGCGGAACATGACGAGGAGGATGACGGTGCAGGCGAGGACGGTATATGCAACCGGGGCGGTAGAGGCGCTGTCTGTGTGGTCCGCGACGAGCTCTGGCCAAGGCGTGAGGAAGCGCAGGGGCGACGAGGCTTTGGCAGAGGAGAGGGTGGTGAGAATCTGGTGGTGGAGGGAGTGCAACGACGGAGGGAGATTGGTGGCGACGTGGTCTATGTAAGAGGCACACGTCTCGCCCAGCGAGGACAGAGAACTGTGCGATAACAGCTGGCTCATGGATTGAAGGCCAAACACGAGACAATAAGGGGAATGACTGGGGGAAGGGGGAGGGAGGGAAGGTTGAGGTCATGGAAGCTGGCCACTTTAGCTCCGGAACAGGCAGATAAGGCGGAGAAGGGCTTTTTTTTGCCGCTGCCGCCTATGGCATGCGAGGCTGTGGAGCAAGTCTGTATCAAGGCAGAAACACCCGGACTCTTCCACGAGGCTGTTTGTGCCTGCTTTCTTTCCCTTTCTCTTTCTTTTCTTTTCTTTTTTTTTTTTTCGCTCCCCTCGGGATCGAGGAGGCTGCCACTCATCGTGTGATCATTTGCCCGCAAAGGGTGATGGCATGACCTGCTGAGGCTTTGTCGTATTCCGTGGATCAGGAAGGGATGTACAGTATGGGTGCTTGGCTATAGGTAAGAAAGCCGAAACTCCACGGGGTACGCACAGCTATCATACAGAACTAGAATGAGGTATAGAGAGAGGCACGGAAGGTGTGGAAACCAGCACATTCCATCCCGCGGTTGGTCCGTAGTTCAACTAAATATACATTCTGTGTCAAACTGAACCAGCATCCACCATCACCTTGTTCAGTAAAGATTATATCAAATTCCGAAACACCTGATAAAACGTGCCATCTGATCGACCACACGACACACGTGGCATGCATGAGCATATCATATTGGGTTTCATCCCCAGAGCTGGAGGTATGTACATATGTACATCGGGGTATGTAGCAGACAGTACAGTCGTAGGTGATAAGATGATCCGCTATAGCAAACCACTACCCAAGACACCCCAAACAGACAGCAAACTCAACCACAATGCCTATTGGCCACCCCGAAGAGAATCAGGCAGCATTCAGCCTATATCTACCTATTTCCAAAGCGATGTAACAAGACCGGGCGGATGGATACCTGCACCCAACAATACCACACAGCAGATACGAGGAACAAGCCCCTTGTGGTCGCACGCAAGCAAGCACCTCCCAGGTATCCAGCAACCCAAGACAATAACAATAGTACCCACCAAAAGAGACAGCCAAGATACCCCAGCCTTCTCTCGTCGAGACAGAGTTTTACCTCCGACTCAATGTCTCAGAATAAGGATAAGGCATCCCCATCCCCAGCCCCAGCCCCAGCCCAGCCCAGCCGGCCCCCAATAAGCTCCGAACTCAGCTGCGTGGTGCCTCGAGTCAAAATCCCCATAGTTCCTGCTCCTATAGGGGTGACCGTGACCCCAGCTTGGGCGGAAGCAGGAACAATCCAATCATAGAAAAGGTCAGATGCGATGCGATGCGGATCGATGGCTATCGAGTCCGGATCATGTGAATGCGATAGGGACGAACTAGGTGCGTGTGGTAGCAGTTGTTGGGGGGGGGGATGAGGATTTCGGCCAGGGTGATATATCCATGGAGGGTTACCGTATCACAAGCTCGCGGGGCTGGATGCACTTGACTACCTACATATGGTACTATCTAGGCGGGCCTGCTGTTGCGTCCGTCCAGGTCCCCCAACTCAGCCCACACCCACCCCTGGTTGATGAACGTGCATGTGCATACGGCTGCAGTGTGATCGACGTTGCACTAGGTGAGAGGCAGGCAGGCAGGGAGGTTATCTGGGATTTCCCCGCATTTGGTGGGTTGAAGATCGGATGATTTCTGTGCGATGGTCGGGAAGGAGGGGCGAGGGGCGAGGGGGGTTTGGGCGCTGGTTGGTATGTTACCTGTCAGCTGTTCTGGTCGGGTTATATGTAGTGTCGTTGACGGTGCTGGCTGGCTCTTGCTACCTGAATGCTGGGAATGGTACTGGAGAATCCATGACGAGCATTGGGACAGATCACATCGGCCTACTGTGGAGGTCATGTGGAGTACTGACTCTGTCCCCGAATGAAACGGCTGGTAAAAAAAAAAAAAAGAAAAACAATCACTAGGTAGCTACTATGTACATTTATATTAATACTACCAAGGAAGACCGTCTACCAGCAACGCCTTCGCCATGCAGCAAGTACAGGTTACACTACTGACCAGGGGCCTCACAGTCGGACCCCGCCAGGCGCAGGTCGGCCTCCAAACCACCTCGCGAGGCCGTCGTTGCTCTCGCTGTTTTCGTTGCTCATCCATCGGGGCAGACGGAAGGAGTCTCCCTGCAGCCATTGGGGCTTGCCCGCGGTTTCGAACGTGTTCTTTACTCGGTGGGCAAAAGACTGGAAGAAGTTCTCCTCGTCTTCGTCCTCCATCGGGGTGATCGTGGCGGCCGCTCCCCTGGGAGCCCGAGGAGCCCTGGAGTTCTCAAGCAGCGCAGTCCGCGAGGAAGAAAACGCAGGGCTCTCCTCATCAATGCGGCTGGCCGGGCGAGGCGACCGGTGACCGCTGCGAGTGGACAGCCCCAGACCACCGAGACCGTTCAGTTCGCGCTCGATCAGGTCCCGTCCCTCTCGCCATCCGCCCAGCCCGTAGCCCCCGGGGTTGTTTTCTAGATCATCTTCATCGTCTTCGATGAGACCCCAGCTGCAGATGTTCTGCACCCGGCCGTAGAGGTTGAAAAGGGTGGCGCCGATGGGCACCAGAATGAAGACCGGGAAGAAGTAGTCGAAGCCCTTTCCTAAGGGGGTGAGGTCGATGAACCGGCCCAGAAACTTGTAGAAGGTGGTGTTCTGTCGGACACTCTCGGGCAAAAACGTCAGGAAGTTGTATGCAATAGGCACGGTCAGCTTGGCCACTAGCCCCGCGTACCAGCACGCGCTCTCCCCGTACGTGTTCCGACGGACCAGGGCTCGGTTGCCCCACACTTTGGCATCGTTGACGCCCACCAAAGCCGCGGAACACATGTACAGCAACCAAGCAGAGGCGATTAGTTGCCGCCCAAACTCGACCTGGGCCGGAGCCTTGTGGTAGGACACTATGGAAAGGGTCACCACAGACAGCCGAGGCGCCAGCGATTTGACCAACTCCGACCAGACAATGCAGACGGACGCCGCCGAGAAAAGCGCCCCCAAGCCGAGCCGCACATTCGGGATAACGTGCACGTAAAGGTGGTATCGCATATAGGGGTTCAAAAGCTTCAGGCTCGACAGGAAACTTGACCGATGGGTCGAATGGTTGAACTCAAGCTTCTGAGACGCCGACGAATTAATGATCGCCTGGATGTCGTCCGCGGATAGGACCAAGCGGTCCCATTCGTCAACGAAACGGGCCTTCTGGTGTCGAGCGCGCTGAAGGCGCCTGGTCAGATCCGCAAGATAGCGCTCAGTGATGACAGCAGGGATCGTGCCGGGACCATCCGATTGTTCCAGCAGACCTGAGCGCAGCTCCGGCGAGGGGCTCGCCGTCTCCGCCAACTCTTCAATCCATTCCTGAAAGTCGAGAGCTGTGCCCGTCTTGCGTCGCTGGAGTTGGGTCACCTGCGACTCTAAGCTTTCAAGATCGTTGATCGCGTCCATCAAGCGGTCATGCAGCCTCGGCGCATGAGCTTGGATCCTCCGCAGCCGACCACTGACGTTGGCGTTCCGGAACAGGGTGCGGGGAATCGACACGAGACCATGGCCCATCAGGTAGATAGCCAGAACAAGACCCCAGACATATGCAAGGGCCATGACAAGTGTCTTGATGGAGGTGAACTCGAAGCCATTTTGGATCGAGATGTAGATAAGTCCGACCGTCGCACAGCACAAGACAATGAGCTGATAACGCGCGTTCGAACGAATGGAATAATGGATGCGACCTTTGGGGTCACGGTAACCCGAGTCGATGTATTCTCCAAGCAGAGGAAGGATGGCCCTGTGACGAAAGAAAAGGGTATCAGCATCCGTCGGAAACCTGAACGTCGCGACCGGTCCGCCATCGTGAACACGATGCACTTACCATGTTAGCACAAAGATTAGCCAGTAGGCAATGCGCCAGGAAACCAGAATCAGACGGTCGGGCAACCAGATAGCCGTGGGTCCAGCCCCCTCCCGCGAGCTCGATGCGAGGTCAATGGGTACCAAGAGGACTACACTGGCCGGAAGCGCGAGCGCGAGGAAGACGGGAATGGCAAGATAAGCCGGGGTGGCGCGCAGGGTCAGGAAGCGTCGCAAAAGCAGCAGAACAAGGACGGAGATCGTGAGAAGGGCCGACGCAAAGAAGATGCTAGACCCGACGGGAATGGGCGATGTGGAAAGCATCGCGATTATGGGGGGGTCGATAGACATCCTGCGGCGGCGGAGGACGAGGAAAGTACGGGGAAAGACAGGCAGGCAGACAGGGTCTTGGGCGATCGGGGGCAATCAATCAATCAATCAATCAATCAATCAACAACCACCATCGTAGGTAAGCTAAAAGAGGGACTATTGATCCAGGGATCGAGATGTAGAGCTTTGAGGGAGTACAAGGGAGAAAGGTCCAGATCGGAAGGGACGCAAAAAAGGGACCGGGTGCCAGAGGCGATTTGAGGGCGGGCTGACGATGGAAACGAGGTCTGTTTTATGGATCATCTCATTTCCCACCTTCGCCGGTCGGTCGATGCTAATCAAAGCGGCCGCCATCTGGTGACGACAGCACCGGGTCACGTGCCATCACCTGACGGGGGGGCTGTTGCTAAAAGAAGCAGCAGCGACTCCACCGCGACAGGGTTGGGCCACTTGGCTCGCGGGTCGCTGTCCAAGGCCCAGATCGACGGGCTCCTCGGCGGAATCCTCTGCCTCCTGCCTACAGTACGGAGTACAACACAGTACTCTATTCGGGGCACTTGCCTTCCGTCGCAGTACGGGAGTACATCTATCTACCTTAGTCCTTTCACCACTCGCCACGACCGGGGACAGTTTCATCACCATGCAAGTAGTCCTTCGTAGAAAGAAAGCAGTTTCAGTAATACAAGCTTTCTGTTTGCCATCATCTCCAGGCCGCAAACTAGGTCGATACTAATATACTAAGTATTCTGCCACAAGTGAAAAGTCAGAGGGCTTTGCTCCGGCCATCCTGGTATGTGCTCACCTGGGGGAAGCCCCGGAGTGTGTCCAACATCTAGTGCCGGGTACCTAGGGGAGTGGTGCCCTGTCCTGACAACCATAAAGGCCGGCTTTTCCTTTTCTGTCTTTACAACAATGGGCTGCTGTATAAACTCAAACTCAGAGTCAAATCAACACGGTCAAGGAATACCGGATCCGACATCGAAAATTGCTACCATAATCCCCTTCGAGAGAAAACGACTTCAAGAGCCAGTTGGCACCCAAGCGACAACGGGATGAACCGAAGTGGACTGATTCGTAGAATGACTGCAACAGCTCGAAGGGCAGCCGTGGCACACAACCCGGATTGCAGGCCTGCTGGTAGAAGGGCCAGTGGCAATGGCTCCTATTTGCTCATGGAAACCTGGTACTTATCCTTCAGTTGGTTGTCCGTCTACTCCATCTGGCCCTTCCTGCCCTGTTTACTCTCTCTCTCCTGGGTACATGGCGACATAGGTACGAACTACGGAGAGGTACTCCGTACCTTGGAGTGGGATGTCTGCAAGGTGGAGGGCTTCCTTATGAAGCTAGTAATGAATAGTACTAGGTACTATAGGTACCTGGTTAGACTGGAAAGCAGTAATGTCAGACCCAGGATCGCTGTCTGCTGTACCGGAAAGACAGCCCTCCTTGAAGAACACCGCCTTCCGACTTGTATAACTGTTGGTGGATGTAAACACCGACCAGTCGGTAAGGTACCTACTGCTCTATTCTTCCCATATTGGGGGTGGAGAAATTAAAACTAGCAACCAGCGTTAGAAGAGTCATTATCGTCCCGCGTTCTTTAGGACTCACGGGCAATGAGCTGTATCGGTATCTATCTATCTACCTACCTACCTACCTACCGTCCTGAGGACGGTCGGTGGGGCAGGGAAGTACATGCGCCTTTTGAAAGTCCGATTGAGTGATGTTAGCGGTAGGGGAAATGGAACCAGGCAGCCGCTTTCGTAGCACTCTCTAGACGGGAGACCACCATGTGTCCTCCGTACCACTTATCTAGCATCTAGACCGGGATTTTACTCGGAACATCTCAATCCATCTTGGAGGTACAGAGTACAGAGAAAAAGCTTCTCCGGATGCAATGACGGACCAGATACGGCAGGTGGTTACCTTCCAGGTCCTGCGCAATACCCAAGTAAGAACAAGTAAGAAGAAGAAGTAAGAAGGAAGTAAGATAAGTAGGGCGGATGGGTGGGTGGGTGGGTGGACGACGAACCCTGTACAGTACGGTAAATCGGCACCATTGAAAGAGGAAAAAGAAAAGAAAAGAAAAGCACAAAGCATTAATTCAATCAGGAAGGCCTGCGAAACCAGCCGCTCTTGGCCTGACAGACCTTGCGTCCCTTTCAGCCAGTCACCAGGACCAGGCGCAATACAATAATTCCTGTAGCCATGAATTGCATGCTCGCATGGACACCGAGTTGAAGAGGTCAACTTGTCAAGGGCAGGTCAGTACGTAGGAGGTAGGTACAAGGTACTGGATACTAGTAGTAGTACTAGAAACGATGGCCCGCTCTCCGGTCGTCCCCATCTGCAGCCGTGACGGCTGTCGTTTCCTATGGGAAGCCTAGGAAATAATAACAATAATCATAATAAGTTACGGGAGGACGGTCCCAGCCCACCAGGTAGGGTATCCAGGAAGCCCACCCGGCAGAGAGGGTAGAGACTAGAAATTAGTTTTGCCCACTTGGGTGCTAGTCGAGGCACTAACTAACTTTCCCTAGCCTCGACCGACTGACGACCACCAGTCGCCAACGGGCAGATCCCCAATAAGGTCGTGGGAAGTCTGGGTAGTACCTGTTAGTCGCTTGGTCTGTTTGGTCGGCCGCAACTAACCCAAAACCAACGTGCGCCTTAGGCCACCACGGCGTACCTGACTTTACCGTATCGTTTGTTACCACTCACTGCCACGGCCGGCCACCCATCGTTCCCTCTGGTTCCCTCGTCCCTCTCGCTCGCTCCTTCAGACGGGATCTTCAACTTCTCTTACCTGGTGGTTCTCTTCTACTCCTCCTCCTCCCACCACCACCACCACCACCTTCACCACACCACCACCCTTTCCCTCCCTTTGTTGCTCATATCCTGGGATTGGCCGTGGACTGTACTTTCTGCTTGGACTCTATCTTTCTCTTTCTTTCTTTTTTCTGATCCTCCAATTTATCTTGTGCAGAGCCCGACTTTTCCTCGTCCCATTCTAGTCTAATTCCTGGTTTCGCGACCTCCCGCCTGCGAGTCCTCTCATTACGACTTGGCTCCTCAGTCTTTCGGATCCTCTTCTCTCCTCTCTCCTTCTCATTCCTTTTCTGTTACATCTTCTGCTTCTTCTTTTCTTTAAATTATTATCTGTCCACCCCCTCCTCTGGATATAATACAAACTACATACTTCCCCTCCTCCTCGCCCCCCCCCCCCTCCTCCAGCTGACACGCTTGCTGTCCACGCCACCGTGCAGGTGTTATCGGGTTATCTGTCTTACTGTACGCCCAGGTATGATCCCCTTCAGCGCTCCGTCGATTCTAGCGCCCTCCTCTTCCGACCGTTCGGCTTTTTGCGCACTTCTGCATTCACTGCCAATCCAGAGCACCGGGAACCACCGCCTGCTGGATGCTTGTCTCTTTCTTGCTTCCCCCCCCTCCCCCCCCAAAAACCATCATCCCATCCCATCATGTCGTAATTTACTTTTACCTCCCTACCTTACCTACCTTCCCCGTCCCGTCATCCTAACTCGTTCCTTTCCTCCCAGGATTATTGCAACCCGAAACTGATCACACTCCTCCGCCGCCCGGATCCTTCTCCCATTCCTCCCGTCCTTCCAACTCTTGGGGTCCGGCAAGCTCTCATCCTAGTCGGTTGATTCGAACGGCCCTGCACTTACTGGCCTGGTGCAACTGCAACATCCCTGTCACTGATCCAGCATCCGCCGGCTCAATCCTGCTTAGTCCACACCCCTCAAGCCACTCTCCGGGCGCCTGCCAACGAAACCGCTTTGACTGAACACTGGTGCCCGAACGCCTTGTTTCCCTGCTGCGTTGGACCCCCGTGTTCTGCCTCTTTCACCTCGTGCTCGTCCCTATTGCTCGTCCCCTTCGTTTCGAGCAGCCTACCGAGACTTACAGCAAAGCCGACCTCGCTATCAACCTGAAGCTCAAGCGCGATCCACCTGGGAGGCTTTCTGCACTGTGATTCTTCCTCATCTTCTCCCCCTCCCCCCTCGACCCCACCGCCGGTTCATCCCATATATCATTCGCACCGATCACTTTCTTCGGAAAGCGCCCGTACATTCGGTTCCGACGAACCTCGACATTGCATAGTGACGCTTGGCATTGACGCCGGCGAATGCTGACGCCCAAGGAAGGCTTGCGCGGACTATTCCTCGATCCCCATTGAGGGGGGTTGTTGACATGAATCCGGCAAACTTCTCCAATGTTGGTGGGGGCATGAATGGTGGAGTCAGACCGCATAACCAGATGCAACTCCAGCAAAAGCAGTCCGAAACCAACCAAGTAATCCTAAACCAAGTCGGCCAGGCGCTGCAGGCACAGGGTCAATATTCGGGTTGGCGAGCTGATGTGAATATTAAAGAGCGGGCGGTGAAGGTGTATCAGATGTAAGTTTCCAGCATGCGCGTTGCCGGCAGCTTTACTGTTCGCATTTGAGTGAGCTGGAAGGTGAAGCCAGGCTGAGCCACTTTCTTTCCTACAATACAAAATTGACTCTCCCTGTTCGCTGGGCTAATGATTTCGACGCCAGGCTCACCTCGCTTCGCCTGATTCAACCCCGAATCGATATACAACACGCTGCCCATGCTGCTTTGACTTTCGAACAAAAGGCGTTCAAAGACGCTAGGGAGAAGGTGTGTGCTGATGCTCTCTTTTAGTCTGTCAGTTTATAAGTTTCTCTAACCTTGGCTCTGCCCAGGTCGATTACGAAAGAGAGTGTAATGAGAAGCTCCATCACATTCGCGACACTCGTGCAAGGCAGGCGGCTGTGATGCAAGGCGGAATTATGCCCCAAGGGCCTGCGGCGGGAATGCCTGGGGTAGGACAGTCGCCATACCCTCCCCGGATGAATCAATCTGTACCAGCATCCCAAATGTCCGGACAGCAGCAGATGCAAATGGGTATGGGCGATTTAACTCAACAAGCTGCAATGCAGCAGCGTCAACAATCGCAGCAGCAACATCAAAACATGCTTCAGCAGCAGCAGCAACAGCAACCGCAGCAACCGCAGCCGCAACAACAACGCCCACAGCAGAGGCCAGGTAACGGGTCAGCGCTTTCGGACGATTTGAACACTCTTTCTGCTCAAGAATACGATCAAGTTTGTCGTGTAGCAAACCAGATCATTTCGAAAACTCCCCAAGAAGATCTTGAGAAGATTAAGGTGAATCTGCAGAACATGACACCAGAGCAGCGAGGTTACCTGGCCAGAAAGAACATGGATCCAATCACCTACTTCTTTCGCTCGCAGGCTCTAAATCAACTGAGGAGGCATAAGCGGAGCCGGATGGAAATGGCCCGCGCGCCTGGTACTGGGGTTGACCCTAATAGTGCGATTATGGGAGACCCCATGCATCCACAACGGCAGATGTTTCAAAATATGATGAATCTCCAAAGAAACTCATTTTCCATGGGGGGCCAACAAAACTTGGATCCATCGTCATTCATCGGTAATGTTGAGAACATACAGGGACAGCAGGCCGATGGCTTGCGCTCCCAGGAGGCGGGCCAGCTTGTGGTTCCCGCTAGCTCCTCGCAGATGAACCAGCCGCCATTCACAACACAGCAGAATATGTTTCCGGTCGGAGGACAGCTCGGCCAGAACGCTCAAGGTAATATGAACGGCTCTGGGATAAGTCCTCAGTTTATTGCCCAACAACATGCACAGAACGCACAGAATATGCAGCAAGATCGCCCTCAGCAGGCATCTCAGTTCCCGGCGCAACCGCAAGCACAAAATCAATCGGCCCAAGATCAAGCACGGGTGCAAGCGGCAGCAAAAGTGCAATTCGCCATGTCTCACCAAAACCAGCCAAACGCACGAATGCAACACCAAATGACACAGCAAAGCCCGGCGATGCCCATGCTGAATCGACCAATGGCCCCGGGACAAATGTCACCCGCACAAGTAGCTGCGCAAGTCCGGCCTCCATCTCGCCCCCCTGGTATGGGGCAACCGCCTGCCAGCGCTCAGACTATGAACGGACAGACCCCTATCCCAAGGCCCCAAATCCCTCCGAACCTTCCACCGGCGGTCCAGGAACAACTCAATTCGATGAGCAACGAACAACTAAGCATGGTCTTGCTGAACAACCAACGCCGTGCCATGGCAAACAACCAGGCCGCCCTTGCACGCGCAAACGCCTCCCAACAGTCCATGCCGATGCAGCAGAATTTATCGCAATCTGGTCAAGGTCAGCAGATGGTGAACGGCCAGATGATGAACGGCCAGATGGGCAATGGTCAGAATCTAAGAGCCATGAACCTACAGCAAATCGCTGGCATGGCCGGCGCCCAGCAGCCTAACCAAATGCTGCCAAATCAGATGTCTGTCCAGCAACGCCAGCAGCAACAGCAGCAACAGCGCCAGCAGGATGCCTATAAACTTCAGATTCTTCGCCAGCATGGTGGTGGTGGAGGGCCCGAAATGTCTCAGGAGCAGGTCAAGGAAATGGACCGGTTGAATTTCCCTCCAGCTGTGCTCAACAGTAGCAACCCAAGTGTGGCAGCCGTCCCGAAAAACCTAAGAAGTTGGGGTCAATTGAAACAATGGGTAGCCTCAAACCCACAGCCGATGGGAGGTCTCGACCTCGGGAAATTGATTGCGCTGCAAAGGATTCATCTATTACAAATAGCCAGCCAGTCAAAAGACGCCGGCCGCAATCCTGAGCAGGGTTCTTGGATGCCAATGCAGTTTCAAGGTCAGCCGCAGCCGTTGATGAACCCACAACTTCAAGCCGGCCAGCAACAGATGCCAGTCAATATGCCGCCCGTGCGGTCCATCACTGCACAAGAACTTCAACTGGCCCGTGTCCGCCTTGGTAGCCAGGCGCAGAACATAAGTGACGAGCAACTCCGTGATCTGATTATGAAAAATCGACAGAGGCAAATGCACATGGCTCGACAGGCACATGTACAACAACAGGCTTTGGTAGCCCAGCAGCAGGCTCAGCAGGCCCAACAAGCTCAGCCGGCTCCGCAAGCCCCGGTCACTGTGCCGCCTAACATGCCTGAGATCAAGCAAGAATCACAGCCTCCCCAACTGACGGCGCCACAGACCCAGCAAAGCTTGACAACGAAAGCCCAAGCGCAGCCCGTACCACCGGTCAAAAGCGCTAAAGGACCCCCCGCAAAACAGGCGCCGAAGAGAAAGCTGCAGAACGATGAGCCCGCAGAATCCCAATCCACTACACCCACACAAAAACCAAACCAGCCTGCCACTTCTCAGCCGGGGCCAGTCCCTGCACAGGCTAGAAGTAATATCCCCTTCACTCGTGAACAGCTGGCTTCCATGTCACCCCAACAACGCGCAGCGTTTGAGGCACACTTACGAAGACAGCAACTCCAGGGTCGCGGTTCAGTCAACAGAGCGTCCGCGGAGGAGTCATGGAACAATTTGCCTGAAAAGATCAGGCAGGTTTACAATGAATTGTCGAAAACTTTACCCCAAGCGGAACCCGTCCCCATTACATCCGAGCAGAAGGCGGCCATGTCTCAGCAGATTCGGGATACCACGGATTATCTCGGTAGAATGGATGCGCTTGTCCAGTTTATTGCTAAGGTCCCTGGCCAAGAGCGAAACGTGCGCAGCCTTCTCCAGATGGTAAGTCTTAGATGCCATTTGTTACCATGATACCCCATAAATTCCAATACTAACATGATGCAGCGGGTATTGTTAATGCGGCAGTTCAAAGCCGGGCCCGACTGGGCGCTCAATGATCAGATCACCGTTACGCCGGATTATTTTACAGGCACAACCAATTATATTAAGAGACTATTCCACCACATGATTGCACGCGTGAACCAACAGCAAAACCAGCCACAGGGCCAGCGGCCTGGCGTCGCGCAAGGAGCACCTGTCCCACAGGCAACCCAACCCAACATGCCCGCTCTGAATGCAAGCAATCTGCAGCAACTGCAGCAGCAGGAAGAAGCACTTCAACGGGCCCGCAGAGCCTCCAGCCAGACTGTATCGGGTGCCGCTGCTATACCACAGGCGCCGTTTGGGGCGCCATCTCCCCAAGGGGTTCCTCACGCCTATGGCCCTGCCAGCATGCCTCCGGAGCAATTGAAACTTCCTCCCCCGAAGAAACGGAAGCAGTCTCACGCTGGTGCCCTGCCGGCCTCCGGGACACCAGTGTCCAAGACTCAGTCGAGCAAGCCGGCCGATTTCAAGTCCACTGGCGTGGCCCCGGGCGGCGCGTTCAAATGCGGCGTTCCCGATTGTCAAAATCACTACCAAGGTTTCGCGACTCAGAACGCTCTGGATAAGCATGTTGAAGAGGCCCATAAGGTTGAGGAGCCTATCGACAACCCATTGGAGTTTGCCCTTGAAAGTTTCCGCAACAGCCTTATCAAGGAGGAAGATCGGAATGAGCTGCAAGGCATGAAGGGTATTCCGCAGGCCTCTGGCAAGCCCGGCACAACCTCATCGCCTTCGAAGAATGAGATCAAACTCGAGGGCGCGACTCCAGTTCTCGGTAGTGCAACCCCCATGGCGCGAGCTGCCAGCCAATTAGGCCCAAAACCTGGTTCTCCGACATTGAATCAGCAACTGACCCCTCGCACGTCTGCCGGAAAAGCACCCACCTCGTCCCCCCTTAAACCAACCACAGCCAAGGACGGCAAGAAGGAACCCGTCAAACCAACCGAACCGGGACAAGCCTCTGGTGATGCGGTTGCTAGAGATCCATGGGCCGACAGTGCGGTTTCTCTTGAGGCAATCCAGGAGACTTTCCTGGACTTTGGAGATGAAGGGGGCCTCGGATTTGGTGCTATGGACGAATTTCTGAACCCCGAGATGTTCACCAACAACCAGGCGAAAGACACGCCGGATTCCGTGGAGACTGGCCTCGTCACGCAGACCCCGAAGGATAGCGAGCTTCCTAAGCTCGATGATCTGAACGGCAAGAAAGGCGACATGACGGACGATAACTGGATCCCGGCAGATTGGATCAGTTTCCCGGGCCGGCCCGAAGATGGGTTCCTGATGAATGACTCGTGGGAGGACTTCGACTGGGACATGGTCGACCGGAAAGACGGGGCGATCAATGTTGATGATAGCGCCATCGCCATTTGCGCGATCTGAAGTGATTCACGATTTGAGAAGGCGAATGGGGGGAGGACGGACTATCTCATTGGGAATACAGCACGAACTATTGATGTACATTAAGCCGTGGAGGAGGGATTGATTGCCTGTTGTTTTAGTTTTAGTTTTTTTTTTTTTCTATTTGGCTTGACTGGTGCGTTATTTAAGGCGAGGCGTTGCAAGGAGCGAGCTAAAAAGGAAGGGTATCCCGGGCTTGCTTGGGACAGACGGCTGAAGATATCCCAGCTGCTTTGAGCTTTGCGAAGCAATTACATAGCTAATGGCCAACAACCATCAATCATCCTGATGTAAAAAAGACCGTACATGAGCTGTGTAATATAAGTATCTTGTGACATGACCGTACGGTACTTTACCATCGGGGTACGGAGCGTGACGGACCCACCGTCACGGGGGATCCATGATCAGCTGCCGATAAGCCCTCCGCCTTCTTCCCTCCTTCCTGGCCTCATCTTCTTCATCATCGCCCTCTTTGTCCCCCCCGGTCGTCCTCGGTCCTTCCCTCTTCCAGGATGGGTCTTCAATAACTCAATCCCTCATCCCATCCGTACTCACTCTATATCTATCCGACTTCCGCCCGGGGCTTATCGGAGCTGTGCTCAACCCCTTGCGACCTGCTCCTCCTTCTTCTTCTTATCTGCACCTCCCCGGAGTGAAGAGTGGCCTCTCTATCTCCTCCTCCAGCCCACCTACTGTAGCTCCTTCGTCACCTCTTTACCTCTGTGTTTCCACCTGGACCTCGTGCGTCCTGCAGTCCTGGCATCATGGCGAACAAAGCCGCTGTTCCGTTCCTGGTCACGATGATGCTCGTGACCGGGGTCTGCAACACAATCCTCAACAAATACCAGGTAGGATCGGCACCCGATTGCCGGCCTTTGCTTGTTTCATAGAACTCACCAGGTGAACAGGATATGCAGTGTGTGTGGAATTGCGATTCTCCCAACCCTATATACCGCCGCACCTTCGAGCAACCTGTCATTCAAACGTAGGTGTTACACTCCTGTGCTCAAATTTGCTGCTTACGGTATCCCTTTCCCACAGTATCCAGATGTTCACTGGAGAGATGGGTAGCTGGCTTGTGATCCTCATGTCCTACCTTTACCGGCGTTTTATCTCTCCGCGCTTGTCCAACAACTCTTCACCGCTTCTAGCCGGTGGTTACCACCCTGTCGGGGCAGCCGAGGGACTTGACGAGGAGGAGGATTACACAATCGGAGGACCCGACGGTTCGAGTGATGCCACAAAGCCCCCCACACTACCTAACGGACGCATTCCTCTCAAAGGGCGCAGGATCCTCCTTCTTGCAGCTCCCGCATGTTGCGACATCGCCGGTACAACTCTCATGAACGTCGGGCTGCTCTTTGTCGCTGCCAGTGTGTACCAAATGACCCGTGGCGCCCTGGTTCTGTTCGTTGGGCTCTTCAGCGTGATTTTCCTCCACCGGAAACTGTACCTCTACCACTGGCTTGCACTGTTCGTGGTGGTTCTTGGTGTTGCATTGGTCGGCCTTGCAGGCGCCCTCTTTAGCGGGACCCCGGCCCACGATGTCACGCAGGAGACCGCCGCAGCGGCCATCACGCATGCTATCAGGGAAGTTCAAACCACGGCCCAGACTCCGGAAGCGCTAAAGGCCGTTGTCGGGGTCCTTCTTATCGCCGCAGCTCAGATCTTCACCGCATCCCAATTCGTGGCGGAGGAATGGATCCTGGAGAACTATGAAATGGATCCCCTCGAGGTCGTTGGTTGGGAGGGCATTTTCGGGTTCTCCGTGACCGTCATCGGCTCGATCATCTTATATCTGACCATCGGACGCACGGAGGCTGGCCGCTACGGTTACTTCGATGCAAAGGAGGGCTGGAGCCAAGTCTTCCACAACAGAGCAATTGCCACGTCCAGCTTCCTCATCATGATCAGCATTGGGTACGTTCTATTCTACGCTCTCCTCCCCAATATGACCTCTACAAACCAACCCCTTGCTAATCTATGACTCACTCCAGCGGCTTCAACTTCTTCGGACTCTCCGTCACCCGGACCGTTTCCGCCACGTCCCGCAGCACCATCGACACATGCCGTACCCTTTTCATCTGGCTCGTCTCTCTGGCCCTGGGCTGGGAATCCTTCAAGTGGCTCCAGGTCCTCGGTTTCGCCCTGCTCGTCTACGGAACTTTCATGTTCAACGACATTGTCCGGCCCCCGCTCAAGGCGTGCCTTCCCCGCGCCCACCGGGATCGGGAGATCCTTCTCCCCGAAGAGCCGATTGAACATATCTAGATCCAGCTGGCTGCGCTTTGAAAGAGTATTGTGTTGTCACATCACCTTCGCATGCATGAAACGATGGACGTCTTATCCTGAATATTGAAACGGATCTGATCTGATTTGACACTTACTTACCTACTTACCTCGCTTCCGTTCTTGTGGAATCACTGCGTGGTTCCGAGCCTTTCCCCTTGGCTTGCTTTGCTTTCCTTGTTGTTCTTGGGATCCCACGATAAATATATGCCTTTTGGGCACTGACGGCGTTTTGGCTCACGACACAGATTGGATAGTTCGAGTGGACACTAGTGGATAGTGGACAGAGAGTGCAGATGGGAAGAAAGAAAGAGGGAAAGAAAGAAATTGTTTCTGTGAAACAGCACTCGTTCTCGCATTCCTCGGGCTGTCTTGAATGTAAGATAGCTAGCTAGCTACTTTCAGTTGTTGGGTTGGTGGTATTGGTGATCCGTACATAGATAGTACTGAGGAGATCTATTTATCCATCCAGCCATGATCTATCCTATCTATATAGCCCGAGCAATCTATCATATCATATCCTATATTATCCTATCCTATCCATTTTGTTCTTTCTAATGCTCAGTCCCTTCCTTGTTTCCTTGATCGCTTTCTTGATTTATATTCTATCCGAATCCATCTGAACCCAGTCCAGTCCAGTCCAGTCCAGTCCAATATCTAATCCAATCCAATGTATGCCAATCTATCCGAAACCCGAACCCATACCATGTTTGCATAAACAAGGTACATAATAATATATATATATATATATATATAAACCTTTCTAATGCACCAAAATAGACCAGAAAGAGAAACGAAAAGAGAAACAGGAACGAACGAAACAAAACAAAAGAAAACGAAACGAAAATAGAAACAGCAACACCCCAAGACAACGTCATGCAAAACCAGCCCAGAGAACCAAGGGAAAAAAAAAGCAGGGTATCAGACACACAGACACGCAGGGAGGGAGGTAGACAGGTAGGTAGGCAGCGTGTAATGGATGGATTCGACGCGGTACCCACAATAGAGACAGTGACAGTGACAGTGATAGTAACGAAGCGTAGACTTAATACAACTCGGAGAATGGTAGGTGGGAGGGAGAGAGGGAGGGAGGGAGGTAGGTTTGTCACTCGATAACAACAACAACGTTGATGATGATGATGATGATAATAATAAATGCAATAATAAGAATGAGTGGAACCGGGGAGATTCCTCGTGGTTGGTTGTATATGTAGATTTAGACGAGGACGTAAAGCGCACACATCTGCTACTAGTTAGAATCTAGTCTATCCATCCACATCCAGCCTTCGGCTAGAGAAAAAGGAGGTATTGTTCTTGTTGAATGGGGGGGTTCACTGACCAACGATAGACCGAAAATCATAGATAACCAGAAGAAGGAGTTCTGTAAGATTGGAAAGGTTAGTGGATATAATATTCTAGAAATTGAAAGGGGGGGAGGGATGATAAGAACGCACATTCAGAGTGGTCTTTCCACGGAAGTACTTCGATTTCTGGACTGCGACGATAGGCAGCTGGAGCATCATGGCGAGGAAGCCGTAGCCGCGCAGCTTCTTGGTGATGCAGCTCATTACGAGTTCGTGGGCGATGGCGCTGACGAGGAAGGTGATGAACATGGCGACGGGCTTGGAGAAGTTCGATAAGGAGGGGAAATAGACGTGGCGGCGGAGGAAGTGGTGGACGGGGATGTTCCATTCACGGGAGAATTCGAGCCTGGGAGGGATTTGTTTAGATCGGGCTTGTTTGTTGGAGCAGAGGTAATTGGCCGGGATAGGAGAAGTTGAAGTGGTGAGGGAGGGTATGTGGACTTACCAATCGCACGAATTCCACCAGTCGGAGTAGAAGTGTCGATCAGCGAAGCAGGTTAGCTCGGCGAATGCGCCCAGAACGTACTCGAAGATGACGAGGAAGACAAGCAGGAATGTGATCATGAAGGGGAACAGGAGCATGCTGATTGTTTCAGCGAGGATCAGGGCCTTGTCGGTTACGCTGGTCACCCTGTGTAGTTGGATGTTGGCTTCAGTTAAGACGGGGAGGATGAACTCCTCGCTCGTCAGGGTCAAGAGGAAGATGCATCCAAAGACGGCCAGCGTCTTCAGGCCGATTTCGATCCATTGCCTTTCCTTGCTTCGAGGGTATTCCAGCTCATAGCAAAGGGTGGGGCAGAATATGAAGTCGACGTAATTGACTACGGTGAGGTTCTGCGGGTACGTGACGTTGCCCATTGGAGAGGTGAGCTCTGTGGCCAGGTCTTCGCGTAGTTCTGCGATTGACTCGGTGCGCGCATGGTGGCTTTGGCGTCGGCTTGTTGTTGAGTGTCGGCGCGGAGACGCGTCTGGGTAGGGAACTGGAGCTTCCAGTGACACTTTTCCCGGCTTGTCGAGCGAGGAAAGACGGCGCTCTGTTTCGCTCAGATGCCCATTGTAGAAGGCATAGGAGTGGACTTTCATCAGGATGGTCAGCGTGTGGAGAGTGAAGAACACCTGAGCGGTCCAGGTCCATTGAAGTTTGAAGGGCCAGCTAGAGATCTGGTTAGCTCTCGGGTCTTCGTCGGAGGTGCAGACAGCCAGCCGTCTGAACTCACTTGATCCACAACACAGCCCATGCAGCTTCAAGGATACTCAGCAGAACCATGCCGCCTCTTTCCCAGCGCATAAAGCCACCGCATTTCCGTATTAGGCGGTGGAGCGGCAGGACCACCGCGCTCGTGATGACCATCGCGACGTCGCTAAAGCCGAGTGACCAAACATTCGCTGACAGAAGACTCCACACTCTGATCCTCAGGGGATAACCCGTGTCCTTTATATTCCGCAACATCGTCGTCACGACCATTATGAACAATGCGATCCAAAACAAGGTATAGAAGCCACGGAAGTTGCGGTACTCGCTCCGCGGATCGAAGTGGGATACACGGGGCACATAATCGATAGTATAGAAGATTCGAGACCGTGCGCGAGCCTGTTTCCTGGCGGTGGAAATCGAATGGACGGAGGGAGGAGCATCTTCGGGGACGGGGGTTGAGCGGCCACTGGCAACCGGTGTTAGCCATGGTGTCTCCGGGATGGGTGACCGGATCGCAGATGGGCATACCTCGAGTCGAGTTTATCCAGGGGAGGAGTCAAAGTCGGATCATCGATCTTCTTTGCCCCTGGGACGGCCCGGGGCCGTAGTAAAGGGGAGCCATTGGCTTGCTGGACGGCGGAAGACATGCTGCAGCTAGGATGGAGAGTAATAGGGGAGGAAGTGTGTCGGGTTCACATCGATTCCACGGGGGGCGGACAAGGAGCACTCCTGTGGTTATATATGGATGACAAGTCGACAGTCAATTTGTCCTCGACGCATGCGAGCAAGAGGGACAGGGACAGGGACAGGGACAGGGACAAGGAGGAGGCGCTGTATTGGGGGGGATGTGGATCCTATACTCCGTGGAGACTATGACTGTGGTCTCTTAAGGCTGGCTCGTGCAGCGGGCGACCTCCCAAACGAATACGAAACTGGTCGGCGACGAACAACGGTCGGGCATTGAGGCGAAGCGAATGAAGGAGGAGAGTTGTTAGCGGATCGGCGACATCAGCCTTATGAGTCCGAGTCCGAGACCGGTGCAGGGAGGTAATCAAGCAGGCAGATGACAGTCTGACGAGGCCTCTGGAGACGAACACCAAAGCCCCTGCAGTTTACTTTCCTCACGTCATGAGGCGCCCCGGCAGCCGGAGCCGCGGTTGGCCGACTCTCCGATGCCTGGTTTGCGTACTGCGTAACCGTACCCGTAACCCCCGGTACCGGGCCGGTACCTTACCAGGTCTGCCCCTCCTGGGTGCCTTAGTGCCTGAATATTTGATGCCTTGGTGCCTGGTGCTGCATGCCTGATCTGCGGCCTGAACTTCCACGTGACCCCCCAGCAGGGTAACGAGGGGCGGCTAATCCACGTCGGGGACCCGCCAAGACGGACAAGTCGCCCAGGACGGGCGAGGCTCTTGCCAATACCACCACCGCCGCCGCTGCTATTGCTCCTCCTCCTCCTCCTCCTCCTTCCGCCCGTTCGCATTATTCTCCTTCATCTTCCCCTCTCTCCATCCGACTCCCGGACTGCGCAGACTGGCTTCTTCGCGTCCGTCTGTTCTCTCCGACTCCCCCTCCTCCCTGTCGATCCCTCGTCTTCTTCCCATCACCCCGTACGGGGGTCCCTGTGCCCGCCATGGCATCCCGTAGGTGTCCTTGTGTTGTTGAACTTCCCCCACACTGTCATATCGCGCCACCACTCCCTTTTTCTACGGACCTCGTTCGCTAACGGCTCCCCTCCGCCTCCCAAACGCAGTCAAGCAATTCATTCGCAATGTGCGGTCGGCCAAGACAATCGCCGATGAACGAGCAGTCATCCAAAAGGAGAGCGCGGCCATCCGTGCGTCTTTCAGGGAAGAGAGCCACGATTCGGGCGTCCGGTTAGCATTGACACACCACCAACCGTTTGGAATCGCTTGAGCCAATATCTCATATTTGTGGACAGGAGAAACAATGTGGCCAAGCTGCTGTACCTATTTACACTCGGTGAACGGACGCATTTTGGTCAGATCGAGTGTCTGAAGCTATTGGCATCCCACCGCTTCGCCGACAAACGGCTGGGATACTTGGGAACCATGCTGTTGCTCGATGAGAATCAGGAAGTGTTGACGCTGGTAACGAACTCATTAAAGAAGTGAGTTCTGTCCCGACGGGCCTCCATGGCTCGGGCTGACGTCTCGCAGCGATCTTAATCACTCCAATCAATACATTGTCGGTCTCGCCCTCTGCGCCCTCGGCAATATCGCCTCCGTCGAAATGTCCCGAGACCTGTTCCCGGAGGTCGAAAGCCTAATGTCTACTGCGAACCCTTACATTCGGAGGAAGGCTGCATTGTGTGCCATGCGCATCTGTCGCAAGGTCCCGGACCTGCAGGAGCATTTCTTTGAGAAGGCCAAGACGCTACTGTCGGACAGGAATCACGGTGTTCTGCTGTGCGGTTTGACGCTGGTGATCGACATGTGTGAGGCTGAGGAGGCGGAAGAAGGACAGGAGGGTGTGATCGAGATGTTCCGGCCCTTGGCCGGTGGTCTCGTCCGCGCCCTGAAGGGGCTGACCACCTCTGGATACGCCCCGGAGCATGATGTCTCCGGAATCACGGACCCCTTCCTCCAGGTCAAGATCCTGCGCCTTCTCAGGGTCCTAGCCAGAGGAGATGCGGCAACCAGCGAGTTGATCAACGACATCCTGGCCCAGGTGGCTACCAACACAGACTCGACCAAGAACGTCGGAAACTCTATCCTTTATGAGGCAGTTCTCACGATTCTCGACATCGAGGCTGACTCGGGACTGCGGGTCTTGGGTGTGAACATCCTCGGAAAGTTCCTTACGAACAAGGACAACAACATCCGCTATGTCGCCCTCAATACGCTGAACAAGGTCATCGCCATCGAGCCCAACGCCGTTCAGCGGCACCGCAACACCATCCTGGAATGTCTCCGTGACCCGGATATCAGTATCAGAAGACGTGCCCTCGATCTCAGCTTTATGTTGATTAACGAGAGTAACGTGCGTGTTCTTGTTCGGGAGTTGCTCGCCTTCCTGGAGGTTGCCGACAACGAGTTCAAGCCGACCATGACTACCCAGATCGGTATTGCTGCGGACCGGTTTGCCCCCAACAAGCGCTGGCATGTCGACACAATCCTCCGGGTACTCAAGCTTGCCGGAGCCTACGTTAAGGAGCAGATCCTATCGTCCTTTGTTCGTCTGATCGCCACGACGCCGGAGCTGCAGACCTACTCTGTGCAGAAGCTCTACCTGTCGCTGAAGGAAGATATCACACAGGAAGGTCTCACTCTGGCCGCTACCTGGGTCATTGGCGAGTACGGTGACAACCTCCTTCGTGGAGGTCAGTACGAGGAGGAGGAACTAGTCAAGGAGGTCAAGGAAAGCGACATTGTTGACCTCTTCACCAACATCCTCAACAGCACATCTGCCACGCCAACAGTGGTGGAATACATCACCACGGCCTCCATGAAGCTTACCGTTCGCATGTCTGATCCGGCACAGGTTGAGCGTCTTCGCCGCTTCCTGAACGGTCGGACTGCCGACCTGAGCGTTGAGATTCAGCAGCGGGCTGTCGAGTACACCAACCTGTTCGGCTACGATCAGATCCGTCGGGGAGTCCTGGAACGCATGCCCCCACCTGAGATCCGCGAAGAACAAAGAGTCTTGGGTGCGCCTACCAAGAAACGTCAGAGCAAGATCCTGAAAGACAAGTCCAAGAAGCCCGCGAAGCAGGCGGAACAGGACATGCTTCTGGACCTCATGGGCGGCGACGCCCCCGAAACCAACTCTACGCCCAACGGATCCCAGAACACGGCCGATCTGTTGGCCGATATTCTTGGTGGCGACTCCGGCCTCTCCTCGCCCTCCCCTCAGCCCGCCGCACAGAAGAGCGCCATTATGGACCTCTTCAACGCCAATGGAAGCACGCCCTCTCCCGGTCCCACGGAGCCTGCGTCATCAGGCTTGGATCTCCTGGCTGGTCTTGGATCTTCCGCGTCGCCAGCCCCCGCGCCCGCTCCTTCGGCGGTCTCTGCTCACACAGTATTCAACAAGAACGACCTCGCCCTTGCGCTCCAGGTCCAACGTGGTAGCGGTGGCAATGCACAGATCCAGGCTCGGTTCCGAAACGTCTCGGGCTTTGCGCACTTTTCCAACGTTGGCCTGCAGGCTGCTGTGCCCAAGAGCCAGAAACTGCAACTCAGTGCGATCAATAAGGCCGATCTTGATGCCGGCGAGGAAGGGATCCAGATGCTGAAAGTTGCATCCCTCAATGGGGTAAGTTGCACAGCCCGCGGAACCTTGCTTGTGCATGGTAGCTAACGTCATGTAGGCCCTCCCACCGAAACTCCGTCTCCGTCTCCGTGTCACATACGCCAAGGACGGCTCTGATCCTGTAACCGACCAGGTTGACTGGAGCGAGCCATGAACGTCTGATCCAACCGGAGGAAGAAACCGACCACCTACAACCGCCACCGTAATTACGCTATAACCCTCCCCAAGACAGTCCGTCTAATCAATCTACCTTAGCAACGTGAGCCAGTATCCCAGCGCCGCCGTTGTATTGGATGGGAAAATGAGAGCAAGCAAACCGCAGGGAAGACCACGACCCAACCATCCATATTCCTCTCCTCCCCCCCCTCCTCCCCACATACATGCATGTCCATACATACCCGGTTGGTTTCTAGCTCTCTCTCTATTCTCACCTGTCGCTTTTATATCACCCTCTTCTTCTTTTTTCTATTTCTGTGTAAATGCTTGATGTTGCCAAGACACGCGGGGTGGCCGTCCAATGTAAGCCGGAGTTCCAATAAAAAAGAACCCATCACTAAGTACTAGTCTGAATCTTCATGGATTGAGTAAGCTTTGTGCAAACCAGTCATGCAAGATCTAATGATTGCCCGCCATCAATAACCTAAATTCTCGATTGATTGATCCTCCTGTCTAGTGAAAAAAAACAAGATCAGGAGATAGAAGTGAAAAGTAACCCCAGGAGTCACCAGGCACCCAGCCCCCCACCAAATATTCGAACCTCTTACCCAAGTAGGCAAGTGGTTCGTCTGCCTGCCTGATAAAGTAATTCTGGACTTGACTTGACTCCGATGCCTAACAAACATTAATAGCCAACGCCTGACTGGCCCTCCCATATGAAGTAAGTAGTAGTAGTAGTAGTAGTAGTAGTAGTAGTAGTAGTAGTAGTAGTAGTATAGTAGTAGTAGTAGTAGTAGTAGTAGTAGTAGTAGTAGTAGTATAGTAGTAGTAGTAGTAGTAGTAGTAGTAGTAGTAGTAGTAGTAGTAGTAGTAGTAGTAGTAGTAGTAGTAGTAGTAGTAGTAGTAGTAGTAGTAGTAGTAGTTAGTAGTAGTAGTAGTAGTAGTAGTAGTAGTAGTAGTAGTAGTAGTAGTAGTAGTAGTAGTAGTAGTAGTAGTAGTAGATTGGTGCAACGCACGCACCTATCCAGCCCCAAAACTAAACTCAACTGAACACAACTCCACCTAACGCAAATCAACCTTCCTTCCTTCCTTCCTTCCTCCCTTCCTTCCTTTCTTCCTTTCTTTCTTTCTTTTTTTCAGCTAGTCAGTCAGTCAGTCCCGCTTACTCTGTTCCAGTTACAAAAGAAATTAATTATTCTTGGCTTGCAGGCACTACTCCGTATACTAGTAAGTAAGTCGTATTTCTGCATGTTATGTACTCCGTAACTAATATGTATTTAGGTACATTGTTTATGTGGGAGGTGAGGTGAGGGGATAGACAGAGTGACTGCATGGATACCCAAATAGATACTATACATACTATACATACTAGTTAGTCTGCCTGGGTATCTAGATATTTTCTATACTGCTACTTGCTTTATTTATTTATTTCGGTATCTTTCTTTGTATGAATAAATCTAAACATTCAAATACCTCATATTTACATTTTTTTTACTCTGAGATAAATGAAAGAATGGAAACAAAAGATTACTAATGGGGGGGGGAAAGAAGATTGTTCTATACCATCAAGTCCCATTCAATGCATTGGCACTTAAAAAGTATATAGATAAATAGGTAGGTAGGTAGGTTAAACTAGGCAGTAGTAGAAATCCCCCCACCCGAATCAGTTTCATCATTCGTTGAATGTTCATCATCACTCATGTTATACTCATACTCCGTGCGTATCCCTGGATGTGTTTGTGTTGTTGTTCGTTCATTTGCAAGATAGTACTGCAGGTACCGACCGCCCGACCGCCCTCATGCCACCTCCCAAATTCCATGATCATCACCTCCGACCGACCCAGCATGAAAAAAGAAAAAAAAAAAGGAATCAAATTGAAAATGCATCAGGTTCAAACCGGTTCATGCGCCGACATAATGACAGTTAAGTAAAAGTAAAAAAAAAAAAGAAATGTGGTAATAAAAACAGTAATATGGGGATAGATGAGAAAAGAGGAAAACAGTAAAGAGGAGAGAGAGAATGGTCAAATTATGGCACTCAATGACGAAGAAGATATTGTATGATAATGGCAATGGTGATAAATGTTATCCTGAGAGGAGGGGATGAGGGGCACCCATTGGCGTCGAACGCAGTCTTGGAAGACGTCAATGGATGCGGCGACTCGGGAATGATGAGAGAAGATGGTTGTGGTGAGTGCCAGTGAAGAAAGAAATGCGCGTGCTTCACTGAATTTATCAATAAAGCTTATCAAAAATCGTGAGCGTGCGTTGAATCGTGGGACGGGCCCTTGTCATTTGCTGTCGTCTTCGTTTATCATTAAGCATAAGCAGATGGCCGCCGGCTTAGGTGTGGGATGTCATAACTACTGTCGTAGTGAGGTTTCCGCATGTAGCTATCCCGGGGGGTTGAGACATGATCTGGTCCAATCTCGCGTGCGTACTTGTTGTAATCTTTCTCCTTCGGGCGGGATTCAGCATAGAGAGGAGGTCGACTGGAAGACTGTCTTGAGACGCTTGGACGAGGAACTGCCTCATAACGGAGCGAATGCTCCGCAGGGTAGGTGTAAGTGTTACTTCTCGTAGGCGGTTTCTGCATCGGACGCCCTGACACAGGGCGATCGGGGCGTGACGGGGAGTACGCATGTCTCGGGGACGTCTGTGGTGGCGGGATGCTGGTATCTGGCGGGAACGCGTCAGGATCTTCTGTCACTTTGTACCGAGTCGTCTTGGGCGAACTCTCCCCGGGGACCATCTCTGGTGTGCCCGGACTCGAGTACCCGGAGTCGTATAATTTATCCGATCTCAATTTTGCTGTCCGCGAGGTGGCCTCATGGACCATGCCTGCAAGTTCCGAGCGGCTAAAGCCGCCCTTGGAACGGACATGAGGATGTGAGGCGCTTGTAGACCGGGACGGCTGAAGAGAGGGACGCAGGGACGGAGAGACCTTGACTGTGGGTGATGTGGCCGCGGTCGGCATGCTCGGTACTTTGCCTTCGTAGGATCGCGGCTGAGTCTCCAGCGTCTCATACGAACCATTGCGGGAACTGGAAGTCCGCACGCTCTCCTTGCTCGGCCGTTTCGTCCGACCTGAGTGCCGTGAAGAGGAAGACTCCGGATCGGCTGACTCGTAGCCATAGTTGCGAGGGGGCGAACGGGACGTTTGCTTCCGACCATCGACCTCCTTTATGGGCGCACTCCCTTTGGAGCGCTGGATATAATCCTTGGCGTCCATATGTAGCTTGACATGCTTCTCGTCGGAATATTCCTCTTCGTAGCGGGGAGGGTCTCGTCGGCGAGATGACTCTGGCTTGGCCTTGCGGGAAGACGACTCCCGGCTTCGCTTTTCAGTCGAGGGCCGCTTGACCTTGACGTAGTAGGACTGTGCGCTGGAATCCGATGCACCACCATCATCCTCGGAATCGCTGTACGGGACGGCCCGTTCATACTTTTTCTCAAAGACTTCCCGCTTTCGTTCCCTGGTACGGAACTTGTCGCGATCGGTGTGGGCCGTTCTCGCAGTGTCGCGACTCTCGCGCGATTCCTTTGCCGCATGAGCTGCCGCCCGAGCTGCCGCACTGATCGGATCAGCCTTGGATTTCTTCTTCTTCTCCTCCGTCTTGCTGTATCGCTTTTTGAAGTCATCGTGCTTGCGGGACGTTGACCTCGACCCCTCGGAGAACTGAACATCGTCATCGAAGTAGGAGGTATCGGCGGGTGTCCTCTCCTCGTATATCCGGCCATTGCGATACTCACGGGGCTGGCCGGAGCCGCTTGCTCGGGTGGCGGAGTAGGGCGATGATGTGGTGATGTTGACCCCCCTCGCCTTCGCTTCACGCTGGAGCTCCGCCAAACGCACCTTCGCATCGTACTTGGCTCTCCTGGTGTCATCCGAAAGAAGCTCGTAGGCCTGCTGCACCTTCTGGAACTCATCCTGAGCCTTGCTGCGTAGTGACTCATCCTTGATTTTGTCGGGGTGCCATTTCAGCACCAGCTTGCGATGGGCGGATTTGATATCAGGCAGAAGCGCATGTTTCGGCACCCCCAACACCGCATACGGGTCGATATCTGGAGCGGAGGACATGTTCTGGGGACGACAATCGGGGACGATTGAGGAACATAAACAAATGCACCATACACGGATTGTGCAGTTGGTATAAGATGGGTGGGTACAGTAGAGTGAGAGAGAGAGCGCGATGATGGGGACCGCCGTGTGGCGCTGTATAAAAGACTCAGGGACAACCGAGGCGGTGGACAGCGAACGGAAGAGGCGAACCTAAAGGGATGCAGCGATAGCGTAGCGTGGATGTGTAAGGTACCTTGGTACCTTGGGACTTGGGGAAGGGAAAGGCGGGCGGATGGACGGCAGGATGGGGTGACGTGGGTGCTCGTGACAATCCGTCAATTGCTCGATCAGAACTGCGGCCAATTCATGGAGAAGACCGGAGAATAGAGAAGAAGCCCCGGGGGGCGTCTAGATGCAGGATGACAAAAGACAGGGGAGAATCGGGGAGGGAGGGAGGGAGGGAGAGGGAGGGAGGGAGCGACAGATGAGTGATGATGAGTGAGGGGGAGTAAGTGGGTGGTGAGTTGAGTCGAGTGCTGCCGTAGCAGCCAGCTGGAGGCGAAGGCGAAAGCGAAGCGCGAGGGTGATCCGGGAGGGGATGACTATTATTATTATTCCCCAATCGGGTGCGGGTAACGAATTGGGAAGGGAGGGGGAAAGGGATCGGTATTGGGGCCGTATTGTAGAGGTATTGTGACGGGAGAGGCGAAAACCGACTGCCTGCCCAGCCAGGGTGGGTAAACTTGCTTTGGTGATAGGCGCGAATTATTCCCCTCCCCCCACGAGAAAGGGTCAGATCCAACCTAGCACGCTGCGCCACGCAGCTGCTCCCTGGCCAAACACTAAAAAAGCAGACACGCAGAGAGGCAGAAAACCCCGAGCCAACGAGGGATGGGGGGGTGAGAGTGGCACCACGTTTAGTCAGGAATGCTGGATGCTGGACAACCGCCAGCGGGGATGCTGAGCAATGGGTCGAACAGGCTGGTGAAGCGGGTAGGTATCGAATCTAGAGGACGCTCGATGATGCCACGAGGGGGGGGAGGGGATGAGGGGCCTGTTGGGCAGGGGTGGGATAGGGCAGTATATAGCCTCTCGCTTATGTACTTGGGAGTTGGGAGCTCTTTCCTTTTTTCTCTCTCTCTCTCTCTTTATTGATCAGGTCGGAATGAACGAGTGAAGGGAGAGGGATAGATGATTCCCCGAGTCTGTCCTTTGATCGTCGTCCTTGGAAGCACGAAAATGCCCTCTCTTATTGTGAGATACAATGGTCCCGATTCTGGGGAAGAAGTGTCCCTGAGGGGCAGACGCCGCCGGACTCCAAAGCAGCGGTGAAAAGACAGGCGGAGCACCAGCCGGAGGCACTGAAACCGCCGATGGGGAGGATGCCCGGGGGCCCGCTTTGGAGAACTGTCAGAAAAAGACAGCAAGTCACTTCGATAGGCAATGGTCAATGGTTAATGGTTAATGGCCAAGGAGCGGTCAATCGTTGATGCGTTTGTCATTGACTCAGACAATAATGAGCTGGAGCCCTAACAAAGAGGGAGGGAATCGAGAAAAAAAAAAAAAAAAAAGAGACGAAGAGGTGAATCGGTAGGAATGGGGAATATACAGTAGGAAACCAGGAACTGAAAGTGGTACAATACGAAAGATTCGGGTGAGGGATGCTCCGAATGGGGTTCATCTACTGGGATACATCCATAGTTATTCTTAAACTACCCGTCCCAGGGCCATATACTCCCTCCTCCTCGACGGAGTACTCTGTACTCTGTACTCTGTGCTCCTCTGTGCTCCTCCCAGGTTCCCACACAGTATACTCCCACTGGAGCAAGTAAGATACGATGCTCCGTCACATCTCTCCATCACGGTCACGACCGGCGCTTGGTCAGAAATCCCAGAAATCCCAGAAATCCCAGTTTGCCTGTCCCCGTCCTAGCGTCGAAGTTACTCCTACAGCCAGACGAACGAACCATGGGTGTCTGCAGGACGGGGAGTCGTTTGGTCATCCACCAGGTCTCATCTCGTCCAATGCGCAGACGGACATCCTTCTGTAGGTACAGCCGGCCCCATCGTCCCCTCTCCGATGCACCGCCGAGGCTGCTGATTGCCTGGCCGATCGGATCTCACCACCGCCCAGAGTCATCCCTGCGACTGCGAGAAGTTGGAACCCCGCACGACCACGAGTGACTGCGGCTTGCTGGAACACCGTCACCACCAATGGGTGGTTGGCCCATCTCTCGTCACCTCTGGCCCTCGGTCCAATCAGGGCTACAGTCACCTGCGCGCGCTTTTCGGGCTGCGTCCTTAAGCCAGCGAGTCTGAATCCTGCCGCCTCACCGAGGATGGAATGGGCTCAGCCAATTCTCGTTGTTTCCCATTATCATCTAGCATCTGCCTTAGTGCGGTGGAGTGGCCCGGCTATCCTTTCGCAATGCACTACTCATTCGGAACCACGCGCATTGACTAGATAGATAGATACCCTCATCTTCTCCCAGGAACGCTAATCCTGGAGGGGGCTTCCATGGTTACAGCCATCATCGATCCGATCCGGGCTTCGCGTGGATGAGTCCCGTGGGATGATCCCGACCGGTTCCGCACATAATCCTCTTGTTTGTCCGCGTACCTGGTAATCTTCCAGCTATCACGGCGGTAACACCGTCACAAGATACATCAACATCCATCACAGTTCCGTGGGGTAGGGCCCCGACCGGTGTAGATCCATCACCTCCGATCTGCATCAAACGGTCCAGGTCAAACGCATGAGGAGAGCATGGCAGGGTGGCTTGCCATTGAACGCTTTGATCGTAGAGGTGCTCGGTCTGTCTTACATCACGCCGTGGGCTGTCAGATTACCTTGCCTGTCCCACTCGAGCCTATCCGGGCCCATGACACGGTGCGCAGAACATTCCTCGTCCAGCGGATCGTTCTCGAAGGAGTAATCGGACCCTAAACGAAGTCATCTGCACCCGAGGTCGGCCGCATGGCTGAGCCAACTATTTGCGCCCGCTCTCCATGCACTGATTGTCCCGGCATTAGTCTGCATGGCGGGTGCTTCACTTTCACGACACCACCCGTCCAATGATGGACCGGAATGGGGGGGTGGAATAAGGGGAAGCCTTGCAGCTCTTGGTCAAGGTTTGCTTTAGAGTATGATGAAGGATAATGATGCAAAACGCTGGCAGGAGCTTAAACCCGGCCCTTCATTGTTGAAACTGGAATGAAGCCTCTCGCTGGCACCGAGTCCATCGCCGAATCTAGGGCGTTGTCAGATGAAGCGACGATTGTTTGGCCTGCCTTGCCGAGTCGGTTGACACCAACCAGCCATTTGACCTTCCGCGCAGCCGAGATGGTACATGTACAACAGACGTATGACCATCCCCGGCGTGGTTTGGAAACAAGGTGGGCTACTCCGTGAGTAGAAAGTAGAGAGGAGGAGGGAGAAGGTCCCGAGGAGCCCTGCCGTTGAACCTAGCTGACCACTTCGTACCTTGCTGGGCTCACATCATCCACCTACGCAAGCCCTCATGTGGAGTGTGGGGGCGCTGGTCCAGTCGCAGACTCCGAGGGCCTCGTGGTAGATAGAGTGACCTCCGGTCTCATGTCGGTGACACAGTAAGCGTTGCGAAACATCCCAGTCAGTCCATCAGCTGCACGCGGAGATTATTATTATCACGGTACTCGCCAATAATGCCGACGAATATCGATACGGGCTGCATCTTATCAATCCAGTCCGGCGGCTAACTAACCGTCTTGAGCGATAGTCGGAGTCCACAAGCCCCATAAGTGGACCGGTACGGCTGAATGGGAGCGATTCATGCCAGCTTAGCGCGCTGACCCCAGCCCAGTGGCGTTGCGCGGTTTCACCGTGGCGGTGGCCTGGCCCTGGCGGCCGGGGTTTAACGGGCGGCCTGCCTGGAGTCCAAGCTGCTTGGATGTGCGCAGTGCTGAGGAATCACAGTTGGAGCTGAATATCCGGCAGATATCAACTTCGTATGGGGAGTAATTTTGGGATCTCCCCGGTTTCTTGCAAGTGGATCCAGGAGAGTGGGAAAGTACGGTGCACGGCTGGTCCCGCACAGCGAGATGGTGGTCTTCTGCAAGGCTAGAGACTAGATAGGTGGGATTTACCTACCTACTTACTGAGGACCAAGGGTTTGAAACAGCTGCACTCTACAAGGAGTGCGCGCAAAGTGCTAGAGCCACCTTGCCTTGACTTTATCTTAAGCAAGAAAAACGGGCAAAAACAAAAAAGAAGTCTCCCTGACTGGGAGTCGAACCCAGGTCTCCCGCGCTTGTTCCTGTACAGGATTGACAAGCGGAAATCATGACCGTTAGACCATCAAGGACTTGATATGTTTTCTGCCTCAGGTTTTGGTTACATGTTCGACTGGTAACACTCCGTACACTGCTTACTGCCTTTCATCCTTCTTGAGAGACTGACATCATCCTGCTTGGTTCATTCTGATCAAGAACCACCAAAGACCCACAGTGGGTAAGTGAGCTTCCGTGCTGGACAAGGGCGATCAAGATCCCCATCCACGGGGGCATCTCTACAGTACATTCTGGAGTATACGGTCAAGTACATACTGGATACGGGACATGTGTTCCCCTAATGTTGGGCTCCCAGGTACTCGGCGTGTATCTACGCCCTGTTGTGTTCCATGTCAGGAGGCTTTGTCCACCCACCCCCCCCCCCCCCCCCGCCACACTCCATTCATAGGACAGCATCAAGCGCCGGCCCATCGGTCTGTTGCGAATGAGCTCCCCTCTTATCTCTTACTGGTCGATGATCAAGAAATTGCTCTCTACTCATATTGCCATCACAGACCAGGAGCATGCGCAAGACTTCTCACCTGGCTGAGACCTCTCATACGACAGGCTTACAGGAGGATGTCATTCACCCAGGACGTTTCAGGTGATCTTGCATGGGTGATCGGTCCTTGAGGCGCGGCTTTCCAGTTGCCCCTGCTGCCACTGCTCCGTTGCTTCAAAGAAAGTGGGGTCCCAGGGGCTGCGCGTTGCTGGGCATCGGTCTCTGGTGTTTACTTGTTCGATTCCGGATTTCTGGTTCATCAAATGACGTTCCGACACATGACAAAGAGCAAGGGAGCTATGAAGCATAACCTCCACAACCACCACAACCACCGCCTTGCTGTCTCTTTCACTTTCTCATGATGTAACTTTCTTCTGCCTGTCTACCGCGATTGACAACCACTGCCACTCCGATCGGGAAGAATACCTAAAACAGCGGAGGGCGGACCGAGCTACCAGCACTGAACTGTCCTTCTCGTTCCAAGGCAACTACTGACGCATCCGCCCCGAAGTGGCCACTCATACGTCAGACCACAGGTCAAAGCTCAAGCTGTCTGCTGTGCAACAAACGATATCCCACGTCGCAAACCCAGCCATCAGATTCGATCCGTGGCCGGGCGATCCAGGACAAAGAAAATGGGGCTTATCACTCCACACCCGCGGGATTCAGTTGCTCTCTACTGTTCTCTCCAGACCGGCAGTTCTAAATCGACCACTATAGGAGCGTGGAACCTTTTCCCTCCTCGATGCGGCCAACTGGTCGCCATGATCGCTGCATTGACGATGCATGTCTCGCGTCTCTGGGAACGGGGCCGATTCTGTTCGACGTCGCTCTGTCTGCCCTTCAGGCACGAAGACAGGGCAGATGACGTTGGTTGATCAGCTTCGGACGACTGAGACCGTTGAGGTGGTCCGTCGGGCAACTCTATCAACATCACGTTCTGCGATGATCGGGCCAGGATGTCGAGAGATCGTTGAACGTCATTGACGGCGAAGTCATCGTTATCTAACTTCGGTGCCTTCTTTCCCGTGAGATCGACGAGGCTTTGCTTTCTACTGCCTGGAGGGGGCAAAGTGCCCCGGATAGCATGATGCTGCTGTTCCGGTGTGTCAGTTGTTGTCGTTGTCGATGACGAGGCGGGCGACGGATACCATCGCACCCTTTCATAACCTCGCGATTCATGAACATGGCCACAGACGGCCAGTGACGGTCGAACCTCGCTCAACGCCCCACGCAGGGCTTCGCATCCAGCGGGTGAGCCCTCTACTCGGCTGTCGCAGTGAGAGTAAGGCGGCGTATGCGTCACGACGATGTCGGTGTCCAATGGAATGGAGCTCCAAAGCGCAACAGCGTCTGCGGATTCGTATCCATAAGCCCAAGTGCCGGGTGATTGGGAATATGGAGAGCCGAAGACCCTGAAGATGGTCTTTGGGCCGTTGGGCCGGATCAACCGGACTAGTGCTGACTGGTGCCTGAGGAAAATGATGGAGGGTGATGCTTCGGTCACGATCTCGATGCATTGCCGGGGGTCTTCTAGAAGCTGACCGTGGAATTTGGCCCCGTATTCGGCGTAGAAGCCTGGGTCCAGTGTAACGTCATGGTTTCCTGGGTACTGCCGGCTTCAGCATGCATCCTACTTCCGCCTAGTAGTTTCGCCTTTCGGCTCCAGCCCTACAAGCCGCCCCTTGGGCGCAGAGCCGTAGACGACTTCGTATCAGTCTCAGACTATCTACTAACCACAGATGACAATTTTGACTTCGAAGTCGGCCGCAGCAATCCAGCTCATCGTCTTGCGCAGCTCAGCTGCGCTGCCGTGGTTGGTGAGGTCGCCGGCGTGGATCAAAACATCGCCAGCTGGAAGTCTGAAACCCGCCTCGGACGGGGTGTACGCGTGTGTATCGGAGACGCAGACAAACCGTGTTGTCCGTGTTTCTGGTCGCATGTTTCCAGCCCGGTAGCACCAGCCCCGTCGGGCCCGGTGGTGGTTCTATTTTGGTTGGGGAAGGCTTAGCAGGAACTTTGTACGACCGATATCACAAGGCTGGTGGCCTGGTATAGATACGAACTAGATAGTGAACAGTCAGTCACTGTTACCGTTGCTACTGCAGCCACCATGTGCCAACCATGCTGATGCTGAGTCAGCGATCTGGCCAATGAACTCCGACTCGGGCGCAGTGCCGCAGCGACCAATGGGCGGGCGGCAATGGCGCCGAAGGATGCCGGCAGTGGAGCCGAAGCATTACATGATTACATGATGGGCGTTCAGCTCTCGCTCGCTGCAGCACCCTCCGTCATCCCACCTCCCCTGTCTCTCCTCCCCTTCTCACTGCTGCCTGCCTGCTGTCCTGCTGTCCTGCTGTCCGAGTCCCGGTGCCCCTTCAATCGCTGGAATATCGCGGGTTGTGGCTGACCACCACCTCTGAGCCCTCTCCTCCACAATGCCTCGGTGGAAGCGCAGTAAAGCGCATCCCGATAAGGACTCTGACAACGTCGGCGGCAGCTCCGGCGCTTCCTCCGACTCTCCTCATAATGCCCTTTCCACCGCCGTGTCTTCCCTCCGTGCGGTTAGTGGCAGTCCACCCGTTCCGATGAGGGCGACAGCAGTAACACAAGGCCAGGCACCTTCCGACCCCGAGACCATTCGCAGGCTGGCGAAGCAGCACGCCGAGTTCGGATTCCTGGGCGATCCGTCCCATCTGTACACGAGCGAGCACCCCGGGGGTGAGATCCCGGACCCGGTCATCGATGACCCGCCGTACTTCTTCGCCTTGACGACGTATGTCAGCTTCCTCCTCCTGATCTTCCTGGGCCACATCAACGACTTCCTGGATAAGTGGTTTCGGTCACATGCTTATCGGCACCTGCGGCCGCAGAATGGGTATGCGTCGCTGTACAGCGATTTCGAGAGCTTCTATACCCGTCGGCTGAAGCAAAGAATCAACGACTGCTTCGAGCGGCCGATCATCGGCGTTCCGGGCAGGCATGTCACTCTGCTTGACCGGACCACGGATGACAATCTTCATTTCAGCTTCACGGGCACGACGACGGACACACTGAATCTGAGCTCGTATAATTATCTCGGTTTTGCTCAGTCGGAAGGGCCCTGCACGGACTTTGCCGAAGAGACGCTCCGGCGGGAAGGCATCTGTATTGCAGCGACTGCTGACGCAGGGGTTACGAAGCTGCATGCTGAGGTCGAGGACCAGATTGCCCGCTTTGTGGGCAAGGAGTCCGCCCTGGTGTTCTCGATGGGCTTTGTGACCAATGCGACGATCTTCCCGGCACTTGTAGAGAAGGGATGCTTGATCTTGTCAGATGAGCTCAACCATGCATCCATCCGGTTCGGTGCCCGCCTGTCTGGCGCAGCCATCCAGGTCTTTGCTCACAATAACATGGCCGATCTTGAAAAGCGTCTCAGGGAAGCGATCTCCCAGGGCCAGCCCCGCACGCATCGGCCGTGGAAGAAGATACTTGTCACTGTCGAGGGTCTGTTCTCTATGGAAGGTACCATGTGCAATCTTCCTAGGATCTTGGCTCTTAAAAAGAAGTACAAGTTCCATCTATTTGTCGATGAGGCACACTCCATCGGAGCTGTCGGGCGCCATGGACGCGGAGTGTGTGATTACTTCAAGGTGGATCCGTCGGAAGTCGAGATTCTGATGGGCACCTTTACCAAATCCTTCGGTGCCAACGGTGGCTACATCGCCGCCGATAAGGCCATCGTTGATAAATTGCGCTGCACGAATGCCGGCCAAGTATACGGCGAAGTACCATCCCTGCCGGTCCTGGCTCAGATCTACTCATCGCTCCGACTCATTGCCGATGAGGATCCTCTCCACCCGGGTGAGGGACGGGAGCGGATGCAACGACTTGCTTTCAATTCCCGCTACCTCCGACTCGGGCTTAAGAGGCTTGGCTTCATTGTCTATGGCCATGATGACTCCCCGATTGTTCCCCTCATGTTGTACAATCCTGCGAAGATGCCCGCGTTCTCACGGGAAATGCTAAAGCGCAAGATCTCCGTCGTCGTGGTGACTTACCCTGCCACGCCCTTGGAGCTCTCCCGGGCGCGGCTGTGCATCTCGGCCGCACACACCAAAGATGACCTCGATCGCATCCTGCAGGCATGCGATGAGATCGGAGACGCTCTGCAGCTTAAGTTCTCCTCTGGGATTGCAGGTGGCCTGAGAGAGCCGCTGTCTCGGGACAACGGCTCGAAGGGACCGAAGTTGATTGAGCCTCCTCGCTGGCCCCTGGAAGAGGTCATTGCGAGAGGTACGCACGACGCGAACCAGCCTCTATACTGAACGGACCGTCCGGCTCCGTGTGATGTGACTAAGGACAAGCTAATTTACGCCGCATGATGTCTTGGGATTATATCAACTCGCTGGGATCAACAATGGTGCCTTCTTTTGGATACGGATACGAGTCTTGGGCGTTTTACCAGTCGTTTTTTATTGTGTCTCTCGCTGAACAAAGGCATGGCATGGGAGACTGCCACATTATTGCCTTGTGACTATATTAATATTAATGTATACAATAATCATTCTTTCTAGACAATGTATGTACACTTTCAGTGGATCCGGGCGTTGGTCGGGGTGGTGCCTGATTTAGTTGGAAGTTGGAGAATGGTGAGCTGATCTATGCGATTCTGCGTATTACATTGTGATCGCTCGCGTGTTAAGCAGATACTTTCTCCTGGATCATGAGCACCGATCAATTGACGTATTTGTGGAGGAATGCGACCGTGGACAGTGGTGGCTGTCAGTCAAGGGCTTTGGCTGTCTGGGGGAAGACTGGGTCTAGTTGTATCGCGATCCTGTATTTGCGGGGTTCAGGCAGCGTAGTGTCGGCGGAACCCTCGACAGGCTGCACGACGGGCGAGCGAGCGACCCGGACGGGGGGAATTAGTTTGTATCTCGGGGAGGGGATGAGGGGGATGAACCGATGAAGGAATACACCACCCGGCTACCCTATCCTATATCCAGTATGCATACCACCATGGCACGACCAATTCCCACGAACCAGCCCTGCACCTCTGCTGCATCGGAGAAGACTGGCCGATCAGGGCACGGCTCACGTGATGTCCAAGCCACGGGAGACTTGGGAGGTTAGGGCTGTGGCCCTGGACGGGGCTCGTCCCGCACAAAGAGGAAGTAGCGCCGCTCGCTTAGCGACAACCAGCGAACTCATCCGACATCGTTGTGTGCGTTGAACCTGCCCACAACGACAACAACCGCCGACAACATACATCCCAAGGGAGTATCCTAGAGCAGCGCTCTTCCTTTCGCTGGATATCTTCCTTTTGAACCGGTGACCGACAGAGCAGGATGTCCTCCATCGATCCAGTCGTGCGTACCGCCCCTTCCACATGCACACGCCTCTTCCCCGAAACAAATGCACCCCCAGAAAGAGATATACATCGAAAGACAGGCAGAAGATGAGGAGAGCGAAGGGCGAGACCCTTGAATTGCAGAAGAATTGTGTGGCTGACTTGTTGCTTTGGATTTGCAGGTCGTCATTGACGGCAAGGGACACCTTCTTGGTCGCCTGGCCAGCACTGTCGCTAAGCAGCTGCTCAACGGCCAGAAGATCGTCGTCGTGAGATGTGAAGCCCTCAACATCTCCGGCGAGTTCTTCCGCGCGAAGCGTACGTTTCTACTCCGACCCGGTTCTTGTCTTTTCAATTCGTTGTGTCATTGGATTTTGTGTGTGCGGAAGATTCGGATATGGTGGATGCTTCGGATGAGATTTTTATGTTGGAGGATATGATATGACATGATATGATATTAGGGGGGGGACACACGACACGAATGCGTTGCGATATATACTTGAACCAAGACGGCTGACCTGGATATCCGTGATATAGTCAAGTACCACGCCTACCTTCGCAAGATGACCCGTTTCAACCCCACCCGCGGAGGTGAGACCACCCAAGAACTTCCCACCACTCCTGGGAAGGCGATATTGCTTCCATTGGACTCGTGCTGAACCGCTACAGGTCCCTTCCACTTCCGTGCTCCCTCCCGCATCTTCTACAAGGCCGTCCGTGGTATGATGCCCCACAAGACCGCCCGTGGAGCCGCTGCTCTGGAGAGACTCAAGGTCTTCGAGGGTGTTCCTCCTCCCTACGACAAGAAGAAGCGCGTTGTCGTTCCCCAGGCTCTGCGCGTTCTCCGCCTGCGCCCCGGCCGCAAGTACTGCACCGTCGGTCGTCTCAGCCACGAGGTTGGCTGGAAGTACCAGGACGTTGTTGCCAGGTACGTATTCTTTGAGTGGACAGGTGTGGGATAGTGGACATCTGCTAACGGGGTTCTTTTCTTACTACAGACTTGAGGAGCGGAGAAAGGTTAAGAGCAGTGCATACTACGAGCGCAAGAAGGCCGCTCGCCGTCAACTCGTCCACGCCCAGAAGTCGGCGGGTGTTAACGAGCAGACCAAGAGCCAGCTCGCTCAGTACGGATACTAGATACCTCGTTGCGCGGCTGGTTGCTTTCTGTCTGTGATGGGATTGGATGGGAATCGCGAAACGGTTTTCTTTCAGCGACTACAATGATGGACGGCAATCAAAAAAACCCCGATCAACCCTTGATTCTCACGTGTCCCAACCTTGACCTTTGAACACCTTATCATGATGAATTTACCCACAAGACGGCTTTTCTGTTTTTGTGACGCAACATGGAGGTCCGGGGGAGAAGGGAGGAAAGCGAAACCCCAATGGTTATTTTTTTTTCTCTCTCAAAAATAAAGAAAAGTTTAAAAATTATTTTGCGGGGAAGTTCGCGCGCCTGGGAATCAATGGTTGTTTTGACAAGAAAAACAAAGATTAGCTGACCGGTTTGTGTTTCGCGCCGTGGCGAGTTTTTAATCCATGAAGTTTCTTTCAGAGTTCAAATGACTTGTGACGACAATAATCTGGTTTCCTCCATCTTCAAAAAAAAAATATCTTTAGTGGTCTGGTCTGGTCTGAAGTTCCTCTTGCAATAAATAATATTACTGTACTTGGGTTCAGATGTCCTTGTATGCAGTGCAGTGTACGTAGTACCCTACTAAGTATGCTGTATATATATCCTGATGTTACGCCATATAACTATTGATTGGTAAGTAAGATTAGATGTATTGGATATCCATCCTGTCCGGGTAGATCTCTTGGTTTGCAGCTTGATCAGTCCTTGTATGGAGTAGTCGTGGGGGATATAAATTGGGTATCCTGCAAATGATAACTACTGATAGATAGCCCTATCTTGCCGCTTGCCATGATGTGAGGTGATCACTGATAGTATGATGTGATGTGATGCCGCTGGCACCGTCTATACTCGATCAGTGTCTAGTGTCTAGGCGCGGGTAGATACTAGATAGGTACTAGATAGAGGGAGGATGTCTGTCCCATTTGACAGGATCCACTTTGGTAGGATTTTGAAGTCATCGTTCACCTCTCGCTCAGTCTGACAGTCACTCACTCACTCACTCACTCACCACGAAGTACGGAGTACGTACTTGTGGTCGATATATGATGTAAGTACCTTTGGTAAAGAGGAGTACTAAAGAGATATCCATGCAGCCAGATGTATCTGAATCTACTGGATACTAGATACATACTAAGTATTTTAAGTAAGGTAGGTACCACACCACACTCCCAAGACCTGGCGTAATTCTCATTGGTAGGATAGGTAAGTAGGTACTAAGGTAAAGTCTGGTCTAGTCTGCTGTATCTATAGTGCCTTGATAGGTAGGGGCATTAGTACTTGTTAGGTTGTATTGAGGTAGTATTGTCGTGGTGGAAGTGGGAGGGGAAGAGAGGGGGGGAAAGATGGATCTAGTTTCTTTCCATCCAGCCAGCCAGTCTACCATCCCATCCGCTTTTCTTTCCCCTCTCATTACATCACCTCAAGGTTGGATTTTCTTCGACGGGGGGGTTCTTAATTTTCAGTCTATTTTGTGTGTGCGTTGTGTGCGTGTGTGCGCGTGGTCTGATAAGCTAATACCCCCTAGAGACAGGATTCGTCCAGCAGTTGCACTGGTTAATCTCAGAGAAACACTCTAGGGCAGGCGTGCAGGTTTAGTAGTTGTACTATGGGATGCGGATTGTGGGTATGTGGATGTGCGCGGAAGGCGGAATGACCAGTCCGAGTCCGAGTCGACTAGTCGATATTAAATTGCTCATTATTATGCAGGATGTTGATATGCAACTAAGGCTAGTAGTGATAAGCTGAAGAATGGGAGTTTTATTTTGTTTCTCTTTTTTTTTGGTTTGTAGGGATGTTCGCCTGTCTAGCAATCTTCTAACTATGAATATTGAATATTGAATATTGAATACTACTACGTATCTAGTAGGCAAGTAAATAGTCTGGTCAACCCCAGCCCTGCCGAAAAAAATGGGCCAGTCACAATACTAACTGACAAGGTTCTCCGCTTCCCGACCGGCGCAGATCTGCCCTCCCCGCATTTGGTCTCCGGATCGGTGCTTGCAACTCTGCAGTCTGCAGTAATCGGCCAGCATTCCCCCTCGGCTGCTGCCCCTGTCTGTCCTGTCCTGTGCCTGTACCCCTCTTCATCCTCCCCCCAGTCCCTCCCATCCCATCCCATCCCATCACATCCCATCACATCCCATCACATCTAATCCCAGCCAAAGCAACCACATCCATTCATCCTCAATCCCCATCACACGCTAAATCTCCCATTGGCTACCATCACAATCTTCTACCTACCTAACCTCTAGTACCTATCCCTGCCTACCTACATACATACCCATGTCCTCCCCAAAGTCCAGACTCTCCTCCCTGCTGGGCCATTTCCGCCCGTCTGGCGATGAAGCCCACGGCTCCCCAGTCCCCCTGCAGGGCCCAGGCCACCAGGTGAATCAACATACCCTCTCGCCGACATATTTCCTGCCCCGGGCGGCGGCGATTGAGCCCGAGGTTAGTTCAGCTGATTACTACGTTTGTTGTGCTTTTTCTGGGGCTGTGTTTGTGCGGGAGGGGATGGATGACTACTAGTACTTTAGTGATGGTGAATCACGGGCTAACACATACATCCATCCATGCATCCAGGCCCAAGCCATCCACCACATCACTGCCAACAACCAAGTCCTGCGGAGAAGCTACATGGAAGTTGCGGACCGGGCGCGCGGGCTGGCTTACTACCTCAAGAAACATGGGTTGAAGCGCGTGGGGATTCTCTGTCCGAATACGCCGGCGTTTTTGGAGGCGATTTTTGGGATTGGGGCTGCCGGCGGGGTGAATATTGGTTTGTGATGTCCATCTTTCTTTCTTTCTTTCTTTCTTTCTTTCGGGCTTTGGCTGTTTGTTGGAATTGGGTGTTTGGCATCCTAGGAGGGATAAGTTTGGTTAACCTGTCTGCTCTGTCATAAGCTGTGAACTACCGCCTCAAAGAAGACGACATCGCGTATATATTCACGCACTCGGACGCGGAGGCCATCATCGTCGATCGGGAGTTCCTGCCGCTTCTCCGCCGGTATCGGCAAGCGAATCCTGCGGTGCCAGTGATTGTGGATACGGATACGGATGCAACCGGGGGGCAGTTGTCGGGTCCGTTTGATGAGGCTGTCTTGGAGGGGTTGGGGTATGATAGGGATACCGGGGCGAAGGGGTGGGAGGGCCTAGAGGCCCAGGCCGCGAGCGAGAATGATGTGCTTGCCTTGGCGTATACCAGTGGCACGACGGCTAAGCCCAAGGGCGTCGAGTATACCAATCGCGGCAGTTATCTGGCCGCCATGGGGAATATTGTTGAGTCGGGCTTGCAGAGGGGGAAGGGCAGGTGTGGATATTTGTGGATTCTGCCCATGTTTCATGCTGTTGGTATGTATTGGGCTGGGATTCTGGGATCTTGGGGGCTTTGGACGTTTCGGATGGTTGCTGACTGACTGGGTGTGTGTGGTGTAGGTTGGACGTTCCCGTGGGCTGTTACGGCCGTCAGGGGCACGCATTATTGCCTAAGGAAGATCGACTATGCGCAGATCTGGTCGATCTTGAAGCAGGGAGGTGTTACTCATTTCAACGCGGCGCCTACGGTGAATACCCTGCTCTGCAGCCATCACGATGCGAAACGACTGGCTGTGCCGATTGAAGTCACCGTGGCGGGCAGTCCGCCGGCGCCGCATCTCTTCGAGCAGATGGCCGGGCTGAATTTCCATCCCGTGCATGTCTACGGGATGACGGAGACGTACGGGCCAATTACGAGATCCTATTATATGCCGTCGTGGGATAACATCCCGTCGGACGAGAGGTTCAAGAGACTGGCGAGGCAGGGGCATGGGTTCCTGACCAGTCTGCCGGTGCGGGTGATCAAGACCGATGTCCCCGAGGGGAGTGTGGTCGAGGTCCGCCGCGACGGCAAGGAGATCGGGGAGATTGTGTTTTCCGGGAATATCTGCTCGCGGGGCTACTACAAAGACCCCGTGGCGACGCGGAAGATGTTTGCCGGCGGCGTGCTTCACTCCGGGGACCTGGCAGTGTGGCATGCCGACGGGGCGGTTCAGATCCTGGATCGGGCCAAGGATATCATCATCAGCGGTACGGAATTGCGTCTGTTTGTGTTGTCGATGCGGTCGACGTTGCTAACGAGACACAGGAGGCGAGAACATCTCCTCGGTTGCCCTGGAATCCATGCTGGCGGATCATCCGGACATCCTGGAAACCGGGGTAGTGGCGGTGCCGGACGCCCACTGGGGCGAACGACCCAAGGCGTTTGTGACCGCGAAGGAAGGTCGCCAGCTCGACGGCAACCAGGTGATTGATTGGGCCCGGGACCACAGCGGAATCAGCAGGTTTATGGTGCCCCGCGAGGTGGAGGTGGTGGCGGAACTGCCCAAGACCAGTACCGGGAAGATCAGGAAGAATGTCCTCCGGGACTGGGCAAAAGGGGCGCCTCGAGTATGAGTGGCTGGAAGCCTCAGAAACACTGACGGTGTACAGATCTCGGGTGGGGGGGATGGTGATGTTAGGGTTATATATAGCGGGGGGGAGGCGGGGATCTCGACGCGCCCATTCCTGGGGCCGGTTGCGGCCAGGGCATCCCCGTCAGTCCTTTTGCACATTCTCTTTGTTTTACCGATGTCCGGGAGTCAGCCCAGGAATGCAGCACGCGGGCTACTGCCTCGTGGATGGGGGGAAAGCCGTGGTCTGCCTTGGATGGAGTATATAGAGGGGATGCATAGGGGCGGAACGCACGGACTCTTGATGCCGTGGGAGATAGACGATAGACAAACAATGTTGGAACCCCAGCAAAGACAGGCTGGTTGAGGTGGTCGCCAGGCATGCAGAACCACCTAGGTACTAGGTAAATTAGTGGTAACCAGGGCATTACTGCATTCGTGGCTCGTATTGGAGCCCATCGACAATAGTGGGCGCACGGGGCAGGCATCGAGCAACCCGATGAAGGGATCACCGGCAGCCTTCCCTCCCTTCCTTCACGCTGGCTGGCCCTGCCGACGAGGTGTCCGATCCGTGAATCACCCAACTCCTATCCACCTGCCTGTCTGTCTGTACCTGTCTGTACCTGTCTACCTGTCTACCTTGTCTGCCTGCCTGTTTGTCTGCCTGCCTCCGTGACTGCTCTTGCAGCCCAGCCCGACTAACTGACTAGTTAGTTGAGGTCCATCACTAAGTTGGCTTACTCACCCTCTCCTCTTCTTGTTCTCCTCCCGCCTTCGCAGCCGCCCGCCCTTCCTTCTGCTCCTCCCTCGTCACACCCTCTCTCTCTCTCTCTCTCTTTCTCTCTCTCTGCTCTACTCTGCTTCTTCTCCTCTTGTCAAACGGTTGGTTCTTGACAGTCCCCACGGGAGGCTCTCTTCCCCACCCGGCCTCAAGCTGACACCCTGAACTACTACTAGCCAACACTTGCCCCCCTCTAGGCTCTAGCCCACCAACCCCCCCCCTCCTCCCTTGCCTTCCGCTCCCTCCCAATTCGCAACTGCTGCAGGCACGCCCCCCGACGCGCGTTCTCCCTCATAACCGCCTCCCCCCCCCCAACAACCCTTTCGCTACTCCAGATACAACTTGTCACTTCTCTCTGATCCAGGTCTTATTGGGCCTTCCCCTTTCGTCCCCTGCCGACCTCCCAAAACAGGTTTCGACCTCGAACTGCAGACCTGGTACTGGTACCCTTGACCCACTCGACTCAGGCCCGTGAAGGACTCGGTGGCGGAAGTTTATGGGACACCGTCCATGCAGACAACGCTTCTCTAGTGGGTGAACCCAGGACCCCCAGGACCCCAGGACAGGACACATCGGAGCACGGCCAGCGCTCCTCTACAGCATCTCACCCTCCATCCGAACCCCCGACGGCGGCCCCGATGCCCCGCCAACGGCAACCCGCTCGGTTCGCGAGCGAGGCCCCCTCCGACACATCCACATCGACGTCACCCGACCGCACCGCCGACGACGACACCGACTTCTTCACAGCCCAGGCGAACGACTCGCAGTCCTCCGTCGGCATCGCGACCCGCGACGCAAACCTCCACATCGATGCCGAGATGATCCTCCCGCCGATCGGGCGGCTGCCCCCCGAGATCCTCATCGCCATCTTCGCGAAACTCAGCGCCCCCTCCGACATGTTGAGCTGCATGCTGGTATGCAGGGGATGGGCGGCGTACTGCGTGGGCATCCTGTGGCATCGGCCCTCGTGCAACAACAATAACAACTGGGACAACATGAAGACGATCACCACCTCGGTGAGCAAGCCGGACGGCTTCTTCCCGTACTCGGAGCTCATCAGGAGACTGAACCTCTCCGCCCTGACGGAGGGCGTCAGCGATGGCACGGTCGTCCCGTTCGCCCAGTGCAACCGGATCGAGCGGCTCACGCTGACCAACTGCTCGAAGCTGACGGACAAGGGCGTGTCGGACCTGGTGGAAGGCAACCGGCATCTACAGGCCCTAGATGTCTCGGATCTGCGCCATCTGACGGACCACACCCTGTACACGGTGGCCAGGAACTGTGCGCGACTCCAGGGTCTCAACATCACCGGATGTGTCAACATGACGGACGAGTCGCTGATCACCGTGTCGCGGAACTGCCGACAGATCAAGCGGGTAGGCCCTGTCTCCGGAATCCATGCTGTTGCGATGGTACTGACGTGCTGCAGCTGAAACTGAACGGGGTTTCGCAAGTCACCGATAAGGCTATCATGTCGTTCGCCATCAACTGCCCAGCCATCCTGGAGATTGACCTGCACGACTGTAAACACGTCACCAACCCGTCGGTGACAGCCCTCATGGCCACGCTCCAGAACCTACGGGAGCTGCGCCTCGCCCATTGTACCGAGATCGACGACACGGCTTTCTTGCAGCTTCCCCGGCACCTGTCCATGGACAGTCTGCGGATCCTCGACTTGACGTCATGCGAGAGCGTCCGCGATGATGCGGTCGAGCGCATCGTTGCCTCGGCTCCCCGCCTGCGGAACCTGGTTCTGGCCAAGTGTCGGTTCATCACCGACCGCGCGGTCTGGGCCATCTGCAAGCTCGGGAAGAATCTCCACTATGTCCACTTGGGCCACTGCTCCAACATCTCCGATGCCGCGGTGACCCAGCTGGTCAAATCCTGCAACCGGATCCGGTACATTGATCTGGCCTGCTGCACGCGCCTGACGGATTCGAGCGTGCAGCAACTGGCCACGTTGCCCAAGCTCCGGAGGATCGGGCTGGTGAAGTGCCAGTCCATCACCGACAACAGCATCAACGCCCTGGCAGGATCCAAGGCGGCGCACCATTCGGGGGGCGTGAGTAGCTTGGAGCGGGTGCATCTGAGTTACTGCATCCGTCTGTCGGTTGCCGTAAGTGAATGAGACAGACCCTTGATTGATTTGAGGGGTGGGAGTAATGCTGACTTGCGTGCAGGGAATCCATGCGTTGCTGAATAGCTGCCCTCGCCTGACCCACCTGAGTCTGACGGGGGTCCAGGCCTTCCTGCGGGATGAGCTGACGGTGTTCTGCCGCGAGGCACCCCCCGAGTTCACGAACCAACAACGCGAGGTCTTCTGCGTGTTCAGCGGCGATGGTGTGAACCGGCTACGCGACTTCCTCAACCGAATCATCCCCCCTCCGCCTCCGCGCGACCTGGCGGAGGCCACCATGTACGACGAGGACGACGAGCTCGACGAGGAGGAAAACCCCGTGACGGGCTTGATGCATGCGACCGCGGCGACGGTGATTCACGACGACGACTACATTGACATTGGACATACCCATGGTTGATACCCCGCCTTCTTTGAGCGTGCCTGTTCCTTCTGATATCTTTTCTCTTTTATTTTTCTTTCTCCCTTTCTGTACGCGTGATTGTTTCATACTTTTCCGGGCGGTTTTGGGCCAGCGCGAGGGGCGCCTTGCTTGGCCAGGTTCAGGCTGGCTTGTGGCCGTTGCTTACGACTCTTTGAAATTTGCATCTGCTAGCGGTTCACCGGGGCGGTCTTTGGGCTGCGGGGAGTGGTTGCGTTCGTTTTGTTTGGGCTTAGCATATCTGTGGACTTAAGGGAGGGAGGCATGGACGTAGATATGGATCCACGACTCACAGTGAGTGACTGACATTCCTGCTCCTGCATGGCGCGGCTGTATAGAGACCAACCATCTACGCGAGAGAGGCCGTCTGGGGCGACATGTGCATGGGCAGGAGTTGGGAAGATTGATTGATACGAATTGCATCTTTATCGCATCGGAATAGACTTCACTCATCTTTGCATGCATTTACAGTGCCTCCCTAGTAAACAGACTAAACACCTGAGGTATCCGTACCCGTACACTTGTGGTACCATAAAATACCCCGGCCTGTCACAACGTCACTCCCCACTTTTGCTTCCCCACCGCCTTCTGCACCGTGCGATGATCCCCTCCGCATCTCTCCTCTCTCTCCTCACTCTCCTCACTCTCCTCACCACCCACCGACTGTCGACCTCCTGGATCCGCTGCCTGCTGAGCATTCCCTCCCTGCTCCCTCCGCCATGGCTCCTCGGCTCGCGCGGGCCAATCCCCTCGCGTTCACCCGCTGGCCCGTCACCCTGATCACGACGACTGTGTACCTGGCCTTCGTGATCCCGCTGCTGATCGTCCACCACGTCCTGCCGTCCCCCCCAGCCTCCAACCCCACGGGCCTCGACCTGACCGAAGCCTGGGCCGACCTCCAGGTCCTCACCGACGGCTTCCACCCCTACAACTCGCGACGCAACGACGACGTGCACGCCTGGCTGCTGCAGCGCATCGACGAGATCGTGACCTCCACCCCGCCGTCCAGCGCCTACTCCACCCACGACGAAGACAAGCCCGACGTCTTCGTCTTCGACGACACCCACTCGAACCTCACCTTCGTCGGCAACCCGCTTAAATCCGCAAACACCGGCGTCTACTTCGAAGGCACCAATATCCTCGTCTACATCCGCGGCCAGGACGACTCCAGGACTCAATGGTGGCTTGAACCGAATGGCGTACCGCCCGCCGGCCAGAGCGGTGGCGTGCTGGTCAACGCGCACTACGATAGTGTGTCGACGGGGTATGGCGCTACGGACGATGGTGTTGGCGTTGTGAGTTGTCTTCAGCTCATCAAGTACTTCACCACCCCGGGTCATGTGCCGCGTAAGGGGCTTGTTGTGCTGTTCAATAATGGCGAGGAGGATTATTTGAATGGGGCCCGTGTGTATGGACAGCATCCGATTGCGCGGTTCCCACACACGTTTGTGAATCTGGAAGGGGCTGGCGCTGGGGGCAGGGCGATCCTGTTCCGGAGTTCTGATACCGAGGTCACTAGGCCGTATATGAGGTCGAAGTATCCGTTTGGGTCCATTCTGGCTGCGAATGGCTTTGAGGTCGGTCTGATTAGTAGCCAGACGGATTACGTCGTGTTTGAGGGCGATATGGGCCTCCGGGGGCTGGATGTCGCGTTCATGGAGCCCAGGGCTAGGTATCATACTGAGCAGGATGATTCCAGGCATACGAGTCGCGGGTCCCTGTGGCATATGTTGTCCGCGGCGGTGGCGACGACGGAGGGTTTGGTTGGGGATAAGAGTGGACAGTTTGATGGCGCGTCGAGGGAGGATGCGAGGGTTGCGAGCGGGGAGGGGTCCAAGGCTGTTTGGTTCGATCTGTTTGGGACCACGTTCGTGGTCTTTCAGTTGCATACGCTGTTTGCGCTGTCGGTGACGCTGTTGATTGTTGCGCCGTTGACCCTGCTGGTGACGGGCATTGCGCTGACGCGTGCCGACAAGATGTATCTGTTCAGGACGTCGGTGAAGCTCGAGGATACCCTTGAGTCGGTGCCGCTGCAGGGTCTCCGGGTTTCTTCCGGTTCCCCTTCCTGTTTGCGATCCCGACGGCTGTCACGGTGGGTTTGGCGTATCTGGTGACCAAGGTCAATCCTTTGATTGTGCACAGCAGCGAGTATGCCGTCTGGAGCATGATGCTGTCGGCTTGGATGTTCCTGGCCTGGTTTGTCTCGCGCGTGGCCGAGTTCGCCCGGCCGTCTGCCCTGCACCGGGTCTACACTCTCACCTGGATCTTCGTGCTGGGATGGGTCATGCTGGTCATTGCCACGGTGTATGAGAACAAATGGGGTCTGGCTGGTGGCTACTTCGTCTTCTTTTTCTTCTCCGGCACCTTCGTGGCCACCTGGATCTCGTACCTGGAGCTCTTCTCGCTCCCGCGCAAGTCCGACTACGCCTTGCAATGCGCCCCGGTCTCCCGACGAGCCAGCAGCTACGGCGGCAGCCGACTCGGCACGGCGTCGGGTGAGGAGCATGATGGGGCGGTCCACGACGGCGATGAGGACGATGACGAGGAGGACGAGCCGACGGAATCGACCTCCCTTCTCGGTGGTGGCCAGCGCACCACCTTCGCCAACTACGTGCGCGTCACCGGCGACAACCACAATCATGCAGACGGCTCTGACATCGACGAAGACCCGAACGTTTACAAGTACGAGCAGCGCTGGAGCGCCGGGCTCCCGAAATGGACGTGGGTTCTGCAGTTCCTGCTCATCGCGCCGCTGGTCCTCATCATGGTCGGGCCCCTGGCCCTCCTCCTCACCAGCGCGCTGCACCAAACCGCCCAAGACGGCAGCTCGCCGCTGTTTGTCTACACGGCGGTGGCAGCCCTATCCACCCTGCTCCTGACCCCCCTCCTCCCCTTCATCCACCGCCACACCTACCACATCCCGCTCTTCCTCCTACTGGTCTTCGCCGGCACCCTCATCTACAACCTCGTCGCCTTCCCCTTCTCCCCCTCCAACCGCCTCAAGCTCTTCTTCCTCCAGGAAATCGACCTCACCTCCGGCGCAAACTCCGTCTCCCTCTCAGGCGTCCAGCCCTACGTCCTCGACGCCGCATCCACCCTCCCCAGCGCCGCCGGCCAAGACATCACCTGCGTCGACCACACCGCGCGCGGTACGAAATGCTCCTGGACTGGCCTCGCCCCCCGCGTCATCACCGATAACGATGACCCCAACACCCCGCTGTCCAACTGGCTCAATTACACCATCACCAAATCCAAATCCTCACCATCCAAAGGAGAGAAAACCGGCAAGCCGAACTCCGCCCGCATCACCCTCTCCGGCCGCAACACCCGCGCCTGCAAACTCCTCTTCGACTCCCCGGTCTCCTCGTTCGAGGTCCTCGGGTCGGCCTACGACCCACGCTTCCCGAGCTCGTCGCCCCTCGGCACCAAGGAGATCCGCCTGTGGAGTCGCGAGTGGGAGAATGAGTGGACCGTTGATGTTTCTTGGTCTGATGCGGATGAGAGTGAGGAGTCTGTGGCCGATGGCTCGGTTGCAGAAAGAGAAGATGAAGAGAGAGAGGGTAAAATCACTCTCACCGGCCACGCCGTCTGTCTTTGGAGTGATCATAACCAGGTCGGGGCTATCCCGGCGTTAGATGAGGTGAAGCAGTTCGGTCCCGTTTGGGTGGCGGTTAGTAAGGCGGCGGATGGGTTGGTGGAGGGGAGGAAGAGGTTTTCTGTTTAGGTAGTTCTTTTTTTTTTTTTTTTTTTTCTGTTGTTATTTTGTCTGTCTTGTTACATCTGTTGTGTGTGGCTTTATGTCATGCATGTGTTTGTGTGGTTGTGTGGTTGTGTGTGTAACTCTGTTTTATTCTGTTTGTTTATGCTCGCTTTTCTTCTATATGTGGTTGTGGTTGTGGTTGTGGTTAGTAGTTGTTACAGACATGCATGGCATGCGTTGTGTAGTTTCTATTCTATTCTATTCTACTATATCCCATCCTAACCTGTGTTCTGTTATGTTATGTTATGTTATTGTTATGGTTATGGTTATGATGAAGACGAGAAGATCGGATCTATCATGTACTTGATTGATTGACTGACTGACTGTATGGTCTCTTGTTTTTGGCGTTACGGAGATCGGGCAGTACTTGCCACTATCTCTGTCTGTCTGTCTGTCTGTCTGTCTATCTACTTACCTACCTACCTATCTACTTACCTACCTACCTACCTACTTACCTACCTACCTACCTACCTAGGTACATAGTAGTTACTATCTAGGTATTCTTTCTTCTCTCTTTCTCTCTTTCTATCTTTCTATCTTTCTATCTATCTACTATATCTATCTATCCCACGGCTCTCTACTTCCTACTCCCTACTCCAATTCATACTCCCTACATACTCCCTACATACTTACATAGGAAGATATGAGTACTAGTTAAGCAGTATCTTCCTATTTAGTACTTTTCGATTTCACCTGCTACTTACTTACTTACTTACTTTTTTTTTATATTCTTTTTATCTCTCTCTCTCACTTCCTACTTCTGTCTTACGTCTTACTTCCTTCCCCCACTACAACAACAACAACAACCACGAGCCCAGAAACAATGGACCAAAACCCTAAGTATGAAATACAATGTATATATAATACATTACCTAAAGATCATCCCCTGCTTCTGCTTCTGCTTCTGCTTCTCCTTCTTCATCCCCTCTCAACTAGCATACATACATACATGGCGAAAGAAAAGGAATAAAAAAAAAAAAAACAAGGGGGAAGGGGATAGGCGTGGGCGAGGGCGTCCGTCCAGCCAAAGGAACAAGAGAAAAGAAAAAACACGCATACAGGCAAGCAGGCAGGCAAGAAAAAAAAAAGAACCCCGCAAGCAAAAAGTCTATCTTTCAGTTCCAGTGTCTCGTTTCTCCGAGTCGTTCGTTCAGTCCATGAGTTGAGTAAATAAGTAAGTAAGAAAGTAATAAATGGTTGCTGTTGTTGTTGTTGCTGTTGTTGTTGTTGTTTGGGGTGTAGGTAGGTAGATAGGTAGGCAAGCAGTGAGTAAGTCTGACCAGACAGACCTGCGCCAATCAACCAAACCAATACCAACCAGCTAACAACACGACAAGCACAACAAACACAACACAAAACAACACAACACCGTGAAAGGAGATGTCCCGAACGCCTTGCTTTGGCTTTTATTACATGGTAGATGGTAGGTAGGTAGGTGGTAGATGAAAAAAGAGGAATGGGGCGAATTTTTAGCTCCATCCAAGAGATATGGAGGGACGGAAAAAGGGAGAGAGGTAAGATAATCAAGAAAAAAAAGAAAAAAGAGCAGAAGCAACCAGGGAGTCGAATCACCCCTTCATGGTAGCCAGGAACGAATCCAGGTTGTACTCCTCCTGGTACTGGCGGTCGTCCCAGAGCTCGCCGAGATCGTCCAGCCAGCCCTTCTTGCCCTTTTCTTTGACTTCGCCGTCGATGTCGACCATGTCGACTTCGTTGCCGGCTTGCTCGGTGGGCTTCTCGGCGTTGTCGGCCGTTTCGCCGAGATTGAAGAGGTCGAGTAGCTGGTCTGTGTCCATCGTGTTGAGGCCCGCGTTCTGTTGATTGACCACTGTCGAGGCCACGTCGATCTTGAAGCGTTGGAGACTGCGATCGTTAGTATGATCCATGTTATTTGAGTCAGGGGGGCTTACTTCAAGATCTTCTCCTCGAGAGTGCCGCGCGTGATCAACCGGTAGACGTTGACGACCTTCTTCTGTCCGATACGATGGGCTCGGTCCATCGCCTGGATATCCTTCTGCGGGTTCCAGTCGTGCTCCACGAAGATGACCGTGTCGGCTCCCGTGAGGTTCAGTCCCAATCCACCAACGCTGGTGGTCAGGAGCAGAACATCGTAGCTAGGGTCCGAGTTAAAGCGGTTGACGATGTCCTGGCGCTTGGTCGCCTCCACGCTACCGTCCAGGCGGAGGTACTGCACCGAGGGCAGAAGCTTGCGGAAGACCTCGCTCTGCACGATATCCAGCATCTCTTTCATCTGACAGAACACCAGCGCTCGGTGCGGGCTCACGTAGCTGGCCCCCGTGCTGAGGTCGCCCTCCGTCGGCGGGTCCACGCCAATGCCGCAGTCGAGCAGCAGGTCGCGCAGCGCGCTGAGCTTCGGCGCGTGAGACACGTCGCGGACATTGGACTGCTTCGCACTGAGGTACTGCTGGACTTCATTGTACTGCTTGTGGCCCTCCTTGACTACGAGGGCGGGCGAGTTGCAGAGACGACGCATGTACTGCAGGGCCTGGAAGATGTGCTCCTTGTCCGACTTCTCAGAGCTGCCCAGCTTGTCGGCGAGCTCCTTTTGCTCCTTCTTCGAGAAGTCCTCGAAGAGTCTCTTCTGCAGGTCACTGGGGTCGCAGTAGTAGTTCTGAATGATCTTCGGTGGCAGGTCGTTCAGCACCTCCTCCTTTAGACGACGCAGCAAGAACGGAAGCACTTGCTTGTGCAGCGCCTCGATGGCAAGAGCGCCGGCTTCTTGTTCCTTGGACGACGATTTGCTGAAGCGACTGGCCGCGATCGGCTTGGCGAACCGGTCCAGGAAGACCTTCTCCGTTCCGAGGAACCCGGGCATCAGGAAGTCGAACAGAGACCACAGCTCCAACACGTTGTTCTGGATCGGAGTACCGGAGAGGATCAGCCGGTGGTTGCTGACAATGCGCTTGACCGCGACCGTGACCTTCGCCTTGGGGTTCTTGATGAGATGTCCCTCGTCCAAGACGCAGTAGTTCCAGCTTATCGGGCGTAGCACATCACTGTCGTTCCGGCAGATGTCGTAAGATGTCACGACAATATCGGCATCAGCAAGGCTGCTCTGCAACTTGGCGCGCTCTACCGGAGGTCCAACATAGGCAACGCTGTTCAGGAAGGGGGCGTATTGCTTGATCTCCTGCTGCCAATGTCCCGAAAGCGACGGGGGACAGACGATCAGGGACGGCAGCTTGCGCACGTCCGCCGCCTGGGTCCGCTCAAACTCATCGGCGCGCATGTGGTGGTCACTCGCGACAATGCAGATCGTCTGAAGAGTCTTACCAAGACCCATGTCGTCACAGAGGATACCGTGCAAGTTGTATCGGTTGAGGAAAGCAAGCCAGTTGACACCTTCTTGCTGATAAGGTCTGAGCTCGGCCTTGATCGAAACCGGCAGCTGGAACTCTTCCACCTTGCGCACGTCCAGCATCTGAGACATGAATTTCCTCTCCCGGTCTCGTCCCTGGAGCAGCTTCTGAGAAAGACCCGGTGGGTCCGGGATACCCGCCTCCAAAGGAACAAGTTTGACCAGGGTAGCGAACGACGTCGTGGCGAGTAGGCGGACATCGTTGTCCGAGTCGCTCATCCGTCCCAAAACAGGCACCACGAGGAAGATGACATACGGAAGAATGCCGTCTTCCATCACATGGATGAGATGGTAGATGCACTCGACGGCTCCTTGGCGGTAGTGGACATCCAAGGGATCGTTGATTGTCGGTAATACTTTCTCGACCAGCATTGTCATGCCATCGACGGCTATGACACTGCAGAGCGTGGCAAAGCACTTGGCAGCTGCGTATCTGATGACCGAAAGCCGGCATTGCAGGGCCTTGGCAATAACAGGCATGAGGCCGACCACCCAGGGATACAGACCAGTGTCGAACTTGGGTAGCAGGGCGCGCAACGTGGAAAGGCCATCCACAACCTCCTGGCCCAGGTCGTTGTCGGGGTTGAGAATTTCTTCTGGGAGATCGCCGGCGAGGGCGTCTTTGAGAGGCCGCTCGACCAAAGAGGCCAGGTTGGGAACCTTCTCCAAAAGGTCGGCCCCAAACTTGACTGCCAGTTGCTCGAGGGCATCCTTGGCACCCCGGCGCATGATCCGCGCTTCCTTTGCCTCTCGCTCGAACTTCGCGGCATCCGGATGGTCGCGCCGGTCTTCTTCCTTGCGAAGCGACAGGATCGATTTCTCCAGGGTTGCGTTGTGGTGGAACTCGGGCGTCTCGGAGGTGTCCACGCAGCAATACTTGACCAGGTTGCCGATGACTTTGTCGACTGGGCCTCGCTTGGCTGCGGTGGTGTAGTACTCCACCAACGTCGCGACTGCGGTGGCAGAGCGCTGTTGCAGGTCGGCGTTCTCTTCCTTCTTGATGCTGTCCATCATTCCCTTGATAATATGGCTGGGTTTCTTGGGGATGTCGTGCAGCGCCACCAGCGCACCGGCGGCTGCAGCCCGCACACGCAGGTCCCGTTGCTCCCGGACACTCCTTGCCTCCTCGATCGCGCTTTGGGCGGTCGCGCGGGTGTCGTTGAGGACCTGCAGCGCGGTGATGCGTTGTGCAGGCGCCAACCCCTTCTTGAGCCGCTCGAAATCGGGCCCGACGACCTTTTCGGCATCCGTGAGAGAGAACGCACTGGGCCCCGCCTCGGGGTCTCCTTGGACGACGACCGCAAGGGTCGGCAGTCTAGAGCTAGGGACGTGGGCGTGGTCTCGGAAGGTGTTGAGTAACGAGTGGCACTGCGCACGGGCGACATGGAGGTAGCACGCAATGTCGCTGTACCACAACGGACGGTCGGCTTCGATAATCGGGCGCATCTGGTCGCACAGAATGGAAGTATACTTGCTTCCAGGGCCAGAGACCCTGGCGTATTCTTCCACGACCATAGCAGTGGAGAGCTGCGACGTGGAGGCCGAGTATTGGAGACCCTCCAAGATAGACTGCCAGAGACTGGAAAGCTCATTCCTATCCCAGAAGTGAAGCAGGTTCCCCAGCGCCTTTGCCGCATAGATCTTCGACCTCAGCATGGTGTCTGCGCCAACCAAGTCGATATCGCCCTGGAGCATGTGCCCATCCACGTTGTGGGCCGAAGGCGAAGGCGCTTCTTTCTTCTCTGCTTTCCGCCCACGCTTCTTCGCTCCGTCGGGGGCGGCATTGCCACCAGTCGGTGATGATTTCGCGGGTGCAGAAGCGCTCATTGGGAAAGGTACACCAGACGGCTTGATGAAAAGAGATGCGTTCATGGGGATAGGGTATCTGGGAACGCCGAATGGGGCGATGGTCAAGGTGATGAGAGGCTGGACATAACTCAAGAGGTCGGTCTCGGCCTGGAACGACCCCCGACTCTCGAGAGCCTTGAGCAACTCGGACCAGACCTGGAGGGACAACTTGAGCACGCCCTCATTCCGCTCTACCAGTAGATTTTGGAAAACCAAGCGCAATGCCTTCCCATTCACCCATTCGTTGGTACCCTCGCCCTCTAGTTGTAGGAAGGTCATGAGAGCACGAAGGACGGCAGACCGCACGCTGGTGATTGTGTGACGCAGGAATGGATAGAGACGGGGCACGAGGTTCCCGAACGACGACTCCGGATCAACCGCAGCATTGGCCTTCATGGCATCCAGGACCTCGCGGAACGTGCAAAGCTTCGCCAGAAGGTCCATGACGGAGCCGGTACTAGCACTCAGGTCATCCTGCAGGTTGGAGAGACAGTCCCAGACGATGTTCATCAGGCTTCCTAGCGTAGTCTGGCGAGTGGCAACAAACTCCTCGGCCATGGGCACGAGTGTAGCCGCACTCACCGCGCGAACATCGTCGTCGTAGTCACCCAGGCCCCTCATGACTGCCTCCAGGACACCATCCATGAGACTGCGGTCCTTTATTAGGATATCCTTGCGGACCGCCACTAGATATCTCAGGCCGATCATGCCGCCGTGGCAGACTTCCCAGATGGGACGTTCCAGGCCCAAGTCGTTCTGCATAACGATCCGGTACAGGCATTTATAGACAGAAACCACGGATCGCGACGGGAGTTGCGATAGGAGCGCACCCAAAGTCTGGCCCACCGTTTCCCGGATAGGAGCAACAACGTTGTCGGAGATGTAGTCACCAAACCGGTCGAGCATCAGAACACAGAGGAGACGGCAAGCCAGATCATCCAGCCATTTGCGGTTCAACGCATCGTTCTCGAGCCTGCTCTTGTCCCGTACACGTCCGGCCCCCGCGCCTTGAACGCGGATGACCTCTCGGAGGGCCATCGCAGCTCCGTGACGGACCTCCCAGTTGGGATCAAAGATATCCACCATCAGGAAGTCACACATCGGATCGTATGGCCATGAGAGACTGGGACCGTCGTCGGGAATTTCTGGCTGTATGAGGGGCTTTTCCGGGGCAACTGCGCCCTTGAACTCGGCGACAATCTTTTGGTCGTCATCGCCGCCTTCCGACCGTTCGAGAGAGAAGTAGTCCTGTTTCGAGTCGCCGTTGCGTTCCTCTCCGTTTTCCGTCTTGACCGGATGAGGCGTCGTGGCCGAAGGGGTGGTGACGTTGTCCGACGGTCTCCGTGCCGACAGATCAACCACGCGGACTTTGTTCGCGCCCATCCTCGCGCTCTGCTTGTTTTTGCGCTTGAGCTGGTTCAATTGGCGCTTGCTGAGGCCCGGCTCCTCTCCATTGGTGTTTTCGACGGGCGATGCCAGGGATGGCGTCGCGAGACTGTGGTTGTTGTTTTCCTTGTGGGGGCCTTCGTCCTTGATTCCCGGGGTCTTCAGGGCGAGATCGGTGTCGTCGATCAAGTCCTCCTCGATGTATTCACCGGCAAGTCCGAGACGGGAGGTCAAGGTTTTCTTCTGGTGCTGCAACCGGGATGCCGGGTCCAGGGCGGCCAGGGAATACTCGTACTCCTTGCCGGCACTCCCCAGCAGCCTCTTTCCGTACTTCAAGATCGCAGCCAGATCGAGGTTTTCCAGTTGAAGCAACGACTCCCCGGGAGACGAGGGTTGTTCCTCCTCGGACTTGATCGCTACATCCGCCGCATCGTCGTCGTCGTCGGCCTTCTTGATCGTTTCGCCGTCTTCCTCATTGGGATCGAAGGTGTCGGCGTTGGTCACGATCAGGCCAATGGCCTTGGCGGCAGCCGTCCGGGTGTCCCAGGACTTGGAGCGGAGATAGGGCAGGATGCGCCCGAGCAGGTTGAAAAGCTCATCGGGATGCTGCTTCTGGACGTCGGCAAGCTGCTGGGCGGCGGTGTTGCGGATGAGAGCGGTGCTGCCCGTCTCGAGCAAGCTGCGCAATGATTGGTCAGTACGGGGGGGTTGGGGGGGGAAGACGCGACGAGGCGACGAGGCGCCGAGGCAGAACTCACGTGACGAGACGGTCGAGTCTTAGCGCGGAACAGTTAGCGTCATGTACCAAACGGATGCGGAATGGACGGGACGGCCGAGGGACGCTTACCTGGAGGTCATGGCCGGCTGGGGCTGTCACGCCTCGGAAGTTTGAGGAACGAATGAAGTCACGTATCCCAGGCAAAAAAAAAAAAAACCAGAAGCCGCAGAAAGGGGGTATCAGAGTGAACTCAAATGCAAATAAAAAAGGGAACGTGACCCAAATGATCCAGTGATTCTTCCACCACTCAGCCCGCGACAAGCTCCGGATATTAAAGTAAGGTAAGGTAAAGGTGAGGTAAGGTAGGTAAGGTAGGTAGGCAAATAGTGAGAGGTAGAGGGGAGAGAGAGAAGGGAGGTATTGTAAAGTATACAAGACCGTTACACCCACGTCCCAGCCATCGAGATGTCAAGCGCGGACTAAATGGGCAAACTGGACAGTAGTAGTTCGAGGGCGATCGGTAACAGAAGTGGAGATCACCACGGGTTTAGTACACAAGTCGAGACGCGGGTAGGGTGTGGTAGTATTGAATCACCGGTCGCAGAAAATCGGGAGAGGGAGCGGGACAGGGGGGGGGAGAGGATATATTACTGTAGTAGAGAGGATGAAGTAATAAATCATGAGAATGAGACAAAGAAGAGGGAGAGGAAAAGTTGGTTGGTTGGTTGGTGATTGATTGAATAAGAAGGGGAGGTGGTGGTAGTGGTGGTAGTGGTGGTGCCTGCGTGCGGATAGTGGTGGTAGCAAGCAAGCACAGGTCAAGCAGGTTCCAGCGGGCAAATGCGCAGGAGTATCAACAAGTCGACCTCGGGGTCCTGCTTGGGCTCCGTCCCCTCGAGGTCACGCAGCCTGTTTATATCATTGGGGGCATCTTTGCCTGGGCGCGCCTACCCATACTTGGGCCCTGCGCGCTAGTCCCCTCCCGGCCTAGCCGGGCCCACTCCCGTAAAGGTTTTCTGTGTGTCACGTGATGGCTCCCTGCGCCAACCGCCGCCTGGATCGACAGGCGCGAAATTGTTGCGAATGCGCTGCAGGCTGAGCCTCTGTCCAGTCGGAGAGGAGAACCAGTCGTGGATGACTATTTAGGTCCAGATAGTTAGATGGTGAATCTGAATTATTATGGGCTTGTGGACCTGTGGGCTGCTAAACGACGGACGTGGACTATCTATTGCCCTCGACCGAGGGTACGTACACTACGGAGTAGCAGAAATAATACTATAATATATAAAATTACGTTCCCATCAAGACCGCCATGTGAGCTTGTTTCGATCGCCCAATACCGTGCCAAGAAATGCCAGATGGCCTCACCTGCCAGGCCCGGCATTCGCGGGTCACCCGGACCACTGTCCTGAGTCTCTCTCCGGACTTACTCTGTGTAGACTATATTGTACCCCGAAGGGCGAATATTCTGACAGCGGCCTGGCAGAGAAGCCTAAAGTCTCTCTCCCCAGGCATCTGTTCCCGGTCGATGACGTTGGGGCTGTCCTCCAATCAGATGGCGCGCATTTCGGATGGCATCCCCAGGGCCCCAGTTATATATTCCATATCTCACACATCACATCGTACAAACCCATCTCGTCTGGATCCGATAGAGAGACGCGCTATTTACTCGACCGTTTCATCTGGAGTAGCGATGTATGGTTATTGATGCCGGAATCAATACTTGCAAGTGAATTAAGTGGTTTGCCGTGATCCGAATGCAGATACTAGATACCACAGAGCAGAGGTGTATTTATATAGTTCATCCATGGGATATTTCTCGGCATCGTGCCAGCTACCCATTCGAGCAAAAACACTGTATCGAAAATCCTCCAGATTTTCCCTGAATTCTGCAAGCAACCAATCTACCGGGGAAAAGACTTTATACGATACTATCACCGACCGGAGGATTGCAATTATCCTATCCATATGTCGTCATGAAGTCACAAAATACGACTACCCCGCCCTACAGCTACGACAGCTACGACGTGACCAATAAGAAATCCGACTCAAGTTCCCAGCTCATCCGATCGGTGAAGCAGTCCATTTCTATACATTGACGGACTCCAAGGGGGGGGGGTTTAAACAGAAAAAGAAAACAGCAAAGCCTTGGTAATGAAACAATCAACACGTAACCGCACTCCCGAATTGTGCATCTCCTCTATTCTTTCGCCAAAAACGCTGTCGCCTCTTCTTCTTTCCCTAGCAGTCCCAGACTGCGGATCTGTTCGGCCTTGGGCGCGTTCTCACGAGGGTGGGCGGCCTCAGCCTTGCGGTAGGCGGCCTGCATCTTCATCGTCCGGAGAGCCTGTCCGTCGAGGGGTATTGTCAGCGAGCACGTTCAAGGGGGGGAGGGATTGAGATCGTTTCGGATCCAGACACAGCGAGGGATCCGTGCTGGGACGAGGGCCGTACTTCTTTCTTGTGGTGCAGGCACTCGTAGTAGTCCTCCAGGGCGGGCATGCACTTCTTCTTGCCGGTCTCGCCCTCGCCACTATTGACGACGTAGCAGCCGAGCACTTCCTGCCAGAAGTTGTAGCAGCGGGAAGGACCTGCACAGAGCATCCAAGTTAGCTAGCTGACCAGGTCCGCGGGAGGGGGACACGGCGGGCCTGAAATGGCGCGATTTCCCGGGACGGGGAGCGTCGATGACAGGGGAGGCCGATAGAGGGAGGCACGTACCGCCATTGAGACCGAAACCGGAAGCCATTGTGAGGGAGGTTGGTGGGGGAGGACGGGGTGGGAGGCGGAGGGGAGGCGTTGCGAGGGAGCGGGCGGAGGTGAGGATGCGAATGGATGAGGTTCTGCGTGCCGGTGATTCGCCTTCGCCGCTTTCCGCTTTCCGCTTCTGCCCCGGCGGTGGCCCGAGCACCTGACGTCTGTGTTGCTTGCTGGTCTCCCGAACACATCACCCTCTTGGCCTCTTTGTCCTCTCCGCGACCTCGCTGCTGCTCTAGGCTTAGATCTCATCACTATGGCGGTCCTCCCGGGGCTTTCAGGTGCTCGTGCGATCCTTCTGGCCACCCATCTCTGCGCCAACGGCGATGTCGCTGCGCTCCCGTCGCTACAGGCCCAATTCCCTACCTACCTCCCACTCGAGCGTGTCTTGCGCATCATCCTGACCTTCCTCCCCGAGAGTGCGGAGCCCAGTACCTACATCCCAGTGCTGCAAGCACTGGTCGATGGACCGCTGCAAGGAGCCAATACCGACAGCACTGCCATCAACACCACGTCCATCCCAGATCTATCCGAGGCCGTGGTGAGGAAACGTGTACGGAAGATCCGTTTACTACCGCTGCAGTACCCCGACGAGGACACCCAGGATTCGTCTGACCTGCTGGCCCAATTCCTGATTCACCGGGCCCATCGCATCGACTCAGAGACTGCACTGCAACCGCTCGTCCTCGACCTCCTCTTGCCCTTCTACGAACGCTCGCCAACGCTACGCACGTGGCTGATCTCCAGTCTACTCCCGCTACTCCGCTTAAACTACGAATACTACCCCAGCCCGGACGAGACATTCTCGGTGGAGATTCTGGAGTCTATGGACAACAGCATCGCCATCAACGTTCTTCTTTCGATGACCAGTGCGACGAAAGGCAGCATGGACTTGGTAAAGAATCTCCGGGGGCTCGTTGGGGCGTGGATGTACGGCAGCAATCGCACCAAGAGACGGAGGCTCAATGAAGCGGCGCAAGAGAATGCCATCACTCTGCCCCAGGATGGAGCACAGCCAAAAACAACTGCGGGCGTCGGGTGGCAGCAAGTGAACGAGTGGTTGCTGGCGCGCAGTCTGGTCGACCACGAGAGCGCGGTCAACGCCTTTGTCAACTGGGACGGGCCTGAGGATGTTGACCTCGGGGGCTATGCCGAAGAAAGTGAAGGCCTACCGAGCGAGGAGCTGAGCGATCTGCGCACTCGATATGGTCAGACTGGACTGGCAGTTGTGTATGCGAACTCCGACCCCAGCGGGACTGCTTTGGAGGGTTCCATTCGGGTTCTGGCACGCATCGCCGATTTCTTGAAGCTGGGAGAATCTTCATATCTCACATCCGATATCTCAGAACTTCCGACGGTGAAGTTCGATTCCGAGCTGATCTCATCAACCTCAAGAGTGTCCCTGATGCAGAATGCCCTGCTGGTCTCTTCAAACCCGTTGACGCGTCCTTCTTGCTCCTCTATATCATTCCTCAGCGCAATTTGCGTCTCTCTCCGGATATTGAACGAGTTTGGCCATCCTACCCCGTCCAGGACAGCTTCAAATATATGTCTTCATTGTAATGAAGAAACGCAGCTGCTTGAATTGCGCAACATAGTTGCTTCTGCCGTGAGACAAGCAAAGTCTGGCCGTGATTGGAACAAGACCCGCCAACAATTGCTCTGGCTGCGAGATTGGCAAAGTGATCGCTCGGACATTCCAGAACAACTTACCTGTCATGGCCTCTTCTGGAAAGTCCCGCAGGAAACCGTCGATGCCGAGATCTTGAAAGCACTGTTGGAAGTGAGAGGTGAGCGTGCATCGACCCGTCTTTCTCGGCGAGACTAAACACTAACGAGTATAGAATACAACCTTGCCGTGAGCATCTACATAGACGCCGGCTCGAGTCTGAGCCAGACACAAGTCGAGGGGGCTGTCAAAGAGGCCATCTTCGCCGCGTACGACAATGCAAGCAACGGCAATCGGACTCGGGGCGGCATGAAGAAAGCATACGACATGTAAGTCATCATAGAAGCCCATCATCATTCCGACCAGAAGCTAACCCCCCAAAGCCTACAAGCTTTTCAACCGCACTTCGCGGATTCTGCCTCGTTCAAGCAGATCCAGGCTCTGATCTCCGCAACTCACGCCCTATCCTTCTACTCTCTTACCCTGCAGCACGGCGTCCCCTTCCAACCCGTCAGCATTCGCGTCCACCCCGATCCTCTCTCTCTGATCGAGAAAATCCTCGACCAAAACCTCAAGAGCTACACCAAGGTCGACGACCTGCTAGCGATCGGCCGGAACCTCGTCGCTGCAGGCGTATTTGCTCATGTCACCGATGAGAACGACTCCCCATTCTCGTCTCCTCCCTCCAAGGAAGACACCCTCATCACCGCCGAACGCCGCATCATGTCCCTCGCCATCTCCTCTGCCCTTTCCTCCCACGACTTCGGCACCGCGTACTCCTACATCCTCACCCGCCTCACTCCCCCATCCCTTCTCCCCACCTCGTCCCCTCTCACCAACCCCTCCCCCATCAAAGACGACATCACCTGGCGTGCTGTCTACAACGCCGGCCGCTACCGCGCCCCCGCCACCAGCACCACCCCCAACAACCAAACCCAGATCACCCACCTCTCCCAACGCATGGAACTGCTCTCTCTCGCCCTCGTCCTCGCACCCACCCCCGACCCCCTCCCTGAAATCCTCGGTGCCTGGCGCCGCTGCGACGAGGAACTTTCCAACCTCCGCGCGCGCGAATCCGAAGAAGAAGACCTCTGGGACTCCAAAGGCGACACCATCCCCGGCGGCTTCGGCCCCACGGATAGCGAACAAGACGCGCTGGAGACCCGACAACACCACGCGCGTCGCGCGCGCGCCCACGCCTCCAACAACCGTCTCAACCACGAAGAAGCACCCATGGGTCTATTCGAGGTCGCTCGCGGCGCCGCGCTCGCCCTACAGAAGAACGCCTTCCCACTCCGCGCCGCCGCGTCAGCGTCAGTACCGCCGGCATCAGACAACCACCCCGCCGCCCCTGCATCCTCATCCCGGAGTCACATGCGCACCGCGTCCTCCACATCCGACGACCAGCACGACGAAAGCCGCGTTCGAAAACGCGACGTCGTCAGCAACATGGTCACGGATGGGCTGGTCAGTGGATTGGGCTGGGTGCTGGGTGCTCAGCCTGTCAATCGGTAATGAGATTTGCGTTTATCCATTTATATTTATTCATTTGTCCATATATCCATGCATCTACCTATCCATTCTATCCATCTATGCATACATTACCTCTTTTCCTGTTTTACTTAGCCAGGTGGTATATGTGTGTCTGTTATGTACTGTGTCAATTAACGAAGTATGATACGTCATTAATATCTATCTCCCTTACCTCTTCTTCCGACCTACCTACCTACCATATGTTCCTCACGCATATGCATATGTCCTCCTCATCTTTCATGATCTTGTATTGTATTGGTATTTCATTACATGGCATGGATGGTATAGACATATCCTTTTTATTGTATTCTATTCTATTCCATTCCCATTCTTGTTTAGTGGAATCAGTATACTTAGTATCATAACCAAATCACTATTCTGTGTTCAACGCCCATCCATCCATACCTTCGTAAATAAGCAAGTACCAAGTACCTAGATCTCTATCTATCTACACGTCATGCATGCATGGGTGGTGCGTGTATGTATGTATGTATGTATGTATAATGAATGATAGATAGGTCATGTATGCACGTATTGGTTAACTATGAACTTTTAGTCAGCTAGATGAATTGGAATTGGGGGTTGGGGTATGGGTATGGGTATGGGTGTTTTGAGAATATCTATTTACTTACGCATGTTTGGAAAGATACTGGATCAATGGATGGATGAACGTGAAACGATCTAATACCCTGAAACCAAGGGCATGGAAATTAACTACTTTGTTAACTCCCTAGTTACTACCAACGACGGCATCCCCAGGGGATTAATTAAGAGAGAAAGCCAAGCCAAGCCAAGCCAAGCCAAGCCAAGCCATGCAAGCAGGCTAATCCTATTGCTATTCCCTAGCCAACAACCAACCAACAATATACAATATGCCGCATGTTTACAAGCAAGAAAGGACAGACAGGCTAAAAGCGGAGCGGAGGGGGATATGAAGGGATGTATGTATGTCTTGCGGAAGGCTGTATGTGAGATGTATTTGCAACGCGCATAATAGAGGGAGGAGGAGCGGGCGTGGGGAGGATATCAAAAACCAGGTCAATGGAAGATGAGGAGGATGATGATGAGGAAGATGAGGAGGATGATGATGAGGATGATGATGATGATGATGATCAAGATGAAGATGAAGATGATATATGGTAATGATGATATATGTATGATATGATATGATATGGAACAGACATGGAAAGAAGTATGAGGGAGAAGAAGAAGAAGAACCAAGGATACCAATCTCTCACCGTCTCAACCGGAAAAGAGGAACAAGCGTCAGCACCGCTGGCGATGATTGAACAGAAACAACCTCAAGTTGCTGGGGGATGATGCTTCGGTGGGAGAAAACCGAAATGAAGCTTGAATGCAATGCGCAGGACAGGACAAATGCTGGGAGGGACCGGGGGAGGGGCTTGAATTAAGGAAAGACGTGATCATGTCGGGTGATGTGATGATACTGATGATGATGATGATAATGATGATGAAACATTCCCAACTCCATGATTCCGATAAGGATAGACAGTGCTGCAAACAAAAATGAATGTCGTCATGATCACAGTTCGTATGCTTTTGACATCCGGGTCAACCAAGGGCCAGCCAATGGTAAGCATCAAAGGAGAGACCGTTATATGCGATCGTATTAAGGGTTGAGCAATCCGTCCGACAGGCGCATGAATCGTCGCCGAGATCCAGTCGCTGCATGCAGGCACTCTACTCGTTCCAGTCCCACACCTGCTTTACGAAGTTGGCCATGTTGACCTTTTTGCTTTTCATGTCCAGCATCCAGGGATGATCCAGCATCCGCCAGGGGGTCGCTCTTCGTGGGGGTTCCTTTTCCAGACTACAGACAGGTTAGCATCCCGAAAGTCCAGGTGGCGCATTGTACATACCAGCACTCGATGAAGTATTTGAAGTTCTCGGACCACCGAATGCCGTGTCCCGGCTCGTCTTTCAACTTGGGGATCGGTTGGCGCACAATATAGGTCAAGAGGTCGATCAAGCCGGCGCGAGGCTGCATTTCGGTGCCATCGGCCGGGAAGGGGAAGCGGTGCTGGGCGACTTCGAGCAGGGTCACACCGAGGGACCACACGTCGGACGTGATGGTGTATGATTGGCCGGTGATTCGTTCAGGGGCCATGTAGTACGATGTGCCGATGAACGTATTGGCATCGCCTTTGGTGCCGAACTCTCCACTGACGCCAAAATCACAGAGCTTGACCTGGCCGTTGCGGCAGAGAAGAATATTCGAAGGTTTGATGTCTGCGGCGAGTGAGTAAAGCGACTCCGGAAGCAGGGAATGGGACTGACCTCGGTGGATGATCTTCCTGCTGTGCAGGTAGGTCAATCCGTTCAAGACGCCCTCGGCGACTTTGCCCAACACCTTCTCTCCTGTACGGCCTCCGAGCTTCTTGACCTCCTTGTAAATGCTGTCCAAGCTGCCACCCTCGCAAAACTCCATGGCGATGGAGATGGTCCCCGTCGACTTGTCCATAAACGCACCGTAGTAGCGACAGATGTGCTCTGAGGCGCAGTCTTTATTAAAGTTGAGTTCTCGAACGATCTGCTTCTTCACATCGGGGTTGGGGTCTGTCGTGATAATCTAGACCAGTCTTAGCACCACTCGGGACTGGAAAAAAAGAATCCAACTCACCTTCAACGCAAACACCGTTCTCCCCTCCTTCAGCTTGCACCGGGTGACAGCCCCTCCGGCGCCCTCACCCAGACTGCCCAGCTCGACGATCTTGCCCTGCTCACTGGCCGCCAGCCAGCCTTCATCATCCAAATCATCCACATCCAGGGGCCTGCCCTTCTCCAGACTCAACTTGTCCAAATCCGGGATCAGGTTGTTGACACTGGTCTCCCGGTCCATCTGCACACCCCCCTCCCGGTCGGAATAGACGGAACTGATCGCAGACGAGGGATCGGGCGTGCTGCCGTGGGGTTGTCGCAGGCCCATGGCGAACGAGAGGGCGGAGTAGTTGGAAGACGAAGCGGAGGCGGGGCCGCTGGCCTTGCCGTCCAAATGGGTGAAGCTGCCGGATCGCGAGTGTTCGTTGGGTTCGTTCAGGCCGGTAGTCGCCAACGGGGGTGGCGCGGGTCGGGTCTTTGCTTGGGGCACATTTGAACTGCTCCCCATGGGGGTTGCAAGGCGCAGTTGAGGAAGCGCCGGGCGTTTTGCCGGGCGCTGCAGCTGAGGGACCTGGGGGATTTGAGGGGCCTGCGAAACCTGCGAGACCTGCGGGACCTGCGGGACCTGCGGGACATGCGAGACCTCCGGAGGGGGGACGGCGGCAGGAACGCCATTCCCTGTGACGGGACGAACGTTGGGCGATGGGGGAATTCCCAAAGTGAGTTTGGGAGGACCTCGACCATTGCGATTGCCAGGTACGGGCGGCTTGAGGAGGGGGACTGGCGAGGGTGACGACATTGCGAGATTGTTTTGCCTCTCACCCGGCAAAAACAACTCGTTGGGATCTGCCAAGGTAGCCAGATCGGCGGTCTTTGGGGGGGACACTTTGAAAGAGTGAGGGGGGGGGGTTGGGGGGGGGTTGAAATAAAGGAGGAGGGGAGGGGGAGAGAGGAGACGGCGAGGTTGGCGACCGATGAGGAGGTGATGAGAAGTGGAAGTGGTGGTGGTGGTGAGGTGGTCGGAACAAAGAGGGCCGTGGGGTTAATGGACTAGTTCGAGTGGCTAGGCGGCGGTTGGCTGACAAGAGGGGTCGAGTTTGGAGTCAGACAGATAGCGAGAGAGAGAGAGAGAGAGAGATAGAGAGAGGGAGGGAATAGGAAAGAGAAGTAACAGGAAGAATCGCATCCACAGCAGAAAGACGGAATTCAGCACGAAGCGAATGATTGATCCCCGTCGATGGTGGGAGGGAGGAGGACGAAGAAGGAAGAAGAGGGAGAGGAGAGAAGAAGAAGAAGAAGAGGGAGAGAGACCGTTTTGTCAGTTTGGCGGGTGGAAAGGAAAGAAACTCCACCTACTGACTTGACTGGCCACTCCCACGATGGATCACGAATCAACTAGACTCCTTCAGTGCTAATCAGTGCTAATCAATGCTAATCAATGCTAATCAATGCTCACTACCAACATGACAGACAGACATCTGCGCAGTTAAATAGAATTCGCGTCAAGCATCCCAGGGCCGGCTCCGCACCGTCATCGATCGGATGGAGGTGGTGGAACCGGCCTGTTTCAAATGGCGCCTAAAACGAGTTCTGCTTGCGAAGGGAGGATTATTTTGGGCTGCTCGGCTGCTATTCTATTCTTGACAGCGGCTCCATCCTGCTGTCATCGCTCGGAGGACTTCCTGATTGATTCCCCCGGAGACTACAGTATCTACTGACTGTGTATGTGTATGAATTCCCATTCAATTCATTCTACGACTCGGATGAGGGGGTTTCGTTGGCGGCCTGAAGCCCCAACAAGGATGTACCACCAGCATGGAGGAATTGACTAATTACTAATGACTGCGTATCTCTGGTACCTCTGGGCACTCTCCTAAGTCCTAATAGAGCAGCAGCAGCAGCACTACTATAGCTAGTTGTGTGTTTTACATCATCACGGATATTGCTCAGCTCCACTCCCGTATGCACCGAACGGTGCTCGTCCAGCGTCTTTTGTCTTACACTATAATCAATAATAATAATAATAGAAAAAAAAATCCATGAGTACTTATGATGGATGGAATCCATTCATGTATCCATCTATTTGGTATATACATCGGACATCAAGCTAGATGACACGTGCCATTCTCAGCCTTGTCGACGCCCACAGACCGGATGATCCCCCCGACAGTCTAACACAGTCTTGTCAACTATCTATCTAGTACTTACTTACTTGAGCTTGACATTATCCACTCCCTCCTTAACGAATCTTTCTTTCTTTCTTCTTTTTTCCCTCTCCCTCGATCCTGCCCCACCCGGGATTAAAATAGCAGCAGCCGCGCAGGAACAGCCCTCCTCTCCCTCCTTGCACCGCCATCCCGACGGGGCCACCGCCAACCACCAGGCCCATAATCAAGCTGACACGGACCGGACCCGGTTCTCTAAAGAAAGCAACGTAACTAGGTGTCTAGCATTAGATAATAGCGTACCGATGGGGAGGAAGGAGGCACAGTCCCCAGGGCCCAAGGGTTCTCATCACCCATCATCCCATCGGCATCGGCATCGTCGGTCGCCTCCAACTTTTAGCGAGACCCTCGGGCCATGCGATGATCTCACCAGGGACTAGATACTGACAGGCAGACTGTCTGATTATCATTGCTAATGACGGAAGATTGCAACTGCCGATGACGATGATGTTACTGATGCTCTGCGCCGAGCGATGCCCTGATTCTTATTCTTGTCATGCATAAACCCACTCCAATCATGGTGCGTGGGAGGATCCCGTAGACGCGCGGCATGGGCGATCGTCGCTTGGACAAGCCCTCTCTCTCCCCCCCTCTCTCCCCACTGGTACTACTGCTCGATCATCCGGATACTTGCTGGATAAGTTGGGGGGGGGGGGGAGGCTGTTGGATGGTTGGTGCAACTGGCAGACAGGCCGGCTGAGGAGTCTGTTAGAGTACGGGCCTCCACTAAAATTGTCGTTGGACACAGCCGGCACAGCCATCAAACAAACCGGAGGATTACAGTCGTCAGATGCTTATCCACAATCCACCACATGCTCACAATACCAATGCTTTTCAGCTCCAGCAGCTCCAGCAGCTCCAGCAGACCCTGAAAGGCCCGGCCAAAGCTTCCACTGCAGGACCCCATCCAAGCTGACCAGTGACCTGGGGAAACAAACAAACCGCAAGTGTAGTCTGACTTTGCGGTGGCAACCTGGGACTTTTTGTACTCACTCTTACTACGGACTCTCATCACTCCATACAAACCAAAGTCTTCCCTCCCCTGATGATCGGTGGGACTCGAACAAACTCAATTCACCCACCGTTCGCACAATATTGACATTTCACCCCCAAATCATCATCACAGGGATGGTTCCCTGGTGTTTGTTTGTGCCTCGAGCCGACAGTTCGACACACACCCTGTGATCGTACCCAACCCCTGACCCATCTCCAGTCTCTACATCGCACTCTATACCACACAGACTAACTACAGTGGCATCGGTAGTTCTATCTATAGCCGCATCTACTATAGTTCCTCCCCTTCAACCCCAAACCCTGATTTCCCTAACGGACGAACCAAACACCACCCATCCCATCCTAGCCAAGTCCATGTCCAAGCCAGAGCAATCAGGAAGATACTATATCCCCGGGAGTTATTCATAGCGCTTGTACGTCTCCTCAAGATAAACTACCCAACTACTCCGTACCACTAGACCACATCAATCACTAAACGACAGCAACTATCGATTCGAACTATTATCCCCCCCCCCCCCCCCCCCCCAATCCCCCCTAACGAGGATAACCATCATCCGAGCGTTACCTAGGTGCCTACCTAAACCCTGACAGATCCCCCTCCCCTATTTTCTTAGTGGCCCTAAAAAAAGAAACCCGGCAGTACTACTAGATACAGTACTATGATTATCTACGGTTATGAGGATTTTAGTTGTGTCTGTTCCTGACTAGAGACTCGACTCCCCGAACCGAACCACACCACGGCAGTAGTACGGACGGAGTACCGTGGGAGAGCCGTGGATACGATCATCAACTATTGCAATGGCAGGCCACCGGCGGCCGATGGATAATAATAATATTAATAGAAAGAAGAGGGTTTCGATAGTTTGGGGGAAGGGTCTTTCTTGTCTGTTTATTCTCGTCTCTCACGAGCTAACTAGATATCGATTCATTGCCATCTTGGATAGATGGGTAGTGAAAGTACTCCGTACTACCCTCAAGTCTCTGTGTGTATGTCACTTGGCAAACACCGTGACAATCACAGGTAGATCAACATCTATGCACATAGAGTCTACTCGAAGATCTATACTGTAGATAGTTGTTGACTTTCCCCCCCCTCTCTGTATTCAGTTCGGTACTTGAACGAACCCTCGACATTACACACTACGTATCTACTGTGTATGTATGTACACACTACACCAGATCATCGCGATCGATCGCACCATTACCCAATGAAACCCGATCATCACGTCAATCAAGACCACCCTTCAAATTCGTCAAGGGTTGACGCAGACGCAGACGCAGACGCAGGCCATCCCTCCCTCCCTCTCTCCCTCCTGCCGCCACCACCACCCAGCCGCAGCCGCACACGTCCTCCCTCCCGAACAGTTTCCACTTTCCAGTTTCCACTTTCCACAGCAGTGTAAACAATCCACACTAAACCAAACCAGTTAGTCGCAGCAGTCCCCACCAAGCTTTGATTAAGCAATCAATGACTGCGACCGTGGCGTCGAGCGAGACCTGTCTCAGCAAATGAAACCCGATGGATCCTGCGTCTCCGTAGGTAAGTACTATGTACTATGGACAGGGAAGAATTATTTGCAGCAGCCGACTCTGACCGACCGACCAGACACTAGAAAAATAATCTGACCAGACCAACTTTATGAACGTTCGCGCGGGCAGGGAGGCGGTCTGAGTGTCGTGGCGTCGGATGGTACCTGAATCTGGATGAATGGATGTCTTACTCTAGGTACTAAGGTATACTTACTATGCTGGATTGGTGTTTAGTAGATAGTAGTGAGGTAGTGTGATAGTAGAGGGATGAGCTGGGCTGTTTTGGAGGTTTGAAACTCGGGTTGGGGAGGAGAGAAGGAAGTACTCCGTAAGTAAGTAAGTAATGTATTTACAACGATGCAGGAGACATGCGCGCGCGGGGGATAAAGACTCAACAACGATGACAACGGCCAAGACGCAATCAATTCCGCTGACGAATCCTCGAGAAACAATCTCACTGACCAACCGCTGACCAGCAGTACTCCGTATATTTATTTATTTATTACCTTCATTCTTCTTCGATTAGGCAAATCCTACTACTCTACGTAAGTAGGTAAGTAACGGAATAAACAATCCAAATGGCGAATAATCATCATCATCGCAACACTCCAACACCACAACAGACTCTCAGACAGGGGCCGAAGGTGGGGCTATCTACACCACAACTCGCCCACCGCAATTCCAGCAAATAATCCAGTCATTGGGCCAAAAGCGGGGAGGGCGACGAGGAGCCACCGCGGGATGGCGGCGGCGGCGATGATGAGTGGCCGGCGGGCGTCAGGAACAGCCTGGGGCCCCACCGGGGCGGGGCCGTGATTGGGCAGAAGAGCAAGACCTGAAACAAGAGTCTAAGTTGGCATTCAACGTCCCTGTGGCTCAGTAATTGAGCGGTTTCGTGTTGTGCCGGGTGTTTCCCCCCCCCCCCCCCCCTCCTGAATGTGATTTTTGTGATGCATTTAGTACTTTAGTGGATGTGGAAGTGTACCTAGTAAGTGTAAGGTACAGTACTTAGGTGTAAGGCACCGCTCCTTCTGCCCCGATTCTCTCATCTAATCTTACTGCCTGTATTGGTCCATACATCGTTCCAGACTCTAGACTCCAGCTCCAGTTCCAGTTGCAGTTCCAGCTCATCGGATGCAGGTACGGGATGGAGTTCATGCTGCAACTACTGTATAGTATCTGGTGCTAGTTAGTAGCGTAGTAGTTGTACCTGAATCAGTAGCAGCTCGGGTAAACCTAAACCTCTTGTCTAACCTGTGAACCGTGGACCATGACGGAGGGGATGGGCAAACCTCCAGCACTCCAGGTTCCCTCCTGACCCAGAGAACCCGGCCAAAAAAAGCAAACGCGCGACCGATCAACAGGCGGGCCACAGCTTTTCAGGGCCAGAGGGCCAAAGAGGGCCAAAGAGGGCCAAGGCGTGAGGACGAAACTAGTCCCCGAACCAGTTGGGACTAGCCGGGCTCGCGACGGGCGTGTTGACCAACCACGACGGGCAGCCCACGAGGGCCCCAAAGCCAGTTACAGGCCGACCACTCCAGCCCACCCGCGCGTGCAGGCGCCCTTCTCCCCTTTTCGTCCCTGAGCCGATCTCCAGGTTAATCTCCCGGCTGATACAAAGGCCCCCCCGTTCCCCCCCTCCCTCCTCGCCTCTTTCTTTGGTTCTCTTGTTCTCTTTATTCAAGTCCGACTTCTTTGCCTGCTTGAAGCATCCCTTGACCTCGGTCAGCCATTCTTTTAAAACACAAAGCCAAAGCCCCCAACTATCCACACTCTCTTTAAACCTATCTCCCCGAACGCATCCCCCTGTGTTTCAGATATCATCAAATATATAAAATCTCGACCTTGACGGTTCAATTTTTACACTCCAAACTCCCAACCAGCCAACTACCCACACACATACATTCAAGATGCGTTTCTCTACTGCCACCATCGCTCTCTTCGCCAGCCTCGTTGCTGCCATCCCCGGCGAGGTTGAGACCCTCTACTCCACCGAGGACGTGACCATCGTCTCCTGCGCCCCCACCGTCACCAACTGCCCCGGTACCCTGCACGCCACCTCCACCCCCGAGGCCGTTGCTGCCACTACCACCGCGGCCGTCGCTGTCACCACCGGTGGTGCCGAGGGTGTCTCCCCCGTCTCCGAGTCCAGCTCCTCCGCCATCCCCGAGGGTGCTTCCGCTGTGACCGGCTCCCCCGTCCCTGAGGGTGCCTCCGCTGTGACCGGCTCCTCCCCTGCCGGTGGTGCTGGTGCCGCTCCCTCCAGCGTCCCCTCCGGCGCTGCTGCCGTCGGCTCTGGCTCTGGCTCTGGCTCTGGCTCCGGCTCCGGCGCTGGCTCTGCCCCCTCCGTGACCGTCATCTCCTACACCACCTGTGTGCCCACCGTCATTGTGTCCACCAGCACCATCGGCGCTGGCTCCGCTGGCTCCTCCGGCTCCCCCGCCGGTGTCGGTGCCATTGGCTCCGGTTCCCCCGCTGGCGGCAAGCCCGCCAAGTCCTCCTCCCCTGTCATCCCTAGCGGTGCCGCCGCCTGGGGCAGCGGCTACCCCAGCGGCAGTGCTACGTGAGTCCTCCATCCCTCACCAAACCAAACCAGTATAAACTGCTAACAAATAAACCACAGTCCCTCTGCCTCCGCTGCCCTCTACACCGGTGCCGCCAGCACTCTGAACGGCAACGGCTTCGTCTACGCCGGTGCCTTCGCCGGTGCCGCCGCCTACTTCCTGGCTTAGATTCCCCCTTCTTGTCAATAGTAGATAGCCCCGGGACAACTCGTGGGTCCGACCACCACCTTCACCACCTCCCCCCCCCCAATCGCGGGGGCGTTGGGGGAGGAGGAAGTCGCGACGCACGGTTGCGCCCTTGTGTGAATATAATGCAGATGACAGATGCAGATCAGCAGAGGTGTCGGGGGCCGGGGGTGTTTGGTCCATGTCCAATGTCCATATTTTTTTAGTTGCGGCTTTATTCTATATTATTTTGGCTTTGTGTTTTTTTTTATATCTTGGGAGAGAAATCCGATTCCGATTCGTTGAAACTTTTTCTTATCATGATTATTATATCCATTTATTCAGGTTTTTTTTTTTTTAATATTCTTCATGTATTGTATTATTTTTCTGAAAGGGTTCTTTCTTTCTTTCTTTCTTTCTGTCTTTGCTCTGGTGATCTACGGAGTATATAGATTAGATAGTTATGGAAGGAGGGGTTGGAGGCGTGGTTGATGGGTGCAGTGCGTGCGTGTGTGTGGGCTGTGAAACAGCACAGCAATGCATCATACATAGCACAGCGCAGCAGCACTCTTAGTTTTGGTGGCTTATCTTTGATACCATGCTATTAATATGACAACCCATGACTGTGGTCGCTCTCATGTAGTGATCGATTGACTGTTGGAGCTGTCAGCTGTAAGTATATATGTATTAACAGAGCGTTTCTTTATGATAACTGTTCCGTTCGGGAGAGTTGACATCCATCTTCCATGAATGTCTATCTATCTGTCTATCAGTCCGTCTGTCCGCCTGCCCATCTGCCATCAAATCCAGAGGAGCCCGAGGCTGAGCCTGTAGAATAACTACCGGCCGTGCACCAACAAAGTCCAGACGGACATGCGGGTGGGACATAGCTAAGTCGCATCCACCCGATCTCGATAGTCGGTAGTCTAGTCTAGTCTAGTCTATCTAGTCTAGTCGACACGATTCGATTCGATACAGATCGATCGCGTTTGCATTGCATTGCACTGCACCGCTCAGCCCTTCAGGCCCTCAGTCCCATAATCGAGTACGCTGTACCAGCTAGTGTCACAGACACAGGCCCATCTAGGACCGTCACAAGTCCATATTCACACCACGCCCACAGACCAAGTGTTAGTGAGCAAGCAAGTTAGTAAGTTAGTAAGTGTAAGCAAAAAGGCTGAACTCGGGGGAATCGGGGCCATCAGGGCCATCGGGGGCTGAATCTGGGGAAAAGCAGCCAGCCAGCCAGCCAGCCAGCCAGTAGACCAGACCAGCATTGAGTGAACAGACAGGCCGGGCAAAGCAAAGCAAAGCAAAGCAAGGCGAGGCGAGGCGAGGCGAGGCGAGGCAGCTAAAATGTGGGATGGGATGGGGGATGGGAGATGGGAGATGGGGGCCAGTCGCGTATATGTTTCATGATCCATGCGCGTGCATGATCCCTTTCATCTATCGGCGACCGGGTAGGGGCCCGATGCGATGATGCGATGATTTGGTGATGCGACGGATGGCGATGCGGTGGGGGGTTTTTGCTCCGGGTTGGTTTGGTTTGGATTATTTCTGGTCTGGTCTGGCTGCTTCTGGTCTGGTCTGGTGTGGTGGTGGTTGTTGTTGTTGTTGTTGTTATGGATTGGATTTAGGGGTCTCGATCGTGGGTGTATACCCATGGTACAGTAGCTTAGAGACGGACAACTGCTGGGCTGGTATTGCAACTTACAACTTTGTACCCTGCAACGCCCCTCGCTTAGTATCGGGGAGGTGACTGAGTGGCGGTTTCAGAGTTGGGGACTTGGGGTTGTTGGGGGTGTAACTGTAACACTGACACTGACACTGATGGGATGGTGCTGGTGGTGACTGTCAGCCCTACTGTGCGCTAAGAGCCTAAGACAATGGGCGAGGGGGCGATTCTGGAAGGGTTCCATGATCCTGGATGGGGAGGGAAGATGAACTATAAATGGGGTTCATCGAACTTTGGATCTGGGTTGGGGTGGCTGTGTTGGGGGTGGTTATTGTAGTTGTAGATGTGGATGTACGGAGTAGATGTGGTAGAGATGTGGATGTTGTGTGGTTCTGGTGGACGGACAAGTCCGATGCACACGTGCGGTGTTGTTGTTGTTGTTGTTGTTTGCCTCCTGCTTCTCTTCATCGCAACTCTCCCTCCACACAACCACTTCCTCCACAGAATCATCACAACGGAGAAATATCCCTCGAATAAAAGGAGGTTGGGATCTCTGCCCCCCTGACCAGGCATCCAGAAAATTAAAAAAAAAAAAAAAAAAAAAAAAGCTCGGACAACAAAGGATGTGGCAGTGTTGAATTTCCAACTTCACTCGGAATCCTTCCACCAACGAACCAAACCAAAGCGGCATGCTCGTCGTGTTGCAGCCTCCACTCTGGAGCCACCGATCTCATCCCGACCCAAAGAACTCCCCGAATTTCGCGGCTGCGTCTAGCATCGTCTCCACGACGACTGCCATCGCGAGTCAAGCCAATTCCAAAAATGACAGCCCGATTCAACTGCTGCTGCTACTGCTGCTACTGCTGCTGCTGCCTGGACCCCAAATCCTTCCGTCTGCTGCCCGGGCTCATCCCGAACACCAGGGGGATCGAACTATTGACCCCCCCCCCGGTGATCCTCCCCATGTCTCAATCACGGCGGAGGCAGAACCGCAGGCATGAACCGACCGATGGCCCTGTCAGTCTGGCACTAGATACATCCTGGCCACCAACCCAAAGCCAATCAGCCGGCAATTCCGAAAAGCTTTGCCAACTGCCAACAGAGCCGGATGGGCGATCCTTCCGCCGGTGCTAGCTGGTACGATGGAGCCGGGGCATGATGAACCCACCACTGCAAGGCGCAAGGCAGCTCGCTGTCGGTGAGTTTGTTTTGGTTGTGCGATGTCGTCTGTTGGGTTACTTGACTCGTATCGGACGTGTTCCTTTGTTGCGCTGCCCGTCAAAGAGAGACTCGCCGCGGCCGTGCACTGCAAAAACAACACCACCCTGTTCCATTGTTGCAGCACCGCCTCCATGCAACATCTATTAATTGCTCCATCGTCGTCCCGTCAGGGCACAGAGGTTCCTCATAACCTGCTTGTCTTCCCGTTCATGTCGACTTGTCATCCTTCATCGTCGGATCTACTGCCTTTGCATCATCCTGTCGGTCGGTGTCGAGGACTCCATAGTCTGCCGTCTTGCCCTTGTCTGATCTACACCACCTCTCCTTGAAGCTCCACCCCCAGTGTCCTCTGTCGTCATGGATCTTTCCTCCCTGGAGGGCCCGCCCATCGCGGACTCTCGCTTCACCATCCCGTCATGGCCGCCGAACATGGGCATCCCCAGCATCCATCTCGACACCCCAACCAGCCCAGTAACTGCGGCTGGTCGTCCTCCGCGCCCAAGGTCCACGGACGGCATCTCCATGCACAAGTGTCTGTACTCATACACGCCCGCAGAGGAAGAATCCCGTCTCTGCCACCGATGCCACTGCCTCCAAACACCAAGCGCATCAACCCCTGTCCGTGACAGCCAACCACGCGCATCATCCCTCTCCCCAACCCTCAACATCCCCCCTCCCCCTCCGCCCTCCACCCTCCCGTATCACCCCTACCGAAGCCGAAGCGTCTCAGACCTCACCCTCCACCAACCCACCAGCCCTATGCTGAGCACAACTACCACGACCGTCACCACGACCACCCAGACGGTGCGCACCACCACGACGCAAGAAAACCGGCTCGTGTGGCTCGAGTCCGAGAAGCTCTGGTTCATGAAGCCCCTCCCGTCGGATTCCAGCCCCTTGTCGCTCCTCACCCCCGACTACGAGACGGCCCCCGACCCCACCCCGAATGCCCGGGACCGCGCGACCACCCACAGCGCCTCCGCCTCCTTCCGCGGCGAATTCGAGCTGTCCCTGGACATCCCCCGCCGTACGAGCGTCACATCTACGACCGGCCGCTGCCTCCCCTACCGGTCGAGGAGGAGCGGAGTGGGGGACTGCACGGATCCAGATGGGGGGCTGTGGCCAGGAGAAGGGCCAACCGGGCCGTGACGGGTTGATTTCGACCAATAACCTGCATTGAATTTTGGATTTAATATGGAAATATGCCTTGTCGGTGCGGATGCGGAGTCACAGGGCAATCACACCACAAGGCTGACCCAAAAGTACAGGGGGGAGAGGAGGGGAAAAAGGAGGGATGGGGGTGGCCATACCAACCCAACTCATCTCATCAGCTGCTGGCTGGCTGGTTGCATCGCATGCATAAAATTAAGCGATTTTTCTAATTCAACCCGATACAAAGCGATTGGATGACGGATATACACGGGGAGTGTGTGCGCATGAGGGAGCGAGGGAGCGAGGGAGTGTGTAGTGCTAGTCATAGTGTTTTTTTCCTCTTCTTGGTTAGCTTTTTTTTTTTTTTTTTTTTTTTTTTTATCTGTATAATATTCCCCCCCATTGTGGGTTTCCTTTTTGTTTCTATATTTTAGAGTGTTTTGCTTGAGATACCCATTTAGCTAGATACCTATAGATGTTGTCTTGTTGTTGCTCTTATTACTTTATCCCCTACCATAATATTCCGGGCTGGTATCGTCTGTAGGCTGTAGGCTGTAGGCTGTAGGCTGTAGGCTGCTTTTTATACCCCTGAAGCTAGTGGTTTCTTTTTATATTAGCAATACGAGGCCCCTGGATCTGTTCGTGTAACTATCTCTTTCTGCTCCTGCTCCTGCTCCTGCTCCTGCTCCTGTTCCTTTTTTTATTTAGGTACGGCCTAGGGATGTATGTATGTCCCAGTCCTATCTAATCCAATCCATTCCAAACCCCAATCCCAGCTAAGCTAAGCTAAGCTAAGCCAAGCTAAGATAATCTAGTATCTATCCACCTAAACGTTGGACTCTTATTGTCGCTGATATGTCTAAGGCTGTACACCCTCTAGACCTATATCCCCCCCAAATATTGCATATCTCAAAATTACCTACCTATATATACATACTCCCCAAGCAATGCACCCCCCAAAACAATACAATATCTACACCCGAGCCAGAAAATACCCATACATAGGTGAATCAGATAGAGACCATCCAAAGGGAGGACCCACCTGTCCGACTGACCGTTAACCCCATCAACTTCTGTCTCTTGTTCTTTTCTATCTCTGTTGTCTATCTATCTTTTCCAATTCTCTTATTTATTCTTCTCGCCTATCTTTCTTTCACGCCTTTCTTGATACTTCTTTGAAATAGCTTTTAAACTTTGTTTTTATTCTTCTTTCTATCTTTCTCTTTTATTTCTCTTTTCTATATCTCTCCACTTGCAGTGTTTATCTAACCAACTGGCAGTTTCTGACTTCAAGTATCTGATTGCTCAATTTAGATCTGAATATACCACTGGATCGGATTATATATCAGCTGTATATAATAAGAATAATATTATTACTGAAACTGTTACCGAGCACGTGGCCGAGCTATTAACGGCCAATCCTCCCAGCGAGGACACGATAATAGGCGATCGCGAAGAAGTATCATTGAATGCTCTCTTAGATATAAACAACCTCGAAATCACCGCTCTGGAAAATACTGTGACAAAAGACCTTAATATTCTAGAATAACTGTCCGGTGGAAGGCTCTGATGCTTGACTCGCAGATACTGATTAAAAGACAGAGATAGAGTGTACCCGAGATTATACAAAGAAGAAAGTCATCATCGGCGTGGTCGGAAGCACTGGCGCAGGCAAATCGTCGCTTATCAATATTATTATTAATAAGAAGAATATTCTGCCGACAGACTGCATGCGTGCGTCTACAGCTGTGATCACTGAGATTTTATACCACAATAAAGAGTCAAGATTCAAAGCCGAAGTCAAGTTCATCAAAGACAAAAAATAACAGCGCGAACTTGCTATTCTGTTCTCAGAGCTCCGTGAGCATCAAGACGAAGTGACACGGAGTGAAATCCCCAAAGACTCAGATGCTGAGGTAGCCCTAGACAAAACCAGGGCTGTCTACCCTGATATGACCGCACAGGATATTCCGCACACGCGCATGAGAGAATTATTGAGCAACTAGCGGGTCACCGAGCTCCTCGGCAAGACTTTGGGCTTCGATGAGAACGATCCCAAGGTCTTCTCGGGCGAAATTGAAATCGTATATCGATAGCAAGGGCAAGAAGGGCCGGCCCAAGAAGTCTGCCAAGATATAAGTATAAAGCCCCCGAAACATCTTCAGAGCTGGATCTCCCAGATTAGAGCATCGGACTCTGGCCCCTTGTGCGCGTGATTTATATCTACACCAAGACTCCAGCTCTTATAACTGATGCAGTTTTGATTAATCTGCCGGATATGTTCGATTCAAATACAGCGCGGGTGGCCGTGGCCGAGAACTATATAAGATAGTATTCTGCGCACTGGATCATGACACCCATCAACCATGCTGTCGACGACAAAGTCGCACGGGACCTGCTGGGGAAGAACTACAAGCTGCAGATAAATATAGATTATGTATTCAATAATATAATATTCATTTATACAAAAACCGAGACATTGCCCCGACAGAGATTGTGCAATCTCTTGCCCTCGACCTGCCGGCGATGAATAAACTGCAAGACTTCCCGGCCCGAATAAAGCTACTAAAAGACAAAATACAGATGCTGAAGAAGTCAAAGCATGAGATTACAATTAATATAGAAGATCTTGAAGAACAGATTGAGAATTTGAAAGTCTGTCTGACTGGCGAAGAATTCAATTGCGATGTGTTTAAGATAATTATATCTTATAAGAGAAAAAAGTTATCTGATATAGAACTGTTGTGCTGAGGCTTCTGTTATATTCAGGCGGGGAGATACAGAAGAAAATAGCAAGAAACTTTCAGAGATTAAAAGACTTAAGAATTAATTTCAACACCTAAAAGCGCAGCGAAAAAATAAACAGGCCGAGCAAAGAGCAGTTAATATACAGATCAAGAGCAAGAATATAAAGCTACAGCAGCTGGAACAAGCAAAGAAAGATATTGAGCACGCTATTCTGAGATCCTGCATAGAAGCGAGAAATAAGTTCTTCAAGCACCAGATCAAACACGACTTTGCAATCAAAGTCCAATGCATGGACCAGGAGATCAAAGGGGACAATAACGGCACCCAGACATAAACTGAATATATACTAGTCCGGGACTACAACAAACTTGAGAGGAATCTGTCTGTGTTCTGCGTGTCAACGCAGGCCTATCAAGGTCTTCGAGGTCACGCTGAGATAGCAAAAGTCTGTGGATTTTCGCAGCTAGAGAAAACAGAAATCCTGCTGCTCTAGTATCATTGCCTCAAACTCACAGAGAAGGCAAGAGTTGAATCGGCTCGGCGGTTCTTGACATATTAAAATCAGCTTGTACAATCATCTATGGGCCCGGCAGACAGCGATATCTCTGAGCAAAAGCAGAAGGAAATTGAAGCCGACTTTGAGAAGGCCGTGGGAAAGCTGGATAGGGTATGTCCCTTTCTTAGATTCTCTTCGCATTGATGTTGATATTGACCTCCCAGACGATGACTGTTCTCGAAACTAGCTTTATCAAGAGCCTGCAAATGGTGTACCAGCAGAACATCGTCAGCAAACTCGGTAAGTCCCCTAGACTTAATGTCCATAGGCGAAGCTGATGGCCCAGACCGTGCTCGGAACAAAGGCATGACGGAATTTCCAGGGATTTTTCCGAGTGCAATACACCCGGATGGGCAGGTGGTCTAAGATATAATACCTATCAGGCGATCTGTCGTCACCGTGGAGTATATCTTACTAGAGAAAGTTCTTTACAATGGCATCACAGACAAAGCTGACACTCAAGCGAGAATTGGAATCAAAGCTTGGAAGCGAGCTCACCGCGCAGCTTCTGACCACCAGAATTATTAACCTTTGCATAGAGCTATACCAATACTCGACCTGATTGCCGTCAGCTGGGAAAAGTACGTTGCCATCGCGCCTGCCATTTAGGATAACCGCTCTTTCCAATTTGCGGAAGACTCTTCCCGATTACATGCTAGCACATCATGCCATTATAGTGTTCGAAGCGGGTGTGTGTCAACCATGGGTCATCACCACACTTGATATAGTTTTAGAAGACTACAATAACCATGCCGTCATCTAAGACTTCTTCCGGCGGATCTAAGAAGCGTGGTAAAAAAAAAAAAAGACAAGTTCTACATGACACTTCGCATGCCCATCCTCATTAGAATAACCAAAGCACATCCTCCGCTCACTCTGACACCAATGATACAGGATACGTTGCTGTTATAGCTCGAAAGCTTCTGGGTGGAAGCAACGAGGAAATTCTTGATCAAACACAGTCGCAAATTAAACAGGCGTTAGATACAGACAACATCTGGGTGGAAAGTTTCAGGACCGGGACAGTTTCGTTGAACATGACTGGGTTTGACTATGCATCTGCGCTGGACAGGTATAATAGACTGGAAGATCGGCTTGCACGAATTGAAGAGAAAATCGAAGACCTGCGAGCGACGAATACCCAATACGCGAAGTCATTTGAGCGACTGAACGACCGGCTTACAGAGATGTCTGACTGCCCGGACATCCGGGAACGGTTCATAGCCGTTCACAAACGAAACCGAGGCACAGCAACGCCAGACGATTTGCTGAAAATTTCGGTTGGAAACAAGGCTGCCCATGGTGGAAACATCGAAGCTGACGCCCAACTCTACGGTGCGGGCAAAAGGAAAGATTATGAGGCTTTTGAAGAACTCTATGGTGTGCATCCTAGTATCGTCTCCGAGAAAATCAGTAAGTATACGCAAACATGTCTATGGTTAAAAGTGCTAATTTTCATTAGCGTGCGTGATATTACGTCATCGGTCACATGACTCAACAGCCGCCCCTAGCTAGTTGAATCTATCAACCTTCTGCTCCCTTGCATCCTTCGTACAATAACGAAGATCATCCGGGATACGAAGGCGGAGATACAGTTGCAACATCTACCGGAGGGCACGCTGCGTGTGGAACCGGAGGTGGGAGCGCAGACCTAAGTAGATAGGATGAAGTCGATCACCTCCTCGTTGATAAATCCACTTGGACATGAGCTTTGTTACAGCACCCTAGGTGATTAATAGCCTACTTACAGAATATGAAGAACTAGGTGGAAATCAGCTAACTTACATAGTAGTAGTATCTATAGGAAGGCGATACAGGCACACCAGGATTGCTATACACACACCCTTTTACTACTACGCCTTCCTGATTAGGAGTATCACCCCACCGCTTTTATTATAAGTATTGCCCGCCTGCCTGCCTGCCTGCCTGCCTGCGTGTAGAAATTCAACCTGCCTACGCGTATCAACCTACAAAGAACAGATGCAGGCCATACAGGGCCGCAGAGGGCAGTTACTAGTAGGAACTAACCTCAGGCACTACTAGCATAATATATAATTACTAACTACTTATCATAAAGTTATACACGCTATACTTATTTACGTTAGTCTGTTCAAGACACTAAGCCTGTTAAGGCAATAAGGGGTCAGCCGAACTAGGGGGTGTGAGCAGAGCAGCGCCCTGTAATTATGCCACTTCTATACAGGAGAGATTATAATATAAATAATTTAATGCCTCGAGATCCGGTATCCGGCCCCTGGGATGATTTTAATTTTAAACTAAATTATCTTCTATTCCAGATCCGACTCAGCTAATTTCTTCCTCTTAGGGAAGTCTAATTATATATGTTTTTCTAAGGCGTTGTTATAGTCAGTCTCTTACAGACTCTCCGATACCTCGGGCCCTCCAGCATGATGATATATCTCGGCGTTTAGACCCTCTCCCCGCAGGGGCACGCCGGTGAGTCGACGACCTTGATCCTGTGGAGGAAGTGGTTCAGGGCAGTTGACTTACATATAAGTTGTAGAAATTCGCCAGCAAGACCCAGTAGCCCACATGACCCACCTACAATATCTACGACACATCCCAAAGTACCATGCAAGTAAGGAAGTAGGGGGGTTGGAGCCATGGGGAGAGCGGAGCAATGCAAGGCAGAAGAGCCACGCGGAAGAAAGAGTCATCGAGAAGGCAGAAGCCACAAGCCAGAAAGCCCGAAGCCAGTTAAGGTTGGGTTGGAATCGACGGTTGACGTGGAAGGACGGTCCAGGCACAGACCTGATGGCGGCCCCAGCTTAACTACCTCTTAGGTACTCTTAGGGCCGAAGAACGGCACCATGTCGATAAGAGCAAGGAGCCGGAGCCACCTGCCACCTGCCACGGGCAACGGGCAACGCAAGACGCAAGTCGCAACGGGCAGTGGAGAGAGCTAGTGAGAGGATTGTCAAGCTGCGTCAACGGAGAGGAGCTAAAAGCGCGGATTGGAGGGGATTCATTGGCAGCGCGACTGTTGCTGTTGGCAACTCGCATGATCGATGGGATTCGACGAGCAGCAGGCACGCTAGTCGGGGGATGGCGACCGACCAGCCTCCGAATTTTCGAGCGACTGGAAGCGTCTCGATGGATGGAGAGGGAAACTATTTAATATTAGTAGCTTGAGCCTTGACGGATGGATGTCTGCTTCGGTTTGAACTCTTTTGCACTCTTCTTTTCTGCTGTTCTCTCTCGGATTGTGGATTGTGTTTTGAGTATCGCAGGCTGACCGGAGGGCAGTTGCGGATTGCAGGATTGCAGTAACGCAGTATCAGTATCAGTATCTGTATCTGCAGGAGCGAGTGGGCGACCTGGAATTGCAGTGTTGAGAGAGAGGAGAGGACACGGTTACTAAAGTGAAGGCGACTGGAGAGAGAGACTTTTGATCTGACGGAGACAAGCAGAGACGACCCCAGGCAGACAGGCACCAAGGCACGTCTCCAGGCCGCCAGGTGTCCAGGTGTCCAGGCCCCCAGGCAGCCCATTCCACCGCCTTCGCCGGCCTTCGATCGACGGGGCCAATCAGCGGCGATGGGGCTCCCGCATCTTTTCTCTCGTCACAAATCCAATTCCTCCAAATCCTCCTCCAAGTCCCAATCCGTCCATCCTTCTTCTCCCTCTCCCTCCTCGCCTCCGACCACCAATCCCCCCCCCTACTCACGCACAGTCGACCCTCCCCCGACTCGCTCGACCCCCTCTCGTCCCCCTCCCCCCCCTCTCCGGGCGAAGACCGTGCATTCGTCTTCCTCTCGCCACCATCCTCCCCCTCCTCCAGTGACTCCTCTCTCTCACCAAGCCTCGGATTCACTCCCCCAACGCCCTTCTATCCCTCGCAAGCCGACTCGCCCGACGCACAGTCGGTCTACATCCATCCCCTCCAAGTCGGCCTCCGTCCGAGCGAAGCCGCCGCCCTTACCGCGCTCCGCTTCGTCGCTGTCCGCTGTCCACCACCGGTACTCGCACGACCCCAACTTCCACCCCCTCAACCTCCACCCCGACGAACTCCGTCGTCTCTCCGCTATGGCTGCTGCCCGCGATGATCTCCGCAGCTCGATGGACGTCGACATGAACGACCCGCGCCTGAGCTCGCCGCCCCCGACCAACGGCGTCAACGGCACCCACACCGAGAAGAGTCCCACGCCGCCCCCTCACCGGTCCAATGGGAACACCGCCGAGGCCGACTCCTTCAAGTTGGCCGGCAACAAGTTTTTCAAGGATGGCAACTACACCCGTGCCATCGAAGAATTCAACAAGGGTAGGTTCTTCGCCCCTCGCCCGGGGACGTCCGTCGCAGTATAGTAACGCCCGCACAGCCCTCGAGATCTCCCCCAACTCCTCTGTCTACCTGTCGAACCGGGCGGCCGCGTACATGGCGGCCAACCAATATCTGGCGGCGCTGGAGGACTGTGAGCGGGCCAGAGAACTCGACCCCACCAACGCCAAGATCATGTACCGTCAGGCCCGTATCCTGACCAGCCTGGGCCGCCCCACTGAGGCCCTGGACGTGCTGTCCCGCATCGAGCCCCCGGCGTCCGCCACTGACCGGGCCTCCGCGGAGAAGATGCTCCGCTTCGTCACCCAGGCCGAGGAGGCGCTGTCCGGTGACCGGGGCGTGTCGATGGTGCTGTTCTGCTTGGACCAGGCGCGTCAGCTCCTGGGCCAGGGCGTCAAGGAGCCCCGCAAGTGGACTCTGATGAGCGCGGAGGCGCAGCTGAAGCTGGCCAACGACAACTCGTACGGCAAGGCACAGGACATCGCCATTGGTATGCTGCGCGAGAACAGCCAGGACCCCGACGCGCTGTTGATCCGGGCGCGGGCGTTCTACGGCATGGGCGACACGGACCAGGCGCTGAAGGTGCTGAAGATCTGCCTGGGGCTGGACCCGGACATGAAGACGGCGATCAAGCTGCTGCGGACGGTGCAGAAGCTGGTGCGCACCAAGGAAGAAGGTAACACGGCGTTCAAGGCCAAGGACTACCGCAAGGCGATCGACCTGTGGTCGCAGGCGCTGGCGGTGGACCCGAAGAACAAGGACATGAACGCCAAGATCCTGCAGAACCGGGCGCAGGCGTACATCAACCTGAAGGAGCACGACAGCGCGGTGGCGGACTGCACGGAAGCGCTGCGGCTGGACCCGGGCTACGTCAAGGCGCAGAAGATGCGGGCCAAGGCGCACGGCGGCGCGGGCAACTGGGAGGAAGCGGTGCGCGACTACAAGGCCGTGGCCGAGAGCAACCCCACGGAGAAGGGCATCCAGGAGGAGATCCGGCGGGCCGAGTTCGAGCTGAAGAAGGCGCAGCGCAAGGACTACTACAAGATCCTCGGGGTGTCCAAGGACGCGTCGGAGACGGACATCAAGAAGGCGTACCGCAAGCTGGCGATCAAGTACCACCCGGACAAGAACCGCGACGGCGAGGCGGGCGACGAGAAGTTCAAGGAGATCGGCGAGGCTTACGAGACGTTGATTGACAACCAGTGAGTCCCCTGAAGTTGAATCAGTATAAAACGACCTCGCTAACAGACCCAGGAAACGCGCTGCATATGACAACGGCGACGACCTCATGGACCCGGCCGACATGTTCTCGCACGGCGGCTTCGGCGGCATGGGAGGCATGGGCGGCATGGGTGGCATGGGCGGAATGGGCGGCATGGGCGGCACGCACATCAACATCGACCCCAGCGTGCTCTTCAACATGATGAACGGCGGTGGCGGTGGCGGGTTCGCGCACGCGGCCGGCGGCGGACAGCGCGGCGGATTCCCCGGCGGATTCCCCTTCTAGACAGACAAACAGACCGACAGCGTTGCATGAGAAAAAGTTGCTGCTTGGCTGGTTTGGTTGGTTGCATATGCGTTATTTGGCTGTGATTTCGATTCCGATTCCAACGACAGAATGACGCGATAGACTTTCTTTTCTTGTTCTTTCTTTTTTTTTTTTCTTGTGTTTTCCTTTCGTTCCGTCGGTCATAGACGGCGGCGTGTCTTATTGTCTCATTTGAGGATTGTATGACTGGCACGACCAGAGGCGTTATATACCTGGGATGAACACTTTTGTGGATGGTTGGTTGGTTGGGGTAATTGAATTTCTTATTAAGAGGTTCGGATGTATGTAGAGTAGAGTAGAGAGATGGGATGTGATCTATGCTATTGGTATAGTGGTCAATGGTAGCTGTCTTGGATGGGGCGTAACACCTCGATTGATTCATGCCATCCTGTTCTTCTAGCATAATCCCAGTATAGTATACCCTACCCACTAAGGTAAATCACATTGCCATCTCCATCCACAACATTCCAGATCTTACACTCTCATTCTCCCAATCTCCCGACACCTCGGGTACCAGATCAGATCAGATCAGAACCGATCCAGATCGCATCTGGCATCGGGAATGTTCTCCGGAATGAGCCCACCACAGCATTCCTTGCGCATTCAAAACCAGAATACTTAGATATCTAATAGTAAACCACCCCCACAGCAAACATTCCTCATTTCATACCCCCCCCTCGGCAATAACGAATGGAACCTTCCCGGCCGAGACCACTCAACCGATATGGATAGAGTTCCATACGCGATACGATCCATGGAAGTCATGATATCATGCGCCAGCAATGACGTCGGAACCGAATTTGCCCTCAACCATAATGGTCTGCGCCTTTTTTTTTTTTTTTTTTTTTTTTTTCGACGACAACCCTGGGCTCTGCTTCGTGTTCTCTAATCTTGACCCCGATAACAGACAAACAACCGTGTCTGGGCCCGGATTAGACAGACAGCACACAAAGACATACAACAACCATACAATATTATCTGTCAATCGAAATGAATCCGGGCTGGCTATGGTTACAATGACACCGACACAATGCCCCATCATGAAGCCTCCCTCCAGACCCTCAGCCTGGTCACCCAGATCCTGTGTCTGGTGATGATCACGGTGTTTGTGGCGCTGAGGGTGCTGGTCGCGTGGTGGTTGAAGAGGAGGGTTGATGTTGAGGATGGTATGTAGACTTACTACCTTGTCTATATCCTTCCCTTACCTGAATTGTCTATCTGTTCTATGTTTGTCCTTGACTATCCATATACGTTTAGGTATAGGTATAGGTATAAGAATAAGAGTCGTGCTGACGAAGAGTGTATATACAGGCTTCTGTTTCGCGGCTTGGGTAGGTTGATCCTTTCTACTTTACTTATATTATTTGTTTGTCTGCTAATGCTTTGTGTGGGTGTGGGTGTGGGATGATAGGTCTTTCTAACGGTTTATTGCGTGTTGGCTATTCTTTGTATATACACCCTCCCCTTATCCCATACCCTATTTCTCGGGTATAATTATACTATTTGATTGAATGATCACTGACTAACGACTCGAACAATAATATAGACGTCTGCTCTGGTGGGACACAACCTGATTCGAGTCTTGATATGGCAGAGGTTATTTATGTTTATAAGGTGTGTCTTTTCCTCTTTCCTCTTTCATCTTTCATCTTCTCTCTCCTCTCTCTCCCAATTCTTAACCCTAACATGCTTCCCTTCGCCAAAACAACATCAACACAACGGTAACAACAACACTTATAACAATAACAATAACAACAACAATAATAATATAATAATAATAAACAGATCTACTACATCCTAACAATCCTCTACGTCCCCATGGTCCTCTCCGTCAAAATCACCCTCCTCTACCTCCTCAGCCGGATCTTCACCCTCCGCACGCCCCAAATCCTGACCATCCGGCTAGTCCTCCTCATCACGACCATCTACTACGTGACCATCTTCTTCATCAAGGTGTTCATCTGCAGTCCCGTCTCTGCCTTTTGGACGCCGTCTTCCCTGCCATCGTCGCCTGCATCTAACTCCAACACCAACTTCACCAGCAGCATCACCACCGCCCACTGCCTCAGCAAACCCGCCATCATCCTCGCGGACGCAATCATGAGCGTGGTGACCGACCTCGCGATCTTCCTGCTTCCGGTGGGACTGCTATGGCCGCTAGGCGTGTCAGTAATCCGCAAGATCAAAGTCGCGGGGCTGCTAGGCGCCGGGGCCGGGCTGCTGGCGGTGGGGTTTAGCGTTTATCGGCTTGTGTTGGTGGTGAAGGAGTGGGGTGGGTTGGATGTTAGTGGGACGGGCGTGTATTTGAGGGTTTTACTTTCGGGGTATGAATTTCCTTTTTCCCCCTCTCCCCCCCCCCCAAATTCTTTTTACTGCTTTCTCTGCTTAGTTCCTCGGTGTCTTCATTTCTCTCCCTCTTTCTTCTCATTTCCTTTTTTTTTTTTTTTTTTCTCAGAGGGGAAGAGATATACGGAAAATAAATACCAGTACTGATGGTTGGTTATACTCTCTAGTAACGCGGAAGGCGGCTTCGCGCTCATCTGCTCGTGCATCCCCGCCGTGCATATCCTGACGATCCGGTTGCGGGGGAGGTATACCTCTGTCTGGACGGAGTCGGGGGATGAAGGGGCGGGGAAGAGGGAGCGGGAGGAGGTCCGTAGGGACGATGCGCTGGAGGAGTCCTTGCCGTCGTCACTGTCGCCGGGTACTTCGTTGGGGGCGTTGCCTGGGGGGGGAGAATCCGAGACAGAGTCAGAGTCAGAGTCAGAGTCAGAGTCAGAGTCGGATGGATAGCCCAGTTCTAGGGCAAAGCAGGGACAGCATCAACGAGTGACAGACACTCCCGGGATATCGAACGCGGCCGTGACATAGCATCAAGAGAACAAGAATAGCGAATAGCGTCTACACATAACTACATAGGAAGAAACAAATACACATAGACATCATTAATAACTATATACATCACACAATATCAACAAAGGGATATCATATACCACATCATCGTCATCATCACAAACAAAACAAGCCTTCATCAAGACATAAAAGAAACTCATCACACCAATCAATCAATCAATCAATCATACCCCAACCCCCCTAGAATCAACCTACTCTCGTTAACCGACAAATTCATAACCCCGAGCGCCCGGGACAACGACCCCCTTCGTAACCTCTGCAACCCAATCGCGACCTTCCACCCCTCCGTCTCCTGCAACACAAACACATAGCGTTTCCCCTCGTGATCGCGCACCGACGCCCTCAACACATGCAGACTGGTCTGATCCTCGCCACCCCTCGTCGACAACCGACACGTGTTCTTGCACACCTTGAGCAGGTTCCCTAGATAGGCCTCGGATTCCTCGGACGTGGGCTCGTTGGGCGACCGCCGGTGATTCCCCGGCTGTTTCTGCGCCCCGAACTGCGGACACCACACCTCGACCAGTTTCATCGTCCACGCCTTGACGTCCCATTCGCGTTGCCCCACGCCCCGCACGTCGTCGTCGATGAAGAGGCCCTCCGTCGTGATTCGGAGCACCAGCCCGTCGCTGACCATGCCTTGGCCCGACACGAGCTGCGCCACCGGGCTGCGGACGAACGCGTCGTTGAACGCGTATACCCCCTTCACGACGATCTTGTCGGGGTCTTTGGTTTCGTAGGGCCCGCGGTTGGAGGGTGGGGGGGATGTTCGTGCGGTCGACTGGGACGGGGCGTACGATGATTCGGAGTACACCGAGGAGCCGGTGCCGTAGGGGCGACGGGGCCGGTCGTGCGGGCGGAACGAGTAGGCGTCGTCGGTGTCCGTGCGGGAGGATGTGGTGTAGGCGGGTTTCTTGGGGGAGGGGAAAGGTTTCGGCTTCTGACTGCCGGCGGCTTTGGCAGCGGCGGCTTCTTTGGCAGCGGCGGCGGCGGCTTCCTGGGCGTCTTTGGCCTTCTTCTCCGCGTACTTCTTCGCGGCGGCCTCCTTGAGGGCTGCGAATTTGGCGTCGGCCTCTTTCTTGGCGGCTGCTTTGCGCTCCGCCTCCTCCTTCTCCGCCTTGGCCTTGGCCTCCGCCGCCTCCTTCTCCGCTTGCGCCTTGGCGGCGGCGGCTTCTCGCTCCGCGCGGGCCTTGGCCTCCGCGGCTCGCCTCTGTTCGCGCTCGCGGGCCTCCGCAGCGCGTTTCTGCTCCTTCTCTCGCGCCTCCTTTGCCTCCTGCTCGGCTTTGGCGCGCGCGTCGGCTGCGGCTTTCTCGGCCTTGGCGCGGGCTTCGGCGGCTTCTCGATCCGCGCGGGCTCGCGCCTCGGCGGCTTCGCGCTCGGCCTTGGCTCTGGCCGCCGCGGCTTCGCGGTCCGCTCGTTCGCGGGCTTCCCGCGCCGCGGCCTCCTTGGCTGCCGCCATCTCTTTCTCCAGTTGCTCGCGCCGCTCGCGCAATTCCTGCTCCATCGCCTCCCGCTCCCGCTGCTTTTGCTTCTCGCGCTGCTCGGCCTCTCGCTTCCGCTTGAACTCTTCCATCTTTCGTCGGAGTTCCTCCTTTCGTCGTGTCTCTTCACGCGCCTTCTCCCAATCAGCGCCACTTTGCGGTTTGCTTGAGGAGCCGGTCGCGGACGAACCTGTCTTTTGGGGACCGCTTTGCGGTGGGGGTGGTTGTTGCTGCTGTTGTTGCTGTTGCTGCTGCTGCTGCTGCTGCTGCTGCTGATGAGAACCGCCGTACTGATTCCCGCCGTAGTGACCCGCACCGGGCGACGGACCCGAACTAAAGCCTGCCCCGTAGTGACCCTGTCCTTGACTCTGACCCTGCTGTCCCTGCTGTTGTTGTCCCTGTCCCTGCCCACCCCCATAATTCTGCCCCCGCGCATACTCCCCGGATCCACCCGCGCCGGGACCAGCATTCGGCCCACCACCCGCGGACCCAAACCCGAAATTCGCCCGTCGTCCCCGTCCACCACCACTTTTATCAACCTGCGACGCACCAAACGCCCACCCGGCCACACCCACCCCGATCGCCAACACCGCAATACTCAGCCCGCTCCCACTCGCCACGGTGGCGCTATACCAGGCCTTCAGCAGCGGGGACAGCACGACCCACAGCAGGGTGGCGAAGAGCGTGCACACGCAGCCGGCAATGAAGCTGTTGCGTTGCGGCTGCAACGACGGCAGGTACAGGAAGCCCGACCCCGAGGAGTGCGGCGGGATGATGAAGATGTCGTAGTTTCCCGGCGGCAGGTCGGAGGATTTGCGGTATTCGCCGTGGGTGGTTTGGGGTTTTTCGCCGTGAGGGGGTGGGGGGGGAGGGGGGGTGTTGTTTTCTTGGTCCATTGTTTCTGTATGGTTGGTTTGTTGGGTGGGTAGGGTTTGGATTTGTTGGTTAGAGATGGGGTTGAGATTGAGATTGGGTTATGGGGCTGGATCGGGGTCTGGATCTCAAGGTGTCGGTGTCGGTGACGGTGACGGTGACGGTGACAGTGTAGGGTTAGATGGTGGATGAGTGGGCGGGCTACTGGGGGCGTTCTTGTTGTGGGAGTGGATGGCGCGGCGACATGTTCGGTGGGTTGGGGGATGGGCGCCGGCATTCAGCGCGTCTGGGGAGAGGGGAGGTTAGAGTGTGTTGTTTAGATCAGAGGGTAGGAGGGGGATGGCTCTGGCTCACTTGGATGTGTACAGTGTAGGTATATGGGTGTGTGTTCAGTATGAGAAGAAAGAGAAAGGAAGTGATAATGCAAGAGGATCGGCGGCAAGAGGCGTGACCACCGTGAACTGCGCCTAGTCAGTAGTCGCCTCAGCGCTAACCCCGAATCACACTCGCGACAGCCGGACGCGGGATGGAGAGGCAGTCAGCAGGTGAGAATTTGGGATAAAAGCAGAGACCGGACGGACTGGACTGTGTAACATGGCTGAGGTGGCAGTTGGCCAAAGGGAGAAAGGGTTGAGGATGGGGATTGCTCAGTGGTTGGGTTTCAGGGCTGTGAAAAGTGACAGGCAACGGAAGGGGGGAGGGAGATCTATCGACGGATTCCGATGGAGGATGTACGGAGTACACTATTCAAAGCACATTCCAGCCGGATACACCCACATACAATCTATTTAGAGATACATTACGTCCTATCTATTAGTCCAGTCCAAATATGTACCACCGCCTCGCCGGCCACATTCCAGCAGAAGTCTAGCCAAGTATACAACAGCACAAGCCTCAGCCGTGAGATCCCAGCCCGTCTCACAACCTTAATCCTCCCGCCGGGAGGGTGTCCCCATGGCCCATGGGCGAACCACGGATGGGGTCATTCCTGTTCCCACGAATGCGACCTCATCCGAGGCCCTGGGGATGGTGTTCAGCGGAGATGCTGTTCCATTGGTGGTTCTTTGTTTGTTTTGGTTTCTCTCTTTGGGGCATCGCGTGGGGGGCGCAAGGCTGATTGGTGGGTGGGCCGGGGGGGTTGGATTGGTCCGATAACAGATTATGTCAGAGGCTGTCACGTGTTAATCTTGTGTGTGCCTTAGGAAGTATATACCTGAGGCATAATTCAGGCACCATATTCAGGCAATTACTTCCTCAGGCATTCTCCGGCAATGTCCTCAGGCACAACCGTCAAATCATCCTCAGGCAGCCACGTTGGGAGATGAATTGTTGAAGATCAGGAGAACAGGAGTGACAGCACCAGGATAGAAAACAAGTAGTGCTCAGTCCCGTCCACAGTAATCCTGCATAGTACAGTAAGTTATCTGGTAAACGTCCCTCCTATGTACTCCGTAGGAATGACGGCGATCACGGGGCCGGTGGTTGAGGTCATTCGCGGAGGAGATGCGATCTGAGTCCCCCATCCTCGACCTCCTCCTGTTCATTCTCCTTTCTCTCCTGCTGCAATTCATTCCTCTTCGTCTTCTGCCGACCAACTGAACTGACCTGAACTGCCAGGCGGTGACTCCACGCAGCGGCAGCCAACCGACTCTCTCCGTCCTCCCCATCCACTCCCTCCTCTCTATTCTCCTCCTCCTCCTGCTCCTGCTGCTGCTGCTGCT